GATGTGAGTGTGAACCACTTTCCCCCCCCCCCCCCCCCCCCCTTCCCCCGCTTTAGTTGACTACTCATCCCCGATTTCCAATAGCGTGAGCCTCAACCACATCGTATTTGATACTTCGGACTTCACTAAGCTGCTCTGGTTCCACGGAACCTCGGTAGATGCTCTTGAGACGGTTTTATGCTCACTATCACGCAGCACTCACCGCTCAGAAGCCGTAAGTCTCGATCTTACGGACTTCTTGGGGGAAAAGCCTGGGCAATGCGTACTCCCCACGTTCGCTGGCCTATTATCGCCACGCACTGACGGTTCAGCGATTCTTCTGTCTTGCCTTCTTGGCTGGTCGCACAGCAAGTGAGAGTATTCAAGCGTTGTCAGTCATTTCTTCGTCAAGCACGGCGGCAGGATTGTATGCAATTAGAATGAACTCGCCGTCTTCGACTGGTGCACAGTCGTCACGGCGTAGCTTCGTCCAGCAGATCGAGCGGGCTGTCTAGGCGAAGTGATCATTAATAGAGAACCGATTGAGCGCGATCAAAGATTGTTCCACTACTACGAGCCCTAAGCGCTTGATCCTCCGGTGATCGGTCTGCGAGCTTGAACGCCTGATGTCATTCCGCAAGCTATATGAGGACAACGAATCGCTATAATCATATGGTGAGGGAGACCAAGTCCAGCGCCGAGGTGGCGGAGAGGCCGAGTTCTCCCTGATAGATCGGTACAAGCTCTCTCTTGGCTGCCAGTTGTCTCTCTTCGACAGAGACCACTAACAAGGTAGACTTCGCCCGCGACGTTCGAAAGGGTCATACAAGTCTGGCATGCGAGACAGTATGGCCTCGACGGTCTGGTGCATAGATGCCGAATCTCTGGAGAAGAGAGGATCAATGAAGCCGAGAAGGCCGTTGCGTGGGTTGCGGCACGCCAACTCGCGCGGAATGAAGGGAAACACATTGCTCGGAACACGTGGAGCAGTGAGCGGAATAGCTGGTATTGGCAATGAGGGAAAACCATCTCGCGGAAGAGAATCAGTGTCACAGGCTAGATGAGGAATTTGCCGGCCCTCTGAGCGATAGCTTTCATCAATTTGGATTAAAGGTCGTGTATTTTTGTCAAAGCCAATGATCCGCTCAAATCTAACGGTCCCAACGCCGCGCTATGCAATCCCAAGCTCATATCGTACAGATGAAAGTTTCCGATCCGCGTCCTGCCTCCCCGCGGTTTCGAGGTCTTACCGCAGCCACTTCAAGACCAGGTAGCAGAACAAGAAAAACACGACCACGCCACCCCAGAATATCCACTTGTCCTGCCTGGCCCTCCTCTCGACCATGCGGATCGTGTCTCCGGAAATGCCGAGCGTGTTGCCCACGCTGTAGAGCTTCCTCTGCGTGTTTTTCAGCATCTCTCTCTGCTGCCCAAGGCTGCCTAGCACGTCCGCTCCACGCTCCAGAAACTCGTCCATCTGCATGCTCGCCTGCTGGAAAAACGTCTGTTCGCGGAACGCGTGTTCTTCCCTTGTCGGCTCGACGGGGGGAGCGTACGCGGACAAGTTGCTGCTGGCACCGTATCGGTTCGTGGCGGTGTTCACGGCTTGCGCATACGGGTTGTGATGTGCGTAAGGATTGTCCGGCGTGGCTGCCATGTGAGGTCGTCGCGCTGAAAGATCGGAAGATGCTAGTGTGGTCTGGCGCTGCTCGAGCTCTTGTTTCAGCCGTTCGAAGCGGTCACGGTACTCTGCTTGCTCGCTGCGGAAGTTCTTGATGCGCTCGTAGGCTTTTGTCTGCTTCTCCGGGACAAGTTCCTGCTTGGCAAGCTTGTTGTAGTCTTCTATTGTTCGTGCAAAGGAGGTTAGAGAGGCGTTGATTTGGCCTGTTGACTTCTGTGGTTAATGCCGAAGCGTCCTCTTCTCGTCTCTGCAAGCAGGTGCACACCTATGAGCGCCGGCGAGGTTTGGGATCCCTCCGCAAGTGCATCAAGGTCCTTCCGTATCGACGTACCCTGTCGCAGGGCAGAGTTGTAAAGCGAGTTCTGGATATGACGTTAGTCGCCGCTCTTCATGCATATCTCCGTAACGTAGCAATGGCAGAATTACGTACCATAGCTTAGTCGCGTGAAGAATACACTCCGAACAGGTGCTTCTGAGCAGCGAACGCGCAATCGACGCAAGAAGTATGTAAGGTGCAGGCAGCGGTGAAAGATGGACGTCACGGTAACTGTGTTCACTTCGAGAATCGTGACAGGGGGATGCTTGAGTTTCGTAGGGCTGAGGATCCGCTCAACCACGTGCAAGGCTGGAAACATTTCGCTTCGCGAGACCTATCCTACTCCTGGGCCACATTGTTGACGATAATATGTGACGATATCGTGAATCATGTTTGATTGAGGTCGAGTATGGAGCAATAAGTCCGCAATAAGCGCCCAGATATCCCCAAACCTGTATTCACGTTTGCAAGCTTCCGCGACATTATTGGGAGCAGGAAGAGCGATTTTAGGCCCAACTACGCGTTTAACATGAACGCATAAGTCAGCAGAATTCGGCTTGTATTCATAAATATTCTAAGGATTATTCTGTACGTCAGCGGGCCCCATGCGCCCAGAAACGGAAACGAAGTAGCTCCTCGCGTGTTTCATTCCTAGTCGGCGCCGTTATTCCCTACCAGCAGCAGCCCAAGTGCTTTTTTACATGAGTTAGTGGTTCTATCCACTTCCTTCATAGATTGAGAAGCCTGGGGAGCTGGAGCAAGAACCTTACCGGAAGCATGTCGCAGTTGCGCAGAGATCACTCGCGGTACGCACTCTTGAAAAAAGACGTCTTGCCTCCCCAGCGCGTCGTTGATCTTTCTACTTTCGGCATGAGTACAAAACACATCGCTTGATCTCAGCTCTCGCTCATGATGCTGTTGTCGTCGGGTAATCGGGCGTGGACATCAAATACGTCAGATTCTGGACTCGATGTCTGTGTGGAATGGAAAGCCTCGCTTTCATTATTCACATGCATTACAAATACAGCAGCCCTAGTGAAGATTTATTCTCGCTTCCAACGGCCTACCCACCTGACAAATGAAACGAGAAACCTACAAGCTGACGCAGAGGAAAAGTAAAATCTCATGCATTCGAATCCACACTTGGGACTGGAAAACAAGGTATTGATGCTCTGCTCATTTACATCACCCGCATCTGCCTAGGTCGGCTCGTATGCTGCAATCCGTGGAAGCGAACTGAGAATAGATGTGTCTTTGTCAGCTTCTTCACGTCAGCGGCAGCCTGAACCTACTTCGGTACCCAGCTGATGACTGAATCGACGCTGAGCGCCGGTATCGCGCCCTAGGAATACGAATCGATGCCCTTGCGACTCGCAAAACACAAGCCATTCCGCCCTTCTTTTGACATGGTGGGCCAGCCACTTATGCATCTGCATGACGGCGTTTGTTTTATAAAAAACGTAGCCTCAGAAGTCGGTGTTAAGAAAAATTATCCAGCATCGGTGTGTCAAAAGGAGCGATGCCAAAGGAGTAGTTTTCACCATGGTGAGTCTTATGCAGTAAGGAGTAGCGGTGACCCTTGTCCGTAGTGGGATTTTGCGACTGAAAGCGAGTTGGATTGTGGATTCGCGCCCTCAGCGTGGAGCAAATGGCCAGCTCTAGCGCGTGTACTGCCCAGACACCAGTGCCATGCCTACACTGTCCCAACTCCGAAGGTCTGCATGGCAATTCCGATGGAAGCTGAGCGTGAATGTTGCCTGATGACTGTGTTTCTTTTCCAGGCGAGAGATTTGTATAAAGATGCGTCCCCATCTCCCGCTGGGATCCGTCTCTTCGCTATTCAGAGAACGAGATAATCAAGTCCGTCGTAGAGGCTGACTACCATACACCCGACTACCGTTTGAACGACCATACGAGCAACACCGTGTCTTAGTTGACAAGGGCAAGTATACGTACTACACACGCAGCCTCAGGTCAGTGCCAACACCTCTCTGGATTCCAGCTCTCGCGCTGACCTTCTTCTTTTCTCTCTACAGATCCACCATGCCTTCATCCCTGTCATCAGAAAAGACAATGAACGCAGATGCCGCCTCTTTGCAGTCCGCGTCTACGTCGAGCTCGCTAAAGAGCTTTTTCAAGAAGGAAAAGTCACCAAAGGCCGACGTTGCCGCCGAGAGGAACAAGCGCCTCGCAGAAAAGGCGATCCATCGAGAAGCCATGTACACCTACATGTCCTTGAGCAGGTAGAGTTGCGGTCAAGCCGATGCTCTTTGTGCGTCAGCATCGCTGCGCTCTTTCAACATGGCGTCTGTGGGGCGCCTTCCTCTACACATACATAGCTCTCGTCGCTTTGAGTGTGGAGGCGATGGCGGGTGAACAATTGGTTCAACCATCGCGATGGCGATTTGTAATACTTAGCCAAGGGGCTGTGAAGGGCCGGGAGTTCGCGGGATATAGTGAATGAGGATACTCCAATATAATAAACACATGGGTCTGTTCGTGGCGACTTGGTCTGTCTGGCACTCCTTATCTGTGCTTAGGTTTTATGTGATATGTTCTTAGCATTAATTGCGTAACTTCTAATTGATATTATTGATCAACCAATCATAGTCAAAATCAGTAAAGTATGGGGTGACAGCGCTCTGCTTATAGTTCTTTATTCAGACGGGGAGATCATGAGACACGACTTGCTTGAAGCCTTCTCTGGCGCTTGATCCGGGTTCTTCTTTCTGTTGAGATGTTAAGACAAGAATCTTTCTTTGTGCGCAAAGTGAACGATTTGTCAGTATCAATAAATCCTACACCATCGATTAATGACTCAAACGCGCCCGGTCAAAAGATAGCTTGGGTTTCACGAGAGAAATAGAAAATAAGGGGAGAAGGACCTGTTCCGGATGCGTGACCAACAAAGAGTGCTGCGGAGTACGTCGCTGAAAGACGTACGACACAAACACTGTGCGCTATTCTCCAATAAAACTCTTCTCACTCACACATACATACATACATACATACATGTAGACTTGAGGCGTCGAACTTAAGCCCAAATATTCACCAACTCCCATCCGTTTCCCTCGAAGACGGTCATATCTTGAGAGCGAGATAGTCGGATAAAAATGAGAGAAAGGAGAAAGTAAGCTGATGCAGGTGTAACCCAATCTATACATTTGAACATGGACATGCGAAAAAAAGTAACCCTCCACCTTCAATGTCTACTCGTCTTGCTGCTCCTCCTACTTGTGCCTCCGAACACACTGCTACCCCTCTCGCTTACTGGCGTGACCAGCCCGCGACCCAGGACCACGGGTATATCTAGGCCAAGCTTGACCTCAAATATGCGCGCTAGGACACCCTGAACGGCCCTCTGCAGCTCCGGTCCCATGTCACGGCCCATGAGACCGACAAGAAGCGGCGCAAACGTTCCGACGTGCTTTTCGAACTCCGTCTCAGGGAAACCAGAGTAGCCTTCGAGAACTTCGATCACGACGGGCCGCCAGGTGACGATATTGCGCTGCTGAGTCACTTCGTCAAGATCGATATACGAGGAGATGATGTCCGCGCACAGAGGGACAAGCGCATCCTCCGTCTGCTCTCGCGAGGCGACACGCGATGCAGACGTGTCGAGAAACATTCTGAAGAGGATGTTGACGTATACACTCGCGGCGCCTGACTCTTGCTTGAGCAGGTTGGGCGGTTGCTTCATGAAGCCTTCCTTAAAAAGGCGCGTGCGCAGGTCGCGGTCGTTGTTGAAGCGTTTGGCAAAGTGGTAGCTCTTCTTGAGCAGCGCCATAAGGCGCAGCAGTTCTGTGGATGGGATCTTTTCGTATACGGTGTCATTGGAGAACAGCTCGTTGACCGTCTCGATCATGAGGAGGGTGAGCACGCATTTAGTAATAATTTGATTGAAAAAGCGGCGGCGTGCTGCCGTCACGACGACCGGAGTCTCGGGAGCGGTCTCCGCGTGGAAATTTTCCAGTTGAGGCTGAGGGACCGCACGAGGTGTGGTGGGCGAGTCCGGATCAGGCGAAACTCGGGTTTGCGGTGGCTGCGCAGATATGCCGTTGATACCGAGAGCATTTTCGCCACGACTTGCATCTGTTTCGGACGTCTGAGAAGGCTGAGTGTTTAGGGGTAGGTCGGAAACGCTCGCCGTGTCCGATGGAGGAGGTGACCTTTGAGGCTCGAAATAGCCGTTGGACGGCGTCTTGTTATAGCCACCCGACGTTGCGGCAGAGAAGAGCGCGGTAGCTTCTGTCCTTGTGAACAGCTCGACGAACGCGCTGACGATTTTCGACCAGTGATCGGGTGTGAACTTGTTCACGTTTTCGTGAATGAGCTGTTGTAAGCTGTTGCTGCCAATTCGTGCCAGTGTCTCGTTCTCCTGACAGATGCACAAGATTAGCAGCTCCAGAAAACGATCAAGCATGTATTCTAAAGAGTCAAAAAAGTGGGTGAACAGTGCAATCATCTTCCGCAGAGCCTCGATCATGGTCGAGGACAGCCATATCGACAGGTCCTCATTCGTCGCGAACTTGGACATCTCGGACTTGGATCGCAGGACCATGAATATGGGATAAAGAAGCTGTCGCCAGAGGATATCCCAGAAGTCGAGCGGGAAGTCGCCGCCGTACCGCATAAGTGTCTCGAACAGGTAGTTCAGCGCCCTCGAGCGCACCTCGAGGTCATCTCCCGTCATGAGCACGTCGTGGAACGCGAACAGAACCGGGAACCAGAACTGCTCTTCCTGTGTTTGCTGCGTAAGTTGCAATGGGCCCTCTGGTGCCTTCGCTTTGCTCGCCCGCACCGAGAGCGGGCACTCAGGAGTCTTGAGCAACTTCGAGACGGTTGACTTAAGCATCTCGATCGCCTGCAGGGACTTGCGCTGAAATTTCTGGTTCTTGGAAAACTGCGTCAGACAGACAATCAGGTCGGCGAACGCACCCTGGGTGATGACGACGCCGAAATAGTCGTTGTAGATCTTAGTCACGTTGTCGTAGGCCAGGTTGACAATGCCCTCTGTGGTTCAATCTCGTCAGCATTTCACGTTTTCTTTTCTGGTTCGAAACGCAATTGTTGATGACAGAAATGAACGTACCGTATGGCTCCTTAGCAGCCACAGTGAAGACGCCAAACATCGTCCGCCAACCGGATTTGATGTTGGCGCCGCGTGCTTGAATCATCTGAATCAAGCACCTGAGCGCCATGTCCTTCACTGGCACAACCTGGCTGTTGGCGATGACATGCTCAAACGGCTTCAAAAAGTCCTTCTGGAACTTGAAGCCGGGCAGCTCCTCAATTTCTAGAAACTTCATCGACAGCTGGCGCAGCGAGTCAAGCGCAAAGAATACGACGTTGGTGTTGGTGTGGCAGCCGACCTGAGAGAAGTGCTGGCCCAACACTGCCCAAATGGATGCCCATTCGAAACGCACCCGCGTCAGGTTGTAGCCCGAGACCTCTACGATCTTCTGGAGCGAGTAAGTGCGCGGCGACTCTGACTGACCCGAAGACTGGATCTCCTGCCATGAAACTTGGGTAAGCGCCTTGACGAAATATAGGATGCCATCGCCGGACATGTGAGCTGTGTTAGTGAAGATGCGGTCCACGCTGCGTACGATGTCGGCGGAGCGCGACTCCTCGGCGATGTCGGCGCGGTAGTTGATGGTGCCACTGTGCTGGCGCGGTCGGTGCTGTTTGGGCACGTTAAGATTGCGCCGCGAAGACGAGGAGGAGCTCGTGCTGGAACGCTGCATACGCAACACGTCCGGGACGGCGCCTTCGTCCACACCCGTCGAAATGAGCTGGAACCGATCCAGCTGGCTGATGCAAGTGAGCACGTCGCGCCACGCCTCCTTGAGCTGGTTACCTTCCAGTTGTGCAACTTCCAGCAGGGCCTTGAGCGCCTCAAGCTCCTTCACCTTCATCTCACTGATATTGTACAGCTTCGTAAGGTTCGCAAGCTTCTGCACAAACGCCTGGCGCGGGTCTTGCAGGTCAAAGAGGCACGAGATGCGGATCGCAAGCTTCATGCCCTCCATGCAAAGCTTGACCATCTCGAAATTCTCCGTTTCTTGTGCGGCACCGGCGAGGGCGGGTAGAAATGCCATCCAGCTAACCTGGAACATGGGACCCACATGTTTGAACGATGAAGCAGGTATGAACCGTGAGACTTCTTTTTTGGCAGCGCCACGTCGCTGTGCCCTCAGAAGCGACTTGTAGAGCTGTTCAGTGCGGTTGGCAAACTGCTCAGTCTGTGCGTATTCCTCTTTCCTCAGGTCGCGGCTCGCGATGGCTACGGCCTGGCCAATGGTCGAAGCCAACCCCGTGGCCTGGGGTTGCGTCAGCATACCCAAGTTGGCTGCCGTCTCGCGCTCCGTGTCGAGCACGATTTCGTGGTTATGAATCTCGTCGTAGATGCCCCTGAGGTATTCGTCAGGGAGGTCAGCGTTGTCGTTGATACCCCTATTGTTCTTGATGAAGTCCTCGGGCGTCATGCGCTTCGACTTGATGTTCGTCGAGTGCTGATCAGTGTTGAGCATGATGACGGAGTACGCGAGGACATATGCCGTGTCCGCGTTGGCAAACGCCTTCGGATTGCCGGCTATGTAGCGTTCTGCAAATTTGAGCATGAAACGATCGATCTTCTGGGCCTCGCCAGGCAGTCTGAAGCTTTGCAAAAAGCGTCTCAACGCGTCCACGAAACGGGTTTGCCTAAAATCCATCAGGTCTACAAAGGCGTGCATGATTGCAATGTTCTCCGGTTCGCCTTCGCCCAGGAATTCACCTAGGGTCGCTTTGTTAATGCTGTCGTTGCCGAGCAAAAACCTGGCGATATCCTGCGGCGCGTCCGAGGCTATGAAACCATTTTTCAGTAGCGCGGCAAGGCCACGCTTGGGCTTAAAATTGAAAAGACGTATGGCGTTTGCTAATGCGGTCTTCTGCTGCTTCTCTCGCTCGAGGTAGCCGGCATCGTCTTCGGCGAGCGGCGTGGACATGCCACTAGGGCTATCACTTCCCACGCGCGGCGATGCGACAGACGACATGGATGGGTCGCGATGCATGCTCTGCTGATCAAGGCTCTCGCGCGATGTATTATCGGCAGATCTCCTCATATCTCCATTGCCTATGCCCACATTGTTCTCGGCGACGTTCTGCTGCGACCAATTGACCATCGATCGGAGGACATCGACCATGGCTTCAAGAGCCTCGTATTTCATGGCATATTCAGGAGGGAACTCCTTCTCTGGCTCCGGGGCGGCGCTCATAGCCGCTGTCGACAGATTTCTTAGAACACGACCGTGCAGGTCGGCTGAGGGATTATCGGAGGATCGTGCCTGGTACTCTATGAATGCATGCTGCTGGACGCTCGAGACCTTAACGGGCGCAGAAGAGAGAGCGCTAAGGTGCTGCATCATGCGCTCAAACATATTATCGAGCGCGGTGCGGTCGCAGTCGTAATTGAGGTAAACCTCGACGAGTGCTCTAGGTTCCTGCGCCAGTCGTGCAAACATGCCGAGGATCATCTGTTTCTGCCACACGGGAGAGGCGCGCTTCTCAAGGATGGCAAAGTAAATCTCTTTAAGGAATACCTCGATTTCCTTCTTGAGCATCACACGCAGATACTTCAACATAAGCCAGAAGATGTCCAGGCTGACCTCGAAGACCGGGCGCGAAGACGAGGGCCCGTTGCGGCTGAGCGACAGGCATAGGTACTGTTTGATGCCCTGGATGAAGGAAGTTGGCTCATCGTTGGATGACCGGATTGTTGCGTAGGGAGAGGTGAACACAACGGTATGATTGCTGATCAGAGAGTGGATGATGTACAGAGATAACAACTTCGACCTCATGCCTTGAGACTTGGGATCCAGCACATGCTCGACAGGCAGCGCTTTGGTGCTAAGTCTACACATGGCTCGGAACACGAGGTACGCGTCCTTGATAAAGATCTCATCCTCTTCGTCCTCAGCAGCCTCGGCGGATGGTTCGTTGGCGCCAGATGTAGTGCGCTTCGAGCGCGCGCGGTCTTTCACCCGTGTAACCAGTGTTGGCGCTGTATCTGTGATCTTCGCGTCATCGAAGCTCTTCCTGTTTTCGAAACTCTGCAGGGTCATCTTGGGCGCGTCCCGCTTCTCGACAGGCACGTCACTAGGTGCCGTCGATGCGGTCTCCGATGCATCATCTTCGCCGTCGCCGTCTTCATGCGCATCTCGCCCGTTGAAAGAAGAGCCTTCTGTGGCAGGAGTAGCGCCATTCTCCATCTTGTCTTCCCCATGGCCATTCTCCTTGGGCACATCTCCTTCGACGCCTTGCTCTCTTTCAAGCGCAATCTTGGACTCCGAGATCCTAGCCTCTTTGGCCGCCAATCGCGCCTTGACTCTCTCAAACACCGTGTCAAGCATTTGCGTCAGCGCTGTTTGCGCCAGCATCTGATTCGATGCGTTTTTTGATAACAGGAAGATGTTATATGTCAGTCGTACGGCTTTTAGAAGGCCGGCGCCATGCACGACAATCTTGTCGTTCAAGATGGCAGCGAGCAGCGATTTTACGATCTGAACCTGCGTCTCGACCGGGGTGGCCTCGCTCTGGAAGCAGTCGCAGATCGTGTCGATGGCGCGTTCGATAAGCGGCGGTGCGTCAGCTGGTTGCTGTTGCTGCTGATTTTCGGCGGTGGCGGCAGGTAGCGAGAAGTACGAGTAGCTGATTAGCTTGCCTATGCAGTCAAGCGCCGTGGTAACAACGCTTACAGTCTGCAGCTCCGAGGCCAGTTGCAGTGGTTCGAACAGCACCTCCGGGCTGAGATCGCTCGCTCCCGGTGCCGTTTCGTCGCTTCTTATCGCTGTAAGCGCGCGTTGCAGCGCATCCTGCAGTTTCTTGTTTCTGCGAGCCTCCTTTGCATCGGCGATGCTCTCGAGCGACTTGATTACGAAGACGAGGGAGCTGCGCGTGGCGCCCGGCACACGTGGAGCAGCCGTCATGGTGGTGGACGCGGAGTCGGTCCGGTTACGTGTATGCACCGTCTGCTGATTGTGACCATCTGTAGCAAAGGGCGACGGCTGCGGCGATGATGCGTCGGTGTCTGCAGGTGTGCCCTCGGCAGGCTCCACGATCGTTGGCGTGGCCGGGTTTGGCCCATCTCTTGTTTCTCCGATGCTTTCTGGAGTTTTCGCCGCGGATGCATCGTCGGGCAGCTGACGCTGCCCAATATCGATATTCGGTGGTCGGTTGCTCGTCGCTGGTCCATTGTTCTCTGGATTCCGTGAGCTATCTCGCGATGCCTTGCTGTTGTCTCTCTTCTGCCTGGGCGGCTCCTCGAACGTGATCTGCGGCGAGCTGTAGTCTGGAAAGCCGTCCGCCATGGCTACCGATTTACTCGACGATATCGCTGTTTCCTTCCCCTTTCCTTCCTCTCTTCTTTCTTACTCTTACACTCTCACTTTCGTCTTCGTCCGGGCTCTCCGCTAGGCGGCAGCAGCTTCTCCTCCCTCAGCTATCAAATGGCCAAGCTGGTGCTGCATGCGCTGTGCCCTAGGCATGCATTGTCGCCAATTGGGCGCACGAAGGAGAATGATGTGTTTGCGGGTGGGATGTGTGTGGCACCTCGGTATACTGGATGAGATATGTGCTGGAGTATGGGCGGCGGGTGTAATTTAGCTGGTCACAAGTCTCAAATCTCGGACGAAGAAAGCGATGCCATGCACAGGATATGCACACGCACCCACGGCTCTGAGAGACACCGTCCCTTCTTGCAGATCTGTATACGAACGTAGCGGGCGTGGGTGAGCGGGATTGTTTGTCCCTTGTTCGTTCTGGCAAAGTGGTCACAAGTAGTGTACAGCGCTCTTTTTTTGGGGGGGATTTGCGCAAGGCAGAACGGCGCCGCCAACCATAAAATACGATCTGCCGCGACGGCCACGCAAGCGTTCAGAGAAAAGGGCCAGAGACGGGCAGACGAACACGACCACACAGGAAGAGCGCCAGTTTTTTTTTCCGTGCGCAAAGCGATGCCCGGGAAGGACGGCGCGGATGCAGCGGGGTCTTTTGCTTTCTGCTCTTCTCCTCGCTGTTGGTTATTACTCCTGTTTTACGAGAGGACTTTTAGCAGCGGCACTCCCTGTGCAACATCACGGCCGGGGCTTCTCTGCTCTTGGCTCTGCTGGGCCGGGCACAATCAGCATGGGCGACGGCGGGGGCAGAGAGCGATCGGATTACCAGCGGGAGCCAGCGGGAGCCAGCAGCACAAGCAGCAGCAGTAGGAGAAGCAGCGGCAGCCAGCTTTCTGTTCGGCGGGCATAACGACGAGTTACGTTACGTTTCAGTACACGGCGACGTTAAGTTATCGTATTCGTACCGTGGTACCGCGCTGCTGTCCAGGAGCCCGTAACAAAAAATAAAAACAGAGAAAAACTGGCGACGCCCGGCTGACTACTTGCCTTATTAATGAGTGCGAGACGGACGGAACTAAATCATGGCAGTAAATTAGTCCCAAAGCAGCCATCTGCTCAATTGCTTGACCCCCAACCAGCCAACCAACAGCTTCGTCCTCACTTTTTGGTGTCCTGTTGGGTCGACGTTGATTCTCTCTCTCGCAACACTTCCCCGTTCCCATTCCACCACGCACTTGGCCATCGCAGTTGCGGCTACGAGCCCGATAGACAGTGAGAGACAGAGTGTGTGAGAGCGAGCACCAGCTGCAGTCGTTCATTTTCCCACAGCTCAATTGCTGCTGCTGCACACTCTGCACACAGACCGCGTCGCTGCGCTCATCTTTTCCCGCACTCGTCTTCCGCTTCCTCCCTCTCTTTCCCCAACAACAACAATGGCCACTCTGTCCCGGGCATCGTCGCGGATACCGCTCTGGTCCGCCTCAAGGTCCGTTGCTCGTACAGTCATCACAAACAATGCCATTGCGTATGCCGGCCCCCCCGAGCAGTCCATCAAGATGGAGCTCCGCTAACGTCGAAGCTTGTGTTTGCTGACCACAATTGCAGACGGACGCCGGCCCTCGCTGCCTTGGCTAGATATTACGCTTCCAAATGTACGTCGATTGCTTTTTTTCGGCTTATCTTTAGACCTTTGAGTGCAATTTCCAGACTACAGAGAACGATAGGAAGGGATTGCTAACTCTCTCTGTCATACAGCTTACCCGCCTCACACGATCATCTCCATGCCTGCGCTCTCGCCTACCATGTACGCAGTCTGCCCCCTCCGATGCACTCACTTCGACATAGGAAGGTCCATGCCTAGCTAACAGCATGCTTCTTTTGGCAGGACATCCGGTAACATAGGAGCATGGCAGAAAAAGGCTGGCGACTCGCTGTCTCCAGGTGATGTTCTCGTCGAGATCGAGACGGACAAGGCGCAGATGGACTTTGAATTCCAGGAGGAGGGTGTGCTGGCCAAGATCCTTAAGGAGTCTGGCGAGAAGGATGTCGCCGTGGGCAGTGTGAGTTCCTTGCCTTCAATACACACCGTCCACCTCCACGTCTTACGCAAACTATGTTTCTTATGCCGATACCCAGGCATGTTCATGAACAGGGGCGGATAATGCTAACGCAATGTGTCTCTCTAGCCAATTGCTGTTATGGTCGAAGAGGGTGAGGACATCTCCGCCTTCGAGTCTTTCACCGTCGAGGACGCAGGTGGAGACAAGGCTCCGCCCAAGGAGAAACCAAGCGCCGAAGCTACGGAGTCTTCTGACCCTCCAAAGTCTACCCCCAAGAAGTCTGAGTCCGCACCAGCAGCAGCAGAGAGCGAATCGACTGGCGGCCGTCTCGAAACCGCCCTGTCCCGCTTCCGCAAACAACCCAAGGAAGCCGCGAAGTCTGGTGCCGCTCCCGCCGCTACTTCCGCAGCACCAGCCGCAGCGACATACGTGGATGAGGAACCCAGCAGCATGCGCAAGACGATCGCAAAGCGTCTGCAGCAGTCGATGAATGAGAATCCGCACTATTTTGTAACATCGGCAGTATCAGTGACGAAGCTGCTGAAGCTGCGCGCGGCCCTCAACGCCTCTGCTAACGGCGCGTACAAACTCTCCGTGAACGACTTCCTCATCAAGGCCTGCGCTGTTGCTCTGGCCAAAGTCCCCGCCGTGAACTCGGCCTGGATCGAGCAGGGTGGCAAGGCGGTCATCAGAAGGTACACCGTGGCAGATATTTCAGTTGCCGTGGCCACTCCTTCGGGCCTGATGACGCCCATCATCAAGAACGTTGGCGGCATCGGTCTGGCATCCATCTCGGCACAGGTCAAGGATTTAGGCAAGCGGGCTAGGGACGGCAAGCTGAAACCCGATGAGTACCAGGGTGGCACTTTCACGATCTCGAACATGGGCATGAACGACGCCGTTGACCGCTTTACTGCCGTTATCAATCCGCCGCAGGCAGCCATCCTGGCCGTCGGCACGACCAAGAAGGTCGCCATCCCCGCGGAAGGCGAGGAGGGTGGCGTCGAGTGGGACGACCAGATTGTGCTGCAGTGCTCGTTTGACCACAAGGTCATCGATGGAGCGGTCGGCGCCGAGTTCATGAAGGAGCTGAAGAAGGTGGTCGAGAACCCACTGGAGCTGTTGCTGTAAAAGACAAGGTGTCCCAGGCGACCTTCTCTGCGCGGTCCCAGGAGACAACGTTCAAATCATTAAAAAGCTGTAAGCATATCTATCGTATTTTGCATTCTTGTCAAAATAGGAGATCTTGAAGAGCCCGGGGACTTATGGAGTGGGGGGGCGAAGGTGGGAGTGACCGTGTTGGCGCGATCTCACTGTATCTATTTAGAAAGGGTGGAAAGGTATCGGACAGGATATGGCACAAGCGTGTGGATCTAGTAAGCCTCACTTTTTTTTTATTCTTTTGCTGTTGTCGTTGTCTTTTTGTTTCTTTACGCTGAAGGTGTTCTACGCACCTTCAAAAGAAAACCAATGTCCATCATACTCTTCCGCACTTGCAGAACGCTACAACTCTTCATGGTTGTCATGTGATGAATCGCACATTTGTTTGTGTGTGTCCCTAACCCACCTCCACCCCATCCTCTGCTCTGGCTTTTTGTGCTCCAGCGGTGGCGCTGCGAACTCCGACGACGAGAGCGGCAAATGCACACGTGACGACGAGGCGTCCAGCCTGGTGGACAGCGTCAATTTCCGAATCCCAAATCTGCATGTACACACAGCGCCCCCGGCACGCTCCCTGGCGGCTCAATGGCATCGAGCGTGTCCATTTATCGATCCCGCCGTGACTACTTCACAGATCAGACCGCCCGACCAATAATCGACGGGAGGTCACTTACCCGCCACGCGCTCGGACCCGGAGCTCACTCTTTCTGTCTTTTGCTGCCGAACGGGACCCACAACCTTCGTCGCTCAATCTTTTGCGTGTGCCTACCTCGTCGATAAACTTTGATCCCCTTGATCGTAATCGTCGTCGTTTGCCCTTCTCTTATTCTTGCAACTCCTTCGCCTGCTGCATTTCCGCCTTCAACTGTTCCACGGTCATGGCGACTCTGCAACTGCCTACGGACATAGTTGTACATGAGATAGCTAGAGTTTCGTCTCTATTGAAACCGTCTTTTCTTGCCGTGACTGGAATTCGATGAAGAGCAGGTTCTTTGTGGGTGTCAAGGCACGCTATGTTGGTTGCTCTGCGTTTGTTGAAATCTCCAGCAACGGGCTCCCTCTTTTTTTCCTTGGCAAGGAACTTCAAGAGGTCAGAAGCATGTGAATTGTTGCAACTACGTGTTTTCAAAATGAGGATGATTCTTTCACTACACAAAGTCATTTTGCCAAGACGAAGAGTGCTTACTATTGTCCACCGAGAACAGAGTCTTGGCATGGTCGATTATCGAGTATCGCACAAGAATGCGACTTTAGTATTTGCTATTTTCCAGAAAAGCAAAGTGTCGATCGGTTTCAGTACAGCACAGTGATGGCTTTGTCATGGTCCTTTATGCAAAGCCTGCTGTTAATGGCCTAATCCTCACCTGAAACAAAAAGTGAACGATGTTAAGCCAAAGAAATTTGTTTTTGATACAAATCAATTCTATTGCTGTAGCTTCGTGCTATTGCAGCATTTGACTCTTTTGCGTGTACGCAACCCGCTTAGGGAAGTCATATTATATCCACCCATATATGCCCCCTTTTCATTTGCTCCGTGATACCCACGTACTCCGCGACGACCCAGGTGGAATAGAAAGTAAGCCCAGGACTCCATGCCCACATTTCACTCGTAAGAAGTAACACCAAGCAGCTTATGTCCAAGAACCGCGGATGCATCCATGCTGAAATGCCAGCCGATGCGGAGAGAAAAAAAGATCAAGGAAACAAGACCGCACGCTAAGCGCACTAGTGAGTAAGCAGCAATGAGTATCAACTAAAGAAAAAAAAAGCCTCGAGCAAGACATGAAAGAGGTGACAATGCTACGCACAATCGTAGTTTTGGGGGAAAAGGCAGAAATGTTATCTAGGAAAGTCAGAGGAAGGTGCGCGCAGTTTCAACGGTAAGAGCTGTCTCCATGGAAGGCCGTGGACTCAAATCTGGAATACTACTATCCGGAGACCATTGTGACTCAGTGGTGCGAACGCTGTGGGCGTACTCTGAGAAGCCATCGCCGTCATGGCTGGAGAAGCTGCTGCGGCGATCCGACTCGTAGCCGGGGGGCTCAGAGCCTTCGGTCTTGTAACCGGGAAGGCTACTTGTCCGTGATAAAGGTGTAGGGGGGTGTTCGTCGGAGTCATGTACCGGGTACATCCGTGAGGTGGCGGGTGGAATCGTGATAGGAGCAGGAATAGGACGGGGATAAAATGTGTGCGGCGAGGAGGCTGAAGCAGAATAGAGTGGAAGAACGCTTCTTCCTTCCTCAGCGCGCACAAGGTCATCGACGGCATCGCGAGTCTGACGTAGCTGCCTAATCTCCTCTCTTATTCGCAATTGCTGTATCTCATCCTGCATTGCACCTTCTAATATATGCTCCTGCTGGAGGATTAGGGCGCGCTTCTCCTCGTAGTCGCCCTGCCGGTAGCCTGGCTTGCCCCTCTTCCGACCAGTCCACCAGTCTCGCCACGACTGCTTTCTCGCAGCGCACTTGTATAGACGCTCGGTTGCTCGGCGTTCGCGTTCGGCTGCTCTTTCCGCACGTTTCCGGTCAGACATGCAGCATCGTCGAAGTAGGCTGAAGAGGAATGCGAGACCGGTAACGACAGCAAGAAACTTAAGGACAACAATAAAGATGGAAGGGTCTGTCGCATCTCGCCATTTAGGCTCGCCTGTTGAAGGTTGGGTGTAGTTCTGGGCTGGTGACTTCTCCCTCGGTGCTGTCAAGGGTCCTCGATATGGAGGGGGACGTTCTGACGGGCGACCTTTGTGAACGTGACATTGCTCAGGTGCCGCTACTGCCACCGCCTCTGAAGCCAACATGGTCGGCGCCTGTCCGCCTGCGGAGGCGTGCCAACTAGCGTATGGCTGATGTGAAGAGTGGAATCGGATGTACGCGGCGTGGGCAGCGTTGTGCACGCGGCGACCAATCGCCTTCACTACGCAAAGAAATGACTCGCAGCTTTCAATCTCCTGCTTGAGCCCCTTTGTAGCTTTCGGAAACCGCAAATTGATGAGATCCTTCTTCTCTTGGATGAGGCGGACAAGTTCGTTCGCTTTGTCCTCGAGCTCCTGGAGTTCCCTTAGTTGTTCTTTGAGCGACAATGATTCAGAGTCGTCCAGGGGGCTGGCGTCTTCAGGAATCGACGCAGGAAGGCGCACGCTGCTAGGAGGATCACGCCAAGTCTCAGAGTCAGGTAAGTCACGAGCGCTGTATTCGGGCGCCAAAGAGAGACGAAGTAATTCAGGGAAAGGATGTTGCTTGAACGAGAGTGTGAAACCAGCGAGGGACTGCACCTGCTCCTGGTCGACCTTTTGGATAGTGAGAGTAAGTAGTTGGCTTTTCGCGACGTCGTCGTCCTCGTCCTGACCGACACCGTGAAGACAGTCGGAAGTGACGAGAACGCTCAATGCATGTCCAGACGAGTTGAGGGATGCAGAGGCTTGACCGTGGATGCCGGTAGATTCCCAATTCTGGAGTAAGGGGATGCCGTTAAGTGAAACGTTATTATATCCACAAGGTTGCTCTGACGGGAATGCTTCGAGGTTGAATAACTGGCGGGATCAGCATCCAGGCACCGGCTTAAGGCTGGATGGGGCCTTTTGCGGAGTCGAAGAAGGGAAACTTACGAAGGACTGGTTTAGGAGTCCTGATGGACCGCCAATACAATTGAGGCAAGGAACAAAAAAGGATGCCTGGGCGCTATTCTGCTCTGAACGTAGACGATGCACGGTCAGCTGGGTGGGCTTGATGGCGCCAAACTCACATCTGGCAGCATCCAGATGCAGATGGTGGAGTGATCATACCTATTCGCAGTGCCTTGATGGCGTCCTCGAGGGGGTGAGAGGAAGAGGCCGTGGGAAGTGACCGCGAGACGTGTGAAACAGCTGACACAAGAAAGACTGGGAGCAGGACCCAGTAATAGAACAGAAAGTAATGCATGGGAACGCGCTCTCAGACAAAGGAACAAACGCCTCTCGAAGGTTTCCTCTCCCACGAGAGAAGAGCGGCAGACGGCTCAATGCGTCTTCATCACCCAGCGGAGAGCGAGTTGGAAGCTGGAGAAGAGAGTGAAAGCCTGAGGAAACGAAGATCACGAGAAGAGGATGGGGAAAGCAAGAGGACACGCGCGAGACACGAGCGGGAGCAAGGACGGGGCCGAGGGGGGTGACGACTGACGACGTCTGATCTTTGACCGGACCAACGCGCTGCTGGGAAAAACGGCTGCCTAACCAGCCCCGCGAAGAGGGCGGTGCTGCAGTCTGTGCAGGGCCCTAACACGATTGGCTTGACCCGCCGCGAGTCAGCGCAGCAGCCGCCCCTAGGGAGGGGGGGCCAAGCACTCCAGCAGGGCACCCCCCCCCCCATCTCCAATAATGCCACGCAGCGTCCAAGCTTTGAAACTCCCGTTTTTTTGATACACCAAAATAACCCGCAGCATCATCGACCAGGAGCTAGGCAGAATCGACGGCTCACCAAAAAAAAAACAAAAAAAAATTAATTCAGTTTCGGACACCATGGTCAGTCTCGTTTCCGTCCCCTCGCACCCCCCTCCTTCCGTGCGCATCGGATCGATTCTGAGGCTTTTTGCTGGACGAGCGCTAACTCGGCCTTCGGACGACAGCTGCCGCTGGGCCTTCTCAATGCCGCCGTCGGCCATCCGATGCTGGTCGAACTGAAGGATGGCGACACGCTGAACGGGCACCTGCTGTCGTGCGACACGTGGATGAACCTCGTCATGAAGGAGGTGATCCAGACGAGCGCGGAGGGCGACAAGTTCTTCAGGCTGGAAGAGGCCTACGTGCGAGGGAACAATGTACGCGCCGATTTGCGGCCGTCCCGCTCTTGACTGATGCTCGTGCCGTGGCTAATCGTGCGGGCTAGATCAAGTACATCCGGGTCTCGGACGACATCGTCGATGCGTTGAAGGAGCAGCAGCAGAAGGAGCAGGCAAGCCGCGCCCAGCAGCAGGGACGCGGTGACCACCAGCGTGGAGGCTTCGGCGGTCGCGGCGACAGAGGCGGCAGAGGAAGAGGTGGCAGGGGTGTTCGTGGCGGCAGAGCTCGCGGCTCATAATCCACCGGCTCTGCAGGTTAAAGGGCTTTTCCCGCGACGATGACACGGCTACGCTCTCAGGACAGCGCAAAGCCACGGCCCCAAGGGCTCGAGACGTGCTAGCCGGCGTGAATTCACGACGTCCACACGATTGGATTGGGGAGCACGCGCTCGGGGTTTGCAGACGCACGACAGCGTGTGGCGAGAAAACAAGAAAAAAGACAGGAAGACGAAGAGAAGGAGAATAATTTCTTCCATTTGGTTATTATCTCCAATGTCTGGTGATCTACCTGTATCATATACCCCGAATTGCACATCCAGACACCGTCGCTTCCGTGATCCTCCAGCCGGTATGCATTCTGGAAAGTCCCTGACTGCACCTAACGAAAGACCAAAACAACGACAGCAAAACAACAAGAAGAGTAGGCCGTGACTGCTGTCTGAAGAGTGTGGAATTAAACCCCTAACTCGCGTACATATATATCCAATTCGTGTGGCACACGAACGCGCCAACTAGTAGAAAGAAAGGTGCAAAATAGTAACAAGTCGGTCTGATTGCTTTAAGATGTGGTAAAGTTGGGCTGAGAGGTGGTCCGTTAGGTGTAGCTTCTCATGGCATCGAGATATCCGGTGCCACCCTTGAGATCGTTGTTGAAGCTCTCGGCGACGTCGAGCACGCGTTTGACATGTGACATGGCCATTCCAGTCTTCTCGTGTAGAGCAAGTGCTTGGGCGATTCGGACCAGGTTCTTGATCTGGGTTCTGTGTTAGTACATTCTCACCTGACCAAGATGAATTGACAGAAGCCGGACTTACCTGTCGACCATTGAGTTTCTTTCTCGCGAGGTAGTCCAGATCGTCATTCTTAAACGGCATGACCTGTAAGCCCTCCTTAATCCGCACCTTCTCGATGAATTCCTTCCACACTGTCCTGCTGGCTTGGAAGCTGAGCTCTTCGTACTTCAGGGCGACATGGATTCTGCTCTGGAACGCCTCGTCAAAGGTCTCCACACGATTCGTTGTCAGGAACAGGATGCCCTGGAAGTACTCGAGCAGACGGAGGAAGATCGAAACCAAGGCGTTACGGTGCACGTCCTGTGTTTGGCGCTTCTCCAAGAAAACGTCCGCTTCATCGAGGAGAAGCACGGCGCCCCAGGAATGAGCGATGTCCATGATCTGTTGGAGCATCGATTCAAGGCGGCTGCTGTCCATAGCGAGTTCGCCCATGGAAACCATGTAGAGCGGTGCACGCAGATCCTCTGCAATCCCCTCTGCGGTAAGAGTTTTGCCTACTCCAGGTGGACCATGCAGGACAAAGACGAGACCTTTACCCTTGCCCTGTACCACGTCATCGATAGTCTTGCTGCCATGAAACTTGTGCGCGCTGACCAAGGCCTTGACAACCTGCTTCTTCTCTTCTTGCAAGACAAGGGAGCTATATGCCTCGTCATTCCATTCGATATCTGTGACCGACGAGAGACTAAATTCAAGCCAGGTCTTCTCCTGGAACGCGAAGCCCAGAACAACAGGTGAAGCAATCAGCAGCTCTTCCTCCGTGAAGCTGCGAGCTTCAGGATCGCTGTCGCTGGCAATCTTGTCCAAGTTCTCCTGATGCATTTCTTGACCGTCATCATCAACCGGAACGTTGACAAAGTGGTACTTGCCCTTGCCATCCTTAATGATCTTGAGCTTCGTCCTCTCTCTGCTCTCATCGCCGCTGCGATCTCTCCCATGCCTTTTGCCGATTTGCTGCACAATTTCATCACCAGACTCTTCCCCACTACCGCAGCCGCAACAGCTACCTCCATCAGAGCCGTCATCCTCCTCATCTTCATCATCTTTAGGTTTTATCAACGAGATCGGATAATTCGCGTTGATGCGTCGAAAGGTGGCAGGATCAATCATGATACGGCCGTTGATATTGAACTTTGCGACGCCCTTTCGCTTCTTCTGGAAAGCAAGGCCTTTGAAGTTTCGGTAATTCTGGCCGGTCATGGTGACGAAGCGTTTGCCGCGTTCAATAAGCTGCTTCTTGATTGATTCCGGATCCTTGTGATACTTGAGGGGGTAGACGGACAAGCTGGTAATCTTGCGCGAACCCTTGAATGCTTCTACTGTCGCTTCAAAATCACCCAGACCGTAGTTCTTGCCATCGTACTCTAGATAGCGGCCTTCGATGCTGTACCAATCACCCTTGATGAATGAGCTCTCTTTTATCGCACGGTCAACCTTGAAGCATCGAGGATTATCATGATCGCCGTAAGTACTGGTGTAAGCGAGGGTATTCGGTTTAAACAACGCCCATAGAAGGTCAAAGGTGATATTACCCGCTTCAAGCAGTGGATAGAGAGTCTTCTTGGTTTCTTCATAATCCTCGTCTAGATATTTGACCAACAGCCTGCAGTGGGTGACCATGAGCTTGAGGTTTTTCCGAGCTTTCTTCCGCTTCTCCTTTTTCAGTCGGGATCGAAGAGTCTTCTTGTAATGTGTGCGTAGTTCTTCGAGGAAATTGAAAAGCATGTTCGGATCGATGCTTGGCTGCTCAGCCTCCAGAGTCTCGCCCTGCACATCTTTCATGACTTCCATCAAGACTTCTTTGAGCTGCTTGGATTTGACATCCACGGTCGTACGGGTGTAATGACCGTCCCAATCATGCAGTCGCTTGACTAAGAATGCGTACTCGTCATACTCGTCAGTATTTTCTTCAACCTCCTCTGTCGTCTTCCAACAATGGATGTTGTTGTCCCAAACATGATTTACACGCTTGAATTCTGAGATCGTGCCCTTTTTGGCCTTTTTCTTTTTGTCTTTCTTGTGTTTTCGTGATCGTCGCGATCTTGTCGGAGGGACTGGAGCGGAGAGACTCGTGGATGTTCTGCGGATCATATGATCTAGTCCAAGATGAGTCGCCAGGTTTACCAGAGTCTGCTCTGATGTGACCGCGGAAACGTCTGGGCTCGCTTCGGCATCCTCAACGGGAGCCTCTGACTCTGCGTCGGACTCTGTTATCGACGAGCTGCTCTTTGATCTCCGTGACTTCTTCCTCCTCCGCCTGCGCCGTGTCTCCTCTTCTGAGGACTCAGAGCTAGACGATTCTGTATCCGAGCTCTCGCTTCCTGAGCTGACCCTGATCTTCTTGCTAGACTTGGACGACTTTTTCAGCTTCATCTTGCGGCTCGACTTTTTTCGTCTACTTCTCCGGTCGTCATCTGAGCTCTCGTCATCGCTGGACTCTGATTCCGACGAAACTGTATCAGAATCGTCATCATCGTTCGAGGATTCATCCGAGCTGTCTGCCTTTGCCTTTGATTTCTTCCCTGGCCCTTTGGTTTTTAGCTTGCGCTTCCGAAGGCACTTGCCTTTACTTTTCGACTCAGACGCGCCAGAAGTCTCCGCTGCCGTTCCCTCACTCCCCATGGTGGCCGTGTCAGGAGTATGCTGCGCAAGCTCTACTTCTTGCTTCTGTTCTCCGCGAGACTGCTCGATTTCTTCTCTGTCCATGTCTGCGAAACTGCACTTCTACGGATTGAAGTTACGAACGAAAAGTTGGAATAGAGAATAGGCTTCTGTGTTGTAGCACAAAAGGGCGCGGGACGCTTTGGGTGTGGCGATCGAGGCTTGTTCCCAAGCGTTCGCCTCGCACTTTGCTTTTCCTTGGTCCCGAAGTGCAGTGACTCAAAGCCGAACGTGTATCTAAAGAACGTCACATCAATGGCTCGGAACTTCGAGCCGGTGTGGCCGAGGAGGTAAGCTGTTCCTGGTAACAGGCGGGCAACCACTGCCGGGAAGCTCCTGGCGACGGAGACGGCGAGCAGGCAGGTTTGACGATCGTCAAAGTGGTCGAGGATGACGGGGCGTTTAAATGCACAAGGCAAGCTCACGTCCGCAGGCAGACACGCCGTTCCTCAGCTTACTAGCGCCCCGGCAACTGCAAGCTGAAGAGACGTGGGACAACCGCCTCATAGTCTCATACGCAGACAAGTCTAGTGGTGGCCGAGAGGCTGCGGAGACCAGATTAGGCAAGCGTCACTGGGGTGGAGGCCAGCTTCCCCAGTCGCCGCTGCCTTGCGCAAGCTGGCTCGAACCGCCCCAATCGCAAACGCCGAACCTCAGGGAGCCTTCAATACTTCTTCCACTTCATGTGCTCACCACGGCCGCCCTTGCGCAGCTTAGAAAGGTCCGGTGTCTCCTGTGCGAACATGTGGCTGACATTCCGGTCAGTGAACACCTGTCACGGATCGTAGTTCATGCGGTCTTCGTTGGCTCTGCACCGCCATTGGCTGTTCAACCGTCCAGTCTGTCTTAGGCCCTTCCAAGGCAGAAGGGTCAGCACGCTCGTCCGCCACCAAGGTCGCCAGCACGTCGGAGACCACGCTCGCATGCTAAGCGGTCACGCCGCGCACTGTCGTCTGTCGGCAAGCGCGCGTCATGCTGCAATCGTCTGTATTCCAGTCAAGCGCAACAGATTCAGATTTGAGATGCACCTCGTCTTGCAAAATCTAGGGACCACCGACTGCAATTGACACTGCCTCACTTGTCTTCGTCGTCACAGTTGTATAAGATGAATCTCCAGTAGCACGAACTCCTCCGGATCGGGCTTCCGAATGCTCCGGCTGGTGTACCTGCATGCAGAATGCAGCCTCTATCACCATGCGATGTGGCATTGTGCATGTGGACGATCAACGAGACAGTGAAAATACTTCGGAGCCTAGCATCGGCTTCGTTGAAATCGATTGATTTGCCTTTTGAAAAGAATCGAACTTCGTGGTTGAAAATAGCGTTGCACAAGCAATGACAAGCACTATCTATTTCATGCGAGAACGCTGCATCTGGTGTTGAACGGTCATCTAATCGTGGAAGCTCAACGCCATCCCAGATGAAAGAAAATATCCGACTCTTTATGCATATTCCATCACAGCATCCCCAGTTCCTTTAACCTCTTCTGGCGCCTTTCGACATCTCCCATCTCCCATAGAATTTCGTCGTTGAACTGCTCCCACCCGTCGAGGTAGACGTGGTGTCCAGCTTTCTTGATTATCACGACCTTAGCATCGCCCTGATCTCTTTTCCTCTCGATGTCAGATTTGCCTTGCAAGATTCTCTCCTTTTCATCCTTTATCTTTTGCTCGGCAGCATAGCCGCCGGCGACGTCCATCCAGTCATGCTCGCCATACATCAACACAACCGGAAGGCCATTCTCCCTTGGCCTGTCTGAGTTGGCATCCGCGTCAGGAATGGGTCCACTGTGCGGTTGGAGATACTGTCGGCCAACGCCATGAATGCGCCGAATGAGAGGGCTGCGAGCAAACGCGCCAGGTGCAAGAATGTACGCAAGCGCGTACTCTCCACTGCCGCGTTGCCGGAATAGAGAATACGAATAATCGTGTAGCGCTTGCTGTTCCTCGGGTGGCATTTGCGAAAATCTCCTGCTGGTCCAGCCGGACACCAGGCGCGGTCCAAGTGGGCCAGTCCACCGAATGAGGCTGAAAGGAGAGACGTTCGCATCCCAAAGGTAGGTTAACCACTTCGGCAAGGGCCTGCGCGGCGCGCTAGGTTTCGCTTGCGGTGCGCCATTGACAGACGTTGCTTGGTCTTGCAAAACCTCGTTTTGAACTGCAGAATCACTCGGCTCGGGCATATCTGCATTAACAGCATAAGGATCCTCTGGGATGCCTACTGGAGAGGCCAGGATGAGCTTGTTCAGGCGGCCTGGGTACTTGAGTGCGTAGGCCGTAGCCATGTATCCCCCCAGACTGTGGCCCAGCAAAGTAAACTTTTCAAGTTTTCTTTCCTTTCTCCACTCTTCTAGAGCGTCGATGAACCAATTCTCGGCCTCTGTGATCTTCCCTTCTTTGTCTTTCGCGTGGATTTTGAAGGGTGGTCGCGAGCTTCGACCCATACCTAGCATATCAAGCGCGTAGACTTTCCAGCCTTGTCTTCGAGACAGACCCTCAAAATTCTTGTAGAAAAAGCCAAGGCCAGCGCCGTAACCGTGGAGCATAACAAGGTTATTTTCAACCTCTTCCCCAATGCGCTCAACAGAGAACTCGTTCAACGCCCTATCTTTCCCGGACAATTTCACGAGCCTCGAGTGCCATCGTCGCGGGCCATACGGATCAGTTATCGAGGTTGAAGTCACTGGACGCGCCTGACGATCCTCTTCATCAGCCAGGTCGGTGGTTGACGGCGAAGCGGTGGCCGGCGCCGAACCAGTTTGCGTGTGTGTAGGCGGTTGTTGAAGATAGGGCACGAAACTCAGAACCTTGTGCTCGGTCACTGCTGGTGATAAACCAGCCCACCATTGCGAAAAGCCTTCTTTATAGCCTAGAGGAAAGTATGTCGGTCTGGTCCGTTCGTTCTTCCGGGCCAGATCCTCCGCGCTAGCATTTGCAGAGGCCGACATTCTGACCCTGACCTTCTCGGGTATCCCAGCGACTGGAGGCCCCGGGTAGTGGGTTGAGGAAGACGCTGTTGAAGCCGTACTATAATCGTATCGGGTGTTCGTTCGACGCGGTCTTTGACTTGAGACACACAGCGCAAAGGGGAATCTAAGAAGTGTTGAACTTTCGGTAAGGCTAATCGGAACGGTCGCCACTTTCGAAGATGGAGCACAGAGAGCCAGCGACTGCTTTGAAGAGAAAGATCATAGAATCGTGGCGAAACAAGGTGTGTATAAATATTTGTCCGAAATTTGAATCAAATGGGAGCCTGGGGGGAAAGGAACTGGGCGGCCGCGAGAGTGAATACGTCGTCCTGGAGTTAAATGGACATTGCGAGATGTTCCCGTTCCTGAAGCCAATCAGGGCGACGCCGCAGCGCTCCGATCGGGAACATGGACGAATCTCGGTCCGCTGTCAAGCCACATGTTCCCCTGCTGAATCCCCAGCTCTGGCGTCGGCGTGCGCTTCGTTGGCTCCCACACTGGATTGGGTAGAACAACCTCGCGCGGGCCTGACGAGCTTGCGCTCACCGCATCCGACCACGCATTCACACGCCCACACCGCAGGTCTCCAGCGCGAAATTTACAAAGAGATCAAAGCATGCCCGCTGCTCGCGTCTTGCCTCCGAGTACTGTGCGATGAGACTTCGCCATATTTCCAAGAAGGCGCGCAACACAGAATGTCGGTCCACACCGTAGACCAGCTGGTCAAGGGCGCTCCGTCTCCGAACACAAGCATCGACCTAGTCAAGAAGGAAGGTGGAGGTGACTCTGCGCGAGCCTCACCCCAGCCTGCGGACCCGACTGCTCTGCTTCCGTCGTCTCCGCCGCAGATCTACCTGAACCTGCTCATACTGGAAGCCTCACTTCGGCAGCAGTATCTCACACTACGCGCGAGGAAGCGACAGCACACCTTGGTTGTTGTCGGGCTTGTCCTCTGGATAGCTGGCTGCTTCTATCTACAGTTCTTGCGGCCCAGGGAAGATGGGAGTGGAATCGGCGGCTCGGTGTACTGGCTCGTGGACATGGCAGAGAAAGTGGCGTTGATAGGCGGCTGTGTCATGGCGGTCCTGTTCTGGGCTACCGGACAGTGGGAGAGGGGCATGCGGTGGCCGCGCAAGTGGCTAGGAACAACAAACCGAGGGCTGCGGACCATGAACTGCAAGATCGTGATCATCAAAGGGCCATGGTGGAAGGAGCTGCTTTCGCATCTGTCCTTTCTGCTACCCATGCAGCCGAGCACCCCAGGCTCAAGCTACCACTACGTCGAATGTTCACCACACGATAAGCGTTCTGCACAGTCAGGCCGACGATCGCAGGACTGGACAGAAGAAGATGTCGCCGAAGGCGGAGACTATGTCAAGCTTCTGCTCTTACCGAAACAGTTCACGCCAGACTTCCGCGAGAACTGGGAGATTTATCGTGCAGAATACTGGGAGCAGGAGAATCAGCGAAGAAAGGAGATACGAAACCGTATCCGAGCCCGCAACCGGGAGATCGCGAAGCAGCAAGGTGGATGGTTGTGGTGGACTGGCTGGAGGGGATGGTCGAATATGTGGGGAGGGGGGCCAAAGCCGGGGCCGTCGCAGAGGGAGATGACACCGCCTCACCATGTCCATAGTCTTGTACACCAAGCAAGTCTTAAAGACAAACACCGGCGACGGTCAAGTGCGGTTAAGGACAGAGATGCAAGTCACTCCCGCAGCAGCTCGCGCAGTAGTGTTATGACCAACCCCGACACCGAGCTAAGAGAACGGCGTTGGAGCACTGCATCCACAGGCAGCACAGGCGAACGAAGGAGAAGGAGCAAACTTATCGAAGGCGCAGATGGCCTGAACAGTGCAAGGACAAGTGCAAGACCGGCGAGACTAACACCTGCATCGTCGAGGCCGTCCTCAGGATCGCGTCCAGGGACGCCTAACCATGATCTCAATAAACGGGCCAGTACACTGAGCACAAGCAGCACAATTAGTGACGTGAGCACGGATGCTCCATCGACCGGAACGGTACCCGATCCTGCTATTAAAGCTGAACCTGCTGATTGATAGCGAAATTGAAGACAGATTAAAATCAATCCGAGTTCGTATTCCTTCATCTCTACGCGTTTGCTCTGTTGAGCGGCGAACCAAACCTTGGCTACTCTCTTGCATTACCTACCTTCCAGATGAGTTCATGCCGTTCAAGAAAAATGATAAGTCCAAATGCAAGGGATCTTTAATGTCTTCCAAAGCTCCCGAGAACGGCTCACTCTCATTAACCCCAACTCCAAGGATGATTTGAGTAGCGCGAACCAACGCAGTAGATCAATATTGATCCCGCAACCATAGCTTGAAAGGTATTTGTTCACACTCAATATGCTGTTTCAACTTCATGATATCAATTCAGGTTTACTATAGCCGGTACTCCATGATCGTGGTGCACAGATGTGTAAGCTGTTAGTCCACGGGAATATACTATGGCCAGTCGCCTCCGTCAATTATTGCTGGCTTTTCCATTTCCAGCAGCGGGCGCAGCACGTAAAGTTGCCATTAATAACAGTAAACTACCTGCACGGGAGTGCTCAAGGTTGGAGGTGGGTACATGAAAGTCTTACCTGGTAGATGGAATCTTTCGCTTGACGAATTACACAGTAAAGATTGGCGTCAGCCAGTTCAGTCGAAGAGAACGAATCCTGGCGACTTTAATCAAGTCTACTTTCCATTACCATCCTTCTTAGCGAAAGGATCGTGAGACCACGCACGTGAGACCTGATCCAGGCTCTCAGCCACAAGTCATTCTTGACGTCCTACAAGCTCGCCGCACTCTTTAAATTTTTCCGATAGCAACAATTTTATTGGTACTAACGACCACGAATTTACCATGAATAACTGCACAGGATCATAGCCAAAGTCATAGGATTCTCAGTTCGTGAGACTTGTGAGGCGTCAAGAAAAACTGCGGAAATGGCCTGAGGCGATACATTAGTTCAGTGACGATGTCTTAATTTGGATTAGATCTGCATGCCTCAGCTGTACTCAGAAGACGGTTTGCATGGGATCGCTTCAACTCATAGTCTTAGCAATATGAACATCATGTTCGACGCAGGAGTTTGCTATGCCCTGAGAATGGACGGACGATCGCTCGTATCCCGCGATATAGGACGCTCATTGGTGAGACATTTCTTCTCAAGACAGTAACAGATTGAAACGATTCATGGCTCATTGAAATTTTCAGCAATGACTCGTAAGATCAAGATTGTGCAGATCGTAGATGTGACAAGTATGCACAGGTTGCAGCCAGTCTTGTCGTTATCATGTCATTGCGTAATAGAGCAAGATATCAGTATTGCTGACACTACCTTAGGAAGACTTGAAGCAGCCTTTCGCGAGAAACACAAATACATTCTTCATGTGAGCGCAAGCGGACACTTTTCAGCCATGAAAAGGGAGTCTGCTCACTTTTGAGGAATACAGGCGCTCACTTTAACCTGGAAAACGGGTCTGTCAATGCGAGAGCACGTTTTTCCTTTCGAAAAATTAAGATGAGCGGACTACAGCTGCATAGATTCTGCACGCGCGTCTCTGGGCGCCTCTTTGAGCCACGAAAGTTACGAAATAGCGTATTATGCCTTAGCCAATCTGGTAAATTGCGCAAAAATGCCTCGTCCTTTGAGACCGATCGCATGTGCATAGACCTCTTGTGCAAAGATCTTCGACGATAAGCTTCTGAATGGTGTCGCTCATTGGCTTTTCTGTGTTGATCTAAGTGCCATGTGAAATCCCCTGGCTGCGATGTAGCAATATACGAGGTCTCGTTGAGCATGTATGCTTAATATGCATATGAGACGAGGAGCCTAATGATGGAAAACATTGTCGTGACCATGAAGATTCGTAAGACTCATGAGAATCGGTACCCTTCAAAGTACACTGTAACGTTGAGTGGAAAAAAGCGGTAAAAGCCTCCAAGCCGGATACCGCCGATTTCTGAATTATCGTGGCTTGATAAACCGTTTTCTTTGCAGCGCCACATCAGCTGTTGGTGCTACACGTGAATATCCAGAACATACACCGCCAACTAAACGCAGGGGATGATGCCCACGGTCTAGAATTAGTTTCTGTTAAAAACATCATTTTAGGTACCGCGCGTGTCGAACAAGACAACAGATTCAGAGTGCCATGCAAGTCCAACAGGCTGCAAAACAGAGTGGGTCAGGTCTAAGAACAAAGTTGTGCGCCGTGCGCCGCCGTCGATCGGTGCTAATTGTCGACCGCACCTCATCAACATCATCCCCGTGTCGCCATTTACATTCTCCACATGGAATGCCTATTCCGTAAAACAAGAGCCAACGCGTCCCAAACGTGGCATGGATAGAGCTTTTACCGAAGCGCCGCACAAAACCTGTGCGCACGGAGAATACGAGTGTAGAGTAGATCGTCAGACACGGCGTCTGTAAAGCAAAAAGCGTTGCGGCGAGGGGTAACTCTTGCTTGGACCCAAAAGTATCTTCAGGCCGGCTTGCGATAGCTTGACATGCAAAGGACTAGATCCAACATCTGCAAGACCGTTGTTGGATCAAGGATGTCGCCTCAAGCGAAGAGCGTAACCAGGCTTGGACGACGGCTGTGCAACACAACTGCAATCCTTTTGGTTAAGGTCCCGGTCTCCCGTCCCAGAATGTTGCTCTCCGCACGTAAACATTGGTGATATTTATTGCGGTCTTGCGGAGAGGCTTCAACGGCAAAGGAGGTGTGGTGTATTGCAACAACAAGATGCAGGACCGGGCCGATACGCCGCACGCTGCAGTTCGAAGCTACGCCGCTTCCGCAGCCGTCTGCTCCTTCCAGATATCGCGTCAAGCCGTCTTTCCTGATTCACCGCCGAGCGCTTCGCTTATTCAATGCATGCGTGAGCAGTTGCGGAAGGCGCAGAGTGTCCAAAGCCTAGTGACTGCTGGCGCTTAACACGAGCATTTCCAAACCGGGCATGACATCCATACCAATCACAACTTCGATCAGATCTCAGTTGCGCATGGCCTTGCGCTTGATCTAGACAGGAAGATTTATATGCCACCTCGCGATCCGCTCTGCTCCATCTCCCTTGCTTTGCCTCCTTCAATCGCACTTTGACGCTTGGTCCGCTTGATCGTCCCCTTGCCCCTGCGCTGCTGCTTGAATCCTATAGTCACGGAGGCCGTTTTGTTTTGCTTTGGCCTTTGACTATATAAACAGGCTTTCGAACCAAAGGAAGAGCTTCGACGTCTCGAATCCGACGACCTTTGTAGCAAGGTCGAATCCTCCAGGACGGACCTTTCAAGGAGCCTCTATTCGAAAAGAAGCTGAATCCATCTTTAAAGAGTGAAGTCCCGAAGTCTATTCTTTCTTAGAAACTAAACACCTTCGCTCATGTCGCTCGTGAAGGACGCCTCGGCACTAGCAGAGATGTCAGCAATATCCGTACCACCGGACGCACCACTGATGCAACAAACAGCAGAAGCCCAATCATTTACCCCAGTAAATGTCTATGGAAACTATGAATGTTCAAAAGAGGATCACAGGAAAGACCCCTTAGGGCTTGCAAGAGAGCCAACTCCGCCCCAAACCCGAGCCGCCTCGCCGGCAAGGGTACCGACAACACGACCGCACGCGGAGTTTGTTCAAGCTCTCTTTCGACGGCTGAATTCTTTAAGAAATGGGACTGATGTAATCCTTGATGGCAAGTCTCTGGATATTCCAAGTGTAGTTGCTGTGGCAAAGTAAGTCTATGGTTTAAAATGTCAAGCGCAAGCTAACATTGACACAGCTACAACGCGAAGCCACGTTTAGATGACAGGGGAGGCGTTATTGAATGTATAAATGCCAGTGTTGATCTTCTTGCTACGCGTCTTCGCGAGGGGGAAATGGTCTACGGTAAGTACGACTCGTCTGAGCGCGACTTGAGCGAGAACGAGAACGATGCTGCGGAGAATGACCTGACACCCGTAGGTGTTAACACCGGCTTTGGCGGCAGCGCCGATGTGCGTACCAATAAATTGAAATCATTGCAGAAGGGCCTAGTGCAGCATCAAAACTCTGCCATATTGACATCGCATGATGTAATGGAAATCGCCAGTTTCCAGGGTGCAGCTAGCGATGTCAACAGCAATGCAATGCCAACTTCTTGGGTACGAGGCCTCATGCTTTCCCGTTGCAATTCGATTATCCGAGGACACTCAGCTGTGTCAGTGCCTGTCGTTCAGGCTATCATCACGTTCCTTGAACATGAGATCACACCAATTATTCCGAAAAGAGGGAGCATATCAGCCAGGTAAGGCATCAAATTTGGCATTGACCGACGTTGACTAATTCCAAATGCAGTGGAGATTTGATTCCGTTATCGTATCTGGCGGGCGCTCTCCAGGGAAATCCAGACATCTTCGTACAGATCAAGACGAGCGAATGCAAATACCAGGTTGTTTCATCTAACGAAGCCCTCCGGATGATCAACATGACTCCAATCGTTCTGGGAGCTAAAGAGGGCCTGGGCTTACTCAATGGAACCGCCGCCTCTGCTAGCGTGGCGTCGTTAGCTCTATACGAGTGTAATTACCTTGCTTTGCTGTCACAGATCATCACAGGCATGGGCTGTGAAGCAATGAGGGGAACCGCAGAGTCTTTCCACCCATTCATTGCCAGCACGAGACCCCACAGAGGTCAAATCGAGGCGGCAGCCAACATTCTCGGATTCTTATCTGGTTCGCGCCTAGCTCAAGGCGTGAATGACACTAAGAAAGTAGAAGTAGAGGGTCTAGCACAGGAGTAAGTAGCTGGAGTTTGTTTTGCTTTGCCATCCGGACAACTTGCTAACATGGACTAGTCGATATACCTTCCGAACAGCATCTCAGTGGATCGGTCCGCAGCTTGAGGATCTTATGCTTGCAAATGAGCAGGTGGCCATCGAGTTGAATTCGACTACCGATAATCCTCTGGTTGACATCAACAGCAACCATATTCGTCATGGCGGCAACTTCCAGGCCGCTTCTATTACTTCCGCGATGGAGAAAGCGAGACTTGCGTTGAGTATGATTGCGAAGTTACTCTTTGCACAGACAACAGAGATTATCAATCCTGCAATGAACCGGGGTCTTCCACCTAATTTATGTGCCGATGATCCAAGCGTCAGCTTCATGGCGAAGGGCATCGACATTACAATGGCCGCGTACTACTCAGAAATTGCCTTTCTGTCCAATCCGGTATCAACGCATGTGCAGAGTGCTGAGATGCACAACCAAGCAGTCAACTCACTGGCCCTCGTATCTGCACGATACACATTGGATGTTGTTGATATTTTGAGTCAGATGTGTGCCGCATATCTGGTCATGGTCTGCCAGGCTCTAGATTTGCGCGTATTGCAAGAGCGCTTTCTTTCCACTGCTCGCACGAAATTTGCGGAAATGACGAAAGGGATCGTCGACGAACTTAGTGGAAATGAGGCTGAGTCGTCCAAGATCAGCACCGTAGTCTGGAATTGTCTCGCCAAGGAGTGGGATGCCACAACGACTATCGACCTGACGGAGCGTGCACGGAAGACGGCTGAAACAGCTTCGGCTGCGCTCGTACGAGAACTAAGGGGTTTGTCCGCATTAACGTGCTCCGTGACAGAGTTCTTTGAGGCTATAGAGACATGGACGAACAGGCTTTCCGACACGCTCCAATCATTGTATGAGTCGAGCCGTCAGGAGATGTTCCAGCGTCACGTTGAGATCACACCAACTTATCTTGGCCAAGGTTCGGGTGAACTTTACAGGTTCGTTCGCGGCGAGCTTGATATTCCTTTCCATCGTGGTTTAGTGGACTGTCCAACTTTCGTTCAGCCAGAAGAGCAGACGCCACAGTTGACGACTCGGCCGAAGAAGACAATTGGAAGCCATATTTCCAAAGTGTATGAAGCTATTACGAGTGGGACTATCCACGCATCAGTCATGGCTGCAGTGGAGGCGAATTAAATTTTGATGAGGATCATGCGCACTTGCACTGAGGATAAGCACGAGGCGGGAAATGTACGAGAAGATCAGAGGCGCTGCCAGTGCTCATTGCTTGACTGTGGTGGTGTTTCGGACGTCAATAAGCAAGGCACACTTCATATCCGTGTATTGTTATGCTGTATCCAGTATTCTTGCGAATGACAGCGAAGACGCTCCCAGGTCTTCCGGTCTCGATTCGCGCCAATGGCCTTTTTGACACTCATTTCGACGTTTCCTTCACACTCGGCTTGGGCTCTCGGGCGAGGAGAGTGTGGCGCTTAGAGGCGTGGATCTGTGCTCACATGCACGCAACATATGGATCACGAGATGGCTATTCAGACCAGAGGGGAAAAGGACGGATTCTTCAAGCCGGGGGCGTATCTCCACTTTGTGCGATTGCAGGATCTTGCAGCTTTCAAACTGCATGACGCATGCTCCGTGTGTCGAATGTATGCAAGTCAGCGCTCTCGTATCACAAAAATCAATTCCGTCTTTGCGACTGCATCTTTGGTTTCTGCTTTGCCTCCCATTGTGTGATCGTAACGGCGTCAACGGCGGTGCAAAGACCAACGCGCACCTTGGTCATGCCTGCAGGTTGTGAGTGGCGACGGGTCGGACACGAACCCTTCGCACCGTCCAGAAGCGGGCAAGAAAGCGGGCGGAAAACGGTCCTCCCAGGCGCTACCCGCGGCGGACGGAGGTGCAAAGGCTAACCATCCGACGGGTGAGGACCGGGCACAGAGCAGTTGTGGACGTTGGACCAGGACGGTAGGCGAGACATGGAGAATGAAGCCGATGCACGCTGAGGACGAGTAAGATGGTGAAGACGCAGCTCTGCGACGTGATTCGCTGGGCCGCGCTGGGCAGTCCAAATTGGACTCCGCCGGGCCGGCAGGGCGTCGCCTTTCAGCGCGGCCGCGGACGGGAAGAACGCAGCGAAGGACAAAGGTGTTTTCTCTCTTTGTTTCCGGAGCTGCTGGGCGTGGAGCTGGCGGCTCACGTAACGAAGCGGCCGTGCCTGTGCGAGGCCACCGCCAACTGTCGGGCCCGGCTTGCCACGCTCGGGTGCAACCAGCGGCGTGCGGACGCGAAGGCTCCCTGGATCAGCCCCTCACATGACCGACACGCTATGCGGCTTCGTCACACTCGGACTATTTTCTCGTCACACTGGGGGAGTTTGTCTTCACACCACGGCCTATCGATAGGAGGAGCGCAAGAGCCAAGTGACTCCACACTTTGGCGAATGGGGGGCGTGGTGGTAGAGGTGGTGGGCTCTGCGGGTGCAAAACTGCCGTTTGTCAATGGCAGAACCACTGCGGCAACCCAGGGACGGGCCTTGCGGAACCAAAGGGCTCTTATTTTTGCCTCCAAAAAAAAACGTGTCGAAAGTGGATTTGCTTCCACGTCGCGATGCCAGGCCAAAAGGGCCGCTGAGCAGGACAGGACAAAATAGCACGTCGGGCAGCCCGTGACGGGCACCGGACAAAGCGGGATCGAGCTGAGCCACGACCCCAGCGGCCTTTCGTACACAGGTGGCGCGGAACCCAGTGGCCTGGACGCCAATCGCCCACGGCCATCCCACGACAGGTCCAGGAAGAATCGCAATCGCTGTCCGGGATGCTGCGGATCTGGACTGCACACGGCTGTCCGACGGTTTAACAGGACCCTTTGGCCACTGCCCGTCTCGCAGAAGAAAGATCCCAAATCATGCCTGCAAGCTGGCGGTCAGAGACCCGGCTGCAGTCTCGAAATTCGATCACGCCGAACGTGCCCACCCCTGCCGTCGTCTTGTCGGTGGACACAAGGACCAGCCAGACGCCGGACTGGCTCGCTCGTCGCGATTGGAAGGCGAGGGCTCGTTTCCTGAACAATTGGATGCTCCAGGAGCAAGAGAGAGCTGCAACTCGCTGGACGTCCAGCCGATCTGTATTGCACATGTGACCTCGCAGAGCTCGGGCTCAGCAGAGCTGGAGAGATGGTTTGCTTCTGGCCTAGCGCTTGCAACATGTCGAAGGGGCCGTCCTTTCATTGCGTGCTCCGCAAGGAGGGACTCGATCGCGGTGTCGGTAGGCGCCGTCATGACGCTCGCCATTTGCAGACGCCCCAAGACATGCACGTATCTCCGCCTCCAGCGCGACAAGGAACAGGTCTCTTTCCCTCCTGGCCGTGGGAACTCCGTCGCCGCATGGAAACATGCATGCATGGCTGTCGCAAGAAGGACTCGCAGCGATTCGAGCCCACGGCCTGGGGGGGGACGAGGGCCGAGAGCGGCGGTTTGCTCTGCGCGCAGCTTGCCGTGGTGCCACCGCGGTGCTTGGGCTGGATGTGCGCTCCGCACCGATTCCCTCCCTCCCCGCCTGAGGCCCCCCCCCCCCCCCCCCCCCCCCCCCCCCCGAGGCTTCTTGGACGGACGAGCGCTCGTGGCCAATGGGGCGCCAAAGAGCCGACTCTGGCACGAGACTGGACGCCTCCAAGTTCGCGCGCAGCGGGGCACGGTTTGACTTGGTCGGCAACGGCGCAAGGCACTCCTTCAGGTCGACGCCCACCTGCGAACGGGCTCAGTCGTCGCTCATCAGGCTGTCGAGGCTGCGCCGGCATAGGCTCTTTCGTACCGTACCGGACGTGCCAGGCGGACGGCGAAGAGCGACTCGGTCGCGATCCGCACAGGAGCCCGGCCTTGACTGGCGAGGATCGAGACGAAGGCGCCTCCAATGTGCTGCCAGGGCCGCGTAGACTTCCCGCAAGCCCTGCGCATCGACGGCGCCAGCGCTAGGATCCCAGGCTGACTGTCCCGCCCACGGCGTGAACGGCAAGCGACGGGTTAAAGAAATGCTCCCCCACACCCATGCGGACGTCGCTCGCGCTGATATCGAGCTGTCATCTATCTCAAGGTTTCGCAGCCGTTTTCACCTTTGGACGCCGTTTCCGGTCGCTGCGTCTTCTCGGTCTACGGCGTGCAGCATTAAATGCTATGCTGCTGCACTCCTGCGCTGGTCTTGCATCTCACCACCTCTCGGCCCACCCGACTCTGTGGCTGTGCTTGTGACTTGTCCATCAGCTCGAAGAGAAGACGAAATCGAGTCTTGACAGTCCCGATATACTTCGAGCGCGCGCCCTTCTCAGCCAGAGAGTCACCTAAGCTTGTCCGAGACAGCCTTTCTTGCCAGCTGAAGTAATCGATCGTTCATCGTCCTGTCGTTGCACGCGCTTCCACCAAGGCTGAACTGTGTACCCTGCGGCTGACCACGAAAAGGTACGAGGTCATTTCCACGCAACAAATCCTTTTCGATGCTTCACACGTCGGCTGAGAACGAGCCCTCGAGCCAGAAGGTTCCCGTCGCTGACCGTCTCTTAGATAGGGTCAATGGTTTAATGGGTTCTCTATGATTCATCTATTAAGTTTAGACGGTCGTATGTTAGCCGCACACCGCGTGCGCATCGCAGTTCCAGAACGCAAGCAGCCGTTATGGCACTACCCAGGCCGCACAATGGCGGTTCCAACAGGGTGCTTTCCCCAGCGGTAGACTTCACGCAAAGAACGTCCAGCCGGCTGCCAACAAGGACTGCTGTTTCGACGTCGTCATCCACCCTCGCGACCGCCTCGCCCTCGAAGCTGGTCAAGAAGAGAACTCACGTCAAGCAAGGCGCTGAGGTGCCAAGCGTGAACTCGAAATCCCCTCCTGTCGACGGTATTCGTCGACTGGCTGGCCAAGAATTGCGCAAGGAGCTTGAACAGCCTGCATCACGTTCTCGGTCGAAACACCCGAGTGCTTCCCGACCAGGAGTCAGTTCTCGTTCAACATCTCGGGCTCAGATTTCTGAGCCGGCACGAACTCCTTCTCTAGTCTCAGGTTCATCAGCCTCCACGACAGACAGCCCAAGATCACGGCGGCTGAGACGGAAACATTCGAATGTCGGCAAGCAGAATCAACGAGCCTCGCCGGACTCATTGTCGTCACGGGAAGCCATGGATCGCCCTGACCAAGTGTACAAAGATCCCTATCCCGACGCTGTTTTGGGGATCGCCATGCCACCTGTGTCTCCTCCACAGTCACCCAGGGACTCTTCGGATGATATCATCAACCTGAATCGATATGTTTTAGCAGCGCCCGGACTAAGCGCGAGCGATCTACCCCATCCAACGCCTCTCTATGCCTTGTCGTCCACTCCCTCCACCGGGTATTCACCAGGTCCATTCAGCATCAGTTCCACCCCGACGTCTATGTCATCGGCGTCCCCGACCGTCTTGTCGTCCGCACCATCTGGAGCAAAACAAGCTAGTCCGAACCGCAGCCGTCCCCTGGTTGCTCGCGCAGTCACTGGAGAGCAGAGAGAGCCCACTGCGACACGTAGTCTCGCACCCGTTCGAGAGTCGTCGTCATCATCTACATCAACCCTTCGTGGTGGAGAAGCCAACCGATCCAAACCTACCTCCAAGTTCAAACCATTGCCTGCTACTGCCCCAAGTCCTCCGCCTCAGCTTCCCACTTCGCCCCATCACAGGAGGGGCAGCTCTGATACAAAGTCAATGCGCGATGAAGCCTCCTCCGTTGCAAAGGAACAAATCATGCCTGAATTCGCCCATCTTGTTGACTCTTCGCCTCGGAAAAACTCGCACGGTGGCCCAGTCCCTCTTCGTCCAAGCAGAGATGGAGCACCGGAGTTCATTTTGCAGGAGAAATCTGCTGTGGTGCAAAGTAACATGACAAGCTTGCCAATTGCAATGCACAAGCGACAGTCATCCGCCGAAAGCAAACGCGCCGTAGGATCACTCTCGATTGACACCGGCAGATCACGCTTTGGGCTTCCTAGAGCCAGAACTGTGTCACCAAGTCCCAGTCATAGCTCAACAATGTCGCCGAGAACTACGGCTCCATCTCGAGGCTTTACGCCCGATGTTTTGAGTGAGAACGAAAGCGTGTCAAAGACGAAACCTTCGCCATCTCTCAGCTCGAAGTCCTTTTCTCGATTTGGCTTCTTCTCCAAAAAGAACAAGAATGAGCAAGGAACTTTGAACGCATCAAAAGAGAAGAAGGCAAGAAAGGGTCCGGCTGCCGGAACCGGCCACGAGGGGTATGGACGATTTGCCTTTGGTGGTCGGAGTGGTAGCACGACGAGCAGCTCTCGTGCTCCTAGCATCGGTCGATCCCCTAGCGCCGATAGTGCCATTGGGACAGGACCCATATACAGTCGCAAGAGCAGCTTTGGAAGCAAGAATGGATCGAGTTCCGACTTTGAAGACTTCCTGGCAGAGCGCGAGAAGCCAATTCCCATTCGTGGCGGGCAAGTTTCACGACCCGCCGTGGAGAGAAGCCAGTCAGAGGTATCGCAAACGTCTGAAGATGCGACACGAGGTGTCCAATTTGTGGCCCCGTCTTGGAATTCTTCTGCCAGCTCCCTCGAGCCTCCCAAACGACCGACGCTCTTACCATCGCCCATGTCTGACCCTCTGATTTCAAGCTTATCTGTGAAGCATGACACTTCGGCAAAGGCGCAGAAAGAAGGCAAGGGCTCTTCAGCACCCCTATCGAGCATCGGCTCCCGGAGAGCCTCTCGGAAATCCTTTCTGGGTAGCAAAGCACTTGCTACTGTTCAAAGAGCGGGCATATATTCGAACAATCAAAATCGGACAGGAAGCCAGTCGTCGGATTTGAGACAACTCACGGGTAATGATTCGGAAGCCGATCTAGACAATGTTGGAAACAGTGTCAGCGAGCCTCCTCCGACCGTGAAGCAATCAAGCAAGCTGAGTTTCTTTCAGCGTTCCAAATCACCCGGTCGACTGGCCACACCAGCGCCAGGGAGCGATCAGGCTCACATACCTCGTCCATCGACCGGCCAGAGATACATTGCCCCATATGCTATGCTCGGATCATCAGGGAAAATAGACGCATCTGAACTTGAGAAAATCATGCAAGAAGCTGAAGGCAGCACGCCAGAAGATGGTTCAAATTCAGAAACCGAAATGAAGCTTCGTGTTCGGAGAGCAGGTAAGGCGGTCCCACGGCATGGCAACTCTATACTTCTCCCGGAGCCACCCCGATTGCATTCAGCCTACGCTGGCTCGGCAAAAACTGCGTCTCCAAAGGTAGTGCTCAAGCCGGGAGTCAATCGGCTACCCGAACCTCAGCAGCCGTTGCCCAAATTACCGACAGAACATTCGAACCTCTTTACGTCGACGCCTGTCTCTCGTCAGCCACGACCGACCCGCCTGGCTCCAGTCGGTCGTATACCACGTGTGGTTCCGAACCATGACCGAGAGCGAAAGCTACCTGATAACTCCTTCTCGAGACCGTTTCAACCAACCCAGCCTTCTCCTGCATTCAGGAATGGCTCATTTTCCCCCGGCATGTCGAGTCCTGAGAGTGTGCAAGCAAATTTTTCGACTCTGTCGGACCTTGCTTTGGCATCAGCAACGAAAGGGATCCAGACGCCGTCCGAAAATCTTGCTTTCAGCCCTCCTTCGGGCTTCATGTCATTCCAGCCACGGAAAAACTCCGAGCAGTCAACCAGCTCCAGTAACTCTGCTTTTCTTAACATCATGGCAACCACGGCGGTCATACCTGCTCCCGATGCGCCATTTTCTGACGACGAGGTATGGGACGAGTACAATGACATCGACGAGATGCTTTTGGGTAGCTCTTCGAAGACGCCAAAGACTCCAAAGACGCCCATGACCGGATCCTCACTTGGTGCCCCTTTCCACTATGCCGATTTCTCTCCAAAAGATGCTGCGCATGTTCACAGGCCATCAACTGCGCCTGCCGATCAAGCTGCCGAGAGCTCACCAAGCGTACCAAGAGCACCAACGCTAGCCTCTATTGCTCAGCAAATACGTATTCCATCTATACACGATTCGCGTGTTGTATCCTCGCTCTCATCCGCCGGCACGCCTCACTCACCATTCCGAATGTCTGACTTCGTTGGCAGCTACGGAGAACGAAATCTGAGCATCATCGATCCCTCCAGCGGACGCCTTAGCACGAGCACGAATGGAAGATACAGCCTTCCCGCCACGATTCGTCCACAATCGTTGCAGAAAGGTGCAACACCGTCGTCGACAAAGCATACAACTTCCAGGCCTGCCTCGTCTGGTCGAGATAGTAGGGCTATGGAGCGAGCAGAGACAGAATACATGGGCTTTGAGAACCTTGCCAACCTGCGCTTTGGAGCTCTCATGACAAGCAAATGGCTGTCCTTTGGACGTGTGCTCTTCAGCCCGGCTCATCTAGAACTGAACACCCGTGTTGAGAATCGCGTCCTTATTCTCGACGGCTTGGGCAAAGATTGGTCGTTTTATGTCGCTCTCAATTATCCAAACGCATCGGTCTACAACCTCGGAACGGACCCGGCAGAGACTTCGGAGCGCTCCCCAGACACCGCAAGTCCGATTCAGTCGTTGCCGAACCATCGGCATATCCACCATCCATCATTACGCGACCCATTCCCGTTTCCAAAGGGCTTCTTTGCCGCAGTCGTGTTCCGCTTCCCTGTTGCCTCGCCTGAGTCGACCTACAAGAGTGCTATCTTTGAATGCAAGCGTGTCCTTCGTCCTGGAGGATACCTTGAGATCAGCGCGTTAGACATGGACATGATGAACATGGGCTCACGAGCACGCGCCGCTCTTCGGGGTCTTAAGACTCGAATTCAGGCAGAGGACTCAAGCATCAGCCTCAAGCCACTCAGCGATACTTTCCAGCGCCTGCTTTACCGACGCGGCTTCGAGAACCTCAATCGATGCATCGTTGGCATTCCGGCGGCTGGACGTATTCCTGGTTCGCGTGATGAGAACGGCGAGGAACCTAACAGCGCCAGCGTTGAGAGCAGCAACGGCTCGAGCAGTAAGAAGATGGATGAAGACTTGCCATCTTTCGGTGACCTTTTCTTGTCGCAGGGTCAAGCTGGCGACGAGGGAGTTACAAAGATGGTCTCCAAAGTCGGCAGATGGTGGTACTCGCGTTGCTACGAAAGTCTCATCTTGCCCGATGGCGACCTAACGAAGAGCATCTGGATGGATGACTCGCTCGTCCGCGAGTGCGAGAAGAACAGCACCAATCTCAAACTGATGATCTGCTACGCGCAGAAACCGGATTGCCCAGTGCGCAGAACAATCAGCGTCTAGTTGGCGCGCGCAAACATCCTCCTCATTTTCCAGCCAATTCCCCCCCCCCGTCGTTTTTATTTTTTTTTTTCTATCCGGGTACGAACACGGAAAACGAATCCACGCAATTGATTCCGTCCCACAGACCTCGAAGACCAAACCTCTTTTCTCGGCACAGCATTTTCGGTTCCCGGCCTTGCAAGAATGCGCGACGACAAGAAACATTTGTCGGCAACATCTATTACCATCGTAAAGAAAAAAAAAATCTAATCGCAAGCATCCGGCGGCTCGCGCCTCCAAACGGTACACATACACGGGGCTGGGCGGCAACGTCTCGCAAAACTCACCATTTCTCTTTTCTTTTCTTTTCCTTTCGTTTCCTTTTTTTTTTTTTTTTTTTTTTTTATTAGCTACGGTTGTATTTCATCTGCGGGATGTACGACTTTGACGAAACCACCCTCACGAGACTTTGACGAAAGCGAAAAAGACCCGAACACTTATGCACACAGGTTTATTCTTTAATGTTACGCGCATGCTGGTAATGGGCTCGACATGGGATGTCTATCGTTATATGATTGTGAACTTGGCCATATCTTGCATCATCTGTCTTTTAAGATACCCATTCAACGGGCACGTAGTGGAGGGAATCGAGCGCAATGTTTTCTTAATTTTTTTTTATTCTTACTTTTTTATTTATTTATTTATTTATTTCGTTTTTCGGTGAAGGGTGCGCGCAGGTTTGGTTTTCGGAACAAACATTGGGGCTCTTGGATAGAGAGGTTCAGAAATTACATTATAATTCTCGTCAACGTTGCTTTCGTTCTCTTCACATCATCTCGGGCATCTTCTCTGTCCTCACGTAGAAGTAAAAGAGCTCTCCTTCATTTGCTTCTTGGTTTTTGGCCACGACAGGCAGAACAACAGTCCAACCAAACGTACGCTCGGTCAGGGGGTCTTCTCGTCACCGAGGCAACTAGACCATTGTTCTTTGTCTTGTTGAATCTTCGTTGCCGTCATGACTTTTTTTTTTCGCTTCTGCAACGTGCTTCTTACGGTCGCAATATCCAAACCGATAGCAATGCGATTGCTGCTCTCCCCCACACCGATGGCTTCGTCGCTCTCCTCATGCAATGGCTTGGACTTAAAGCCCTTACGGCTCGCTTCAGATCAGAATAGAAGCGCCATGGCTACACAATATGAAACACATGGCATGAGCTCTATACAATTGCCCAAGGCAGCGTCTTCATGTGAAACCCCTGCCAAAGAACGAGAGCAGCTTGTCCCCAGAAATTCGGGTATGCTCAGCGGCGTGGGAATTCACCGATGTACCACATACACCTCACCAAATGCAGCCTTCATCTTCTCCAACACTCTCTTCTCACTCATGCCGAGCTCCGTGCATACCTCGTCCAAACAGTGCAGACCGTCCAGATATCTGGCTAAAGGTAGTCTGTCTTCCTTCTGCTGTGAGACATCACCCATCTCACCATCGATGCTTGGTCTTCTGCTGTAGAAGCCACCCACGGAGTGTCGTACGTCTGGTTCTCTGTGCATGCCCACGCTGTAGCGACGATCCACAACTTCGTTTTCGACGTCGTGGAGATGGCCGTTATGGTTGGCGAAGTCAACACGCTTGTTTGTGTGCTGGGACAGAGACGTAAGACTGCCTCCGACGACACTTGGTGCAATCACGTATTTGTGAACGCGGTAGAGAAAGCCCTTGATGATGCCGAAGGTGATGAACCGTCTCACATCGATGCCTGAGATCAAAACTGCGTTTTCCAGACACCAATGCTTGAGCGTCTGACCCTGCTTGAGTGTCGTGTACAGATGCACTAGTTTCGCCTTGTCGACGCCGATTTCCTGGCTCCGCCACCCCCATTCTTCCTTCCCTCCAGAACCGGTCATCTCATTCTCTTTCAGTTTCCGATAGGTTCCCATGCAAACGTATCGAACAGCCTCCTCTTGAGCCTCGTCGTCTTCGATGAAGGCACTCATCTCCGGCGTTGGTGCGTATACCGCGCCGAACTGGAAAATGTCGAGAAGCAGGACGCAGCCGTAGTAGAGAAGATGCTGGATAGCTTTCCTTGTAAGACCGAGGTCTGTGTCTGCTAATTGCGAGATTTGCGACACGCTCGCTACGCCGTCTATGTATGGTATGATGCGTGTGAGGGTCAGATCCGATGACTGAGCTATAGTACTGAGCTCAACCGTCGATAGAGGGACATGCCATGCGTAGACAGGTGCTGGTGTAGGGCGAGTGGGAAAGAGCTTGAGGTTGATTGTATTAGAAGAATCTACGTGCAAACTTGTCAGTGCTGTCATACGTGTCTTCGTTAGACTTTGGGAAATACCTATTGGTATCATGCACTCGCAATAATTGTTTAAGTCTTCCATTATCATTTCGCAGAGTGCGTAAACTTTTTTCTCTTGCTCCTTCTCATACGCTTCTGAAAGCCCACTCCCCGTCATCTCTTGCTCCCCTGCACTCAGCTCGTCTAGAAGTGGAAGTTTTTCCAGCTCACCACTCTCTTCCATAGTCCCGATCGCAGAGGCCTTTCCAAGACTGCCTATACTCCCACCCATATCCACAATTGCATCCTCCTCCTCTTTGCTAAGAAACTGGCTTTGCTCCTCCAGCTGTCTCAAGATGCGCGCGAGCTTGCGCACGATGCTGGTGTATGCCGAGAATTCGGCATCCTCATCGAGCACAATCGCTAGGTTGAAGATAAACTCATTGCGGTAATACTTCGGGCTCTGTATGCACACAGGATGTCCTATGATCCTGTAGTGATTCGTACATATGGTGACTAAGCGGTCGCAGAACTCCTGTCGCGGAATCAGGAACTTGTCGACGGCTGAGAAGTCGAAGAGTGGGTATTCGTCACTAGAGGCATGCGCAGGTAATTTTTCGCTCCATGATGCTGCCGCCGGTGCCGCGATGGAACCAGGTGGGACTTGGTGAGCAATTATGTTGCCTCTCTCATGATGGAAGCGCGCATAAAATATAGCCTTGATCATCGTTGCTCAGCTACAAGAATGCGATCCGTGACACACTGGAGGACATGGCTCTTATGATCGAGCGTGAGCCATAACATGGCATGGTATTTTCAGTTCGAATTATCACGCATAGATGACTGTGATTGGGAGATATAAGAAATCGCGGGGACAGTCACCCGAGCACTGAAGCAGCGTTGGTGGAGAAACGAGGAGAGCTCTGGATAAGTCGTTAGCTACATACACGAAACGGGCCCAACGCGCAATCTCCCAACCAATCGTACATTTATAGTCACCTGACAAAATCTTGTCCTTCATGACGTACTACAGTCTACACACGTAGAGTGAGCAATATAATTTTAGTAATCATTGTTTTCCTACAAATTATGAAATGAATATGCTAAACATCGACCTCGTACGCCATCCCATGCATGTGCCTTTTTCCAATCAGCCTGAAATCGCATTGCGTATGAGCGTTATAAATCAGCGTTTTGGTTATAGGCCGTTTGGAAATTATAGGACTATTCAATTGCAATCATTACCCAAAGACATTGGAAGAATACAGACATCAGAAAGCCAATTCTAACGAGTAGTTTGAGCTGTATCAGCAACCGCATTGTTATTGGAAGATGCTACAAGAAGCCCAAAAGGTCATCAAATGTGTTGGCCGTTTCACGCAACCCTTGCTCGTCTTTTCTGTGTGCATAAGTTTTCAAACTTGCGCCATGCTATAAAGACGACGAGAAATACGTGGAAGATACAAGTCTCGTCTATTATGCAGGACCATAAGCTGGCTGATTAAGCCGAGCATATCCACCTCCTTGTGCACTAGGCACACTGTTCTGCCCATACATTGGCTGCTGATTCGAGGTTACTTGAGCCGGTATTTGAGGCCTATTCAGACCATTATAGTCCGCGAACCATGGATGTTTGAGAGCATCTGCGGCACTGATCCTGAGCTCTGGCCGGAGCTGAAGCATGCTTCCTAAAAGCTGCAGACCTGTTTGGTCAATCTGAGGTAGAATGACGCGGAGATCTTGTGTAGCATAGTTTGGCCAGTTGGTCTTGTATTCTGGGAATTGTGTGATGCCCGGCCAAGTGCGCTCCGAAGGAGTGCCCATCAGTCGAAATATCTTCTGTAGCTGGTCTTCATTGGTCGTACCCGGAAAGAGCGGGCGACCCGTATACATCTCTGCCATTATACAACCGGCCGACCAAATGTCGATGCTTGTATTGTATGTTCGAGAACCAAGGAGGACGTCTGGAGCGCGATACCACAACGTGACGACCTCATTTGAAAAGGTGTTCACCGGAATGCCGAAGGCCCTTGCTAGACCAAAATCCGCCAGCTTCAACTGTCCCTTCGCATTGATCAACAAGTTCTGTGGCTTCAAGTCTCTGTGAAGGACTCTATTTTCATGACAGAATGCAATCCCTTTTAGCAGCTGCCACATGAAGCTTTTGATAGTAGCACTGTCCAACGCGCCTCGCTCACCTCGCGCATCCATGAACTTCTTCAGATCCTTGTCCATGTACTCAAACACGAGCATAAGCTTGTTCTCAGTGTGTATTACATCGTGGAGTGAAACTATGTTTTCATGTTTGAGCTCTTTCATCAACGAGATCTCTCGAATCGCGGTTGAGGGCGTCCCTTCTTCGCTGTCAAGGTGAATTTCCTTCAAGGCAACAAACTCTCCCGTCTGGCGATTGCGCCCTTTGAAGACCTATGCACACGCGTCTGTCAGAAGTCTGATCGTATCGGTTCGGAAATGGGAGTGCTCATACAGTGGCATAAGTACCTTCACCAAGCTTCTCCAACTGCTGAAAAGAGCTGGGATTCCTGTTGCTTGACATGGCGCCTGTTTGTATCGCCTGGCCACCGCCAAGGTCACGAACACTGATTGTCGAGTCTGTCCGATTTCCCAAGGCTAGAGTACCGACGTGGGTTGGCCTAAGACTGCCTGGTGGTGGCCTTGGTTGACGGTTAGCGGGCTCGCTTTTCCCCCAGTTGCCGATTTGAGAGACACGCGAAGAGACGCACCTGGAGGTATACTTTGGATCCCAGAGTATAGCACTGGCAGTCGTGAGTCTACTCGCAATACTGAGTGGTGAGGGTGGATTTGTGCTTGCGCGCGAGGGGGAGACAGGCGCCTGAGGTGGGGTGTGAGGAGCCGTTGTTGATTGGTGGAGGGGTTCTCGGATTATGAGTGTCCTTGTCAGGGACGAAGATATGCAAGCGCGCGTGTTATGGGAGCGGATCCAGTAGGTACTGTATGGTTATCTTTTGAGTCCAACAAGGTGATCTTGCAGCAGAGTCATACACAGTAGTTCAGTATGCAGCAAGTGAAAGGGCTTGTTGTGCCCTTGTGACCCTTTTCATTGGCTCAGCGCCGGCAAGATCCCTGGTCCACTCCACTCATGGAGCCGCCCGCCCCAAGATCACGCTTGGGAGAGGGAGCACATGGCGAGCAGAACTCTTGTCGTGCTCGAGTGATGGGCTCGTCTACGTTCTTATGAAACGTCTTGCGCTGCATCCATTTGGTCTGCACGGATGTATGGGCCTTAAGCCTAGCCTGGGAGCAACGTTAGAATAATTGCCTGGCTCCCAGTCGACTTCTGGAGATGGGCGTCGAAATATTGGCTCCGTTACCTTCTTTGGTTGTATGTATGCTTATGAAACAGAGCGAAAACTGTTGTAAAAACACTTTGATTGGTATGATGAGTGCTAATCGTAACAACTTGAAAGTCATATGTTGCCGTTATTATCCAACTTTGCCGTACGCCATAACACAAAAGGCTACCTCGGGTGAAATTACTTCACGTTTTGGTCATGTATGGCAGCTTGAAACCAGATAATCCTGAGCTGTAGTGACCCACGCTTAATCTCCTTCCGTATTCACCACTCGACTGGCGCCTGGGTGAAGTGCTAGCTGGCGGTATAGCGACTGAGCACCTCCTGAAGCTCTCCTTTACAGCATCTTTATCACCATCCATGCGCTCAAATGTGAATCTTGGAGTCTCGGAGTCCGGTGATGAGGGCACGGCACTGATGCGCCACGTCTCACCGTTCTCGCATTTTGCAATGCAGTTGCTCTCGTCGATTTCGGACGAGTACGTGAAGGTTTTCGTGCGAGGGTACAACGAAACACACGTACTGCCAACTGATGGTGTGAATGTCAAGGTTACAGGCTGGAGCGGCGGTCTATCTCAATACACATGAGCTACACGAAGGCAGAGCTAGGCCGTGATGTGTTGGCGTACGTTGAGTTGGAACTCTTTGTACCAAACCCTTTGAAATCGTTCAACTGCGCAATCGCATCTGATGCTCCGGAATCCTTTCTCTTTACTGTACCCGCAGCTCCGCTGGTCTGAAATAAGGAGATGATTTTGTATTGTTCCGAAGCCATGATGGCAAAACAGGACGAATAGGCGAGAATGCAAATAGATCTGAGCAGAAGGGAAGAAACCAGATTTTGGGTAAGGAAGATGTTTACTGAAATCAAGCCACTGTGATGCGAAACGGCCACCAAAGGATGTTGATATCCAAGTCGGCTATCCTCGCCTCATGTGCTGCGACCCCGGCCGAGAGGCGGTTCTGCCCGATGCAGACCTCAATTCCGGAAAATGGTCGCGTGTGGGCGGACAGGTCCACGCCTCACTTGTATGTAGGTCAATTACACACAGTTGAACATGCCATGATGGCATGTCGCAGAGCTCACCGCCGCTAAATGCGTCGACGAGAAGTCTGAGCGTGAGCCTGGCGGTGAAGATGTGGCACTGCTCGGAGCTTTGTGGAAAATGACGCATCGAATTGAGCGAACATTGCTGAGGAGATACTCAGTCACGATTGGATTCTTGGGCTTCGTGCATATTCTTGTTGAGATGGTCGTGCGACTACCATCCAAACGGCACACATCGATGGTGTAACAGCGAAAATAACGCCGGAAGGAGTGCCATCTGGAAGCGGGGGGCCGGGGCAATGATTGGAGAACAACCGCCAACCACGTGATGTGTGCACTGCTTGAACGGTGGAACACGTGAGCACCGTTAACACCTGAAGTTGAGACAAGGCCGCAAGGCAAGCAATCACATCGTCTTACATAATCCCGCGTTCGGTGGGGCCGATAGCCAACTACCTTAGCTAGACAGCTAACCTACCTTGTGAAAAAACGTGGATAAAACGCGTATAGTCGTCGCCTTAAATTGTCCAAGTCGTCACGTATCTTCATCAGCTTTTTGAATCTTTCGCTTCTTCTACAGACCATTGCTACCCCCTCAGTGCTAGAATTCTCTTTACGCTTCCCATGTCTTGATCCTGGGTCGACTGGCTAGTTCGTGACGCCAAGATACTGATCGTTGTTCCAGTTATCATTGATTTTCTCCTCATGGCTCACGTTGGCAGACTTCGTGCCTTTACAATTGATGGCCGAGCAATCTAGTATGTCGTCACTCATATGCTCAGAGCCTCCCCGCATGTTTTCCGTTCACCACAGACCAACAGAATGCCGCATACGTGGTGGACGTGGTTTTGTACAGCCACCAACATACTTGCCCTCGAAGCTCTCATTGAACGCTGCCATTAGGCTCGTATGTGTTAGCAAGCTGCCGGCAGGCTCATAAGTTCCCTTCTTATCTTTGGCTTTCTTTTGCAAAACCTGCTGGCCTCGATATACGCGATACACTCAATTGAGCCAAAACGTCTCCGTGCGTGTATATTTCACACATATGCTCCTATCGATCGCTTTCTTTCGTTAAAGAGACTCCTACACCTATTTTATTTCCATTTCCATTGGCCACATTGCGAGACTGCAGTGTTCTAAAAGCTATCGATCCTGCTTCCGATTTTGTCGTCATTGTTATTCTCCCCGCGAAGTACGCCTCGTCCTTCGGCTGCTGATATCATGGTATCTTCTCAAACCTGCTCCTCTGTTTCCACACGTGAAGGTTTTGACCAAAGGCGTACCGAGGCTCAAGACTTGCTGTGTCTAACAAAATTAGCAGCAATTGACATGAAGTCTTACAAGGCTCTAATCTATGTTATTTTCGAATTGATTCGGCTCTCAAGTTTTATTTGTAGAAAGTTTCGGTCCTCGCCTCTGTTCGACTTCACCTAACTGAGAAGATGATTAGCATGGAGTTCGATCACACATGGAAAGGAGTGAGCATTGTTCACATTTGAGATATGGCTGTCACTGAGCTTGCATGTTTTCAGGTCAATGCGTCTGAATCCCGTGAATTACGAGGACGAATATGGTGAATAGCATTTACCAGACCGAGCATAGTTTGGCTCTTTAAATAAAAAGCTTCAGAACTATATGTGGCGAGGTCTTTCACATAGCTGAACAGGGCACGACACTCACCAAGTCCGACAATTACGGACTGCCATAGAATCAGTTACAAAATTCGTAACATAAATATGCTTATGGTTTCCAACAGGCTTAAAAGTACATCGATAGAGATTATTTTGATATCAAGGAGCTTCTCGAGACGCAATGAAGATCTAGAGTCAAGAGCACGGTGACTATCGAGATGTTTTGGCAGTATTTTGGCTTGTTGCACTGAGCAATATCATTCAGGGCCCACAACAACTTCGTCAATATTCTAGCACTCCTCGTCCACCTCTAGGGTCCGCCTCCAGTCCAGCCGCGACAAATTTCATCCTAGAAATTCGTTAAGTGCGCGTTACGATACTTTATCCGCTTAATGGGTGCAAAATATCCACGCTTTGTCCACCAAGTCGCCCCTTACAATAAAGTACACACAGGTACAAAGATAAAGACTGAACTGTTTTCTCACGTGTCCAAAGACGCCATTTATGTCTATTTTGCTGGATCTCCTTATCTGCTGGAGTTGTCAATCCGATAACTAGAGCTTGCAATAGTCTCGAAGCCAGTCCAACCCATCGCCACGAATCTCAGTGACATTAACTGGGGTCATCTCAATCTTTGTAAGTTGACTTATTATTCCGAAGGCCTCCTCATTTGACCATTTGAATCTCTAGATGTCTGTTACCATCAATTTTTCCATGCCCCGCGATGGCCTCTTTTGCGTCAACTAATCTCAGATTGAAGTCAAACCAGGTACAGCCTCGTGACGAAACCATATTTGTCTCCGAGCTTTCGTTTCTCGAGTTGGATGGCTACAAGTTCGCAATCGACCAGATGCATCTAATCATGTCAAGATATCCAAGCAAGAGTGAGCTGTACCTTCACAATGTTCAGGCCCCAGATCTGCATGACTATCTTGCGTGGAAGGCTGTGAGCCACATGGCGGTTTTAAATAGATTCAACGTGCAAAATGCGGTCGATGCTCACACTCAACTGCTTGGCGAGATAAAATTAGGAGGACATAGCCGTGATACGACAGGAATGCTTCCAAGGCATTCGTACACGGCTCAGGAACAAGCCGATCCACTTGCGGTTGAGGCGGCACTTATTTTGATGACTATGAGCTTCGAGGCATCTTGCTCGTCTGGATTCATTCACCCTTATAACTTCTCGATGCCTACAAATGCAAAAAGCGCAGAAAGACCCCCAAGTCCTGTGTTCCCTGTCCCCGAAGACTTACCGTTACCAAAAGGGTCAGACGCATTCCTGCTTAATCCTGTTCTTGAAGATATTCAAAAGCGTTGGGTCAGGGGCATATGCAAAGAAGATCAAATTAGAGAAGTCGTTAAAAAGGACAAATATGGCGGCCGCTATGTTACACGAAAGACAATCTATGTTGTCGATGGAGAAGAGTTTATCGATGTGTTGCCTCATCGTCAAGCGGGAACAGTAAGTGCCAGTATTCGACACTCACCAACGCCATCAAGGTCATCTTTGAGGTTTGCAGATCACTCAGTGGTCCCTATTCCGAGCAAGGAGCTTCGCTCTCGAAAGCGTCCTCTTGATAGTGGCATTTCACTTGACGACAAGTTCGAAGGATCTCCCCACAAGCACATGCGCTCAAATTTCAACCATGACGTGCCTTCGTCTTCCATTTTCAGACCGAGTGTAAACTACCACAAGGCCGCGAATGTTTCTACGAACACCAGCAACGCATCATCAAGGAGTACTTCAAGCGGATCCCACGTTAGCATCAAGGATGTCGACAATCTGAGGGCAGTTTTAGATCCAGTCGCCATGGATTCAGTCATGGGAGCTTTCGGTAGTACTGGTCAAGTACTAGAACCAGTACCTCAAACGGATGGTGAGAAGTTAGTTTCGTCTAGTGGGATGGGACGGAGTAAACGTCGTCGTGCTCCCCCTCCTCCACTCAACCTTGTTCGGCCAACAACAAGCAGAGACTCTCGGAGGACACCGCCCTCCATGTCAAGAACTCCAGTTGGTACAACGCAAAATCCATCAGCTTCACGCACGACACACAAGAAGAGCAAATATGTACCAACAACACCAAACCCGCAGCGTTGGACCGCTCAAGAACTATATCATCTGAATGGCCTGGCTAGGTTGGGCCTGCACCCCAGAGAGCTGCATCCCAAGATGCTCGAGCAATTTCCAGATAAGCAGCGCAGTTTACATGCTATCAAGGACCGGCGTGACAAGATGGCGCGTAATAAGGAGCTCCAAGGCAAGATGCCAGACTATCAAGCGAGGTACGGTCACATTTAGGCTTTGTAAGGGTCGGGAGCAAGTTCGGTCACACAGCATTCGTTGCGCAATTCAAAGACAGCGAGGACATTGATCGCGTTCTTTGGAACATGACGCGAGTTCTTTCAGATACGATCTTAGGGCTCAATTTGACTGCCATGGGAAAGGTTCTTAGGTGTCTCTCATCTATTCTTGCATCACTGTAGTAATTTTTAAGGCGTGAACATACATTATGTAAGCTTTTTGAGCCATTCTATTCTGGCCTTTGCAAAGCCTCTTAATGATTTTCTATAGGCTGTGTAAAAACTATTCCCATAAACCATACATGCTCTTCTGATAATGCCTATTACGGACTTAATCATAATTTCATTGTTCGCTGAAATTCTCGTACGTCGAACATGTTGGGATATCACGGTGAAACCCATCGGGGATTGGTGAGGTACAGCTCTCTCGACCGGAATCACTCATTCGCATCGTTTTTGGGTTGAAAAAGGACTTTCAACATAACCACGTGGCAGAACATGGGAGCTTTGAATTCAATATAATTCCGTTGTAGTCCAGGGGAGGTCATTTGTGGCTGCAAGTCGTATCGGATACGAAGCTCTTTTCCGCCCCCACACTTGTCTTCCTGATGGAACAGCAAATGCGTAAGCTTGCCGTTCAGAAAACGAAGGACACGTTCGTGTGCTCTTCAGCTACTACACCGCATGTTGATAGGTATCCGTGAGATTATTTTCGAAGAATACAGCAAGATATTGTAGATGAGTTGCGTTGTAATCGAGCTTTTTGGGCCTTGATGCAAAAGCACGGCTTCGTCCCGAAACAGGTCGTGCAGTTCTCTGCATCTGAGTGTACGAGCGCCATCGTTAACCGAAGTGAGCATCTTGTTGCCGCAGCTCTGGCGGCCCGCACCACATGGACTTGCACCGACGACCCAGCCGTCTCATACTTGAGTCGCGTACACGATCGCGATTGTCGTCCCGATAAGTATGGCTGGAATGGCGAGAATGAGTAGAAGGCAAAGGAAAGCACAGAAACATCCGCCCCGAGTGTCCGGAAGGGTCTTTATTGCATTTGTTCGACTCGGATGGTCTTTGGCTCGAACTGCGGCCGCTTCGATGTCGATAACTCGTGTGTGGCCAACTCTGCCTTGATTCGAGGTGTTTGCAGTGTTCAGCGCCGGATGAGAAGCTGGAGGTCTAATTTCTTCGTTGTTATTCGAAGTGCTCTCAAACTGATCCAAATCTTCAATATAGCTTACGGTACTCGTCCCAACGAGATACGGTGGAGGCGCTATGTCGTAGGTAGGCCATCCGTCACCGCTGGTATTGGAGTACGTCGCCATGAGTAGCGATATAGTCCAATTCCAATCTCGGTTCCAATCAATATACTTTTATCAACACCTCTGAAGACAGGAAAAAGGCGGCTTCAGCCGAGGGAAAATGGGCAAGTATTGCAGGCATGATGTATCGGAGTTCAGAGGCGAGTAGGGCAACTTTTGTACCTCTCTCACAAAGTCCGGCCAACACGATCGCGTGCGCGCCATTGAGCTAGACAAGCTACTCATCCCGCTCGAAGACTGGTCCAGCCGAACGCCGTCCTATCTACACCATTTGGCTTTGTCTTTCCGGAAACTGCTAAGCGCAACCAAAGGCAGTAATCATCTCACCTAAGGAGGGCGCGAGAGTAGCAAATAGGCGAGCGCCACCCCACGAAAAGCTGAGGTCTGGAAGCGAATTAGATTATTCGAAAACAAGACGTGCTTCATACCCGCATGTTCTAGGCTGTCAAACGCCTCTTCAAAGCGTCACCTCCAAATGCCTCGCACATGAATGTAGAGACGAGAAACACATATGCTCCGAAATGAATGCAGAACGCGACAAAGCTGATCTAGATAATGCACGTGGTCGTTTAAGGAATTTTCCCACTGTCTGATTTCTGAGCACTCCCGATTTCGGATGTTGCTCGTCGAAGGGCGTCTGATTCAGACAAGATAGTAAAGACGGAGATGAGATTCGTGGCACTGTGTGATGCAACCAGATAAATGCTTAGGCAGACCTTGACGGGGCGTTAATAGGCTAAGGTTTGGCCTCTAGGGATTGATCATTGCGGCGAAGAGATTTTATTTGTTCTTCTTGACGTTCACGCAGAATCTTTCACAGTCCTAGACGGATAAGCACAGGCCCAAATGATCAAGATCTTAGTCTTTGGTACAGGAGGTGTGGGATGCGCCTATGCATATATATGCAGCAAAGCAGGGACGGATGTTACCGTCGTTTGTCGAAGCAATTATGACGCAGTCAAGGAGAATGGCATCACTGTCGAGTCACAGATCTATGGAACGGTATCATGTCGGCCTCGCACAGTGCGGACGGTTGCTGAAGCCGCCTGTCATGGTGTGTTCGACTTCATATTGGTATGCAGCAAAGCCTTCCCTGGCGCAGCACATCTCATTCAAGATGCCGTCAGCCCACAGACGGCCATTGTGCTTGCACAAAACGGTATTTCAATCGAAGACGAGTACGCGGCAATCTACCCAAAGAACACGATCATCTCAGGCGCCGTCTATTTTCCTGTCACCCAGATCAAGCCCGGGTATTGCGTGCATGGACCTCTCGACATGTTCGAAATAGGCACCTTTCCGGCAAATGCGGGAGCCGAAGCGAAAGCGAAGGCGCAGCAGCTATCTGACATTTTCAAAGCTGGAGGCTCATCTGCGCCGTTGTACGACGACGTCCAGAAGAGGAGGTGGGTAAAACTCGCCGTCAACGTTGCTTGGAACCCAACAACCGCATTAAGTCTTTGCGATGATGCCAATTTCCTGCGCTCGTCGCCCGAAGCGGATAGCATGATTGTGAAGATCTTCAAAGAAGTTGGTGCCGTAGCAAAAGCAGCTGGCCATGGTGATCTTTTAACGGACGAAGAAATTGAATGGCAGATGAAGCGCTCGCGACATAGAGAGACTTCGGGCGGAAAGGAACCCTCGATGCTGGTCGACGTTAAGAACAACAGGCCAATCGAAGTGGAGGCTATTTTAGGAAACACTGTCAGAATCGCGAGAAAACATGGCGTTGATGCAAGATATCTAGAGTTGCTGTATGTGCTGGCAAAGGCAAGAAATTTCCAAATTGATCCAAAAGGCCAATGGATACCGCTTGCAATGTAGTACATACTTGTGGTTGAGTCGTCCTGAGTCTGCCAGATCCGCAGAATATAAGTTCACAAAGTGTGCTCTGTCTCTGCTACATAGATGTATGGAATGAGGTGGCTTCTACCCCAAAAAAAAAAAAAAAAAAAAGCTGGCAGTCTTCACCAGACGTTTACTTGTCCCTCTAAAGATACCGGGCTTCTTTGCCCTGCTCACGCGGGGTATAAACGCAGATAACACAGTGCGCGCGATATTGTCATCGATCCATTTCAGCCTTCCCAGACAGCCTCCATGATGGACATGCGGCTGCCTTCCGGTGTTTTCGCCCCAAGGAACTTGAATCGAGGATCAGCTTGCGCGAAAAGATGAATCCAGTCAGGGACATCACGTTCTTTTGCATTGAGTAGTGAAAGCATCGTTAAATCCATAGACCTTTTGAGAAGTCAACCATTGCATCTTGTCAATTTTCAAATGCAACGTGCAGAGCAAAATTCAGAGACTGACCTTGTAATCTTCTCATCCCACATATCGAGCTCACCGACGGGCTTGAGGCAATTGTCGCTGATGACAATGCGAGCACCAGGTTTGAGCGCTGGAATCAATGCCTTCAGCATCTTGACGCCATACTTGTCACTCTGGTTGTGACAGATCCAGCGGAAGAAGAAGACGTCCGCACCCTTTTGAGTTTGCTCGGTGTAAAAATCATGTGCTTCGAACTTGATGCGGTCTGCGAACTCAGGCGGTATCTTCTCAGGCCCATTGGCGACCACTTTTGGAAGATCTTGCACCACAAATTTCAGCTTGGGATATTTCTTGGCTAGGGCAACGCAAATGAATCCAAAGGAGCCACCAACCTAGGTGACGTAGTTAGCAACCAGATACCTGCAAATTGACGCGTGGGGCACACAACGTACGTCCACAACAGTTGCTTCTCCCAATCCCTCCCAATCGTAATTATCAACAAGGTATTGTGGCTCGTACCCTTCCCCGCCAGTAAGTGATACCATGGCACCTCCGAAACGCTTCGCTCGCACAGGATCAGCACCCATCACGGCAAACATTGGCTTGCCTGGGCACCAGTACTCGGCGTAGCCAGCTTCATTGGCTTCTTGCGAATTCGGGAACTTGCGCAGGGCCTCCACAGTCTTTGCAGAAGCCTGGTAGAACTCAGACGAGCAGACCCCTACCCAATCCACCATGGAGGGATCATCGCGTAACACACGTGACGCAGCTGTGTGGGCCACATAACCAGGACGGGGCTCGGTGAAGATGCGGTTCGTCATCGCATGGCGAATGAGTCGCTTTGCGTTGGTTTCATCGAGGCCAGTAGCCACGGCAATGTCAGCGTACGACACATCGCCATCGGTCGGCACGGCCTGGGCAATTTTAAACTCGTAAAGCGCCTGGAGACTGAGATTGTCGTTGTACTAGATCGAGCGCGGGCGTTGTCAGTCGCTAGGGAAACGTGGTGGGTGGAAGAAGAAAACAAGTTTGCTGGGGTGGCTTCGCATGAGACAAAAGCTGGCGAGTGGGTCGAACAATGTGTACATTCAATTCATTCATTCAATCCGAGTATACGACGGTGAGATGCACTTACGCTCCAGGCAAGCCATCGTACCGTTTCCCGGGGCCCGACCATGAGGTCACGAAGCTCCTGAGTGGCATTGACAACGGCACGTCTTGCGGCCTGAATTTCGACGTTGGAGCTAGGGACAGGGAAGTCTGTGGGAGCATTGACGTCAAAGGACAGACCTTGGATGCCCTCGGCGTGGAAGAAGTCATTGATCTTTTTTGTGTTGGCGGATATGATCTCCGTTAGTTCCATGAGCCGTGAAGACGCCATCTTGGTCGCCGCCCTCGCTTCCGCCGCTCTGGATCTGCAGGTTGCGTGTCACTTGCGTCTTGTTCCCCGGTGCACAGTGAACTCGATGGTCAGATGAGGGTGAAAACACGGTGGGAAAGACAAGGAAGAAATTGGCTAGTGGGGTCCCGAGTACTTGGGAATGATAAAAACGCGGCGCTTTATATGCGTGTTCCTGATGTCGAGCCAGTGAAGGCACGCGTGTAGAGGGGACGGTGATCTACTATCTTCCGGCCATGCACTTGGCTGCGCACGAAAGCAAATCTGGCTAGCATCGTTTTGCGTGTGAGCAGCTTTCTCCAAGCGAGCTCTTGGAACTCCGATCGACAGACTTATTCCGGAGCGTGGATGTACGCGCTCGTGGAGAAGGCGGGCGGCCGCAACAGAGACAGAGTTCTGTCCTGTCCTTGCTTCGTGTGCCGAAGAGCGCTGGAAGGCTCAGGCTCAGGCACAGGCACGGGAGCTGACGCGCAGAGGCTCACGCTGGCGCAGCCGTGGATCTTCAGCGCTGTCGCTCTTCGCACAAAAGGGGCCTAATGAGCTTATCGATTCTTAGTGAATTTTTTTTTCCTGCAGACGAGCCAAGCGCGGGCGAATTTCCCTGCGAAGCTTCCCCACGCATCTGCAAAGACTAAAATGCGTCGAGCCACCGCGAAAACGGTGGGTCATGCCACAGCACCGAGACCTACTTGTAGCTCACCACTCGTCTTCACGAGCTGTGGGCAGAGATCATCTGGCTTGCGTTCCAAGGCTTGCTGAGAAAGCTGGTCCTCTTTCTGAGTGCATACAGCGTGCGCTGCGCTTTTGATGTACGCTGAGGCTTTAGACACCAACGCCACCAGATAGAGAGCTTTCCAGAGCTCCCGTGGCAGCTCCTCATCCGTACCGGGGCCTTGCTGACACGGGACGGTCCGACATTGCAACGATCGCGGCGCGCATCAGCCTGCAGTGCGCCTGCATTGTGGTCTTGCACGCCTCGGCACCATGGAGAGGCACGATGCGTCGTCAGTTCACGACTCTCTGACGGATGCGCATCACTCGTCCAGTAAAGCGGAAGACTCTACTCTTCAGCCACCCAGCGCTGGACCTGCTGCTGCGACTGCGCAACCACCAATTACCGCCACTGAATCTGCAGACGCCCTCCAGCAGGCCGAACACGGCGTGGAGGTGTCGAGGGACGATGAAGACGACGGATACGAAACCACGTCGGAGAGCACGGCCTCGGCGTCTCTAGCCTCGAGCGCAAGAGAGTTCATATATGAACATGGAAGACGCTATCATAGCTTCCGGAAAGGCGCATATCTGTTCCCTAACGACGATCGAGAGCAGGACAGAGAAGATTTGAAGCATGCAATGTATCTGAAGCTGTTCAACAAGACGCTGCACTTTGCGCCTATCAACACGGAGGGCGCTAATGTGATCGACCTGGGCACGGGAACGGGCATCTGGGCTATTGACTGTAAGGAAAAAGGATACGACGACGTTGCACCGAGACAAAGCAACTGACGTTGAAGCGTAGTTGCCGACCAATACGAGAGTGCTTCCGTAATAGGAATCGACTTGAGCCCAATTCAAACGACCTGGGTGCCACCGAACCTGAAATTCATGGTCGACGACGCGGAAAGTGAGTGGCTGTATCCCAACGACTACTTCGACTACGTACACACAAGACACACGATTCAAGCATTCCATAATTGGCCGCTTCTGTTCCAGCGCGCCTACGCGTATGTAGTTTTGGCACCGTTTGTCTATCAAACATGCTAATGCAGCACAAAGACATATTAAGCCTGGAGGCTGGATGGAATGTCAAGAACTCGATCACTTCCCGCGTTGCGAAGACGGCACAATGGCCAATGACGACTGGATGGTGAAGTACTGGAACACTGTCGCCGACGGCCTGGTTCCCTTCGGCGTTTGTTTCCGCGATGCACCGAAGCTGAAAGGCATGATGGAAGCTGCGGGCTTTGTAAACGTCACGGAGCGCGTCTTCTTTACGCCCATCGGGCCTTGGCCAAAAAACAGAGCTCTTAAAGAAGTTGGCCTTTACTGGAGAGCCGTCCTGATGGAAGGCCTGGAGGCGATTGCGCTGGCACCTCTCGTCAAAGGTTTAGGCTGGGAGAAAGTCGAGGTTGATGTGCTCTGCGCAAAAACACGAACGGCTTATCTAGACAGAAGCACGCATGCCTACATGCCTTTCTACATCATCTATGGTCAGAAGCCTTATGGACCACCGTCGGCTGCTTCTTGAATCTGTCTTTCAACGTGCAGTTACAAAACACATAAAGGCGGCGCAAAATGTCCATTTCACCAAGTAAAAAAAATATATATATACCCTATGCTAGACGGCTGGGCACTTCGAGCAAGGAAGGAAAGTATCAAAAACGGGCGTTCTACGTCTTGAATAATACGGAAATGACATTACTTGAATGTTTCACGAAAGGAGATTTTGAAGTCGATATGTTTGAACTGGCAGCGGACTTGGCTAATTAAAAATGCCTCCTTTGTCCTCATTTCGAGAGATACTATCTCGGCGTAGATATATAATTCTGTAACATGTCTTTCTACGGTTTCACCATCGACCTTTGCATTATCTCTATCCTAACGGTTTGTATGTTGACGTGGTGCACATGAAACCCCAAAGCACTCGCGTCGGTGGATGAACAAGCAAAATTTGCGTAACATAACATCTCGTAGGCAGGTTGCACATAGTTTATGATTCTTAATCTACTTTGAACATGGCAGCACATATCGAATTGCATCTAAGGTAAAGCAAACGAGTCCTGTGATCATGTACGACGAGATCACGCCTTTTCAGAGACTGCATCGAGCGTAATCACAACTTTGCCGAAATGGCTACCGCTCTCAAGATACTGCAACGCCTCCTTGGACCGAGAAAACGGGTACACCGAATCCACAACCGGCACGATCTTCTTCTCCTCATACAGCTTCAGCATCTCCTCGAACCTGTCCTTGGGACCGTTTAAGATTCCCTTGATGGTAACGTTTCGCTTCAAGGCAAGCACGTTGACGTTCATGCGGCTGCCCTTTGGCTCCTCTTTGCCACCCAGATATCCTATGGCGGCAATCATGCCGCCAAACGCGACGCATTCAAAGGATTTGGGCAGCGTTAGCGCGCCGCCAGCTTCGAGGATGATGGACGCGCCCTTGCCATCGGTGATGCGGAGCACTTCTTTATCCCAATCCGGGGTCGTCTTGTAGTTGATCAAATGGTCAGCTCCCAGCTCTTTAGCTCTCTGAAGCTTGGCGTCTGAGCTAGAAGTCACGATTGCTGGCAATTTTCTTAAAGTCAACCACGCTCCTGATCAAGGGAAGTCGCAATGGCTTACCTGTCATCCCACAGGCTTTGGCGATCTGCAGCCCAGCTATTGAAACGCCTCCTGTTCCTTGGCATACTACGGTTATGTCCTTGCCAGAAAGATGCTGACCCATCGGCTGCATCCAGTTGATGCTCATCCACGCCGTCACAGCCGCAATGGGCAAGTTACAAGCTTGCTCGTCTGTCAGATACTCAGGGCATTTCACGAGGCCGTAGCTCGGAAAGACTTTGTACTGGGTGAGGACGCCAGGTGTGGGAAGGCCCAGTCCAGAAGCCATGTCCTTCTCCAGAACTTGGCCAGTTTGATGGGTTTGATTGAAGATCGAGAGCACACGGTCGCCTTCCTTGAAACCTGTCGAGTTGGGGCCGAGCTGTACTACGGTGCCACACATATCTGAGCATGGTACAAGCTTTTTGCCCTGCGACACGGACTTGTGGTGGCCGTAAAGGCCGTTGCAAACTGCTCGCCTCGGTTAGAAATTTGTCGTCTAATGCTGGACGAGGAAAACTGGAAAAATATATATATATTAAAAAAAAAGAATCACCTTCGGTATCTCGATAATTCAAGGAAACGGTGTGAACTTTGACCAAAACCTCGCCATCACCGGGCTTTGGCATTGGTGATGTTTCCTTTCTAAGGTTTTGGATGCCATCTTGCTCAGTCACCCACTGTTCTATTTCTTTCGGGACGTTCATTTTGATAGCCAGTCACGCACGTTCACGACCTTCCTGTGGTATTTGTGATGCGTAGTACATTTGAAAGTCGTCCCCGACCATTCGGATCGGTGCATGGACGTCATTTCATTATGACAAAGAGTAGTCTGTCGGCTGTATGTAACCGGTTTTATCGGATCCATATTAAATCATGTGACATTGTCGAATTCGGAATTTCTCCATAGAAAATTCGAGCCCACGCCGAGATCATGCCGGACTTTTATGACAAGCAGCACTTTCGAAGTCTGCCTCAAGTCTCCAGCCTTCCCGGAGCTCTCTGAGAGCTAAGTTGCGGCACGTCTTTGTTGCTTGTGTCTTAAGACTTTAGTTCTAAATCAGTCGTAGATTTCCATCCAGGGGCGCTTTGTTTGCCCACTACCATCTCCCAAATGTGATCCGCGTTTCGACATTGATGTGTCGTTCCAAAGCCATTCGCTACCTTTGTCCCGTCTTTATTGTCTTCGTTAGCGTACTCGAATGTGTCGTCCGCGGCGCAAAGAATGCTCTGCAACAAGTAATCGAAGCACTCTGCCCAGCGGTCTTGATATGTAGGCGACACACTTCTCTTTCGCACCCCGAATTCGTCCGAATGCAAGTGTTTGAGTGTTGACTTCCGACCTTCTCTGTTGAGTTCGCCACTACTTTGGCTCTCTTTCGAATCGGCGTTCATCAGATCTTGAATGGCTCCTCTGATCAGCTGCAGACACTGTAGCTGATGGAACATCGAAATGCCAACGATTTCATCTCCAAGCACATTATTAGATGGTGTAGCCAGAAGCCCACCATTGGGAGGTATGAGTGAAGCCCACATTGGATCGCCTTTCGTTGAGAAGTCGTGAAATTCTAGCTGCTTTTTGAAAGTTACAGAGTGCGTCTGTGTGCTTGAAAGAAGTTGTGACGAAGAGCTTGAGTCTCTGTAATGCTGATACCAAATCAACATGGATATTCCTATGATTGAAATGGTCGCTCCAATGACCAGGCAAACTTTCGGGGTTTTGCAATACATTATCTTTGAGATATGAAGGAATTCACAAAAGCAGCGCGAAATAAGGAAACAATTGTATTGAAGAGATTTGGGTATAATTTCTGTTCTTTCAAGCTTATATAATTGCTAAGGTAACGTTCAAATGAGGGTCTTGCGGTACATGTAGTGTTTCGAATGGGGAGGGCTAAACACTGATCTTCGCAAGACGAAACTTTGCGTGGATCAGACGTTAAGTCAATGCTTTACCAATATCATGTTGGCAGAAATGGATTCGTGTGGTCTCTGTTAAAAACTAGAAGACAATGCGGTCGAATAAAAACCCAGCCTGTAGAGGATCTTCCTGCTCAACGACGAATTCGTGGCGACCTGTATAGTAGGCAAAGCCAGCAATACAGACATTTAGCGCTTCGATGTGCTGCCCATCAGAGCCTCTCATTGCAGTGACGGATTCGATTGTTGAAGTAAACCCACCCTTCCCCATGAACTTGGAGACTATGGAATGATATGTCCACGACTGGCCAATTCTACGCTTGCCTTTTGCATATGCCACTGCAACTCGAGCTGCAACTCCACCTCCAGTTGGTGAACGATCGATCTGTTGGTCCCCAAAGAAGCAAAGACCAAGTTCTTCCTGATTAGCGTCGTCATCTTGATCGTTGCTATCGTCGACCACAATTACTGAGTACAGAAAACTTAAATCATCATGAATTGGATGTTTGATCAGTTCCCGCACCGCTGGGTCTGCTTGTATGGCCCTTTTCAATCTCTTTGTTGCAAAATCAAAAGCGGACAGTGAATCCGGACATTTCAGCCCAGCAGGAAAGCCAAGCTCAGAAGCTTTGATCAGCACGTAGAACGCTCCCCCGTACCCTATGTCAATTGTTACTTGACGGCTGTTGTTCAGCTCCGGCCATTCCAGACAGGGAGGAATTGAAACACGTTGGTCAAGTCCAGCAGCGAATGAAGGAACGCTGATGAAAGAAACGGGTCTGGTTACATCTGCTAGTCTACCACCTTGAATCGTAGGCACGGTGAGGATGACGAGACCGCAAGGAGCATGCAAACGAATCGTGACTGTGCGCGTTGACTCGTCATATGGCAATGTTTCCCTCATAGCGAAAACATCCAAATCATGACAATCGACTAAGAAACGGCCAAGCGCAATGCTCGCATGGCCACACATTGTACTATAACCTTCATTCGTCAAGAACAATACGCCGATATGAGCTTCGTTCGTAGCGGTTAGTTCTGTATGAGGGCGCAGCACCGCGCCATACATCTCCGGATGACCACGCGGTTCCAGAATGAGGGCTTGGCGTAAACGGTCATGTTTCTCTTTTGCTTCCGCTCTCTGCTCGAGCAGCGTACCTTGAAGGGCAGGATATCCTTTGAAGACGATCCTCGAGGCCTCTCCAGATGTATGCATGTCCACAGCTTGAATCGACCAAGCTTCGACTGGGAGATGAATCGGAAACGACATGTCTCCTAGTTTCGTCTGTTTAACATCGAATCAGTCCATGGCAAAGATGCAGAAAGCTGATTCTGCAAAAGCGACCGGATTTCGACCGTGGATATTAGTCTTCGCATATGCGACTAAATTTTGTTGACGTCGTTCGCTTTTCCAAGGCCCACAACCGACTTGCATACAGGAACGCAGAGGCAACTTCCCGGCTTCGCGCGTTCAGCTTGCCTTATGAGTTTATCTCCGACGGAAGCTTTGTTCCTGAAGAATGCATTTCACGTGCAAAATTGAGTTCGTAAGACGGATCTCGCTTAATTATGAGATGACATGCAGAGAGCCGACTGATCTGGTTGGTGTCGAATCGAACTCAAAGCTGACAGGGGACAATGCCCTAAAGCCGGTGCGTAGAATTGAGCACACCAAGCTGCTTGAGGACCGGCCGCCGTCTTGCTTACGCGCGCTACACCACATTGTGAACCCTTGTTGCCCCGCTAGTGGCGATCATCGCGCCGTCTAGGGTCACTTGCCGAGGCTGGCCGTGCCAGACTACTTCTGACGTCCATCTCCTGATTGAGATTTAGGTTCGTTATCGAGCTGTCCATCTTGAATGTGGCATCTCCAATACCGATACACCCAGCTGCAACTACGAAAACTGCGACCAACATGAGCATCCCTGAGTTCCAGCACACGATGGTGAGTAGGTAGTGCATGAAAAACACATTGTTGCTGACACTCGGCAAGATTGGGTCCATTCCGGACCGCTGCGCGGTCATTCGAAGGTCTTTCTTAGCTCACAAGACTCGTCCACTGGAGTTTCGCCTAAAGCAGCTGAGAAAGCTTTACTGGGGGTAGGTTCTTGCGGCGAAAATGATCAAGACGATCAAGTTCGTGCTAAATCGTCGCGCAGCCTGAAAGATAACGAGCCCGCTATCATGAAAGCATGCAAGAAAGACCTGGGAAAGTCGTCTTTTGAGACCTACATCTCCGAGAACGGCTGGGTCATGAATGACATTATCTTCGTTTGCGACAACCTTGCCAAGTGGATGGAAGACGAAAAGGCCCCTGACATCGACTTCGTAAATAGCTTCCTTAAGCCCAAAATTCGAAAAGACCCACTCGGAGCTGTCCTCGTCATTGGGTATGAGCTGTGCCAACGATTTACTTTCAAGAAAGCGACGACTAATAACAGCACAGAGCCTACAATTTTCCTTTCCAGCTCTCGCTTGGGCCGGTTATCGGCGCCATTGCGGCAGGATGTACAGTTGTCCTCAAGCCTAGCGAGAACGCACCAAACGCTGCGGCTGTGATGGAGATGATCTTCAAGAAGTATCTTGACCCTACTTGCTACACTGTTATTCAAGGAGGTGTTCCCGAGACCACCGAGCTGCTTAACCAAAAGTGGGACAAGATCTTCTATACTGGCAATGACGTCGTTGGGACTATCATTGCAAAGAAGGCTGCGGAAACCCTCACACCAGTCACCCTAGAGCTCGGAGGCAAGAATCCAGCTATAATTACCAAACATGCCAATCTCCGCATCGCGGCTCGACGGCTGGTCTGGGCGAAGTGCTTGAACGCTGGCCAAGTGTGCGTGTCACAAAATTGGATTTTGATTGAGAAGGACTGCTTGCCACAATTCGTTGTGGAACTGAAGAAGGTGTTTCAAGAGTACTTCCCTGCTGGAGTGAAGAACTCACCAGATTACGGCCGCATCATTAATAACAGGCAGTGGACACGTCTCAAGAAGATGTTGGATAACACCAAGGGAAAGATACTCATTGGTGGAACAATGGATGAAGCGGACCGCTTCCTTGAGCCGACAGTGGTTGAGGTTCATGATCCTCAAGATTCACTTCTAACCGACGAGTCGTTCGGTCCCCTCATTCCCATCTATCCAGTTAAGGACCTGGATGAAGCCATAAAACTTGCTAACGAGTGCCATGACACACCACTTGGTGTGTATCCCTTCGGAAACAAGGAGGAGGTCGAGAAAGTTTTGAAGAACATTCGATCCGGTGGTGCCTCCGTCAACGATGGCTTCTTTCACGCTTCAATTCCGACTTTGCCATTCGGTGGTGTAGGTACCTCTGGTCAGGGCGCGTACCACGGCCGTGCATCTTTTGATTGCTTTACACATCGTCGTTCTATTACCGTCACCCCTAATTGGATGGAGGCAATGCTCGCGGTTCGCTACCCACCATACGCTGGGAAACGCGAGCAATTCGAGCGTATGGCTGCTAAGAAGCCTAACTTCGACCGTGAAGGCAATGTCAAGGTTGGCCTTCTCTCGTGGATTCTGACACTCGGTGCCGGCTCAAAGGGTGGCGCGATCGTGAGATATCTGCTAGTTGCATTAAGTATGTGCTTTTGATTCATGTTGACAGAATGTGCACTAATGAATGTTTAGTTGCCTTTGCGTATAAGCAATATCAAGCTCGAAAATAGCGTCTTCACTTGATATTATAGCTAGGTGGCGTTGTTCGTGGGGAGTAAGATATGCTCTGTGCTTAAAATTAGTCTATTGGCGCTCCTCAACGTCTATTCTCTTATGTTTATTTAACCAGGTTCAAAATTTGCTATCCTGATCGCGATATAACCTCGATTTTGATTTGAACATTAGCTTGTGTACACAAATGCACGGTTTTAAACCCAAGAGAATGTTGTTCGACATAAAATATTCATTTCATCTCGGATTAGCCGCGCGTTCAATGGCTGCTGCCGCTTTTTATTCACCGTTTCGAGTCTAAATTCTGCAATAATGATAACGAAGAATAGTATCTGAATACACGCACATGACGGTACGCGTGTAATGTCCTTGTGCTTTGTTGAATAAAAAAAGCTTCCTTGCATCCGAAATGCACCCACGCAAAGTGCTTTAAGACGATGTTAAAAAAAGCAACCATAGAGTATGACAACATGAATCAAAGTCTCGCCCTCCTGTATACCTTCCCGTAGCTTACCTAACCGTAGAACCAATATTCTGCCGCATATGGTACCGTGAAGGCACCTGACTGATCTGTACACTTGGCCGGAGGCTTACCACCAGCAGTTTCGACTCGATACACATAAGTAATACCTCCGTAGCTAGCACCACCTCCTATGTCAGTGAGCTCCAGCCAATCTACGGCACCCGCGTTATTCGGACCAGGGCAAGAGTCAGCGGGGGCCGCAACACCGCTCAACTTCTTCGCCGTAAGGCGCGCGTTGATTTTCGACAAGTCAAAAGTTGGTTGACCAAGGCTGTTGAAGAAATGGTGGCCAAGGACACTGCCGCCAAGTATCCTCGTCATATCTGGCTGGCCTGTCATCGTGTATAGGCCGAGCGCCAGACCGGGCAGTGTCTGAACCATGCCAGGGAAGGTGTTGAAGAATTGTCCGGCATCAAACAGGGTGGCTTTCGCCCCGACTTGGATGGGCGCGGATGCTGAATTTGGAGATGAAGCGCAGGTATAGTTCTGAGTCCCCACGCCCAGAGCAATGTATTTCAGTGTCACTGCTGGGGAAATCGACGAAGGGTCTGGTAGGCCGCTGGGAGGCAAAGAGACGGTAAATGCTCGCTTTGATGACCCTGCACTTAAGCCAGGGATGGCGAGAGCCGATGCAAATGTCGATAGACAGGCAACAACGGCGAAGAGGTGTGATGAAATCATAGTGTAATAGACTGCAGGCGATCCTGGAGGTGTTGGATTACGAAGCAAGAAAATGTTCAGTCCGATTCTCTTTTGGAATAACGAATGTTGGGTATTTCGTATAGATGATTAACCTTCCTCAGTGAATGTATATAACAAATACTTTCAAGGTGACTTCGACGAGCAGCGCTAGGGGTTGCGCAAATACTGTAAGATCAGCAACGCAGTGAAAGGAATAATTAATAGGCATGAATATAGGAGGGTGAATGAAGCCTCCCTCTACTCTTATTATATGGATTTCAAATCAGCTGTCAAAAAGCAGTTCACGATTAGGATCCAGGGTCGCGGTTCACAGGCCAGAGCTAGTTTCCTCTAATGATCTGACATTGTTGTTCCCTCATTTAGCAACAGTCCTTGTGCCTCTAAGTACGCCACGCGGCATCCGCGTGGCGAAGGTGTCAACGATGGGCCCTGGTGAGCATCCTTTGACGTCGCATTAGGGAAAGTATAAGTGCGGGACGGCTTTCAAAAGACATAAAAAAGCCCAGTAAGGTTGAAACAGGGATCATAAGAACATGTACGACGGCGGCGTGGCGCGAGTGCAGGGTTCTCAATTGGCGGAAGTATGGTCAGCCTCATCAGGCGTCGGCAGAAACAACCTGAAGATCCGATATACAAAGGCAAGGGCGTACTTCTGGGCCGTTTAGGTTGGCCTGCACAGCGGCTACAGTGGCATGCGAGAGTATAGATGCTTGACGAGGACACCTAACATCCGATTGATGGAAATAGACTGTATGCTCAAAGAAACTTGACCTTCCCTTCGTGATGTGCGGCGCAAAACCTGCCCTGCCCAGAATCAACGCAAGGTGGTAAAAGTTAGTCTGATGCTGTGAAAACACTAGTTTATGCAGCTAAATAACCAAAGCAAGGGTCAATGCTTGCAAATGTCCCGCTTTGAGCACGTAAATTGCGGGCTAATTTTTCGTGTCGTTTCCTGCGGGTGAAATTAGCCGTCTTTTCGACCACCTCTTCCGCGTTTTGGCTTTGGGAAATTGCACAGGATTCGCGGATGTCGAACTTATCATTAAACCGTGAAAGCCGAAAGACTGCCTTGCAAGCCTCCCGACGCCTCTCAATCCTTCTTTCGCAGCTCTTTGTTTTTTGCCCTCATTTTTGGAACTTCTTGGTTGCTAAGAGCCGGGCGCTTAAAGCGCCACCTCTGCCCTTTCCACCAAAATGGTCGCCTAACTGCTTGTGATGCACACTGCATATTAGGAGTGTTTGAATGACAGAAGCAAAAAGAAATGCATGTGCATATTTCCGATCACGAGTCCGACCAGGCTCTTTTTCGGACACTGTCATGGGAATAACGGTCAACCTTATCCATGGCCAGCGGCGTCAACACTTTCAAGGTGCTCAATCCACCGTCTTTGCCGCCCGTCGGACCTAGTTAGAAACATGGCAATACTTTTTTCCTTGGAGGTTCATCGTAACGTTCTAGCTCCACATAAACCACTATGGTGCGATTGCGGCCAGTGAAAGGAATTAACTTCGAGAGGTCAAGGCATTCCGCTGGGCCCACTTGTGATCGATCGCTTGAAAATCAAAGAGAACGAGCGTTTCTCATATCGTTTGGTCTGGCTTTTACCTTGAAGAGGTTATCAAAAGCTGAGACGCGAATTACGCGTCACATGCAATTCAGCAACGTAATGTTCAATGGTTGAACACAGTTTCCTGGAAACGTTTAGGCCTAGGACTTTTTTCAACAGTAAATATTCCGACCACAGAGGTGAACAACGGTCCTGTATAAGAATCTGTGTGTCATATTGTCTCTACTATAGGGCACGCCTGGCAGGGAAGCAATACTGGAAGGACTACGGCCAGAATGCTTTTTGTCGCCTCGAGATTCAGGTCATCTCAGAGTACAAGTTTACACGGACACACAGAAGCTTTTCTCGTATGTGAAGGTGGGGCGTGCATGTTACATACTTGTAGTTCCTAACTTATAACGTGTTAACCGTCTCCGAGAATCGGAGACCTGAGCTACATACAACGAAGCTAATTGTAGTACTTTGTTCCCCATGCAATGACGAGCTCGATCATTTTATTTAGACGTCCATTGGGCTTGCAATAATCGTCTCATCTGCAGTGGTTGTAACACGCACCAAGACATGGCAACAAATTCTGCCGATTCTTCAAGGCAATCAAATCTTTCCGACATTATTATCAAGAAAGACAACCTGTCAAATCAACAGGTCATCAGTCTTTTGAATGACCACTTTGAGTCTTTGGAAATGGGCAATCGAGTTAGTGGTCAGAAGGGATATGTTCTTGGACTCTCTGCACTACAAAAACCCGATGTTACAGTGTACACGGCATGGAATCAGTCGGGACAACTCATGGGCTGTGGAGCACTGAAGGAGATATCGCATACGCATGGGGAGATTAAATCCGTTCGAACCATCCCCATGTACCTCAGGAAGGGGATAGCCACTGCTCTGGTCCAGCATATACTCGATGTCGCTCGTCACCGCGGTTATCACCGCGTAAGCCTTGAGACAGGCACACGCGAGGAATTCTCTGCAGCACGGGCTTTGTATGCAAGGAGCGGGTTTGTTCCTTGCGAGGCGTTTGAAGGGTACGAAGATGCGTCGTCAGAAACAAGCATGTTCATGACTTGTCTCTTGAAATAAACAGCGCGAGCAGTCTAGATAAAGTACACAATGTCGCAAACCGCCGAAAAGCTACGTGACTCGGAATCGATGCTCGTCAATGCATACACGCAAAAATGGATGAGATATCCCAATGGCGGTAAGCTTCATTCAGCTCAACATTGGCTCATGACTGTTCATCGTTCGTGAAGTAAGTTGTGTTTTGATTGTCGGGGGCTTCGGCATCCACGGGAGACGAGAAGCTTTGTGCTTTCGGCCAATCACAGCGCGCTCTTCTCCATCGCTACCACTCCTTCGCCCTCTCAACCCCTCCCCACAAATTCCCACAGCGGTGCGGATCTGCATGTTCTGTCGGGTGTACTTAACATTTAGGGCATGGCGTGTCCTAGATAAGTATACGCAATTGAATACGGCAGGTAGAGCGAGATACAACCTCTTCATATATAAAAGCAGTCTACCTGCTCCTGTAGGATCAATGTGACTAAGACAGAGCTCGAAGTCGAGTGAAACCCTCCCCCCACCATCATGGCCTCGATTCCTCACCCTTTGCAGCACCTCTCGAAAGAGGAGACGTGCCTAGCTCGTGATATTCTCAAGCAGTCTCATTCCGGTGAGATAATTGAGTTTCGAGAGATCAGCCTCCTTGAGCCTCCCAAAGCAGAATTAACCGTTTTTCTTGACCTTGAACACAAAGGACTGCTTTCGGCTAGCAGCCCTCGTCCACAACGCCTTGCCAAATGCCATTACGACACAATCGGATCAGACAAAATACCCCGTTACAATGAATCTATCGTTGATCTCGGCCAAAAAGCCAGAATAAAGCATGAAGTGATTCCTCAGGATATTTCTCCTGCTCTCACGATGTATGTTCTGATTAGCAATGTTGTAGTAAAAGAGCTTTGTGACTAATTTGCCAACTAGAGGTGAATTTGAGGAGGTCGTTAAAGTCATTAATGCGTCGCCCATGTACAAAGCAGCGCTGGCTGAACTTCAACTACCAGACTACTTAGAGCCTATTATAGAGCCATGGCCATATGGCTCCCTTGAGCCCGATGATGACCCCAAAGGCCGATACTTCCAAGGTCTTGTCTTCGCAACAGACAAACGCAGTGGTAACCCAGACACGAATTTCTACCCATTCCCAGTCCCTCTTATACCAGTTGTTGATTACCACAAGCGTGAGGTTGTTCGAATCATAAAGCTTGCGACGGGGGGTATAGGTGAACCAGTGAATTCCACCGCCCACCCCAAGAATCCGATGGACCACTGCGTCCCGGCCGAGTATATTCCCGAATTGCTTCCAGGAGGTGTCCGTCAAGACCTTAAGGAGCTGAATGTGGTTCAACCAAACGGCCCGTCGTTCAAAGTCACGGACGACTCACTTGTCGAGTGGCAGAAGTGGAGGTTCCGAGTTTCGTTTACGCCTCGTGAAGGTGCGGTTATCCATGATGTTCACTACGACGGTAGAAGTGTGCTATACAGATTGTCCATGAGTGAAATGGTACGTATTCATCGAAAGATCTGGGAGCATCTGCCTGCTGACATCAACTTAGACTGTTCCTTACGCCGATGCCTGGCCTCCCTTTCACAGAAAACAGGCCTTCGACTTTGGCGAAGGTGGCGCTGGAGCTTGTACGAATAACCTTGCCCTCGGTTGTGATTGTCTAGGTCACATCAAGGTCAGTGTCGTTCTATGATCCAAAACTTGAGAGACATATTTGCTTACTCAAGTCTCATAGTACTTTGATTCCGTGATTCTTAAACCGAACGGAGACGTTCTTGACCATCCTAATGTGATTTGCCTGCACGAGCAAGATAACGGAATTGGTTGGAAGCATACCAATTGGCGGACCGGTCGCGCAGTCGTAACACGCAACCGTGAACTCGTTGTGCAGTTCATCATTACGCTTGCCAACTACGAATACGTCTTTGCGTACAAGTTCAACCAATCCGGCGGCATCGATATCGAGACGCGCGCGACTGGAATTGTCAGTTGCGTGAACATCGACGCCGGCAAGATAAGTGAGTACGGGAACGTCGTCAACCCTGGCGTTCTTGCACAGAATCACCAGCACATCTTCGCAATACGGATCGACCCTGCGATTGACGGGCACAAGAACACGGTCGTGCAGGAAGAATCGCTACCCGTGCCTATGAACGCGAAGACGAATCCAAATGGCAACTTCTATCAGGTCGTGAGGACGCCGCTGAAGCAGTCGCAGTGGGTGGATGCGATGCCTCAGAACAATCGAGTCTTCAAGATCGTGAATGAGAACATCAAGAATCCAATCAGCGGCAGACCCGTAGGATACAAACTCGTCCCTCCGCCGACGCAACTCCTCTTGGCAGACAAGCGATCGAAACAAGCAAAGCGGGCTGCTTTCGCTCAGCATCACCTGTGGGTGACAAAGTACCGGGATCAAGAACTGTGGGCAGCAGGTCCGTACCTCTATCATTCTAGCGAGGAGATCGGGGGCGTTCAGGACATGGTGGCGCGTGGAGATGATATCCAAAATGAAGATGTGGTGTTGTGGTCTGTCTTTGGACTGACTCACAACCCCCGAGTGGAGGATTGGCCTGTGATGTGAGTAGAAGTTCCGTACCTTGGCAATCCTGTTCTGTCTTTGCTCACGCACTCGTCCAGGCCAGTTGAGATACATCAAGTTTCATTACGTCCTGCGGACTTCTTTACAGCAAATCCAAGTCTCGACGTGCCCAGTAATCGCAATCTAGCCAGTAAACTTGAGAATGGCTCTGCTCATACCAATGGCAATGCGCAGACGTGCTGTCACCGAACGAACACGGTCGCCAATGAAAACTGATGGTTTTGTCTCAATATCGTTTCTACTGAAAGCTCCATTTTTGGATGAGCTGTAATATAGCCGACAGTTAAATGACACACATGCTCACAGCACTCTTCGTGGCGTGAGAAAAATTCGTCCCATCGCATTTACAGCGCTCACCGCAACGCATCACTAGCTCTTTACCCATCATTTCCTAGACTCTGAGGTGCACCCAGAAACACCAATGACGCCACGCTTATTACTTTTGCTTTCAATTCGCGTCCTGTCGAAGCACCTAGTGTATCTTACAGATGCAGAGAAGTTCTTGCGATCGAAGCTTATCTCCTCCCCAAGTAGCTCTTATAAAAGTCCTCTGCAGCATCGTTGCCCACGTTGTGCCAACCATTTGCACTGGAGCCAAGACCAGCTCGATCCCTTTTTGCTGCATCAACCTTTTCTTGTAACTCTCGTGCTCCCGTATCTATGTCCGAGAGCTGCTGAAGATGCGAGTTGAGCACGCGAACGATATTCGACAGCTGTTCATCAATCAGTACAAACTCGTTGGTCAAATGGAATTTCAAGGCAGCATACCTGGTCATCGGGCCCTGTGCTCTTGCCCACCATTGCACTAACGCTATTGACTTCATTTATGACCTCTCCCAAGTCGCGGTTCAAATCCTCGAGTCGCTGTGTCACACTCTCAGCGAGCTTGTATACCTTTTCTCTCTCCGCATCAACGCCTCCTGCAACACCACTTTCCATACCAACGCCAGTCTTGCGAATCATATCCTCGACTTCAACCTCATATTTGCTTAACCATTGCTCCAATTCATCTTGTTCGTTCTCTACAGCATGAATTTGTTTCTCAACCTCGCTTGCATCACGCTCCGCTTGAAACGCCTTTGCGTACAATTTCGAGATTTTCTCGGTGTTTTTGACCAGCAGGGCGTCCCATGCTGCAACCTGCTTGGCAGACTTTTGAAATTCCTTCTGATACTTAGAGAGATCAGCAGCCCAGCGGGTGAGAATTTCATCCATTGATTTGTTTTTCAAGCGAGACCGTGCGTCGGCAGAAGGAGCTGCGGCTGCGGCTGCTGCCGTTGCGGTTGAGGCACCGGGCGCCGAACTTGACGTTGTGGTAGCTGCTGGCGCCGCACTGAAGAGACTACTTGCAGGAGCTGCTGAGCTTGTACTTGCAGAGGCACTAAAGAGACCTCCTGCCGATGCAGATGTTGTAGCTGCAGGGGCAGTTGAAGTAGATGCCGGTGAGGATGTTGTTGCAGCACTTGAGGCTGCAGGGGCCGTGCTCTGTGACCCAAGGCCACTGAATAATCCACTGGAGGGTGCTGTGGTTGCGGGAGGTTTAGCGCCAAATAAAGAGGGTGTAGCTGCGGATGTGGCGGCCGATGCTTTTGTCGTTGACTGGGCATTCGATGCAGGTGCCTGAGCTGTGGTCGTAGAAGTTGTGGCAGGCTTGCTTGTAGCGCCGCCAAACAATGAAGGAGTAGCTGGTTTTGATTGATCAGCTGGTTTAGAAAAGCTAAACAGACCGCCGGATGACGTTGGTTGCGACGAAGTAGCAGGGGCAGTCGATGATGCAGGTGCAGTCGTGGTAGATTGTGTTCCAGCTGCCGCGCTGTTTGCTGGTTGGCCAAATAATCCAGAACTCGTCGCGCTTGATGCCGGGGCAGAAGCTGACGGCTTTGCACCAAACAAGTTTGTGGTACCTGTAGATTGCCCTATACCACCAAAAAGACTTGTCGTTGAGCCTGAGGAAGGGGCCGGCGCTGCGGGTGTTGTTGAGCCAAATAATGGCTTTGTCGTATTTAGTGAGCTGGATGCTCCTCCAAAGAGCCCACCTCCTGCCGTCGGTGCACTCGTTGTAGGTGGAGTCGCTGCTGGGGTTGTCGATCCTTGCTGACCAAAGCTGAACAATGATGTCTTTGGTGCCGCGGGAGTTGCAGAAGGAGCAGAAGACGTTGCTCCAGTAAATAACGACGAGGAGCCTGAAGCCGATGATGTTGTTCCACTTCCAAAGAGACCGCCGGTTGAAGGCGCACTCGATGCCGGCGTCTGCGCAGCTGTTGTGGGCTGCTTGTTCTCACCTCCAGACTTCTCACCAAAGAGCCCTCCACCAGAAGTAGCGCCGCCAAAGAGGCTTGTTCCCCCGGATCCTGAAGTCGCCGTACTGCCAAACGAGAAGGTTGGCTTAGATGTGCTACTTGCATTGTTCGCTGTGCTGCCAAATAAACTTGTACTAATGGTGTTTCCTGTCGAAGCCGGGGCGGTGCTGGTGCCTCCAAAAAGAGGCGTCGAGGACGAAGTCGTTGCGGAGCCAAACAGCCCACCCGTTGTGCCTGAGGTCGCGCCGAAGGAGGGTGCTGTGCTGCCAGACGACGCTGGCGTGCTGCCGAAGGTGAAGGTCGACATCCTTGGACGGATGACTACGAGGTGTGCGGCAGCGCTTGAAAGATTTTACCAAATAATACGACTCTTGAACCACGTCCGATGACGCAGATGAAGAAGTCGATGGAGCGTAAAATCAATGGAACGTGGTCAAGGTTGATCCACGAAGCGATTTCTTTTGCTTGCGCTTCGTTGACGACGCGCGAAGTTGATGCTTTAGCACGGACAAGGCTACGTGTCTGAGGCAGCAAGGCCGCGCTTGAGATTCTGCTCGTCCACGAAGTCCAAAGCTACCCTGGGCTTTGGCCTTGCTGCGGTGATGGAACACGAACATCCTTCCGTGCCCACTTTCGTCGTGGCTGTGTAGCAACCAGCTTTTTTCCATGCCCCTCCTTTGTGCTTGATTCCTTTGCCCTCCAGGTTCTGTCTCTGGCCTTCTGGATCCCTAGAGCAGCGCAGTGGAGAAGCGAGAATAAGCCAATAGTCAAAATGAGCGGTGAACTTCAGCCTCCAGAGACCAAGCACCACGCATTGGAGGACACTGGAGCACATGAGCTTGGTAAGAGCTTATCCGCGCCTTCATATTCGGTCTCGTCAAGCTTACTCAGCAACAGCCTCTTCAGACGACGGTAGCGATGACTTTGTCGACGCATCGGAAGGCGAACGTCCCCACATTCGACCAGGCGGTGAATCACCTATTCCACTTACACGGGTAGAGAAGGTTGATGATGAGCCATCTTATGGCGAGGTTCCAGGCACTCCAGCATACAACAACCGGATTGCAGATGCTGTTCCCGACGAGATAGAAGTTGTTCCTGAAGGGACACGATCACGGAGTGCATCCAGAGTTTCTCGACCCTCAACACCAGGCGGCACTCGTATCCCCCGCATGATCGTGGAGAAAATCGACCCCGACGTGCCGAGCTACGGCGATGTTCCAGGCACAGCGGCATACGAGATGCGTAAGGCAGACGCCGAGCCCGACGAGATTGTGAGGAGTCCAGATTCTGCCCGGGCTCCAGCCAACCCTTTCAAAGGTATGTGATTGCCCGCCGGCCCGCTGTCCTCCCAGCGAGCGATTGACAGGACAAGCATCGCCAACTGCGAGCAATATTAGATCCACTGGTGACCTTGACCGGGACCAAATAAGTCTTGACGATCGCTCTGATGACCCTGGCGGCGGTGAAGACGAAGCCGACGACGGAGGTTTTGGCGATGATTTTGATGATTTCGAGGAGGGACAGGAGGCTAATGCCGACGATGATGACTTTGGGGAATTTGATGAAGGTTTCTCAGACGAACAGACACATGCACCTCCTGATCCTTCGCAGCCTCCTTCTTTACCATCTATTGTAAGCACGCATGACTTCTCCTGTAACGAGCAGACGACCATAGAAATGATATGCCACGCGGTGTCTTGCACCCGTCCTATCCCATCGCTTCCCTGTTCTTCTGCTCTTGTTACATAAACGAGCTACCAATCTCCCTGCCATACCTTTTGGCCCAGCAACACGTGAGATTATGCTGACTGAGGATGATTTCTCAGCCTATAGCAGACTTCAGGGATGCGAACGATATCGAATCTATCCAATCTATTTGTGCACCTTATCTGCGGGCTCTTTTCCCATCCTACCCACCAACCACTTCTTCCAGCTTGCCGCCGCCTAATCAGCAGATATTCCTTTCCGAAAGAAGCGCATCGCTCTACTCCCAACTCATAGCACCGCCCCCCTTGGCACCACCTAATTGGCTACGCAGTCGCATCCGGCGCTTGTTCCTCGTATCACTCGGTGTCCCTGTTGACTTGGATGAGATTCTTCCGGCCAGCAAGCAGAAAAAACTGGTGCTCCCCAGTGGGCTGCTTAAGTCACCTGATCCTAACAAGGAAAAGTCACCTCGGCCTTCGAGCGATGACAGGAGTCAACTAGGCAAGCTGAAAGCCGGTCACGACTCTGACGCATCGCTCACTAGCACAGCATCTGGCAAGCAACGGAAGTCTAGGCGAAAGGCCGGCAACAAAGAGGTCGAGCAGCCTCCAGAATTTGATACCGTGGCTGCTAGGAGGCTTGCACAAACAACGCAGGAGAGAATTGATGGTATGAGTGATAAGGAGCTGAAAGAGCATATCAAGGAAGTTGAGAGAATGAATGAGAAAGGGAGGGAATATTTGGGCTACTGGCAGCGAAAGGTGGAAGAAGCTGGACGGGAGAAGGAGGCCTTTGAGGGCGTGATAGAAAATCTGGTCAATTTTGCGAGGAAGGTCAGAAAATAGGTATGTCCATTGAGCTCCTAGATTGTAAATTAAACCGTGGTTGGTTTGATCAACCCCAGAGTCGATTAAGTCCACGTCTCGGTGTTGAACACTCACCTTTCTTCTATCAGCACAACTCCGGTTCCTTGAAACCTGCCCCGTGACTCGACGTCGGTCTCCGTTCGGCGAGTTTTTTTATGTCGAATCGACATCGATACCCGAATTACCCTTAGCATCAAGGATGAGCCGATTGATTAAGACATCCGCTTTGTGCATAGCAAATGCCCTACGTATTCTTCACGCATTGCAGAACCGCTAGAGCTGATATGGAAGGCCGTATTTATTTTCATCGGCCATCAGATCCCATGTATTCACCACTTTTGTATGGAGGTCGCTCCGCTTATTGCATCCTCCTAGTTCGACATCTGTTTCGACTTGGAGCATCGAGTGCGACCCGTCCGCTATACGCAGCCCGCGAGACCCCGGTGTGCTTGCATGTTTGGAGACCGTGGGCGAGAGTACGGCTCTAGGCTTCGCCGTCGCGCTGTCGTTAGACGAAGCTCGATGTTCCAGTGCGTGCCGGACGTGGACATGCGCTCGATGGTGGCTTCACTTGGTGAAATTTGCTGCGCTTGGTGATCAAGGCCTACCGTGTACCCGCCGACACAAAAGAGCGCTTTTTGCAGCGACTCTCGAACACCCACGCCCCTTTTCTTTACACATAGATGGCTGCCCCTTTTGGGCCCGTGACGTTCATTGGTTCAGATCTTGTCTCCTGGTGATGCGAGCCAGTGCGTACCATTGGTTCCTGTCACGCTGTCGACTCTAGGGCAGCACGTGAAGCAGGAAGTATGCGAGATAGATGTCCTCAAACGCCAGGTCTTGCTTGCGTAAAGAAGAACGAGCGCATGAGCCTCCGAGGACTGGGTAAGTTTATCTCACTTTCCCTCTGATCTTGTCTTCGGTGCATCAGTAATCTTCGCTCCTCCTTCTCCACCACCACCATTTGTTTCCTGCAGTTTCCTTCTCCATCTTGGGGGATTGTATCATGCTAGCAAGGCTTGTGCTCTGGATACAACGTTTGAGAGACTTCGTGAAGGCGGAAGAAGTGATGATCCAGAAGGCCTTTCGCCGTGGAAGAATCAATGCCGCTTTGAATTTTGAACCCATTTTGGACATCAGTTCTTCCGTATGAGCCATATAGCATTTTGCACAAACTATTTGTCCTCTCGTCTTGTCTTGAAATTCTGGCAAATTCTTCTACCTTTCTGGCCATTGCGCATCAACCTCGGTTCTTTCATTTTACTGTCGAAAACAAGTGAAACGAAGTGTGTCCCCTCTTCACTTCCACGAGCTTTTTTCTTCCCTCTCCTGTTGTCCTCTCAGTCCTGTAAAGTTCTGTCCTGCCTCAAAAACACACAACGGCACTTAGCCAAGACTGTGGGGCTGCGGGCCGTTCATCCCTGCATCTCGAATCGGGTCGCGTCCGTGAACACGCGCAGGTTGAATGCCAGCACGAAGTACCACCAAAATTCCACAAACCGCGGCGAGACGCCCACTCATGCTCCAGGTCATCGCATTGCCTTGCTCTCGTCTGTGTCGAGCTTCCTTGTCACGCTAACTGCCGCGATCATGGCGGTCAACACCAGGCTGCACAATGCGCCCATAGTGCTCGACAACGGCAGCGGCACCATACGAGCTGGGTTTGCTGGAGAGGACCTTCCGAAATGCTACTTTCCCTCGTACGTGGGTCGACCGAAGCATGTGAGGGCGATGGCAGGTGCTCGCGAGGGCGACGTATTCATCGGACCCATGGCACAGGATTTGAGGGGCCTCCTGAAGATAAATTACCCTCTCGAGCACGGCATCGTGACGGACTGGGATGATATGGAGAGGATATGGCAATACGTCTATCAGGAAGGGTTGAAGACGTTGAGTGAAGATGTGGGTTCAGATGTGCGATTTTGACACACGTGGAAGCTGATACTGTGGCAGCATCCGGTCCTGCTCACGGAGCCCCCGCTGAACCCGAGGAGTAACCGTGACTATGCCGCGCAGATACTGTTCGAGACGTTCAACGTGCCCGCTCTTTACAACTCAGTGCAAGCCGTCCTGTCGCTGTACGCATCGGGAAGGACGACGGGCATAGTTCTGGATTCAGGGGACGGTGTGTCACATGCAGTGCCTGTGTACGACGGATTCGCAATTCCCAACAGCATCAGGCGGATCGACGTGGCAGGTCGAGACGTCACCGAATACCTGCAGACGCAGCTGCGGAAGGCGGGTTACATCTTTCATACGAGCGCGGAGAAGGAGATTGTCAGGGAGATCAAGGAAAAGAAGAGCTACATTGCTCTGGACCCCAACAAAGAAGAGAAGGACTGGAGTGGTGCGACCTCGAAAGCAAGCAGCAGGGAAATCGACTACGTGCTGCCGGACGGCAAGACCATCAAGGCAAGAACCTCAAGACGGCCGATTGCTCTTCTGCGTAACGTGTCGCTAACCGCCTGCTACAGCTTGGCCCAGAGCGCTTCCGTGCGCCGGAGATATTGTTCGATCCAGAGCGTATAGGGCTTGAATATCAGGGCGTTCATCAGATCGTGGTCGAAGCTATCGCAAGGACCGACATGGACCTGCGCAAGGCGCTCTACAGTAGCATCGTGCTGTCAGGCGGCTCTACGCTGACAAAAGGCTTCGGCGACAGGTTATTGCACGAGGTACAGCGGCTCGCTGTTAAAGACATGCGCATCAAGATTTTCGCGCCTCCCGAGCGCAAGTACACGACGTGGACCGGAGGCAGTATATTAGCAGGGCTGAGCACGTTCAAAAAGGTAAGTCTTTCCTCTCTTCACATGGAACAGAATTTTCTTTTCTTTTCACTTTTTTTTTTTCAATCACAGGTCTTGCGTCCCTTTCGATGGTCCGGTCTGGCTAACGAAAAGGCTGATTGGCAGATGTGGGTGGACAAGGACGAGTGGCAGGAGAACCCAGACATAATACACCAAAAGTTCGCATGAGGACGAGCAGCGTGCTCACGCCATAGGACGTGTTCCTCTCGCCATCATGATCATGATCCATAATTGTGCTCCACAGTACGGACCACGCGGTGAGATGTTTCGACGATGAGGCGATGCGTGTCCGGTACAAAAGGCGATTCTCATTTCCCTGTTAAGGCTGACAAGTTACACGTCCACCAGGGCCTCCCAGCCTATCACCAGCTCACGTTTCGGGCCGTGATGGTTCACTCTTCACTTAGTCTGCTTGCGCATTCTCCGCAATGCTGGGGCGAGCTAGTTGAAGGGTCGCGTTACAGTTCCGGGGCAACGGGGCACGTTTCCAGGCATAGAACCCATCTCGCTCTTCCCCTCCCCCCCATCCCCCCTCTCCTCCACTCTTCTTTGGTTTCCATTACGAGATCACTTACGAGCACATAATGCATGGGGCTTGCGTAACTTTTGGGCAATGTGGAAAGAAAAAGTTTCTGGTCTTCAGCAAAGGGGGAAATTTTCGTTTTCCCTAGACCGGAGCCTCATTTGGGTGAGATCGATGATCGTTGCGCGTTAGGTTTGTGCCTTTTGAATGCATGATACCCAGGACAACGTGTGGTAGCATCTCAGCGAGGCGAGAAGGATGAACGAAGCTGGTAGCATTTTGACACCTTCAATTGAATACGTACAAGAGAGTTGTGTGCAACCGTCACCTGTACATCCATCACTACGTTCCATGCTGCACTTTGATCGATTCCCAAGTGATGGACGTGATGGACGTGATGGATGTGATTGACGGAAGGCAAGGAAGGAACCCCGGTCCGTGCTATGCATATTGGATTTGTCAAGGATAGCCTTTCGCAGCAACATTTGCATTATTGTTAGCATGTCGAAAACAAATCATCCCTTACGTGCAGATTTTGCAAGCGCGGACCCGCTTACAAGCTGTTGCAGGAACACTTTTTGCGGGGAAAGCTTGCTAGTTTCTCAGACGCCTGTCCGCACCATAGTCATTCGCGGGAAAGGAACGAACGGTTGCGGGTCAAGCGGCTCTCGAACGAGAGATTCTAGTCCAGCTCGGCAGCGCCAAGTGCAGGTACACGAAATTTTTTATTTTCTCGCCTCTCAGCGCCGGTGGGTTGGCCGCAACGGCTGGCAAACGAGAAACGAGGGAGAAACAAGAGGCCAGGACAGTAGTGAGTCAGATCACGGGTCTGGAATTCCAGAGAGGCGCCGTCGGAGAAAGCTGAAAAGGCCCAGAGACAGGTTCCCAATTTTCCTTTATGTTTCTGTGCGACGTGTTTCGCAACAGGATGCTGGGACTCACAAGGCACGTAGGAACCCTTGGCCTGTCGTGGATCTGGTGGAATAGATTTTGCAGCACGGCGACATCTGGGACTAGCGGTAGCGTGCAGCAAGCACGAACACGGATTGGCCCTTTATTTTTTTTCCCTTTGCTGACCGACTATGGCGCAAGGCTCACGCCAAATGATGGGTGCACATCGAGGTGCGTTGCGAAAGGCGGGCGGCCATGATTTGAGGCTGGATCATTCTCGCTGCAGCGGTGCAGAGGACTATACGAGAACAGGACTGATGCCAAACAAGCTGAGGCGGTAAAGCCGAGGACTTGGGAACAGGGCGGGCGAGGAGCACGAAGGGGCTGCAGGAGAAGCGAGCACAGCGGGCACAGCAAGCGTCGCAGCGCCGGGTTGGAAGCAACGAAGCATGTGGAAAATGAATGGCGAACAGGACGCTCTCGTGATGGAAGCACGTTGTCACGACAGGCGAAGGGCAGAGTTTCTGTTACCCCCAGGATTGCTGCGAGTGGTCGAGCCCGTGGCGGCAGGAGCTTCTGCGCACGCACACGCCGCTGCCAGTCTGGCTTTGCCCAGCACGAACCCCCGGCGCGGGCGTGACGTAAAGGATTCGCGCCGGAGCCACTCACAGCGCAGAATTTTACGTGAGCTCTGCGCGTGATTGGCTCGCTTCCACCGCCCCTGGCAGCCACGACCGGCCAGCACCCCAGGCCGGGTCAGGCGGGCTGCCCGTCACGTGCGGGCTGCAGGATTTTCAGGCACGCGTTGCGGCCGGCCACTACGGACCTCCCCAGCGCGCGCGGCCACCCCCGCCTTGGAGTTGCGTCCTGCGCTGGTTTTTTTTGCCGCCTGCGCTCGGCTCCGCAATTTCGCATCGTTTCGATCGGCGTTTGGCGATGGCTATGTTTACTTCGACCGCTAGACCTCCATGTACCGCTACGGCTACCACCTGACGCGCCTGACTGCCGTTAACTGCAAAGCGCGTCGCTTGGGCAACCTGCCAATGCTTTTGCTCAGAGCCCCCCCTCGCCCTTCCGTTGCCTTCTGCGCAGCCACTGGCCCTGCGTGTGACCCAGCAAAGCAAATTTCTCGACGACGTGCTTGCCGTTAACTGAATAGGCTGAGACCCTCTGGGTGTGTGTGTGACGCAGAGGTCCTGCTCCATTATTCATCGCATGCAAACCTTTTCCTCCTGGCGCCTTGGTAGTACCTTTCCTCCATATTTAAGAGCCTCGCCTCCTACCCCGTTGCCCTCTCTCACCGGATCAGAGCAAAACTTCATCTCGTCTGTGCATCCAATCTCGCCTCGTTCCATCAGGAAACCGTTGCCATCAGTCATCTGCACCAGCCATCCGAAAAAACCCCATTGCAAGCAACTGCTCATCGCACATACGTTCTGCACAATGTCTCGCAACTACAGCATCACCGAGCCACACCCCTCGGTCGCCTCTGCCCACTACGCTAGCTACGGCCGTGGCGGCGCTGGCAACTACGTCCGCATCAACCCCAAGAACATCACAAATGGCGCTACCGCCGAGGGTCCCGCCTCCGTAACCAAGCTCCGGACACCTCCCCCGGACAGCTACTTCGCTGCCGGTCGTGGTGGTGCCGGCAACGTCCACAGGGAGTCCGAGCGCGCCATCTTCAGCTTCGACGAGGAGCTTGAGCGCCAGCAGAAGATGCTGGACCACCAGACCCCCTACTACCACATCGGCCGTGGCGGCGCCGGCAATCTGGTCGAAGAGCAGCCCAAGCGACGATCCAGCGCCAGCAGCAGTGAGTCCACACACAGCGTGAGACACTCCATGGAGGCCGGGCTGAACAAGATTCGAGACTCCTTCTCGCGCCGCTAGGCCATCTTGTCGCTCGGCGTTTTCACCACCATTTACGTTCATCGTCAACTGGGTTCCCGCGCACCGCTTACCCTGTTTGACGAATCATTGTCACGACCATCTTCATCATCATCATCATCATCATCCTCACGTGTTGACGGGCGGGCTGGTTCTGATTCCCGCTTCATGGACTTGTAAAGTCAACCAACTTTGTAGAGCATGGCGTTGGAGGTAATCGCATCATGGCGGAATAAAATAAAAAACCTAATTCGGTTCCTTGGGTCTCGGGCGTCATCCTTTGGGGCTTTTTTTTTATCCTGGTGGGGATTGTTACGAACTTTATTCAGCATTATACCACAACCGGCGAGGAGCATAGGGGGACTCCTCGGTGAGGGCTCTGCAAACGTTATAATTGTTACATTAGTTTCATGATCGAGGTGGATATACCCAGATCGCTTCCCCTTTTGATGTCCGGGAGGAACAAGTGCTAAATAGCAATTCTGAAATCGAAAACATCACAAGAAAGCTTACCGAAATACCGCGTTACCCACGTGCTTGGTTTTTTTGTTTTAATGTGATTCTTTCCCTGCGTCCATTCTCCTGATGGACTTTTCGCCAATTCCCATCGCGGCCACCTGGCGCGCAAAGCAAAAATCGGCCGAAACTTCGGCGCCACTCTGTAAAGTGGCGTCTGGGGTACAGCCACCAGACCCCTTTGACACAAAAAGCACGAAATATGATGTCATGTAGCGGGGAACTGACGATACTCTCGAAAGGCTTGGAAAGAAAAAAAAATTTTTTTTTCTTTCCTCTTCCCTGATGTGGCACGAGCATTCCTCAAACTGCCGTCGGTAACCGACTTCTCCGTGCCATCGAGACGATCTTTTGAGTCCTTTACGCATCGATCGTCTGCTTCGGAGATCATTCCGAGCATGACCCGTCTACGCCGAGTTCGCGGCTCGGGTAACTCCCGCAAAGGTAAGATCGCCTGTGTCGTACGTTCCACAAATCTCCTGAGCACAAGAGACGAAGAAGCCGTAATGCCCAAGTGGACGAATAAAGTCGATGGCGTTTCGGTGATTCGACAGTCGCCTACGATTTGTTTTGATGGCTAAGTTTGGGGGGTTTCCATGGGACTGCGTCCATGCTTGCATGTCCACTTTTGGCAGTCATCTGCTGATGATATAAGACTCGTTCGAACGCGCACAACCTTTCGATGGTAGGATCGTTAGCGGGGCCGACTCGGCGCGCTTGTATATTTGTCTCGGCGATCTCTGGTTACTTGCTCCTCGAGGCGTGCGCTGTCCGTGTCAGCACCAACGTAAAAGCAGGTCAGCCGATCCGAGATGCCTTCTGAGCACCACGACACTTGCAGTCACAGTGATCAACTGCAAGGGAAAAAAGAGAGCAGAGCATCCGCTTGGGCCACTAATTCATGATGATCACGCTCAACCTTAGCTGTTCGTTTCTTGACTCCACCGATTTCAGTGTACTTTTTCCTTTGCTGCCCAGTAGATGATGAACCTCTAAGAGGTTGATAGCGATTGAAAGCCAACGACGATTCTGAGCGGTGTGACGGACAGCGTGTACTTGGTCGTATTCTCTTTCCTCCTCTTCTATCGGACATGGTCCCTTCCTCAGAGAAATTTGATGGGTAAGCCCAAGGCAAGCATTGTAGGCGCCGGTCTCACTGGCCTCTCCGCCGCCACCGCCCTTCGGCGGGCGGGATGGGCATGCACGCACCATGAACGTTCAACTTTTGCCAACCAGATCGGCGCCGCCATTTGAGCGAACCCGTCCGGGGTACGAGTGCTTCAGCATTGGGGCTTCGACTTTGCGAAGGCCCAAGCGACGACCGACGAGATCGTGGTCATCAGAAACGGAGCAGACGGTAGCGAGGTCGTGAGCGACATAGTTATCGTGACTGGCGGGGCCAATGTATGCAGTTCCTAAACACATGCGTACATGACGGGAATCTTAGGGTACGTATCAAGCAGAGTACTCTTGTGAATACGGTAAACGGCTCCAAAACGAGGCCACCGCGACAGGTTTTATCATCTTCCGCTTCCTCCTACCGAAGCGCATGATTCTTTCTGTTTCTGAGATAGGCGAACTCTATACGCATGACAAAACAGGATTCCACATCAGTCTTGACTTTCAGCACGACGTCCTTTACATGAGCTACCCGTGTCGCAACAACACCGTTCTCAACTCGGCGATGGTGCACAACACTCGTGGAGATCAAAGCAGTCAGACGTGTGGAATTCACAATCCACTGTCGACCAGCTTATGGATACAGGACGCAACTTTCACCCGACCATAAAGAAGTATTTCGAGCTGTGTGAAGAGGACGGCATACGTGTTCACCACGCGACGAGGCGGTCGCCTCACTCATCGTTCATCAAAGGCCGCGCACTTGTGATGGGAGACACGGCAAACGTCATGCTGCCCACACATGCAGCAGGCCTAACAGTGACCACCGAAACCCCAGCCGCTTTGGAGCCAATCATGAGCGCTGTGAAGGCTGGAGACTAGGCTTCCGTCAAAACGCGACTAGCAATCCGGGACAGATTGAGGCTTCCCAGGTGCAACTTCGTAATGTTGATGAGCAACGTGGGGCCCGCGGGCTTGAACTTTCCAGGCGTCGAAGAAGAGATAAGAAAATACTATCGCGAGCCGCCGGTGCCTAAGGACGCGGGACTGTGGACAGAAAGAACTATAGAGGTCTTCTTTGCTTGCGATGCGCTCAAAGAGGTGCAAGAAGCCATTGCGACCGTTTAGAGAGGCGCGGTCTGCCATTGAAATGCCTCTGTTGCGCCTATAAAAGTCGTGACGCAGAGTCTAGGTAAAGAGAGCTTGCCTTTGGCTTGAAGATATGAACTATAGACCTAGATATTATCTGCCAACAGAACGGGTAGCCTTGGATCCAAGCTGATGAAAGAAGTGACGTCATAGCCGTGGGGACATGGGTGGTTATGCTTGTAAATCTTGGTCTGGAGACATCGTAGTTGAACATGGCAATAAAGACGATGCCGGCCTTTCTGCGGCGACAATTACAGATAACCGCAAAGGCTCGGTAGCCCTTAAGACTTGGTTGCCCTCAATAATCCAACTCGTGATCTGGTTGGAAGGAGCAACTTCTAGAGTGTGTGCAATGAAGTCTGTACAAGGCGGGATGGAGGATGCGAAAACAGCGACCAGTACCTGAATTCGAGAGCGAAAAATTGCGAATGTCACGATGATTCGCGACTTTGAGCAGTATTCGTGACTAGAACTTCACCGTCGGTTATCTTCTCCCAAACTTTCCAAATCCCCTACCTGATTGGCGACACGTGGTGTGGTTTACAGCCATCGCGGATTGGCCGGGCACGGCCCATCTCCTCTCCTCGACATTGCCAAAAGATAGGCTTTAATCCGTTCGCGGCCGTAGACGAAACACGAAGTAAAGACGTACTTGTACAAGCCCGGCAGCCATCGCGACGCTGACGCATAGAACGGACCAATGGCACTTTCGACTCTGCTGTTCCACTAACTGGGTACGCTTCGTATTCGTGATGTTGTGACACCACCATTGCCGATCACGTTCGGGATGCTCGGTCGACATCGATCGTTCCCTGATTGTACATATTCCTTTCTTGGACCGATCTGTTACGAGTGATCGGCCATGTCGTTCAATTGAGCCGCCGGCGCCTTCACGATGCCTTTGCTGCGACCCATCAACCTTCCTGCGCCCCTGATCGTGCAGTCTGTGACTCTCGTCGGGTTTGGCATCTACACCACGTTCTTTCGCGGACCCATATACTCCACCGCGGACGGTCACTACTCCTTGTTTGTTCCCGCTAACCCGTCGCCACGGGTGGCCGACACGCTCACGCTGCTCGGCATCGTGACCACAGGGCTGCAAGGCGCCTACCTCATCTCTTCATACATGCCCCTTGAGGAGAATCAGTTCGTTCACGCGAGTGTTCCCGCGCGCTTGTTCCTTTCCGCTTGCATGTTGAGCGTGTGCCTTGTTCACAGACCGCATATGAGCTCGGGTGGGTTCAGAGAGCTTCTGACACTAGGTCTGGTTGATGGTGCTGCTGCTGCTGCTCTTGGGTTTCAACTCGGAAGGTTTGACGGGATGGTGAAGAACGCTGAGCGATGGTTGTAAACATGGATACTTTGCTGATTCTTCGTTAATCTCAACTCATATACGGACCATAGCAGCACGAGAGCGACATCTACGGGTTGTAGGCAGCAAGGATATGAATCTTGGTGCGACTGGCGTTTGTGGTCACCCTATAGAAGCTTCGCTGCGTGGAATCGAAGTTGTCAAAATGCTCTACTCCTCCAACAGACATAGAGCCTTATCATTATGGAGAAAGATTTCCGTCTTGCTAGACAAATCAAGATATATCCATTGTGCATTACATAGGAGAGCAGACAAAAATGCGATCTTGTCAGTTCTGGGGTATCTCACTCTTTCTCATCTTAGCCAGCGAAACGCCGTAGTAGTGCTTCCTGAGAGTATTTAGAAATCAAACCTCTATCAATAAACAAGCCCACGCTCTCCATACACACCAAGTATAACTGTGCAAAAAAATTGGCATTAATATCAACCGGTACCAAGACTCTCTCTCAATGCCTCCTCATCAATCACGGTCGTGACCACCTGTTTTGATAACTGCGGCTCAGGTCCAAAACCGAAAATGGGGCCTTTCTGATTGATCCCTGGCGCCCTCAAGATGACTTTCGGACCGGAAGAAGCAGTACCTGCTTTAGACTTTACGCTGGAGCCTGTAGACGAGATAGATGCTGTCTCCGCTGATGCATGGGACTCTATAGGTTGAGAAGGAGGCGGCGGCGGTGGTTGCGGCGGCACAGCGCTATATCCCCAACGTCCCATGACCCACTGGCCAAGCTGCCCCATACTCGATTTCTTTGATAGTGGGGGAGTAGGTCTGCTACGCTGGCTTGCCGCAAGGGAGGACAAATACGAGCGGCTGTCCCCGGAAGAAGGTGATCTCGATGTAGACAATGCAACCGCACTTGTATCGCTGACAACCGCTTGGCTCGTAGACGGGGAACCAGCCGAGAACATACGTCGCTGTCCTATCAGCAACTGGCTCGGACGAGATTGTAGGGTGTGTATATCAGCACCATGCACGGAGATGATGCTTTCATGTGAAGCCGCTCTACGCAGCTTGGGTATGTCCCGTGGCGGTGACACTTCTTGTGCTGCAGTCTTTTCATGTTGTTGTCGCGGCTTATCTGAAGGTGTTGTTGGCCGCTCGGTGTGTGAACTGTCCTCGTACTCGTCTTCTTCAAGGATGACGGAGTGTTGGCTGTTGTTCTGCCAGGTATCATAGTCCAGTTGTGGGGACTCGATTTTTCCTTTCCCTTTTGTGGAACTGGAAAGTTGCCGACCAATGGGTACAGCTCCATCGGAGACGGTGCGCATGCTTTCATCAAGACTAAATTTCTGCACAAAATCTTGCCTCACATGTTTGAATTCGTTGCTGACGTCTCTTGGACTGAGCACTTCACTCTCTGGACTCGTCGGACGGGAAGCATCCGTTGCTGCATCGCTGAACACGCGATCAAATACGGAGTCACCATATGGCGAGCTCGGCAGGGATGAGAAGTTCGAATAACCGGTCTGATTAGACTGTATAGACCATCGCTTCGGGGCGACACGAGCTTGCTGGGGCAAACTTGCCGAAGTATGCGATATGATAGCTGACGCCGTGGGTGAATGAACCGATGAGACGGAGCTTCTGGGTGTATGGCTCGGTGGCAGGAAAGAGCCGGACGAGAGACTAACCCGCTTCTTCTTCGTTCTCCGTGGAAACTCCCGTCGAATCTGCTTTGGAGTTTCGACTTTCTGAGGCGGCGCATGGTAGTGGTGATGTACATGCAGCTCCTTCGCACTCAGCTCAGCTCCCAAATTCGGAGTTGAAGATCGTTGCACAGGAGACTCTGGCCCATCTCCTGTCGCCATGAGATGCCGTAGTCGCTCAACTTCCTCATTGGACCGATCCAGCATCTCTTTAAGCTCCACGATACCCATCTGCAGGTTTGCATTGTCCTGCAGGATGTCCTTCACAAAACTTGAGACCACAGTATTTGTTCCCCCTCCAGGCATCGTCTTTGCTGCTGCTGCACCTTTCAGGCGTCCGGCTGCGTTCTGGAGCTCCAGCTCTACGGCTCTTCTGCGCTCCATACGAGCGATAATTTCGCTGTGGCGTTCTCTTTCTTCTCTCGCTTCCCGCTCAATCCTATCAAGCTGGTCTTGCAGATCATTGATCGTTCGCTCCGCCTTCTGTGCCCGTAATATAGCCGTTCGCTCGTCTTCCTTGGTAACCTTCAACATCTCCTGCAGTCTCTCCTGCTCCTGCTCAAATCTCTGCAGCTGATCCTGCAGTCGTGCTGTCCGAGCAGCCAAGCTCGTCAGGTGCTCAACATTCTGGTCGGCAGAGCGCAGCGCATCCGTGAGTGACAAAATTTTCGCGTCCGACTCGATGACTGCCGTGTTCAGAGCCTCTAGCTGTTCGAGCAGCTTTTTATTCTCCTCAATTGCATCCCGATTCCTCGTCTCGAGCTCAAGCTTCTCCTTCTCTAGGTGAGCGATACACTCTAACATGCGTGTCCTGTCGCGTTCGGCATCAGCGACATAACTTTCATGACGCGAAAGCAACGCCTACGAAAATCACCACATATTCGTTAGCAGAGGTTCTCTGGGCCAAATATACTATTCCCTTGTCATGCAGCAGTCGTTCATAAGGTTAGGACTCAGCTGACCGACGTGGCAGCTGGGTGCAGCGAATTAAAGACGGCTTCGATGTGACCTTGACGTACCTGGCCCAGTTCACCAGCTTTTCTGGCATCGCGTTGGACAGCATCGAGCACTTTGCATGAGTGAGCAAGGAACACGCAATCTGCTCGTCCGCAACAGCACGCAAGAGCCTCGTCTGTAAGTACTGCGGTACCGTTAGGTGCCGCGTTTTCGCCCTCGCCCATGACAGAATTCTGTGGAAGCGCGCTGCACGGTATAGCAAGCGAGGCCGCGTGTGATCATGGCAGATCCAAACTAGAGCATTTGAAATCAGAGATACGTATATTAGGTCGAGGTTGTGTCTGCCGCCTGGCTGTTGAGGTGCAAGCGAGAGTGTTTGAGAGTGGGCGTGCGGGTACGCGACCAGTTTGGCGAATCGAAATCGGGACAAAGCTCGACGCGAACAAGGACATACAGACTAAAGAAAGCGGGGACGATAGAGCTGATAAGTTGCATTACCGAAGAGAATCTACTATCTCTCCAGCCACCTGATTTAATCGTACATATAGCTTGGAGTTTCTACTGCGTATTTGTCGGCAGGAGACTTGCAAACCGACCGCCTGCCAGCCAGTCGTCTCGCAGGCTATAGCGGTAACTACAATAGCAGAAATGACGTCGCGTCCGCATCCGGAAACGCTTTCCTGTGGCTTTAGCAAGCGTACGGGGGGTCTGGTGCGTGTACCAGGTTTGCTCTGCGCCCGTGAATTCATTGGCTGGTAACTGTTTCGTCGCCCAACCGTCCCTCCATGCCGCCTCTCCATGCCGCCTGTAACCATCTCGTCCAGCTCCGATCTTTGAATGCCTTACCCTTCAGCCTCAATGCTTTCGTAAGCGTTGCTCTTGTGTTTTGGTGTAAAGTTGAAATCCTTGTTTGCAGGACCTAAGAACATTTCACTGTCTCCTCTTCAGCTTTGTCATGAACGCGGACTCATTTGCCATACCTGATTTTGATCCAGTCTTTGTAGTTGTTGCTTGCCAATAGCGTCTCCTTGTCATTTCTTCCGAAATATGGAGGCGGCCTTTCATTGATCTTCGCCGGTAGACGCTCAAGCAAGCCCAAAGGAACATATCGATGCGTGAAGCTCAGCCATTCTAGCAAGAAGCGTCTTGTTGTGCCCACACCTATTTCATCACTTCCCCATGTGTCCATTCCGTACCGACAGAAAGTTCTGATGTATTCAAACCGCTCATCTGCAGACTTGTCAATATGCTTGCGCTGCTCGATCTCTTCGAAGATCCACGGTTTGATCAAAGCACCCCGTGCAATCATGCAACTGTCCACATTGGCGTTCTCGATATGGTCCCAGTAATCTTCGTACGAGAATATATCGCCGTTCCCAATGAAGTAGACACGGCCACCGTTTGCTCTATCCCGGGAATCACCCTCACGCGCGGTGTCTGTTATTGCATCTCTTTTCGCGTTAAGATCCTTGATCATAGCGCCGATGGAATGGATGTAGTCCCAATTGGCTTCTCGAGTGTATCGCTGCTGTCTGCTTCTCCCATGCAGAGTGATGGCAGCTACACCACAAGGGCCAAGGCCTTCATCCTGAGCCGTTTGACCCCCAAGAACCAGCCTATCTACAAGCGAACCAGCCGTTGGAATATTGTCTTTTACCCCCATTCGAATCTTGACCTGGATTGGTATTTCGCCCGACAGGGCATTCATACCTCGTAGCATCTTCTCGAGTTTGGCCTGCGAATCTAACAGCGCAGAGCCTGCGCCGCTGTTGAAAACCAGGTCGATAGGGCAACCACAATTCAGATCAATGGCTCGCAACTTTGGACAGTACTTTGCCAGGGCCTCCGTGGCCTTGAATGCTGGCCAGAATTTGTTCGCCGCGATCTGTACACCAAACTTCAGGTCCTTTGCATTGTCGTAGTCCTTGACGATATTGTCTCCTTTGAGTCGAGGTGGTGTAATTTCAGACTCGTGAGCCTTGACAAGCGCCCATTCTTGTTTTTGACCTTGAATCAGCGGAAGGCTCATTGCCATCTCAGACCAGGTCACTTGAGCGCCGAGATCGACGCATAGACGGCGGAAGGGTAAGTTGCCTTGTGTGGTGAGTGGTGCAAGAACGGGTGTGTCCGGCCCATAGTAGAGCTTGCGTTTTTCAGATGCTCGAAAAGGCGGCTCTGTGAAAGACGCACGCGTGTCTTCTTTACTCTCACAGTCGTGCATCTCGATGTCGTTGTTTTCAGCCTCATCTGCTGTTGCTTTTCTATTGCCATCGGTTTTGCCTGTTGCTTCATTCGATCGCTTAGCACTGTTATATGCTTTTGCTTGCCGAGGATTGAATGAATCAGTGAGCCACTTCGCATATTGATCTGAGCGGTCTAATTTAACACGTCTGCGCTCAAGGTCAATCTTGTCCTTTGTATCGATGACGTTGTAGACTCTGGTGCCGACAGCTTTAGTGTTCTCGTCGACTCCCGCCTTCTTCATTCGCTCTACATCCTCAATCAAAATAAGTTCTTTCTTTCCATCTTCGTGCTCGATTTCCTGGGAGTGACTCTCATAGTAGCGACACTTCCATCCTGCAGGACAGTAACCGTTTTCTTCCCATACAGGACACACCTTGAAGCGGTAGTCATACTCAGGTGTCAGGTGATCGTCCGGAGGAATTTCTTGTTTGCCTTCCTTTAGGTATCTGCGCAAAGAGTGCTCGAATTTGCATTTCTCGCCGTGACTGCACTCTCGTGGAGAAAACTCTGAGCTTAGCTGTCTCGAAGGGCAAAGTTGAATCTTATCCCCCCAGCTACCATACTGACGCTTTTTGTTCTGACCCGTTTCGCGATTCTTTCTGTTGTTTTTCTTTTCGTCACCTTTTCCCTTGTTATTGTTATTATTCTGGCCTTCTTGCTCATTCATTAATTCATTGCCAACAGATTTGTCGCCGTCTTTGATACTGACGCCGTCCCGATCGCCATTCTGGCAATTGGCACGAGGGACTGTATCGTAATTTGAGCCCGTCCCATTCGCGGCCCGGGCGTCGCTCTCTGGCTCAACTTTTGATTTTTGATGTATCAAGAACCTATCACTTTTAGTCAACTTCTAACACAACATGTATGAAACCCGTCAAAATTAAATTCTCCAAAAACACCTCTGAAGGACTCTCTCAAGGGTTGAGCGTACTCAGCTTTGATTGGTGCAACACCTTTCAGTGTTCGGATTTCCTTTACTTCTTTGATCGAGTCTTCGATATTGGTTTTGTGCGCGCTTTCATTTTCCGTAGTGTTTTCCATTCTCGGCCGCTTGCTGGGTCTAGAGTCGACTGTTTCGTAGCCTACAGATGGTGCCGTTTGATCAGGTAACTGAGACATATTCTACAATATATCGAAGTTTCAACCCGGGAAGAGTATATACAGAAATTCTCTTCAAATTTGATCTAGCTTCTTGCACAGGGTTCCTGCGTCAAATCGTCAATTAGCATTCGCGTTCGACCAAAGAACTCAAATCACTTCGATGCGAGCGTGGCGGGATGGCAGCGGTCAATTTCTCAAGACGAGACGCGCGATTCGAAAAAATGTTAAGCGTTAAGCATTCTGCCCAGCCAATGATGTTGGACATTGCACTGGACATTGCACACTGTGGCTGACGTCTGGTCAGGGAAGCTCGGGCCACAAGCTTGTGAGTGAGTGACGTCGCTTTGAGCGCAGCTTCGTCTACCTGGACCTGGTCTACTCTGGATCCGGCCACTTTTCAACTCACCAACAGTCCGTCCTTCTCTTTCGCATATAAACCTTGACTCCTGCGTCCAGACCGTATCTTCTGTCACTACTTCCCCATCCAACTTGAACATACTCTCAACAAATATGACCTTATACTACAGTCTCGTGAGCCCCCCTTCTTCAAGCAGATGCCGTACTCCAGTGAGCTAATTGCAGGGAGCCAGGTCTTCCTCCTTCTCGTTTTCGAGATGGTGGTATTTGGCGCACTGATAATACCACTTCCATATACCGTGAAGCGCAAACTATTCACGTTTATCTCAGAAAGCCCGCTAGTTGCTAAGCTTCAATACGGCATCAAGGTCGGACCAGGCAGCAAAGATATAGACGACTTACGCTGAGTAGACTAGATCACCTTCATCTTTATTCTCATCTTGTTTATCGATAGCTGCAATCGTGTCTACCGCGTGCAGCTCGAATCAGCTGCGGCTCACAAGGATCGAAGGTAAAGCGGACCTACACGCAAAATTCAAGAGATATCACTGACAGCTGCCCAGTGCTGAAGCTCTAGGAGGCTCTGCTAGAATGGAGGTTCAAGCTCGTAAATTCTATTCACAGCGCAATATGTACCTCTGCGGGTTCACGCTCTTCCTTTCTCTGATCCTCAATCGTACTTACGTCATGATCCTCGACCAGCTTCGCCTTGAGGAGGAAATCAAACGCCTCAACGGCGACCCTAAGGCCAAAGTGTCTGATGGAAAACTGGATCAGGCTGGTGGTCTAGGCGAAATCGGTCGCTTGAAGAAGGAACTTGCGCAAAAGGAGAAGGACATCGAAATCCTTAAGAAACAGGGCGAGGGCTTCCAGCAGGAGTATAACAGACTCTCTGACCAGAAGCTTATGCCTCAGGAGAATAAGGAAGTCAAGAAGAATGCTTGAAATCCTTCTACACGTGAATTCTATCTACCTCATCCCCTCGGCCTTAGCATGCCAATTTTTTGACCGAGGTAGGCATGAAAGGAGAAGTGGTGATCTGAAGGATTGGAACAGGCGAAAAAACTGGTGCTTAACAAACATCGAGAGTCTAATTTGGTGGTGAAAAAGAAGAAAGATTCAACTTTAAATATATGAGGTCAGACATCTGGAACCTGATAGCTAGTGAATGTGGGAATGAAATGTTTATTGTAGACATAGTCATCAACTAAAACATACTGCGACGTATTCTTGGCCCCTCCGTGATGTTGCTAGTACCTTGAGGTTTGCCCTTCACTCTGTACAATCAGAAGCCTCTACAAACTGCAATCCAAGTTCCAAAGTCTATTTGTATACTGGGGTGCGCCACACGTGACGAGGCTGACGATTAAGGCCAGGCCTTGGAAGGCTTGGATCCCCGTGGCGCTTCTTCACGTCCAACGAAGACTCGACGCTGAGCACAGCAAACAAAATCTGTTGTGTGAATTATCAATTCGAGACTCTTCCAGCAGAAACCCCATCTCTGTTTGAATCAGACGTGTGACAAGCGACAATGGCAGAAACAACTGCAGAGGGAAGTGGTTCGACGATCACGTTGAGTGGTCCGACAACACAAGCAAGCCCAGCACCTGAAGAGCCCCAGTTCTTTAACTATCCCGAACCACAATACGTAGAAGTTCCGTACAAGACACCACCTGCAAACAAAAACCCCATCTTCCGCGGTCTGCCGCTGGTTATTGGATCGAAAATCGTAGCCAATGTGCCTTTCATCGCGAAATTCCTACGGGCGAACGCGGGCTTCAATACGCTCGGCGGACTGAAAGAGTTGGACGACGTAGAAGCCAGATACGAACCTGTCGTGATACCGGTCAAGAAGGCCGAGGACTTTGTCGCGCAGAATTACACAGCGGAAGATGCGTTGAGAACGCCGCCTGAAGGTCTACCCACCGAGAAAGCTCCTGAAGGGCGTTTCTGGAGCGTCAAGGACTACCACGAAGCGTACAAAAACGGCAAGATAACGCCGACGGACGTGATCAATACGCTGCTCCCACTTATACGGAGAGATGTGAAGGACAAGACGGCTCATTCTACAGCGTTCCTGGAGGTGCAGGTTAAGCTCGTGCTCGCCGCGGCATTAGCCTCAACGGAGCGGTGGAAAGCGGGTAGGCCCCTAGGTGTGCTCGATGGCATACCCATCGCCGTAAAGGATGAGGTGGACGTAGAAGGCTACACTCGTACATACGCCACTTCAAAGGTATACAAAGAGCCAGACATGGCGCAATCGTCATGGTGCGTCAGGCAATGGCAGGATGCTGGAGCAATCATTATTGGAAAGACAAACATGCATGAAATTGGCATGGACACAACGAACAACAACCCAGTTACGGGTACGCCATTGAATCCATATAGCACGCATTACTATACTGGAGGTTCCTCTGGCGGAAGCGGATACGTCGTCGGCGCTGGACTGGTGCCCTTTGCTCTTGGTTGTGGTAAGCGATAACGTACTGCTTTATTTCACTCGAGATTCCCGAAAAACTGACGCTTTATACACAGATGGCGGTGGCTCAATTAGAATCCCTTCTTCGTTTTGCGGTATCTACGGTCTAAAAACGAGTCACGCACGAGTGTCGGAGCGACCGACGCCGAACTTAGCCAACACAAATACAGTCGTCGGCCCTATGGCTGCAGACATGAGCTCACTCGAAGTGGCCTATCGTGTAATGGCCGCGCCGGACCCTAAGAACAGGCATTCGGCTCTATATCCACCGCCGCGGAAGCTCAGCGCCCCCTCGCCCAAGTTGCTCGGCGTATACAAGAACTGGTTCGAACGCGCGGATGACAACGTCAAAGCTTTGTGCCAGCAGGCAATCGACTACTTCGTCGATAAGCTGGGATACGAGCGCCTGGATATTCACATCCCGCTCATTCATCATGGGCAGACAGCGCACGCAATGAGCATCATGTCTGAGGCAGTTAATGCGACGCCTGACACCTCGTTCTTAACACCGGCAAACCGAGTGCTTCTCGCCCTTGCGGCACAGCATCCAGCTTCAGACTATATCCAAGCGAACAGGTTGCGCAATCTGCTTATGTCGCACCTTGCCGCGTTGTTCAAACAACATCCTGGTCTACTGATCGTCACGCCATCGGTGCCGACAGCAGGTTGGGAGATTAAGGCCGGTGCCGCGGACCTAAAGCACGGCGTCAGCGATGGAGACATGAGTATACGCTCAATGGAGTATGTCTGGCTGGCGAACTTCAGCGGCTGTCCTTGCCTGCAGGTGCCTGTCGGATACGCTCAGCCAAAGAAAGGGTATGGCACCGATGTTGTTCCTGTAGGAATGATGGCTATGAGCGAATGGGGCAGCGAAGATAGGCTGATCGAATGGGGCTTTGAGGCAGAAAGTTATTTGCACAGCAAGAAGGAAGGAGGAAGACGCAGGCCACCTGTATGGGTGGATGTACTGGGTAGGGCTGAGTCAATCAGAGGATCTGGAACTGGACATCTGGACAGTTCGAATCCTGCGGAAAATGGCAAGACGGACGCATAAGGAACCGGAGATTTCTGTATTACCGTTTGGATGATGCGAAGTGTGCTGCGTCGCAGTGGCAGGCGCGGGTTGCTCCGGCCACTGTGTTTTCGCAGACGAATTTTAGGAGTACGGAGAACGCGCGTAGGATACACGCCATGCAGACAGGTATCGTACCCCGTTCTTTGCTCGTCCTTCAGATCTATACCGTTTGCGTGTATCTGAGGATCCTCAAACAGTAGCCTGTACCCGTGATCCTGGAGGCCATGTAATTCTCGGTCTGTTATTCATGTGACAAGTCCGCGCTTAGGGCACGAGACAATGCTCACTGTGCTTTCTTCCCCTTTCTCCCCGTATCACGTCAGGAGCCTGTGTCGGATCATCTGACGTCACAGCCCACTCCACTTTGCTGTCGTCTTTGCAATTTAGCAAATCGTAGTTTTCATGTTCCTGGTGCATTCTTGAACGTCTCGGGGCTTGTCGGAGATATCTTCGCTGTTACGCCGGGAACCGGGCAGCTAGGAGAGACCCGATTTTCAGGCCATTACGCGCTACAGCATCATTGCTGGCTTCTAGATACCTTGATTTTGGTATCTGCCAACTTCCGTGACTATTTTCCACGCTGGTGCTTCAGTCGACATGTAGTTGCGAGCCCGTAAAGACAACTCGGTGCGTTCATGCGTAGCACGGCGTCGATGAAGATCTCTGCCTTCCGGTTCCTTTGGGAGGCGGATTGTGAAGAGCCCACAGCAGATGGTGTTGCTTCGAGTCGTGCAGCGTGTAAAGCACAACTGTTTTGTATCGCACACATCCTGGAGGCTTAAGCCCGGGATACCGCATCCTTCCCGACAATAAGGAGACAGAGACATACAGGCATAGAGACGGCCGTCGTCACAAAAGACAGTGGGGTGGTGGCTCGGGACAGCCCCTGCCATAGATCGGGGTAGCTGCAAGGGAAGCTTTGATGCCAGTGTGGACGGTTTCAACAGTCGGTTCGGACTGATGGACAGCCCGCGAATTAGGCCGATGGGAATGACGATGGCATGATGCTGCGTGTCGAGGACGAAACATAGAGCCTCTTCGGTCATCAATGGGTTGGCGACCAGGTGCAACTCGCGCTGCTTGAAGGAAAGACTGCATCGTGGCGCTTGGTTTTATAAGTTTTTCCCGTTTGCGGTAGCATAGTCAAGAGTGTAAGCACGGCTTCGCACTGCAGAAAAACGGGCCGTCGGGTCTTTCGCGCCCCAGCGACGCGTGGCGGAAGAGAAGACGGACAAAAAGGCGGCTTGCATGGAAAGGCCCCCGTCAGAGCCTGTACGTGCCGAAACCACAGGCGGATCCAAACACGCTTGGCTCCATTTGCTGGTGCGCAGCTTTTGCACGACCCGCTGGCCTCGAGCGCATCCTATGAGACTGTCATAACTGCTATTTGTTGTCATCAACACACGAGCGCATCTGTGTCTTTTCCCGCCTATTCCGCCCAGTTGTAGGACTGCCGCGGGCATGGATTAATATACGCCAGCTGATTGGCTGTGTCATCTGCACTCATCGCATTTGGGTCAAGATTGACGGCTCCCATCGTTGCTCCTCGAGCCTTTTTCTTTGTCGCTCTTTCGCCCGAGCCCCGTCCTTTCATTCTCTCAGTCCTCATCATTCGGAGGAACTTCTCCGTTGCCTCTCGTACCATTCTCTCTCCCCGTCCATCACCCTCTCATCCGTGTTCGTGTACGGGCTACGCGGGCACATCCCGCTATCTTCTGGAACAAGAAGGGGCTAAACTCGTCGTCACTCGCTATCCTAGTGAATATCGTCTCTTTCTCTCTCGCTGCAAGAGGCTCGTGGCCGCTCTGGCTTCCACTAGTGGAGCTTGAACCCAACTAACAACGGCTTGGCGTCTTTGGACAAGCTCACAGATCAACGTGCGCTCATCCGTCATTAGCGTTGTTGGTACAGAGACTTCTGCAGATTCCGGCCAACTCCTTCCCAATAGTCGACGTCTAATCTGAGTGCGCCAAAGCAAAAAGATCGCACCTCTTCCTCTCCCTTTCACCCCCTTCCTTCGCTTTTCTCTACTCGGAAGCCCAGGCTACACGCGCACCCAACGTGACGATCACAAGGACGGGTCTGTCGTTACGACAAAGCTCAGCGCGTGCGGTCCCTCCGTGGACCTGATTAAATGCGGAGACGGCCATCGGCCTCATCCACACCTGAGGAGGAGGACGAACACCATCTTCAGCAGCAACAGCAACGTCTGCGGGAGGAGGGAGGTAGTGACGACGACTCCAGTAGTGGCGACAGTGGCAGCAACAGCCCCGATGTTGCGAATCGGAAACACGTGGAGGACGACACGGAGGGAGGCTTGAGGACGCCTACAGCCGCGCAGAGGCCCTTGAAGAAGAAAACTATGGAGTCTACCGGCAAGGAGCAGCACAAAAGGGCGGGCAGATTGGAGGCGCGTACGGCTTGGAAGCAGTCTACTCCACCGGGGCGGAGGAAGGCATCAAGCAGCGCAAAAGAGAAGGAGGTGCTGGAATTGGAGCTCTCAGTCAAAGACCTTGCCCGGGAAGACGAAGCGAGACCAACCACACCAAGCCAACGACCTGCGCGATGGCGCGACCCGTGGTCCTTTTCGCTTCTCACCGTCGCTTCGCTGGCTGCAGCGGCTGCGCTGATATTGTGCATATGGCAGTCCTTTACAGGACGTCAATTGGATCCGAAGGGGGCCGCCATGTCGTACATGGCCTCGGCTTTTGTGCGATTCCCCGACTTTGACACGGAGCATACGCGTTTTGCGAGCAAATATTCATTGCACATGTACAGGGAGATGGGGATAGAAGATGACGATCCACGGGTGCGTTTTTTCTCCCTGCCCCATATCAAGTCGCATGAGCTACAGCTAATGCAATCAAAACCAGGTCAAGGGTGTACCTGTTCTCTTCATTCCTGGTAATGCAGGAAGCTACAAACAAGTCCGCGCTCTGGCAGCTGAAGCTGCTCATTACTGGAACAGGCATATTCGGCCATACGATGATGCAGCAGGTGAAGGCAAGGTTGCCCTCGACTTTTTCACCGTCGATTTCAACGAAGACCTCACAGCCTTTCACGGACAGACACTGCTGGACCAGGCTGAATACCTGAACGACGCAGTTGCGTACATTCTATCGCTATATCACAATCCCGAGAGGTCGAAGCGGGATTCGCGTCTCCCAGACCCAAGCTCCGTCATTCTAATCGGACATTCCATGGGCGGTATCGCAGCGCGGACAATGCTGACCATGGCAAACTACCAGGCGAACTCGGTCAACACGATCATTACATTGTCTGCTCCGCATGCGCGGTCGCCCGTCTCGTTCGATTCGCAGCTTGTCAAAACGTATGCGTACGTCAATGACTATTGGAGGAAGGCGCACTCGACACAGTGGGGCTCAGACAACCCGCTTTGGCATGTCACGCTCATTTCAATTGCGGGAGGTGGATTGGACACGGTCGTGCCTTCCGACTATGCAAGTCTCGCTTCCCTGGTCCCCGAGACTCACGGCTTCACCGTCTTCACCTCGACCATACCAGGTGTGTGGACGGGTATGGACCACCTGGCTATTACATGGTGCGACCAGCTGCGCAAGGTGCTCATCAAGTCTCTGTACGATGTCATGGATGCCAAGCGAGGGGCCCAGACGAAACCGCGTGGCGACCGCATGCGCTCATTCAAGAAGTGGTTCCTGACGGGTCTGGAGGAAGTTGCGGAGAGGACCCTCCCACACAAGGAGGCGAAAACGCTGCTGACCATGGACGACAGCGCAAACGCCATCATTTCGCAGGGTGAGCGCCTCGTTCTTCGCCACTTTGGTCAACAAGGCAAGAAGAAGGCACATTTGCTTCCCATTCCACCCCAAGGAACACCGGAAGGCCGCAAATTCACACTGCTCTCGGATCGACATCTGGATGCACCGGGCGAGAACGGCGTGCTCGAGGTGCTTTTCTGCAGCGTGTTCACGCTACAAGTTGGACAATCAGCGACCCTGTTCTCGATGAACATGGATCTTTCGGGTGATAGTAAAGGTTCAACTCGTTTGGCGTGTAAGAACGCGGCTTCCGACACCATCCTGCTGCCAGCCTCGACAAGACACTCCGAACACCCGTTTGATAATGCCCAACCATTCTCATACTTGCAGTACGATCTCGAGGACCTTGCCGAGCATCAATTCGTGGCCGTAGTGGACAAGGCGGATCAGCCGGCAGACGGCTGGGTTATCGCGGAATTCACATCTGCAACCGAATCCATTATTAAATACCCCGTAGGCTACCGGGATCTGGTCGCGTCGGATCTGGAAGTGAAGTTGCCCGCAAGGCGCGCAGTTTCAATGGAAATCAAAGTCCCCGCGTTGCAGTCCGGCCTATTTGCGTACAAGCTTGCCTTTGGTCATCAGTCCTGTGGAAAGCACGTTCCCCTATTTATGCCGCTGGTGCGGCAGTACATCTCCGATGTGTACGAGTCGAAGTTCTTTGTTAATGTGAGGGAGGCTGAAATAAACTTGCATGGTGTTGCACCGTACATGCCACCCGCTCTTCTAGGCCAAGACCACAGCACCGGACTGGCTCTACAGATCTGGTCTGATCCTACATGCGAAAGCCCCCTTGATGTGACGTTGAGCTTAGACATCTGGGGCAGCTTCGGCAAATTGTGGATGCGATACAGGACCATGTTTGCAGCTTTGCCCTTCGTGGTTGTTGCTCTCACATTAGGCAGACAGTTCAAGACGTTCGATGAGTCGGGCGTATTCATGAGCTTCTCCGAAAGCTTGAATATGTGCCTCCGCCGCACGATACCGGCCGTCTTTTTGATATTATCCGTAGCAGCGATGCTCATAGCAGGACAGGGACAAGCCACTGCAGCAGAACGGACGACGTGGATACCATCACGCGATAGCAACACCACGGAGACGGTGGTCGATTACACTAGGAACGACCTTTTGATCGGATCGCCAGATCCATTCTTCTGGTTTTTGTTCCCGTTCTTTGGAGTCATTAGCGTTGGTCTGTGTATTGCCATCAATTATATCGCACTTGCGATTACGCATCTTTTCGCTCTCATTTACTCTAAGGTACGAGCCAGGGTTCCCAAAGGCGAAGATAGGAAATCTCTAGCCGCAGCATTTGCTGTCGCATCAACCAGGCGACGCATTATCACAACCGCCATACTACTTTTTCTTGTCTCGACTGTGATTCCGTATCAATTCGCATACCTTGTTCTGTGTATCGTACACATAGCAAGCTGCGTGCGCGCGTTACGTGCGGCTTGGGAAACGGTGAGTCGATTCTAAATGCAAGACGTCATCAGGAGTACCAGGGCTGATTTTGATGCAATCGCAGCATACCGATGCGAGTTACAACTTCTACAACTACTCACATTCAATACTTATCGTCATGCTCTGGGTCCTACCGATCAATCTTCCTGTTCTCGTCGTCTGGATCCGGAATCTCAGCGTACACTGGCTCACGCCGTTTTCGTCACACCATAATATCCTCTCGATAATGCCGTACATCTTACTAGTGGAGACGCTCAGCACAGGACGTATGATATCACGGGTCAAATCGCCGTAAGCAAAACTCACCTTCACCGGATAATTTTTGTCAGAACACTGACTTTTCAAAACCAGTCTTAGAATCATAACCCAACTACTCCTCCTAACCCTCGCTGGGTGCGCAGCTCTATACGGCGTCTCCTATGCTTATTATTTGCACCATGTAGTCAACGTCTTCTGCGCGTGGCTCGTTGCACTACATTGGACGAGCAGCTCATTTTCGCTACACTATAGACTCAGGGACGTGATTGACGTTTCGGAACCTGCTTCCAAAACAAAGAAGAGGCCTTGACATCGTCGGCTGGTTTTCATTTCTGGCTACCTCTATCGTACTTCTTCTTTCCGTTTGCCTTTTATTCTTCAAGAGGACAAGATAAAGATACAACACTAGCAAATGTTTAATTGATAACCTCCCTCTGACGCTGCATGTGTCGAAATGTCCTGATATGTATTGAGCTGCCAGCGGGTTTCTTTCCGAAATATCCTTTTTTTTGTTGCGATCTTTGCTTGGCGGTGGTGGCGCGAGGTTTTGGAAGGCGCTGTGTTATTGATATACCTTTTTTGTACCCTCACTTTATACTTCTCATGCCTCGCTAGCCAGCTAGACTACCTGCCGCCATGTTCGACACATGGATGCAAATCTTGAAGGGATAGACGACGAGCAGCCAAGAGCCGGGAGTAGTCACAAGAAAGAACGGAGGGTGTAGCATGTGGGAAAGAAGACTTGTGCAAGGTAAAAGACCATGTAGATACTGTGTAATACGAAAGTCAAGACATTCAGATTACGTTACGGCTAATCGCAGTTTTCATTCTCCGTGTTCCACGAACCGAAGAGAAAATACACGATTTCCCATCTGTGCTGTGAATTTTTGACCCATAAAACCTATTTCTCAATTTCTTCCTAAACGCCATCGCTCATGCTATTTGCATACATTGCACCAAATTGAGTCTCTTTGTTTGTTCTAGGCATGTCTGTAGCTCTCATAGCTGTCCACAACTCCGGACTCAGGCACATGATGCGAAGCACTTGGCATGGGACGAGTCTGCGACCAGGCCAACTCCGTATCCGAAGATGAGCCTCTCAACGATTTCCTGGATCCCTTACCCCTTCTCCCTGGCAGCAGCCCCTCCTCGACCATCTGCTTTCGCACCTTCTTGGAAGGAATGTTGTTCTCCTTTCCCGGCATGACACGACCTGGGTGCACAAGGTTCAGCAGCAGCACGGCCACAAACATGGGCAAGCTCTCGAGCACGAAGGTGTAAGCCTCGTGTGTTGGGATGCCGGACTCGTAGCCGGACGAGTACTCGACCAGCCGGAAGATGATACGCACGGTGATGAGGGTGAGCACGGCGTACAGGACGTACAGCAAGCGCATCGGCGCCGCGGATGTCGGATGCGGGTTCTCGCGCTTGTAGCGCAGCTGGAAACGGATCAGGAGGCCTGTGAAGGCGAGGATAAAGAACTGCTGCAGGCCCACCCCACCCATATAGATGTGCAGGCCGCGCATGATCTGGTCGTAGGTGAGGTTGTTTCCTGAAGCCATGGAGGCACCTGCCACTTGGACCAGGAAGGCACTGGCAAACAGATTCAGTATGCACGGATGGGGTGATGTCATTAGACAAGAAGGGAGGGGATGTGCTCACAGGATGTCGAGGAGCACGAAGATGGTGCCGAATCTCCAAGCTCTGACGCCGCCCAGTCTCTTGTTGGGCATGAAGCACCACACCAGACGTGCGACGACCATGTACACGAAGGCGTTGATCCACAAGGGCCCGACGAGGATCATGACGAACCACAGAGAGTATACGCCCACGTTCTTCTGGTTGTACACCGAGTATTCGCGCAGCGCGTAGGTAGCGGTTTGCCACAGCGAAGCCACCACGATGACCCAGCAATACATCTTGCGGTGCACGATGGCTTGGACGAAATGGGCGACAGTGAGGATACCGAAGAGCACGGCGAAGAGGGCCGACGGAACGACCGAAGGGCAAAACGGCCAGACCCTGTTCGGGTCGTCCTTTGGAAGACACTGAGGCATGGTGATAGTGGTAAAGATAAAAGGATGAGACGAGTGAAAGGATATACAAAATGCACGAAGCGATGTTATATGTTCAAACAGGACCGAGGATGTTTGTGCCGCGCGGGTGAATAACAAACGCCAAAACTGCTGTGAGAATGCACCGATGTCGAGCGAGAGTCTCCATCATCTTTATAGACCCAAGGCAGCAAAGATATGATGCAGGAATTGGAATACGATGTGCCATGTCAAGACCGCGCAATACAACCTCGAGATCCCAAGCATCTACGTGCTCCATGCTCTTCTCTGATTCGCCCACTCGTGTATATCGTGTTCAAAGCGCGAATCGTGATCTCCAAAATTAGCCAAAGGGAAAGGCACAAAATCCCCTTCCGTCCAAGGCCGGTTTCCGGTATGAAGTGCGGTCACCAGGAGTGCACGCTACTGAAAGCATACGCAAGTCAGTGGGCTTGCGGGAACCTTGCAAAGCCTTTGCTAAGCCTGGGCGGCAGATCATCTTCTTTGAAAGGGGATGACTGGTAGACAGGCATAGCGTCGGACTGTTTCTTGGGCAAAGCTTAAAGTGCTAGGCGCAACCCTACAATCACGCCGGCGTGAAACTGACAGCGGAGACCAGACAGAGGCGCTCACTTGTAGGTACGTGGATCAGCGTCGGAGGTGCGTACATAGCCCACCGAAGCCTGATAAGCCTTGTTACAAAGCAGAAGTGAGCAGGCTAAACCAGCTTGGGCGATTTGACGAGCTGACCAATGACCTTTGCAGCGACTTTGTCGAGCGGGCCAATGGCAGAGCGGAGCTTGGTGGAGGCGAAGCTGACAAGGGACCCGGCTTGCGGAAGAGGCTGTGACAGCGCGACGTGGGATCAGTGCAAGAGCACATCAAGGCGCGAGAACAACTGTGATTAAGTTATGGCGTCCGACTGTGCCTGTCACGACGCTGATTTTTTACTCGCCTGCTCGTCTATGCTTCTGCCCTCTTCGGACGAGCCTCCAGATTCATCGCTTCCACGCGTCCTGGTTCACAATGGACGTCCGTTCTGGCCCAAAGGCGTCGAAAGATCATGGCCAACGAGCCGTCCGCAAGCGGGTGGGTGGACCGAGAAGCAAGACCGGTTGCATAACATGTCGGTACGTTTTGATGCGTCTTGCAACGAATGATTCACATAGCACGATTGATCATAATGGCCCAAGCAAGTCTTCTGCAATCTCGCTTTATCTTCTTTGAGTCCCTTCACCGTCCTATAGTTACCCGCCATCTGACTAACGTGAATCTCACAGCATTCGACGTGTCAAGTGTGACGAGGCCAGACCGCACTGTGCACGATGCACCAGCACGGGGAGGAAGTGCGACGGCTACACCCGATCTCCCTGGGAGGTCGTTGATGTCACGTCTATGGCGTCAATGCTAGTGCTTTCGGACCCACGAGCCTCTTCCGACCCGTTCGTAGGACGAAGCTTCAAAGTTTTTGAGCAATTGACCGCCCACTCGCTGTCTGGAATCCTCGAGATGACCTTATGGCACGATGTCCTGAGAGCGGCACAGCACAGCGATGCACTTTTTCATGCCGCGACTGCGCTCGGCTCCGCGCACGAGGCGTACCTTCATCGCCAATTCAACATGGAGACGCCCGAGGAAGATCGCGCCTTGCAACAGTACAACAAAGCCATCCGGATGCTAACCAAGCGCGACGCGCAGGATGCCGAGCTCACACCGGACGTTGTCATAACGTCGTCAATCATGTTCATGACCATTGAAGTATGCTAGAAACCGACTGTCCCCGCCCCTTCCACTCAAGCATAAGCACGCAGAAGCGTGAAACTTCCCTTTTCCCATGCACGGCTAACTGAGCGAAGATGATGAGACGTGAGTACGGCAAGGCGATCAAGCATCTCAAGGCGGGCATAGGCATCTTCGCAGAACATCATGGTCGGACAGCGTCGGACGGCCAAGCGAAGCCAACCCTGATCCCGACCGAGCGACTCGAAGACATCCTCCGCCAGCTGGAAACGCACCTGTGTGAGATCAGCATGGATGGACCGCTAAGCATGCCTCGACGGAGCCTGGTGAGCTACAAGGAGCTGCCGCGCAAAGGCGAGGCGTGGGCATCCGCACCGGCAGGGCTTGACCAGCGATGCTTCGATAGCATCACCGAAGCCCGCGCCGAGCTGGACAGCTACTGTCACAACCTAATGTTCCTGTTCCACGAGATCTTGGAGCCAGATGTGTTCGCGACGCCGCCTGCGTCGGAGGCGTATACGGAGCGCACCACTGACGCGTTTGCACAGGCCTTCGTGTCGTGGCGGCACCGTTTCGACGGCCTTAAGGCGAAACTGGCGCAGCGCCCGCGGCCCCTCTCAAGGCCGGAGCGCCGCACGCTCGCTCAACTGGAGATGTATCACCTCGTGGCGTCGCAGGTGCTGACGACGTACCTGTCGCTGGACGAGATGAGCTGGGACAAGCACCAGGCCGGCTTCGAGCGGGTGCTAGACCTGTGCGACGTCATAGTGGGGAAGCACGCTGGCGGCGTTGACAAAAGCGGAGGCAGCGACAACGACGATGCCGCATCGGAGGCCTACAACGGCTTTCAGCTCAACCACGGCATCGTGGCCGCGTGCTTACACACGGCGTGGAAATGCCGCGACGCCCGCGTCCGCCTGCGGGTCATCGACCTGCTCTCGCAACAGCGTCAGGAGGGCCTCTGGGACGCCCAGCTCGTCAAGTGGGCCGTTTGCCACATCGACGAGATCGAGCGCGGACCGGGCTTGCTCGAGGCGGCCGCGCTGAGGGGCGACGGCGCCGACGTTATCCCGCGCTGGAGGCGAATCGTGCGCCTCGACGTGTATTTCAGCGCCGAAGGTCGCGGGGCGGTGCTCGTTTTATTCGTGCCCAAGGACGAGTCGATGGAGATAACGACCATCAAGAAAGTCCTAAGCTGGTGACCGTTAGGCAATGCTCCGGCGTTTGGTACGGCGTGCAGGATCAGAATCGGCCGCCCATTAAAGACGGTAGACGTTTACGATTGCATTATAGACAAAGGCAATGTTGTTTCGTACGGGCGAAGTCGTTGTGCAAGGGACGTTCCCCCTTCCCCACATACAGATATACAGATGGAGAAAAAAAATCGAAGATGCATCATGTACAGAACAAACCCCACGTTCCACAAATTTTGTGCGAGGTGCCTAGAAAGAGTTATTTCTACATATATCTTGGTATCATAGTTGGGAAAAGGGCGCAGCCATTCCCTTGAACTCGCTCGCACGTGATATGCCAAAGGAAAGAAAAAAACTAAATGGGAAGAACTAAAAAATCCCTGCCTCCCCAAGAAAAAACAGGTCAAGAAACTTTTATATATTCCCAAGGTGCGTCATTCGTTCATAGGCCGCCCTCTGACGGAGCGACAAACTTTTGTTACATGCCGTAGCTAGAGCCGATGGTGCTGAAGCGATCAGTGCCTGCCGTGGAGACGCTTGTGACGCTGTTCTTTCTGAAGCCGCACTCGTGCATGAAGCCTTCCTCGGCATCGGGGTTGGAGAAGACGATCTTGAGGTAGCGCAGTTCCCTGGCGAGGGGGTCTCCCGAATCGCGCAGCTCGACAACGAGTTTCTGAGTGCGGCGTTCCTTGTGCGGTTGGCGCAGGAGGCCGACGTCTAGCTCGACGACGCGCTGGCGGGCGTGCTCGTTCTTGTTGCGGAACAGCTTAAGGGTACGCTTGCTTGAGAGCTGGTCCTCCCAGATCTGGATGGTCTCAGTGCCGGCCTCCACGGCCGACGCGTGCGTGGCTGCTGACTTGACGGTCTCGATGTCGAGGGAAGCGCAGAGCACCTTCTCTGTAATGGCCTGCATAAAATCCCAACAATCCTCACGATTGGTGAAGCTGTACTGTGGGTGTTTGCTTGTGTTGGGTACGAAGCGCACAACAAAATTGACGGTCGGGTCGCGCCTCTGAAACGTGTGGACGACCTCGACATGCTCCAGGAACGGGCTGCTGTTCACTCCTTCAGTGGGAATCCACAGGCTATCTTGGATCTCGTGACCGAGCGGCGTTGTCGACACGATGATGACACCAAAGCCGTGTCGACCGTTTGCATGCTGAACGTCTCTACGGATCTCGGTTCGGGCTATGTCGATCTTGGTGAGGCTTTGGGTGCCTTGACGATGCCACAGCTTGCACGCGCCGTCTTCATACATGCGATCACGACTCGAGACAGAAAAGATGGAGCCCTCGCGCGTGGGCATGGAGCGTATGCTACCGGAGGATGAGGAATTGTACTCAGTGAGCCCGTACTCGGTCAGGTGCAGGGTGCTCTGCGACATTGCCGCGCTCGCTCGCTGCTTTCCTCGTTGCCGGCTCGTGCTTGTCGCTGTGGTGCCCGATCCAGGTGACGCGTTGCCCGACGGCGGCAGCGCGTTTCTTAGGTCGTCCAAGTTCCACTCAGGCACATCCGCGTTGTCAAAATTGCTAGAACCTCTAATCTGCTGTTGCAGCCGCTCCAGGTCGGCCTGGCCTGCGGGAAAGGGGAAGGGCAACTGTCGCGACAGGGCATCCAGGCTGACAAGGGACAACTCGTCTCCGTCCCCAGGCCGCCTCCGTTTGCCGACAGGTCCCAGCTTGGAATACTGCTGGACGAAGCGGTCAAAGATCAGCTCTTCTTCGGTCTTGGTGCGTGGCGAACGCTTTTTCCTTCCATGGTGGCTGGGCGCCGTGCTGGGAGACGAGGTCCTAGAGTTCCCCAAGGCGAATGAACGAAGTGAAGATAGCGAAGGGGAATCCGAGTTGTGTTGCTCAACATCGTCGGCCTCGGGAGTGAGACGAACTCTTCTACATACAATGGGTCAGCCTAACATGCGAAAACACAACCCCATCCTCTCCTCTCCTTCGACACTACGCTCACTCTCTCACACGCACATACACTCTCTCACATATACATACAAACTCAAAATGGTAAGAGCCATGTGGTTAGTGTACGAACATAGCGGCACGTGTGCAAGCGTCCTGTTCGACTCGGTGGGTTAAGGGGGGGGAACAAACTCACGCATTGAGAAATGAGATCAGGGCGGCGGCATCGCTGTCGAGCTGCAGAATGTGCTCCTTGAAGTGCATGCAAAAATCGTGGACATCGCCATGCTCACAGGCATCCCAGGGAACGCTACGCTGGTTGTGAGAGCCGGCCCCGGAATGGTGCAGAAACTGCTCTGGGTCAAGGAACAGTTCAAAGTCCAGAAGACGCGAGCGAAACGCGGTGAATGCATTGCCGGACAGGAGCTCATGCTTGGGGAGGTCTTCGATGGCGGTCTTGCCAAGCAGGCGAGAAGCTATTATCAAGCGCGACCTGACGTCGGCCAACAGATGGACCAGGTGCTGGACAGCGGCGGGGACGTCGCAAAGCTGGAGGTACAGGCGCGTGAGCTGGTCAATGTCGACGATCAGACCATTGACGGCCCGTTCAACGCTCATACTTGTGCTTGCGGCTGGTGAAGGACAAGTCTCTTTTCCTTCGGCCTACGGTCATGATGGAGCCAGACAGCACGAGCTAAAAAGAAGGAGGGACGGGCGGCTCTGACGGCGGGCGCTGGCTACAGAAATAATACGGCGGGACAGACCAAGCAGAATTTCTCCGCGTCGTGGGAGAGTGCTCAGAAGCAAAGGAAGGCAAGCGTGCGTTATACTGAACAAAGTCCGTGCATGCCTGGCCACGATTAGGTAACAGAAGAGAAAAGACACGATGCCAGTGGTCTGAAAAGGGCAGAGGAGAGTTCAGGTGGAGAAGAGAATCGGGGGCTTTGGGAAGGGAGAGTCAGTGATTTTGACCCAAGACGGACACGTTATTTGTGCCTTGGTGCTAGAAACGAGCCAGCGGTGGCCCAGTGAGGTGCGGCAGATGCCCCCATGTGGCCATTTCTGACTGCGAGACGTGACGGTGGAGACTGCCCGTTGGCCCCATGCCGGACCCAAGCGATAGGGTGCAGAGTAGACGAGGCACCGGTAGTTAGCAGTGGCTCCGGGAGGGTCGGAGCTAGATGTGCTGCGTCTTTGGGGGGGGGCTCTTGGCCGCTCTTTAGGGGGTCCTGAGGAGTTTTGGGGGGGTTTTCGGGGGTGAGGGGGCCAGCGTGGGAGCACGGCAGCACCGACCGGCCGGGCCAGCGGCGGGAACCCAGCGGCTCATTCCTACCCTACGATTTGCCGCACGTGTGGCCGTGATAGGCTGAGTGTCCCCCACCAGATCTTGCCCTGGTCATTTCATGGCTCCAGCCCGCGGTGCATTAGTTCCTACAGACGCGCCTGAAAAGGCTGAGGAAAACACCGCCATGGAACCACTCGCTGCATGTTTCTATTATTGCCCATAATAACGAAATATCCAAAATCAGCTTGTTCATGCCAAGTGTACCACAGCAGCGTCCACGGTACACCGGCGCTGGCACGTACTTCGAACGATGACGACTCTCCCTTGTCCCTGCCAATGGCTCAGATCTGCCCTTCAGTAATGCTGCCAAAAAAAAGTAAATGAAAATGAGAGCAACGAAGAGTACGGCAGATGGCGAAAGGCTGGACGACGATCACAAGAGGCCGCAGTCTGGCTAGTCCTACTTGTATGCGGACTATCGTTCGGTCCCAGATTCACGGGTGCTATCGACTTACGGAGCAGGAGTAGTAGCGACGAACAGCACTCGCAACGATAACAACTTGAAGAGCATAAAGGGCAGTGCCAGAATTCGACCCAACGGCAGGAGGCAAAGTATCGAGAGTCAGGCTTGCGCGGCATCCGCTGTCTCACGCCGAGCCTTGCTCGCTTATCCAGTAACATTGTCTTGGTAGGAACGTGCCTCTTTTGCCTGCTGTCCATGAACCTTCACGAGCGTACAGGCGGCGCCCGTCACGACACCACCACCGCACCAAAGGCCAATTAATAGTATTCGCTCCTCGCCATCCGCATCCGTTTTTCTTGTCGTCGCCTTTTCGACTGGGGGGCGACGTCTTCCAACCGCTGGGCTTTCTGCTGTGAGGCCCAATCAAACAGGCGCGTTGCTGCAGCAGGCTCCGCGACTGATCTCCCCAGGCTGCCTCAGCATCCAACGCCACAACGCTCGTCACCAGCCAAAGCCTTTGGCCTCCCAGCACTGCGGTGTGCGTGAGAGCAGTGTCGCACCTCTCAACCCGTTTTGTCGGCTTTCTCGTGGGTTTCTTGCGCGTGCCTGCGTGGATGTGTTCGCGCATCCGCAAACATACTTGTACCCATACCCCGGAATCCCGCAGCACCAGCCAGAGCTCAGCACCGTGCCCTCGTCCGGCCCGTTTCGTCCCTCCCTCCTCTGTCTGCGACATCTCCGCCTGCTCTTCGACAATACACACCCAGACTGACCCGAACACCACCCATGAGAAGAGCCACATCTTCTTGTGATGAAGATCTCTTCGATCCTTCTTTACCCGTATTGGAAAATTAAACGCCCTTGGGACGACCATGTCAAGCAGTTTGAGTATCTGGTGCGTCTGCTCTGCGCCCCTCCGCCAATTTGCGATCCCACATGCAAATCGCTCCCCAAAGCACCTCCAGTAACCGTCATGTAACCTCAATTTTGCATCGCAACAGCTCCACAAAGTATATTATCATCACGTATCGTCCTTGATAATGTCAGCATTGTCGCTACCACTTTCTTCATGCTTTCACTCACTTTCTCGCTCACTCCACCCAGCTCTATGCTTGACTCTAACCTTCCTCGTACTAGGACTGGGAGTCACAGCGCAAGCTCGCTATCCGGCAGATAGATAAGGATGGCTTCGGATACTGGACTGTCTTCGTGGCCGGCGCCGGATTCTTGACGGACGCCTACGATGTACGCAACTTCCTTCCCACACGCCAGAAAACCTCTTCGGAGGCAGCAAAGTACGACTTTGAAAGAATAACGAACGTGCTAACAACGGCCCAAAGATCTTTGCCGTCAATGCAATCCTGCCCATGCTCAGCGTTGTCTACTGGGGCGGGAATATGCCAAAGGACCAGGAGCTCTTGATTAACCTGGCCGTCCTCGTCGGCACCTTCATCAGCCAATTTGTCGTTGGCGTTCTGGCCGACCGATTTGGACGGAAACGCATGTACGGAATCGAACTGTGCATTCTCACCTTTGCCACCGTCTTCGTCGCGCTCACCTCCGAAGGTGCGCTGCGTAGCACCAACCGGCTCGCCTGGATCGTAGCGTGGAGATTCATCATGGGACTTGGCATAGGTAAGATACTGTTACGGCGCATTACGCTGTCTAGTTTGGGCCGTTAAAAAATTTCACAACGTGGGTTGACATTTGCTACAGGTGGTGACTACCCTCTTAGCGCCGTGATAACGTCCGAGTTTGCGCCGCGGAAACACAGGGCTCGCATGCTGGCTACCGTCTTCTTCATGCAACCCATCGGCGCCCTGCTTGCCAACGTTGTTTCCGTAATCACTGTCTTGATCCTTCGCGAGCGCATCGCGCCAGACATCATGGTTACGCAATGTACCGGCGAATGTGCCGAGGCCGTCGACCTTATGTGGCGATGGATTGTTGGGCTCGGGGCGGTGCCGCCTGCCTTTGCCATTCTCCTTCGCTGGTGGATTCCGGAGTCACCGCGCTACACGCTCGAGGTGGAGATGAATCCAGAACAGGCGTCGCAAGACGTACAGGAGTACTACGATGTCGTCATGACGCCCACGCCACGCCCCAGTGAAGGCCTGGTCGAACCTAGTCTTCACCCACGCTCTGCCAACAACGAGGCCATGAATCACTTCTCGCCAAGCACCGAGGCAACTTTGACTTTTGGGGAGCCTATGGTGCTCAAGGACCTACAGCTGACTGAACCAGCCATCGCCATCCAAGGCAGTCAAGAGTCGCGTATGGTGCGTAAGGAGACTTGGGTTGAGTTCCTCGCGGGGTTCCGCAGGTATCTGTTTGATGAAGGTAACTGGACCGACCTCGCTGGCACCGCCATCTCCTGGCTCGTCCTCGACTTTGCCTTCTACTTCCTCGGCGTCAACTCGCCCAAGATCTTGTCCAAGCTGTGGGGACTTGGCCCCATGTCTAGCCATCCGCTGCACTCTATGCTTCTCGAGAACGGGTACCGAGCCCTTATCGCCGTCTCCACCGGCGCTGTTGTCGGTGGTGCTCTGTTCATCTTGCTCGCCGAGTCGCGGTGGCATATCCAATTCTACGGCTTCGCAATCCTGGCCGGCCTGTTCGTCATCGTTGGTGTCTGCTTTGTGACTCTGGTCGACACCAGATACTCGTCCGCCGTCATCGTCTTATACGCTGTCTGCAATCTATTCTTCAACTTCGGTAAGCATATAACCCAAGGCGTTTTCGTTCGTTCGGAAAGTCGCAACTCAAGGTCAAAAGAGCTAACAGGTTGGGGCTCTTACCCCGCTCATTAACAGGTCCCAACACTTCGACGTTCATCATTGCAGCCGAAGTCTTCCCCACAAAGTACCGTTGCACCTGCCACGGTCTGTCTGCCGCACTCGGCAAGTTTGGCTCCATCGTCGCACAAATCTTTCTTACATACGCTCAATTTGGCGGCAAGGGTGTCAATGATGTACACTCCACCTGGCTTGGTTGGGTGCTCCTTGTTTTCACTATTTGGATGGTCGCCGGCGCCATCGTCACTCTTCTCTGGGTGCCCAACCCGAGCAATATCTGGAGCCAGAGTCGCACGCTTGAAGATCTGAGCCTTGGCAAGCATGCGCGGAAACGCTACGAGAAGCAGGAGAAGGAGGCCTGGGATGCCTTCGTGCCCGGCAGCCCAGGCCCGACGCCACCGCTCTTTGCGGGCACTGCAATTGTGTCAAGGTGAAGAGGGTTTGGGTATTATGGTTTGGTCTTTTGAAGTGGATAGGTCTTTTAATGGGCGTTTTGACGGAGGCTTACTTTCCTTTACGCTTTACTTCCGCCCACAAAGAAAAAGGGTCGAATAAAAAAGAAAGCGTTGAGCCAAATATCACGGAGTTGTCTTCTTGACACGGTAATTTTGGAAAAGAAGAGGTGGGGGGCTGGTTCCCAACGTTTCCCTCTTTTTCTCTCCCCTTGGCTCATCTTTTCCTATTTGTGAAAAAAGGATACCCATATCTTTTTATGAGTTTGAGGACAACTTTGACCCCATCCCTTATTTCCTCCCCTATTCTCGTTCCTTTTGGTTGCGATACCCCACTGACCCTACACCGATATGTACATATCTCCTAGTCTTCATTCATCGAGCAGATGTTGACTTCTGGGCATATAAATATATATATGGAGCGAGATAATTAAGAGCAAAATCAAGAACTGGAACTATTTACTCAGGTGTCTCACAATTTGGCTTTCCTTCTTGCTTGCTTCTTTGCTTTTATTGTTTGCCCGCTTACGGCGAACGTGGTGTACATACCAAGGACGACCGCGTACTCCCTCAACTACAATCGAAGCGTCCGCATGATACCACGCCGTGCTGCCATGGCACGGCACAGGGCTCCAAGGCCAGAGGAAGGTGTCGCCCACACAGTTTGATCGGCAACACGAGCGGAGTTCTTGATCAGTCCATCGCTGAAAGAGAACGTGGGGCGCGAAGTGCACGGAAGCATAGTTCAAAGGATGGTCGCAGACTAACTCTGGATCCTGCAGGACTTGGTCAAACAACGGATCCACCCAGCCGGCTGGGGACGGTCAAGGTAAAGCGTTCGAACGTCTGGGATCCGGGCTTCTTGCAGTCGCTTCTGTGAGGAAGTTGGCTGATCGACGTGCCGCAAGCAGGCAATACGCGGTCTGCGAGGAGGGAAACGCGTGCGGTCTTGACCCATTCGTCAGGCTGCGCGAGGGAGCGGCGAGCGGCTGTGGCGAACCTTGTCGAACGACTTTCTGGGTTCAGAACGGCGGGCCAAGATGTGAGAAATGCGAAGAGGAGCACTGCAAACGCTCGCGTACGTTGACGGCGCGACGAAAAGGTGCTGGATTTCCGTTTTTTCTCTGATTCGTATATGTACATACACACATTTGTCTAGCTGCTCCCCGTTTTGCCCCACGCCGTTCCCGCGTCTCTTTACCGCGCCTTGAGCTTCTCCGTAAGTTCTGGCACCTTCTCAAACAAGTCGCCCACCAGGCCGACATCAGCGACCTGGAAGATGGGCGCGTCTGGGTCCTTGTTGATCGCAGCAATCACTTTGCTGTCCTTCATGCCGGCTAGATGCTGGATGGCACCGCTGATTCCAGCGCACAGGTACAGCTGTGGAGCCACGTTCTTACCGGTCTGGCCGACCTGCAGGCTGTTGTCCGCGAAGCCGGAGTCGACGGCCGCCCTGGATGCGCCAATGGCGGCACCTAGTGCGTCTGCCAGCGGCGTCATCAGCCGGTCGAATTCCTCCTTGGACTTGAGACCGCGCCCGCCAGAAACTACCCTGCTGGCGGTGCCCAGGTCAGGTCGATCGGATTTCGTGAGATTCTCAGATATCCATTCGGTCGGAGACGAGACCTTGGGGTCGACGCCTTCGGCAACGGATGCGGAGCCACCTTCTTGCGCCGGGGCAGGGAAGGCCGTGCCGCGGACGGTCAGGACTTTTGTTGGGTCGGTGGACTGGACTGTGAGGATGGCATTTCCGGCGTAGATGGGGCGGACGAATGCTGTGTTTCGTATCAGTTAGCACAGACACTCACACACAAAGTAGAAACGGGCATTTCTTGTTTCTTTGTGCCGAGGAGCCGGATACGTACTATCTTCACTTTCAATGCCTGTGATGTCTGACACCTGGGCGACGTCCAACAGCGCTGCTACGCGTGGTAGCACGTTCTTGCCGAACGCTGAATGACTGGCCAACACGTGTGATACTCCCTCTTTCTTGATGTTTTCCACCAGCAGCGGTGCAAACGTCTCGGGCAAGCCCTTGTCGTACGCTGCGTTCTCCACGAAGACAACCTTCTCGAGACCCTGCACCTTGGCCGCCTCCTCGGCAACAGCCTTTGCGCTTCCGCCCGCGACAAACCCAATGACTGAGCCTCCGAGCTTCTGTGCAGCTGCCACTGCAGAGAGTGACGACAGGTTCAGCTTGCCATCCTTCTGCTCCAGCACTGCGAGGGAGGAAAGTAACCGGGCGAGAGCCGATAGCCGCGGTGCCGACACTGGCTGTGAGGTTCGTAAAGCGGTCCTGGCCTGCCGCAAGACCGAATGCCTCGTCGTCGCAAACATGGTGGTCGTGCAATTGGACTTTGAGGATTGAGGGACGGTGGGGGATGGGGTTGGTCCGGCAACTTTTTTGACGTCTCAATACACATGCACGTACAAAAGCTGGGGCAGGGCCTCTTGAACGTGATCGGCTCGGTTACATACGGGAACGCACTTCCGGCGCCTTCTCGGTCGTCTACAATCCGCACATCGGAGCAAGGTATTCAGCTTTGTGCCTGAGAGGCTATAAGGCCATAAGGCTACAAGGCTTTAATAAGGCATCAACAGCCAATCCCTCGCAACTTTCTCACTGTTGGCCGCCGACGCGTTGTCCAGGAGAGGACGACCCGTCTACACTAAACGAGAACAACGCACTTCGCCTTCCCCCATCTCCATCCAGCACCGCCCGCTTCCCCTCTCTACTTCAAGTGCATTGTGGGCGCCAGATCGGTAGTCGCCAACCCCACGCGACGCTCCATCTGTCTCCATATCTTTAATTCCGCGTCCCTACCAGGTCCTTTGCCTCGTACCTTGTCGACATTGCGCTTCAGGAAAACAGCCCCACGGATCCAGAAACCTCGAACCGCCCGTCATGTCTGAGGGAGCAACGGGTGACGATGCCGTGTCGCAAACGGCCGGCACGCCCTTGACGGGCGCTGATGATGGCGCGACGAATGCGCCTGATGATGCTGGAGGTATGATTGTTTTCAGGCCCCTAGCGAACCCCATTGCGCGCCTTGTCGACGTGCAATTTGAGCATTGCAGGACGGTGCTTGCATTCCACAGGAACAGCGGCTAATCACGAACAGACGTCGCCATGGGTGACGACGCAGAAGACACACCAGGAGTCTCGATCAAGCAGTCTTCGAGAGGAGGTTCTGCCGCACCGGCATCAGACAATCCGCTGGACGCTCCCGCTGCGCCGGTTCACGAGACGGAAGATGCAGACGGCGCTGAGGACACCGAGATGGCGGGTACAGACCACAAAGACGGCAACGCGCCAAATGCAAAATCGTCCATAGAGTCGGCGGCGCGCGCAAATCTCATCGCACAAACTCACGTTATCATCCTACCTAGCTACAGCACTTGGTTTGACATGAACGAAATACACTCAATCGAACGCAAGTCGTTGCCTGAATGGTTCAATGGCCGCAATCGTAGCAAGACACCACAAACGTACAAGGAGTGCAGAGACTTCATGATCAACACGTACAGACTGAACCCAACCGAGTACTTGACCTTCACAGCTTGTAGAAGAAATCTCTGCGGCGACGTGTGCGCCATAATGCGTGTGCATCAATTCCTCGAGACATGGGGTCTTATCAACTATCAGGTAAACTACCATTAAGCACGATGAGCGCGAGAGGGTCATAAACTAACAAATCATGACAGGTCGACCCAGAAACAAGGCCATCAACAATTGGCCCTCCAAGCACAGGTCATTTCAGAATCACAGCAGACACGCCTCGCGGCCTGCAGCCGTTTCAGCCCGCCCCTTACTCTGTCAAATCAGGAGAAGGTAAACCCCTCGCGGCTACAGACCGCGCTGCGAGCGCAGCGCCTCTAAGCAAGAAGGACCTCATCCACGAAGGTGCGCGCAACGTGTACGAGCAAAACGGCAAGGAAGCAACGCCAGCGGAATCGAAAGAAGCAAATGGTGACGCAAACGGCTCCGCGTCGACCGCCAAACTCGAGGACAGACTCAAAGAGCCTCCAGTACGACATTTCTGCCACGTTTGCAGCTCCGACTGCACCGCTATCCGCTATCACCACAGCAGAGTCGGAGCCGCACCTACAGGCGCACCCAAGGCAGGCAAACCCGAGAATACCGATCTGGACATATGCCCGAACTGCTTCTTGGAGAACAAGTTTCCAGAGAACCTGAAACGCTCGGACTTCCAGCCTGTAGAGGGGAATCCCTTCCCCGTAATCGCTGATAAGGAGGCACCATGGACCGAGACAGAGGAGCTCTTGCTCCTTGAAGGCCTGGAAATGTTCGACGATGACTGGAACAAGATTTCAGACCACGTTGGGAGCCGCACGCGCGAGGAGTGCGTGCTCAAGTTTCTACAACTTGAGATCGAGGACAAGTACCTCGAACCGGATCCAGTACCAAACCCGGTCGTGGAGGGCGTAAAGCAAAACGGCATGTTGGGTTATCTTGCCGGCGGACGCGTGCCCTTCAGCCAGGCAGACAATCCTGTCCTGTCGACAATGAGTTATCTCGTCGGCCTAGCGGACCCAGCTACGACCGCTGCTGCCGCTGGCAAGGCTGTTGAAGAAGTACGCAGAATTATGCGTGCCAGGCTCGAGAAGGCAGGCGCCAGCAGCGCTGACAAGGGCAAAGAGAAGGAAGGGGGTGAGACGGTCAAGGCTGAAGGCACTACGGACATGGACGTTGATGCTGCATCCCCACAGGCCACTGACGACAACGCTGTCTCAGTCCGGGACAAGGACGCGAAGGGCAACCCGATGACCACACTGCCTTTTGCCCTATCAGCGGCTCGCGCGGCGGGCCTGGCTTCACATGAGGAGCGCACGCTCACCCGACTTGTGCACACGGCGACAAACCTGCAGATGGAAAAACTTGAGCTCAAATTGCGGCAGTTCAACGAACTAGAGGCGATGCTTGCCGCGGAGCGACGCGATCTCGAGAGACGGCGTCAGCAGCTGTTCCTAGACCGATTGCAGTTTCAGCGCCGGGTCATGGAGATCGAGGAGGTGTTTTCGCGCGCGTGTTCCTTGAGCAGTCCGCAGGAGGGCATGAAGATGGTCAAAGAAGCACTTGGTGCCGGCAGCGATCCCTTAGTGGTCAAAAAAGTTGGCGGGGATGGAGGCGAGGTCATGCCGGTGGAGGGTAAGAGCTTTGAGATCTGAGAGGTGCGAAGTGACGTGAATTGAAATGGCTTTTTTTCTTACATGGTTGGTCTGGATTTGGAATGGGCAGGGCGCGTAGCTTTCAACGTTATTAAGTTTATGCGCGAGTGGATGTATGCTTGTGATTATGTATCATATATACCTGCGATTGCGCGCCAGAGAGCACGCATCAAGGTGACAGCGTCCATCTGTAGGTCTACACTGTGGGATTGAGCAACTTGCTGGCTCTCGTGCGAATTAGACGTACCAAGACGGGCCTGAGAAAGAAAATGTTAACTAGTATTTTAGTTGAGAGTCCCTTTTGATCCTCCTATTCCACAAAGCAGATGCCGCTGTGGCTACACACCTCCAGCGGTTCACCGTAATGTCTCATTGTGCACGCTCGACTCCGCCACCATGAAGCCGCTGTGATTGCACGCCTCCAGCGGTTTGCCGTGTGTCTCTTTGTGCAGACTCTGACTCCGCCACCATGAAGCCGACTGATCGCACGATGGCGAGGATGTCGAATCCCTTGCTTCAGGTCATGTGTGCAAGGTCCGAACAAGCATTCGTCTCGTCTGAAACTAGTAAGATCTTATTCCGATCTAACGTGCCCTTGTTGATTGGCGCGAGTGGCGCCAACTGGAAGCGAGATGACATCGACGGCGCAGCCCTGCCGTTCTCGCAATCACGTGGGGTTGTGCAAAGGCTGATGGGTCCCAGACACCGCGTGCCATAACTCACGCGCCGGACTGACCGGCTGAGTTTTTGTGTTCATCGTCTTTCTAAGGCCTGGCCACGGCGGATGCGTTCGCCCCTACTTTTCCTATATCTTACATTCTTGGCTCTGTTCTTCAGCTGACAGTTCCATCGTTCCACTTCTGGTTTCAATATCCCAGGCTGATTTCGAAATCAACGCTGAGAACGTGTCTTAAACCTTTTCGATTGTGCTCTGTGACCTTGCGCATCTGTCGCTGCTTCCACCAGCGATGCTACAATAAAACAGCGCGCTGCCTGTTTATGCGCGGTTGTGTGTTTGGTAGCACTCTCACGGACTGAGACGACTGCGGACCTCCCAGGCTGAGCCGATCGACTGATGGAGACGGAAAGCGCACGCGAGATCCTGAGACATGGACGGCGAGATCGAGCCTGCTGCACGTACGACTATTCACAAGGACAACAAGAATGATAGAAATGAGGACGACGAGGACGGAGAAAAAGACGGGACCAAGGACGGAATCAATGGCAACCAACAGCCTTCGGAGATGATAGACCCGGATTACGTGCGCAGGGTTGACTTTGAGGCCCATGGGAAACAAGCCATACAGCCCAGGTCGACTGAGGACAACGCGCTTCGAAAGTCTGACTCTGACGTGTCCCTGAATGGTGGTTTCTCATGGGTGAAAACGTGGTGGAAGTTCAGGATGCGCGGCTTCGACGACGACCTCGAGCGCGACTGGTGGTTCGCATCAACTGCCATTCCACTCTTGTCCGCAACCGTGGCACCGCTTGCGAACGTACTCAGCATCGCGGCCCTGGTCACATACTGGCGTGAGGACCTCAGCGACGGCAACGGCGGCGTGCTGCCGGAGCTGCAGGGCACCCCATTTCGCGACCCCAGGTGGTGCTACTGGCTTAACGTCGTGTCGCTCATCTGCGGCTTCATCGGCAACATCTTCCTTCTCTTTAACTTCACCGGCCGTGTGCGCTATATCGTCGCCCTGCCAGCGTCTATTGTCTTCTTCTACTTGGCCACCGGCATCCTCACCGCTATCACCTTGTGCATGCACATCTACTTCGCCCCTGTTGCCCCGTACGAAACGTATACGCAGGGATTCTGGTACGCTGTCATAGCAACCATATTTTACTTCCTCATCTCCATGCTACTCATGATCAACATGCTTGGCTACTTTCTAGGTCACTACCCGCAGCAGTTCGATCTCACGGACTCGCAGCGGACTCTTATCCTGCAGACAATGCTGTTCTTTATCTGGTTAGCAGGAGGCAGCGCTGTCTTCTCCCACGTGATGACAACGGACGTCGATGGTGATGGACCATGGAACTTTGTGAATAGTCTCTACTTCTGTGACGTGACCATCCTGACAGTTGGATTCGGCGACATGTACCCGAACAACAACGTCAGTCGAGGCTTAGTGTTTCCATACTCCGTGGGAGGCATTATCTTCCTTGGCTTGGTAATCAGTTCGATTTCGAAGTTCGCGAGCGAGCTCAGCGAGGACAAGGTCATTAAGAAACACGTCGAACGGACCAGAAATCGGACAGTTTCTCAAGCTATCAGCGAGCCGGAGGAGATCGAACGCATCACCTCCCGCGCAGACGCCGTCGTTTCACACGGAGGCCAACACGTCAAGATCTCGGGCCCACTGAACCCAAGGAGACTACTCAACATTAGTGAGAACATTGGTCTTTCTGTCTACAACCGACAAGATCACAAGAATATAGCGCTTCACCAACGCAGGAGATCGTCGGCCTCGCATATACCCCATCCCGTGAGGAGACGAACGAAATTATTCGACGCCGCAACATATCAGGCAAAAAAGTTAGTCATCCTTCGAGACGAAAAAGACCGGTTCAACGCTATGCGCATGATCGAGGAGCAGACGCAGCGATTCAAACGCTGGTACGCGCTCTTTCTATCTGTCAGCTCATTTAGCCTCCTCTGGGTCGTGGGTGCTATTGTCTTTTGGCAATGCGAGAAGGGGGCCCAGGATATGACCTACTTCCAAGCCCTCTACTTCTGTTATGTATCACTGCTCACCATCGGCTACGGCGACCTTGCGCCTAAATCCAATCCGGGACGGTGCTTCTTCGTTGTGTGGTCCCTCATTGCCGTTCCTACGATGACCATCCTCATCAATGACTTGGGAGCCACTGTCATCTCCTCGTTCAAAAAAGGCACCTTCCGCTTCGCAGACTTTACACTGCTTCCAAAAAAGGGCGTGTGGCGCGAGTGGTTGGAGTCCCACCCAAAGATATTCAGATACCTCCAGCGTAGAAAGGAGGAGCGTGAGATGAAGAAGCGCATCAAAGAGGGAATGAAGTTTCCGGGAGAATACAATGGAGGGCTTATCGATGTGGACGCAGAAGCAGCGGGGTTGCGCCCTGATCTCGAGACGCTCTCCCGAGAAGTGGAGGACGATGTCGAGAGGAAGCACACCGAGTCTGAGGAGGTACTCGCCCGCCGCTTGGCCGTCGCCATTCGCAGCGTAGCTGCGGACCTTAAGAGTGAGCCTCCCAAGCGGTACAGCTTCGAAGAGTGGGCAGAGATCACGCGTCTTATTAGATTCACGTCTCACGGAGACGACCTTGCGATCGAGGAAGAAGAAGAGGGTATCTTGGAGTGGGACTGGCTGGGTGAGAACAGCCCAATGATGGTCGGACAGTCCGAACCGGAGTTTGTCCTTGACCGGCTGTGCGAGAGCCTTGGTCGGTACATGCGTAGAGTTGAACGGGCCAAGAAGAAATTGCACATCGGCGAGGGCATAAATCTCAATCGGAGTGACGACATTGACGAAATTCTGGAGCAGCAGGACAAGCAAGCCATGGACGGCCCAGCGGCGGATGAGGTAGTTGTCGAAGATGAAAACAGCAGCAGCAGGGATCTAAGGGCTAGTGGAGGGAACGGCGTTGATTTAGCATGAAGATGGGATGATGAAGAAGGTGACGTGCGATATTACAAAGGGATCAGCATTTTGTTGCGCTGTACATATAGATGCTCACACATATTTCTCTTCGGATATGTAACTTTTAAATTCAATGATTCTGTGGAAACTTTTTTTTTTGGCGCGTATCATCTCCTTACAGGCTTAAACTGCACTAGCGGCCCGTCTTTCATGCTGGTAAATGTATCCTTGAGTTGGTATTCGCTCGTTCGCCTTCTACCTTCCTCAAGATCCGCTCCCCCCTCACCAAGTGTCGTTCCTGGCGCTAACCTCATGTCGAAGCTGAACAGGGTTCTTGCCAGCGTCGTCGTCATCTCCACGTACGCCAGGCCCTTGCCTATGCACCCGCGTGGTCCGATCGAAAAGGGACAGAAGGCACTCTGGGCAAGCTCGTGGTACTTGGCCAGTTCAGGTGATGCGAGCTCCGGCAGCCAGCGGCTGGGATCGTATTTGAATGGGTCCGGATAGTAGTTGGGGTTGTGATGGATGGTGTAATGCGGGACGCAAATATCGATGCCGGCTGGGTAGTGGATACCGTCGACGTCCAGTCCGCCGGGTAGGATGTGACGCGGTAGACCACCTCCCACTGGGGGCGACATGCGCATAGCCTCATCAATGCAAGCGCGTAAATAATGGCAGGACGTCAGCTTCGGACCGTGTGTGATCTCTTCAACGCTGTCGAACGTGCTTCTGACTTCTTCGACGGCCTTGGCGAGGACATCAGGATTGTGGGTGAGGTAAAAGAACGTGGCTGCCAAGGCCGTGGAGGTAGTGTCTGAGCCGGCTATTATGAGCAAGTTGCTCTCACCCCACAATTCTGCGGGTGTGAAGCCATGCCCGGTCTCTGGGTCCTTTGCATTGAGGAGGTAGTAGAAGAAATCTTTCCTGTCCACATCCAGGCCAAGCTTGGTACGTTCCTGAGCCTGCTGCTTGCTATACGCCATGTACTGAGCACGAGACGCGGCGATCTTGTGAAAGAGGACTTTATCAAGATGCCAGTTGTGAATGGTCAGATGGGTTCCACACTGTCTTCGTTAGAAGCAATGCTTTCCGTGCCATCCAGAGCTGGCTACTTACAATCAAATGTCTGTGTGCAGCATTGCCAACAAGAGCAGTCGCAAATCTGTTGTCCGGACTCTCAAGCATGTCAAAACTCTTTCCAAATGCAAGCTCGCCCATGATGTCGAAGGCGAGCCAGTCACACATATCGGCCATGTTCTTCGGCGCGCTCCAGCCGTCAACTTCATTGGTGCTGTGTCCTGCCTTGAGCAGGTCGAATGGAGCTTGAGGCAGAACCCGACAGAACGTTTCCACCTTATCAATCACGTACCTCTCCATGGCCTTGATTGCGGAGTCTGAGAAGGCGTGAGATAGGACCCTGCGTTTGCGAGCATGAGCCATCTTGTCGATAGACGAATGCACGTTGAAGGTATGTTTGTTTGCTGGGAAGGCCGTGTAAAAGTCGGCTTTGCGTACGTTTGCTCGGTGTCCGTAGATTGTTTTCAAAGCCGTATTGGTATTGACAGAAAGGAGATTGGGACCCATTCGCACATGAGTGCCTATTCTCTAGTCAACGGGACGGTCTGTGGAAGCGAAATAGTAGGTTATACCGTATTTCTCATGGCAACGGTAAAATTCGAGATGTCTATCGCCTTTCCAGGCATGATAGGCTAAGTACACGTCCGTGATCTTTGCTAGGAAGGGGCCGGGATATTTAGCGAGAGGATGAAGCGTCAGTCTATAAACTATCACGCCAAGAACATAGATGAACGAAATTCCCGAGACAAGAAGACTATAAAAACCAAGATGATGAGCCAAATCAAGCAGAAGCTTTTTCGAAATCATAGCTGCGACAGTTAAAGCTCGGTACGTGGATAAGAGCTCTGTAGATTTCCACGAGCAAAAGGGAAGGGAGTAGTACGAGACGAGAGAGCTCAGGAACTAGGAAACGGCCTCATCTTTATCTTCGATCAAGGTCAAATGCAACCGAATACAAACGGTCAGCGCTACCAGACTCCGGGGTCCAATGACCGATTCCCAAACGACGTCAGCTTAGGAAAATGTCCAAAAATGAGGAGTTGGTAGTTATCAAACCAGAGTAGAAGGGTCTTGAAGGGGCTCCGCATGCGCTTACTCTCGGCTCGACGCGGCTGGACTGGAAGCTTTCCGTGCAATCCACTGCGGAATTGCTGATCAAAGACAAGATTACTTTGCTGACAGCGCAACGCTGCATTGAAGACTTCGCGCTTCGGACTGAGATCACACATTCAAGATTCAGCGAAGCTAGAACCTGGTGAGCTACTTCGCGAAACATGCATCACGTGACCAAGAGAAGCTGACTGCTCAAGGTGAACTTGTCCCAGACCCGCGTCTGCACGTTTGGCTGACAAGGCACAAAGTCGTGTTTTGTCTGAATGCAATGAATTGATCTAGGAAACAACCGATGTGCACCATGTTCTGATTCCATCTTTAACTGACCTAGTATTGCTGAGACGCCGTTGGATTATCGTGGGGGTCTGTACAGCCATTCCCGCTCTCGAAACCGGACTTCCCAGCCGACCGCTCCAAATACACCAACGGCAGGGAATATGTCGTGCTGTCCTTCAAGTCCCTCGACCCCATGTGGATCGTCTTTCTCATCCCGCTCTTCGTGCAAGTTCCAACTCCCTTCCTTCCTCCCGTCCCGAGTGAAAAATACTTCAACCTCTAGCTTTACGCTCTGACAGCCGTATGCGGGCGGCTTGTCTGGGATGCTGAACGTCATTCCAAGTCCCACAGTCTGACCTGCTTTGAACGGCGAGGTAAAGTCTATGCCGCCGTGAGTATCATTCACGTATCTGCGGCCATCGTCGCTATGTACCCCAAGTGAGCCACGCTGCCAGCCTGGAAGTCGAAATGAAGGATACGGCGGAGCGAAGTAGCCAATCGCCAGTCCGGCATCTACTTCATCTTCTTCACGTCGATTCCGTGCAAACATGCTCATCTTTGACTTCGGCGCTTGGTCTCCAAAATGCATGATCTTTACTTCAAAGTAGATGGTCTTTCTTTGTTCTGTGACGAGGGGTGAGTCTGCCAGCGCAGAGTAAACAGGCAAAGCAGTTTGAAGAAGCGAATCTCTAGTGTGAGATCTTGTCTGACATAACCATGCACCCGTACGATCTTGACGTATCTCGCCTGTGAAGTTTGGTGGCTTGACCAACGTTTGGGCTTGAGCATGTACAGCATTCAGCTGTTCATTGGATAGCGGACGGGCTTGCCATAACGGATTGAAATAACACCATTTCTTTGCTTGATCGGCCTCATCTCTTGTGGCGTTCGCTCCGGTCGAAAAGTCATGAGACACGCTGGGAGGGGGTGGAAGTAGTGCTGTGTCCGGGATGACAGTCCAGTCGTGATAAGGTGGTGGGGCATCATTTGAGGAGCTGGCATGACTTGGAGGAGGACCTAAAGGTGGCCGATGCTCCGTAGTAGGGAAATGTCCCGGAGGAGGGCCAGGTGGTGGCTCATACTGCGACTCCGATGGGAATAGGCGATGTCCTGACTTTTCCGGTGGAGGGCCAAGAGGCGGTTGATACCCAGACATTAGTAGCGCTATAGCGTTCACACAGAGCCGATTTCTAGAGGATCTCAAGACTTGATGGGTAGTACGAATGGTTTGCCAATGCTTTCGTTAAGTTAAGCTGGATCAGCATCGAATCACGTGAATGTTGGCAATTGAGGCTTGGACTCTGGGCATCGTATCGATGGAACAACACAGCCCCGCTTCGTAAGCTACATAATACCAAATATCTCGTTTTCCATCCAAGTACCTCAGCAGTCGGAGGTACTTTCGAAAAGTTCAAAGATTCTCCGCTATTTCCCGCCCCTGGTGTCGTTTTGGAGCGGACTTTCTGTTTGTTCCCGACAACGTTGACATCGAAGAAGTTGTCAGTATGCCTAAGACACCAGCTTCTCCATTTCGAATATCTTCTTGAAAGATCCATGGTGCCTCCTAGTTTCAGCAGCAAATGAACTGCGCTTTACATCGGGTCTTCGTACGTCTTTCGCCTGTTCAGCCGACTGGAATTGATATTCGGGCAAACATCGTAACGGCGACTTCGATCCTGGCCTCCGGCGTATTGTTACAATACGTATTGAACGATGTACTGAAAATCGTGACTGAGGACTCATCAATGGTCATTGGATAAAATGGCAAGACAGCCAGTTGGAAATATGTGCTAGGACGAAAAACAGCCGTACTCGCGACTCGAATTGACGAGTTCATCGATCAGCCCATAATATTTTTTAACTGGTTGTTTGCTCAATGCTGCAATCTTCCATTCACAATTGTTCTTGATGAAATCCATTCAGACGTCCGTAGTTCAGATCCCTTCAAGAGAACTAGAGTAAGTACTTTCAATATTGGCCAGCGTTGCTTCTCGACCTTGCGGCCACCCTGGTCCCACACCACGAGAAGTGAGAAAGTCTGGCAGTTAAAAAACCAAGCTTGTTTTGCAAACACATGGTCATCTAGAATACAGAAACATTGAAAATGGCTCTCATACAGGTATGGATAGAGATATTTGAAGTATCCATTGCAATTTTGAGTTTTGAGCTCCTGATTTCCTCATAGGTCTCGAACATTAAGATCACGAACAGCCAGCGTTCCTTTGAGTAAAACTGGACAATTTCGTGCTACGTCACAAGTAACTCTATGAAAGATGGATAATATTCATGCTGTTCTTAGCGACGAAAATGTCACTTGTGTAAACAGAAAAAATTATTAAGGACGGGCCTTGAGAAGAAGGCCAGGTTGGCTCTACATGAATGTGAGCATGCAAGCTTCAGGGGGTTTCGGTATGAGCATGGAACGGTTCAAAATAGGACGATGAGCCGGCAGAATACAGTGAGTAAGCTTCGTCGTCCAGCCAGATGCTCCACAGCGGGAAGCTTGACATTGGCGAGAACCGTATGGAGTAATCACGCAGTATATTCTACGCTTGAGCCGTCAAAAATGAATGACGATGAGAAGAGCGTCGGTCATGATCGGCATGCAATGCTCGATGCTCGATGCAACCGTACGTCTAGAGGGACAACGCTGATGATTGGCCATGGCGTGGATCAACCATGTGAAGCAGAGCCTCACAACTCTGTTTTCGGCATGCTGCTGGGGTCAGCAGTCAAGAGCAAGTGGGTCTGAAGAGAGACTGGAAGCTCTAGCTCTCGAGACAAAATCTGCAAGGTACCCGCCCAAACCCAAGAGACACAAAGGGCGATGCTCGTCAGCATATCCGGGAGCCGAAGGAGCGAGGAGGAGAGGAGGAGCGAGGATGAAGCCCGGGCGGAATGAGGCTGCACACGCGCGCAGACGCGTCTGCATAGGGGCACACAGGACACAGAAAACCGCGTCTCAGGAAAAAAGAAAGAAAAAACAGACGGTGAAGAAATTGGAGAAGGTGGCTGGTCGGCCGGCCCACAGCGCACTTTTGCAGCTGAGCCTGACGGCGGTCACGTGCGAAACGGGCGCTGGGTGTCCAGTCTAAACGGTTGGGGGCTTGTGCGTGTCCAATAACGATGGCCGCTGGCCAAAGGAAACTTACCCTCACGGCTTTCTGTACCACTGCTTTTGCCTTACACACTTTGCTCATCTGACGTCTTCACCTCCCGTAGACTTGTATCAAGTGCAATCAATCCCATCGATCCCTTTGATCCGCCCATAATATCCAGCAGCTCATACGCTCGAGGTTCCTCACGTCTGTTGTCCGCACTCTCCCCCGACCGGACAAACTTCTTTTCCTCGTATATTATTCTCCTCGCAATCGACACACAAATGGCGCCGACCTTCGCATCCGCAGCCGCATCAGGCGGCAATTCCAATTCATCACGCGCAGATGGAGCCTCGGAATGGTGAGTTTTGTTGTGCGCTTCACACTTGGCACGACGCTCGTGTGCTCGCGACTCGCACAGCGTTGCCCGCCACGCCGCCGGGCCTTCCCCGTCTCATTGTGGGATAGCATTTCGGCCCACAAAGTGAGCTCTGTCAGCCATGGGGGAGCTCACTTGGTTTCAAATGATTCTCTGCAAAGAGCCATGCACGTCGCTGATGCCGACTGTCCAGGTCTCGACGCGCAAACGGTGCGACCCAAACGTTTCGCCGCTCATCGCAAGCAACTACGACGTCCAGCTCAACAACAGCGTCCCGCGAAGCCCCCCCCGCTAGTAGTAGCACACAGCAGCCGCGCAACTCCAGTGAAAGCTCTGGTGTGTACGTCCCGCCACACGTAAATGCAAGTCGCAACGGCGCCGCCCCTAACAACGAGACACTGCGCTACTCAAAGGACCGCGTCCTCGACATCTTTCGCGCGGAGCAAGCAGCGGGGAACCTTATTGAGGGTCTGGCGAGCTTGTATGTTGGCAACTTCCAGCCCAGCGCGTCGAATGGGGTTTCAAGCGCGTCACCGTGGGGTAGGAGGGATGAGCATAAGGATAATAGTCATAGCGTGGAATTATGCTGGGACAGGAATGCGCATATGTTTCCCATGGGCCTGCAGGAGTGGACAGACGAAGAGAGAGAGGTGTGTTGTTATTCTCCCGGTCATAAGTTTGCTATAACATGCACACTTCTTTACTCTATTGCATGACATGATCTATAACTGATAGTACGGACAGCTCTTCAACGGCTCCGTTAATTCCCCTATAAAACCGCCGGCCATGAACAATAAGGAAGGAGGAGCATCGAAGGATGGCGCCAACAACCGCAAGACTTCGATATCGCAAAACCTCAACAGTCCAGGCGCGTTTGGTCTTTCCTCGCCTACGCAGTCACGCCCAGGAAACCGCCGGCGGGAGACGGGCGATGCGTACCCATTTCCAAACACGTCACTAGCTTCGCCCTCAAACTCCCGTTTCTCCAAGGAAGAAACTAGCTCGGCGACTCCTCCAGCTGCCCTACTGAGAAGACGTACTGAGCAACAGAAGGACGCAAGTTCCGGAAGCGGCGAGGAGCGTGATAGGGACAAGAGTGAGTCATTATCAGGTGGGGGCTTGAAGCGATCAGGTACCGGTGGCCTCGGGGCTTCTGGGACGTCCACGTGGGGCACTTCCGGTACTTCGGCCTTTTCGCCCATGGGCTCCTTTGGCAACTTTGCTCTCGGAGGAAGCACCCCCCAGCCGGTCACCGAGAAAAGGCCTGGCTACGGCAGCATGCGTGGGCAGAGCCGGTTTGCGGGCTTGATGAAAGATTCATCTGGGGATCTGAAAGAGAAGTCGTCAAGTGGGGACCTAGGACAACAGGGAAACACGGAACAAGAGCGACAATGGACAGAGCAACGCCAGAACAAACCTGTCGGCGAGGAAACCGACTTGTACGCTGACGACGAGGGTGTGCCGTCTGGTAGCGCCGCGTTGGGTGGTGGACTTGATGAAAGCCCACCCAAGCAACAACGTGGATTTAGCGGATTCGGCGTGTCTACATCGCGTGTCCCTGATGATGGAGGCCTCGCTTCTTTGGGAATGACTGCTGATACAGTTAGTTATCATGATTTTGGTCATCAGACTCCACAGCAACAGCGTCAGCATGGCGGGGAAGGAGTTCATGAGCCTATGAGTCCAACTAACACTAACCCTTATCAAAGCCCTGAGAATGAACGAACTGATCTGGACGAACTACATGATGGCCATGAAATGTCACACGGCGGTCCTCTTCCTGGCTTGGGTGGCTTCAGAGGAGCTAATCAGGGTCAAGGAGGTCTCCCTGGATTGGGTTCGAACTTTCCGGCTTTGGGAACTCGTGTTCCTGCCTCGTATGAAGCTGCAGCTAGTGACCGCAGCCAGACGTCAAGTACAGGTCCCTCAAGAGGTTTCTCCAGCTTGAGTGGTTTGGGTGGTTTGCCTGGACTGGGAGGAAGTGCGTCGCCATGGTCTGCAGGACCACAAGGTCTTGGCACACCCACTCGTGATAGGAGTGGCCTAACTGGTGCTTTTGGAGAGGGTCTAATGACGTCCACCGCGGATATGCACTCTCCTATTCTAGCTGGTCTCGGTAGTGGAAACGTGTTTGCGGGTCCTGGTGGATTCGGCAGCGTTCGCTCCAAGATGGGCTCTCTCTTCCCAAGTGCGATGCAGGAGCAGATGAGGATGGGCGAGGGCGGAATTCATGGTCAGGAGGAGCAAGGCTTTGATACTTTTGCGCGGCAACACTCTGGTCTGGGTCCGCTAGCTCGCGGACCTCTCAACCCGACTGTGATGGGCAGTGCGGGGCCCGCTCGCGACACTGGCAGCCCTTTCAGAAATAATCGCGGCATGTTTGACGATCTGATGGACCATACTCCTCGCAACGAGATGCCATCTGCCATTGGCGAGCCGTCCGGCATGTTCGGCTCTATGCAATCAAGCCAAACTCCTCTCTCTTCCGTACCTCATCAAGATCCTCATGGTCTTTCACGCAAATCACAGTCAAACCTCCAACGTCCATCTTCAAATCTTACGAGCCCAAGCTCCAGCCAGCCGCCTCTTCAACAAATGCGCACGATGGTTATGCCAGATCGCATGCGTTGGATCTACAAGGACCCTCAGGGCGCAACGCAAGGTCCTTGGTCAGGATTAGAGATGCACGATTGGTACCGTGCTGGCTTCTTCACACCCGAGCTGCTTATCAAGCGTGTCGAGGACCCCGAATTCGAGCCGCTTGCCCAGCTCATTCGTCGTATTGGCAACTCGCGTGAACCTTTCCTCGTACCTCAGATTGGGGTTCCCCACGAATCTGCAAGCGCTAGTGGTAAAACTCCTGGGGTTGGCGGAGGGGTGCAACCGCCTTTCCCTAATAGCTTCCCAAGCTTTGGCACCACACTGACCGCAGAGCAGCAAAATGCCTTGGAACGTCGGAAGCAGGAAGAACAATTCTTGATGGCACGTCAAAAGGAGCATCTTGCTCAACAGCAATTGTACATGAAGCAACAGCTCGGAATGCAAGCTGCTGGTGGTCCACAGGTAGGAGCACACGGCTTGATCCACCATTCGAGCGCGCATAGTTTGCATAGCCAACCTAGCTTTGGGAGTGTGACAAGTCCGGCAGCGTATCAGCCGTCGCCTTCTCAGGGACCCATGGTCGGCGGTCCCGCTGTCCCAGGCTTCTTCGACGGAGCCTTTCGGGTGCAGCAACAAGGACAAGCCCTCGCAGTTCCAGATGTTCTAGGTAGTATTCGTGAGAGCGAGGTGCCTGGGTTAATGGAACGTATGAACCTAAACAACAATAATAACCGTGGAGCTTCGACGCAACAATCAGCAGGTCAGCAGCTCCCTTTAGGGCAAGGCCTGCCCGATGAAATACAATCTTCTCAGATTGCAACAATGCTGCAGGACAGGGCCAGACTGCAGCGCGAGCAGGCCGAACATGACCGCAAACAGTCAGGCCCAAAGGAAGAGGAGCGCGAGGCCCTTGCGGCTCAGGAACGTTTCCAGCAATTCAAAGATTTGAGGGCACAAGAGGGCGCAGCTGAGGACCAGGAGCTGAGGCAGATCACCACGGAACCAGACAGTCAGGTGCACGAGATTGCAAGAGACGAAATGACAAAAGTGGACGAGAAGCCCGAAGAAACGCTTACACAACAGGTCCAGGCCGCTTCGGCGGCGAAGCAGGCGTCCGCTCAACAGTCGCCTTGGGGCAAAGCTGACGCCTCGCAAAATGCAAATCATGCGGATCGTCCGCCACAGTCTTCTTCGCCTATGCCAGCCCCAGTTGCTCAGCGCAAGCACAACGTTGCCGACAACCTTGTCGCGGAGACGAGATCGAGAACACAGAGCCCGGCGGTAGAAACGCCAACCACATCGGTGGCGCCGTGGGCAAACCAGGCCGTCGAAATCCCCAAGACCCAATCTCTCAAGGAAATTCAGGAAGCGGAGGCGAAGCGTGCAGCTAAACAAGAAGCCTTAGCAGCTGCTGAACGTCGTGCAGCTTACGAACGCGAGCTAGCTGCGGCACAAGCCGCAGCCAGCATGGCACCAGCTCCAGGTCTCCCAACAGGTGCTACATGGGCAACACAGTCCCCAACGACATCGACAGGCTCTGCACAATCCGTGTGGGGCGCAAAAACAGCTACGAAGCCAAATGCCGGCAAGACATTGCAGCAAATTCAGAAGGAAGAAGAAGCTAAGAAACAGCGCGCCGCTCTCGCTGCCGCTGCAAGCGCGGCGAGCATTACTGGCCCTGCTCCTTCCTCCGCTGGAGGCAAACGATACGCCGATCTTGCTGGCAAGAGTGCCTCTCCAGCTTCGCCCATCCAAGCGGCGGGTTGGAGCACGGTCGGTGCAGGTGGAAAGATCAAGGCTTCTACAACTCCGGCTTCTGCCGTCAGCGGAACTATGGCAGGACGCAGCGTCAGCGGAAACACAACTTCCGCTACAAGTATGAAATCAAGCCCTGTGTCGAGGAGTTCAACCATGGGTGCTGCGCAGTTGGGTAAGCTGAATAAGGTTGATGCAATGGGCGAGTTCAAAAAATGGGCCATCGGGGAGCTGCAGAGGGGTGGGTTGCATAACGGTATTAATGGTAAGAAGACCTGGCGTCATTTCCTCTCTTCCCGGCTATCAAGTCTGGAACTGAAGCTAACGTGCTATCTATAGCCTCCGACTTCATGGAGACGCTTCTTGTTCTTCCCTCTGAGATTGATATCATCACTGAAGCCGTGCATAGCTCCGCGCAGACCATTGACAGTCGCCATTTCGCAGAAGAGTTTGTACGCCGCAAGAAGCAGGCTGATAAGGGTGTGATTGAGCCATCAACAACGGCTAGTCCGAGCACAGCTAAGGCTAACGACAATGCTTGGTCTGCGGTTGCAAAGAAGGGCCAGACAACGGCTGCTTCCTCGACGCCAGTCCCAGCGGCCAGTGGCGAATTCAAGGTTGCGAAGGCGAAGGGCAGGAGAAAGTAGATGTTTGGTACGTGATGGAAGTGAAGGTAATTGTTTCTAGTTGAAGACAGGCAGTATTTTTTGAAAGTACTTTTGTGATGATGAAATGTGATCTGAGGACTATGTTTCTGAGGAAGCTTGTGCAGACCAAACGAACCTGCATCTGCAGTTGTTAAGTTTGGTTACGAGCTGGGTGTGTAGCACTATACAAAAGTCTATGCGTGTGCGAGTATGAGGGGTAGGGGGAAAAATAAAAATCTCAAAACCAATTCGTTCGATTCACTGCCGCCCCGTAGCTTTCAACTAGTCTATTTGCGCAGTTTGTGCACTGGATGCTCTGGACTTGACCGGTCTTTTGAGGAGCCGGGTGCGCGCTTAGCGGAGGTGCAACATATTGCCAGCGATTCATTATCCGGAAGCGAGCAAGTGAACAAGTATCCTGGCATTTAATTCGTCGCGGTCTGTGGTTTCCTCCCGTACACGACAACACTGAGAGTTAAGTAAACATATTAGTAGTTGTCTTGGTGGGTGTAGACAGTGGGGAAATGCGACGTACATCGATAAGTATGCGTGTATATTTCTGTCCTTGATGTCGTCCTTCACTTTTTCCAGGAACTCACGGATGTCATCCACCTTCCAGCCCATCAGCATCATCACTTTCAAGCTAATGCCCTCGAGGCCTTGAAGAAGGTCCTCCTGCCAGTACATGGACACCTCTTTAAAGTAACGGCCCTTGGCCCATGCGGAGGTAGGCCAGTAAAAGCGTTTCTCGACCACGTCCTCGAATCCGAGCTCCTCCATCCACTGCTTGTAGTACTGCGCGTTCGTCCATGGACGGCCGGACTTGGCGGCACCCTCCGTGACGATCTCAGACCATTTGTACAAATTCGATTCTACAGGCTCTGGGCCTACGTATTTGAATGGGAAAAACCCGTCCTGGAGCTCGAGGATGCCTCCTGGGTTGAGGTAGTCGTACGCGCTTTTCAGAACCTCACGTGGGTCCTTGAAGCAGGACAGCAAGGCGCGGCCATGGATGTAATCGAACTTGTGAGGAAATACCCAGGGGTCCTCGGCGTCGTCAATGATGAAACTGCAATTGGGCGGAAGGTAGGTTGGTTGAATGGCCGAGAGATCGGTGCCAAGGATATTGCTGTTACGATAAAGATTTGCAAATTCGATGGCCCAGATTCCAGTCCCTTGTCAAGGCGTCAGGGAACATCATGTCACGTTACACTCTGGTTTTGATTGGTACCTGTTGCTATGTCAAGGACTTCACCCTTGAAGTCCTCAGGTAGCGGTGCTAGATGCAGCCTTCCTCCCAATGTAACGCCCATCAGGGCATGCTGGAGATCTGATCTCCTGTGTTAGTTGAAGCGCGATAGATTAGTGTATTTGGACTACATGCCCAGTCTTTCCTGTTCTTGCTGTTCGGGATTAGCATGTTGGATGGAAACATCACATGTTGGGACAAAAGTAGTACCGGATCATTTGGCAGAGGATATTCTCGAGGCTGAATTAGTTTTTCGTTCGCCCATCATCATGTTGTGCACAATATAGCTTACTTCCTTCCTTATACCGGTGGTAGGTCCTTCCATTCTCTTCAATATGCTCGTAGATGCTTGACCGCAATGAGGCTGTGGATGAGCTTTGGCAGGCTTTAGTACGCGCACTGAACTCACAAGTAGTACTGGCGGTCTCACAAAGTGCTCATGCCATCAACGGCCGAATCGTTCTCCCAGGAGCTACTCTACATCGTGTCAACAATAAGAAAGGTTCGCTGATTTGATTTTAGCGACATGGTTTTCACGTACGTCGTCCACCGAGGGCTCAGAAATTTGCGAAGGCACACTCAACGAGCTGTTGTTTCCATGCAGGCTAACCGAACGCGGCTCCTCGCTAACCGCAGTGGGTTCAGTCTCGACGCCGCACGCGCCGGCACGGTCGTTGCCATCCGTTGGATCTGGCATGGTTACACAGCGTAAGTAGACGAAGAAAGGGTCTGGCCAAGCAAACGCAAAGATTCGAGAAAGACGTTCGAGGGATTGAGAGACGCCAGGGTGATTGCTGCGGGCAAAATTGCCTCGCGGATTTTGTTTTTAATGGAGGGGTGGATTGCGACTCTCGTCCTGACACGCGCGGAGGCATTGGTCCGCTGTGTGAATCGCACCTAAGCGGACCTACCAATGGGAAAGGCGCAGCTTCCGATTGGATGGGCGCATGGAAAATACTTGTTTGCTTCAGTGATCGCTCCCACTCCGCTGGGAATTATCTGCAGATTTGATGGATGAGGCAACAGGAATAATCCGGAGCAAGCGCCATAGACGGAGGAAAAATCAATCAGGTGATCAGGGACCAACGGCTGCTTGCGAGTACGCCATCTCTAACTCCTACCTCACAAGCCCTCCGTTAGCAGGCTAGAGATTGGCCGTTCTTGCCCAATAAATGCTCCGGAGGACGAGTACGACATGCGGTGTGAAGGCCCTTTGTGAGATACGCATTCTGGCTTATTATACCCCCATTAAACAACATCAAGATGCGCTTAATAGCAGCGCTGTGTCAGCATTGCCTCCGAAGATGGGAGAACGCAGGAAAAATCGACAGAATACAATGGATTCGTGTTGGATGGCAGAAATCTTCCGACGAGTTAAATTCTGCAGCGCTGTGTCAGCATTGCCTCCGAAGATGGGAGAACGCAGGAAAAATCGACAGAATACAATGGATTCGTGTTGGATGGCAGAAATCTTCCGACGAGTTAAATTCTGCAGCGCTGTGTCAGCATTGCCTCCGAAGATGGGAGAACGCAGGAAAAATCGACAGAATACAATGGATTCGTGTTGGATGGCAGAAATCTTCCGACGAGTTAAATTCTGCAGCGCTGTGTCAGCATTGCCTCCGAAGATGGGAGAACGCAGGAAAAATCGACAGAATACAATGGATTCGTGTTGGATGGCAGAAATCTTCCGACGAGTTAAATTCTGCAGCGCTGTGTCAGCATTGCCTCCGAAGATGGGAGAACGCAGGAAAAATCGACAGAATACAATGGATTCGTGTTGGATGGCAGAAATCTTCCGACGAGTTAAATTCTGCAGCGCTGTGTCAGCATTGCCTCCGAAGATGGGAGAACGCAGGAAAAATCGACAGAATACAATGGATTCGTGTTGGATGGCAGAAATCTTCCGACGAGTTAAATTCTGCAGCGCTGTGTCAGCATTGCCTCCGAAGATGGGAGAACGCAGGAAAAATCGACAGAATACAATGGATTCGTGTTGGATGGCAGAAATCTTCCGACGAGTTAAATTCTGCAGCGCTTGACATAGCCCTGAACGAGAAGACGAAAGCGTCCCGTGCGAGTCGTAAGCGAGATCCACCACACATTGGTTACATTTGAGCCCACAAGGACTATACTTCGCTTTCTCGGACCACAGTCAGAATGATCAGCACGTTTGTCAAAAGTCCTACTAAGCTCGTTTTTCGATCACGTGATTTTCTGGCAAAGTCCCTTTCAGCTTTTGATCCCAGTGATGGTCGACAAAAAAGAGGTCGATCACCGAGTGGATCTGGAGAAAGCCCTCAAAGGCACTTGTGAGTTCATGCCGCACGATGCCGGGAACAGGGAGATCTAGATCGCTGCCATATGCTGTCGTCGCGAAAGCCGACTGGTTCGTCTCCACAAATACGGAAGTTTACAATCTTGCTTCTGACCACGCCGCAATGAGGAGAGGCTTCAAGATGTTGCATGAAACCAGACGACCGTTTTGCTGTCCCCAAGTTTCTATGCTTCCTTAGCTCGTCGGCCGGTCGGATATAATGACGGCGCTTTTGTCATGGATTGAGTACACATGCACACCTTATACGAAACCAATCTCAAGGAAGTCCAATGACTCAGCGAGGAAGCTTCGAAACTTTGTTCTATCGTTCCAGGCTTTTACTGATACAGCAGATGGCTTCGAAAGATCTCGTTGACCGGCAGAGTGCGTTGCCGATGCCCGATCAAACAATGATAAGCGAACGCCCACCCAAACTCGATTTGCATCTGGGCACAGGCACGCCAGAAAAACGTGCTATATCCGCGACGTGGATGAAATTCGAGGCGAATGATCATCGTCATCGTCATCTTGTCTGGCCTCGAATGGCAGCCGACCGCTCGCCCAGTGGCGCTTTGCGGCAACGCTTGGCCCTGGTCATCATTATGCGACGGAGCGACTAGGTTATGCTGAACAAAGGCCAGCAGCCGTGGCTACTACCGAGAAACGAGGTCTTGCCGTGTCATTGGTCACCGTGCAGATGCCCAGGATTCGGACTCGGTTAACATGTGGACAGCGAAACGTGGAGAGAGAAAGTCCCTTGCGGCTCACAGCCTTCGTCTGTCGGCCCAAAGCATGGCGAGCTATGCCGCATGAGGCTAGTCGTGCTCTTTCGCACGCTCAGGTTTATGAACAACCCTGATGTCAATCCTCCTAGAAGCTCTGCATGCAATTATTGTTTCGCCCATCGCGCTCTGCTTTTGTTTCCTTGCAGAGCAGCCGCTGCTGCTGTTGTCTTCGTCAGAGCGGGGCCCACCTTCGGTATTTCTCCTAGTAGCATGTGCTTCTTGTTCACGCGAGGATTCAGAGGCGGCTCCCACCTTGGGCTCTCGCGTTTTTGGCCTGCTCAAGTCGAAAAGCGTGGCATCGTTTTGGCTTCAGGACCTTATCGTGACCGTCTGGATCACGCTGAATCCAGCATCGTGTCGCGTGCCTTCTGCATCGCTCAACTAGCGTCCTACGGAGAGGCCAACAAAGGCCAGTTCGCGCTTTGCAAAGTGTGCCCTTGCCACCCGTGAACCGAGCACGATGTACACAGCGATTCGACTCATGTCGACGGCAGAGCTGATTCTTCTGCCGCCAATGATGCCGATGGCACTCTCCACATTTTGTATATCCTTGACTTAGCTGGCTCGGGCTCAGCTTTGCGGATGCTGGTGGTCAACGATACCTGGAGGCAGATCATGAGCCACATGCTCTCTAGGTTCCGCGCAAAGCAGCCAAGATTTGCCTGAGCAACCCGTACAGATTCCCAGCTGTCAGTTTTCGCCCAACTCCTGCGCATCTTGACATTTTTCTTTAAGCTTGCGTCTTTCTGTTTTTGATACCCACTTGTTCATACCTTTTTGCCCCAGGCAGATTCAATTGTGTTCCTGTCGCCGCGCTTCCCTTCCATCCGATACGCTTGACCCGACCGTGTCCGCCAGTGACGCTCATATAGATTTAGACGAGGGCGGATGTGTACCTAGAGTGGGCGAGAACCTCTGGGGCTTCGTGCTTCAACCCGGTCCCTACGGGGTACAGTTTTCTTTGTGTCATGGATGATTCGACCATCGAATATAGACCGAAGATGTCGAGTTCAACGTACGATAGTTCGATTGGGCCAGTGCCCGTTGCTACCGGCTACGATCAGAAGCAGTCCGGATTTTGGGTCAATGTCTCCGAGAAGCAGCTCATGGCAATGTCGTCGACCACTTCGCTCACCAACTCATCATATGCACGCAAGCCTATCCGACAACGAGGACAGCCTCGTACAGTAGCGCCGCCTTTTTGGTGGTCACCAAAGGCATGGTTCAAGCACGAGTACCTAAGTTGGCGCTTCTACGTATGGATCTATGCCGCTCTGGCTGCCCTGGTTGTTGTAATACACGTTGTTGCACTCGGTTCCGTCGCAGCTACCCACCCGTTTGACAATTCTGGAAGAGCAACAGTGACTGAAGGGAGCTGCGACAGAATCATCAAGACAAGCAGATATGCGCATTGGTTCACTAGTGTCTTCGGCACCGGCTATCTGAGCGCAAGTGCATATGTCATGGTATGTCAATGCACACGAGACTGAATGTTGATGTTGACTGCTACAGTATTGTTTGACTGGACCCACCAGACAGGAGATTGACAGGGCGCATGCGCGAAACAAGTGGTTGGACATTGGCGTGTTGAGTTTACGAAATGTGTTCGCAGTATCGAGGAAACGTGCCATACTCTTCTTACTACTCGGTCTGACTTCACCTCTCGTGCAATTCTTGTGAGTTGAACACTCCAATCATGCAAGGCTCCGTATTCTAATTGGAAATTCAGCTATAACGCTATGATCTTCATAACCTATTCAGTGAACTCGTACGATGTTTTCGTTGCAACCGAGAGCTTTCTCACCACGACCAATGTTACGATCGACCTTTCGCCCAATGCGACGACTGCTCAACTTCTCGATGAGCAGTACTCCGGGTTGATAAACTATATGCACGAACAAATGCTCAATGGACAATTACAGCAACTGTCGCCGGCAGACTGTGTGGACGAATTTGCCGTGCCGTTGCAGTCCTCGCATGGCAACGTCATCCTAATTACGAACAAAACGAGCAGCGGTAACGCTCTTCTTGACTACATCAATCAGGACACGGCAATGTTCGACGTCATCGACATGTACCATGCGTCGGTGCCGACCGAAGATGCGGACAGCTCTGGGGAGCAGTACATGTGGATCTGCGATCAACGCACAGCGCAGAGCAACGAATCGTGCATGTACGAGATCAACAACATCAAAGGAAACATTAGAAATTGGACCGTTTCGGACGGAAATAGGACCGTGGATTATTGCCTTGTCCAGAAAACGCCCGAGCATTGCAAGCTTCAAGTCAGCCTGAGCATGTCGTTGATTTGCGTGTTGACGATTTCTTTCAAGGTCGTGGTCATGTTTGCGGTTGCGATTTTTGTCAATGAGACGCCACTCATGACGACGGGGGACGCGATCGAAACGTTCATGAAGGATCCGGATCCCTACACTCAAGGAATGTGCATGGCGTCGAAGAAAATGATTGAGATGCATCCGTATCATTGGCCGAAGTACCCAGTATTCGTGCGATTGAAGAAGTGGAGGTGGGCGCATGGTATCCACACTCGCGTCGCCTTCTTCTGTTTAAGGTGAGCCTCCGTACTCCACGAAGCGTTTGAAAGTGCTTCTATGATTAACGTTCAAATGACAGCATGGTGATAGCCTTGTGTCTCAATGCCGCTCTCTTCTGCACGGTCAGAAACTCGATCACAATACCGAACTTCTTTTCCCTCGGCATTGGGCAGATCAACCGCAACTTCTTCATCGGCTGGGCCCACCGCGATCCCAAGTACTTTGTTCAGGCCGTGTTCCTCGCCAATGTTGGGCACGGCGTCTTCGGAGTTTTGTACATCATCTACAACAACGTTTTCTACGCTATGACATTCAGCTGGGAATGGGCACGGTACGCCACCCACAGAAAGGGACTACGAGTCTCGGAAGCGCCCCGGGGCGAACAGCGAACAGTGTACTTTTTCCTGATGCCACTCAAGCTTGCCATACCCATCATGCTCTTCTCGTCGGGTATCCACACTCTGATCTCGAATACGCTCTTTATCGTCGACGTTGAGACGTACGGCTGGGACTCTACCACCACACAGTTCGTGCGCACAACTGCATTTGACTTCACCACGACGTGTTTCTCGCCGCTCGGCAATGCACTGCTTATCATCGCAGGCGCCCTCATGATCTCCTATCTTCTGTGCTGCTCGGCCACGGAACTCAAATCTGCCATGCCCGTTACGAGCACGTGCTCGGCCGCCATCTCAGCGGCGTGCCATCCAGACGAAAACGAGCCTGACGATTTTTATTTGAGGAAGGTGACCTGGGGGGTAACGAGCGTGCACAATGGCATCGGACACTGCACGTTCTCGTGCTTGGATGTGGAGAAACCGAATGAGAACACGCCGTATGCGTAACATGTCAAACTCTTGCTGGTTTTTAGCTGGTTTTTGTGACCTAGCAGCATTTTGAGTGCCTGGAAGATATTCTTCTCAACGTTCTGGCGCGAAGCTGTACATAGATGAAAAACATGCTCTAATGATTACTTCGAACCCCACGTGAGAAAGTCTGAGTTTCAAGTCGCTGAGCGACCTGAGATGAGTGTTCCGCGACACGTGTACTTGGGTCTCGCCCGTTGCACCTCTGGATCTGAGACCCGGCACGAGGGCGGTGGGGCCCGGATTGGGGTTCAGATGCAAGGCTCAGCCTGAGTCACGAGCAGCAGTCTCCAGCACCGGCCGCGTGGGAGGAAAAGACAAATACGGACCGCAGCCAGGCAGAGGTCCTGCATGCAGAGCCAGTGGACGGACATCGGCCGGAAGTACGCTTTTCGCTATCCTGATAGGACATTCCGGGCGGGCGCTCAAACGTCATCTGTGTAAGGAAGACGCCCGGAGGTTCGCGCCCCAAAAAAAAAGTAAAAAAAAAAAAAGCCCTTTGGGAGCATTTGCCGTAAGAAAGATATTCAGTGAAAGTCCTTCGTCGCAACCTGCCCGCTCCAACGCGCCCAGACTGGATTGGTTGCGTCAAACTGGATTTCCTCCATCAGGCCAAACAGGACTTGACTCACATCCGGACGATTACGCACAAGCAAGAGCACTAGGCTACAGCGGCCTTTTTTTTGTTCCTCTGACGAAGATCCATTCTCCCATCTGCCAGAGGGGGGGGGGGGGGGCCGCCGCCCGCTGCCGCCCCACCTGTTTCCCTAATCCCACCCAGCCGAAGCTAGTACGGTCCAAGTAACACCGCAACGCACGCACGCACACTCATTGCCCGGTGACGAGCAAGAGGACGGTACACACGCCGCGATAGCGAGAGAGAGTGCACCGATCGTCTTCTGCCTTTTCCTATCTTCACCACACCGTCTTCTCTCGCCGGCGAACCCCTTTCCTCTCTCCACTTCTTCGCTCCTACCTCGCAAATAACCCCGCCGCCGCCGCCATGGAGACGGCCGAGGCTCCGCCGACCAACGGCGCTGTCCAGTCACCCGTACAGTTGCGCGAGCACGAACTGAAGGACTATGCCTTGCCGACGAGCAGGTTGACCATGAAGCTGGGGGAGAAGGACAGGGGCCGGACGCCGCTGGTGCTGTGCGCGTGCGGCAGCTTTTCGCCCATCACATATTGTACGGATTTTTTTTTTACTCGTCCCTCTGAGTCAGGACCTTTCTGGTCTGCGCACGATGGAAACGGTACTAACTGACGCTCCGGTCCAGTGCATCTGAGGATGTTCGAGGTACGTCCATCCATGCGAAACACCCTTTTTTTTTTGGAACGAGGCGGACGTGCGGGGATGACAATTGCTTGCGTCGAGGCAGGTCGCTCTTTATGCTAACCATCCGCGCTGCAGATGGCCAAGGACTGGGCAAGGTTGAACACTAACTACGTCGTCGTGGGCGGATGTGAGTCTCGTACACACTACACGCACTGCACGGAGAAGTGGAGGGTCTAAGTAACATCGCACAGACTTATCGCCCGTCGGTGACGCGTACAAGAAGAAGGGCCTCGCCCCCGCTGAAGACCGGATAAAGATGTGTGAGCTGGCAGTCGGGATGGGCCAGGAACAAGGCTCCGCCTTCATAATGGTGGACACTTGGGAGCCGCTGCAGGTATGGAAGTAGTCCAGTCCTCTCTATCCGTGCCACTCTCCAGCCAATGACTAACCCCGCGTGCTTTCAGTCGGAGTATCAACCGACTGCCAAAGTGCTGGACCATTTCCGTTACGAAATCAACGAGCGGCTGGGCGGAATAGACGACGGCACAGGCAATAAGATTCCCGCAAAGATTGCGTTGCTCGGCGGCGCCGATCTGGTGGAAACGTTTGTGTCACCAGGCGTGTGGGCAGAGGCCGATCTGGATCACATCCTTTGCGATTGTGAGTCACCCTGGCTTGGATGGACGCGTCCATGGTTACTGACAACGCTGCGCACAGTCGGAGCATTCGTCATCGAGAGAGCGGGCACTGATCTCGACGACGTGCTTTCAAAGCTGAAGCCGAAGTGGAGGGACAACATCAAGGTCATACACCAGGTACGCGTCAATCTTCTTCCTTTACATTTTCGTCAGGCAACCTAACCAGTGAGATAGCAAATACGCAACGACGTCAGCAGCACCAAGATACGCACGTTTTTGAGAAAGGATATGAGCATACGTTTTTTGGTTCCTGATCCAGTATGGTTATACCCTTTTAGCGGGCGACCCAGAAACAGCCCTCACATACGTATTGGCTGGCAATAAAATACTTGCTAACCTCTGAACCAGGTGATCAAATACATCGAAAAGAAGCAGCTTTACATAAATGGAGAGGGAATTGAACAAACATGATCTGACTGTTCACCATCCATTTCCAGTCTTATATCGTCGATGCCATCAGCCGCTACAAATACCACGGCACACCGGGAGGTTCGGAACACTTTTGGCAGGACACCCGAGCAGTGATTGCGTTACTGCCACAAAACACTCCTTGGTGGCTCTGCATTGTGATAATGGGTCATGCGTGATGCTTTTTCGTCTTTGTCGTTAATATATATACCACTCTAGAAGGTGTGCTTGCCGTTGGGAATGGGCAACGGCGTGGCCTGTCTTATTCAGAGGAATTTTGGCTTCAGTTCCTCTCGAGCTTTTAAGCACGTATCACAATCATCGTCGTCACACTATCAATCGGGCGGATAGCATGTGCATAGAGACTTTCTGCGAGCTAAGCTCCTCTTGTTCTTGCAAGCTTCGATCGGTTGGAAAGCGTGAAGCTTGAAAAATGAGCGGTTTACTAGTGTCGACCACGTTCGCTCCCACATCACTGTGTTTCCCACATATCCTGCGTATCCTCACTGCTTTTGTAGTAAACCTTCGATGGTAGCAGATGAAAGAGAGGTCTTAAAGACTTCTTCCGAATCACCTTTTGCTCACCATCTCGAGCCTAATCGTCGGAGACGAAGCATGTGATTTCATCGGAATTCTTTCGAATCCGTTGCCGGCACATCCTAGATGTGGAATGTTGATCCCTCCCCGGCTTACCAACACACAGGGCTCCGTCTTCGCACCATGAAAGGATACAGCACCTGTGATGACCTTTTCCACTGTCGCCACCGCTACAGCCAAAGCGGAAGCAGACTCCGGAGCCTGAGGAGTGTGCTGCTGGCGCGACGGGGACAGCGGCGCTGGCGTTGGGAGGTATATTCACCGGAGCGGCGATAGAACTACGCCTGGCGATCGATTTTCCGACGTTCCCCTGCTTGCACCTCCGCTCTTCCATTGCTGCGTGCGGTCTTCATCTGGCTGTATGACTTCCACGTTCTCGGCGGTTCAGTGTCGTTGCTTCCTGCTGCTCGTGCTTCTCCGAACTCATATCCTCCGTCTGCTGCCGTGCGGTGTCGAAGATGTTTTCTCCTTGGTGGACAGCAGCTTTTTCGTCCCGTCACGGCTGAATCTAGTTTGGAGGCGGCGAGGTCGCTCTGCTCTTTTGGGAAAAAAATAGAGGTTATCATCTACGACAGCTGAATCGCCGCTTTTCCCGCCGAAAGATAGTTTAGCAAGAGGAGGACTTGGATCTCTGCGACAGACGGTCTTTGGGGATTAGTTGCAGCATTCGCGGTTGCCATTTTGGTCACGGTTCAAATTGGGTTGCGAATACTCGTCAAGGAAAGTGCGATGCAGGCATTTCCATCGCAGCGTTTTACTTTTATGTGCTATGCTTTGTGTCTCCCGAACGTCTCTTGAGGAAGAACGTTGTTGTGTAGGTGGCGATGAGGATGGATGGGTCTCATCGCATAAGAGCGTAATAAGCAGACTACACGTGAGAAATGTTCACGTTCATTGGCGAATCAAACGGAGCTTCTCGGTTTCACTGCATTGTGCTATTAAAAGTACAACCAGGTTTCCTTGGTACTAACGGGCCTAGGAGAATTAAGGTACTCATGTAAATGATATCATGGTGATCACAGGTGATTATGAGTTTGACATGCGTATGGCGGAACTAGGCTGAAAGTGCAAGTGTCATATGGGAGTTGAACAGCAAAACATGCTAATAGCATTGGCCCCCAGGACTTCCCAAGATTCGCTTTGAGCCTGTCAAGATATGGGGAAAGACATTCGAGACGTGCCTGTGCATAGAGTTGACGCACAGATGGGGTATGACTAAATTGTCGCTAGTCCGCAATTTTTTTTTTTTTTTTTTTAAGTTTCTTCAGGTTTTCAGCTGCTTTACACGTAATTGCTGTAAGCCGCTAATTTGAAACAAACGTGTACAGATTAATTGCAGCAGCCATGCGGAGCGCCTTGATCAAGTGTACTATCTGCTCTTGCAGCTCGAGCGCTTTGCAACAACATTAAAACCTTCTGCCCGCATGAGACGAATTTGGTCTGTATCCTCTTAGCCAAACAGTCTTGAAATTGCTTTTTAGTTGTCGTTGCACTTTGAACTGAAGCGGAGGACAATAACGCATTGTGCTCCGCGAGTCATTGGCCATGGCTTTCGTATGCGCGAGGACGGCAATGACACTTTCGGATCTCAAAAGATCCTTTAAATGGCTTAAAACTAAACGAAAGAGGGCACTTCTATGCAGGTGTGTCCACTTTTGGTACGCCATTCATGACACAGAGCTGTGTGAGTATGGTGTCCGACCTGGGAACAACAAAACAGAACTGGCGAATATGGTGGCGGTTCAAGAGGATCAGGCGCAGACTCACGCACCCGTGGGGGCAGAAGTAATGGACATTATGGATGGTGCAGTTTGGCCAGAAGCAGGCCCCCATCACTTGACAGACGGTGCGGCGTACCTGGAATCTTCCACGTCGCAGGGTCTAGGCTTCTAAGACAGCGGAACGCTTTCTTTCGCGGTCAGGCTAGAAGTCCAGCTTCGAGAGATTTAATGCAAACGCACGGATGACGCAGCAGAAGCGAGAGACTTTTCCCAGAGAATACAAAAGCAAATCGTCAAGGACGACCATCTAAAAGCATCTTGTCAGTGCGCTCTCTCGCGTCTAAGCAGTCTCAGCTCTGGGTGGCGGAAGGCAAGCCAATAAGGATGGCATAGCACAGGCATTGTGAGCTGCCTAAAAAGCACAAAGGCTCGCCGCCATGCGGCTCGGTCGATCTGTCAACGAGCGCGCTTCTCCCCATGTGGCTTGTGCAGCGAGGAAGAAGCAATATGGCCACTGTGCGATCGCCACTGTCGACTGTGTCGGGCGTAGCTGTTGGTGTTTGCGCACAGCGACCGAAATCGCTGGGGAGATAACAGGTATCAAAGCAGGGTAGCATCGCGGGCGAGTTCGCTGGAAGCATGAGGCATTTGCGCAAGAGCCCGCCATCAGAGAAGAGCCGGCGCCATTCTTCGCGTAGCAGGTTCTTCTGGATGCAGGACGGTCGAAAGGCCAGACAGCCAAACAAAGGCTGCGTGGCTTGCGCTTGAGGGCGAGAGTGAACGAGAGAGCGTGCGTGTGTGTGTGTACGCGTGTGTGCTTCCAGAAAGTCGCGCTTGGTCTGTGCGCTCGTCCTCTCGCAACGACCGGCGTGAACGTCCGCTCTCCGCAAGCTTGGGACAGCAGAAAACCGTCTCTGACCACCCATGCCGCCGTTTGCTTGCCGCGCCTCGAGATGGCCTCCTCGTTTGCCTCAGGTGGGCTTGTCAAACCTCATGCGGTTCAGAACAAACGCCTCCAAGCCCACCGTCTCCTCTGCGCGCCGGCTCAGTCGGCAGAGATGCGTGTTGATAGCAGCCTGCCATGTGCTATTCCTCGTTGCTACTGGACCGACGCGACTCCAGCTTGGCCTGGAGTCACGCCTGCACTGCGCTTATAATAGTCCAGATCACCTTTCACAGCTTCCTAATTCATCCAAGACGACTGTCCACATTTCTCGGGTGGAACGCAGCCACAACGAGCCGTCCAAAGGCCTAAGGCTTCGAATTTCCTTGCGCGCTATAGGGGACCTAGTCAAGCGAGGCCTCTCTCTCATTGGCCACTCCAAATCTACCCCAGCATGAGGAGGCGTTCGCCCGACTTGCGTCAACGGCCGCTCACCTCGTTTCATCCTCTCCATGGCAAGACGCTCTCCTTCCATTGGCATGGCCTGTCGCGTGCTATTTTCCCCTTGCGCACAGCAGCTCCGTTCGGCTCCGTCTCCGGAGACTTTCCTGCATCTATGTGTACGGCCCATCGCGCGATGGCCTTGAAGTCCTGGGCTAGCACTGGCACACATCGTGCAGGGTCGAGACGGTCCGGCTTCCACCCACCAAAGGAGAGGCGAAATGTGATTAGAGACCATTACCCTCACTCGAGGTCGACTAACCGTCAAGGATGCCCTTGCCTGTCGCACCAGAAACGTCTGGCTTAGAACCTTCTGTACCGTAGATTTTGCTGACCTCATTGGCCGAACGGGGTCATCCCACATCTAGGCTCTAAACCGCTCCTTACTGTATGCTGTCCGCATTACATCCCCTTGGTGCTCAGCCTGTGCCATGCGATGATTCCAACCAAGCGCCACAGAATTGGACTGTGTTCTCTGTGCGTTCTTATCTCTAGTCTCCACTTACACATGTCCCTCGCGCTTCCACACATCTATGTCTCTCTCTGTGTGTGCGTCCGCGCTTCTCTACTATCGCTTGCTCTTCCCGCTCCCGTATTCAGCTGCCCAAAGCTCTAATATCCCATGCTCCCAATCCCAATATCGCTGAGCTTTGCTTCTATTTCGTTTTCAATAACCCGCTAGCAAGGCCATGCCTTTAACTTTTCTTCGTTCATTGAGGTCAAACGCGCATTTGCGCTATACATGATCCATTCAACAGTGACACCACGTTATATTGTAATAGACGTCGTCCAGGATGACTTCGCGATCGCTGACAACGGTCGTGACGGCCGACACAATGGCGCTCAACGCCGCCGTCTTCGGTTTCGCTGGACATTCAATAGTCACTCCTCATCAAGCAATCCAGAACATATGGTGGACAGACGAGCGGATCGAGGCCAAAGTCACGCGCGAATTCGTCGTGTCCAAATTGCGACCAAGTGAGAGGGACCAACTTTTCCGGCCGATGTTCATGGGCAGTGGTCTGACAGAAGATACATATCTGGACTGGGTTTTAACTAGAGCGAAACGCTTATTCCTTATTTTAGTTGAATGTGGCTGTTCGGATCAGATCTTCGGCATCGCGGAAGATTCATGGGACGATGATGACCTGCCGATCGCCCTGAGCGAGATTCCGCGACTTGCACTCTCCAGCAAGGATGACACGTTAAACATGCGTTTCTATCATACGCAGTTTAGATTCCTGCTTCGGCCCCTGGATTTCCATGGCCATATCGACTATGCGCCCAACGAAGTTGTGCCCATCGAATATGTGCACAAGATTGCGCCTGCTGCTGCATTGCAAAAATGGTCGCGGTTCCACTTGCCGAAGATGCCAACTTTGATCTATGCAAAAAGGAAAGTGATTCTGGGCGAGAAAGATGAGATTGATGAAGAGTTGAAAGAGAGATTCCTTGAAGATGTGCAAATAATGCGCACTGTCGAACATGAACATATCGCGCCTGTCCTTGCGACTTGGTGCCACAAAAATGCAGCGTACATCATGACATCTTTTGTCGGCGAGCACACATTACGATCCTTCATCGATTTTAGGACACCTGCCTCAATGCAGAAAGTCTCGAAACAGGAGCGACAGACCATTCTGCTCGAATGGATTCACTGTCTCTCTCATGCTCTAGCATACTTGCATCGGAAACGAATCGTTCATACCGCCATTTGCCCATCAAATCTCATCGTCGACGAGAATAACAATATAGCTTTCGCGGACTTGGGATTCCTCGACACATTCCAAAAGGACAAGAGGTTTGAAGCGGATGAATTGTTCAACTACGGCTCTCCTGAACAGTTTACCTCAACGACGAGATTCGACCGAGGAACAATACGAGCACCGATCCCAACCAAGCGATTCTTTCACAAGCGGCGGAAGTCGGATCAGAGTAATTCAGGCAGTGATTCGTCATCGGAGGCAACTTCAGCTCTCTCAATGGATTCGAAAGGAAATTACATCGTCAAGAGTCGCTCAAATTCCCAGGCCACAATTACACCGATAACAACTCGGGATTCCGGTCCGCCACGATTGAATAGTCAAGACTTTTCGGTTTCACCAACACTGGATCTTCCATTTGATCAGATGTCTTTGACCTCGAGCAAGAGCACAGCACCATCATCAATGTCTGGGGATCCGAAGTCATCAAATAACGAACTTGACCAGAAGGCAAGCGATGTATACTCTCTCGCTTGTGTTTTTCTTGATATAATATCCTTCATGCTCAAGCGCAAGCCCAACGAATTCTTTAAGTATCGTGCAACGAAGGTGAAAAATCCTGGAGGCAAAGGCACTCACATGGACGCTTCATTTCATAACAACCCGCAGAAGGTTCAGGCATGGATGGAGATCCTTGAAAACGACCTTCCTATCAAGCAAGATAGGACGCTATTCGCGCTCCCGCCATTGTTCCGACTTATCAAGGAAATGCTAAACTCAGAAGCTCAACGCCGGCCTCCTGCTGCTGAGGTTCAAAGCCGTGTCTTTGACGCTCTCTACAACTACGGCGGCCTGCAAAATCTACACTGCAATAACTACGACCAACGACCTGCTTCGACTCTATCCTTGACACGTACTTCAACCAGCGGCGGGTCATCGCGGAGCTCAGAGCCGCGACTCGCATCCTACCCTGAGATTGCTTCTTTGTTACCCCCCGCTTTGCCTCCGAAGTCACCACGACGCCCGCAGACGTCGAGTTCGACCTCGTCCTCGAGATACGTGGAGACAAAAGCTGGGACCAATACGCCTAATGTGCCACCTATACCACCATTGCCAACGCGAAATGCTTCCCTGACGGAGATGAGGCGTTTGGCGTATCTCAGAGAAAAAGGCGTTTCCATGTGACCTATTCTTGAGAAAGGAATTGGGAATGGGGGCTTCAAAGCCATCAATTTTGGCGAGAAGAATTTCATTTTTGCGATAAAGAAGACTACGTTTTTCTTTCTTGGGATATGACTCGAATGTAGTAGGGGTGTGTTATTTGGTTCTACTATCGAGATACCACTTTTCGTTTGGAGAATATTTTGTACGAAAATAACAAATGTGCACCATTTCGCTGATGCTCTACCTACGACTTCTTGTTTAACATATATCTTGTTAGGGAAGAAGAGAATTGAAATGGAGACGAAGTTTTCACTTGCTTACTCCTGAAGCTTTCAAATATAACACCCCACTATTTTGATTCTGTGCTATCCTAATTAGACGATTTGAAAGAAACGGGGCTGCTCGAAAAAAGAGCTTGGCAGGGGTAAAACATGTTTGGGTTAGAAGGACGAGAACTAAAAACAACCACAGGTGTTCCAGATACCAACATGTCGTTACTATGAATGAAAGACCGATATATGCTATCAAAGCATGCCCGCTGCCATCTTGACACTTCGCCGCATGCGCGCCTTCGTGATAGTGCTATGAGTTGACTCGCAGAGCTCGATCACATAGTTCGAGCTTGGGTAGCATGTCCTCGGCTGGTTACAGACAGACGTGGGCCACGACGCTGGGCAAGAGACTTCTGGGCATGAGTCGTCTGCCGGCTTGACGTAGACATCTAAAGGATGGCCCGCTACGTCGCTAACGTCGTAGTAAACCTTGCCGTCCTGGTAGTCGATGGTATAGTCGAAGCTGATGGGGTGCGCGAAGTCTCCACTTGTCGAAAACTTGACAGCTTGTCCAGGTGCACCAGAAAGATCCGTTTCCATATTTCCTCCGGCCTGGATGACTTGGGATTGACCTTGAGTGCCTTGACTGTCGATCTGGATGCCGATGGCACCCTGGCAGTTGTTTTTGATAGTAATGGTGCCCGTGGCCGCAGCCACGGATGCGAGCGCAGCCAAGATCGCAGCCTTCATCTTTCGATTAACAGCCTCTGTGCCGGAACTCTTTGTTGTTTTATTGTTTTCGTCGTCGTGGTGAAATTAATGGTACAAGGGATAATTTGCAGATCTTCGATCGAGCCAACTGGCACCGCTGGAATCTCAGTGGACTGAACCGAATTTGCTCGGGCGAGTGATTGTTTTGGGAAAATGCTGCTGCTTGAGTCGAGCTCGTGGAGAGGAACTGAGTTCAGCCGCGGATCAGAGATCAGATTTATACTCGGCTTTTGTTTACTCGCTGTCGTTTCTCAGCTCCTTCCCAAGTATCACGAAATGGTAGGTGTTGCACTGGACTATCTACCATCCCCTGATAAGGCGAACCAGAAGGTACAACGAAGTACATATCCCAAGAATGGGTATTAATCTCTCATTTGTGTATACTTGTGCGCCCTGAACTGTTTCTGCACTCCAACCCTGGCCGTAAAAGTCTTCATGCAAGTCATCGTGAAGCTGACTATTGAATTCCCCAACGATATTATTTGCACGGTATGATATCTGAAGTGGCTCCCGTCATATTTTTGTGCGGGTAATCGCAGCATTGTCCAACTTTGACGGTGCGTTCCATGAGAATTGGCACGAGTTCTTGAGGCATGCTTATTTCCAAACTTCACATCGTAGCTACAGCGGCACAAAGCAAAGGAGCAAACGCATATGGACGGAATCGCCATCATGTTATATAACGATTGTCGTACAAATTACGACAGATACCTGAGAGTCAAGCGGCTGACTGTATTAATATCACAAAAATGAATTCTGAACAAATGGATGTGATACGCCAGGTTAGACTAGCCCAGTTTAGTAAAATGCACGTTGTACAAAGCGAGAAGTGTCAATTTTGCTGAGCACGAAGAGTACGAATGAGACAAGCATATTACACAAGAGAGAAAGAATAAGAAGACTTGAATGTTGGGTTATATGGTCAAATTTTCTGATAAGAGGAGTGGGCAACTATTACGTTAACCACACGAAACTGGCTACGCACAAGGCATTCTCCTAGGTAGAGCTAATGAATGAGAGCCCAAACGCCAGGCATCTTTCCTTCATTAGTGCGACCTTATTTCTCCTCCTCTGTAAAGAAAATACAACCCTTTCGATTGCCCATCGGGGCTCTATTTTTGGAGTACTTTGTTGTTGCATGTCAGACGGTATCCGTATCGAATCAGGGATCACTAAAAGGCAAACGCGGATACAAATCGTACTTGCACGGGCCAGTGGTGCGGCTGTCACCATGAGGCGAAATCAGCACGCTTACCACTGATCACCTCCAGCTGCTGGGACCTCTCCTTCCACAGCTCCGCTAGCGGCCCATTCACCGCCATCAGCGTCCCAGCTTGCACCAGCACCACCAGCAGTAAGGCTTGAGGCAGCAAAGGCACCGCCAGGACCAGCAGTGTTAGCAGCCCACTCGTCGTTGAAACCAGTGTCGACTGGACCAGCACCAACTTCATCAGCACCTGGGACCTTGGACTCGTCTACACCAGCCGAGTCCTTATTCTCCTCCGCTTCAGGATCGCGGTAGAAGTACAAGTCGGTCATGACGTCCCACTCAGTTTCTCTGGAGGCAATTGTGCCACGAAGACGGAGGACTTCACGCGCAAGCATCCACCAGATAAGGCCAATGGAGTGACGCGCCTTGTTGCTATTCCGTAGGTGAGTCCAAAGTACCTCATTATTATTTTTGCTTTAATCTTGACTTACTTGGTTGGAATGACAACGTCAACATATTCTGTTGGAGAGTCGGTGTCGCAGAGTGCAATAACGGGGATGTTGACATAAGATGCCTCCTTGATGGCCTGGGCATCGGTGCGTGGGTCGGTCACGATGATTAGACGAGGCTCCTTGAACGAGCGGGTGATGTAGTTCGTAAAATTACCCGGAGTAAAGCGGCCGGCGATGGCAGAGGCACCAGTGTGGGCGGCGAACTTGAGGACAGCACGCTGTCCATAAGGACGGGCACTGATGCAGGCTACATCAGCAGGGTTGTCGATGGCCACGATGATTCGAGCGGCAAGAACAATCTTCTCCCACTACATCCTTGAATTTGAGCATGTCGAATCTCAAAACTATGGACCTTGTAGTTGTACGTACGGTCTTTCCAATGTTGATTACATTGATACCATCTGGCCTCGTCTTCCACACATACGGCTCCATGTGCACCTGGAGATTCTTGGAGCCCAGATGGCATTGCGCAGCGAGCAGCATTTCGACATCTTGGTTGGTCTGCACGTTGACTGTGTTAGCTTCGCATCTGAGTTGTATCGCGTAATTCAACGTACCGCATTGAATACTGGGGGAAGGTTCTTGGCCGCCATCTTGGATGTTGTTGTGCCTCCAGAACTTTTTGTTGCGGGACAGTTGAAAATTGATAGTCGATCGTGCATATTTGCCAAGATTTTATCATGTGATGTGGCGTCTCGGGCATCAACACATGTAAGCCTTAGGCTTCCAGATCTAGTCTTCTTTCAGGTGAACTTTTTAGGAGAGTAGATCAAGAATCAGCCAATGTCATCCAATGCCGCCTCGAATAAGTGAATTCCCGTGCTTGAGAGCACTCAGCTGTTGGTGAACTGCTCAATCATATATTTGGATATGCTAATTTCATTGTAGCGGCACTGCCCTCCACGAATTGCAGACAGGGAGCGTGGACTCTGCGGACCTTCTCGGCGTCTCGATCGCATCAAGCAAAGTCCAAAGGGGAACATCGCTATCGCGACCCTTATGTTGCTGCTCAAGCGAGAGCAAGAAAAGCCGCCAATATATCGAAACAGGAAGCATTGAAATTGAATCGCGCGCGTGCATTGGGAGATCCAGTTCGTGGTCTAGAGACCGAATTCGTCCGCTCCTTCGACACAGCGAGTGAACACGACACGGCTGGAGGAGAAGAGAAAGATCAACCACGACTCAACTATTCCCTCACACAGCACGAGATTGACACACAACTTACCAAGTCAAAAGCTCTGGTTGAGCCGGCTCCCTTGTCAAAGCATGAGTTAGAGCACGTTCGAGACGTCAACAAATCGAGGATCCTGAGGAAGCATGAGCAGAATATGGAGCAATGGGCTGCAGCACACGAGACGGTTAAAGAGGCAGTTAAACGAATCACAAATCTTGAGAGCGGTAATTCGAAGGATCGATTTAGGATCAACGTCGAAAGGTGCATACGGACATTCGGTCGACACGAAACGGATAAATATCTTCCCCATCGCACATCCTCTGTACCTCTTGGACCTGGAGGTCTTCCTTTGTCCGATCACGAACCTGCACCACTGCCCCTTAAAAAGAGGTTGGGGCCAGATACCGGATCGCCGGAAGTTCAGATTGCCATCCTGACCGCCAGGATCAGAAACCTAGCAAACCATCTTGACAGGGTTGGGAGCAGCAGGGACAAGGTCAACAAGCGTAATTTGAGGCTACTTGTGCACAAAAGACAGAAGCTGTTGCTATATCTAAGGAGAAAGGAAAGGGCTGGACCGAGATGGCAAAGATGTATTGAAATGTTAGGTCTGACGGAAGGTACATGGAAGGGAGAGATCAGCTTGTGATCGGGAAGCATGCGCATCCTAGGATAAGGAATACGTGTATTGATAGAAGCCTGCATGCGCACAACAGGCGTCTGTAGTGCACAAAATCTGTACTTTGTGTTTGGTGTACACTTTGAGATTGCGTATGACCTTAACTATTCAAATAATTTTTATATTCTAAGACTTCTTTGTACTTATGATACTGTTGTAGATCTTGACTTGATGAAGAAGGCATACGTGTATTGAATGCTAGGTACTGAGTTACTCTGGTCGGAGGAGCTTTCCGCATCCGGATGTGGTGGGGTGTGTGCGGCTTCGTTAAACTTCGGTATAACGCCTTTTTTAAACAATGCATGTTATGTTCTATGCTCACATACGATAACCTGGTTTTAAAGTCTGTGACCCTTCTTGAATGCATCACTGACAATGCAAAGTCGCCACCTGATTTTCGCCCCGCAGCCTGAATCTCACCCTCTACGGTAACCGAGCAGAAAAATTACTGCGACCTCACTGACCCAACTACCTTCAGCTCGAACGGCTTTTCTTCTAAAACAGCTCTTCTCGCAGGCAAGATCATGGATTCATATAACGGCAAACCCCCCGAGGTAGTGGCTTTGCTACAGACGGCTGTCCGCGAACTTACAGAACGCCCGGTTGATGCATTTTACACGGAGGACATGTGTGATATGCGCTATGAACCTGGGCATATCGGCGTTGTAGAGAGGACGACGGCAGATGTTGATACGCATGAGCCACATCCCCACCTGGACTATGATGTCCTAAGGTGCCATAAAGATATTGGGCGGGAGGCATTTAGGAAGTATGTTAATTAGAAGCATGAGAGCTGCTCCCCTACTACCTCATAGTCCCCAGGTCCTATGCAACATTAGCTATGACGGGTGCTGACGTCCATGAAAAGATTCAAACACGACGGAATCCCTCCTGCCGGCACTGTTCTCGTTTCTTGGCAAACGAAGAAATACACCGAGCTCGTACCTACCAACCAGCTCACTCTAACAGATCGGTCTCTCCTTGTGGGCGATGTGGTGAAAAAGGACCCCAAAGATGCGATGAGTGGAACTGTCAAGCAAACTAGCATGTCTCTTGTTATATGCCCTAGCGCTTTCAAAGAGTCGCGGCTTGTAAATGGAACTCTGCAAGCGCCTCTTGATCACGCCATACCGTTTCAAGTCTCCGCTGAGGATATGAAATTTGCCAGTGACTACAAAGAGGGTGATCTGGTTATATATAAAGGGTGGATAGGACGGGTAGAAGAGACTCTGAATGACGTGCTTGTGCGTCTTCCAAATGCTAGTATTGTGGCAGTTGACAACCCAGCAGAGTGCATCAACACCTTGGATCCAAATGATACTGTTCTGGATATAGGTGTCATTGTCCGTACGGGAAAGAGTAATATTCGGCGCGGGCGTTGGATCGTTGGACATTACGATTCAAACGTCGAACCTATCGGAGACGTTGTGCATATTGAGAATCGAGCTTTTTATGCACGTTGGCTTTGGAAATACGGCAGCATTAAACAACAATCTTTCGATCGATCAGACGAACCTCCTGCTCGCCTTGAGATCTCAGTTTTTGAAGCGGGTGGTGGTAAGGTGTACGACCGATCGAGGTCTCCTCGTACCGCTGTGGGCATGAATCGTTCACACATCCCATTCATATCCGGCGACAAAGTGCGTTTCAGAGATGTAGCCGGCGCAGCGATCAAATATCCATCTTTCAATCCTACCCGTCCTTCCGAGACGCACAACTTTGATATGAATGTGTTCACTGTTCTCCTCACGAAGACGAACGCTAAGATAGCCTGGCAAGACCAAACCGAGGAAGAGCTTCCAGGAACGGCAGTCGTACCGGACTACAACATGGAAGACGACAACGAGGTTTGGCCAGGCGAAATTGTTATCACCAATGAAACAGCGGATACAGTGGAAGAAGATTGGATTTTCAGGCCTAAGCGGGTTGGAGTTGTTCAGTCTGTTTCTCCCGCAGATCGTATCGCACACGTGAAATGGCTTCCTGAAGCGAAAGTATTGTACAATCAAGTTGGGCTGGATGAGCATCTAGATGAGCTCTCACTTTTGGAAGGTTCCACATTGGGCTTAGATTTGGTGCCGGACGCAGAGAGACCGGAAGAAGATGTCACGTTATATGACATAAGGACAATTGGAGGCTTGAGCAGGCGAAGAGGAGACTTCGTGGTTATTGGTGAGAGAAGTGGTCAATTTGACATCAATTCTGGGACTGGAGATGACCTACGGTGGTTTGGAGAGGTTATCGATCTCAACCTAGACGGAACTCTTACGGTTCGTTTGGGAGCCGCTGAAGAGGTCGTTGATGTTCGTATTCCACCCGAGACAACCACACTGGTGTATAGCTCGGATTCACCAAGTCTGCTTGGAGATCCCCCCACCTTTGATGACCCGTACAATTCTGCGGATGAGCACGATAGTGATAATCTGGAGTCCGATGAAGATGTGTCCGAGGAGGAAACTTGGATGGTAGATGGAGAGCCGGTCGAAGAAGACGATGAATGGGACACGGAAACTGAAGGCCCAGAAGACAATGATGTCGACATGGAAGACGCTTCGCCAACTTCAGCCGAAAATTCTGCTACTTCCCTGGTCTCACCAAAGGACGATACATCAGAAAAACCTGGCGATGCAACAGTAAATTTGGGCATAGCGCTTCAAGAGTCTTCGGTGAAGATCCAGGATGCAATAGACGCTCCTCCGTCCTTTGATGTTCTGGAATGTGAACTGCCGGCGAATCATCCATACAAATATCCAGATCCAGCCCCTCTAACAACCGCTCGAATGAAGCGAATACGCAAAGAACATGCCATTCTCTCCTCCTCCCTTCCTGAGGGCATTTTTGTTCGCACATGGGAATCACGTCTCGATTTACTCCGTGTATTGATTGTAGGGCCACTTGGGACACCCTACGAATACGCGCCTTTTCTCATTGACATCAGAATTCCACCCGAATATCCTTCAGAACCACCAAACACGTACTTCCACTCTTGGACATCTGGCCAAGGTCCTGTTAATCCGAACCTTTACGAGAATGGTAAAATCTGTCTTAGCCTTTTAGGAACATGGCATGCTGGGGAAAAAGGTGAAGCGTGGTCAGCTTCGCGATCTACAATCTTACAGGTGCTAGTTTCGATCTTAGGCCTCGTCCTGGTGAAGGAACCGTACTACAATGAAGCCGGTTTCGAAGCTCGTGCAGGATCAGAGGATGCAAAAGTCCCGTCTCAATTATATAGTGAGCGCACTTACTTCAGATCCAGAGCATTCATCACTTACGCCCTGCGAAATGGCGTTGATGGATTTGATGACCTCCTAAATTGGCTATATCGGAGTCGGAATGCGCAAGCACCGCGGTTGTTGGAAAAGGCGATTGGAGCAGCGAAGGAACTTATTGCAGCAGGAGAGACGGCCGAAGATATTAGAGCAGGACTGAAGAAGATGAGCAAGGGTGCGATAATTATGCTGGAGAGGCAATTGAAGGAGCTCGAAATGGAGAATGCAAAGAATTCCTCGGAATCATCGTAAGATCTGACCGAAATCTTGAGAATTGCATAATTTTTGTCGCTGAGATTAGTTTGTTTCATGGTTTTAACTATTCCAGTAGCGAGGAGTATGGGTTTTAGATGGTATTAGTAGCTTAGATCAATACCCGCGATCCGCAAAGCTCATGAACAGCGCGGATCATGATTCAGGCATATCATACTATTTTCTTGACAGAAAAGATATCTGCGAATTCTCTGAAGGTTCAAGCCTAGCTTTATCCGTCTATAATTTGACTTGTTGCTTCGATGTCGAAACGTGCACCCACACTTCATCGGCTACCGAATGGTTTCTCCTTTGTCTTTTCAGGGAGCGTTCTAATTTTGGTACCAGACGTGCTCGAAACTCATGTGGTATCTTCAGCCTGCCGCCAATCCACTTCTCCTCTGGCTTGTGCACGTCTGGCAACTGCTCAAGCTCAGGTATCTCAAGGATACCTTCGTCTTCCATGGTCCGGGTGATTATCGCCGTACGATCCTTCATAACTAGGGTGAGAAACTCGAGCGTGGCGCTCACGTTCAGGTCGACAGCGCGTTTCGGGTTCACAGTCATCTTCATAAGAAGGGTGCAAAGGTGAGGATAAAGAAGTGAGAAATCGCATTGCGACACGTGCACCGTTCCACGTATCGTGATTAGCCATGCCGGTATGCCCTGCTCTTTGACTTCCTCCGTAAGATGCATGACCGTATCCATGTTCTGCTGCCAGTACATAAAAGCTTCGCTGTTGATTCCGAGTAGAGGACATGATATCGGACGATGTTTTTCTCCCTGTGTCTTGATTGGAGCGCCCCAAATGTCATACATAACACCCTGTCCGATCCAGTCGAATCTTTCTCTGTTGCGAAGGACATTGACAGTGGTCGCTGCACCGAAGGAGTGTCCCAGCATCGTCACTTGGTCCAGGTGGAAGACGCCTTTCCATCTAGACCAATCGATACCTTCTAAGCCGCGTGAACTGGAGCCTTTGAAACCTTTTCGTCTTAAGTTTTCTTTGGCAATCTGCTCACCATGGCCAGCAGTCAGCTTCTTTAAGATTTTGTAAGCTTCCTCGACTTCAGCCAGTCGCATTTCCAGTTGAGCTTCGCGTAGCTCTGCGTCGATCCCCTTTTCGTTGTTTGGTGCTGTGTCGATGGGATTGTCCTTTGGAAATATATAATCCACCTTGTCGTATTTGTTCTTCCTCTCGTTTCCACTATGCTCTATAGGCTGCTCTGCCCGAGCTTCTATACCTTCGACGCTAGATTCCCCGCGTTCAGTGTGATTTACAAAAGTGCGTGGACCAGATCCATCCCGGTGTTCAATTGCACACACCACGAAGCCATAGCTGGCAAACTCACCACAGAGAGACGAATACACCGTTCGAGTTCCTCCGAGACCATGACTAAATATCATGACAGGAAAAGTGGGGTTCACGCTTTCACCTTCGGGCACTGGTCCATCCTCACTCTTGACTTGAAATCCCGCAGCATATGACTTCTTCTTTGGTGGCCAATGCCTGGCAGGATAGGCATTTCGAAATGCCGGGATTTTGGTGAGCATAGTCGTCAATGCCATGAAAGGCACAAGAGGCGGGCCAAAACCAGAAAATCTACCGTACCCCATTGCCGTCGATATTCGCGGTCGAGGAAGCCACGTTTCCCTGGACCACTTTGAGTGTCCTCCTGGGTCTTTGCCAAAACCAGAGTCGAGAGCTGCTGGATAGTAGATGGTTACCAGAATAGTTTCGAGTTTCAGAAGGTGCCGCTTGTGTCTGGTAATATGCGAGAATGATCTCGGATGCTCGACGGGCACCTCAATGTCCATCAATCCAACCTTTATCATATTAGTTTGCGTGGTGGGCTCTGCAAAGATTGCAACAGACTTTATATGGCCCTGAGTATCCGGGCAATGTCCCATGCCAGAACCATGCCTGATCCCGAAACCCTCGAGCAGGCCGAATTCGAGGTTTTTTCCCTTTGGGGACCCTGCCAGCTTGCTCAGAAAGAGATGTCGCTTGGCCCTTCGGCTGATTGCCTGTAATTTGATCTCGAATTTTCGTCATCTTGAAGAGAAATTCTCTTCTCCTCTCCTGTCAGTTGTATGCTAGACTTTTGATAAAATGAGACTAGATGTATCCAATACTCTAGAATCCACGATCGTTAGGAGCAGCCCACTTAGACCTCTACGCAAGAAAGTCCTTATGATGACTGAATTTTCATTTAGACCAAGGTGGAGACAGCAGACAAAATACAGATGAATAGAAAAGGATAGGGCAGTGAAAGTTTACTTCAGCGGCTTTTGCGGCATATGAGCAGCGCAAATGTGCGAGGAAGGTTGGTCGATGTCAGATTCAACTATCTCGGCACTACTTCCGAACGCATATTCCTTTTCAGCCTTTCCAAAAGACAGGAGAGCACTTGGCACATGGTAAGATATGGATTGTTTTCAAAACTCGGCAAGAAGAACAGGTCCATTGAAACATGACGTCATATCAGACTTGCCGATTCCACTTGCATGTGCTTTGCCAAAAAAGGGAGAACGCGAGGCATCTCAGTAGACTTCTAGGTATGACTTCAACCAATGGAAGTTTTGAGTGGAAGAGCTCTATTTTTTATGTCTACTCTATCGGAAAGAGTGACATGACTCCAAGTTCATGGTTTGAGAATTAATGACCTACATGTGGCACAAAACTCAGTAGACTCGCACCATCGTAAAAGGAGATGATTTCGTTCTTTACTTCAACATCTGAATCGAGGAACCTGGCCTGTTCTCATAACCGATGTTTTTTGAATAGATAGGGTGCACATCTATCAACGTAGCACAAAAGCTGAACTGGCACCGTTGGGAGACCCAACGGTGCTGGCATTGCAATTATCATCAGATCCGTCATAGCGCCGCCAGAGTCGAGTTCCATGAGAGGTCTATTGCAGACGGGTCTGGCACTGTGTACTTGGAAAGATCTGGTTCGAGCTGGGCCTGCATAGCAGAAAAATTAACACGTGATGAGCCTCGAGCGTTCGCAAAGACTTACGAGAGGCACGTTGACAGCTTTCTTGTATTGCCCACCGAAATACTGGACATCGCTTCCTTTGCTGGTGCCATCTTGCTGCATCGTCAACTTCGCTCCTTGCGCTCGTTCCCTGCTCGGATCGCGATCGTGAAAATTCATTGGCACGAACATGACGCTGCTCCCACTTGTATGCATTAGTGTGTTGGGCACATCACCGCTATGCGGCACGTGGTGACTTCCGAGATTGAAATATACCACTAGGTCTTCCTGCAACGTCTTCTCTCCGTCAACCATCTTGCCGAAGTCGATCAGCGGGTCTTCTGGATACATAGCGTTATACTCGTGTGCCCCACGTCGCTCTTGCTCGTGATGTTTCAGCAACCAGAGATCATGATATGCCCAGGACGCAGCCTTTGCCATGCCCGGTGAAGCGTGAATGGTAAGGTGCGGTGGTGTCCCCATACCGGTACCGGGAGTGATCCGGTACCCGCGCTTTTCTCCCCAAGCGTTCGTGCTCTCATTGTTAAGTAGCACATACATGGCTGCCGAATTAGCTGGCCAATCTAATCCTCCCTCTTCACTCAAGGCTTCATGAAAAAGACGCATGGTTGAACGATGCAAGCTATCCTCCCATTGGTATGTCTTATGAAATGGCGCCACATTGACTCGATACAACGTATTTTGCGTTCCTACAATATCGAAGTCTGCCTTGAAGCTGATTACGTGGTCATGCATAGATGATGCTACGAAATCGTGGATTTGATACCCATACTCGTATTGAGCTTGCTCGGAACGCTTGGATTTCATGTCCGTTCGCATAGCCTCGAGACTGTTGTAAGCTCCAAAGATATAGCCTGATGCTTGTACCTTTACTTCCATCGTTCCATCGAGGTAGAAAATGTATGAGATAGTATAATCGTAGTTGCCTACCGTAGCGACGTGTCGGACAATGAGGTAGTTATTACGGCTTACTGTTACATGTGTCTGAGAGGTGTGCCTCTGAATGGGGTCTGAAGCTGTCCATTCGAACACGCAGAGACTATTTTTTCGAACAATAGTCTGCTCGCCTTGATGAAAACTCATCGGCAAAAATGTTGCATACGCAGGGCAGTCGTAGCCTGGTACAAGTTCGTAGGAGTTGAACCCCATTCCGAACAGCGTGTCAAGCCAGTACCTGAGAGCCTTGATGTTAGCGTTTGGACCTCAAAACTCCTCAACAGTTTCAATGACCTCAGATCTGCTCGCACATAACAGGTCTTGGCCTTTCGTCACTTGATAGACCAAATGCTCTACTTCGGGGAGGCGTATGTGTCGTTAACGACAAACTTACATCCCAACAGCTAGTGGATCATTTCCCGCGTAGTGAGCCATGGCCTCTTGCAATCCAAGTTCATATAGAATCCGCTCACCGTCGAACTTCACGTCCCATAGGCCGAGCCCGATAGCCTGTAGCGAGTTGACGTAGAAGGACCAACCAAGCCACGTGATATGTCGTTCTTTCTCATCAATTCGATAACGAGGGCCACCGGGTTGTATCATGACTGGAGCGACCATGTCTCTCTCTGGGACGCCTTTTTCGCTCGGCTCGGCTGCGGACCAGTCACCGTCGACGTTGGGTGGTATCTTCCTCACATTTCCGGCCTGCCAGGCCTTTCGAAACGATTCGGTAGAGTTGTAAAGGATCCCGTCGTAAAACCATTCACGAATAGCCCAGTTGCTGCTGTCTCTGCCCATGATCTCAAATCTGCAGTACATGCCCTGCGCCAGCAGACTCCATGCATCAAATCTAAGGCCCGTGGAATGAACTCGTGCCCAGGAGCTAATCGTGCCATTTTCGAATGCAGCGGGTCGAGATACCGCCATCAGTGGCGGTATCTTCTCTGTAGGTTCAGGATTAATAACTTCACCGAGCAGGTCGTCAATCATGTCAGACAATTCCGCTCCCAGTTCCGCAAACCATAGCACAATATCCTCATAGTTCGGCAAGGGGTTTTTGACGGAATTCCGGCCAGAATTGTACACCCACGACAAAGGAGTGATAGTCGTATTCGGACCAGTTGGCAGAGGACCGACCATGTAATCGTCAATGCTAGCCTGCTCAGTTGCGCCGCGGTTGACAATGACACGCGCATAACGTGGTGGTGCCTCAGCTGCATCAGAATCGAGGTACTTCAGTGCATCGGTTTTATTTGGAACAAGAGCTTCGATGATGGCAATGTGGTTATCCCATCTGGAAGAAAGTCAGCACTGGAACGGATAATCGCTCAGAGACATGGACATCGTACGGCCCAGCCTTGTCCTTTTTCGTTAGATTCAGGTCATTGGGCTCTTCAAACAAAAATGTTAAAATGTCTTCAAATTCAGCCTCGTCCAGGTCGGCCCAAATGTTCGTCTTTGGCGCGTAGTGGCCGAATACATGCCTTCCAGGCCTTTGAGGCTCCTCATGAATCCAGTGATTCCAAACAAAGAACGACACGCCGGCTAGAAGCATGAAAGCCCACACATATTTTCGGAATGACTTTCGCTGTCTGAATCCGGCAGAGAATCGCTCCTGCACATCCGAAGCGCTTCCCTCGAGCGGGACATACTTGATTGGAGTCATTTCAGCCGCTTCGATAGGCGCACATAGACTGGTGTACAGCTTATGTGCCGTTCAGATGCTAACCGCACCTCTTAAACAAAAATCAAAGCAATGTTCGAACTTAGGCTGCTGTTTTGCATGATTGGCTATGCTTTCTGCTTATCACAAATCTGCGGGGCGCTTCAAGAGATCACCCGAATTCCGCGTAGACCTGCCCGAAGCGGTCATTTGTGTCACGCTGCAAGTTAGCAATCCGAGGCATCCGCGGAGGATATATATGTTCGGAGCATATTCTCGAAGAAACCTCGAGAACCACAGTTGAGAAACTGAACCAAGAAACTCGCTCGTGAGGATGCAGAGACAAAGACGCAAATGGAATGAACGTGATAGGATGTTAGGGTATGTGTAAGAATTGATTTCATTCATTTGGTCGTCAGATCGTTACAGCTGCGATGCACAATGGTTCAATAGACAGACTACTCGTGTCTACGGCGGGAAGATATGGGACGTCTTTCACACAAACCATGTTGAAACTACAAGAATGGACAAAACGCCAGCCATGTCGATAAGCAGGGTATCGCTTAAATCCACAATGCAAGCGGATGAACATGCAGACGATGTATCAGCTTTCAAAAACTACTCTTTTGACCGACTGAGAAAATTCTGATCGCAAGGGACTCGGGCCAGCAGGGCTGTCCGTGTATTTTAGACACGAAGAGTTGTTAGGACTGGCCATAAACAGGAGGCTGTCCAAGGCGTCCTTTTCGGCCTGTTGGGAAGGCATGCGGAGAATCCCTTGTCTTTGCGGGGTAGTAGGCTGACTGTAAGCGTCGACGCCCCTCGTGCTCAGCGTCGGTGGAGCCCTCGTGGACTGCGACCTCCTGTGTGAGCGACCTGGTGCGATGGGAGCAGCCGGTGCAAGCGCAGGGGTGCCAGATACAGTAAGGGTTGAGCTGGAGTTCCCAACCATAGGCGGGGAGTATCTAGGATATACATGATGTACAAAGCCAGGCGAGTACTGAGCTGGGCTCTTGTGAACGTCTGGAGAGGTGACATAGTGGTCGTTGTATTCGGAATGCAGGCTGAAGCGTCTTCGCCGGGGCGATGTCGTGGAAGGGCTAGATACAGATGGCGTGGCACCGCGGGATATATTCTCGAGCTGGTCCAGCGAGTGATTCTCCCAACCATGATTCACCTGCAGCAATCGTTAGCCTGCCTCGGCGTAGTTCGGTCTCAATGGCACAAACCTTTACCATAGCGTACTTTAGACGCGTTTTCAGAGCTGAAGAAATCTCCGCGGCCCTTGAAGAGCTTTTCGCTCGAGCGTGACCCGGTGCATAGGTGGAGCGTCCAATGTGTGCTGTTGTGTAGCCATTGCTCACTGTCTTGACAGCTCCACTGGCAGTTCTTTTCGCACCCTGTCTTTGTCGAGGAGAATCATTCGAAGTAGGGCTAGTCGGACTAGTCCGTATGCTCGTGATTTGTTTTTCCGGTGTGACAGGTCGTTGTAACCGTATGCCAGAGACGTCCTGCTGCTTCTGGGCAGAACGCGCGGATTTTGGCGAAATGTCGCCCGTTTCCCTCGAACGTTGTGAACCATTGCGTGAGTCCAGCGATAAATCGTGCCCTGCTATCGATTGGCCATGGTGCGAAGACTGTGAGCTATCGCTGGACGATGAGGTGCCCACGTTCGCCAATGCAGCCGACGCGACCTCACTCAAGGACGCGGTGGGGTATCGGCCACGCGACGACGGGCTCGCGATGTGATACCCGGCAGCCGTCTCCTGGGACATTTGCAGTATCGTTGCCATCCGCCTGGTGAGATGTGAACGTGATCCTCGACTCGCCCAGACTTTCTCGTCGCGAGGTTTCGAGTGCGTTCTACGTGCGAAATGGGGTTGCAGAATGCACCCTGCCGTATGACGCACGGCTACGGGCGGCCGAATCGCGAGACAAGCCGTTCACGCCTCTTCTGCGACGTGGGCGTGAGCGTCGTGCCGAGACAAAGGAGAAAGCACGCAGGCGAGCACAACGGCGACAGCAGCCGAGTAATACGTCGTGCACTCTGAGAGGCCCGCTGCAGGATGCGGACGGGACTGCGACTGCCAGCACGTAGAGTCCGTCCAGCCACGGCGATTTACGCTTCGCGCGGGTTGAGCGTCCGCGGACGGCAGAGGCTGGACAAAGCCGACAACGTGACCTGCAGCAAGCACTGAGGCTTCGATGACCGTCCGGCGTCGGGCACGGGGACGGAAGTCGAGGAGAGAGCAGAGCGAAGACAGCGGAAGAAGGGCGCGGTGCTGTTGCGGAGAGGCAGAGGCTGCAGCGCAGCGAAAGCGTCGGCATCTTCAGCGACGCGTGCGGGCTGCAGCTCAGCACGCGCCACGGGCGACGAGCTCCACCGCCAACGGGGCCTCGAACGGCTTCCGGGCTGGCCGCCTGCAAAGCACTCGCTCGTGCTCCGCGCCGGGAAATCAAGGTTGCCACATCCGCGAAGCTTTTCTGCGCACCGTCAACGCCGCGCAAGTTCGCAGCTACTTGTGGCATCCTCCCTACATCAGGCCCTACATCGGGCCCTACGTCAGGCCCTCCATCAGGTCGAGCCGCCGCGCCCGTGTGCAGAGACCCCCCCAGCTGCAGAACGCTTGCAGCCCAGTCCCAAGACAAACACTGCCCTGCCAGGCGGCGCCAAGTCAACTGCGGAAGAGGTCACCTTGTTCGCGTCTGAGAAATACATAATCTCGATTGGAGCTACTCCTATGAATCATCTTCTAAGACTTGAGAATCTACTGTGATTCCGACAAGCGAAGAGAGGTAATAACGTTAATTGTCCATTACACCGTGATTCCGTACCTCCTGACCGTCGAAGGGCGGGGTTTCCGTCTCCTTTGCATGCATTAATACATCACACATTTTTGACGCAAAAGTTGGCCCAAGTCACTCATCGTTTAAACGCCATGCGCCGAACAATCTACCAAGTTAAGAGGCTTGATGGTTGCACACATTTAGTCAACCTCCTCCATGGCGCTCTCACCAGCCGCCTCTGCCGTAGACTCCTCGCCAGTAGTCTTCTCCTCGGTAGACACCTCCTCATCAATGTTCAAGCCGAGAGAGATGAGCTTGTGGATGCGCTCAGCAAAGTTGACGGGCTCCTCGATCGTGAAGCCAGAGACAAGAAGTGAGGTCTCGTACAAAAGCTGAGTGATCGATTTGACGGTCTTGTCGTCCTCGCCATCAGCTTCGACCTTGGCCTTGAGCTCCCTGATGATGGGGCTCTTAGGGGAAATCTCGAACGTCTTCTTAGATGCCATGTAGCTGGACATGGAGGTATCCCGAAGAGCTTGAGCCTTCATGATACGCTCCATGTTAGCCGACCAACCAAACTGGCCAGTACGGATGGCGCAAGGCGAGAGACCGAGCTTGTGAGAGACAACGACCTTCTCAACCTTGTCGCCAAGGACGTTCTTGAGCGACTTGGCGAGCTTCTCGTACTCCTTCTCCTCTTCTTCACGCTTCTTCTTCTCCTCTTCGGTCTCCTCCAGCTCGAAGTCCTTGGTAATATCAACGAGCTTCTTGCCCTCGAATTCCTTGAGTTGCGTGAAGGCATACTCGTCAATAGGATCGACAAGGAACAGAACCTCGAAGTTCTTCTCCTTGAGAGCATCAAGGAACGGCGACTTCTGCACAGCCTTCAGCGACTCACCGGTGATGTAGTACATCTGCTTCTGGTGCTCCGGCATACGGGTCACGTAATCAGTGAGCGACGTAGTTTCATCACCAGACTTGGTGGAGTGGAATCGCAACAGCTTGGCGAGCTGGGCGCGGTTCTGCGAGTCCTCATGGATTCCAAGCTTGATGTTCTTGCTGAAAGCATTGTAGAACTTCTCAAAGTTCTCCTTGTCCTCTGCAATCTCGTTGAACAGTTCAAGAGTCTTCTTGACAATGTTCTTCCGGATGACCTTCATGATCTTGTTCTGTTGGAGAGTCTCACGAGACAAGTTCAATGGAAGGTCTTCAGAATCAACGACACCCTTGATGAAGCCAAGCCACTCTGGGATGAGATCGGTGGCATCGTCAGTGATGAAGACACGGCGCACATAGAGCTTGATGTTGTTCTTAGTACGCTTAGTCTCAAAGAGGTCGAATGGAGCGCGCTTCGGCACAAAGAGAATGGCGCGGAACTCAAGCTGACCCTCGACAGAGAAGTGCTTGACGGCAAGGTGATCTTCCCAGTCGTTCGAAAGTGACTTGTAGAAGGACGCGTACTCTTCTTGTGTGATGTCCTGTGGGTTCCTGGTCCAGATTGGCTTGGTCTTGTTGAGCTCTTCCTCTTCGATCTTGGATTCCTTGACTTTCTTGGTCTTGGGCTTCTTCTCCTTGTCCTCTTCGTCTTCATCGACTTCTTCGACTTTAGGCTTCTTCTCTTCGTCCTCTTCCTTGACCTCCTCGGCATCCTCATCTGGGACCTCCTTCTCGGTCTCTTTCAGGACGTGTAGGTAAATCGGGTATGAGATGAATTCGGAGTGCTTCTTAACGACCTCTTTAATACGAGATTCGTTGAGATAGTCGGTCTGTTCGTCCTTCAAGTGCAGGATGATCTTGGTACCACGGCCAAGCTGTGGACCCTCGGTGTCTGGTGTGACTGTGAAGGTACCACCAGCACTGGACTCCCAGATGTACTGCTCGTCATCATTGTTCTTCGAGACGACGGTGACTTTGTCAGCAACCAAGTATGCTGAGTAGAAACCGACGCCGAACTGGCCAATCATGGACACATCAGCACCAGCGCTCAATGCCTCCATGAACTGCTTGGTGCCGGAGCGGGCAATGGTGCCAAGGTTGTTGACTAGATCCTGTTGTTACAGTTAGCAGCTGCTTGCAGATATCCAACACGAAGCGATGGAACTTACAGCCTTAGTCATGCCGATACCAGTGTCCTGGATGGTGAGTGTCTTCTTCTCCTTGTCTGGGATGATGTCGATGCGCAAATCCTTGCAGGAGTCGAGTTTCGATGGATCCGAGAGAGACTCATATCGAATCTTGTCAAGCGCATCTGATGCGTTCGAGATGAGTTCTCTCAAGAAAATCTCTTTGTTTGAGTAAACGGTGTTGATGATGAGGGAGAGCAGCTGAGAAATTTCAGCCTGAAACTCGAATGACTCAGACATTGTGATTGAGGCTCGTCTGTCAAAGGGCTTTTTGGTGCTGAAAAGGACGTTAGTCACTGAGCACACAAAGAGTTGAGGTCTTGGAAAGGCGTTGATGAGAGGTTGGTGACAACAGGCAACACGGCAGCAGGTGAGGCTGAGGGCAAACTTACGGTTTGGAGGTTGCGCGTGGAAATACTTAGATCTCAAAGTGATCTGAAGTAGACAATGTCAAAGAGAAAACTCTCGACGAAGGTTGGATTGGGGTATTTTGGATGTGTGGGTTGCAGAAGGCTTGCGACGCAATTTATGTGTGTTGGAATAGAGTCTTCTAGAGCCTGGCACCGAGCTTTTGCTGATGGAAGCTCGTCGAAAGATACCTGGACGCTAGTCTTCTTTTGGGCTTGGCTAAACCGTATTTGGCTGGATCGACTTTTGATTGGCTGCGGCGTTTGCACCACGGCAACGAAGAACGTCCCAGTCGTTGCTGGCCTCATCCGCCGCCAAAGGGCGGAGTGCGCAAACTTTCAGCCTCTTCGTACTTATGCATGAGCAAGCCTCATTCTGATTGCCATGCTCTTGCACTGTACGCTTGCTGGAATTTTCTACCACCTGTCTCGTCTTCTGCTGCTGTGATTTGCGGCACCGCGGCACCACCCAAGGAATTTGCAAGCACGGATTACCGAAACGCCAATCGATTGTTGCTAAGAAGTAGTCTCCACCTGGTGGCCAGCATGACTTTCAGGCTGAAAGAATGAAGCTCAAAGCATATGCTGAACGTTCTCTAACGAAAGACATGATGCTCGGCATATGCATGGCAAGTCGTGACGATGCCTTGCGTTTCTCTGCAGCATGTTCTTCGTTCTCTTAGTCAACTTCAGGTCCACCACGTATGCTCTCGGAAGTAGGTACACTATTCCTGGGCCTTTGCGAGGCATGCACGAGACGCGGCATTGAGGATCTTGCGTTTCACGAACCTTCTTCCAGTCCCCAGAACGCAGCGGGGCTTCCGCACAGATACCCACAGGCGGCCGTGAACCTGAAAGTCGCCTGGCTAGCCATCGACGACAGTGTGTGCCTACCGAGCGCGTTGAGGGGCTCAAGTGGATCTACCCCTAGTTCAAGCGATATTTCACACACAGCTATCTCTCGACTTGATAGTGACTTCTTCATCCTGAACACTTTGTTTGCAACCTTGATCTTCATCATGCGAGCAAAGTTCGTATCGCTCAGCGCCGTATGCGTAAGTTACGAATGCTGTTGATTCGACAGGTCTCACAGCAGAGAGTATGAAGACTAGCATCACATTGGCTGCGTTTGTGATGGTGCCCCCGCCCTTGCTAAATTGAGTTTGGTAAGAGCAGCAAAGCAGCAAGATATAAAATTGGCCTCAAACTTGAGCATTCCAAAAAAGCTCTCAAGGCTTTGAACTGATGTGTCCCAAGTGTGTCAGGAGATGATGTATGCAATTTCTAAGTATGTGTTTCACTGGAATGTCCAGAGCAACCGGCACATCTCAGATCCTCGTCCGAGAATGATTATACCCATGATACTGTATCAAGAAGACATCATCGATCCCTTTTGATTCAGTTGAATACAGTAGGAACGTTTTATAATCTTGAATCCTCCAATTTCACAAGTCGAAATTGCTGAACAATGTAACCGTCATAGCCAATCCTTTTCTTTCTATATTTCCATCGTTGTCTCATTCGTCAGGCTGAATTTGACATTTCATTCAGTCAGCTACCTGTGAACAAGGCGATGGTTACTCAAAACAGCGCGACAGTATTTGGTGAAGAAAATGATGATTGCAAAGCATCTAACGCACCGGGAAGCATGCCTTTGCTAACCTCTGACATTTGAATTTTATTTATGTGTATTTCTGATATTTCTGAAGCATTGGACAAGCGTTTTCAATTTTTTACCTGAACAAAATCGACTTCCAACCGACTCGTTACACGAGACGCTATCAATCGTTCACTGAAGTCATAGTGACCAGCTGTTTACATGATCTTCTCAAGTTTAGTGACATCACCTCCAACAGCTTTCTTCTCGTCCATATCAGGAGGGGTATCAATGTCCGGGTTATGATGAGCATTCTTGATATCGACGGCGACCTCATCACCAAACACGGCCGCAATCTCTTCAAGCGTTTTTCCGGTTGTCTCTGGCCACATAAAGTACACCGTTGTGATGAATATTGCATCACAGACAATGAATATGAGGAAGTATTTCCAAGAGATGTGTTGAACAGCAATAGGCGTGACCTGAACTAACATGATCGTAATGGCGTTGAAAGTACAGAAAGCCACTGCATTACCGACGGCTCGGATGGGTGTTGGCATAATTTCAGAGGGGTAAGTGTAACCAAAAGAGTTCATGATGTAGGCATATCCGACAAGATAAAGGAACATCATGGCAACAGTGAAGCGGCCGAGAAGAAGATTCTTGTTGTCAGAGAGTTGGAATCGAGCCCAAACTGTGCTTGATTAGTTTTCCGTTTCTGAGCAAGTCCTTTATGCACGTACATATGACCATGGCAATGGACGCGAGAAATTGCACCCATAGTGAACCCAGCAAAGACTTTCTTCGACCAAGCCTGTCGAAGAACCAAGCGCCAATGCAGCAGAAAATAGTGCCAAGCGTACCCCATACACCAACCATAACAAGAGCCATTTTGTTTGTGACACCGAGATATTGGTATAGAATGACCTGATAGTTTTGAAGAGGGATGATACCCGTGAACATTGCGAAAGCGAACTGGAAGACGACGATGAACATCCGTTTGCGATACGACGGCCGGCTGAGGATCGTGCGTAAGCCAACTCGTTCGCGGACTTCGAGTTCGTGCTGAGCCTTAATCTGATTGAACTCACGGATGTAGAAGTCATCGTCTTGACCGGGAGCGCCACCGTGAAGCTTCTTGATTACATCCAAGGCCTCGTCGTAGCGGCCCTTCATGATCAGAAAACGAGGCGATTCTGGAAGGAAAGGGACACAGGAGGCCATTAAAATTGGAGGGACATGCTGAAGGCCTAAGAACAGGCGCCAGGCTACGTCCGAGGTGATGTAACTGAATCCCAGTCCCATCCACTCGGTCACTGCAGCTTAATTTAGCGTCTGAACCAAGTTCACGATCGATCCGACCATGAAGGAGCTTGGAACCTACATGTATAGCCCAGATTGATGTTGAGATTATACAGTCCTCCGACTCTGCCACGGAATTCAGGTGGCGAAATCTCTGACATAAACATCGGGCAGACTCCAAAGACGATACCAGAAGCGACGCCGCCGATGACTCGACCGACAAAAAGCATCTCAATATTCTGAGCAGCAGTCTGTAGGATGGCGCCAACAATGGCGCTTGAAGTAGTCAGCAGAGATGATAAGAGTATACTTTGATATTAAAGTCTTACATTACGCATGCGATGTAAATAGTTCGCTTTCGACCGTAAATATCCGGCAGCCAGAAATTCATGCCCGAGCCGAAGAAACTACCCGCATAGTAACATGATCCGAGGGCACCAATAGTATTGGAATTCAGTTTAAAATATCCAATGAACTGAGGATAGCCCAGAATCGAGGTAGTGAGGCCAGAGTCATAACCGTAAAAGAAGGCACCGAAAGAAAGGATACAGATGGAGACGATATTGAATCTGAGAGAGCGTTAGAACATCTCGGCAATCAGCAATGAGAGGCGATAGCACCTGTTAAAATGTGTCATTTTGATCTGTCCTACCTCTGTCCACGTCCAGTGTACTTATGCAAACGACGTGTGAGATGGGTCCGTCAAGGATAAAGAGGTAGATAGATCTTCGTAGCTGCAGGACAACCCATTTTATAAGCCGAGCAGTGCCAAAGGACTACCAGAGATCGCCGTCGTGCAGGAGCGTGGTAAAGTCAGGGTATGCGTGGAAACGTGTTACTGTGGCACCACAGCGAAATGTTCTCGTCAGTACCCAGCGCTAAAGATTACCCGTCACTCCCAATAAGGTAAGTCGCACGCGGGGTAAACCTGGGGTATGAGGGGGTTACTGAGAGAATACTCCTGGAATTCCGGAGTTAAGCAGGATTTCTTGGCAGATGTACCAAAGTAATAGCCACGCTTCTTGCTGTTGACCCGTAACAAAGCGCCGAGATTCGCCGGAAAGACATGGAGCTCTGCCTGATTAAGCCTTGCGATGCCAAGCATCCCATCGAGATTGGTTGTCATCTCCTTGGAGGCGTGGATTGTTGTTATCACTTCTCAGCAGGTCGCTCGCTCTTGTCACACGAATGTCGCGTGAAGTTCTGTTGTTCAATCAGACGGCGTGGACATTCGTGATCTAAAATAATCTGATATGTAATACACCGTCTCTCGGACAAAGAGGCCAGAATACATCAGTTCTGTACTACGATCTGGAGCCTGGTCTTATACAGACGACAGCGCGGAAAGCAACCTTTTGGCTCCCGAAACAGATGTTCAAACACCTTGGCTGAGAACGCAACTTGAACGAAGCGTGCCGCCCTTGTCCGCATGATGTTAGACATACAGTTTCTTGCTACTTGGCTTCTACTATCCGCAAAACATGCTGTTATGCGGTAGTTCTCGGAAAAACAGTGGGTATGGTTCTTCGAGTGACCCCAACTTATGCGATAAACACAGGTGATGAACAAACGGACCGTGCGGACACCCCGTCCAATGCGATCTGGGAAACCCTTGCCCAGCCTATGAACTGCTCAGGAAAGAACACACTCTGAAAGCGAGGGCGGCATAAGCATGAACAGAAGGCCAGTCGTATTTTCCTTCCATCGATGCGAGAGGCTGAAATACCGATACCGCGGACCTGGATTGCCATATCCGCGGATATGACGGTAATCCTGGACTGTTATTCAGCCAAAAGAGCCGATATGGAACCGAAATATCACTTCGTAAATTGGCATTGTGATTAAGCTAACTTTATGGCAAGAACTTACTCAAATCTCACAAAATCCGTTGCACAGAATGTGACTTCGAAATCCCCCGCTGCTTCTCTGCAGCGATCACATAGACTTGTCAGCTTCCAGCGGCAGCACGGCCCAATTTTCAGGCGATTGTCTTAGGTCCAGGCATGGATCTGTAACATCTCAAAGGCTTCCTAAATCTCATTGAGAATCTAGAACAGAAGCTAAATTGATTGAAACAAAACGAGGACGACGACTATAAGTAAGCCGATCGATTTTGGCATGGGGCCTCGTACGCGGAATAGCTCGAACTGTCACATAACAGCACAGTTTTCAGGATCGACATCTTCACCCTCATCGTCGCCTCCGCCAGCATGGGCACGCATATGCTGCGCAAGCATAGCCAGCATGCTCCTAGTAATAAATCCGCCCTGGCGAGCCCCTCGCCGGCGATCCATGTCATTCGTACTTACAATACGATCTTCATCCTGTATTCTTCGCCGGCTTTGGAGGCCATGTTTACTTTTGATTAACTCCTCATCTTCATACCAAGGAGGTTCTGCATCATCATCTTGCTGGGGTGGGAGAGCAGGCTCAGATGTGATTAGTGGTGATTTACTTGTTGTCGCCGGCTCGTCCGGAAGATCAAAAGCAGAATTAGGCATTTGGTTTCTCTGGACCTAAACACATTTGTTAGCTTAAGAACAATACAAGCATTCCTATCAGTCGCTTTGCGTTCCCTTCAGGAGGCCGAGGTTCTGTACGAAACCGTGAAGTATAGGCAATACCTACCTCCTCATCTGCTAGTCTATCTCTCTGGCGCCTCAGACGTTCTCGACGCCCTCTCAGCCCTATGGATGAGAATCTAGATCGATCTACTTCCTCAATTCCAATTCCTAACGCAGCATCCTTCCTTGCTCTTGCGTCAACTCCAAATATTTTTACGGTACTGTCGATTCCCGAGACTGCTATCATAGGCTCGTAAGGATGTCCTTGCACCTAGACGCAAGATCAGTAACCCGATCAAACCCTACATGACAGACAGAACATGAAGAGACGTATGTCTGCTATCTATCTGAGCTTTCGGGGAGGGGCTACATACCACATTGACAACCTCATTGTCGCCCTCTAGGATATTCAGCAACTTTGTGCTCTTCTTGTCCCAGATAAAGAAATTTCCACAATCTGAACCGGATATTACGTACTCATCCTGCAAACCGTAGAAATTGACATCCTTCGTTGTCTCAACATTGCAATGTCCAACGTATCGATTTGTGTGCGTCAGACACGGGACATTTTTCCCAGCTGTCATCTTTGATCGCGCTGTGCGGGGACCACCAAGCAAAAACGGAGACTCTTCGTCATTGTCATCATCGTCGTCTTCATCGTCTTCATCATCAGAGGACCCTTCGTCATTGTCACTGCTTTCGTCCGCGTTCAAGACGTTGCCATCGCCAATGTTCTCATTTTCATGTGCTACTTCTTCCTCATCTTCCTCGGTAACAACAGCAGACGATCCATCCGTTCCAGTCTCATGTTCTCTATTAGACATATCCACGAATTCGCCAAATGCTGTGTCCACCAAGCTGTATGTGACATCGATAGCTGCATTCTTAAGCACAGCACGACAGACCCTATACGCCCAGAATTTAACTGCTGTCTCTCGATCTTGCGTCAACGCCCGGCCTTGCCCGTCCATTTCAGCAGAACGGCCTGCCAGATCGGCGAATGGTATCCTCATAGCCCTTGACAAAGAGTTTACAGCATCGACCTCTGTTCTGAATATATATCCTTGTTGTGAATCGTCATCCAGGTCGTCGACGGCGTTTTCACTCGCAAGTCGATGCAAGTATGGTATCAGCTCTAAGTCAATTGCGTCAACATCTGCGTCCAGAGAAACCGGGTGTCTCCTCTTGTACGACATGTTTGGATCGTCGGGATCGTGTGTGAACCCTCGTAGGACTGCACCCACTCCGCTATCCAACCACAACAGCACTGTTTTGATGAAGTCATAGCCAAATTGTTCATGTCTCTCGAGAGGCATGGCCGATTCCCTTGGCGCTGGTTTAATCATGTCGAAGAGCTCTAATACACGTCGAGGACAGGTCGCAGTAGGCTTTCGAGACGCTACGCGGGCAATGGTACCGCATGCTTGCACAAAACGCCAAGTCTTTGCACGATCTTCCCGAAGCTTATTCTGGAAAGCAATTTGGTTGCTTGATTCAGTTATTGGATACGTCCACTGGTTGATGAGCTTGTCGACCTGTTCGAGTAACTTCAAGCTTGTAGATAGTACTTGATCTAGCCTGTTTCGTACCACGGTTGGTTCATCAGGCTCTGTGTCCGGTTGGAAGAAGGAATGTGTTGTTTGAGAGACGTTGAATAACATGTTTCGAACTTGGCGGACCTGCTGCGCGATTTCTTCTCCTTGAGAGCGCTCTCTCGGTTGCGAACGTGTAAGTCGCGAACCTGAAAATGCTCGACCTGTAAGGGGTATCTCTACACTTTCGCCACCCTCCATTTGTAGCAGAAGGGACAGCTCTTGTCTGTCGCCACTCGTTCCACTCTCGGTCCGCGGATGCGAGCTCCCACGAGCCTCGCCCAATTGTGATAACCCTGACGTGCTTGCTTCTTTCCTCTTCCTTTTACGATCTCTATGTTTCGCTCGACTCCCCCTCGCTCCACTGGAGAACCCTTGATGTCCTTCTGGGTTTTGGTAATCCCTCATAATATCAAAGCTGTATATGAAATCCCCATTCCAACTTACGATAAGCTCATTCGGGTTATTGTCGCTGATTTTGCATGCTGTAATCGACTTTGGATCCGACCGCCTCATTTTCGGCTGACCATAGGGAGCAAATTTACGAACCTAAGCGCTTACGGTTAGTACGCGATATCATACTCTCCGTAACAGCGTCAAGCATGCACGTACACATCGTGTTGCCTCTGCCAGTTCATTTTCATCCGCAGGGGTACTCCCTCTCTCGTTGAATTTGTCCCTTCCTGTCATACGTCTATCATGAAGGAAGCAGTGTAAGGCTGTACCACCCAGAGCGATATAATGTGGTTGGCTTGGAGAGCATGAGATTGTCATCAGATCAATGTTGTAATCTCCATACGATATGAGAGGAGGAGGTGCATGGTCTTTAGAGCGGCCATGTCTGTTCACGTAGTACCTGCTTGCCGAGCGAGGATATGCCGACTCTGGTTGTCTAATATCCCACTGTCGCACATCACCATCCTCAGCGCAGCTCAGAAAATAGAATGGCGAGGCTTCTGTTACGATCCTCTTTACTGCAGCGCTGTGTGATCTGAAGACTTTGCAATTTGCCTGATTTTGCGATAGCCGAGCTCTTGTTCCGTCAAAGACCGCGGCTCTCTCTATGTCAAACACCCGAATCTGTGCGTCTCCAGCGGCAGAGACAATGGTGCGATCGTTGGAATGAGGCATAAACTTGACAGAGAAGATGTTCCTCGTATGTCCGGTGTCTATTTGGGTGGAAAGATCGAACTGAGCGTTGGCGTAGTCAGGTAGGTAGCTGTAGATATTGATTACACGATCGTCAGAACCAGATGCAAGCAATCGACCTGATTTTGACCAGCTCAGGGCGTTAACACAGCCGCTATGTCCGTTCAACTCATTGATGATATCAAGGTCTTGCACGAAGCTCTTTGAACCATATATGCCTCGTGGTTTGACATACGAGGAGGTAATATTCCCGAGTTCTCGTCGAAAAAGGCGATCCTCAACGGTGCCAGCCATACTGAAGCCCGGCATGATGCTTCTCGTCAGTGGGAAGTTCAGGAGATTCAGTTGGGTCGTAGAATCTTCGAGTGCGGAGGCTCGTGAGAATGATGAGGGACAGTGCTGAGCTTGCTGATATTAGTCTCAATCAGGCTTGTCGGCGTCCGTGGGCATCCACGGCAGACCAAGGGCCATTCCCTTTTCTCAGCATGAATCTAAGGGAGCGGAAGGAGAAAACAAGACGATGTTTGCGTTAGAGGGCTTTGCTTTGACGTTTCCTCAAGTCTGCCGTCATGCCACCTACGAGGTGGAGTTCAACAGCTTGCTTCCCTGTTCTGCAGGGTCCAACCTCGACCTCTAAAATCCGTACGTTCTGGCGAACTTCCCTCTTTCAAAGTCACTGCGTCTCAAATATATCTCGGAATTTGTACTGTCGAAACCAAAAAAAATCTTGGGATGAGAGAGCCTTGTAGTTCTCTCCGACGTGATTGAAATTCATGGTGACTACAGCCAGCAGAGCCTTGTACAGGTCGAAAGCGACTCCGGGGCATGTCATTAAATCCGCATGCCGCGGTTTTATTGCAGTATATAACAAGTTTAAAGTGGAATAAGAACTTGTATATACCAGTAGAGGATTTATGAGACATATTTGTCCTTTTCGCCTGGTGGGAACGCCGCAGGAGCCTGTCAGAGTGGCGAACAAAACGCATTGCGAAGTAAATGGATGAGAAAGAAGACACGCAAATAAATGAAGAAAACAAGTAACAGAATAATGCTATGAACAGGTAGCGGCTTGAAAGCGGACCATATAGCTGGGCATAATAAAATTTGACCCTGTGGTGGATTGGATACGATCTAGATTGAAGTACAGAGTTCCTGAGCACAAGCACCTTAAAGATATTCCGAACTTAGTTAAAGTACTTTAGTATGCGAATGATTATCAGTACCGACGGTAAAGCTACTTAAGTAATTCTCTCATTGGTATATTGCGTACGTCCTGTCTAAGTTACCTGTCGAGAGCACTTTCCATCATGCTAGCATCTACGTCTATAGCTAACGACCGGGGACAGCTCGTGGGGGTTTGCCTGTCGCCATTCCGTGTTAACAGTATTAAGGTCTCTCGGCTCCTAAGCTCGTCAACCATTTTCAGTGAGCGTAAGGCTGGAGAAAGAAATAACAAGAGGTTCGGGGCTGCTTGCGCAAACTCTTCGAAGATGCAATACGTGAACTTACTCAACCCGGGCTGTGATGATTCTACGGCCTTTTAATGATCTCAGTAAGGAAATTTGGAGGCGATATTCAATCGCGAAATTTGCCTGCACGTCAACTATCTTGGGGCAGAAGGCAGCAGGTCAAAGTAATGGTACACTCTCAGCGGAGAATACTGCTCTGACTTATGTTGCGCTGATCTTCCTTTACCAACTATGATGAATGATGGTACTACAGTATGACCACAGCTTACCTTAAGAAAGTTTGAAACTGCACATGATTGTAGCCTGATGGTTGATTGTTGTTGCTTCACTTCTTATGTTGAACAGGGAACTACAATGGATCGGCATCAAGTCACAGTATCCGCGACGATGAGACCAGAGAAATTTGTCATCACTCTTTGGGGCGTCAGTTGGTTGTTTAGTCCAAAGCAATCGTGGCAAGGAATGCATTCAATTTGTGCTTCGTTAGAAGAGGGGGACACCTTTCGCTTCATGATTAATAGTGCTCCTCTCTTCATTACAGAGAAAATCGGCTTCAAATATAAAAAGTTGGGCGTGGACAACCGGAAGACTTGATGATGGCGAGGCTGCTGAATTGGTGTCCCGCTGGCCCCGTGGCTCCGAAAATGTTTGAGGAAGAACTTTCACATGCCGAAACTCCACTTCCCAATTAGTGCGGAACCTTCACACATTGGCAAGCAAGCTGAAACTAGCTGCCGAAGATTTCAACTCCACTGCCAACAGCACGTTCTTCCTATCTTGGGCAATTCACCGACAAAGGCGGACGGACGGACGAACTCGTATCAGGCCGTCTCCGACGGACTGCTGGTACCGTCCGTCAAAGTCCCAGCGCTCGCTTCCCAACATGGTGCGGTCTTCTTTGCGTAGACGCTCGTTCACAGTCGCCTGTAGAACGCGCCACGCTCCGTCGTCCAAAGATTAGTCGTCTTCTTTGTGTTGGCCGCGGTACTTACTTCTTTGAACATAGCCTTTCTGATTAGCGCTGTTGGACTTTTTCGATGTAGTCGTGTTCGCTCGTCGCATCATCGCGTTCTCTCCCCTATTCGATATTATAAAGGATTCGGCAAACTTTCACAATGGCAAAGCAACAACTCAGCAGATTGCTACCGCGCGCTCTACTCAACATGGATCTAAGCACTTTCGTTCTTCCGACGTATCATAACCTTTTCAGGACCGTCGTTCTCCTTCTGGCACTCGCAAATGTAAAGAACCTTCTCGGGGTGTGGCATGTGAGTATATGTCCAGGTAGTATTGCTTTGATACGCCGACTGAGCTTCACTCCCTCAGTACCGCGTCTTTCGCCCTTTCATCGTTCGCCTCACACGCCGACCAAAGCGGGCGGTTGATCCGAACTGCCTCTTCCTTCCGTCAATTCAACGTTCACATGCACCTCTTCTCGAGACCGATTTCAACCTCCACAAGTCAAACAGCACGTACTTGACGGACATAGACATCACCCGCGCGAACTATGCTGTGTTAATCTTAGGCGATCACGTCGCCACTAGTCCGTTCAGCAAAAAACCCAAGTTAATCCTGGGAGGCATACAGATCATCTGGAGAAAGGAGATCCCGCCATACAAAGAGTATGAAATGTGGATCCGATTGTTGACTTGGAGCGACAAGTGGTTCTACGCCGTGACGCATTTCGTAGAGAAGGGTAAATTCAAGCCTGCTCTGTACTTGCAGGATATGACCATGACCCCTGAAGCGACAAAGAAGATGATCGATGAGAGCGCAGAGAAGGCAAAGACACTGAAGGAGACGTATGCGAAATCGATATATGCTTCGGCAATATCACGCGTTGTCATCAAGCAAGGCCGGCAAACCGTCAAGCCAGCTGACATGCTGGCACAAGCCGGTCTCTTGCCTACGGACGCTGCAGAGCTGGCAAAAGTGGAAGAGAGACGCCTGAAATACCTGAAACTTGTGGAAGATGGCGGTGCTTGGGACGGACTTCATGCCACATTCTTTGATTGCACGGATGTTGCGCTTGGGAGATATACAGATCTATTTTTCCGATGAAGTCCAAGTCGAGGTGGACCATACCTCGACATCTGGAGCCGAAGTAGGCAGACACGCGTTGATTGTGTTTTGTGCGTCTGCTGTATTTTGATACGATACCATAGAATATGCATAATTTAGATTCAGAAGACTACAGGCTCTGCGAGTAGGCATACCAGAAATGCTCCCGCTGCCCTCTCCAACTGTTGAACGTCGTAAAAGATAACCGTTGAGCCAACGGGATGACCGTAGAGGAAGGCGTGGGCCAAGTGCATATCCCGTTGGATTGACGGCAGCGAAGAAATAGTGTAGCTCTTCTCTTGAGTCGTCGCGTGGCGAGAACGACGGAGAACATGACGAGGAGAGAGGTCGACGTGGTGAAGGCCAAAATTCTTTCGGAATTATGTCCGCTTGCGCAACACAAGGAAATCGCCGCGATGCCTTGGCGCCAAGCAGCCTCCTCCACTCACGGCACCGCGCTCGCTTGAGGCCACAAAAGCTTGACCCGGGCTTGTGTTCAAGCAGAGCCTCAGCAGCCAATGCCGCTGGCGCTGATCATAACGAACCTGCGTAGAGCTGCTGGACAGGCTTCTGCGCAAAGCGAACATTCGGCTGCGTCTACCGCGATCGTGTGGCATCTTGGAGCACAGTTTGTCCGCCGTGCAACTTTTAGACAGGCGCCGATGACGTCGTTGCTGGTCCACACTGGAACGCGATCCCGAACGTGCCGTGCAGGCGTCCCCAACCAGATAGAGTGACCCGCATGGCGAGGCCACCGGAGGATTACTGCGTGAGCTTTGGGCATTGCCTGGCACTCTTGGATCTCAACTTAGCTTAGCAGAAACGCGGAATGACGCCCAAGGTCGCCTCTTGCATCTGCCAGCTGCACCTCTGTGACCAGCATCCCTTCCCAGATCACCGTTGTCGCTGCGCATGCCCGCCTTTTGGCTATTTCGCTCGTGTCCCTGGTGTAGAAGTGATTACTACGAACGTCTGGGTTCAAAACCAAGCGTGGAAGGTGATTGCAAAGACGTTCAAGGCCGTGTCGAAATTGACATCGAACGATAGGGATCAACTGGGTGCTGAGGTGCTAACAAAGGCTCATTTGCAAACGAGTAAACCCTACGCCAAGGCTGACATGGGCGTGCGAGGTTCCAGCCTAGCTGCATGATCTGTTAACTATGACGTTTGTAACCATGGACCTTTGCACTAACTGCCGTTTGATGGAAAGGAGAATATTCCCACGAGACTAGCAAGCTTTTCTTGCCGCTTTTATATATTGCGTTGAATTCTCACGTCATTGCGATTTAATTCACGCCTTTTCACTTTTAGCATTTCGCGAAGGGTCTAGGTCAAATCGCCTTGGAGATTTCCTTAGCCAATCCAGTTCATCCGTGCTCGTTGCTTGTTAGTAATACCTTCATTATGGCGGAACAGCGAGCACCGCCACGAAATCATGCAGCGGCGCGTGCTGTCCATGATGATGAAGCGAAAGAAACGGCATCAGATCAATCAAGCCGCGGGGACCATGAAACAGAACAGACCGAGGCCCTTGATCCTGTTACTGGTAAAGAGATTCACGAGCTACCGGATGACAAGATAGAGATTACGGAGGAGGATTGTATGGATGAACTCGGGTACAGCTTTCGTATGTTCGCCAACTATGTCTATCGCTAATATCACTAATACAATGGTGCCAGCCGAATGGAAGAAATGGGTTATCTTGACAGTCATCTTCTGGATCCAGGTTTCGATGAATTTCAACACCAGTTTATACTCGAATGGTATCACGGGTATTTCAGAGCATTTCCATGTTAGTGCACAAGCGGCTAGATGTGGCGCCATGATCTTTCTGGTTGCCTATGCCTTCGGCTGCGAGCTTTGGGCGCCATGGTCAGAGGAACTTGGTCGAAAGCCAATTCTCCAACTCAGCTTGTTCTTGGTCAACGTTTGGCAGCTTCCTGTGGCGCTGGCTCCAAATTTTGGCAGCCTCCTGGTTGGTCGATTCCTGGGTGGATTGTCCAGCGCAGGTGGTTCGGTGACCTTGGGAATGATTGCAGACATGTGGGACTCTGAGCATCAGCAGTACGCAGTCGCCTACGTTGTCTTCTCTTCCGTTGGAGGATCAGCACTTGGCCCTGTGGTTGGTGGCTTTGTCGAGAAATTCTGCTCCTGGCGATGGACAATCTGGATCCAGCTCATATTCGGCGGCGTTGTACAGCTGGTCCATCTGATTTTTGTTCCCGAAACACGATCGACCGTGTTGATGGACAGGATTGCGAAGAAGAGGAGAAAGACTGGCGTGCAGCCAAACGTGTACGGGCCAAACGAACTTACGCCCTGGAAGGAACGATTCTCTGTCCGGGAGATTCTGGTCACCTGGATTCGTCCTTTCAGGATGTTTCTGACGGAGCCGATCGTGCTGACTCTATCACTCCTCAGTGGGTTCAGCGACGCTCTCATTTTCATGTTTCTGCAATCCTACAGCCTTGTGTACAAGCAATGGGGTTTCGACTCTCTGACGCTTGGTCTTGCCTTCATCCCAATCCTCATCGGCTACTTCATCGCCTGGCTTTCGTTCATCCCAGCAATCAAGCGAAACATAAAAGAACGCCGAGAAAAGCCGGATGATGAAATTGCACAGTACGAGTCTCGTTTGTGGTGGCTTTTGTACACAGCACCCTGCCTGCCCATTGGTCTATTTATTTTCGCGTGGACCACGCAAGGACCGCCGATTCACTGGATAGGCAGCATGATAGCTTCTGCCATCATTGGTATCGCAAACTATGCGATTTATATGGCGACGATCGATTATATGATCTGCGCATATGGTCCGTATTCTGCATCGGCAACTGGAGGCAATGGATGGTCGCGTGACTTCCTTGCTGGTGTTCTCACTCTTCCCGCGGTACCGTTTTACTCGAACATTGGTGATAAACCATTGCAGTACGCTTCTACAATCCTAGCATGCATAGCTTCTCTTCTTGTTGCTGCGGTGTACGTCATTTATTGGAAAGGTCCTGTTCTTAGGAAGCGCTCCCCATTCGCAGAACAGCTTAGCAATGCTCGTAAGAACCCCGAAGGTGGTAGCAGGAGAGTTAGCATGATTTCTGGCGCATACGGCAGCCGAAGACAAAGCTACGCCACACCAAACAGCAGAAGAGGCAGTCTGGCGCTTCCTGGAAGTCGATCAAGCAGCGTGGCAGGAGGTGGGCGCGGTGCGGCGCAGGAGAAAGCTCGTCAGAGAGCTTTGCAAGCTAATCGCGACATTGCTGACGAGGAAAAAGGCCAACACCCTATGTAGACATTCAGCGTCACAGCATATATCAAACTTGGACTTTTGTAATTTATCAAATTGTTAGTCGTAAATGGCATGATGTCATATGAAAATATCCACAGAGTGGTTCCATTATAGCGCCAGTGCAAGTGTCGTGTAAACCATCCTCGTACAGGTTGGAAAGGTATCCCTGATCAGTTCTTGAGTGTTTTCTTCACATCCTACGAGAATTACTTCCCCTCTAAAATTACGACTTCATACTTCTGGATTCTACGCTGTGGATCGCGAAAGAGACCATTGTTAAGTTTTTCACAGTCTACATTTCCTTCTTGATGACTATTCCTTCAACCCCGTTGATCACCTCTGCAAGCAGTATATGATATCATCTCGCCGACAGTATACAAGGCCTCGCAAGCAACATTTCTTTCTACAAGTGCGATTTCCACGACTACCTTAGCAATGGTTTGGACGTCTGTGACGGCGGCTGAGTGGCTCCAACTGTTCAGCGCATAAGCCGTCGTGCGATCAGAGGAAACCACGCCGAAGGAAGCTTCAAATTAAGAAAATCCACGAACATTACAGTATTAAGAGAGTCCCGCGTGTTTCGTTCCGACCTCTCAATCGATCGCGAACATCCAATCGTTCAGTGAACAAGGCTTGGCTTGACTGTCGCCCGCTATTGTTGTGGCCCACCCTCAAACCGCCTATGAATAGATCGTATTACTCGAGCAACAGGTACAACTTCGGATAACTCAATTTGCATCCCTGGCAGATTGTATATGCCGGAACAACCAGTGATTTGATCGAACTTCTGAGCCTGGTCGAGAACTCGACTTTGGAAGTCCCGTGTACTCCGCCGACGAGATATCGACTACTCAGCCCGCTTCTTTTCGAAGCATTACCTTTGTTTTTATTGAAATATATTTTGACGAAGAGGGACAATAACTTGACCTATGTAGCTTTCAGCATGTTTCGAAATGATCAGAAACAAGGGAGTTCCAAGCTCTCCAGCTACAATTACCAAAATTGATTGATTGTTGCGATCATCAAATTCTTGGTGATGCTCTGTAAGGAGTTTCTTACTGAAGCAGAAAATGATTGGATAAATCATTCTCTCTCCTCACTTTTGATGATTTTCTTGGTAATACTTGACATAATATGCTTGAGAATGAGGAAAAGAGTTCCGCCTTAGTTCCGATCTTAAGACTGTTAGTCTCAACGCATTGTGGATTTCCTGTTTTGGAAACGGCAACTTCTAAGATGTCCGTAGGACCTCGACATTACATCTTGTATCCATGAAATGCGCGGAGAACATATGCTGGGAGGGAAAGAAAACGCTGATCTACACATGAGAGGCAAGTGGATAGATCTCAAGCCAGGGACAATGTGGCGCGGACATTCTGACATCATGACTTATTCAGGGCAACTCTTACTGACTTTACATATGGAAAGGGCCAATAATGAAGCGAAATCTCGCTCTCAATCTGTGTATCTTCTTTCTCTTCTTTTCATTGAGCTGAAATGCCATCCTCTAAAGGGAAACCCACCGACCCAAAACTGCGTGAGGAAGTGAAGGAAGGTGAATACTTTCTGCATTCTCGTCACTTGCAGGTCCATAGTTAACATGGCCTGGCACAGAGATTAAGCAGAAGCCAAACTCAGATGGAGGCGGCAAAGGCCAGTGGTCCGCGTGGAAGGTCGGCTTTGCGGAATCTTTGTTCATATATCCCGATGCTGAATCTCATAGGCGGCGGAGCTTTCCAAGGAATACGAAAGGAGAGGCGGTGGCTATGAGAATGAGCGCGGATCCAAAAATGAACCCAAAAAGGGAGCCCCTCAACCTAAGTCAGAAGAACAGAAACAGAAGGAGCTCGAAAATTCTGTGATGAGTGATAAAAGGACCGAACCAAGGGAGCACTCAGGCGATAAGAGTGACAAGGAGAATCAAGCTCCACAGAAGCAGGAGCAGAAAACAAAAGGGAAAAAGACCAGGGTGTGTAGAGATCCATGCGGCGAGTAACCATAGACTAATAAGGGCAAGACTTTCAAGAAGGGCAAGAAGGAAAGGCAAGCCCCTCGCGAAGGCACTCGCAAAAGCTCCAGGCAAGCGGAGAAGAGAAAGATGGAAGAACAAGAGGGAAGCAAGGCGAAGAAAAACACGAAAATAAACCATTAGCTGAGAGGTTCGCACATATCATTTGCTCCAGTCTGACGGCTTCTTCGTGCTATCAGCTTCGTCTTCGCTCCAACGAGAATGATTAGCGTAGGTTACGTGAATGTACAGGCCGATGAAAGCCGGTCTAAATTTTGGTGGTCGATCACCGAGAAGAGAAGAAAAGAGTGATCTATTGAACATCATTTCGTAACGACATTTGAGTGAGATCCTGACTTTTTGTCTAATATTACATGTGATATTGGCGCGAATGACTGCCTGCTCCTACACATAGTAAGAGCAACCCTGGTTCTTCACATCTGGTTGTACCATTTGTGAACACGGTATGCTCTGAATTTTCGATCATGCACAGCTGACAGACACGGAGATAAAAGGAGGCGAGTGGGAAACTGTCCAACTTTGGCTGAGGACTTTGTAGCAAAGCGCTTAACCACCTTAGCGCGACTTCCATTACTTGCCCTCCAAGCAACAACTTGAGCAACAATTAAAGTTTTGAGATTGACTTATGAGTCTTATGCACTCAGTTGGCTCGTCATTTGATCAAATTCATGCTGTGATGTGGTTCAATGGCGAATTCAAATGAAGATAACGTCAATTTCTCTGGCTCATAACAAGAGGGGGCGATTAGGTAGCTCTAAACGACCTCAAGGACATCTGATGTTTCGAACCACATTCCACGGACTTAGCTAGTCCCAGAGCAGCCGACAAAATCATTATTGTCTGCGCCGGTGTGAGTTATAACGCCTGCAAAATCACAGTTGCCATTGATAACCACCCGGTCCGCGCCTGGTGAACCTGTTCATGTGTGAGCTTGGACTTTGCAACGAACCAGCTTTCAGACGATTCACCTCCATCATAAATCTCGCCATCAGACAGAATCGGGAACTCGTAGTACGGACCGTCCACGCCGTCAAAGGTGAAGCCTTCGTAATCGTTGTACCTCTCCGGATACTTTGAGCCGCCCGCAGTCGTGCCATCCTGCACGTATTGGCATGCTGCATCAGCAGCGGCCAAAACTTTCGTCACTACGTTAATCTCCAGACACTGGGAAAGGGATTGTCTTGAAACTGACCATCGGAAGCACTGTAGGATGTGCTACCGCAGGTCGTGCTCGATTGTCTCGCAACCACTTTCAACGTGGTTGGAATAGCTGTTGCTGCGGAGAAAATGAAGGGCAATGCCAAGAAGAAGCGCATGTTGACGGGAGAATGTGCTTGGCCACAAACAGAAGGCTCAAGTGGGAGATTAAAAGGTCGGGAAATGAGGGCAAGCGGCAAACTGTGCTAGCTGCTTGATTTTTGGAAGAGCCGGACGTTTCTTATATAGACCCGACAGGCGATGCTCATCGGCAGGCGCCGCCTAGTAGTGACAGAATAGAAGGGGATGGCTTAGTCAATGAAACATCTTTAGTCTTCCCAGGACGGGTCATTAGGGACCTCAGCATGCAGCAAGACCATCGCGCGTGCTCTAAATCTTAACGATATATGGTAGGACTCCGGTTCCAGCATACAGAATCGTTGGACGAAAGCCTGGTGATCCTGGAGGCGATGAATATGATCTGCACCTATGGGATCTTGATAAAGTAGGTCTTTAAGTCTACCACCCGCCTATATGCAAGTCCTCAAAGATCTAAGCTCTCCGGGCCAGCATCTGGCCGTGGGTGGCGCATTTCTTTTCTACGGAGATCATGCCAGATGCGAATGCACAGGCAGACTTATTGGGACATCTTTATCATTTGATTGGCCTCCAAGCCCTCGGACTGCAGCCGGTCGTGCGACGTGCCTTGGAAATGAAGGAGTACGGACTGGTACAACAGCGCCTTTTGGAACCGCTGACTGGAGCCAGGAGAACTAAGCATTTAGGCGAGAACGGGTGCAACCCGTCGATCATGAGCGGTTGTCCATTTGGAGCCCAAGGATTGATCACGATAAAGTGTCGTGAGGTCCGTGAGATCAAGGGCAGCGCCACGCTAGGACGAAGAAGGAAGTTGGGGGTGTCCTCTTGAGTTCTTCAGCCCCAGGCTGCTGTACCGCAAATCCGTGGGATCACTCGAGATATAGAAGACCAATGCGCGTCAAAGATTGAGACACAGCGACGATTTAGATTCTGATTTGAAGTACACTCGAAATGACTGACAAAACTCGGGGGGGTATATGGCGCCAAAATTTTCGCATCCCAATTTCAAACTGAGCCGCCAAGCTACGATGTCGCAGCAATCCAAGAAACGTAAACGTTCATATTTGCACGCCAACACCTTTCTTACCCGCAGCTTCCTCCGGGCCGAAGCCAAAGACAAGCTTAAAGAGGTCTTTGAACCACGAGAAGGACTCGTTACGGGACATCCATTGAACTGCCCGACCAATTTCCGATGCAGACATGCGCCTGCCCTGAGGTAGTATAGTCCTATGGTCACCACGGAGACTAGGGTCAGTCAGGACAAGTTTCCTGTAAGACTCGAACAGTTTCATCTGCCACGACTGTGTACCAAATGCCGTGGAAGGAAGTGTTTTCACGAAGGCCGTCAACGTTGTCGGGGATTGTCGACCAAAGCCTATGTTCAAAGCCGCTTTGACTATCAAAGTCTTCAGCCGTAGGAGATTCGGATCTTCTGAGTCTTGCTGAACAACGGGAGGAGGGGTGTGTTGGAGAGCTCGGGATGCCGATCGCGCGGTGCGTTGCGATGATTCAGAATATCCCGACATGGAGCCTGTCACTGAATTATTCGACGACCATCGCGGATTCTCCGGGCCAAGTACTAGAATATTTGGGACGGCCATCTCCGCTGGTGACATGTCGTCCCTATCATCGTAAATGGTTGTTGGGGTTTCAGGGGGAAATGAGTCAACTGAATGAAACGTGCCCGATGCTGAGGATTCGGGACGTGAGCTAGTTGACTGGCTGAGATTGCTAGGAAATGGGTTGGGCTGAAAAGTGGTCTTTGTTGGTCGGGGCGTGCCTCGCTCTGGTCGTATTTGCGTCCAGCCTTCGCGAAATAAATCGCACAAATCCCAGCAGGCCTGCACCGCTGAGCCCAATAATTCCTCATCTACGGCTCGACTATCGCGATTGTTTTGCCTGAGACTGAAAAGCAGTTCGGCAAGCGTCCAGCAGGCCCGAAGCAGGGCATCTGTCTCTTCGGGAAGAGAGGTTCGCTGTTTCATTAGCCGGTGGCACATTGTAAGATAAAAATCTAAGGTTCGCTCTCGAAAAGCGTCAGGTAGATTTCGATCATGGATGTTGTAAAGGTGGTTGTTAAGCTCGAAGCTCACGCGTAGGATGGAGTCTGTTACTTCATCACCACGCTGACGCGCCTCAAAGAGAGCCTGGCAGAACTCCCGACACAACTCGAGTGTTGGCCGGACCTGGCTATTGTGGTCTTCGTCTCGGCTCTCGTACAGATTTTGGCATAGTTTCCAGCAGCTTCTCCAAGCTTGCTCCTGGACGTCGCCACTGCCGGAAAAGCTGAACATACGTTCGCGATGCATGGAGCTGAGGTTTGCAAGGGTATTGCACAAGGTCCAGCATTCGCTCAGTGCAGTCTTAAGGGAGGCAACTTCCTTTTCCGCCGAGTTCAGACTCTTGAGAGCCTCTCCGATACTTCCGACTTGGCCGGCAGCATATGCCGTGTCAGAGCGTTCATGGTCGTCAGCCTCCGCAATATCTGTCGTATTTAGCAAGGGTGCATCAAGTTGCTCTGGGATGATGTGGGCTACCTTCTAGACTTTGGCTCTTATTGCTAGCCCATGATCTTCTTCTCCACTCCTCCTCTGCTTCTTGGATTGTTGACGCGCGTGGAGTACCGCCAGATCCCAACCGAGCTGGTAGGACTTGGGTATTTAATGGAGGAGCACTGTCACGCAGATGCTGTTTCTAAAGAACGTAAGCACAGCGCATAGAGTACTGCCGTGAAGCCGCACCTTTTCTTCAGGTCGATCTGCGCTCTCTGGCGTTGTTGGGGAAACTACGGCAGTATGCTCGGATGTTTCTGACGGCGATGAGCCTCGTCGACTGTGTCTGGCCACGGCCGTCTTCTTTGTATCCTGCCAAGGTCAATACATGAATCAAATTACGGCTTTGAGGCACAAACAAATTGCTTGAATCCGGTCGGGGCATGTATAACCGACTGCGGCTGACCGTCTTCCGAGTCCTTGATGATAATGTTTGTGTCGATATGCGGTAGAGGCTAGAGATATGTCAGCTCCGCGCCCGGACACGATCTGGCCCAACATACCGACACGTCTTCAGCGCTCATGCCGCTCGCAGGACTGATTATCTCGATGTCGGGCGATTTCAGACCATCGGCATGACTTGGGCTGTGCACATCTTCGGCATCGATGTCCGTGACGTCGGTCGAGTGAGAGTCGTTAGACTCTACTGGGGAGGGATCGACTGTAGCTGGATACGGCGAGGGAGGAGGCGCTAGAGAGTCCTTCTCTGAGCCGGTCGATTGTCTGTTTGGAACGGACATGTCAGCGCATGTCTAGCAGGTAGACGAGGGGCCGAAGCTCCCACCTGTTCATAGGTCTAAAGGCTACGGAGTACGGAGCGGGAGACGAAGGAGAATCTGTATACGGCGAGAAAGAAGAGTTCAGCGACGGACTAGGCACCTGTGGCATAGAATTATTAGATGCTCAAGCTACCACATTTTGACGTGAACCAATGGAAGATTTACCAGCGTTGTGGTCATCGCCATGCCTGATGACTAGCACATGCACACGAGAGAAAACCGGATGCTTCTACGCGTCTGTAGACCAAAAAGCGCTTGATTTTGGAGCGGTTGATGCGATTCGACGGGTATGATAAACTGCCGTCTCCTTAATGATGGTGGCCACTGAAGCGCGACCGCGGCTGAGGTGCAGCGGACGCCTGTAGCCGCTGACCTGGACTGGAAATGACCCAAGCCCTTGGGGGCTAATAGCTGGTCGCGCGACGGACGTCTGCTAAACGAGATCACGCTGGCAAAAGAAGAAGAGCTCCCCGCGCAGGCCGAATCATAATGGAGCAGGCAAAGACTTATAGCAAACGGACGTCGACTTTAGTTCCGATCCCAAGCCGCGAACGAGTTCCAAAGGGCCGTGGGCTGCCCTTCTGAATCCCGCATCCAGCACACGCCAGGATGTGGTTTTGGTGCTGATGGAGTGCGGGAGAGGCTTGCAGCGGCCAATCAGAAGCGCGCTTGACGCGCCGGGCTTCCTCTGTCAACCAATCTTCCGGGGCTTGCCATGTACGCCTTGCGGACGTGCAGCTCATCAGTCTCTTTTGCCTAGACGTTAACCTTGAGACGCTGCAGTGCTAAGACTGCACTTGATCAATTGCAAATTCTTCCGAGGCTTATATGCGGAGCAGCCAGCGTCGGTTACGTCGCATACAAGTGTAGCAAAGCACTTCCTTCACCCTAGTGCGCTGCGTCCGTCTTCCAGAAAGGACGCTCTGCCGCCGCCCGATTGCTTAGGCCCTTGAGCGGAGCTGACGACGGACAATCAGAGGAGACCAAGACTTCCTACCTACCCCAAGGCAGACGCAGGGCACTCTGTGAACAGACTGAAGGTGGCTGCGTGGGGCCCTCACAAGCGTTCGCCATTGTCTGCTGACCGTCCGAAGGATTGCTTGGACGGGGCTTCTTTGAACTAGATATGCATATCCGGAGCAGAGCAGTCCAAACCGCACGACGTACACAAAGAGACCGCTTGAAATCGGTAAGAATGGCACGCCCAATTGCCGTACGCCGCGCAAATACTAGCCAGGCGAACCCTTTCTTCGGCTTGTGCCTGCCTCTGCCCATGGTGCACTGCAGCCAGATCGAAACCAAAAAAAGAAAGCAAGAGAAGCCCAAGCCTCAACTCGGTCGCATGAATGAAATGCGGAAAGTATGGAAACGGGTGTCTCATTATTCAGCTCAATTATTAGGCAAAAGCCATGGGCAGCGCCGTGCCTAAGCTAGCGGGAACCTTGAAGCCATGAACCATGGGATCTCCACATCGAAAAGGCTAAGCGAATTTACGCGCGGAGCCTTGTGTCGTACCCACGTCGTCGGAAGTAAAGGTCCAGATATCGGTGTCCGTGCGAAGTCCACCCGATAGGGTCACGTTATAGGGTGAACCATGGGAGTCGGGTGCGTCATCCTGACCTGTTTCTGCATACCCACCACAAATGCTTGGTGGAAGGGAGAATCAGGTGGTGATTTGCATGGTCTTCTTGCATGGCACACTGTTATTCGACAGGCATCACAGAAGATCTTCGGTAGGCCATTTTTGACCGCCGGCACGTAAGCAAGAGCAATACGGAGTTCCGTATGCATTGATGGGGTGAGCATCCGGAATGACAGCAGAAATGTCTTTGCAGCCAATGGGAGCGGGTTACGCGGACAGCGGAGAGAATCTGAAACGCGAAATCTTGATGTGATTGTGATAATTTCAGCGAGCTCTGTGGAATGGCTAAAAACATCAAGAGATGTGTGCAGTGGGGTCCAAAGGGGCCAAAATTTCTGAAAGAGGCAGAGGCAAGAAATTCAAACGCAGCATAGATGTCATGGCAACAGCTTTCCGTGGGTTAGATCCCAAGTCTGAACGGCGAGGCAATTGATATGATGTGCTTCGATCCCAAAGAGGGAACATCGATGCAAAGTGCACGAGGAGATCTAGCGGATTTTCTCAGGGCTTACGCCAGTGGGGACTTTTTGCTCGTCCATGGCGCAACCTGGAAGACACTAAAGATCTTCTTCCCGTCCAATCACGTCGGGTTGGTCGCATGCCAGTTCGACGCAAATTCAAGAAATCTTTCCTAGTCGTGGTCGTCGTGAACGACAACACACTTGTATGAGCCTGCGAAAATAGGTCATGGACATGGGCCCAGAGAGGAGGAGGAAGAGTGGAAAGAGGGAGGCAGATGTGACGTGCCTGGGGAGAAGGGATGCTGACGCAGAGATTCTGCATCTCGAGGCGACCTCAGGAGATCATGGAAAGCCGTACGGTCCACCAGAGGACGGCATAGGGGACGTGGAAAGTGGCAGCTGGAGGAATCTGGAGATGGAGCATCGTTGAGGGGTTTTCTTTCGTTCGAGAATCTAAAAGCAACAGCTGTCTCCGACGGCGTCTCTGAACCAATGCTTAGACGCTGTACAGCAAGCAAGGCCGCCGACGAGGCTGACGTGTCACCGCTAAGAGGTCTGTCCATCCTTTCGACCGCGTTCTTGTCGTGTGGATACTCCTCGAAATGGCAATAGGCATCATACTGGGCAAGCCGTGCCCTCACCCTGCCCAGCGATTCGGAAGAGTCACATTCGTAGGCCATCAGCGTCGCCGTTGGCACGCTGCACGACACCGCCCCCCAGCGTCGTTTCCTGTGTTTGCACGTGCTGATTGACAATGCTCGCAGGCCATCGACCTCCCGGTCACGCTCTATCCCATCGTCTGCAAGGTCGGGCATGAAACGTTGCCGCTGTCCTCATTTCACGCACAGCCGCCGCCGCGGAGGCAGATCTTCCTCGCCAGTTGGGTTGTCGCCGCGCTGTTCGTGGACAGCCTTGCCCAGAGCGTTTTTTTTCTTTCTATCCGGCGGTGCAGAATTCTCGAGACCGGATCGACCTCCCGTTTCCACGTTCGCAATGGTCAGCGAAACGTAAAGGATGATAGACATTTGTCCTACTCTGTCATCGCCCTCGGCGGAGCCTTCCTTCCCAGGCGTACTCCTCGGCGCAGTCGTGTCGACATGCCTGATCTTACTGCACCCTCCACCACAGAACACTACGCTACGCACCACACGCGCTTCGTCGCGCCGTTCTCTTTAGCCGACTTCGCCTGCACCGTCATTGCGACTCTTCCCTCTTCCCCTTGGAGGCAGACATGGTGTCCACTAGAGATCACTTCTATCCTTCCGAGTCTGCAGCGCCGTTGATCGTACACTTAGCCCAGCCGTCCTTCACCAGCATGGCGCTGGTGTGCCACTGCAATGGTTTCGGCTACAATACCTCGAGCACATATAGCTTCACAGCGGCGAGCAACAACTTCAAGCTCGCCATCGCCATGGTCGTCGCTGCGTGTAAGTGTGAGGAGGAGCTGGGAGCGGTGAGGCCGTGGTGAGCACGGTCGTTCCGTTGATGGAAGTCCCTGTCCTTGCCGGGCTGGTGTGTACGCGATGAAGTGGGTCAAGACGCGGTGGGGACGGGCAAGGATAATGCGGTCTCAGACTTTAATAACGCGCTGGATACTATAGACAAAATGCTTATTTATAAAGCCATTAAAACATCTCGGAGCAGCTTTCGACGAATTGCCACATTTGGCGCGTATTGTTCTTGTCGTACACGGGCCTTTTTCACCCTGCTCTTGCCCACGAGTTCTGCACGTCGAAAGAATTATGAACTGATTTTGTGACGCGCGAGCTGGAAGGAATGGAAGTAAAAGCCCGTCGTCATTTTTCAATAATTTCTGTCGTCGGATCACATCCATGTAGCAGGGCCTGTTCGATATTCCAAGACATCGCCACATCGCCACGACCGACCTTGCCGCCATAGGGGATAAACCAACATGTACACAATAAACAGTAAAGAAGATCCTTTAGCGTCGCCAGATATAAGCAAGAGACATGATGGTAGAGGTACTGCAACTGATTCCCCCGGCAGTACCGACAAACAAAGCTCGATGCGAATTGGAGCGTGACTGAGGGAAAATGCTGCGGTTAAGCCAAGGCTGCATGCGCACAGATCTGAGAGGAAGGAGAGAACAAGCGCTTTGAATTTGTCCTGGTGCCCGTCTCAGCCGGAACATTACCAAAGGTCTCCAAAACCTGGCGTTTTATCTGGTGTGCTCGTTTCCCTCCCCCCCCCCCCCCCAAAAAAAGGACCAAGGGCAAACAACCAAGCAAAGAGGATAGCGAACTTTTACAGAACAGCGCTGCATGCGCTCCTTCAGAAAAGGGAATTATCATGAGGCACTGTCACCATGCCATCAAGAACGCATGAGCTCCTACAACACATTGTAACGCCAACGCCGTGATAATAGATGGATCATGACTTAAAAATCGGTCGTCGATAAAGAAGGGGGCCATTTTGCGGAACTTTCGAAAGGTCTGACCAGATTGCTCTGCGGGATTGGATTTATGAATTCTTAGGGAGGTCGGCTCTGATATTGTTGTGTGTAGCTTTGTTCGGATGCTATTGTGACATTGTTCCTTTTGATCATGGAGATGGAGAACTCCCTGGCCTTGAACGCTCCACTGGTAATACTTTGATTTTATTTTTAGAGAATGCCCGAATCTTTCAGGGCATTCTGTAAAATGGTCTCCTTCACAGCGGCAAAAACTAATCGAATATTCGAGGTGTCTGTAGCTTGTGTCAAGCTAGTGCTCGTCAGCAGTGTCTCACGTACTAGAAACGCGCACATCAGACATACTGTGGGTATAAGTTGAGGTGCGCGCGGTTAACCTGATTGAAGCGCCAGAGCAGATACTTTGCCGCTCTGTTGACATCATTCCCTCCCGAATAGTCTGGGAACCAGTTGCTGAGGGGGGACCTTGCCAGCTTCTGCTTGAACAAGTCAACCTTGTTCAAAAATAGAATTATCGACGTCCTCATGAACCATCTCGAGTTCACGACCGAGTCAAAGAGGACCAGGCTTTCCATCATGCGGTTCTACACGTCGGCGGTCAGTGACGAACCTCATTTCAGCGTCGTGTCCGTGGCACTCACCTGGCTGCTCTCCTCGAGCAGGACCTGATCGTATTCGCTTAACGCCACGCAGAAAATGATCGATGTTACATTCTCGAAGCAGTGGATCCACTTCTTTCTCTCGCTCCGCTGGCCGCCTACGTCAAACATGCTAGGCTCAAATCAGCAAGTGGTCAACTCATCAGGGGTGACAAGTGCATACTGTATGCTTAATTGGCCCATGGTGAACCTTGTCTCGTAGATACCCGTCGTCTTCGTACGTGCTCGTAGCACATCAGCTTCGTGCGGTATATAGTCTGGAGCTGTTATTCTGCCGACTTCGTCAAAGAAACTGTGCGCGGTCAATGGCTGGCCAGGTAGAAAGCGAGGTTGAAGTCCATACTATGGCGCCGAGTCCATCAGGTAGAACTCGCTTGAATGTTCCATGACCTTAGGTATGCATGGATCGTGCCATATGGATGACACTGCCTGTCCGACCTTCTGATCAAGAGGCTTATCTGGATCTGGATCGATGGAGAAGTCCATAAGATAATCGCAGTATTCTTTGTTGATGTCTCGCTCCGGCTCGATGTCGAATTGCCTCATGGCGGCTATGAGGGCCTTCGCACAATCTATCACGTTCTTGAAGATGGTATGCCGGTACATGGCCAGCTCCTCTGTAGAGTAGCCATTTTGATGGATAATCTTCATCTGCTTGACGATGGTCGACTTGCCGCTTTCACCCGAACCTAGACCGACGGTCAGCAACCGCCTGGCATTCGCCCGCTCTGTTGACACTTGCCTAGCAACAAGATCTTGCATTCTCTCCGTAAACGCCGTGAGTCTTCTTCGATCTTGCGGTCGATTGCCTGACTTCGTTTCTTCGCCTCCTCATCTTCTCCATTGCCGCCCATGCACATCTTTGCGGAGTTCTGCACCGAAACAGGTACGCGGTGCTAGTTTCGGGGGCGGGACGGAAATGCGGATGTCGCTGCTGCTGCTGCGACGGTTTCGACGGGGCCTTCAGCAGCAGGGGCGCCGCAGCGGCGCGTGAAGTGCCTGCAATGTCTGGACGTAAGAGCTGAAGCTATGCGCGTGCGAGCGATGATAGGACTGCTTGGCGAAATGACGGCGGAGAGCGATGTTGGGCCGGTTTGGTCGGAGCTATTGCGGAACGGGGTTTGCGGCTGGCGAAAGGCAGGTGGAACTTCACTGGGGGGGGGAGTCAACAGCAGCAGCAACGGCAAAGGAGCGTCAGGCTGCACACGGCGGATGTTTGTTGTTCATAGGCTGCTCGGCTTTTTGGATGGCTTTGAAGTGAAAGCGCGCGATACTATGGGATCGCAAGGTCGGTGGTGGAATAGAAGGGTGGGAGATTTGGGCAGGTGAGTTAGCGTTCCGGTGGTCCAATAATGGCAGCTAATACGCCGGGGTGTTTCAATGGCTGCAACGGCAACGGCAAGGCGACTGAGCGGACCAGATACGAGGGAGACGAGGACGAGACACGGACGGGCGGAGTGAGAAGCGAGGCGTCGGCGTCGACGTGGGTTGAGACTGAGGATGAGGGAAGCTGGGACGAGAACCAGATTGGTAGGGTTTGAGGTAGGCAGGCAGCCCGGTAGGCAGGTTGGTAAGGTCAAGCAGCGAGGATTTGCTGGAGCGTGAGAGAGTGAGTAGATGTGGAGTCGTGGACGGGGGAAGGGGGGAGGGGGGGCCGAGTCTGGGAGCGGCGTGGCCAGACTACGGCTGAGCAAAGTTAGGCAGGTAGGTTAAGTTAGCGGCGGCGGGCGAGGAGAGAGAGAGCGAGAGCGCGGAGCGAGAGTCGTTGGCCGGGACAAGGGCGCGCCCAGAGCCCAGCGCCCAGAGCCCACAGCCAGCGCTGACGCCAGCAGCCATGGCCAGTAGCAGCCCTGCAACGGCCCAGCTGTGCGTGGTGGCCCAGTCGCCGGGCGCTGAACACACACACACAGCAGCAGCAGCAGCAGCAGCAGCAGAAGCCCGTCGCCCGCCTGAACAGCACCGCACCGCACCGCCTGCCCGCACACGCAACCCGCACCCTCGCATGCTCCCGCCGATGCTCCCATCCCGAAGCCCCCATCCTGATTCTCTTCCCTCCTACTCCTGCTCCTCCTTCGTCCTGGTCCTCCTCGTGCCTCCACGAACCACTCTTGCATGCTTCTGCGACAGCCGCTTGCGCCACAAGAGCGATTGTGCGAACACATGCATCCGACGACCGCCCCTGTCGGCTGCCTTTTGCTCCTCCCAACACCCCCTCTTCGTCTTCCACCCACCGTTGTGACGATGCTAGTACAGCACGGTACAGCGCTACTTTCTCGCCTTGGCTCTGCATCCGCCAGCAGCGCAGAGAGCAAATTCTACAAGCCACCTCGTGCTCTCGGAATCCGATCGGCTGCGAATTTTGATCTGCGCTCGCTATTCGCTGTTACTGATTCGGTATCTCTGAAATCCCACGCAACGGATCGTTTGGCGTGCGATCCGCATTTTCGCCCTCCTGCCTTGTTCATGGTTTTACCACTTTTTTCCTTTTTTTCGTGGTCGATCTTTCGCTGCACGCGCACAAGCTGTACTACTATTCTACGTGTAACTCTGTACAGTGTCGTGGCCTATGCGGCCCCCAGTCAGCGCAACAACGCCGCTGGACCCGCCAACAGGCGTGTGCAAATCCAACGGCGGGAGACTCGCCCTGCTCGGCCTGTGCCCTAAGGGTCAAGCCAGGCCAGCCACGTACCTGGGGAGCTCCTGCATCTGCACAGCGCCCACCCTCGCCGCCATCTCTCGTCGCCATCGTCGTCGTCTCCTCAGGCGATTGTCGCACGGCTCAGAACCCAGTGTATGCTCTCCCTCAAACTTCTTGTCTGCTCTGCTTGTCTCCCTCCCCTTTCTTCAACCTTGGTTCAGGGCAGGCCGGCCACACTAAGTGCCGATCGCCACGTGCAGCCCGCGCGCCCTGCCCGCTTGTTGGCCAGCTCCCCGTCATCCCTTGTGCGCATCTCACTGCGACTCGACCATCGGGCCGTGTCGCTCCTTTTTCACGAGTGAATGTGACTTGGCAAGTCGATCTCCGAGGGTCTCCTCCTTTCATTGATTGTCTATGTCTTGATGTCAACCGGTTCGTCGACGCGGACAACGCATATGTCTTGACCGTCTTGTAGCACCGACGCAAAACATCGTCAATTGCCTTTTGAATACTACAAGACTATATATATATATATATGTATACCAGGGTGCCACGAGAGCCAAAGGGCCCTCGGATGCCCATGCGGTCCCTGAACGCAACGATCCTGTACTACCGTCTGCAAAAAATATAAACGCTCGCTGCACATAATAAGAAAACGGTCGAATACGAGATGCAGTTCTGGTCACCTTTCGACCCACGGGAAAACACCCACGCAAATATGCCGGCTACGTAGTCGCCATCCCACAAATGCTTTGACGCCCATATATCTCTTGATCTGAACGTTCCTTCGCTTTGACAAGATTGCGGAAAACGAACCAATTGGGAAATCCCGAGCAGCAAATCTTTCCATGGATGCTACGTCCGTGCCAGCCTGACCACTGGACAGATCAGTAATGTCGTGACATGGGCTGCCGAGACCCCCAGAGATCAGGAGAATCTGGGGCAGAGTGCAGTTCTCACGAGCCAGCAAAGGTTGTACTGGAGCTTCTGGTCAATACGTGCCAAGGCGAGCCGCTGGCACGATCAAAAACCAGAACCTTGCAGGCGCGGCTCGCGCACGCTACCTCCTTGTGCTCTTTTTTTTATTTTCTTATTCAGTCTTGCCCTCCTTCTTCTCCCGAACGGAAACGACTCTGCCGAGGCGAGGAGGTAATGGCGAGTTTCAACTTTGCGGGCTGCCTTGATGGCAATTACTAGTGACCGTCAATAGTATCGGTGCTGTGGCGTCGTCTTTTCGACTGCCACACCGCATGAAAATGCCTTGCATGTGTTCGTCGAGGCGCAAAACACCATGCGCATGCGGTGTGCGGGGCGCGACGCTATTCAAGTCATGTCGCTTGCAGCGAATCGCTCCAGGGGAAGAGACACAAGCCACTGCAGCTTTGGTCATCAGCCGCTGCCAACTTGACTTACCCTACCTCCGTATTGGCATGAACTCGATGGAGCAGACAGGCACTCTCAGGCTGCGAAATACCGGCCCCGTGACATCCTCGAGAAGATTGAGGGCTTGAAGACATGCTTGCTGATTCATCCAAGCTAGAGTGCCATCCAGGCCCGAATGGAAGCTTGCTATTGGCTGGTTGGATCGCGAGGGGATTTACTTCTCACTCTTCGAGCGCCGCGCACAATCCTGGACGCTCCTCAATGGCTCGGCGTAAGTGACTGAGGAGCAAGCTCCCAGATTAACCAACGTGAGCTGCTGGTCAGGCACGGGTGTTGTTCGATGCGGGGAACGAGAAGGAACAGAAGAAGGCCTCGATGCTGATTGAAGCGACATGGCGTGGAAAGTGGCTGGAAAGGAAGAAGGATGGGACTTTGTGCCAAATTCAGCATGGAGCTCGTCAGACTCTTTAAAACCGGGCTAGCTTGCAGCCAGCGATGACGTAGTTGCTCGATTCTTGCGTGCTGAAACTGGGGTGCGCGACAACTGATCGATGATCCAGTTTTTCCCAGCGCGAAGAATCGGTGCCAATAATCGTCTTGCCCGTACTCTCCGTGTGGCAGCTCTCGACCCTTCCCTCCCCACTGCTGTTTGCTGCTGGCGCTGCCGTTGAGAGAGGAGCTGACTCCTTTTTGACTTGTCTTTCCCCTCTGCTCAACCACACCAACTTCACCCTTCTGCCACTGATCGGCGGTAGCATCGAATTTTCCACTTTGCCCATCTTTCTACCCCCACTTCCTCGCCCACTCCCCTTTGCGCGGGCAGATCTGGCCCCATCCCGGGCTTTACCAGCGTCCTCTGCCCCAAAACCTCTCTGCCAACCCGGCTGTACGAACAGCCGATCTCGTCGAAGAGGTCCCGAACGGTTCACAGGCTTCGCGAAGCCCGTCCACCGCACAGCAGAACCCGCCGCTCGCGCCAGCGTTCGCCACAAAGCGAAACCGCTAAGCAGCGTCTAGACCGACCCGGCTGAGGTCGACGCAGAATTTGCGATTGCCATTGCTCCGGAGTTGCGACCGATCGCAGGGCATCGCTGTCCTTTCGGGCTAGTGATCTAAGTACGTACCTCAGGCTACGACTCTGGCGGGAAACCATCCTGGCCGTACGAAGGGCGATTTTCTCGCCTTTTCTCATGCACTGAAGTTGACTCCTTTGATTTTGCGCAACGAACAGCCGCGACACGACCTCCGTGCCCCCGCCTCCGAACTCTTCTCTCGCACCATCAGGCCTGCTTCGTTCGCTGCCTGCACTGAGCTAACCGCCCCTCATTCGCCATGGCCGAGTTTGTGCGCGCGCAGATTTTCGGAACCACGTTCGAGATAACCAGCAGGTGGGGGAACCTCCGTGATGCTTCCATGGTTGCATTGGGCCGTTAACTTGCGACATACAGATATGCCGAGCTTCAACCCGTCGGCATGGGCGCGTTCGGCCTCGTCTGGTACGTGTATAGAGAGGCGTATCCGGTCCGCTCGGGCTACTGACATCCGTCGCAGCTCGGCAAAGGATCAGCTCACCGGTCAAGCCGTTGCCGTGAAGAAGATCATGAAGCCCTTCAGCACTCCCGTGCTCGCCAAGAGAACATATCGCGAGCTGAAGTTGCTCAAACACCTCAAACATGAGAATGTGTGTGCCCCTCCATCCGTGCGCGGGGCACCCGTCTAACGCCTTGTCAGATCATCAGTCTTAGCGATATCTTCATTTCCCCCCTCGAGGACATGTTAGTCTCTTCCTTACGTCCAATCTTTGTCTTGTACTGATTCCGTGCGAAGCTACTTCGTCACCGAATTGCTCGGAACTGACCTTCATCGCCTCCTCACCTCGAGACCGCTCGAGAAGCAGTTCATCCAATACTTCCTGTACCAGATTCTAGTAGGCCTACACAACTTCGTACACAAAGTTTCAAAAGCGCAGATCCTGACATGCAAATAGCGAGGCTTGAAATATGTTCATTCTGCTGGCGTCATTCACCGCGACCTCAAACCCAGCAATATCCTTGTGAACGAGAATTGCGATCTCAAGATCTGCGACTTCGGTTTGGCGCGTATTCAAGATCCGCAAATGACTGGCTACGTGTCGACGCGATACTATCGTGCCCCCGAAATCATGCTCACCTGGCAGAAGTACGACGTAGAAGTTGATATCTGGAGCGCGGGTTGTATCTTTGCAGAAATGCTTGAAGGAAAGCCACTTTTCCCCGGCAAGGATCACGTCAATCAATTCTCCATCATCACGGACTTGCTTGGAACGCCTCCAGATGATGTGATTCAGACCATATGCAGCGAGAATGTGAGTAAGGACGCCGCGTTGAGCTTGATGCATCTAGTCTGACGAAATCTAGACTCTCCGTTTTGTTCAGTCGTTGCCTAAGCGCGAAAGGCAACCGCTCTCGTCGAAATTCAAGAATGCAGACGAGCTGGCGGTGGATATGCTCGAGAAGATGCTCGTCTTTAACCCAAAGCAGCGCATAGATGCGACAGGAGCTTTGGCACATCCATACTTGGCGCCGTACCACGACCCTACCGACGAGCCTGTGGCCGATGAGAAATTCGATTGGTCGTTTAATGATGCGGATTTGCCCGTTGATACCTGGAAGATCATGATGTGTGTTACTTCCCAGGAACATGCTCGTCTTGTCAATCAGCTAAATTTTATCACAGGTACTCGGAGATTCTGGATTTCCACAACGTAGATGCGCAAGCCCAGGAAGGCGTAGAGACAGCTGAGAATGTGAGCTAAACTAATGAGGAGCCATCCCGCAACTAGGGAAGAGCTCAGGCTCCAGGGTTAATGATAAGACGTGCATCAAGGTGTTCAGTGGTCACAGCTTTTTGGATGACGAGAGGCAGGCAGCATCCAATCCAGCGAAGCGTAAATGAACGGTAGAGCAAGAAGGAGCACGATAGGTTGCAAGCTGGACGGCTTTATGGTCTTTTTTGGATTTGAAGGAAAATGAGTGAAATTTTTCGGTAGCAGTCTTCGACCATGACTCCCGAACGTCCATGAATTCAATACATAGAGAATGGTGTCTTTCTTAAACATTACCCGACAGCGTGACACGACTTCTGGCTGCTCATGCAGAAGAGAACGCCACCCAGCCGTAAGTGTTCTTCATGCCACTCTCAAAGCGGTGTGTGCACCGCCAATCAGTGATCCAAAAAGGGATTAGCCTCACGTCGAGCGATCGTGGACCAGGGCCTACCTCTACCCCAGCGTATCGGAAACTCGAACGGGCTATTTTTCAGAGGAATGCTTTCAGAAACGCAGTGCGCATACCACTCTCACCTTCTCTCTCCCCACCCTTTACATATCCATACCCAACCTCTCCGCACCTGCACGCCATGACCTCGAAACCCTGTGCCGCATTCGAGCCGATTGTATGCGTTGTCGACTTCCACCATGCCAGGTACGTAGCGATGCGTTGGCAACGCCACCCACGTTCGTTCGTGCGTCGCCAGCTAACAGACGGGCGCCGCTTCGCAGAGGACCCGAGGTAGAGACGTGGATTGGCGTCAAGGAGGGCGAGGATCCCGCCGCGGAGAACGACTGGTCGTCCATCCTGCCCTTTCTCGCGCTCGCGGACGGCGCGCACTCGTGAGGCTTTCCCTCTCCCCCTCGCTGGGCACGGGTCCCGGCCTCGTGAATCGTGTGCTGAGAGCTGGTTGCAAACCCCAGGTCCACGGAAGACTTCTCGTACTTCACCCTGCGACTCAAGAAGACGGACAGGAGACCGGCCTCGTCGTTGTTCGGCATATCATGCACGCGCCAGATCGACTCGTCGTCGCTCATAAACCGCCCGCCGGACGTGACGCGGTCGACGAAGCAGAAAGCCGTGGTCGTCATATGTGACTCGCCCCAATACTTCGGACAGCTCAAGGAGAAGCTCTCGATCATAACGAAGGCGTGGTTCGCGCAGAGGGACTTCACGGACATGACCGTGTTGCAAGAGTTCCAAGAGAGCCTTGCGAAGAGCTTCAAGGAGCAGGAGGGGGAAGGTTCAGACGGCTTTTTCGGCCTAGGCCTGAGGGAGCTCATCCACGAGTACAAGCATCAGATTTTGGTGCTGTTCAAATGCTTGCTGTTGCAGCCCAAGGTACGGCTTCTTCGCGCTAGACCGGCCAAAGGATCAGATCGCTAACGCCATCCGAACAGATGCTTTTTTTCGGAACGAATTGCGAGAGACTGTGCATGATCCAGTTCTCCCTTATTTCCCTGATTCCGGGCCTGATACGACATCTCCAGGATTGCGCAGATCCGGCCTTCAACGCGTACGAGGAGCATTTGGTCAAACCTACGAGCCTCAGAACCAGCGAACGCGCTTCGCTCCTTTCCTACGTCGGACTGCCTCTCCAGATATTTGGCAAAGGCTCCCTCTTCGGTCCCTACACCCCACTTCAACAGCTGGATATCCTTGCGGACCACGACACAAAATCCTACGTCGTGGGAAGTACAAACTCGCTTCTGCTGGACCAGAAGGAAAGATACTCGGACATCTTCATAAATCTTGACGAGGGTACGATTACGTTCTCGAATCAGCAGCTGCGGGCGGCGTTAGCGTTGACGGTTCCCGATCGGCGGTGGATAGACTTTTTAACGCAAACAGTTAACGACACTTGGGACGAATCGAATCCGGGAAGGCCGAATACGCTGGGATATGCAGGCAGTGAGGAGTTTATACGTCTGCAATTTGAGGAGTACCTGCTCGCACTGCTGTCTGCGGTCAAGTACAGACAGTACGTCGAGAAGCACAAAGACGATCCCAAGGCTTTGTTGCACGAAGTCGAAGGTGACCCTGCGAATGAGTTTGGAGCGGAGTGGGTGAAGGCCTGGATGGCGACGGAAAATTACAGGGTGTTCGACAAGTTCACAGACATCCATATCTTCGACATCGTCGAGCCCAATCACCCATGTACGGGTGGATTGACGATTGAAGACATTCAGCGTCGCTTAGCAGCTCAGGTGGCTGAACTACATCTTGATGAGCGCCTCAACTCCAGCCGGGAGGTTATCGGAAAGCACCTGGCTACAGGACAGGCTAGAGTGAGTGAGGCGTTCAACAATCTTTGGGCAGATATCGAAAAGAAGAGAGGGGAGCAGCGGAAAAGGGCAGCAGAACGTAGAGCTGCTGGTGACTCCGACGGCGACTCCGATGGCAATGGGAAAGCAGCGAATGGCATAAGATATCCACGAGCACCGGATTTGACCCAAGCACAGGCAGCTGTGCAAGCAGCCGGTCAGAGAGCAGGTGCTTATTTCTCTTCCTGGAGCAAATGGGCTTCGGAGAAGAGGCAGCAGGGCTGGGGGAGGAGCGTGAGCCAGGAGCCAAATGCCAAGCGAATGTCGATGGTTGACAAGTCGAAGAATGAGAAAGACACCACAGTTGCGACGCCCGCGGCAACGGACATGTCAGAGAAAAAGGAGGGGCCAAAATCCACCCAGAAACAACTACGCGAGATTTCAACTAGGACTTCTCAGGAGACATCTGTTTCTACAAGAACGTCAGCTGAGACGAAGACTGATGTGCCAGTCGAAACCAAAGTCGAGGGTAACGACACAAGTTAGAAGATTCGTGAAATCAATCGTCCGTCCTTGCCCCGAGTCATGATGTTGGTCATCAGCTTCTTGCTTGCCGCCTTCTATCAGAGTTTCACAGCCCGTTCTCCATTCCTGCACAATTGACGATAGTTTGTCTTTTGGCTTGTGTGCGCGTCGCTCAACAAAATCATTTGCAAAGCAATTTTGCGTAGGGCAAGCTCAGTAAACTCGTCGAAGACCAGAAAGACGTCAAGTCGAGCATGGGAAGACAACACGTTTGTGCACCTAGCTATCAGCGCCCTCGCGAACAGATGAGGGGTCAAAGAATGTTGGTATACGTCGAGCAAGGGGCTGAGAGAAAAGAAAAATAAAATAAAAGCCGGTTCCACACGTGCTGGAGGAGTACGTTGATGAATGTTTCAATGCGATGCTTGTCGACGTGACTCGTGTGTATTGAGAGCTGTAAGTAGTATCTAAAAGTAGCAAATGATGCGGCTTCATCGTAACAACGGTGTGCTCTCGTGCGCAACATGCTCGTCTCGTTCCCTCTGCAGCGCAGACTTAACATAGAAGATTGTCCAAACGGCCATTAGACCCGCCAATGGAAATGGACCAGCCCATCCGACAGCATAAACACTCATTTTGGGCAACGTGAAGATGAGGGCCGTAAAAGCAGCAGCACACGCGTAGAAGTACACCATCCACGCCACGCTGACGTTCCAGATCATGGCACGGAAGGCTGGACTGTCGTTGTAGCGTGCACCAAAAGCTTTGCGATACTCGATTCCACCACCGCCGTCAACGGCGACGACGTCCTCGACGATGTAATACACTGCTGGCCGCAGCACGTTGCCGGCATCCAGGCTGCCGAAGCGAAAGGGCAACCTCACCTCGAGGTAGTTGAGGATCAAGGAAACAAAGGTGAGAGTGGCCACGAGGTACATGAGGACTGCCGCGGGCAGGGACATCAGGCGGATTTGGAACTCGTGGCCATCATGATCCTCGTCGTCCCTTGCAAGCGTGGACGTGATGAGCGAGGCGATGGAGACGAGAACGACGAAGTAGCCCCACTGGAACACGTCTAGAGCGTAGCGCGGCGCGTTCAACGGGCGGTACTCGGGCGACGGGCGGACCAGTTTCCAGACGCGCTCGACGACGGCGAGCGCTGTGAAGATGCCGAGGATGGCGGTTGGAAGCGTGAGGACTGCGCCGCACGTTAGCTATCGGCCTCGATGTCTCTCTCTCTCTCTCTCTCTCTCTCTCTCTCTCTCTCTCTCTCTCTCTCTGTGGTGGGCATCGCTCAAGACGTACCAAACAAACGATCCAACTCTGGCCTCCCGTACCATAGGCCGTAGAACAAACCCAGATTGAGGAAAATGGGCGGCACGAGGATGACGGTCCAAGCGATCGCAATGGACGCGTACCGGCTGTGGAGTGTGTACGGCAAATCGACAGCCATCGTTTGAGACTCCGGACCATCGGAAGGGCAAGGTCTAACTGAATACTCTACTGCTGGCGATTCGTATAGCAGTACATATCCTGCGGCTGCCCAGCCGCCAGATGAACAGGATCAGGCAGCGACGGCCCTGAGTCGGCTATACGCCTGGTTGAGTTGACTTTTGAAAAGTTTGGAAACATTGCATCATCTCTTCTTCTGAACTGTACAAACTACAGGTAGATTGAGCTTGTTTAGTCACCGCACAACTTTGTTCGGCCATTATAGAATCTCGGCATCTGTTCGCCGACGTTCACCTAGCATGGAGCCGAATCTATTTCTCTCGACGTAAATTTGTGTCATGTGGCCCAGGACCGAAGTCAAGACTGCTGAAAATCAATTCAGATCAAAATTCAGCGTATAGATTACAAACTTTGCAGCATTCTTGTCTATCCAATCATATACTTTTCAGATGCTGAAAATTTGCTTTTTTACGCTTGATCCCGGTGCAGACATAGGATATGGAAACGGAAACTTGAAATATGCTTTCGTCCTTCATCAAGCGAGGACAGCTCAGTTAAGGAAGTAGGATGGACATTGGCGAATTCTTCGTTCAAGCAACCTTCGAAATGGACATAATAAGCACCATTTGCAGAAAATAACAAAGGTTTTTGGCCGACCTCGGTTCATGTCATGAGAAAGTGTCACAAAAATTAAGAACTGAGACATTGGGAGACAAGGCTGGCCTCTCTTTGAAATCTACAAAATTCATTTTCGTAGTAAGTAGTGCTTTCTGAAGTTCGAGGATGTTTTTGACAATTTCAAAGGTTAGTGACAGGCCAAAGATTGTCCGATTGAATTTGTGCCCAGGGCAGCTCAGAGATTGAAAATAGTCAGATTCAAGAAAATTGCTCAATTCATCCCCCCCCCCCCCCCAACTCCTGGCCGCCAAACACGAACCTGTCCGGGTAAATTGCAAACCAAAGCTGTAGTAAGCGAGAGTTGATCATTTGCACTGTCTAGACACCTGCATATGATCTTGTTGGTCATAACATCGCAGTTACCCATAGCCCAAACAGTAGTCTAAGAGACCATTATCAAGTCGAAGAGCAGTCCATCAATAGCACCTATTGCCGAAAATCGTGTAGGCTCTTCCAGTCTGTTCATGGTCTTGAGATGCAACATGCAAGTGCGAGCTCTCAAGCGATGCGAGCTTCTTGTGTACAAATTCTCAGCTTAGGTCAAATCTATGAAAGGGCATAAAGCCAATCAGCTGACTGGACACTCGATCGATGCTTCAGCAACAGGTCGACATAGTTGGTTCTAAAAAAAAAGGAAGGATCACAGTAGAAACTGAATCCTCTAACATTGCAGTTTCAATACGTCAGCACCTCTGTCAGTCTCCAGCATGAGTTCTTGCGGTGTACTGGCCGGTCTTCGGCTATTCTCATTTTCTCATTACCCGTTCGGGATTGTTCCCCATACAAAATATTTGCCTTTTAGACACGGTTGTGTTTGCACCATTTGATAACGCGTGATAACGCGTGAACGTCGTAACGTCAGCGGTACACCATCGCGCTGTGGCATGGTGTGGAAAGCCTCTGTAGGACAGTCTTCGCACGTAAGAAGCCTTCAAGTGACTGCATTGTGCAGCTGCGACTCATTCAGAAATACCCGACTTTAAATATAAAGACTAGTTCCCGAGCTATTGATCCTTTAACGTGCAAACAAGCGTTGGTGTCGCCCACAAACGGCCCCCTCACTTGTTGTCGGTGTTGACCCCGTTGTCGCAGGCGTTAAACGACGAGTGCCGACCAATGCGATACAGCGAAATGATGACAAGAGGCTTGACTTCTACAAAAAAAAAAGTCGCGTGCAACAGAGACACGGCGTAAAGATGATCGGAAGGTTGGCTCCATTGCTGGAGCTTCGTGGAGAGGGGCCATGGGACTCGCAGCCTATCAGAAGGAGTTTACTGAGGCTGCACGGCGTAGCGACTGCCTCTTGGTTGCGACGCGCCTGCCACATCAAAATTCTCGAGTTTGCGTGACTTGCTTTTTTCCCCTTCGGGTCGCGGAAGGTGCATTGGCGCCTCGCACGCAAAAAATTTGGCAAACGTGGTGAGACCAGGCTGAACGAGGCCAGATCACGTGACGTCTGCAAAATGACTGGTTGGCAGTTCATGGCCAACATAGAAGCCACGGACTGGCTCCTGTGACGTGGATTTTGTATCTGCACATGCAAGATCATGCTTGAATGAAAGATCGTGTACATTTGGCGGGCGTCATCACGAGTGCCAACGCGTCAGCGGTCAGCACCGAAGTCGTCCGACAGGTTTTTCATGGCTGCAGTAGCTAGCGGGACGACGGAATCATCGATCAAGATTTTCACGGGCTTCAAACCAATTGAAGGTAAAAAAAAGGGCAGAGCGCGTTTCAAGTGCACCGTCAGACGCGACTTTGACGTGAAGCTCGCCTAGCTTCGCGGAAGGGAGGTTGGGATTTGCAGCGTCACGAGTGGAGGACTGTGTGTCTGTGTGTGTGAAGCGATGCCGAGGACGGGAGGGGGCCACGCCGCAGCATCTTAGCACGCAAAATGGCTCAACCTCTGGCGTTTTCGTGCAGAAGAAACGCGCGTGGAACAGGAAGCTGAATAGTTAGCTTCGATTGCTTGCATGCCGAGTTTGCAAGAGGCGTAGCAAATAAATGATGGCCGTGGCGGTAGCAGAATGGAGGGACGATGCCGTCAACCACCTGGACAGCGGCAACCGCTCGCGGACTGGCTCTGTGATACGAACACGCCCAAGAGCCAATGTAAAGGTTCGGATTCTAGGTGACCGCCTCAGAGATTGACAAGCTCGTCTGACGAATTGCAACGCAATAAGAGTCAGGTGGAGACTCTGTGTGCAAAGTCGGCAAATGGCGTGAATTGAGCGGCCGGGCTTGCCCTTGTTCAGCTGGAGCTCAGACGTGCGCTCCCGGCATACTACGTGACGCGCTTCTGCTGCGAGCAAGCACACACCTCAAGACCTCACACAAAAGTCTCAATCTTACGCCAGAATTCCTCTCACACCCGTGTCATTCTTCTCCTTTCCCATCCTCGCTCTCCCACTTGGCTCGAGAGATGGCTCTTTGAGCGTTTGCCAGAACGAGCACGCCGTCTGCACGTTTCGCCTGCCGCTCGCGAAACACGCCTTTTTGATGCTTGAGGCTTGCGTGCCTCGCTCGCGTGTCAACATTGTATCGACCCATCAGAAGACCACATCCTCGGTCAATTGAGCGCCATGGACTCTTCTCCTTCTGCTAATCAGATTGCCCAAGCAAACGCGTCCGCCATGTCGCCGACGCGGCAGCCGTCACGTCCAACCACGTCGCGGCAGCCCTCTCTCCTTCCTGCCTTTGAGCCTTTGTCCTCATCCCCACCAGTCCAGTCGAACAAACGCAAATTTCGAGACCTTGAAGAGTCCGTGAAGCATTACCCCACCCCGATTCCCACGTCTTCGACGGGAATCCTACCCTCGTCCCCACCAAACCGCCCTTCCTTCCAGCGAACTTTATCGACGCTATCAGAACGTGCACCACTAGGCGACCTGCCTTCAGTCGAACTCCCCGCTAATGGCGATGTCATACGCTTTGGCCGTTCGAGCAACTCGTCTCAGTACCAGCTGCCATACAACCGGCACATTTCACGCGTTCATGTCACTGCCAACTACGAGGCCCCGAACGTTCAAAACGCGTCTGGCAGAATAGTGGTCAAGTGCTTAGGCTGGAACGGGGCCAAAATTAGGTGTGGAGGCGCGGTGCATCAGCTTGAAAAGGGCGATTCTTGGGTGTCAACACAGCCTTTGGCAGAAATCATGCTCGATGTCTTGGATTGTCGTGTCATGATAAAGTGGCCAGATACACAGGAAAAACAGACCGGCAGGGAGACGCCGCATATCGAAAATTGGCCAGAGGAGTCTCCTCGACGCGTTCTTGCCGGTCTAGGAGACGACGTTATGCCTTCAAGCCCTCCAGCTATGATCCCTCGCTCGCCTGTCTCCCCTTCACCGGCACAAACAGCCCTTGCAGGAACTACTGGTCTAGTGACAGCAACAAACGAGTTGCAAGAATCGCACCAGACAACTGTCGAGGTGTACGAAGACCCGAACTCCGACCACGTGCAGGAATCAACAGAGCTATCTACCAAAGCCTCGACTGTAAAGCAAGTGTTGCAAGAGAAGGTATCTAGCTCAAGTTTGTCGTCATTGAGCGCAGACGGTCTCTCTGACCAAGAGAACGAGGAAAATGACCCTATCGTGCACTCATTTGGCCCGTTCGGATCAAACCTGATCAACCGTCTGAATTCTTTCTCGCACACGTCTCCCCGTCCGCGTCAACCTCATAATCGCAAGCGTCCGCTCCGGGAAGCGTCGAAATCGCCAAAACGCGAAGTTTCGTCGTCTGTGTCGCGAAAAAACAGCACAGAAATTTTCATCAAGGTGCAGGAAAGTCCCATTAAAAACCATGTCATAAACCAGCTTGCGTTCTCACGCATCCATGCGATCCCTCTGTCCACAATTCACAGCAACCTGCCGGCTGAGCTACGTACTTGCGCGACTGCCACGAATCCGAATGCGTCACTGCCTACATCGGAGCTGGAACGCTTGTTGCATTCACTACCGTGTGTTGGCGAGATTACAAGAGAAGGTAAGGATGCGGCTGGAAAGCCATTGGAGAACGAGTTTTACTACGTTCCTGAGATGGACGACAATACTATGCGTAGGGAAGCTGTTCTTGGTAGCCGTGGAGGCACTGGTCTGCGTGCCGTTAGAAAGAACCACAAGGTATTCCAACCCGAATTTTTTTATAGCACATGAAAGCTCACAATAACAGCAATACTACTGGAAAAAGCCACGCGTCTAGTCGCGACGCGTCAACCCGAAAAAAATTTCCCCACAAACTTGACCACCAATACAATGACCCTACTTGCGAATAGACGTGTAACCACGAGGTCGCACTGAGATACCGCGTTTGAATTTTGCATTGTATATCATAGCCCCTTTTTTAAGCATGGCGTTGGGCATTAGATGGGCCAAGGCATGCGCCAAAAATGCGCATGTATAGCCCTCACAAATTCGTATACTTCACATCGTTTCTGCATTTGAACCCATTGTTCTCCTACAAAAATAGCGCAAGAATTGAGTTTATGGGCTGCAATAGGCAAAAAGCTTTTGAGGCATGAGTTGGGCGACTCGCAATACGCTGCGTGTAAAGTGTTTTCACGAGAGTTGTGAGCCTGGAGCGTATGACGAGAGATGGCAGCGCGAGGGTGCGTCATCACTGGATAAGCTGAAACATGTATCATTAGCAGTGTCTATCGAAAGAGCTGAAATCTGCAAACTTTGAATATCAACCGGCCGTGACAGCATGTTGTGCTCTCTTAGTGTTTGAGGATTTTGACAAGGCTGAGAGGGAATGGAATAAGGCTGAGTGCCTGAAGCAGGCATTAAGGCAATAAAGTTGTGGGTGCTTGAACTGGAAGCGTGCTAACACCCTAGCGCGATAAGCAAGAAAGTTCGTATATCCTCCGGCCAGAAGTCTATATTCCACTGTTGAGATAGCGTCCACAAAGTCAGGGATTTTAAACTATCCTTGATGGGAATAGATGACTCTAAATGCTTAACAAGCGTTCCTGCGAATGATGTTCCCTGATCATCTGGAAAACCATGGGGTAGCTCACGCTTTGCGAACCCAAAAAATCTAGGAAGTTCCCGGCCGCGTTCTTGAAGCATGCAACATTACTGTTCCTCATCTTCTTCGCCTTCGCCTTCGCTCTCGTCCTGCTCTTCCGCGTCTACAAACCCTCCGCCACCCCTCACGTTCTCATCATCACTTTCTTCATCTAGCTTCGCACGCTTGGCCTCCTGGGCCTTTCTCCCTTCTTCAAGAACCTTCTCCTTCTGTTCACGCACTTTCCTCTGGCCCACCACAAAAGCCCCCAGAGGTGTCTTCTCCCATTCAGTATCCTTTAAGAAGCCTTCTATGCCCGCCCGATTTCCTGGGGCAAACTCCACCTTTGCACGCTTCTCTTCTATGAATCGTGAATTCGACTCGATCTTTTGGAGAACCAGCTTGAGAGCTGAATTCAGCTTATGGTTGCGGTTCCCGCTGCGATCACCGCCGGCATCGCGCAACCAACGCTTGATGATGACGATGAGTGGAAGCGCAAGCTCAGGAAAAGCAATGTTTCGGCACCAGAGAACGAGGAATTCGCTAAGAAATTCGCATACTTGTTCACCGAGGCCATCTTGGTAGACTCTTGTCTTCAGGTATTGTTTTGGCGCGCGAATGTTGGTCTTGAAGTCAAGAGGCCGGAGCGTACTTTGCTTGGGCGGCTTTCGCAACTCATTCGATTGCAGAACCTCGTAGAGCGCTGGTCCAAGGGGAATGTAAGTTGTTGTTGCACGACTCAAACGCAGGAGGGAGTGCATAAGTTGAAAGCGAAGAGGGAAATACTGGCTTGTCGGAATGAGACGCATAGCTCCAATAGTAATTTGTACAGTAGGGTATATGAGAGGACGGAGAGGACTTTCCTTTCCGGACTCTGCTTCTTTGATCGAAGCGCAGTGCTCGCTCAAAACCCGGGACCAGAAATCGAGACTGTGCACGTACTGCCAGTTGTATATTGTCTTGTACGAGTCCGAGGTAGGATTCGTGATGGTTGATCTGAGGTGGATGGCAAGTTGGCGGATAAAAGTGAAGCCTGTTGTGTATCCAATCTTTGAATCCAAACCCCAAAGCTCGGCCGCGGAATTCTTCATCAGATTCACCCCCGCTATGGTGTGCGGAGTGGTATTCCGTGAGCCTCGAACCAAGCCTTGGTAAACGCTCTTCAAGACAGCCTCTCGCAAACCTGCGTCGCCAATCACCATAAGACGTCGCAGGACAAGAAAGGCTGAGATTCGTGTTGCTTCATCACTTGTCGTAGATGACCAAGTCGCTGTAATAGTCTTGATCAGATTGCGAACAACAGGTTTAAATGAGAGAATGTATGGGAGGAGTGGTAGTATGGAGGATAAGGTCAATCGAAGAGTTGCCGAATCAGAAAGACCCTGTAATAGATGGTGGACTGATGTTATGTGAGATTTGAGCATAGGCGCCATGGTTCTGAATTTTTTGGAGTCGGTTGGGAGAGAGCTATTACAAGTTAGCAGAAGCGTTCACCTTCATGCTGGTGAGACGTACACTTTGCCATTCGCGTGCTCTTTAACTGGTAGATGGTGGTGCAAAACTGTCGGCGCATGTTTCAAAGCGATCATGAGAAGACTGTGATACACTGTACAAAGTCAGGACGGACCAATGCGTAGTTTCCTCGAGACATACCATCTGGGTTTGACACCCTGTACTTGTATGATTTACCTGTCTCTTCATTCAGATGTGCCGCTGCTCTGAATGCCAGAACGACCTCCCTCAACGCTCTTAATGACTTTGTTTCAACCATAGCTTTTTCCCACTTATTTATCATGGCTTTTGTGACCTCGCTGTTGCTTGGCTCATTTTCGTCCTCGCTATCTGAAGCTGAGCCCTTCGCTGTTTTCCGTTTCTTCTTTGGCGTATCTTCATCGTCGCTGAGCAAATCGATTTCAGCCAAATCAGCATCCTCGAAGTCCAACAGTTCGGGATCGTTTTCTTTCATATACTCGTAGAATTCCGGATCTTTCTTCTTTAAATCTTCGAGCTGCTGCTTGTGATCGCCAATATCCGCTTCCGACTCGTCATCAGATGCAGAAGAATAAGCTACAGGGAAGGATTCCACAGAGTCTGTAGAAGAAGAGTCACTGTCGTTGTCGTCCTCGTCGTCATTGTCGTCAGTTGCGCTGGTACGCTTGCGTTTGCCCGTCGTCGGTGCATTCTTAGATTTGGTGGTTCTTTTTTCGCTCAATTGTTCCGGTATTTCGAATCCACCTTGAAAGAACTCATCCACTGTCATCTCCTTGAATTTCTCGCCATTGATATCATTGATCCTCTTCTCGGGCTTCTCTGCTTCTTCGCCTTCCTTCTCTTTCGCTCGGCGGGCCTTTTGCTTTTCTTTGATCTGTTTCTTCTGCTTGATCTTTGCAACCTCTTTCCGACGTTGTAATGTTTCTTTGAGATGTCTTTTCTCAAACTTTTTGGTTGCTTTAGTTTGCGCCATGTTGGCTGTTGGAGATGGCTTGATCTTGCGCAAATCTGAGAAATATTTTAGCGAAGCGACTGGACCCTGCCGCCAAGCAGACAGGGATTATCGGAGCTGTGTCATGCTTGCGACTGAGCTTCACTGAAGACTGCACTTCTACATGTTACTCGTTTCAAGACTCTGGACTTTACTGCTCGTTCGGCTGCACAATAATTGTTTTCTGATCCAATGTATCCACCTCAGCGACAGCTGGCGTACGCGCCGACGCCGTATTCTTACACTCCCTCCTCGCTTTCCGCAACGATTAATCTAGACGAAGTATGCTTGTGAGCGGAAGGGAATGTTACGAATGATAACAACGGCTTTAGGAAGTCAAAGTCGCCTCTAACAATTCTGAGCGAGAATTATACGAGTCCCTGGCGGAGCTATATAGCATCATCGTTACTCTAGACGCAATTGAGAAGGCGTACCTCAAGGACTCGATATCCGAGGAAGACTATGCAGAGACATGCGGACGGCTGTTGAAGCAATACAAGTCTCATTTACAGGACGAGAACATCTCAAAGAACTTTGGCGACTTGGAGACGTTCATGCGCAAATGGGATGTGAGTTTGGCAATCACTGCAGCGTCGCCTAGGTCCATTCGTAACTAACATTTTGCGCAGATAGAATGTCCCCGAGCAAGGGAAAGAATACGCATAGGACTAGTTGAGCAGAGTACTACGCGTCCAGCAGCAGCGTCTGGATCTGAGGCAAATACGGCGCTAGTCATGACCGCGACCGAAAACTTCATCACGCTCCTCGATGCTATCAAGATTGGCATGGTGGAGAAGGACATGCTGCATCCACTTCTAGTTGATGTGATTCAGTCAGTGAACAAGGTTACGGATGTTGAATTTGATAGCAAGAGTGAGATTGTGAAGTGGCTAATCAAACTCAATCAAATGGGCGCCGCGGAGAAGCTCAGCTCCGAAGATCAACGCCAGTTCCAATTTGATATGGACCAAGCGTATAAGGGCTTTAAGAAGAGCATATGAGCAGTATAACTGACTATATGTTCTGCGATTTTGTCGTGTGCTGTTACTCTCGAACTTGGTTCGGCTTTAAGTCGGCGTTAAGCTGACCATCTTTTCTTCGCCCACCACTTGACCACTTACACCAAATTTCAGTGCAAATGCTCGACTCAGGAACGTTGACAGAATCTTTTGTCAACGTATTGCACGGTACGTCATAACAACTGCACTAGAAGTAATCACTAAACATGAAAAGTGTTCGACTTGCCGCAGCTGCACAACAAACCTTCCGTTTCAGAGTTGCACCAAGCCCTCAAGCTCCTCGCGATCGAAACACCATCATGGGAGAAAGGTAGCCAAAATATAGGCAGGGGGGCCTTCAACATTCAGCAAAGATGCCGAGTTGCACCAGAAGGCGTGCCGAAATACCTCACGTCTATAATTGCAAGTCCATTAAACTGGATCCAAAATGAGGAGCAAAAGGTGGCTATCTGGGAAGAGGCAAGTCTTAGACTTGCAGAGAGGTCTGGTAGAACTGCTATGCCGGCGATTTCACGAACTTTCATAATACCCAAGAAGGATGGTGGAGACTTCGAGCTTCAGATTTACGAGCCGTCCATTACGGGAGATAGTCTTGGTCTCAAGACCTGGGCCGCTTCATACCTTTTGTCGAAGCGGCTTCACGCTATCAATATTCATAGACTAGATGATGGACCATTGCGCATCCTTGAGTTGGGTTCGGGGACGGGTTTGGTGGGAATGGCTGCGGCTGCCATACTCGGCGCGGAAGTGATTCTCACAGATCTGCCAGACATCGAAGGGAATCTGGCGCGCAATGTTAAGCAGAATGAAGTTGTTATTCAACAACACTCCGGTGTGGCAAGAACTGCAGTCCTCGATTGGACACAGCCCGAATGCATCATCTCATCGAAAATCAGCGTATCGACGGACTCGAACTCTGGCCTCGACAGCGCGACCAAGATTGACAAATTTCCCGTCATAGTCGCAGCCGACTCTATCTATTCGGCCGAGCATCCGCGTATGCTCGTAAACACCGTGAAGTCTTGGCTTGCCGCCGGTTCTGCGTCACGGGTCATAGTCGAGCTCCCGATTCGAGACGGCTATTGCGCCGAGATCAATGAATTCCGGCAAGGAATGCTCAGAATCGGGCTTGAAGTGCTCGAAGACGGTGAAGAGACAGGTTACGATGATTGGGGAGGCAGTTCGGAGGACGAACTGCAGGAAGTGAAGTGCTGGTGGTCGATTTGGGCATGGGAGAGGAAACTGCCAAATTAAAATAGAATTAGATCGTATAGAAGGAATAGAGGATTTCTTGACGTTTTGACCTCAAGAGTCTCTACTGCTGTGTTGAATTTTGCCCCTCTTTCAAGACCGGTAGATCTACCACCGAAAGGGACCCTTGCATTGGTGCGTAAATAGCACGCTGACATCAAATGCTAGGCGATATTCGATGACCCCGTTGCAACGTAGTATTTTTTTTCCCAAAGGGAAACCCTTTTGACTTTCTGTTAGCAATTCGTTCAAGAACTTTTCCGTCGGCAGATTTTTTATTTCTTCATTTATTTCTAATACGACGCAAAAATGGGCGTGGTAAGTGCAATCCACAGGAAAAAGGTCTCTCCGAAACGAGAAGCTACCCCGCGCGAATCGCATGCTGGTTGAGCTTTTTGCAAACGGGATATTCCACCCTCTTCAGGATTCTTGCAAGCTTTGGCTGTTGCGTCCTCACGAAGTATTGCGGAGTGGGCAACGCTAATTGGGTGTCTCAGCAAGGCCAAAACCCGTCGTTCGTGCTGCAGAAGCAGGATGAGTTCAAGTTCGAAGACCGGCCCGTTCCCACGTTGGACGACGATCCGCACGATGTCCTCATCGAAGTAAAGTATACGGGTATCTGCGGCAGCGACGTACGTTTCTTGACTGCACCGCGTTTGTCTCCGTCGTTGCTGATAAGGCATGTCAGGTCCACTACTGGACACACGGCCGCATTGGTTCCTATGTCGTTGAAGGCCCGATGACGCTCGGCCACGAATCCGCCGGCATCGTTCACAGCGTTGGCAGCCACGTCAAGACGCTGAAGCCGGGCGACCACGTGGCGATGGAACCCGGTGTACCGTGCCGGCGCTGCGTGCGCTGCAAGTCCGGATTCTACAACTTGTGTCCTGACATGCGGTTCGCTGCCACGCCACCCATCGACGGGACTCTCACGCGGTACTATAAGCTCCCGGAGGACTTTTGCTACAAGTTACCCCACGGCATGACGCTGCAGGAAGGCGCCTTAATGGAGCCTACAGCAGTGGCGGTTCATGTGTGTAAGCAGGCAGAGGTCAAGCTGAAGGATACGCTCGTCGTGTTTGGCGCCGGCCCGGTCGGTTTGCTCTCGTGTGCTGTGGGCAAGGCCTTCGGTGCGTCCAAGGTCATTTGCGTTGATATCAATGAGGAGCGTCTGAAGTTCGCAAAGGAGTATGCAGCAACGGGAGTATATCAGAGCCAACGCATCCCGGCCGAAGAGAACGCGCGGAACATCATTGACCAGTTCGGCCTTGGAGAGGGTGCCGACTGTGTAATTGACGCTACAGGCGCGGAGCCGTGCATACAGACATGCGTTCACGTTCTTCGGAAGGGCGGCACGTATTGTCAAGCGGGCATGGTAGGTTCTCCCCTCTTCCCCACCCCGCAAATCCCCTAGCCCTGTCAAGCATCAAGATTGTAACGGCATTTCGGATAGCAAGCTCACAAAGCGACTCAGGGTCCCTCCGACATTACCTTTCCGATTGGCGCGCTATGCGGCAAAGAGCTCACCGTGAGAGGATCCTTCCGCTACAAGAGTGGTGACTATGCCGTTGCGCTCGATCTCGTGTCTTCAGGTAAACTCAACGTCAAACCGCTTATCTCGAAGACGGTCGCGTTCGAGGAGGCCGAACAGGCTTTCCATGACGTCAAGGCTGCAAGGGGGATTAAAATACTGATCGAGGGACCTGTTGTTCCATGAACGTGGGTTTTAGGAACCGGGGGAAAAAACCGGGCGGGTGGACGGATGTTGTTAGATTCAATAAACCATCATCCAGTAGCATGGATGTCGTAGTCTTGTCCGTCATGGTTTGAACCTCAGGACCCTGCATTCAGTTGCCTTACTCTGTCAAAGGAAGATTTCACATCCATTCTTCTTGTTGCAGCAGCCGTACTTTTTTCGTAAACCTGGTGATTCTTCCATTTCCGAGCCCGACTGTTTCAGGACGGAACGTTTAAGTGATAGTTTTGTCCTCAGTGGCTCGAGCGTTCAGCCACCTACGACGTTATCTTAGAGCCTTGCCAGCTTCTGCATGAAGTTGGTTCACGACGATCCAAATTTGTATGCTCGCTGTGTTTGCTGCGCGTTTGAGGGGGTGCGGCCATACGCCGCACCACTGGGGTCGAACTACGATGGCACTTGATGCATGTCCTGGAAGCGTAATGAAAAACCTTAAAATCACGGCTATGCCAATGTTATACGGCGATATACGGAAAAGAACATTAGACGAAGGGATAAAGGTAAAGGAGGAACACCTTTACAAGCACAGGTACCATTCAAGATGTCTAAGCAGCTCGTTTACAGCAGTAGCGGCCGTCGTTGACTGTCTGCAGCAAGTGGACCTAGCCCAAATCAAGTCGTGCTCCACCACGTGCGATATTTCACCCTGAGAACTCCGTTGAGGAATACTAGACGTGATATCCTTCCCGAGTGATAAGCTCGTATTTTGAATTCTCCGCCAGTCAATAATTTCGAACAGTAAAGCTCGTCATTCATCCAGAACACCATGTTGCCTGCGCGATTAACGACAGGCCAAAATCCTTATTGATAATCAAACTCCAACATGTAGGCAGCACAAGTTCAAGGGGAAAAGTGTTGCAAATGCAGAAGAATGCCCCCGTGAATGCAGTGACGTGAAGAATGAGTTTTACAGTAGCCATTTCGTATGCTCGGCCATGTGTCTAGACTGAAAGAGCATCGATAACCGTAACAGGTGTAATAATGCTTTAAATGGATTTTGTTCGAATCGTAGACGTCGTAACGCTGCACAACTATCGCTGAGCAACTGTCACGAGACTACTACGAAGCGATTATCGACACGAAGTTGTTCTTTTGGTCGAGCGATCCCTGCGTGGGGCTATTTTCGTTGCTTGCCTTTGCCTTTGGTGGCGCCGGCAGCAGTGATTTTGCTAGTTTGCATGAGCTCTCCAATATATCTGCAAAGGATTTCCGTTAGCAACTAACCACACCAATCATAGAGTATGCCGACATACGACTGCAAGAAGCGGTTGCCGCCCTCCAGTTTCTCGTGCTCAGCTTTGACAGATTCCACACGATCGACGAGGCTCAGCAAGCTCGCCTGAAGCTGCTTCGATTGTCTGGGCTGCGTGTAAGCTGAGATAATTAGATGCGTTTCCATGCACTGCTCACTCTATCATGTTTTGTCTGAGGCCTTCTTCAAGACGATCAACTTCTTCGCTACTTCGGCGCGGGCTCATCGTTCTCGCATCGCCCTCGTCGTACTCCTCCTCGATCTCTAACGTTCGCGTACCGGCGGGAACAATGATCGTGCCACTGGACTTTCGGGTGTGCAGCTTCGGTCGTTGCGGTTTTTGAGCACTTCTGGAGGTGCTCTCCGCTTCGCTAGCCGAGCCAGATCTCGAAGACGAAGTGTTGCTGATTTGGTCGACGTCTGTAGGCGACTTGACCCACGACGGTGATTGTTCCGTTGCGCTAGGGACTGACGAGACTGGGTCATCTCTTCGCTGCTCTGAAGAAAGCGACATGATCTCAGATCTGAGAGCTAGTCACCGGATCTCCGAGAAACAGCAGGAGCAGAAAATTAGAGCGAAAAGCCGGCGTGGATTTGGCCGTCGGAGGAGGAGGACACCTCTCGGAACTAGAAAGGGTGGACGCGATGGACAGGTTATATCGGAAGGCAGCACCCCGCTACAATCCAGTTATCGTCGTCTGCCTTCTCGAGGGGCAGAGGCAGGTGCTTGACTCTGCAGCTGGTCCTGGCGCTTGGTTGCTGAATCAGACGACCGAATAAAGAATTCGTGGACCCTGGCGCGTATGACGATACAACAGATGCGAGTGATGTATCCTAACACACGAGGCCGAAAAGAGGAACACCAGCTTCGCTCTAGGCGTCGGCGCGATGGCGAGGGAAAGTCTGGCTTGAAGCGGCGGTTGGGTCCGACGGGAGACTGTATTGAACTCGGAGAGAAAGGGACATGCAAACCGCTCAGATGCTACGCGCACGTTTGGGCCGTACGGTAAGAGGGGGCCAGATCGCGCCCTTTGGGACTGCAAGCAATAACGACGGCAAGCCGGTGAGGGACAGCCGAACAACCCAGGCACGCCAGCGTCGGACGAGTTAGCTCCAGACGATGCGGCTGACCACGAAGTACCAAAACGCTTGAGCTTGCTCGAGCGGAGGAGGCAGCGTTTAAAGAGACAACGCTGCGGCGGGTAGCGTTTTGTGGGACTTCACGGGAGCTAGGGATAAGGCCCTTCACGAAATTGCGCTCTGCTGGAAGCCTGCCTTGAAGGGGCGTTGAGGTGTCGATGACGAGCGTTGCATCACAATGTTTGGCGGTGAAGTAGACAGCGAGGGGACGAGCTGAGGATTTTTCGCAGCGCGTGGGTTCGGCTGGTCACTGGCGGTCCAGCAGCCTCTCTTACACCTGACGCTCGCTGTTGGGATCGCAAAGGACGAGCTAGCAGTTGCAGGATAATTTGAGCGGTGATCACAAAGACAGCGACATGGGACGCCGGCGCTGGTCTCTGACAAAGATCGTCGCGCTGCTGCTGCTGCCGCTGCCGATGTTGCTCCTGCTGGGCGGATGAAGCTTGCGGGCCCCAAGACCCAGGGCTGCGCTAAGACACTGACATCATTGGGCGCAGCGGGTCCGCCGGCCGGGCGAGCGCCATTGGCCCAGCGACCGAAGATCACTGGGTCGCCCCAACTCGGAACTCGTCGTGGCCCAGTCGATCCCACCGTCGGAGACGAGCGAACACAGTCCTCCGAGCGCTCGTCGTGTGCTTCAGAACCCGCGCCATCGCCTCTTTCGTGCTCTTCAGCCCATACGTCGCGCCATTCTCGACGCCGTTGTCTGCGCCCAGGCCTCGCCCACGACGTCCCACGCTCCGTCCGATGACTTGTGCCCACGCATGGTACGCCGTGATGTCGAAGAGGTACGCGGCGATGTAATCGTCGAAGGCCCCCAGATGTTACGGGCGATCGTCGGCAATCTCTTGCTCAAAACGTGACATGCCGAAAAATTTCGATCTTGGGTGGTCCAAGGCTTACATTGCCCGCTAGCGAAGGTGAACTGCCTGCCGTCTACGGGCCACATGCTATGATCCAAGGGCGTCTTGCAAGGAGAAACCTCCAGGAAGCATCTCCCACGCTCTCTAGCCTGCTTCCCCCACACAGCCGTGCATTTGGAGGTACAGGTCGCTATTTTCCTCTCCCCGGCACTCATATCAACCGCCGGCGGCACCATGGATACGGTTTGCAGTTGCAAACGTGACGAGTACATCCAGGAGGAATGCGTGTACCCATCTCCCTGCGTCTGACACGTTTTGTTCATCTGCTATTCCAGAGACCGCGACGTTTATGAAGATAGCAGGGTGTAGCATTTCCGTCATAGAGCTCCTATAGTGTCCAACAAAACCAGACGTTTCCACGGATATTTCTCCAACCGTCCGAGCGGCCGAAGGCCTCGTAACAGCAACGATTTGCGGTCAAAGTCTCCTCCTGACCCAACTTTGCAACATCAGCATTATGCGATACCCAATCATAGCACACGGGATGGGGCAAACGGCTGCCGGGCCGCTTATTTCTTTGCACATTTCACGACTGTCAGCGACCTCCAGCAGATCATCCTCCAGATTTGTATCCAGCTCCTCGCGCTCATTGATCGCCAATGGATACAAGAAGGGACTGAACACACCGGCTACTCCTGGTCACGGTGTCAGTCAGCCGGACTCATGCTTTGGGAAATGAAAAAAAATTCTGCGGCAGCTCATGGATCGTCACAGCCATGGAAAGGCCGTTTTCATGTCATGCAGGCGTACATTAGAGTTGTACAACATTAAAATAGTTCATCAATATCAGTCCTTTCAGAAGCACATTATATATCTTGACCGTGTCAACCCCCCCAAAAAGAATAAAATCAAATAGACGTAGTCCTTCGTCTCTGCCATGTTAGGGAAGGAAAGACCCAGTTAGAAGACAAAAGAAGCAACCATTCTAGCTCTATCGGCGGTCGGTCGCTGGGCCAGAAAATGGGATGCCAGCCATCGACGCCGCTACGCTGAACGGCAAAGCCTTATTTTTCGTTCGCACCTTGTGCATAACAAGGACAGACCATGTCCGCACTCACCTTCCTGTGAGGCTGCGGTAGTGTCCGCGAGCAGGGAGCACAGATCCGTGCTCTGGGTGACATACATGTAGAAGCTGGCACGGGGCGTGTGCGCTTTCGTAATAGGTTATCCGGAGCGAGCGTGCCGTAGAACTATACGTGTGAGCAGAGCCAGCGAGCAGACCTTGGGTGTACATTGATTGAGAGGCTCTGTGTGCTCTGAAGGGTGCATCCTTGTGTTCACGTCAGTTGAGCCGCGCCTTCATCATCTCCACTTTTCATCATTTCGGCTTTGGCCGCAGCGTGTCTGCCATTTGATCTAGATGATGGCATGCAAGTTTGGAGGATCTGCTTGTTCTCCGCGACGGCATCTGGATGCTGCACACGTCCAAGAATAAGCAGTGAAGAAGTACGAATGTGCTTGACGAAAGGCACGAATCACAATAACGAGTGGGATGCCACAGGAAAGAACCATCTTTAAGGTTTGAAGGTTTTATTCGATTGGTCAACGTGTGGTTTTCGGTTGCTTTCTAGGTGTGGTGTAGGTAAGAGCAGGAAAAAGACAACTCAGAGCCCCATTCCGGCTCTCTCGTTCGAAGACAATTGAACCTCTTTCATTTCTTCTTCTTCTGACGATACCTAAGAGGAGGATAACAGCCAGATGCTAGTCCACCTGTTGCAAAGACTCCTCTCTCTCGATACTAACAAAAAAATGCAGAAATGGAAAGAGCAAAACTTCTACGATAGAGAGATGGTGGCAATGAGCAGGTTTTCCGTCAATTGGTGACTGCGTCGTAATGGTGAGTGTGTTGTGGTGAGACGATTGCACAAGTCTACTAGCATTCATGAATCCGCGCGTCCTTCCTTTGCGCCCGACAAGCCCCCCGGATGCTAAGAACAAAGCATTTACTCGGCTGGCTTAGCCTCCTCATTTGCAGCAGGCGCAGGTGCCTCGGCGGCCTCAGCAGGCTTCTCCTCAGTCGCAGCAGCCTCAGCCTCGGATGAGGTCCAGAGAGTCTACGTTTGTTAGCTCGCATCTCCAACTTCAGACAATGATTTAAAACCCACCAGGTTGTCTCGGAGGAGTTGCATGATCAGCGTGGAGTCCTTGTAGCTCTCCTCGCTTAGCGTATCGAGCTCTGTCATGACGAGTAAGTATCGCGTTTGGTCAGAAGAGATTGGTTACACAAACCGGCAATGGCATCATCGAAAGCCTGCTTGGCAAGGTGGCAAGCCTGATCTGGGGCATTGAGAATCTCGTAGTAGAAGACGGAGAAGTTGAGGGCAAGACCAAGTCGAATGGGGTGCGTTGGGGCCAAGTCGGTCTGGGCAACTTCGGTAGCGGCCTTGTAGGCCTCAAGAGACTTGTCGGCCGAAGACTTCCGCTTGTCGCCGACGGCAAATTCAGCAAGATAGCGGTGGTAATCACCCTTCCTGTTTGTTCGCAAGTTTAGTGATCACTCATCACGATATCATAGATGCTGAAGCCTTACATTTTGTGGTAGAAGACCTTAGACTCGCCGCTCTGGGCAGATGGAATTAAATGCTTGTCAAGCACCTCAAGAATATCCTCGCAGATACCACCGAGCTCGTTCTCGATCTTTTGGCGATACTCCTTGATGAGAGCGACCTGACTCTCGTTGCCCTTCGATTCCTCCTTCTGCTCGATCGAGGTGACGATTCTCCAGGACGCGCGGCGAGCACCAATAACATTCTTATAGGCAACTGACAGAAGATTTCGCTCCTCGACTGACAACTCTTGGTCGGCAGATGCGACAGTCTTCATGTTCTCGACCATTTCTGATCTCTGTTATTAGCGCTGTCCTATATCATCCCCGCAGGGAAAGTTAGACTCACCTTCATAACGCTCAGCCTGCTCGGCGAGCTTAGCGAGGTAGACAGAGTCTTCGTAACCCATGTTGACGAAACCTGGTGAGATACAGTCAGTATCGTTATGTGATCATACCATGAGTTGTATGATGTCCAATTTCGAACGATAACGCATTCTGTCCAGGGGTACAGTGACCAGTGCTCGCGCGCAACGTCTGCTGCATGCCCACGCCATTCCTGAAAGCTGAACGACCATGGTCCACTGTTCAGTTGGGAAGCGAAAGAGAATTTGTCTGCCTGGCATTCGTGCGCCCATCATCTAATGCGGAACCGTCGTGCGCAGGACAAATGGGAAGTGAAGTGGAGATGTGGCACAGCCCCGGCTGCAAGAGGCGCGATAACTCAATGCTGATGGGGTGGTAGCGACATCGAGATCGCGGAGCAGCAGTTGCAACGACAGCGACTTCAGGCGACGTTCAGATGTCGTTGGCGATACGGGTGCAGAGTGTGCAAGATGTGTGCAGAAAGATGACGAAAGGGATTGCTGGGGGGTGAAGTTACCTGATTACGGTCTTTATCTAGAATCGAAGGTTCGGCAACGAACAGAGTCGTGGTTAGCAGGAAGTAGGCTTTGAGATGCGAAAGAACGCGACGTTGGAATGGTAACGGACGGCGAGGTGTGGGTGAGGGGTGATGTTGTTGTGTGTCGGTGTCAGGAAGTACTTCGGTTTCTGTTGACCTTTGCTTTGCGGCGGTCCGTGCTTGCCCTCACTGTGGGCTCGACACGTGACCACGAACGTCATGGGCTCCGGGAAGCTTCGACCAGCGGACCTGGTGACCTGATTGGCATCACCCCATTCAGCCAATTGCTTGCTATATACTAGCTGTTCTTCAACCTTCATCAAAACAACTTTCCATTGACCACCTCCCATTGACCATCATGCTTCGAACACGAGTCCCCACCATCAGCCGCTCGCTGCTTGCCCGCAGAAGCTTTGCATACACGCCGAGAATCATGGCCGAGGGCGATACTGGAGCTCCACGCGCAACCGGGTAGGCTCACGCCATCTTCAATCAGCGGGTTTCCATTGCTAAACATGATAACAGTGATGCCTTCACCAAGCGTGAGAAGGCAGCCGAGGAAATGTACATTCGGCAGGAAGAGCAGGCCAAGTCAGTAGCCAAGTTTCCTTCTCGATCGTCGTAATTGCAGATGGAAGCTTCGGTATAGCTAATACGTGGATCCTACAACAGGCTAAAGGCCCTCAGGGAGAAGATCAAGAATGCGCAAAAGCACATGGATGAGCTCGATAGCTACATCCAGGAGACTATGAAAGGACAAGGTGGTGAGCAACATTAGGCGAACTTACGCGAAGCCTCTCTCTACTCCAGTCGTCGCAGAGGCAAAACTGATCACCACAAGCAGGAGAGAAGCACTGAGTGGGAATTTGCAAGGCAAAAAGTGGCTGCAGCGCGCACAAGCATACAGCATGTATAGCACGAATGCTCCTGCGGAGATTGTCGTTTGAGCTTGATTAGTGTACACTAATCTCAACTCCGATGTGGACAGCACAAATATTTACAATTGCAGTCTTTGCATTGTCTTTCACCAAGAATCTTGCCCCAGTCGCACCGTGCCATCGCTCTGCCGTCGGATGCAGCCCATGTGACACGTTCCTAATCTTTCCGAACTTGTTCTCCTCACCATCTTCTCATCCTGCCTTAACCACGCTGCCTATACAGAGTCGTATCCTAAAATGCCATGACTACGCAATCGTTTTGTTCAAAACTCGCCACACACGGCCATCGGTTCGATAACCTCGCGACCGTAGCACGTCTGCCGTACTCCACGCTAAGACCCGTCCAAAGGCGCCCTGCTGTTGAAAGTGGCCCCTGTGCCCTTGACATGGAAGTATGATTCGACGATCTTGCAGTTTTTTTGTTACAATCTTGGATGTACGCAAACTTTGTCCAATACCGTCCAGTTCTCTCCTAATGAGGAGAGTCCCGCACGAATCGTCTTTCAATCCGTTTCTTTCTGTGAGCAAAATATTCAGGAGGGATCCGGAGGGATAGAAACTGGCGGAAGATGTCAAATATAGGCTTCGAATCAGCTGGTTCGATGTTTAAGAATGTGTTAGACGCCGGATAATCTCTATTGATCGCTCTATTCTATCTCTATCCGGGTAAACTAGGGCGACGGAGGCCTTTTCGCTAGCCTTACAGCCTATCGAGGAACAAAGGCTAGTGGGCATGATATTCCATCGTCTCGTTGTCTGAGTCACAAATTGCCTCCCCCAGCGTTAAGCCCAAGATGTCTCATGAAATTCAACTCGTTGGCATGCGCCCTCAGCACTTGCCCCATCTCCACATCATATTCTTTCTCCTCTCTCCTCCTCTGAGCATTCTCAAAGCTCTCGGCGTGTTCTTCGACAGTAATTGCTTCCCACTTCGGCCGCCCAAAGCTGAGCATACCAAGCTTGCCCTCACCTGTCCATATGACAAGGTTGTCTTCGCCGTAGCGGCTAGCGTGTGCTGCAGTTGTCGATTTGGGACGCGTGGGTAGTAAAAGCTGCACAATATCTTCCGGGGTTTGTTCTTGAAGGCCCATCGCTGTGCCGTAAGTGGCGCGTAGATCCTGTCGCATGTCTGCACTGTTTGTGCCGCGAGCAAGGTCGTTCAGATTCCACGTTCTAACCGGTGAAAAGCCATCGCGTTCGACCCAACGTACGTTGCCATCTCCATCTGAGAAGACGATCTTTGCGCCATGAGGAGCGACGGAGAGGAGCTTTGAGCTACTTGCAGTTTGCCTGTTCAGGAAACTCGTACTTCTTGTCCTCGCACCCGTGTAATCAGAGGATAGAGTCGTTCGTGTAGGATCTGGGCTTAAGCCGTACAGTTCAAGGGAGCCCTTTCCTTTATACTCGCCAGCTGCAAGAAGTGTTGTTCCCGGAATGGCTTTCGCATCAGCAATTTCTGCCTCGGAGAGCGAGTTCGTGGTCATGAGACTGAGCTCACGAGGCAGGAACGGGTTTGGTATGCTTCTTAGACAAGAAAGTCGCGCCCCAGAATGCAAGTGACCACGAAGCTTGGGGAAGTAGCGCCGATCGTAGTTCAGTAGCGATGTAAAGCGTCCAGCGACCCAGATGGAGCCATTTCCGTCCCATGCTCGATCTTCAGGAAGATGAAGGATAGACAGTGGACCAGGTTGAGCGAGGGTGGCATATGATTGATTTCTGTTCCCGTGTAGCATTGAGAAATTGTGGCGAGGATTGCCAGCTATAAGCTCGACTCTGCTATGTGATGTTGGTCGTACACTGCCCGTCTTGAGAGCACGAGGATCGTACATGTGCAATGTCATATTTGTACCTACCGTCATTGGTGTCGGGTATCGCGCCTCGGAGAGCGCTGTAATCGGCCAAGGATACGTCTCCCTGCTCACCTCTCTGAGTGTCCGGAGATCGATTTCAACGAGCTGATTAAGAACACCAAAGTACGCGCGCTGTGTCATGCTATCCACCGAAACGCACTCCACTGCGCCCGTCTCTGTCATATGAGCTTTCGTTCTCTCAAGTTCATGTTCTTCCTCCTTGCCCGTGAAACCAACGAGCACTCCAGCCCTACTCCTGCCAATGAGCCTGCCTCTGAGGCCTTCCTCCTCAGCTTCCCATACGCGTACGCTGCCGTCCTCCATAGCTCCCACGATCTTATCTGCGACCTCTCCATCATTTGTGTAGAATATCCCTGCTCCGGTAACCTCGACCCGACCTTTCTTATCGTAATCCTCCTCTGTATTTGTGTTCCCAACGCCTTCAAACCAATCTACTGTGACCTCAGCATGCCTTTGCATAAACTCCTCCCGCCACATTATTTTCTCTCCAGGGTATTCTGGGTCCCAGTTAGCCATCACTCTTCTTCTCTCCTTTGAAGCTCTCCGAATCCTCTCAATTTCGGCGCTCGCATGTCTCTCATCCGCGAGTGCAGAGGGCTCCTGTCGCAGCTGCCCAGCCATGTCTAGCATGGCTCTAAGAAGAGGTGCATAGCGTGTGTCGCTGTTCATAAGATCAAGGTTGTGTAGCCGGCGCCGCTCGGCATGCGATTTTGCGAAAACATGCTGCTTCCATAGGGCCGCGTCGTTGCAGAGGCTGTAGAAGCGGCGATTCACTCGGCATATACGCGCGAGCTCCAAGGGTTCCAAGTCTATCATTGCGTTAGCCACGCACGATCTTTGCTAGCGGTTATACATCAAGGGAACATGTGGAGGGGCAGTTGCAAACGGCAGTTGACAGCATACAGGATATGATGTGAAGTAATATCTCGGGAGGTAAAGTGTCCAGCGGCATTTTAGAACTCGAGTGAGGGAATAAAGAGCTCAAGTATGCGGAAAGCTTGGAGAACAAATCCCTCATTTCTTAAATCATTGTTCAGGTACGACGTGTGCAGCACTACATGCGTACCTGCAGCAAGTCGAGCCTCGGGATGCGTGAGGTCATTTACAACACGAGGCCGTGGAGCTTGGCGGGGTGGGTGGTTCTGCTGCTCGCAACAGTCTCAGGCACAATACTATCAATGAAACTGAAGAGATCTCTCCCTCTGCTTCTTCCATCAACATCTCATATATGTTATCCGAGACGTATAGAATCCTTCAAAGTGCGAAAGCAATCATTCTCGACATTGATATGCTCAGTCTGGCAAATCAAAAGATTAGCCCACCGCAGGACGGAGTTCGAAGCATTCTACTTTGAAAGGGATTTCTATGACGGTTTCGACTATAATTTTATGTTATAATCAGAATTTGTATGTTTAACTTATTGACTCAGAAGATAGTTCATTCGACACGTAGACATCCCATGCTTACACCGGAGTTTTAACGTGTTTTCTTTGTCGGTGCAGGGCCGGCCTCTCCCCGTACGGCATTACCAATTGACTTAAAACATGACACCTTATCATAGCCGTTAGGCAAAATTTTCGGTACCGACGTTATACGTGAGGGACAATCAGCAGTTCTATTGCTGCAGCGTTGAATGTAACATTTTGGAAAAAAATGAGTAGTGTCGCTTCGCTCAAGAGGAGTATTTTTCTGTACTTGCATTATGCCGGGACGTCGGGCCGTTAATGCCCATCCCACATATACTGAAAGCTCAATGCATATCATCACTGTAGATACCCAATCGAGAAATATATCTCTATCAACAGGCTCGGTCTGCGAGAATATGAATCATGCTTCTTGTTCTTCGCCCCACCGATCGAGTTCCTGTGCCTCGTATTTTTTCATAATCTCCGGTTTAAATATACTCTCTTCGGGAATCTTGGTCTTCCCGTAGTCAACCACCGGACCAATCCACTCCCTCCACCTCGTCTTCCTCTCAATCAGTCCTTTGATGGGCTCTCCAACCCCTACACCAGCACCCCCCGTGGTCGACCTCGCCACCCCGACGACGTGACTTCCACCGCCAGCCCCTCCAGGTCTCTTTTGCTGCTTTCCCTTCTTCCCAATATTGCGGTTGCGCTTTAGGTACGCGGCGTTAATCTGGTTGTCCAAATCGTCGGCTATAGTGCTGTACTCCTGCTTGGACATCCAATCTTCCAGAAGCTCCTCCAAACGTGCTTTACGCGCCCCATTCTTGATGCTGATCCGCCGCAGCTCTGTTTGAAGATATCGCAGTCGAGCAGAGACCTCGTCGTCCAGCCGAGCATTGTATTCCGGTGTGTCGTTGGGTGAAATGAGACCCATAAAGACGAGCTCGCGGTGCAAGCGTTCGTCGATGGTGTTGTAGTCCGGTCGTGGGATCTCCACATTTTTCCAGTATTGCTCTGGAAACGCCGAAGCCGACGGCTCTGGTTTGGTCTCCGCGTGGCCATTGGTTTCACCATCGATGTCCATGTTATCAATGCCTGGAAGGAGCACCTCGTCTTCCTTACCCGTGGCGCGAAATACATATTCAGAACGCATGGCTGTCATCAAGCGTGTGAGCACTGGACCCACGGAGACCATGTCGGTAGCCGCGATCTCGTCGTCCATATCGTCAAGCGAGCCGCGCGCCTCGTTTGCGGCAAGTTTGTGCGCGTTCGGGTCCATGGCTATTTGATTGTCCTCCTCGGCCCATATCTCCTTGTAATGTTTTGCACCTAACTTGGGGATGACAAATGGAAGTTCTCTGTTACCTCTCTCTAGCAAGAAGCCTCGGTCCTCCTCCGTCAAAGGTCGTAGGAATGGTTCGGCGTAGTTCTGGAAGGTAGTGAAGTTAACTTGCTGTGCGGGCTTGGCATTGCTGAAGTCCCGGTCTGGAGGCGTGCCACATGTCTGATCATGCAGATCTGACTCTGGATAGTAAGCGACGCTGTAGATTTCCTTCTTTTCTTCTTCAGTCATGTCTGGAGTGACCTGCCGGATCTCGTAGATCGTGTCATCTGGGAATGCCGTCGGATCCTCGCCAAATATCTGGTACTGCTGGATTGGAGGTGCGGGTGGTGGTTGATGCGGGGATGTATCCGAGCCTGGGCTGCCAGGTTCTTGCTTTGTTGAAGCTTCGCGTGGTGATTGTGGTGGCTGCGAGACTGGCGACGATATTGAAGAGGACGTGGCGGCTGTTGAGGCGATCCTGTTAGTCTGGCTTCATGCTTGTCATGTACAGACGCGAGACGAAGCGAAACATGCAATGACAACGCTGATAACGTACCGGCCTGATTGTCGCCGCCATCCTGCCGAGCGACGCCATGCGCACCTACTGCCGGCGGCCTCGTCTCGTCCTCGCGTCCTCGCTTCTTGGGCGTAACGGCTAGGTTCTTCTTGCGCTCTGCAGCGGCGTGTTCCTCCATCTCACGTTGCCGGTTTCGCTCCGTACGTTCCTTCTTCTTCTGCGACAGCTCCCGCATCAGTCGCTCACATACCTCCCCGCGCGGCTTCACCGTGTTCAGTAGCTGCGTCCGGATATTGTCACTGATGGAACGCAACATGGTGGCTGAAGGCGGGTTCGACGACAAGCCATGGCCATCAAAAAGGTCTTCCACTGGAGTATCGGACAAGACGGGATTCGCATTGACAGCCGTCTGCAGATATGGCGAGTGAACGGTATCGACGGCGGACAGCGACGAGGCGGACATGGGCGTGCTATTGCGACTGCGCGACCGATGGTGCATCTCTCGCGAGTGGGCCTTGGCCTTGCTTTTGGGTGCCGGCGTAGGCATGACGACGAAGAAGCCAGAGCGATGTGTCTGTTTTAGAGTGTCTAGGCAGTGGGGCTCGCCTCGCGTGGACGGCGGAAGCGCCTTTACCAGTTGCCAGAGTGGTTCACGGCGCACCAAAAAAGTTCGCGTCGCCCGGTCGCAGAGCGCAGGTCACGGGGAAGACGAGGGTCACTGGAAGCACAAGTGCACAAGTTAAGTTACCTTAGTAAGTCACGATTAACCAGGTTAACTTAAGCAACAGTGGAGAAGGCAATGAATGAAGTTAGTGTGCCAGGATGAAGGCGGCCCTGGGCCCTCTCTGCCAGCTCCCGAAAAATAAAACCCCCCGCCCGCTGGAGCTGGGCACCATCTCGCGGCGCCTGCCCGGCACGCGCCCACTAAAGTTGGGGGGGGGGGGGGACCCCAGCATCTCGAAGGATGCGGCTTCCGAAGACACACGTACACACGTCAGCCATCCTGTACCGGTCTGCAAGCGGCCGAATGTCTCCGTCTCGGGCGCACAGTTAAGAACGGTTCTGAAACAGAATCCACAGGCGCGCGAGGCTCGAGCAAACAAAACGATTCTAGGCGTTGGACGATGCAGATGGCAGGACACGTTTGTTTCCGCCGATTTGGCTGCTTCTGCTGCCTCGATTGCCGCGACTGGGCCACATCCGGCCAGCCTGGCCAGTACTGGATCAGCGCTGGTCGACCGCTGGCCAGTGTTGGACGAGAGGCGAGGGCCAAGCATTGCGCTAAGCATGCGGCAGAAGCTTGTCTCCTGACAGAGACATGCATCAGACCCAGCACGCGCCCACCCACCTCTTTACTGATCCGTCTGCCCTCATTTTTCTGAACTGCTCTCCACTTCTCGCCATAGTCCCGACGATCCCGCCGTCCTCTTCCATTCGTGTCCTGGCGTTGCCTTTGCGGTCGCCAGCCTTTGTCGGATATCTCTTGGTTAAAGTGCTGATGCAACGCACGGCGAGTCTGAGTCGAGATGAGTACGATCACTCTTCCGCTGATTCGGCTATTATGTCTTGCCTATGCTGATGCTCTTGTGTGCGCGCAGCCGCCGTCGGTCTGCGAGTGCTGACACTCGCCTTTCCGGATCCCGATATACAGCCTATCTCGTCGAACGACTTCCAGCCCGTCAATGTACGCCGAATTCCCTCTCATCCGAGATGGCCGCGCGGACTCGCATGACGACAGGGCACGTTGCGTGTGATGGCTGGATTGGCATGGACTGACCTGCGGCAAAGCTGGTGTACTCGAGAAATGGCATCGTTTGAACAGTCAACCAGGTCATTTGGCTAAACGCACAACAAGCTCTGTGCCGTCAGGAAACATGCGCGGCTACGTACTCTTGGATCTGATCACTGACTGCGGACGTAGGCTAGCTTATCATATTCTCTCGCAGAGGCCGGTAACATACGAACGCTTTCGACGACCGGCGCAACGCCCGGCCATGACATAGACGGCTTGCTGTATACCCCCACCCTCCCTCATGGCACATGTCCTCAAGCTTCCAGCGTCATTCCCCGAAATGCGACCAGAGAAACGAACCTCCCAAAGGATACAGATATCTTCTGGGTGGCTCTTGCACCATGGATCAACGCCAACTGCACTCTAGAATATCTAGCCGCTGTCCGGGGCACTTCGGCTCAGGCATTTATGTTTTACTTACTTGACAACGGGACACAGATACCGCCCGTGGCTGACGACCCTGTGTGGAGTCTCGGTGATGGTGGTCGTTGGAAGACGACAAACAAGCTCCCCGTCTATGCGATTTCTTCCATGATAGGGCAGACTGTCATGCGGAATTTAGCGAACTATTCCGGCAATTTAACCACCGTACCGAACGGCCACGAGCTTGCCAATGAATGGCCGTCCATGGACTACATTCGCCTGGCTGTCGAGCTTGATATAGGTAACATATGCTTCTTGCCTTGCGTTCCGTACACGTCGTTAATCGTTAGGCAGACAGCAGCGAGAGATTACCCAGTCTCTGGATATTTCTCCTTATCGTCCTCGGCATACTAATCCTCATAATCGCTGCGACGTCCTGCACCATGCACTGGGTGCAACGTCGCCGACGAGAACGATTGCGAAGGCGCGTCGCGCGAGGGGACGTCGACCTCGAAGCCCTCGGCATAAAACGTCTGACTGTTCCCCAGGACGTAATTGATAAAATGCCCCTCTACACGTACTCTGATAACTCGACCGATACCGAGAAACCTGCCGAAACTGTGCGACCCAATCAGCCGCCCACCAATCCGGTAACCCTTCAGGCCCATCCCCAGCTGCACACTACATACTTCTCACAGGCCACCTGCCCCATCTGTCTCGAGGACTATGAACCAGGTGTGACAACAGTTCGCGAACTGCCATGTCGACATCTCTTTCACCCGGATTGCGTAGACTCCTTCCTGCGCCAGAACTCGTCCTTGTGTCCGATGTGCAAAAAGACTGTTCTGCCAACAGGGTATTGTCCAGCCGTGATCACAAACGCGATGGTCCGGCGCGAGCGCATGGTCCGTCGCATTAGGGAAAGGGTTGTGGCCCCGCCGGAGAGTAACCCAACCGCCAATGCCCAGCAAGGACATCGAATAATGATCCCGAGGGTTAGTACCGTGTTGCGGAGTGCCGTTGCCAGTGGTCGACGAGTCTTCTCTGCCCCTATACTTTCTGGAACCACACAGACTTTACGAACAACGCCGACAACATCGCAGAGCCTCGAGATGCGAACAGCATCCAGTCCCTTAGACTATGCTGCTGCTTCCACTGTAGATGTATCACGCCCAGCACCAGCAGCGGTGATAGGGCCGCTGTCGGATCACGGATGTCCTCCTTCTCCAGAAACAACCTCGCCGCCTACGGACCGTCAAGGCAGGAGAGAATGGGCTCGACAACGCGCGGTAGCTATGCTAAGGCAAAGGCGTAGTATACAAGACAGAGAAATCGAGGCCGAGGCTGCAAGGGCGCCTCTCTGGAGGAAATTGGTCGGGAAAATATGGCCCGGGTTCGCTTAATTGTGTTGGTGTGCCTCTTTTCATTTTCTTCACAGTTTTTGGTTTACATCTCGCAGACGCTGGCAAATGTAGCTATGCCAATCATGGGCCTTGGGGTTTTGCTTTATTGTGAAGACCAGCGGGGTGCATCTTTTCGATAATGGGACGTAAGCGTAATCCATGATCATGAGGAATTGGGTTCTTTTGGCATAGCGTGGCGTCGGCGGCACACCTGTAAAGGTCGGATTTCAAGGGCTAATGATTGTTACGAGAAAGCGCTATATGAAATGCAAATAAACTGGTTTTTTGGGAAAACTTGCTGCCGAGCGACTCGTCCCTTCGTTTCACGGCTCCTGGCACGATGTGAGACGATTTGTTTGCGACGAAAAAAAAGCCACAACAGAACTAGTTTTAGAAAGTCGACGAAGGGGTGCTCGAATTGTGGAAAACTACGCAAAGACAGGTGAGACTGGAAGCGCCTCTCAGCGGAACACTCCTTATTGCGAGCGAGCTTCTTGAAGTGAAAATAATAATAAGACACAAACAACATGTAGGGTGCAGATGATTTGACGGGAGAATGCTCAGCGAAATATTCTCATCTAAAAACCTTGAGCCCATGCTGTTGGATGAGCTCACGGCGATGCCATCTCTGCAGCCACTTGGTAATTTTTTGACCTTCAACTTCTACAGGAAGCACTTCTTCTGCTTTACCCAAGGTTCTCTGACACTTGGTTCCATATTTTTTTTTTTTTGCTTGTTGGTACACATATATACATTGTTTGAGTGTGGATCCATCACTTGGCCAAAAATTTTTGGAAAGCTTTGTGCTCTATCACGACGTTGCCCACTGCTCTTAATCTCTTTCTGCCCTCCTTCTGACGTTCCAAAAGTTTGTTCCGCCTCGTCGAATCAGCGGCGTGCAATTTTGCCGTGACGTCTTTTCTAAACGCCTTTAGGGTCTCTCGCGCTACGATCCGGCGTCCGGTTGCCGCTTGGATCACGACCTCAAACATTTGCCGATCCACGTACTCCTTGAACTTGCTGACCCATTCTCTGCCAACACGCTCTACTTGGCTGGTGTGAAGAACACGCGACACCGCGTCCACAGGGACTTTGTTGACGAGCAAAGTCAATTTTCGAATGCTTGACGTGCGGAACCCTGCATCCTCGTAGTCCAGTGTAGCGTATCCCTTAGTGGCCGACTTGAGTTTGCCAAAAAAGTCTTCCACTAGCTGTGCCAGGGGCAGCTCGTATTTAAGGATAACTTGGGTGGAAGTGAAGAAAGAGAGCTCCTTTTGGATGCCTCGATTGGCTTCGCACAATTCGATGACTTTACCCAGGTACTCTTGAGGTAGTGTGATCGTAGCATCCACAAAGGGTTCCTGCAGATCGGCGACTTTGTCACGGTTCGAGTCTTCATCTGGGAAGTCATTCGGATTGGAGATGACGGTGCTGGTACCGTCTTTCCAGACCACTTTGAACGGCACAGTAGGAGGAGTCAGTATTATACTCGCGCCGTGTTCTTGACGCAGACGGTCCTCGAAGACGGAACAATGCAATGTGCCGAGGAAACCAAGACGCCATCCAGCGCCAAGTGCATCGGATGACTCCTTGGCTACGGTAACGCTTCGATCATTCAGCACAATGGCGTTAATGCTTTCCTCCAGGTGTGTATATTCGCTCTGGTCGACAGGAAACGCTGCAACAAAAACCATCGATTTGGGCTCTTCAAAACCGGGGAGAGCTTTCACAAGCTTCTCATTGCCAACGGTTGTAAATGTGTCTCCTATTTTTGCATCTTGGATTCGCTTCATGCCAGGATTGAAGAATATGTAGCCAAGTTGTCCCGCCCTCAATGTTGTCTGCGGTGTTTGATCGGGATACATGATGCCTACTTCGCCCACGATGTATTTATTGTTGGTTGCGAAAGATCGAATTACATCGCCGGCTCGAATCTGCCCTTCGAAGATCCGCACTAACAAGATTACACCTCTGTAAGAATCGTACCACGAGTCGACGAGCAGCATTCGCAACGGCGCATTGGGATCGCCCGTCGGCGCAGGAATCTGCTTGATAACCTGCGGCAAGATGGCTTCAACATTTAATCCAGTCTTTGCGGAGACTAGCACAGCATTCTCCGGTTCAAGCTCGAAGGAACTCTTCATCTGTTCAAGGGCGCGCTGAGGGTCGGCGGAAGGGAGGTCTATCTTATTGACGATGGGGACGAGATGCAATCCTTGAGAGAAGGCAAGGTAGAAGTTGGCCACGGTTTGGGCTTGCACGCCCTGACTGGCATCCACAAGTAACAGTGCTAGATGACAAAATGTCAGACTCATCACCGAATGTGTATGCAGGTAGTGTTCCATACCTCCACCACAGCTGGCATAGCTCCTCGATACCTCTGCTCTGAAGTCTACATGGCCAGGCGTATCAACGAGGTGAAGTAAGTAGTCTTCGCCCGCATAATTGTAGATCATAGTGCAGGTCTGTGCCTTGACCGTAATACCTCTTTCTCTTTCCACGTCCAATTTGTCTAGCACCTGCTTATTTGAACCTGGTTGGATCGTGCCAGTGATCTCCAGTAGGCGGTCGCTCAGGGTGCTTTTCCCATGATCTACGTGTGCCACGATGCAGAAATTGCGGAATCGATCAATAGGAATAGCCGCAATCCGTTTCTCTAGTTCAGATTGTACTTTCAGCGGCTGCGCCGCGGAGAGCCGCGTTGTGGCGTGCAGAGAACGCGCACCAGCGGGCCATGGTTTGAGGCTCGTTTTTGTCTTGAAGAGCAAGCTGTGCCAGAAGCGAGCTTCGTGCTGGATATGATTAACATGTAGCCAAGGCCTGTAGAAGCTACCTGGAATGGAAGAAAGTCCGCATGGTCGCATTAGGTAGGCATTGATGGATTTCGTACAATAAGTTGTTTTTTTGGGGAGGGAGAAAAAAGTCGTCTGAGAGTCGGCTAATCTGCGGATGCTTTTGGTGATGGTCCGGATTAGGAAGTGTGATTGCGGCGAGCATCGCATCACGCATCAGGCTTACACAACAACACCAACGCACTGAAAGAACGTAAGAGAGCCCTAAAGTGCGAATCACCTCCTATAGCTACTCGGTTCTACGAGTTTGACACTTTTCTGATTCGGTGGAGCAAGATACATTGCCGTTGCTATAACAACCACACTGCTGTAAACAGAGGATATGGACGGAGCACCGGCAAAGTCGAGCCGCGAGAAAAGCAGCAAGTCCGGGGACAAAGATGACAAGTCAAAGACTCACAAGCTCTCCTTGAAGGGTAAAGTGACCCAGTTTCCTGATGTCAAGCTCTACTTACCGGTATAGGCTCGTCAAAGATGGTGGCCGAGTTTTTCGAGTACTCTATAAACACCATCCTGTATCAACGTGGAGTCTATCCCATTGAGGATTTCACCGCCGTGAAAAAGTACGGACTCAACATGCTCGTCACCTCTGATGATCAAGTGAAGGCGTACATCAAAAAAATCATGAGCCAGCTGAACAAGTGGATGCTTGGTCAGAAAATTTCAAAGCTGGTCATCGTGATTACAAGCAAGGAGACAGGCGAGCACGTCGAGCGGTGGCAATTTGATGTGCAACTCAACAAGTCATCGTCATCAAAGTCAGGAAAGAAGAGCGCGGATAAGGAAAACGCGGCGCCAGCGTGAGTGTTGCAATTCATCTGTCCGACGAACTCGCCGAGAACTAATTACTTGCTTCAGGGAGTCGGCAGCACCTGCGGTGGCAGACAAGCCCCTGTCCGAGGAAGAAATCCAGGCTTCTATTAGAGCGCTCTTCAGACAGATCACAGCTTCCGTCACATTCCTGCCGGAGCTGACGGAGCCGTGCACGTTCAACGTACTGGTGTACGCAGACGCGGACTCCGACGTTCCCATTGAGTGGGGTGACAGCGACGCAAAGGAGATTGAAGGAGGCGAAAAGGTGCAGCTACGGAGTTTTAGCACTAGCAACCACCGTGTAGACACGATGGTCAGCTACAAGTTGAGCTCATGAGGAGTGCAGGGAGGATGGTGAACGGATGTGAAGGGCGTTCTTAGGTTGAAGTACGGGACGACATGGTGTATAATCGACTCTGCGATTGCTTGATACCAAATGCCACACTTGCTCTCCAATTCCGTATTCACTATTCACAGTGTATGCTGCCTGAACACAGCGACGCTCTACACCCGTGGTCCCCTGCAGAAGAGTTTGCGGAGATCTGGGGGACAAAACTTGACTAAGTTAGCCGCAAAGCAAACGATCGAGGCGGGAGCTTGGACCGCCATCCCTGCAAATCTCCCTTCCGGGTCCTGGAGAAATTTTGTGATCCTGCGCCGCAGTGAGTCAACGGAGTCCATTGACTCTTCTGCACGAATCGGATCAACGGTCGAATCGCAAATTCAGTGCATGCCGTCGCAGAGGAGCACTATGGGCTCTGCAACGGAGCCAGCTAAAGTCCAGATTCTGGGCAAAGAGTCGATAATCGTGGACTATGATCTCTTCGAGAAGTACATTCCTCACGATCTGCTCGCCAACATCCCCGCCTCGACGTATGTCCTGATTACAGATACAAACCTTGCGCCCATCTACGTGCAGCCTTTCAAGGATGCTTTCGACAATGCCAGGAAGAGCCTCGATTCCAGCGCGCGTTTGCTGGTCTACGACCGAGTTGCGCCGGGCGAGACATCCAAGTCTCGCTCAACCAAGGCGGCCGTGGAGGACTGGCTGCTCAGTCACAAATGCACGCGCGACACTGTCATAATAGCCCTAGGAGGCGGCGTCATCGGGGACATGATCGGCTATGTTGCTGCAACATACATGCGCGGTATACGCTTCGTTCAGGTTCCCACTACGCTACTTGCTATGGTAGACTCGTCAATTGGAGGCAAGACGGCTATCGATGTTCCTGCTGGCAAGAACCTGATTGGCGCATTCTGGCAGCCCGAACGGATCTACATTGACCTTGGATTCCTTGATACCTTGCCTAGAAGGCAATTTATCAATGGGATGGCAGAGGTGATCAAAACTGCAGCGTTTCGGGATGAAAGGGAGTTTGAATTCATGGAGGATAGCGTTGATGCTATTATGGAAGCTCTGGATTCTCCCGAAAAAGGAAAGGCACGATTTGCAAATATCACACCGATCATAAAGAGGATTGTGTTAGGGTCCGTAAGGGTCAAGGCGGCTATAGTATCAGCAGATGAAAGAGAAGGCGGGTTGAGGAATTTACTCAACTTTGGGCACTCAATTGGTCATGCTATCGAAGCCATTCTTACCCCGCAGATGTTGCATGGAGAATGTGTGGCCATTGGCATGGTGCTCGAGGCTGAATTAGCACGCTATCTTGGTCACCTCAAACCCGAAGCTCTGGCGAGGCTGTCGAAATGCATTTCTGCTTACGGCTTACCTGTCTCTTTGCAGGACAAGAATGTGAAGAAGCTCACGAGGAACAAACATTGCCCAGTCGACGAACTGATCTCTATCATGGCTGTGGACAAGAAGAATGCAGGCAAGCAGAAGAAAATCGTCTTACTTTCTGCCATTGGCAAGACAGTAGAAGAAAAGGCAAGCAGCGTGGATGACGACGACATCAGGTTCATTCTTTCGCCAAGCGTATTGGTCCATCCTGGAGTTTCTTCAAAGAATGTGACATGCACCCCTCCAGGGTCAAAAAGCATATCCAATCGTGTTCTTGTGCTTGCAGCGTTAGGCAAAGGCACATGCCGCATACGAAATCTTCTTCACTCGGATGACACACAGGTCATGTTGAACGCTATAGTGAAACTAGGAGGCGCAACATACTCATATGAGGAAGATGGAAGTGTCCTCGTACTCCGTGGGAACGGTGGTGCATTAAAGGCAAGCTCGGAAGAGCTCTATCTTGGCAATGCCGGGACAGCTTCGCGTTTCCTGACCAGTGTTGTGACCTTAGCTACGCCAAATAATGGACAAGAGGCAACAGTATTGACTGGTAACGCGAGAATGAAGGAGCGGCCAATTGGTCCATTGGTGGATTCGCTACGCGACAATGGCGTCGATGTGGGCTACCTCGAGAAACATGGCAGCCTGCCTGTTCGTGTGAAAGCAACGGGCGGGATCGCTGGTGGTGAAATCAATCTTGCTGCAACAATTTCCTCACAATACGTCTCTTCACTGCTCATGTGCGCTCCGTATGCGCAAAAACCTGTCACTCTGCGACTTGTTGGCGGCAAACCTATTTCGCAATTGTACATCGAGATGACAATCGCGATGATGGCGTCCTTCGGTGTGCATGTCAAGAAATCGACAACAGAAGAGAACACATATCACATACCATGTCAGGCTTATACGAATCCTTCGGAGTATGAAGTTGAGAGCGATGCAAGCTCTGCGACGTACCCTCTCGCCATTGCTGCCATTACGGGAACGACATGCACGATACCAAACATTGGTTCAAAGTCGTTACAAGGAGATGCTCGATTTGCTGTCGATGTTTTGCGACCCATGGGATGTACCGTTGAGCAGACTGCCACCTCAACCACAGTTACAGGCCCAGCCAGGGGCGGCTTGAAAGCGATTCCAGAAGTTGATATGGAGCCTATGACTGATGCCTTTCTAACAGCATCAGTTCTTGCTGCTGTCGCTAATTCAGGAACGACACGCATTTTGGGCATTGCAAACCAGCGAGTCAAAGAATGCAATAGAATTGAAGCCATGAGACTCCAGCTTGCCAAATATGGTGTCAAATGCCGGGAACTCGATGATGGTATCGAGATCGATGGCCATGGCTTTGATCTGCTAGAGCCGAAAGGTGGCATACATTGCTATGACGACCATCGAGTAGCGATGAGTTTCAGCGTGCTCTCTGTGGCGGCCCCGACGCCGTCGTTGATCCTAGAACGACAGTGTGTGGGAAAAACTTGGCCAGGTTGGTGGGACGTATTAAGGCAGCTGTGGAAAGTTAGACTCGGGGGTGTCGAGCTCCCTCAACCCTCGAAATCTCTTGTCAACGGTCATACCAACGGCACGACTGTGCATAAGTCAATTTTCTTGATTGGAATGAGAGGTGCGGGAAAAACCACAGCAGGAAGTTGGGCATCCCAGCTGCTCGGCTGGCCGCTCCTCGATCTGGACACTGAGATGGAGCAGACCCTTGGTATTTCAATTCCTGACATTGTACGGCAGAAAGGCTGGCCGTACTTTCGAGAAGAGGAAGCCAAGTTATTAGAGCGCATAATGCGTGAGAAGCCGACAGGGTACATTATCGCCTGTGGCGGTGGTATTATCGAAACACCGGCGTGTCAAGAGATGCTAGTGCAATACAAAAAGCAAGGTGGCATCGTGCTTCATATATCTCGAGACATTGAGAAAGTCATGGAGTTTCTGAACGTGGACAAGACCAGGCCAGCTTGGAATAGTACATTGATGGACACATGGAAGTTCAGGAAGCCACTCTATCAGAAGTGCAGCAGCCACCAGTACCACAGTGCTTCCGTTGAATCTGGTGGCTTAGCAAATACACTTGAGGACTTCGCAAGATTTTTAAATCTGATCATTGGACAGAAGTCTGCGCTTGATGAAATCAAGAGAAAGAAGCACAGTTTCTTCGTTTGTCTCACCTTTCCCCAACTTGGACCGTACCTGGATGTTTTAAAGGAAGTAGTGGTCGGTGCGGATGCTGTCGAACTTCGTGTTGATTTACTGGAAGATCCAACGAGCAAGGATGGACTCTGTACACCGGATTTTCTAATACAACAAGTTAGCTTGTTGAGGTCTGCTGTCTCAATACCGATCATCTTCACGCTTCGAACGAAAAGTCAGAGTGGTAAATATCCAGATGATGCTCACGACAAAGCCATCGAACTTTATCGAACAGCCTTACGCTTGGCTCTCGACTTTATCGATCTTGAGATGACATCGCCGGACAGCATACTGAAAGAAGTATCCGAGAACAAGGGTTTCAGCAAGATAATTGCTTCGCATCATGACCCCAAGGGTGAGCTGTCTTGGAGAAACGGCTCGTGGATACCTTTCTACAACAAAGCCCTCATCTACGGAGACATCATCAAGCTTGTCGGAATTGCCAAGACTTACCAGGATAATTATGCTGTTGCAGAATTCAAAGAGTGGGCGAAGACATCTCACGATGTCCCGCTGATTGCCATGAACATGGGCGAGCTGGGCAAAGCTAGCAGAATCCAAAACGGCTTCATGACTCCAGTTTCACATCCAAAGTTACTCTCTGCTTCAGCACCAGGACAGCTATCTGCTGCTCAAATACGCCTGGGCTTATCACTGCACGGCCTTATACAGCCGAAGAAGATGTGCATCTTCGGCTTTCCGGTACAGCAGTCAAGGTCGCCGGCACTCCATAACGCATTGTTTAAGGAAACGGGTCTTCCGCATAGCTACAGCCTGCACGAAACGGACACTATAACCGAGGAGCTGAAGAAGACGATTCGATCACCGGATTTTGGCGGTGCTTCAGTGACGATACCACTCAAGCAGGAGGTGCAGCCACTTCTTGACGGTGTAGGTCCCGAAGTCGAGATCATCGGCGCCTTAAACACTATTGTGCCGGAGGAGAGCATCGATGCATCCGGCAAAACAATCACACGTCTCATTGGATATAACACAGATTACCTAGGAATGATGCTAGTTCTGAGGAATGCTGGTGCTCAAGGTGGCGCTGGCTCTCAGAGTGGTCTTGTGATTGGAGGTGGTGGCACAGCGCGGGCTGCTATTTATGCCTTGCATTCGATGGCTTATACGCCGATTTACCTAATCGGTCGTTCTCCAGAAAAGTTGCAAAAGCTTGCTGAAAGCTTTCCGATTGACTACAACATCAAAGTTGTCCCGCAAGGTACACCGATCGCGCAGTCATTTGATGTGCTACCGAGCGTTGCAATCAGCACTATCCCAGCAGACAAACCCATCGAAAAGGCTATGCAGATCACCGTAGCTCAGATCTTCGAAGAAGGTGGACGGAGAACACCGCCTACTGAGAAGGAACCCAAGATCTCGGCGCCGAATCATCCTGCCGTTGGGCTGTCGAAGAGTAGGATTTTGCTGGAGATGGCGTATAAGCCCCCGGTAACAGAGATGATGAAACTTGCTGAGGCCGCAGGGTGGAAAACTGTTAACGGGTTGGAGGTTTTGGTGGGCCAAGGCGTGTATCAGTTTAAACTTTGGACTGGGATTACGCCACTTTATGAGAGCGCAAGAGTGAGTGCTTCGGTTTTGCATGGTAACTTCTTCTGACGAATTTACAGGCCGCAGTTATGGGTACCGAGTAGTCTTTGTCAATTTCTTTCGGAATCGTAGCCGTACCAAAGATTCAGAACATTTCGACGCAACGGTTAAGTTGCGAAAGAAATAAGATATTTCATAGATGTTGAAAACTTACCACTTGACACATCCAAGTCTCAACATTCGTGCCACTTCATCTAGCATTTTCTCATCCAAAGGCGCAATGCTGAAAAAGAGGATTGGCCGTAGTTTCAACGTGCAGAAGATACAGATGAGATGGTGTTAACAAGAAGCGAGACCTGTGCTAAAGCCTGAAAACCATTGTCGCCATGTTTTGAGAATGAACCAACGCAGGGAAATTACTTTGTGAACAACGTGATTGAGCCAATCTCGCAAAACATAGCGTGATCTTACCATTACCATAATTTCGTCACGTCAATATTCAAACAATTTGTCCTCGAGATTACCGGATCCTGCGCGTATGCAGGCTAACAAAGTGCTTTGTATAGCGCCTAACTTTGAAAAATTCCTAGTGTTGAGTACTAGTCAAATGTGATAGCATGTAATGACGCTACGTCGTTTATCCCTTCTTGTAAGTCATGGCTCCGATGGAGAGAAATGCTTGGTAAGGAATGCCATTGAACAAACACAGAGAGCTAGAACGCTATTCTCTTCCGTCGAGGTATTCCCGAGACAAGTTGGAACTCGGATCAAGAGGAGAAACAGAAGGACTAGCTGGTCTCAAATTATAGATGATGCCGAATGATAAGCAAAGGTAGGACGTCCTTAGTGTTTAGCATTTGGAATTGCTTCAGTATTGAGCTCTCATAGTTCAACTAATATGTAACACATTTTCTAGATCACCGAACCGATTTAATTCAACCGAAACCAAGTCTGGTAAAAAAATCATACTAGTGATCAAATAGAATATCTTTATTCAGCCTCATTTGTAAGGCTCTTAGGATAGGTCTATGACGTCGGGACGAAATTGCGACTTTTCCACTTTGAGAAGATTTCAAAGCTCTAGTGTTTGTGCAGCAAACTTCAAACTTCCTTGCGTACAAATTAGCTTGTGCGATTCTCGAGAGTTGTAAAATATGTTAATGCAACGACTGCCTCGGCCATCAATTGGAATCGCGTCATGGTGTTTGCGCGGTCAACGCGCGCGAACATTGTCCACGCTCGCAAGTAATCCTCATATTGTGAGCCTTCTCGACTGCAGCGAGCACGTCAATTATTACATCGGCTGACGAAGGCAGTATTACTTCCCTGATCCCCACGATGCCACACAAAACCTCCTCTCTTTGTTGCCAACATCACCATCTACAAGTACACTCGTCCTTGGCCGTACATCTACCATACCACCAGAATCCAATCCTTCCTCATTTACGCCGAATCCTCGCTTCCTTGAGATTCTGCAATCTGTGATGAGAGAATACTCAATACACGACCCTGTAGTCCAGGCATCAGCAGCAGCATATGCCTCACAAGCGGGTGCAACACTCTCTGGCGGTGTTCTCTTGCCTTCCAGCCATCCCTTGAAGCAAAGAATGCGAAAACCATCCACATCTGGTGCAGGGCCCACAGCGTCACAAGGAGGCATGGGAAGTGGAGGCAGGCATGGCTGGGTTCATGTTTATGACCTGAGACATCCACCAGACTTTGGTAGAATCCCTGATCCCGAGGATATATTTGGTAGCGTCGAAGTTGACGGAGAGGGTTCATTTGTAGGAGATGGGGGTAACTACCAAGCAAGTGGGACATACCGCATTGTCACAAGAGACGGGGTTTTGGGCTTGAGCGACTTCCTGAGAGGCAAACTGGTGGACAGATTGAAGCAACTCGAGCGGGAGGAAAGAAGCAAGTGAGATTTTCAAGCTGTGCAGTGCCCCGGGAAAACCGCCACAGGGTAAAATTTGCTCCAAATCCCACACCTTTCTTATTCATGGGTGATTTAGGTCTTGCAGGGCACGACAGTGTCTTCGGCTCTATATAATAAGGAGTCTTGCGTCCCTTTCACCTCTCAAACGGACCGGATGATTTACGTTATCATCCCGTCACGACGTTTTGATTAAAACAGATGCAAGCAGGCCGATTGATGATACGGAAGGCTTTTCTTCGGGCTCGAAAACAACAAGCCTGAAGACTATGTGTATATTGCGCAATGTATTAGTACAAGTGTTCACCGCACGATGTCTATGGCTGGCCTCTCTGCTCATTGCTTGATCTTATCGAAAGCGTGGTGGAGTCTATGAGCAGTGACGATTGAGAACATGATTTTTATCAACGTTAATGGCCAACAGTCCAAAGTTCGAGGCTCTGATCTTTAGAAACTGGAATGACAACGAAGACTGATCACAGAGACGTTTTACTGCTCCCCATGGACGGCTTGCTGCAATTCCGTCCCACAACAAGCTCTCAACCAAGACGTCATTGTCAACTCACTTCAAGCCAGCAAATGTACACAACTGAGGTGCAATTGCGTGTAGAGCGTGTATTTGCAAAGGAAAATCTCATCTTATTACATTCTGACGACGTATCCAAAAATTCTTCTCATGCTTTGACAAGCCTCAATGGAACTCTCAATTGATGTCGAGTCGGCCTTGCACCTCACATAAGGCCCAAATTATATATTTGTAGCTAGGCGTCGTTGGAGTTGGACGCAGATGTTAAATCTTAACTCTTATCAGGGTGTCACGTAAGTTATGGGTTGAGAGCATCTACGAACGTCGCGCTTGTCCGATTGACGAATATGACTTCTTTCATGCGAAAACTCAACACCAGCGCGTTGCCAAAGCTTGTGATGGACGTCTTCGGGTGGATCCAAATTGCGGCGAGAGAGATGTAGCAGCGTAGACAAGAGAACTAATTGGTGACTTTGTTTTGGTTGTGCATGTCTACAAGGCCACGGTCAAAGATAGTTCAACGTGCTAATTTCGAAAGAGTGACACCACCATGCGAAGCTGAAAGTCTTCTATACTGACCCGACGAAATCCAATTTTGAAAGGCATTATGCTAATTGTGCTGAGGCGCAAGCCGGTGAATATTGGGGGACTTCAAAGGTCACATGTTTCCAGGCTGATCAGCCCCTCCAACGCGACAACAGCTCCAATACCCAAGCGCGTCGTTTACACCCAACTCGTTCAGTACATCAGCGCAATGCGCGGCCGAAGAAAACATGTCAAAATCCTCAGCAGAACGAATCGGATACGTCCTCGAACAATTATTGCAGCGAACAATCCCTGTATATCCTGAAGATGACGAGGACGCCGTCGAGCAGCGACTCGACGAAGCGTTTGCCTTCTCGAGTGAACTTCTCCAAAAGTGCTGTGCCACGAAGACGGGATTGTAAACATGGGTTAATATGTCGCGCAGTTCGGAAGAGCCATCAATTACAGCAGATGTGCATCATGCGGCAGATCTCATCAAGAAGCGACGTACGTACACAAACCATCTTGACGCACTTCGTAAACGGTATTCTGATTCGACAGTGATACGGGATAATCTTTCGCCCGAGAAGGCGCTCAAGTTCTCCAACCTGTACTCGCGGCTCCTTGCGCAACCAGTCCTGAGCCAAAAATGGGCCATGCTTTACTTCTTGCACCAGCTTACCGATCCTCCTCTCCTCAATCCTTTGCAAGAGTCGCGACCTTCGATTCATAATCGCATGCCTAGTCAGAACACAGCAATTCAATCGGACGTGCAGACAGACGATCCGACTCCAAAGCGAGCATTGCCCGGGCAAGAACGACAGTTTGATGTCAATAGTCCGGCTTTCAACGAAGCATTCTCGAATGCAGGCTTATTAAGGCTCTCGAACGCTGAACATTCAGGACAAGCAAGCCATGAAAGACCATTACCAAGGTCTCGGAGGGAGAAATCAAAAGAAGAGGCGCAGGTCCACGCTGATGCGACTACTCCTCCTGCAGCAGAACCGCCTCCCGAGCCTACACACCATTTATCTTATGATATCTTGGAGCCAACAGAAGCGACTCTGCTACGCGACCTCCCCTTCACCCTCCAGGGCCTATCATCAACGAATTTCGCCTTCCTATCGAACAAAGTTTTGAAGCTCCCAAACACGTTGCCCGTGCCTTTGGTGAGCATTTTGCACGCCTTAGCCGAACCCTGTCTGTTATACAGGCGACTTTCCGAATATGTCGAGTCAGACGACGGCGGGCTCCTTGGCCAGAGTTTTCGCTCTGCCTTGAACATTGAGCTTCGTGCATACCTGCAGTTCGTTGCACAGCTCGAATCACAGATCAGACGAGCTTTGGCCCAGCTTCACGACGCAGAGCCGCGAAGGGGTATCGGCAAAGCTGGCGTTACACTCAAGAGATGCGTTCTGTGGAGCAGGGAGCCGACGGCCGCACTGCGGCTTCTCAACGTCATGGTCGAGCAAGCGAGGGAGAAGAAGGGCGGGCAACTGATATCCATGATACATTCGTTCGCTCTGAATCACGGCGACCCATTCGTCAAACAGGTCGCCGAACGTTTGCTTGCACACGTGGCAAAGCCATTTTACGACATGCTGCGGCAATGGATCTACGACGGCGAGCTGTCGGACCCGCATGGCGAATTTTTCGTCATAGAGCAGCAGGAAAAGATCGACGACAGCGACACCGTTGGCCGAAGAGGGGGCGCGACCAGCGTGTGGGAAGACAAGTACAAACTCGAGGCAACGATGGTGCCCACGATTCTCACCGACACGTTCGCCAAAAAAGTGTTTTTGATTGGAAAGTCATTAAATTTCATACGGCACGGCTGCTATGATGCGACCTGGGTACAGTCTTACTCGAGAGACGCTTCCCGGGAGCTCACGTATGGGGATACCGCGACATTAGAGTCAAGCATTGACGAGGCCTACAAGACTACAATGGCACGACTCATACACCTCATGGCCACCAAGTTTCACTTATTTGACCATCTCGGTGCGCTAAAGAAGTACTTGCTTCTTGGAGCTGGAGATTTCATCTCCATCCTGATGGAATCGCTTGCGGCCAATTTGGAAAAGCCTGCAAACACACAATATCGACATACACTAACTGCACAGCTTGAGCATGCCGTACGCAACTCAAACGCGCAATACGACTCGCCGGACGTCCTGAGACGGCTGGATAGCCGCATGCTTGAGTTGAGCCACGGCGAGATTGGGTGGGACGTATTCACGCTCGAGTACAAAATCTCACCTCCCGTGGATGTCATCATCACGCCATATGGCTCAAAGCAGTACTTGAAAGTATTCAACTTCTTGTGGCGTGTGAAACGCGTCGAATACGCGTTGAACACGACGTGGCGCAGATGCATGACGGGCTCTCGCACTGCGCTGAGGAACGTGGAAGACCTCACGGGGCGTGACTGGAAGACGGCAAGATGCGTTGTTGCTGAGATGGTGCATTTCGTCTCGCAATTGCAGTACTACATCTTATTCGAAGTGATCGAAAGCTCGTGGAACGAGTTGGACCAAGCCATGCACAAGCCGGACTCCACACTCGATGATTTCATTCAAGCACACGCGAAATACCTCAGCTCAATCACGAGGAAGGGCCTGCTTGGAAGCGGCAGCATTGACTTTACCAGCCAATTGCATGAGATCCTCAAGACGATGTTGTCTTATAAGGACGCCGTCGATGGGCTGTACGGCGTCAGCGTCGCGGAAAACCTGAAGCGACAGAACCTGTCGGCAAAGATAGAGACCAGAACTGCGGCTGGGAAATGGGGTCTTTCGGAGCGTGATCGCGATTCCTTTGATCCGGACTCCGCAGCCCCTACTCCGTCTCTCAAGCTCGGTAAAGGGACCGAATCATCACCGCTTCTTCCTCTGCCAGCAGGCTTGTCTCAAGGTGTAAACGAGGAAGATGTGTTGGTCTCGATACGGAAACGTTTGACAGACTTGGCTGGCGAGTTCAAGGCGCGTGTCAACATGCTGTTGGGAGATCTGTATTACCAACCTGACGCGGACATGAGGTGGCTGGCTATGGTGATGAACTTTAATGACGTGTACCAGCCAGTAAGGAGACGTAAGAGAACCGCTGGCAGCAGGGACAAGGAACGTGAAAAAGAAAAAGGCAAGGCGAAAGCTACGACCTGAGCGGTGTTGTGACGTGGTCTACACTTTTTGTCACACCTCATCAGTCCTACGTCTCGCCGACTGCTCTGGGACGAGGGATTCCCATGTGCATAACCCCAGATCGTCAGCACCAATTCGAAGCAGGTGATTTGTCGCACTTAGAGAGGAGGCTGTGTTACATCTTACAGGGTGGGGAGGAACACGCATGATCCAAACGATGCACTGTGTGTGTATTTCCTGCGTATGTTCTTCGGATCATGTAGAAAAGGAGCATGTGCTGAGGCCAAATTAGGACTATTGAAACCGCACAGATGGAAAAGCACGAGGTGGCTGGCTTATCTAGTGACGGGATACGAAATCGAGATGACATTAAAACGCAGATCCTTTTGAAGTAGTTCGCGTACAGTGATATTCCTTGGAATCCCACGTCAACATTGGTCCTTTGATGGGCCGAAAGTGCTTACTCAGGCTGGACATGTACAGTTTCAAGAGATGTCTGAGTCTGCGATCACACCATCGAGCGTTCCAGCTCGTACTCACAGTTCCAGCAAAGCGGTTCGAGTTATGGCTTAGCTGTCGGTTGGAAGAAAAAAAAATGCGCAGAATAGAAATGAAACAAAACGTGTTCCCACGGAGCCGGTAGCGATGCTGAAAGCGATGTTTTTTCATCCTTCCGATGTTGCGATCCCCCTGTCCAAAAGCGGATACTGTGATTACAGAACCAGGCCAATCGCGGTGGATCCAAGTCCAAGGTCGAGTATCTGACCAAGGCGGTACGGACGTGAGTTCCTGCAGCGAATGGCGTCGTCACTGTTGCGCGTGAACATCGGTGACGCAGTTGGCGGGCCCTGGACAAGCCTGATCGTGCGTTGGCCAATCCTCATGGGCAAGACAACCCAGTAGAGTGGCGAACCCAGCACCGATTACCATGAACCTATGAGCGTTCGCGGCGCAGCCCGTTCGATAGCATTGCCTCTGCAGCATGGCCCAGTGGTGATCCTTCAACGAAGAAGGCAAATGTTTGGGGGGGGGGGGGAAGGGGTGTGGGTGGGTTCCTGTATGGAGAGCTTGTGCCAAAGAAGATGCGTTTGTGAATAGGTAGGGTATGTGGTTGTGTCAGAAGTCGCATGGGAAGTTCGACAAACGCGGCTGTGGGCCGCACCTCCCTACAGTCCAAACAAGTACAAGGCAGTCAGTTGCCTGCTTTCGCGAGGAGCTGGAGGCCGCTTGGCTTCAGCTGTGCGTGTGACCGGTCTGAGGCCGTTTGATTTGGACTGCATTGTCCTGAACATGTGCGGTCGGGGAAAGGCAGATCTATAATATGTCCAGAGGGCGAGGATGCCACCAAACGTGGGGGTCAGCATACAGGGTGGTGTTTTTCCACGCAGCAACTGGGTCATATTGGGATCCCAAAACGCTGGATTGATAGGCGCCATTCCGTTGACAAATCTGCTGTAACAGCGGCGAGCCTCACTAACGGCTGCGCAGGAACATTCCGACGGGGAAAGGACATGTGCGAGGCAAGTCACCTGCAGCGTGATGTGATGAGAAGCGCATACCTGGCAACCGCTAACATAACTTTAGGCAAGCCTGAGAAGTCAGGTGACTTGCTAGCATTCCACCATGGCTCCTGGTCCGCGACCGTATATTGTAATCTACTAATGCAGAATGCAAGGTACCTTCGTCATCAAGTCGCAAGGGGCTTTATGGGCCTGGGATGTTTGTCTTGCTTTTTTCGAAGTCATGGTCCATAGTCCAAATAGAGTTTTAATGCCGTGAGAAAAGCAAAAAGCCCGGGGGTCTGGGTGTAGCAAGAGAATTGGGCACCATATAAATGAAGCTAGCACTGTTTGGGCCTCGTCGAGATAGCCTCCAGCACACAGGACCCATTTCCCCCCTGTTCTTCAGTTTGACATGGGAAAGGCGTTCTCCTGTTGTCAGCGGTTGCCAATACTCTGTAATGAGAATTCTGTCCAGAAAGGAAAAGAGAAATTAGAAACCAGATTTCCACGCTACGAGATAGCTCCCGTGGAACATAGAAGGAGACAAGCATAAACACACTCACACACAGACACACACACACACACACAGAGAGAGAGAGAGAGAGAGAGAGAGAGAGAGAGAGATTGAGGTGTACACACATCTGACAAAGTGAAACGTGTTGTTCGCAGGACATGGCATGCAATTTGAACGAAGTCCATTAGAAGGACGGAGTCCTCCGAATCCTTTCCTCCTTCGAACTCCTGCTCGCGTATAGCGGCAAATCTAATCCTTTCGTGGGCCCAGCAAACATACCGTGAGTGGCAGGCACGCGAAAAATGGCAGATTGGCGTCGGCTCAAGGTCCGAACTTGTTGCATCCACTTCTCGACGACGCAGATCGAGAATCGAAACACACGGTAGGGAAAAAAAATCGTGCGCAGGAACCGTTGATTCGAACACCTCACGACTATTTGTTGGGCCGCGTGAATTTGGAGGGATGTTGCAAATTGCATTCAACCTAGCATGCATCATCCACAACAACCTTGTATTATGACCTGCTAAGAACTAGAGGGTGGCAAACACTTTTGGCGGTGAGCGAGTACAATGGCTTTCCAGAAGGCGTGTTGGAAGTACCGAGCTGTTGGGAGACAGCGTGCCAAGAGGGAGTGGAAAAGCAGGCCAGCAGCAAACGGCGCCGGTGTAAAATGTCGATGTCATAAGAAACAGGCCCCCCTCAGCTGCTCGGGGCATTGCCAACACCACGAGCGATCTTACGTTTTGAATTGATTTGTCGTCACATCGCGTTTGGCAAGAGAAACTTTGCCTGAAGCGAGGGTACAAATGTGCCTGGCGAAATTACATCCATTTGTCGAAGCAATTAGGGAATCAATGGGCCGTCGTAATTCCTCGTCCTGTGACCGAATGTGGGTTTTCCAACCCTTCTGTCGATCCCTGGAGAGGAGATCCTGCTTCTGGGTGTGCAGAGATCACCAACGTGCCCTCCACGATCAGGAGAGGCGCTTACGCCAGCATGATTTTTTTTTTTTTCCCTGATTGCCGACGACCTCTGTATTGGTTGCTTATACATGTCGTTGAATGGCAACAATGTCTTCTAGTCTCTATTTCGGCCGTGTTGGGAGATTCAGATGCACAAATCATTGTCTCATCATTAGCGGCGATATTAGTTTTCCATGACAATTAAAAGCAAAGTGGGCTGGATTTGTTGGCCTCATTCTTCAGCGGCTTGCGGCATCTGACTGTTTTCCGCCTCGCCATTTTGGTGCTTGAGGCTTGCTGCCTGAAGCTGACTCGCGCTGACCTGAAGCCGTTTCCCTACTAGCTGCGTCCGCGAAGCTGTGGCATGGGACGTCGTCCGTGGACTAATCATGCGAATGTTTGTCAGGACAAGAAATCACAGCTTGCTCATGGTCGAGGCAAAATATGCTTCATTGAATGGTCCCGTTTGTCGCGTGATGAATTTCCACATTGAGTGCCACGAACTAGCGCACAAATAGTCTCGCCTGTGAGTATACTTGTAGAGTACTGCCGTGCCGTTCATCAGGTCGAGGAGCGAGGGCGATGTGGGACTAGGCGACGACATTGATGTGCTCGAACATGCCCAGCTCTAGCTTTCCACGCGACAAGGATACTTGTAGTAAGCGTTAAGGCAGGCAGAAGGACACGCACAAGCTAGTTGCAGGAGGACGAAAGGCTCACAGTACACGGAGGGTGCGTCTTGTAACGGTGCGACGGCGAGAAATTTCTGGAGATTTGGATGCGATGTCGCGCGATCGGATTCGTGATCCTGGTAGCAACTGCTAAGTTCAGGCGTGTCTGAAAATTCCAGAAGGTGCGAGGGCGTCCAATCGCGGTCACGCCGTAGGTCTGGGTTGCGTGTGTGCCCGTCGCCCAGTCGTGAGACAGAAAAGGCAGCAAAAACAAAAAACACCTGCCACGCTGTGACAATGCAGGGCGGGCCTCGTATTTGCGAGTTACAAGAAAAGGGACAAGCGTAGGAGATGATCAGACAGGTGTGTTTGCAAGGCTGAGGTTGGAGGAATATGGCGCATTCACCCTGGAAGCGAGGCAGATCTGCTGACCAGCATTCCCAACGCGATCTCATTGATGCGAATGGTATCTCCGAGCCGGTGGAAAAGCTGTCTAGCGGTGGATTTCATGCAGTGCAGCATCGACAAGAACGTCAGGACGGACATCTTGCGTATCGGCAAGGTCCAGGCGAGGATTGGTGGCGGTTCTGGTTCCGATCCAGAGACGGTCGCTCTACAGCGGGGTGGGTGACGCGCCATGTCCGCAGAAGATGGGACGGAATTTCTTTTTTCTTTTCTTTTTTTTTCCCTTTTTTTTCGGTTGAGCGACAAATCAAAGGATGCGATTTGAAAAGGTTTCTAGACAAAATTCACGAAGCTCTCAACGTGGGAGCCATTCCTCAGGTGCATGTGTGGTTCACGAACGAGGGCGCGTGGACGCAGGCGATCAGCGATCAGCCGCGGCAGGTGACGAAGAGGGCGTGGGCAGCCGCGACGAAGAGCACGAGGGGAATCATCAGGGATATCAAAGCAGAAGACGGGGCGTAGTCCACCAAGCGCTGGTGGTTGGACGCTTTTGTCACACGGACTGCAAGCGCACAGCAGTCAAGGTCGCCGTTCGTCGTTGCCGTTTGTCGTCGTGGTCGTGGTCGTGGTCGTAGTCCTCGTCGCAGCCGTAGCAGCAGCAGCACGAGCAGGCGTGGCAGTGGCAGCAGGAGCAGCCCGCGACATTAGCGGCAGCCAGCTCCCCACAACGCGGTTGGCAGACGTAACCAGCCAGAATAACAAATAAGTGTAGCAAAAGGAAGGAGCAGCTGCAGCCACGACGAGTGTGCAGTCATGCTCTGGCGCCGAGTGGGCAGCTGGGGCGCTGGGCGCAGGCGGATATGGGACAGGGAGCAAGGTCAGGCCTGGCCGCAGGGGGCGTCCTTGCCAATACCGACGGGCTGGACACACCATTGTCCGTGGTGTGGACAGACTTGGTAGCCAACCAAAGCGCCCCAGTTACCGGATCCCAGACTGCTGGAAGGTTGCAGAGCGCGTTGCCGCTCTCGATTCGACGAGCGTAGCCCTCTGCGTGCCCAGTCGGTCCTAGCCTCGCGATGCTCCAAAAGCACCGTCAGGATGCAGGCCCGCCAGTCCGGCACCAAAGCAAAATCTCCACGGACGTAGTCATCAAATCTCATCTCTGTGGCCACCGTGTATCGCTTGCTGGCCGGCTCCCTCGATCGCCTTTCCCACTCGCCCACCCCCTTCATCTCGCCCAGGGGCGCGTAGGACTCTGCCTTCCATCCGCATGCTGCTTGTTCGAGCAGATTGCCTCTGTGCCGTCTCCTTGCTCCGGAGACCTGGTCAGGGAGTGTGCGCCATCGGAACATTCAAGCAGCCACAGTAGTTCCCGCCTTGGAGTGGCAGGCAGCACAGGCTTTGTGCAGCAGCGACAGAAACAGGAGCAGGAGCGGCAAGGAGTAGAACAAAAAGAAAAGAAGCGTCAGAAAAAAAAACCAACACACACGTAAGAAAAAGAAAGAAAAGAAATGAGCTCGCGCCATGCGGGATCGAATAGGGAGCTGTGGGAGTTCTGCGAGGAACAGAGGCAAGGAGAGGGGAGGGAAAGGTGTGGAGAGAGAGCGCGAGATAGGTAGTGTGTACCGTGCGTGCTGTACATATGGGCAGATGTACATCGAAGAACGGAATGTGCATGTGCAGCACGACTGGGCGGAGTGGATCTGACGGTTCAGTCCACGGGTGCTGGCACGGGGCGACACCGCAGCGGTGCACACGGAGAAGCAGAGAGACGGACGTCGCGCGGGCAGCGCGAACCGGAGAGGGCAGGCTGCCGACGACATGCAGAGGAGCGGAGGATGCTGGGCTGCAAGCGCGCCTCGACGACGACAACGACCAGGACGGCGACAAAAGCCACGACGACAGCCAACGCGGCAGCCAGGCGGGCGGCGGCTGTAGGGAGCGCGCCGGCAAACAGGAAGAGGAAGAGGAAGAGGAAGAGCAGGCGGGAGAAGAACATGAAGAAGACGAAGGACAGGGAAGGTGAAGGCGCATGGAGGACAGGTGTGGGAGCCATTGGGGAGGATTAGAGCCGTGGCTGCTCAGCGTGGACGGGCGCGTACGAGTGCGGGCGCAAACGAGGAGAGGGCTCGTAATAATTCCAACGGTGGCCTCACCAGGCGCAAGAGCATCGCTGACCCCCTCAGCCGTGCAATCCTCCTTGGGTCGACCACCGCCCTCTGCCGGTCTGCACGCTCTCCGCTGATCAACGTTAAAGCCCGCGTACACCCCGGCCTGACCCAGCACTAGCTGAGTCTTTCTGCGCTCTTCGACTTTAAATATTTGATTCTTGACCGTCCCCTGGCTTCTCCCGTGCCACCCTCGCTCTTTGAACTTCGCCCCCGTCCGGCTCGCACTGACAGACGACCGTGTTGTCGGTAACCCAACCATTTGCAGACTCCACTGCTAAGTGCGACCCTCAGCGCCGTCTCATGACCTGCTGGCAGCTATAAGCAGGCCCTGGTACTCGACTTTCCCGAAACTTTTCCTCCAGACCTTTCCAAGCTCCAATTCCTTTCCACACGCCTCGCCAGTGTGCGTTGCCAAACCGCTTTTCGGGCCAGATGGTTACGATGGCTTCGAACGGGTGAGTATTCCGCACTCGGCTGCACACCGACGCTCGTTCGCCATTTGGCTGCGGCGGCAGCAGCGCGAGCAACAAACACCACGAACCACTCCCGTTTGACAGGCGACGGGCGGCGGGCCGGATGTTTTCCATACGCTCTTCTCTCGCTCCTGTCACCCACTCTCTACCTATCTCCCTCTCTCGCTCGCGCACATATGCACACACTACACCTGCACCCACTCACCCACCCTCTCTTACGCTCTCTCTCCTTTCCCTCTCCTTCACATACACGCACAGACACATCAGAGCACACAAAGTCCTCCCGCTCTCAGCACAGACACCACTTACCACCCCTCGTCCTCCGCACCCTGCACCCTTCGGCCTGCCAGACGAGGTGATCGAAGCACGCGGAACTTCAGGGCTGACTCGACTCTCTTCTTGCTCGCAGGTTGGCAGTACCGGCGGCACAGAATTATGTGGAGAATGGACGACTCTATCACGGCTTTCGGCGGGGCGTCTACATGTATCCTTGCGACGAGGTATGCGTTTTCCACGATGACCATGTCCCCAGACTAGCCGCTGACTCGCGCGCGCGCCCGCAGGAGGAGAAGGATCGTATGGACATTTACCATAAAATCTTTGAGGTTGCACGAAGAGGACAACTGCATCAGGCGCCCATCTACGTAAACCCTCACGATCCTCCACGCATACTCGATCTTGGATGCGGAACAGGGATTTGGGCAATCGACATGGCCGAGTAAGTTCACACGCCTTTAGCGAAATCAAATTCGATCGCAAAGAGCTCTTCCGACTATCCGGCTCTCAATATTTGCCCGCCGATCAGTCCGAGGCAGCACAAGAAAAGAAAATAAAATTACCGACCCATTCGACATTTCTTCTTTGCATGAGAAAACGACGTTTGCTGACTATGAAATTTCTTGTTTTTAGTAAATATCAGACTGCTGAGGTATGTGCTTTAGTCAAGCTGGCATTCACCTTTTTTTTTTCCTCCAGAATCTCAAACCTTACCTGCTTTTATTTTTTTTTTTTTTTTTTGTTCAGCTCAGGTATACAGGCTAATCACTGGCGTGCAGGTCGTAGGACTTGATCTTGTCAATATCCAGCCCGAGAAGTGAGGCTATTTTCATCTGACGGAATTCCGGGCCTAGGCCGCTAACGTATGCAATAGAATCCCACCTAATCTGCGATTTCGCGTCCCGCGCGACTTCGAAAGCCACGTGTGGAGTCTCGGTGAAGATTCTTGGGATTTGATACATTTGCAGCAGGCCAGTGGCAGCGTGTCTAGTTGGCCAGAGTTGTACCAGAAGATTTTTCAGTATGTTGGGGAAAAAAAGGCCCATCGTCTTGGCCGGCTATCGCGCGTGCGAGCTGTCACAGCTGACCTGCAGCAGGCACCTGAAGCCGGGCATTGGCTGGATAGAACAAGTCGAAATCGATCTTGAGCCCCGCTGCGACGACGGAACTTTGCCGAGCAATTCGTATCTCGTGCAATGGTATAACTATCTCGCAGACGCAACGCAAAGAGCTGATCGTCCAATTGCGTATCAACACACCACGAGACAGATGCTGCAGGCCGCCGGCTTCATTGATATCCAGGAAACTATTATCAGAGCCCCTCTGAATGGCTGGCCTTCAGATCCACATCAGAAAACCATTGGTCGCTGGTACAACCTCGGCCTGACAGATGGAATTGACGCGCTCAGCTTAGCACCATTCACTCGAGTCAATCGATGGAGCGCGGAAGAACACGTTCGACCGCTGGTGAAGGAGGTCAAGAAGGAGATCTCAAAGTCAAAGTTTCATGCTTACAACAACATGTGAGTTCTGTGTTCTTTGTTCTTCTTTGGCGGGGAGGGAGTGCACATATCCTCCGATCATCGGGCGTTGCTAACGTGCCTTAGTCACATATGGACTGCCAGAAGACCGGTGCAATGATTGTAGGAGTGGAGCTCTGCAGGCGCATGTTACTCCCCCTCTGATCGTGCACCGTCCAATATCATTCATCTCTCACTAACGCCTTTGTGGCTAACGTGAATCGCTCAATGGCATTGCTACCATTGCGCACGAACCGAAACCTACCTAACTTCTCTCACCCACGCAGACTCCAATACACCGCACGATCTTCCTCCCTCCTTCTTTCTCTCAGACAGACAAAGACTACGCAGACCGACAGTGAAACACGCGGATCCAACTGACAGCAATCCTAATCACCTCTAAACATGCGTAAGGTACGCGTAATACGGCGACACGGCTATATCCCTACCAAGTCTAGACCTTGGTTTTTTTACCCCCGACTGGCGGTACTCATCCTTCGTAACGTAGGTTGTCTAAGTATGGACTATTTCGTAGATCGACCGGCGGGCAAAGCTTTGGTGCAGCAGCCTTTGCTCAACGCGGGACGTTGCTCAACAAAGGATGATTTGACGACAGACCATTTTCCCGCGAAAGGAGGATGCTAGTTCATCTATTCTATTTCTAGTCTTGGTTTTCTTTCTTGTGAATTCTGAGAGAGCTCAACTGGACATCAAAATAGGGCGGGTGGTCTATCATGAGCTTCATATTTGGCGTTTGAATTGTGGGCATCTGTTAGCTCCGATACCATGTACAGCAACAGGTTGGAAGAGGTAGCACCAGGCATGGGTGGGCGCTCGTACAGCGAGTCTCTCGCCTTTTTTTTGAATTTAAATGCACATGAATTATTACAACGCTGATACGAATGCACGTACCGCGTCATGAGCCACTTGGCACGACGAGAAACTGGGGAAGATGAACGTGCGTAGGTGCAATGAGCGTACGTCAGGAATGCAACCTGATCATGGGTTGTCATCGTAATCTTTGGCGAGGACGCCGGATCATGCTTGGAAGGCTTTTGAGAGGGCAGCAGGGACTGTTCAGCTCCCCATGAGGCATGTACCAAAGTCACATTCCCCTTGTACATCTCGCCTCCACCAGAATCCTTCTGCTAGTCTTTCCTCAGTTTGTGACAGCTGCAGCAGGGCCGTTCCGCTGGAGCCTATCGCCAGCTTGGCAGTCCTGCATGCCTTGAACCAAGTACGTAGATCGTCATGCGGGCAAAAAGAGTCGAGCTCTAGAAAAGCGAGACGCTGTCCCATGGGGACGCCCGGTACACAGGCCGCAGCGAAGCTTGTAGTACGTGTACAAGCTCTCCGTCAGGCTCATGACGGAGCTTTCCAGCCACGCTGCTGCAGGATCGTTCGATGAAAGGGCCCAATTCGTTTGCATGTGCATCGGGGTACCATGATACCCCAGACTTTTTTCTCCGCCTTTCGCCAGCTTTTGGACATGGTTTGGGATCGTTGCCCTAGACAGCGGTCTGACATATTGCACGGCAGAGGGGGTGTCCCCGGGGGGGGGGGGGGCGGGGGATGCCCCAAGTGTCATTTTTTTGTGAACGTTGTGACGTCGTTTTCGTCCAAAAAAAAAAAAAGTCTTTTCCCATTTGTTAAATCGTTCCGTGCTGGAGCTGCGGCGGCGTCCACGAGATTTCGGGAAGAGGGGAGCGGAGATGGGAAGGTTGGAGACACATAGCTCGGCTTGCAGCGGGCCAGCCTCAGACGGAAAATGAGTTCCCGGGGAGCCGACAGCTGTTTGCCAGCGAGAGAGAAGAAGAGGGCCCGCCCTGGGATCGTCCTTTTCGCGGGCCATGCATGGGCGCAGCTCCCCCAAATTCCTGTCAAAGAAAAAAAAAAGAAGGGAAAAAAAAATCAATAACGCTCACGCCTTCTCCTGTGCTTCGACTCTTTGTTTTGTTTTGTTTTTTTTTTCCCCATTTCACGTTTCGTGTGTGGTGCGACTCATCTGCAAGGCCCTCCTCCTTCTCGCTTAGATACATCTTGACCGTACGAGACCATGGCTGCGCTGGCGAGATCTCTTCGACCTCTTGTCCGGGCTGCCGCTGCTGCTGCCCCGAAGGGGAGCCGTCAAGGCCTTCGCCCCTCCCCGCAGTAAATATTGCCCTTCCCACGGCTCACCCATGCACATGCTTCGCTTTTGTTTGTACATGCGTGTGCGTGTGTGTTTGTCGGTGGTGGTTGTTTGCAATGGCCGGCCCGCTGACCGCAACACAGGATCCTGACGACGCGATGTCTGTCGAGCACCTGCAGGAGACGGCAGACGGCCGAGCCCATTGACCTCAGCGACGTCCCGCCGACGCCGATCACGCACAGGTCCGAAGTGGAATCCCTCATGGCCGATCAGGTGTCCAAGTTTGCGCGGGAGGTCGTCGAGCCCAAGGCAAGGGAGATGGACGAGGCGGAGATGATGGACCCTGCCGTCGTCGAGCAGATGTTCGAACAAGGTCTTATGGGCATCGAGATCCCGGAGGAGTACGGCGGCGCCGGCATGAACTTCACGGCTGCCATTGTGGCCATTGAGGAGCTTGCCAGGGTCGATCCAAGCGTCAGCGTCATGTGCGACGTCCACAACACGCTGGTCAACACTGCCATCATGAAATACGGCACCGAGGAGATCAAGAGAAAGTGGCTACCTCGACTGGCGACGGACACGGTTGGTACGTCTGCGTGTTGAAACACCTGCAAATGCTTTGTCCTCTTATATTTTTAATATTTTGTTTTTTCATGTTTTCGCCTTGTCTCGGCCCCGGGGGAATAAGACGTTTCTAACGTCACTCTAGGCTCCTTCTGTCTGTCCGAGCCCGTGTCGGGCTCCGACGCTTTCGCGATGGCTACCAAGGCCACCAAGACGGAAAACGGTTACGTGATCAATGGCGGCAAGATGTGGATCACCAACAGCATGGAGGCCGGCTGCTTCATTGTCTTTGCCAATCTTGACCCCTCGAAGGGTTACCGAGGAATCACCGCCTTCATTGTGGAGAAGGGAGACAAGGGCTTTTCCATTGCCAAAAAGGAAAAGAAGCTCGGCATCAAGGCCAGCAGTACCTGCGTGATCAACTTTGACGATTTGGAGATCCCCAAGGACCGACTCCTCGGCAAGGAGGGTGAAGGATACAAGTATGCCATTGGCCTCCTCAACGAGGGTCGCATTGGAATCGCTGCACAAATGACTGGCCTCGCTCTAGGCGCGTGGGAAAACGCTGCGCGGTAAGTTTTAGCTCCTCCTTGTCAAACCTGTTATGGCTCTGTCGTGCTCCATTTCTAGCCATCCATTGAAGAGGGGTCAGCAGCAGCACCCACTCCGCCGTCCAAGACAGCCGATAGCGTTCGAGCTGTGCGTCTAAAGTTTTGTTCTGACTCGTGGCTGTGGCGCGCATTAACGCCTCTAGTTCACGAGTTTGGACATCGGAAGCGAGCTAAATCAAGCCTGACATCCCCCGGACTTTTACACGCTTAGCATCGATCGTCAGACCCTTTACGCTAACGACTTGTTTGCTTTAGATACTGCTGGAATGATCGCAAGCAATTTGGCCAGCTGATCGGTGAATTCCAGGGTATGCAGCACCAGATGGCTCAAGCGTACACGGAGATTGCGGCAGCCAGAGCCTTGGTGTACAATGCTTCGCGCAAGAAGGAGGCAGGCGAGGAATTTGTCAAGGACGCCGCGATGGCTAAGCTCTACGCCAGCCAAGTCGCTGGAAAGGTATCCAGTCTGGCCGTCGAATGGATGGGTGGCATGGGTTTCGTCAGGGAAGGTTTGGCCGAGAAGTACTTCAGAGATAGCAAGATTGGTGTTATCTACGAAGGAACGAGCAACATCCAATTGACGACCATCGCGAAGCTGCTGCAGAAGGAATACACGAGGTAGAACCGGACCCAAGCAGTTGGGGGCGGCGGCTGAGCGGTTAAATCGCATTAGCGCAATTCATAAGCTTGGATTCTCTGCCGGGCTAGTCTGTGGAGTCAAAGCGTTATCTATAACCTGTATGTAAGCATGAACTCGGAGTATAGCCCTTTGGTGGAGACTGTAATCCAAGCCTCCCTAAAAAAAAGTCTCTCCTTTCACAAGCGTCACAGCCCCTCCATCAACTCCTTCAAAGTTATCGGCTTCCTGACGGCATTGCTGAACCCTTCGTGGTAGCTAACCCAGACGCGATTTTTGGTTGTGCTGTTCACGGCCAGGTCTTGAGTCCGTGACCCACCACCCGAGTCGTCTAATGATTCAGTAGTCCCAGCCGTCTCTCTAACCACTCGCCCAAAGAAGTCTTTCTTCACCGCGGCCCTTCGCAGGTCGAGCTGCTTTGCGTCGGTGCCAACTCCGACTTCGTGTCCAGCCATCTTCTTAAGCCGTGTCTCCTCGCCCTTTTTCAGCTCCTGCTTCCGCCACTCCAGCTCCAGAACTTGTCGGACCGCGTATCTGACGCCTCTGTCTTGGCCTTTCAAGGTCTCGAACGTGCCCAGCGAATCCAGAGGCGGTTCCATTCGGTATACCCAACCGCCGGATGCGCCTTTGTTGGACGCGCTCTCCGTCTCCACGCGGGACTTTTCAAAGCGCACGCCCGTGGCGGCCATACATTCCACCGCGCGGGCGACCAGCGCTCTTTCAGACGCCTTTCGTACAGACGCTGTAGGCGCTGACTTGGCTCCGGCGGCATGGGAATTGATGACCACAGGCTTGATGTCGGGCGCAAGCATGCGAAGAGTGTATGGGAGGAGTTCTGTAGCGATGTCGGCATGAGAGCGATACATCCTTGCCAAAGGTATCGATAGTGAGCCCTGTAGGGACGTGATCGAGGCGGTATTGGCTTTCATGGACTCCGCAGCAGTGTATGGCGCTGCTGGTCCTGAGAACGGCATGTTTTCTACCTCATCCTCATCCTCCTTGGTTCTATTGCCGTACCTGTGAACGGCAGCATGGGAACTCGCAAACAGGTCGTGGAATGCGAGGATGGACGTAGACATATAAGGCGCAAGCTCCCACTCCTGCGATCCTGTGATCTGCGAAGACAGAAGGTCATGGAAATAGAGCCAGTCGTACGCGTTGTTTGGCTTGCTCAGAAATGTATCGTCTTGGATCGGTCGCGTGGGGTAGGTCGTGAAACAATCCATCAGAATGCGATCCGTCTCTCCACTCGTATCAATCATCTCCCGCAGGCGTTCCATTGTTTGTCTCTTTGATCCTTCCGCAACGCCGACCACTCTTTCTCCATCTCCAGGAGGTTGGACTGCATTCGCTGTGATGGGACTCGTCCTCGGAAAACCTGCTCCTTCTTGAAAGACACGATCAACAACTTCTTTGACACTGCCTCGACCAAGTGAACGTGCGGAGCCTCCGCCATGACTCAATTCACCAAGTATATTGCTTTCAATCCACTTTCTTGTTAATCTCGGACATGGTCCAGTCTGCGAGGAACTAGAAGCCCGCAACTTCGTAGCAACCCATTCGCTGACAACCAGGACACTTCTGATGTCTCCTTCACTAGTTCCTGCTTCATTGCCTACCTCTTTGTTCGAGCTCATCCCCCATGTAGCTTCGCAAAGACGGCGTACGCCGTCAATGTCACTGGGAATGCCTTCCTTCTCAAAGATACTGTGTACCCTCGAAATGACCATATTCAAATTCGGTTTCCTCATATGCACTATCTCGGCCACCGAGCTTTGACGAAGTGGCCGAAGGGAAGGGTGATAGATATCGTTGCAAATCAGAATGAGAGGTCGTAGCATCCGAAATTGTTGGCCCTTCTTCTGCTTCTTAGGTCTGCTAGGGTCATTTTGCGTAGCGTTCAACCTCGAATTTCGTTCGTCCAAGGCAATAAGATCGATAAGAGCCTTGATGAATCCGCCTTCGCCGGCACCACCACTATTACCGCCAACAACGCCATCAACTTCGTCGACAATAACACAAACGGGACGGCCAGCTTTCCTCGTTTTACCTCTTTCAGTTTCGAGGTGCTGACCACGGACATTCTCTGTGCCAACCATATCTCGGATGCGCCCCTTTACGACATCCTTGCTTCGCTCATCGCTGGCGCTGATTTCTTGCACCTCGTATCCAGCTTGTTTAGCACAAACGTGGGCAAGAGTTGTCTTACCAAGGCCAGGAGGGCCGCTTAAGAGAAGCACTTTCTTGTGCGGACGTTCGTCATTTTGCTCGTTGTGTTTCCTAGAGAGCAAATGCTTCTTCTTGCTAGAGCCAGGAAAGACGATGCTATCCCATGCCTTCAGCCACCGTAAGACCGAGCGATGGGTTCGTTCATCTCCTACAAGATCGGTGAATTTCCGTGCCCTATACTTTTCGGTCCACAACAGAGTCCTCTGTTTCTTGCGCGATACACCAGGTTCTTGATCTTGTTCAACGCTTGGTAGAACATTAGTAGTTTCCCCTGAGGTCGCCGTCTTTACCTTGGCTTGCTGTGAAATGTCATTTAACAGCCGATGGATATCCACACCATAGAAGCTGCGTCTCGCATGACCCTCGATATGTTCTGAACGGGCGGCAACAAGCTGCTCGTACGTCTGACTAGCCTTCTTCCTTCGCTCTCCTACATAAATGCCTCGTCCTGAGCATGTCTGTATCTTGAGCAAGGTCCTGTGTCCAGCCTGGTTACAGAGCCCAAGGCCAGATTCAGCACTTACTTGCGAGTCCTGCTCAGCGGTATCAAAAGCATACGCAAAGTCAGACTGATAGGTTTGAGCTAGTTGTTTCTCGTTGAATAGGCTATCCACGCAAATCACAGTGCCTGGCTCTGGCTGCTGCGGTGCACTCGCTGGTGGTGACAGGCGTGGTTTCTTGTGGACAGGGCCCAAATCTGTGTCGTCATCTTCGTCGAAATCATCGTCAATAAATCCTCCTCGAAGAACGTTGGTATTCACTTCTTTCAACGGATTTCTGTCGTCGCTAAATTTCCTCCTCTTACTTGGTGAGTCGAGGCTTGGTGGAGACGAAGTAGCTGGGTACACGATAGGCGAAGATGCAGCGGCCACTGTCATGATTGGTGGTGTTGGTGGTGGTGGTGGTGGTGATGATGATGGCAGAGTGGGATGATTGCCAAAGCTTTTGCTGGGCGTGACTGCTGACATGTCAACAGGTATTCCGCGTATTGTCGGACAAAGGCAATACCAATGGGGTAATCCTCCTCGCTACGAAAGACGTCTGCCACGTTCCAAGCCCGATGATGTACAACAACTCTCTCCCTCGTCTTTTGCTGCCGAACGTCTTCGATGTGGCGATTCAGTTCGAGTAAATCTGCGGATAGAGCCGCTGTCGCGTACGCGTCGTCCGAGAGTTGAGAATGCAAGTAAACGGCAGGATCAAACGAGCTCGGAAAATCTGGACTGGACGATAGGCTCATGGAGACATGTCGCTACCAATTAGAGCGTGGTCCAGATGGTGCCATGAACTGAGCTGAGATTTGTGGGTGGAAGAGTGGTCGCGGTGCTTCACGCACAACGCGTCACGCGTTCTGGCTCGATTTGACGTCAAAGCTGCAGCGACCGAGCCGAACCCCCCGCATCAGCAAACAGGATTCCGCCCTTGCTTTCATCCCAGCATGCACGCAATCGTCGTGCTCCAGAAGCAGCGGTGCGCTCAAATACTGCGCACCCCTCGCTGCCGTCAGCCTGGTCTGTCTGTCTCACCCAGACTCTTCATACCAGTTTCGTATCAATGCGCTGGCTTTGCGCGACTCTCATATAATGCCTCATCCATCACATGGGATTGTGGCAGGATAGTCTTGTTTATTGGCGTGACTTTGGTTATCCAGATTCGTCTCGACGCATCCTAGCAATGGCTCAAAATGTGGGAGAAGCAAACGCAAAGACATTCGCCGAGTACGTCGCCTACTCTCTTACTGCATGCGTGCAGCACGTGGTTTGAGACCTTCCTTCTTTGCTGTATATCCTGCTAAGAGCTCGAAAGACTGGTAGCGGGTCCTATCGTTGACGTATACGTCGGCGAAACAAAACAACACTGGCCTATACACCGCAATATACTGGCGTTCCATTCAGAGTATCTACAGACTGAGCTTCAGCACTCGCCGGACAGTACGCCCAGAAAAAAAGGTCAGACAGACAACTTGCGCCTGGACCTTCCAGACGATGATCCGGCTGGGTTCGAGCTGCTTGTTAAATGGCTGTATCAGGGCAAGATAGAAGACGTGTCAAACATCGCGGATGACCAAGACAAGTACGACTATGCTGTTTCGTGTCAAAAGCTGCATCAACTTTGTGAGAGACTTGATTTACCAAGGCTGAAGAATATAGCCATGGACCAGTATCGAAAGGCATTGAATCAGGCCGGACTTGTCCCTGATCCAGAAGAGCTAAATGTAATATACCGCCAGAGCGCTGAGCAGTCACCGTTTCGCAAGCTGATGGTTAACATCGCCGCAAGGCAGATCATGGATCCCGACAGCGACAAGGATGCTGAGAGCTACCGACCGTGCTTCGAAAACAACGCAGATTTCGCTGTGGAACTCATAAATGCAATCAAAAAGGGTATGGGTGGTTTACTCTTTGAGGATCCCACCGAGGAGACAGGCTGCGAGTATCACGACCATAATGAAGGCCCCAACTGCCACGTACGTGGCAAGAAGAAGCTAGGTAACTAATTCCCTGCCTCTTGCACGCACAACATATGCCCAGTCGTTTAAAAAGCCCTGAGGTTCGTCGAAACCCTTCCATCAGCCTCGCACAACGAAGATAGCTCGCTCACAATTCACCTAAAAGCCGTCTCGCGCTCAGACTTCTCTGCCAGACAAACAGATTCGTCACCATCCACTCCTGCAACTTCGCGACCAGGAGGGACGACCTCGCTCGCGACACCTCACATCAATGGCTTCGCTGAGACAAACGACAGATATCCGGCCTCGCGATCAGACGACGGAAAAGCTGAGAATAATTCCAACGACTACATTTGCCATGACGAACGGGGTAAAGAGGAGTTCGAGGACGACGACGATTTCAAATCCGCACTCTCCGAAGCAGGAACAAGCAGCTTCAGCCGAACGCCAACCCGCATCCTCAATTCTCCCAAGCCTGGAAGACGAACGCCGCGGAAAATCTCCAGGCGCAGTCTCGGATCTACAAGTGAATGGGAAGCACCTTCCGAGCGAGCCATCTCCAAGAGCAGAGAGGGAAGAGGGAGAGAGCCCGAAGAGTACAAGGAACAGGATACAGTATGAGAAGGCTATCAATCCCATCTGGGGTTGGGCGAGACTTGGCGGCTCGCGAACAAGTAGTATCGGTTAGCGAATAATGACTCGACCATCTTGTGAAGGATGGGTTGATTCTTACGATTTTCAAATACACCTATCGTGGGGGTTTTGTGCTTCCCGATGAAGATCCACAACCACTGGACCGTGGAGAGTATGGTATCTCTGCAGGTGGTACATATACACCATCGCCGGACATTGTCAGGTACATCTACTTCAAGACAGGGCATATGAGGTCTAGAAGATACGGAACCCAAGTGTGACAAGACCGAATAGGGACAGGAAAATAAAGGGCTGAGAAGGGATGACTATTCGTGAGAACATCATTGACTCATGGTGTCTTTTGGTATCCTAATTGACTCACTGGACTAGCCGGGTGATATCATCGCAGGTTATGTCGGACGTTGCAGGAATAATGGTACTAAGGAACTCCATACACTCCTCTCATATGCTACTGTGTTGGGAATCGTGACTTGATCGTAAAAACCACGCTCGAAAGCCTCTACAAGAAAACCTTCTTCGCCTGACTAGGTGATGACTCTGCGGGACAATAAGGACATTTGAATCTGGTGCCTTTGCTTATCCTCTCTAGAGAATCTCGGCATATGACGTGTCCACATGGCATTCGCATTGGTGGGTTGGAGTCTGTGGCTTGTTCCTTGCTGACAGGACACACAAAAATGGAATGGAAGTGGTAGGCTGGTGGAAGGGGTATCTCGATCTAATTTCCAAGCATATATGAGCATAGATTCTATCATCAGCATCTTTCACAACGGGTAAGCTTACCGGTAGTTCCTGTGCAGTCGTCCACTCAGTCCGATTCGCCTTCATGAGCGTCTTCGCTTTGTTCAATACTGGCAGGGCGATCGCGCCTGCTGTGACAGCCACATACAAGGGACTGTCGGCACTCAAGCCCAGTAATGAGCAGAATTCCCTTGTGAAGCTAGTCGCCACCTCGTCCCAAGCACTGGCATTGCCGAATATATGACCATATGGAGACTCTCTGATATTCTCCCAGAACGCGGCAGCTCCACTCAACTGGCATATTTCAGCTTCATACCGCTTCTGGAACGGAATTGCCTTGTTTCTAGCATATGCCAGGGCACGGAACGGCCCAGAAGCCTTTGCGTTCGGATCCTCGGTGTCTTCTCCGGCAAATACACGAGCAAACTCGAGTCGAAAGAGCTCAAATTCAAGGTTGCTCCCCCTCTTCTCTAGCTCATCGCTGTGTTTTCCAGCCCATTGAATAGCCGGCGTCAGGTTCCGCTCCTGCCGCAACGCGTGGAGAATGCTGTACATCTCCGAGAATTGCTTCTGCAATGAATCGGACTTGAACTCCCATGGCTGCTTGGAGGCTCCTTCATCGGCTGTGGCAGGCGGGTTTCTGTTTGCCTCGTCGAGAAATGTCGAGGCAACGCCGAATTGACCTTCACGGAGGAGGTGCATGGCGATTGCACGATTTATGAGGAAGTGCTGATTGGAGAGGGCATCATCTTCAGGTGTGAAGGCGGGGAGAGATTTGAATTTCTGTAAAACGAGGTTAGCAGGGTTTGATAAATACTCTCTGTCGAGCTGGTGTCGCATACCTTATCTAAAGCTTTGGAGTACTTGGTCTGGACAGCGTATGCATCATTCAGGTCGCTATTGGCTTTGTCAAACGATTCTTTGATAGGCTTCTTAAGATTCGCCATGGTAAGGCCCGCTGTAGCGTTATCTGTAAACACGCATTAGCTAAGTGCAACAAATTGCTTTGGCCAAATGTTATCTGGCTGACCATGTTGTATTTTGTCTCTTGCTTTCACGAGGATGTCAATCGCGGCCTGAACGTCCTCTATTGTCTTCTCCAAGTTCCCCTTCTGCGCCAGTGGCACCAGTTTCTCCTTAATTGCTTCCATGCTGGCGCCAAATAGAAAGAGGAGGCAGTGTGTAGACGATAATGTGGTAAAGTTTCGATTGGCGGTCGATCCTAGCTGGTCATCGATGGTTGTTGAGGGGTTTGCAAGGTTATGATGGAGCAGTCGACGACAAGATGAGACTTGCAAGGTACCCAACAGTTCTGGCGCAATATAACATAGTGCTTCTACGTATATTACAACCCTTGAGGACCATCTGTAGGGGGAGGAGAGCTTGCTGTGTTTGGGGCTTGACGTTCGAAGCTGGCCCACACCTATATGCAAGCATGTGCCACTTGCCGCCAACCATGACGATGTCAAGAGCATGGGTCAAACCAACCGCCCGTTGCAATCCAAATGACCAACACCTCTCATTAAGTTACCATGTCTTCTGTGCATGAACCATGAGGCCAAAACAGATCGCCTTACATGCACATATTTTTTCCGAATATTGCAGCTTCCACGATCTTCACAGCGCTGCAATGAGAGGCTCTGCTGTCGGCAGGCAGGACAGCTATCAACAACGACCGAGGGTGGGAGGAGATAGGGTATCAGAAACTCCGAGAGCAGACCACCATGTCTGGTAGCGGACAGCCTTCCAGGGCAGCTAGCAAACGTCTTATTGCAGCGCAGCCATCGTCAACAATGATCCCAACTGTTCACAGGTCGTCTATGTCGACATCGCGAACGGAGAGCACACTAGTACCGAACTCCCATGGCAACGAGAAGCCTTCTACACATCAGCGGTTCGTTTTTACCGACCCAGTGGCTTTCAGGTATCTCGAAGAAGATCCAACAACGCAGGTTCTAGTACGCAGAACCAAGCTCGTCGGCTACGAGACATACTTGGTCGAACAATGGGCTTGCTCGCGAACGCACCCTACCTTCCTCATTACGACCTACACCGGCGAGACAGCACACGAGATTATCTGCGGTGTTCTCAGCGTACCCATAAATGAGGACCTGTGGTCACCAAGACTGAAGACGTACTTTGATGCCATCCACAAGTACCATGCTAGGCGACGGGAAACAGCACTAGGCACAATATGGATTACAAATCTGAGTGCTTTCCCCTCGTCCCTTACCGTCATACCTGTGCCAGAAGGCGATCCAATCAAATACCGAGAGGATTTTTTCATCAACGAGAATTTGAAAAGGCTTGGATGTTCAGGTCGCACTGCGTTGACTTTGGCAAAGCCAGCAAGTTCGACGGTATCGAAGTTCTACCAGCTATACCGGGCAAGCGAGAAGATACCTTTTGGACAGGCGGTCCTTGAGTTGGTAAAGCTTTGTCAAGTTTCGCTTTTATTGTTTGACAAGCTCGAACCGGAGTACTGCGACAGTCTTCTATGTGATATGACGGAGAAGGCATTGAACGACTGGTGGGTTGAATTTGGCACCGAGTTTTACAATATCGAACCACACGATGGCATTTTAGGACCCACCACTGTAGCAGCTCTGATGGGACTCGTTATGGGCGCGAGAAACAGACTCCATGCATACGGCGCACCTGTACCTAAGGACGTATTTGAGATCGAACACATGAAGAGAGCCATAGCCTACTTTCAAAAGGCACAGCGGATGCCAAAGACGCGTCGGCTAGACCATGCAACACTGACCAGGCTTCATAGAGTCACCGCGAAAGCAGCTAATAACGAGGGATGGATTGTCCCACGTGCAATTAAGGGTACTGTTGCGGAGCTGGGTGGCAAGGGCGGTGAAATGGTCATGGATATGGTCGGTGCAAGGGATAAGTCTGGTATCACTGAAGTTGAAACTCCGGATATTGATCAATTCATCTCATGCATTGTTGGTGCTCGAGCAAAATGGCTTTGGCTCGGGAAACCACGAAAAGGTCAATCATCCAGGGCTATGTTCGACCGGCTTGTCAGCGATACTCCAGTTGAATTTCACAGTACATCTGCCGGCGGATACAGTCGGGCCGGTCGGCGCAAGGAGAGCACTGTGGAATCTGCGAGAGAAGGTTTAGATCGAACTAACACTGTGGAGAGCATGAAGTCAAAGACTTTGAGCGAAGGCTCTCACCGCTTGTCGAAGCGACATACTCTTGATTCGGCACACAAGGAACATGATTCCACTCGCCATTTGGGCAGAATCAAAGACGCGGTCAGTTTACGTACACATGGCTCAATAACGCATCCGAAAGATGATCATGATCATGATCGATCCAAAGGTAGCGAATCGCCATATCCGAGCCAAATACCAGAAGCTGAATTGCTAAGGGCAGACGATCATATACATCTTCATCCAGTGAAGTCAACAGATGCTGGTAGCCAATTTTCGCGGAATCCAATGTTTAGGGGTATTGTAGCGGAGATGTCACCTGATGCTCCGGAGGCACTTTCGTTCCAACAACATATCGAACCACCGTCCGATGAGGAAAGAGATGGCCAGAATTTTCTGGATGAACAGATTGAATTGAAAGTCGATCGCATGGATCAATCCTCGACGGCTTCCATTGCACAATCTCTGCATAATGACATCGATCTGGACGAAATTCATCCCGGAAATCTGGTACCCGACCATGACGTTGGTAGTCTTCTCAGACGCCGACACAGTTTACAAGATTTTCGTGCAGATTTGTCAAAACAACGTCACGAAGCTTTCTGGCCACGTACAATATCTTTCAGCATAGCAGAGGACGCTATCCTACGATGGGAATCCATTAACAAAACCCCTGAACTGTCCGACAGTCTGGCACTCTCCACCACTACTGCTCAACTTGTGGCTTCTAGACAAATCGCAGAAAGAGCCCTTATCACCAGCCAACGTCTTCTAAGCCTTGAAACCACTCTGTCACCATGGGTGCAGGATTCCGTCAGTAGCGTGAATCGACTGATCAGCCTGGCCCGAAGTGACCAAGAAACTCTCGATTCCCTTTATTGCCCGCGCTTGGAAGAATATCGCGCCCTAGAAGCGCATTCTCGGGGAGTGATAGAGATCCAGAAGGCACAACTCGAGGAAACAGTACGAGAAATCGAGGTGTTAGGCGCAAAGTTGGAATATGAGATCAATGCGTTAAGGAGTAAAGTTGATGATGTCGAGGATGGCGTTTCAGAATTTGAATTGCAGGTGCAAAGCCTGGAAAGTAGAGTTCAGGAGATGGAACGAGATCTGCAGCCGAAGGAAGGGTGGGCCAATTGGTTGCTGAGAACTACGTTAGGGATAGGACGCTCTCCCAAACCGAAATGAGAGAAGACCGTGGAGTTCATCGTTTTAGTGGATCAGATTGTTTCTTTGCACAAGGCTCTATAGTCCTCCGTGCATACCCTGCTTATTCTTTCAGCATTGCGGTGGCGCGGGAACTTTTATATTTTTTCCGCATTATGATAACCTCCAGAGTTCTACGTCGACAATATTGAAAGCAAGGGTGATTTTGTGTCAAGGTGGATTTGTGTTGGTACACGGAAAGAATTATGTGAAGTAATACTTCTGTTTTCGCAAAGTCAATGTAGAGGCCTTACATCTCCGAAGACCTAAAAGCTACTACCTTTATTTCCCTAATAATTGCCTTCCTTGAGTGCACACGCGCTGTTTCTATGCTAACATGTTGTGCGCCTAAAAAGAGCTCCGTAGATTGAAGGAAGATATTGACACAGCTAATTTTCTCGCCACTTTACTCAAAGGCTTGAAACCATGCTCTGGATAATGGTTCATGATCGGCTTCTACTATGCCTACAAGTCGCACCTTGTCTAGAAGGCATGTACATTCTTCGTTTCGAATTTCTTTTCTTTCGAGGCGATAGGCCGTCTTCTAATACTAGCATGGCGATAACATTTGTGATTCGAAGGTGGTCATCTTTACTTCGGACTTGTTCAAGAGATGATCTTGAAGATGACGGACAATTGGGAAAATTGCGACCGAGAACTTTGACAATAGATATCTGAGGCTGCGATCAATATTTTGTGTTGGAATTGAAAATATGTGCCTCAATTATAGAATATATTTATTTCGAACTTCAACAAAGGCGAACTTCCTGGCTTGGAGGTTGCTTGCCGCCTCGTAATCTAACCAGGGACGTTGGGGCCAAAAAACTGGTCCCGAAAATCAGGATTTTTGTATCTCGACTCGTACGATGATTGTAATCATGCCATTCTAACATGGCTGGAAGAGCCAGGAAGATGACGGAGGCGTGGTCAGCTCGTAGTCTCCGTGGTTTCAAGATCGCCAACTGGGATATTGCCAGATGACGCTAGTCTGGGGATGCTGGCTCTTCACCTATCAAATCAAGACTTCGATCGCTAATCTCAAATCCCCATGCCTATAGGAGATGTAAAGTACTTGAAAAGTTGGACGAATAACATGCGGACTAAGACTCGCTTCCACCTGAACTCCAATCGACACATCGGCATCCAGGCAGTACGTCCGCTGCTATCGTCATTGGTCCCATGTCGCTCCCACCACATCTTCATGGGACTTCCATGCCTCTCGCATGAGCAATTTGACGTGGACTTACTTTCGACGTCACACCAGCCTCTCGGATCTGCTTATACTGTTTCTGATGAAAAGACATCCCAGGATTCTCTCACGATCGGCTGGCGGTGAACGGCCAGATTAGCTGTTTCCTTAATCGTTCCTGTCATTCCCTTTTGACGTATGCGTAATGCTTCACGAACCCTGGACACAGGTGGTTGGTTCGAATACATCTTAAAATGACTGGCGGAGGAAGTTTCTAGGAATTCATAATGCCGCCTTTCAGCGCGCGCCTGCGATTGTTGTCTCTCATCCTGTAAAGTCTACATGAGTTAATGCCCAATATTTATATATATTGCAATTCCTTCTACAAATCTTAGTTTAAAGGCATACGGTCAGCACTGTGGAAAATCTGTAAAACAATACTGCTCTATACCTTCAATGGCTACAATTCCACAAGGGAAGGGAGAAGCATCTGCGCAGAATTCCAATGAGATTCACTCTCCACTGAGACAACCTGGAAGGCCTTTGCCAGAGCCGAGCCTAGGCATGTCCTACGAGAACAACCAGCTTGGTCAAGAATCTGCCGCACCTGAATTGAAGCCAAGATGGAGCGCTGATGATGCTAAAAGAGACGAATACTGGAGAGGCTATTATGACCGGAAAAGAAGGGAGACCGAACGAGAGCGAGAGACTGCCTACTATCCAGATTATCCTAGACCTATGCAGAGATATCTCGAATTTCCTGACGAAGGCGGGAGTACAATGTATAGGAGCACCTCAAGAGCATCACGAGTACCGATGTCTTATCAGCCACGGCAACGAGTAACGAGGCCCATGAGCGACATGCCCAAGAAAATACCAGTCGAACTTGAAGATGACGACGATTACGATGAGGTGTACATTGTCCGCGGCGAGAGAAAGCATCCTCCTACAGGTGGGCCGCCACGAAGAAGAAGTCTAGATTCGAGTGAATATCGACTGCCATACACCAAGTGGATGTCAAAAACACTGAAAGGGCATTTCGTGGCTGCAATCGGCGAGTTTGTGGGGACTAGTATGTTTCTCTTCTTCGCATTCGCTGGAACTCAGGTCGCGAATGTTGGAAGCCAGACTGCACAGAACACGACCACAAACGCGCAGACTGGTTTCAGCCCCGAGGTGTTGTTGTACATTGCTCTCTCTTTCGGTTTCTCGCTCATGGTCAATGTCTGGGTTTTCTTTCGCATATCCGGCGGACTTTTCAACCCCGCGGTCACACTGGCTATGGCAATGACAAGAGCAATCAGCGCCTTCAGGGCTGTGCTTTTGGTTTCGATGCAAATAGCTGGCAGTATATTCGCATCTGAGGTTGTGAAGGTCTTGTTTCCTACAGATTTCAAAGTTCGGACCACTCTGTCGAGTGGCACATCTCTGGTTCGAGGCGTTTTCATCGAAGGGATCCTCACCTTCGAACTCGTCTTCACTGTAAGTCCTTCAATGAGCCAATAGGTCTTGTGTTGCTAAAGCCGTCAGATATTTCTCCTGGCAAAGGAAAAACACAGAGCGACTTTCATAGCACCAGTTGGCATTGGTCTCGCTTTATTTATTGCAGAACTTGTTGGAGTTTACTACACAGGAGGTTCGTTAAACCCTGCCAGATCATTTGGACCATGCGTTGTGACTGGTTCGTTCGATAAAGAACATTGGATCTATTGTAAGTTCTCCGCAACGTTCTTGGAGATAAAACGTTAACACAATCTACTCAGGGGTGGGACCCGGAGCCGGCGCTATTGCTGCCGTTATCTTCTATAAGTTCATTAAAATCCTCGAGTATGAAATTGCCAATGTAAGTTTCATAACGGAGTTTGGATTCATCAACTAATATGTTGTAGCCTGGACAAGATGATGCGGGAGATGATGGACGAAAGAATGATGCCGACGTCGCCGCTGTTTGACTTCCATTTTCGTTGAGGTGATGACAGTGTACCAGCTGATCATTTGGAAGCCGTTCTATGGGAATAAGGATGTATTACGCTCCCTGAGTTGTTTTGTTTCCAGAACATATGATAGGCAACGAAGTTCTGGTGCTAATACTTAATTGCTTTCGTGACTCCACTTGTTGAAGTCTTTGAAATTATTCTTCAGCCCGTCCTTTTCTAGCAACACATAAGTGTTTTTGAAAGAAATATCTAGAGATCGCAATGCTTTTACATGCTTTTCCTCTTCTTCATGTCATTTTCGCTATCCATCAGTAACCATTTAAGTGGCCAAGGGTAATGTGCCTTTATCTTCCGTAGCTGTGCTTTGCCATTGACTTCATCATCGATCATATCACATAGCTTAAGTCGAATATTTTGAATACTCATGGCCATGAAAGCGATTCATGTTTATGCCCACTGTCTTTTTATTTCCCACGAGCATCTCTAATAGTATGATGTCCTATCCATTTTACTTTATTTTCTACAAACTTTCTCAGTCACTCTAGGAACTGTCAGTAATCTCAGTTTGATTCACCGCTTTCATACCTCATGTGGCTTTCTGTTGGTACGTCTTAATCTGCCACGGTGTTCTTGTTTTACTGATCCTCCATCGAATTACCCGTTCAACTCCCACGCGCGGCTGAGCCTCTGCGAGGATATTTGCAGGTTCCATCACCATAATATGCATAGACTGCTCATCAAGGCGTGAAGGCTGCTCTAGGATTTTGAAGATGGGGAATTCCATCTTAGGCATGAGATTAGAACCTCGTTGATAGGAAAGATATCGTGCGTGAGCCAATTTGACGAGCCAACATCGTGCTATCATTTGCTATTGAGTCATCTTTCCTCTCGAAACCCAACGTTCTGGAGACTCATTGACTGCATCTTTACTATAAACTGAAAAAGTCTTCTTTGAAGGGCTACTGACTCTCAGCAGTCTCCTCGGACACGGAAGCCGGCAATGTTTCAAGGAAGCCGTTATCAAAGAAAAGTAGACTTTAGATACGCAGTGTCTACATCTATCTCACAAGGCAGATACCTAAGGAGAAAAAAGTAGCCTTTCGCACAGATGATAAATGTACATTTTTCACACTACTTCCTTCATCTTCTTCCTCACAACTTGGCACATCTCTACGACAGCATCCTGGACATATCATTCCGGACCCTATTATAGTCTAGCAGAGCCTCGATCCGACCTACCGCCGAGATAGCGATATCTTGGTCCCACAGCTTCCTCTTCGCGAAGTCCATGACATCGTGGTGCGTGATTGAGCCGATAACACGCTCGACCTCCTCTGGGCTCAAACGTCGACCAGTAGTAACAATCTGACGACCGATATCCTCAGCTACGGCAGTTGTGCCGTCAAGTGAGAGAAGAATGGAAGCCTTGAGCTGGGCCTTAGCGCGCTCTACCTCAGCCTCCGAGACGGACCACGACAGGCGGGACCACTCGCGGAGAGTGAAGTGGACGAGGTCGTCGACTTGACCAATATTCTCAGTGACGAGGTAGATACCCCAAAGACTATGCACGCGATGTTAGCTTGTTCTGTCTTGATTGAGATATACATCAGCTTACCCGGTGTCGCTATAGCTGGTGGAGAAGCTCATGAAGCTGTTTGCCAGGTGGTTGTTGTGCACAAAGGTGCTGAGCTTGCTGCCCATGTATGGCGAGCTACCCATTGCGCGATCCCAGTTACCAACTATGGCTTGAGTGACAAGAGCAGTGAAGTAATCCGGGTCCTTCCAGCTCACACCTTCGACAGCGATAGCGATGTTGGCTGTTGGCAGTGTGTCATCTCGAATTCTCACCTCGGAGCCGATGAAGTCCGGCTTTGCCTTCTGTGCAGCGACTACGCGAGCCGCGTATTCTGATGGTGGTGCTGCGGGAAGGCCGGAAAAGTACTTCTCAGCAAGCTCAACGAGCTGTTGATGTGGAACACCACCAGCACCAACAAGAACCATGCGATCAGCAGTATAGTTCGTCTTGATGTAGTTGACTAAATCGTCACGACTGATGGTTTGAATGTTTTCCTTCGGACCCAGAATCGTGCGACCGAGAGCCTGGCCTTGGAAGGCGGTTGCATGAAGATGGTCAAAGACAACTTCCTCTAGCTGCTTGTCAACCTCCTCTTGCTCGCGAAGAATGACGTCGCGCTCGCGTTCAATAGCTGCTGGCTCGAGCTTAGAATTCTGGAGAATATCGGCAAGGATGTCAACAGTGGCTGGGACGTCGGAATTGAACGACTTGGCGTAGTACACGGTGTTTTCGCGCTACCTGCATCTCAGTTTGAGCCCAACGCTACGAACGCAGACAACTTACCGATGTATAAGCGTTCAGGTGACCACCCATGTTTTCAATCTCAAGTTCTAGTTGCTGTTGTGTCCGTTTCTCGGTACCCTATGATCCATCTGGTTAACATGTTTCCCGCATGATCAAGCTATTTTGATGCACCTTGAATGCTAGATGCTCTAGGAAATGGGCGGTGCCATTGGTCTTGTCCGTCTCTGCACGACTTCCTGCGTCTATCCACACACCCACGGTCGATGTTTGTGCCCAGGGAGAGTGCTCAGTCGCGATCTAACAGACGTGTCAGCACACTCTACGCCTTGTATACCACGTATCTACCTACGGTGAAGCCATTGGATAAAGTTGTTGACTCGGTCTTGCTACCGTGACTGATGGCGGTCGCAAACCTCTGCCTGGGCCGGATGGCATTGATGGCAGCACGGCTGCGCAGCGCCTGCTGAAGGTTCAGAGCGAGCCGCCGCGATGCCATTGCAACAGTTGCAATTGACAAAGAAACGAAGGAGATGAGGGTAGGGAGATGGAGGCAGTAGCAAAGCAAAGCAGAGATGTTGAAGAACGACCCAGCTGCCAGTTTCTTGCGGCTTGACCCGATGTCTGCCTCAGGCATCAAGAAGGCACACACAGAATTGAACGGATGATTTGTTTCCCTTGCCATTGGCTGATTGGCAGCCGCACCTCGGCGGCTTCGGTAAGTAACAGAGTTAGCTTCGCCTACATAGGACCGGCAAAGAGAACGACAACCACGCATGGTCCTGCAACATCACTCTCACAAACAACAGTGAGCTATCATGGCATCGATTGCGCGACAGTCCATGCTGAAGCAGGCTTGGGCCTCTGCACCAAGCAAGCAATTGACTTCGTTCCGGGCCGCAGCCTCTCTCGCCAGTGCCAATGCCTGGAGACAGCCCGCTTCGTCAATAATTCTGCGAAACGCCGTCCCCGTCGCTGGCTTCCACGCCTCCGGTCGCAGGGCCATCCTCCCCCCTCTTCCTCGTGGGTTTATCTTTTTCGACGAGTTGGATTGAACCAAGCTAATCAGAGCCAACAGAGAGAGTGAACGGCTCAGGTATACATGCGACCGCACCCCGACAAATGAGCTATCCATACTGAGACATGCCGCGACAGTGAATGACCCTGCGCCTGTTCCAGCGCCCCATCCATTCCATGGCTCATACCATTGGACATTTGAGAGGCACGTCTCGCTGTTTTGAAGGGGAAGGAATCGAAGGCGTGTCCATGCTGACCAAATGCTCATGCAGACTTGTTTCTGCGGGACTCATCCCGCTCACGCTCGCTCCCTTCATCGGCGGCTCTCTCAACCCTCTGACCGACTCGATACTCGGTGCTACCATCCTCATCCATTCGTACATCGGCTTCCAGGCCTGCATCATCGACTACTTCCCTTCGTACCGTGTCCCGAAGATTCAGAATGCACTTATGTGGGTGTTGCGAGTTGCTACCGTGCTCACGGGCATTGGCTTTTACGAGTTCGAGACAAGTATGTGACATTTTGGTGACGTTTTTCTCTTCCGATTACTAATGTTTTAATAGATGATGTCGGCATAACGCAGGCGATTGCCCGCATTTGGAAAGCCTGAGAAAACTGTGTATATCATGATCGGACGCACCTTTTCCTTCGTAGACGATGTCGTGAACTCTTAGGAGGCGTGTGGCTGCTCTGTATTATCAAAATGAAATCGAAGCATGCTTATCTTCGGATCATCCTTCCTTTCGCTCAGTGCCTCGTCTGCATTTCGTTTGACTCTGAAACAATATTACGACTGGATTATTACATGCATTGGCATTAAGACTAGCTAGAAATTCGCTGTTGATGGCGAATGCCATCAGCGAATAAGGCGCAGCGAGATCACGCTAATCACACCTTGAGATAATAGCTCTACAGCGCTAACATTACAGGATCAATGCTTCTATTATTGCAATTAATCATGTTGCACGGGCTTGGATTCGAATGTATGAGAAATGAAGCTTTTGTCAGTTGATCTTAGAGGACTTGAAAACGAATCCTCTTCAAAGGTACTGTTCTTCTATTTGATGCAAGCCCCAACGCGTAAAAGAGAACGAATATCTCAGAGGCCGCTGATTCTCGCTCCAGTCATCTAGATGCTTTTTCGGGGCCTGCAGAGGATGAAATGGGTGTGCTTTTCTGCGTTGACAACTCCTTGTGAACAATACTCTTGTGACACAAGTTAATGCGCCCGAGTTGCACCCAGCCGCTGCGGCGCATAACAAATACGTAAGCTTGGTCTCACCGCGTCAGATTCAAGCCTCCTACTCTTGTGCTTTGAACTTTGAGATATGGGAAGAACTTGTTGATTAATTCAAGCCTTGCAACTTGTAACGACATGAAGAGTTCCGCAACAAGGTAAGAAACAAAGCTGCCCATGAGATATCAGCGACTCCTTCATTTATACAGGGCAGTAACTGGTGAAATTGAACTTGATGGGCTGGCAAAAATGGGCTTGCTGGTAATATTATTTACTACGCAAGGACAATTGAAGCCTCAGTGGATTGTGTATAGAAGGAATTGATCAGAACTGTTCTATTATTCTTCTGAAAGTGCAAATAAATGCCGATGTTGTGTTCCAATCATTCTAGCAGTGTTGAGAGTATGGTTCATGCCCTCGCTGAATTTAGCCTGAGCGGCAGCCGCTGCGGGGAAAACTGTCGATTCGATACTTCAATCATATAAATCTACCGACGGTTGAGCGCACGAACTTCACAACCTGCCACACTTGCCGATTCTCCTGTTGCCCACCATAACTTAGAAAGCGCCCTACACCAATTTATCTATAGGACGTAAGCTTAGCGGTTTGCTCGGTCAATTCGTGAGCCCGTGAGCGTAGCGCTGCCACTAGTGTATTATGTCCGAGTTTTCAGGTATTTAGAACTATGATGAACACGAGATCTGGGTTTGGCATGATCATGACGTGATATAGCATCATTTCGCTCGTCAAATCTTCGAGGCACTTTCGTGTTGTCAAAAGCTAGGTCAAAAGTATTGCATGCGAATGGTACGCAGCCGAATTTCAGATCTTACCCTGGCTTTGAAGGCGTGTACGTCCCTTGCTAATATGGCTCCAGGGAACAAGCCGGCCAAAACGAGAGATGTCAAACACTTCCCGTTCTTCGGCTTGCCACGTGAGCTGCGTGACCGTGTTTATAGAATGGTTCTAGTTGCCCCATTCATCTATATCGATCTCGTATCGTGCGCATCTGACGATGATGACGAAGAAACGCTCACTCTTTACCCACTACCAAAATTCAGGACCACATACATATCGCTAGGTAAAAAGATGACATACCGCCTTATGCCATCACACAAGTGCCGCTGTGGGCAGTGTCCAACTGAGTTCGCGCCACAGTTGCAACTCTTCTACGTCAGCCGTGCTATGTATGTGGAAGCCAGAGAGGTTTTCTACAAGGAGAACGAATTCAAAACAGAGCTTGCCAGTGGGTTGGGTTGCAGTGCGTGGCTTAAAGATCGCGAATATTCGTTGAAATACATACGCAGCCTCAATTTTGACGTTGCTCTTCACACCGCTGAGTTCAATTACGGGCGTTGGAGCGAGAATTGCTACAAGGCACTTTTCGGTATGCTTAGGGAGAGGACAGATCTCCGTCACTTAACCCTCAACTTTCATGGTATGAAGTCATCAAATATCGCATGCGTAATTCTGATTTTCCCCGTCAGGCCTTGTTCCAGATGTAACGATCGAGAACGGCTGGCAATGTCCCTGCGATTGTCAGGAATTTGAGCATCCTTTGCTGCAATTAGGTCATGTGATAGGAATGCCTGGCTTACCTATCTCTAGAACAACGAAAATACACGATAGGGAATGGGGCTTATTAAAAGCCTTAACAATGATAACGAACCTCCAGCGACTGGCAATCAACGTGGATTTTTGTTATCATATGCTCGATCATGATGGTCATGATGACAATGTTTTCGAGCATGACCACATCCGAAGCTTCATTGCCTACATGCGCTCTCGAATGCTCAAGAGGGGTGCAGAGTTGAGCTCGAGGCAAATTCACGGTTACTGCCGCGTGCACGATGAAGTCGAGGACAAGCGTTACCGCTTCCACTGCGACGATGATGAATACGGCAAGTCGTATCTGACACTCTTAAAAACTGCAACGCACAGCCCGTCACATCATAATCATTCTGACTCCGGTAGCGAGATGGACAGCCATATGTCTGAACCGGAGGGTGCCACTGACAACGAGGATGAATGGGAAGATGAGAGCGATTTGCTCGACGAAGACATAGATATTTCCAGCGGGGTCGAGGAGGAGATACCTCCATTGGAGAGCAACAACGAAGGCTCTGATCGTGATATCTACTGAAGCGACGAGGAACTGAGTGCAGGTTCGATGCACAACGTACCCAGTTCAGGACTGATATTATTCTACGATGGCAACGGTTTCTTGTTCCAGCCGTTCTGATCTATCTTCAACAGCGATTGCCATCACAATGACGAACGGATCGGCTTAGATGCTAGTAGCGTTCTACATGTGTCTGTAAGAGAAACTTTGATTAAGTTGCACTACTATTGCCTGGCTAGCTAAAATAGTCGCCCTTTCCGAAAAAGTTGTACGGAGCTAGCAAATCTTTGTTATGAGGTACACAGGACGTGCTTGCACTTTAGAACACAGGTGACAGTCAAGAATAGATAATGGAAATTTTGGAAAAAAGACTTGACTGCTTTCCATAAATCTTAATTCTATGAAGTCGACATTCACTGTATAGCCATTGTAGAAGTTCTGCAAACTCGTTCGGACTAAAAACTTCTCTCCATTCCATTCCGAGCTCGCGTATGACGAGGACGATGCCTATGGTGATTCATGCGATGCGTCCCAGATTAGGAACCTAGTTCTTGTTTTACACGTAGCCTTTGACGTGCTAAAGAAGAGCATCTCGGTCCGAGAGATGAAGTATGCTCTTATTGCCGCTCTGCTCAACGTGGTTACGCAGAATTTAACTCTGGAGTTCACGCAGCGACGTTGTTGCCAATTGCCAACAGTCTCAGTGAGCCGTAGCTATCACAACAGGTGCGACACTGCAAGTGAATGGTGCCCACCAAGCTCAATTTCTGACATCTCTGGTTAGATAGAGTCATCGACAGTCAGCCTGCTGTTTCTAACTATGACTCACATACAAACGTCAATCGACGCCTCGGCTAGTCATCGCGATGCGTAAAGCCAAGAGACGGAAAACAGTGGAGGTGCTGTAGGAATCAGTCTTAGACGAACGACTACTTTGTACGGCCTCGGAAATAAGAAAAAATATATCAGAAGTAGTGATACCATCGACGAAAGACTCATTACCGAATTGAGGTAAGGTGCTTGGCTTCGGACATGGCTAACATACAGCAACCAATAACCTCTTTGCACATCTGACGATTCTTGAACGCCGTGCCGTTCTCGCAAGCTCTCTGAGCCGCACGTGGGAACGGTTTCTTACTCTTCTAGCACTCTCAAAGCGGTGTACTTGCATTACAAATACGATTTGACTCCGAAATCCGCATACTCGGCAAGACTCTCTGCGGAAACCTGCCGCGAGTGCCGACGAAGAGAGGGGAAATTAACCAATGAGATAGCCAACTGAAACTGGCGTCTTCCCCAGGGCGCGTATGTGGAGACTGGGGAAGAATCTGCCGAGTTGGCGTTCGCTCTACAAAAGTACGAATTTTTGATACTTGAATTTCCCTGTTCTTCTGACCTTCTCTTTCCACTGTTCTTGCCTCGCGCCATGCATACATACATGATCCCGTGCGTTTCGAACTTTGGCATTTTTGGAATGTTTTGCTGAGAGCCTGTCGCATCCAAACGTCCATTTGGGTTTCTGTTTGGAGGGCATTCGATCGGGAGGCGTTCTACTCGGAATCGCCGCTGGTGGAATCCCAAAGACCGTCCTCCACAGGGTTTGTTAGAAAGCGCCAACCGTCAAAATCGAACCTGTTGTCGAGTCCGGCTCTGCATGAGATAAAAAGATGAAAGATGAAATGTTGAATGCCAAAGCCACAGAGGCTTCGGAAGATTATGGTTCTTCCGGAGTCGAAGAATGCTCCAGAGAGGAAGAAGAAGTCATTCAGACTGCAGAAATCAAGACTGAAAGTCAACCGTTGAGCCGAACGCAATCGCGAAGATCGGAAATCGATCCTTTCGGTGAACCCCCTGACGGAGGTCTGAACGCGTGGCTGAAAGTACTCGGCTGCTTTCTGATCTATTCGAACATATGGTATGTGTCTTCCAGAATGGGTTTGCACGCATGAAGTGCTGACAACCGCGACCAGGGGCTTTACCTTGACATTTGGCGCTTTCCAGAACTACTATCAGCATCACTTCTTGAGCGATATGTCACCGTCATCGATCAGCTGGATTGGAACTGTGCAGTCCTTCCTCTTGATCCTTGTCGGGTGCATGTCGGGGCCGCTCTTTGATTTAGGCTATTTCCGTCCCATGTTGTTCTTCGGCAATTTTCTTGTTGTCTTTGGCCTTTTCATGCTAAGCTTAGCGAAGGAATATTACCAAGTTTTCCTCGCCCAGGCGGTATGCATTGGTCTCGGTGCTGGCTTGTTGTATATCCCAAGTCTGGCTTTGATCGGGTTAAGTTTCTCAACGAAGCGCAGTGTAGCGCAGGGCATAACCACTGCAGGGATTGCTGTTGGTATGTACTGAGACGAGTTAAGAAAAGAGTTCCACACTGATGTTTCCTCAGGTGGTATCGCCTACATTCTCGCATTTGATCACCTCAGCAGCACTGCAGGCTTTGGCTGGGCTGTTCGCGTGATGGGTTTCATCTCTCTGGGCATCTGCGGGATTGCATTCCCGGCCCTTCTCAAAGGAACCAGTGCTCTTGCCAAAGCCCGTGCAGCTCGCAAACTTTGGGAGCTGTCTGCATTCAAGGATCGTAACTTTCTTATCTTTACAGCTTGTTCATGTTCAACGTTCCTTGGATATATCGTCCCATACTTCTACATCTCCGTCTTCGCCTCTGATGCCCTTGGAATAGATCAAAATATGTCGCTCAATATTCTAATCATTGCTATTGCAGCGTCCTTCTTCGGCCGTCTCGTGTCCGGAATGATTGCTTTTAGGATGGGTCCCATCTTTACCTGGTTCTGGTGTGCCGCATCCTCTGGTATAGTCTCTATATCTTGGTTGGCTGTCAAATCACAGCCTGGCCTCATTGCTTGGGCGGTTTTTTGGGGCTTCTGCTCCGCTGGTCTGGTCACGCTCCCTGCGGCAGTGTTTCCCACACTTTGCTCTGATCTTCGCCGCTTAGGCACCCTTACCGGCATGAGTTGGGGTATTTCATCCTTTGCGAGTTTGATTGGCAGCCCGATTGCAGGTGCCATTCTGAAACACCACCCAACTGATGGACACGCGAGGTCAAGATCAGACTTCTTGGGGCCAGCGCTGTGGGCAGGCGTTTGTCTCTTATTAGGCTCGGGAATAATATTCATTTTATGGGCATTGAGAGTGAAGGAAACTAAAAAGGGCTATTTTATCTAAATAATATATCAGCATCCGGGAACTGGAATTGTCTACTGAATGTCTTTGCATAATTCAGCCATAACGGTCAAAACAATGACAAAATAGATTGTACCGCTATATTTTTCCAGCTACGTGAGGAATCTCTTACACTCGGGAATGGTCCATCCTATTTGCTGACTTCCGTCAAGTAGACTGCTCAACGCCAGACGGCATCACCTTGACACAACTGTAGGAATCTCCGTTGATCTAAAAAAAACGATTTAGGTCTGCAACACCAGCAATAAAATGCGTCCGTATGTTAATTTTGCCTCATGCTCCCGGCCCAAATGAATTGCGGAACTATCTGATTTACGACAGTAGGCACTTTGCACATTATGCACGTTAGTAGTCATGGAGAGTATACGAATTCTAGGCAACGAGAACTTCAGACATGGGGACATCAGATTAAGGCAAAAGCAGAAAGAAAAATGCCATTTTTTCAAAGTTAGATAGGATGACTTTGATTGAGATGGAGTAGGCGGCCGAGAGGTGGAGTTTTGGCATCGATTGGTGAATTCCACGAATAGTCGTCACAGGGGCATATTGCACCTTATGAGTTCATACTAGAACTAGCGATCTGGCTTAGAGCATATTGAGGGCTGTGAATCCGACAATTAGCTCACGTTATTGTTTACAGACTCGAAGTCAGGTAGTAGAAGCATGGCCAATGATCTGTGTCGGCATTCCAAAGTTCCGACCTTACGTCATCACGTTTCCGAAGCTCGAAAAAGCTCATGCACTTTCCAGGAGCCCGTCAACAAACAGCAACTCAACGGACGCCTGCATCAACCATCAATTGACGGTCAAGATGTTTGCGAGGCAAGTTTTTCGGCCTGCAATGGCAGCCAGGAGCGTACGTGTGCAAAAACCTCACCCCGCATCCGTCCCCCAAATGTTTCTCGCGCTCACCTGTCTCGAATCACGTCATCGACTGACCAGCCATTGCGACAGCATGTGCGCCGCTACGCCTCGGAGGCCGGTTCTGCAAAGAGCTCGAACTTGCCATGGATGCTTACCGGTGCCGCTATCCTCGCCGTCGGCGGCTACATGACTCTCCGTGAAGACCCCGCGAAAGCGAAGCATGCCGCGCACGCCGTTGAAGAGAAGGTCAAAAGCGTGAAGGAGGATGTTCTTCCCAGCGCAGCGCCATCCAAAGTTTTCACCGGCGGCGATCAGGGGTTCGTCAGTTTAAAGCTGGAAAAGTCGGAGACTCTGAGCCCGAACACGAAGAAGCTGACCTTCTCCTTCCCGGAGGAGAACCAGGTGTCGGGCTTACACGTTGCTTGTACGTCTGTTGGACACGTACGACACCGATAGGATTGACGTGCTGACACATTGAAAAGCTGCTCTCTTGACCAAGTATAAGGGGCCAGAGATGGAGAAGCCAGTCCTAAGACCGTATACGCCAACGAGTGATGAAGGTAAGTAATCATGAGAAGCAATTTGTGTCTCCGCAGTATTAAGAAAAAGCTTTAGGTCAACAAGGCTACCTCGAGCTTGTTGTCAAGAAGTATCCGAACGGACCGATGTCCACCCACCTACATGAGATGGAGCCAGGCCAGCGTCTCGACTTCAAAGGCCCACTCCCCAAGTATCCATGGTCCGAGAACAAGCACCAGCACATCGCTCTCATTGCCGGTGGCACTGGCATAACGCCCATGTACCAGCTCATCCGTGCCATCTTCTCCAACCCGAACGACAAGACGAAAGTCAGCCTCATCTACGGCAACGTGACCGAGAGCGACATTCTTCTCAAGAAAGAACTGCAGGAAATCGAGAACACGTACCCCCAGCGCTTCAAGGCTTTCTACTTGCTGGACAAGCCGCCTGAGAAGTGGCAGGGAGGCACAGGCTTCGTGACCAAAGAGCTCCTGAAGACGCTGCTGCCGGAGCCAAAGGAAGGCGACGCCATCAAGGTCTTCGTATGCGGTCCGCCGGGCATGTACAAGGCTATCTCAGGCGGCAAGAAGAGCCCACAGGATCAGGGCGAGCTCGAAGGCTACCTCAAGGAGTTGGGATACAGCAAGGAGCAGGTCTACAAGTTCTAGACAAGCCGGGCGCTGCCCGTGTAGAATTAGATGCATCTTTCTCCTGTGGTAGAGCAATAAAATTTTTTTTCCTTCTTTGAATACCCACGTGTGCACACATTTACTTCTGTAACTTGCGTCGAGATGTGTGCCCGCAAAAGCCTTTCTCGTCGCCACCAACCTTGCGGTTCATGAGTAAGCCATATTGAAAGGCATCGGGCGCGCCTTCAGAAATAACCGTAAGGAGACGCATCACCTTGAAAATGGACATGTATATTGAATGAATTGGCGCAAGGACAAATTGTCGTGCTTAAAGACTCGATATCACAGCTTGAATGCTGTTTGAAAGAACTACTACTCGCTAATGAAAGTTATGAGAATCGTAGATACGACGTAGTGCCAGCTATTGCAACAAATGAAAGAAAAGAAAAGCTGTACAAATTCGCCAGGACAACGCAGTGTTGCCTCTCGCACAGGGTATTGAGTAGGTGCTTTTCACCATAAATGATCTTCAACCAACTCCACCGGTAAACGCCATGCAAAAATCGTCATTGAAAATTCGTAAAGATTAGGCGAAGAGCTGGGTTTGGAAGATGCCCAAACTATGTAGGGCCTTGGCCGTTCGAGGATATGTGAACCTTCGCGCTCGTTTCATCGCCACTTCGCAGAACTGAAAGAATATCGTCTCCGGTATGCTTTTCGTCTTGTGTCCATCCTCCGAACTTTCAAGCTCATATTGTCTTGAAAGATGTCTCTATTCCATTCTCTTAAACCCCATCAGAGTCTCTTGCCAGGGACCAGAATGAACAAACAGCAAAGCGCGGCATCAATGACGGCTACAGCAAAAAATACCATCCACGAGCGCTTGATGAGTAATTGGCGCACGAAGGATTCCTTCACACGCGCGAAACTGAAGAACGTATACTCGGACGATCCAACAAGAGCTAGAATCGGATCGAGCATGTATTGGTGAGTTGCAAGAAAATAAATGCCCAGGGTAAACGGCAGAATGAGCTGTATAACGATTAGCATGAAGTAGCTCTCTCAGGAAATACGAAAACTTACCCAGCACCGTGTTGCACGACTGTAGTCGAGGAATATGAGAATGAATCCTGTCCAGAGCCCGCCAAACAGGGCAAGCAAACCCACGATCAGACGCAACATCATACTAGGAGGCACAAGATTGCCAAGCGCCTTAGCACGTAAAAAGCCAGGGAAGGCGTCTCGCTCCATGGCCTGGAAGACGTAGTCCTTTGCAGCATCGAACACCTCAGGATCATCACGACCTCGCTCTTCGATAGCTTCCTGGATACTATCCAGGATACCCTGAGGAATAATGATCTCACGCTCGGATCCGGGAAGAAGGTAGGTGTACAGAATTTTCTCCGCAGATGCACGAATATCTTGGCGGGTTACCGTGTGCTGAGGCGAGCTTGAAACATTTCCAGGAGATGTGCTGCTCTCAAGGTGAGCGGGTGAATGACCGGGAGAACGATTAGGAGAGTTGGCCGTGGCGCCAGTGCTCCGTCGCTTCCGCCTCGAGCCGCTGCCGCCTGAGTGGTCACTCGAATGGGAATTGCTGTGCGAGTGTGCTCCGGGATGTCTTGTTTGTTCATTGCGCAAGGCTTGCGAAATGGACTCATCCCTCATTGCCTTCTCATTCGACGGGCCAGCGACACCGGTTGGATCTGCGTAGCCCTCCAGAATTTGTGACGATCGCTTCGAAGCTGCCTTTTCCAACTCCGGCGTGTCGACGAGGACTGAACGGCGCAGTTCGCGCACGTAATGTCGGCATAGGGACATGTGTTGCGAGACATCAAGCCTGAAGGTGAGTGAGTCAACAGAGCATTGACGCTGATCTCGAATCATCATACCAAAAGTCAAGATAGTCTACGGAGCGCTGCTGGTCTCTCATGTAGATGTAGAATGAAAAGAGGTCTACAGGTGCAAGCGTCCTCCGGCTGAGGACCTCGAACAAAGTCGGCAACCGCTTGCGCTGAAGGTCGGGCACCGGCGACGGTGTTGACGCCATGATGGAAGCTGTGTAGCGCTCGCAAAAGTAGGTGTTGTGCGTGGGGACGCGCGATGTCGTCGGTCAAATGAGGTGGATGTGAGGCGTCGTCTCGGAACGATTATCGATCGGCAACGCTACAAAAGTGCAACGTGCGGTCCTGCGTCGAGCTTTGCACCTCAGACCGGCTGTCGGGGCCGAAGATATATCGCGGCGTGCGATGAAGGTTGAGTTGGAAATGAAAGAGCGATGTTATGAACGAGCGACTTGGTAGCGGTTGTTGAAGTTGAACGTGAAGTGGCAGGGGGTTGGCGAGCTTTCAGAGAGGTTGAGCGTGCAGGGCCTGTGCGGCTCCCTAATTTCCCGAGCAGAGCCACTGGAGACGTCGAGGCCACAACAGCGTGCAGCACCACAGCTTCCAGCGACGCGGTTTGACCGTCGAGAATCAAAGTTGCTCCGATCAAACCGAAGGCCTCTCAGCATCCCCGCCTTGAAGGTGGTGATGCCGTTCAGCACGGCTGTTGGCGGACGGCGCGGCGAAGGCAGGGATTATGCAGTGACGCGTGAACTAAACCACAGTCCGAACACGGTGCCAGATTTTGTTGCGCAGGCTCACGGTCTTGTCCCGCTCCCTTGTACGGCTAGCTGCAGATGGACGCCAAAGCAGATCTTCCCAGGTGCTCTCATTGTGCCCGACGCGACCGAGGAAGCACTGTGTGCATTTGACGATGCCAGGGCCAATGCTGAAGGCCGAGATATCCCACAGCCCCCGCGCAGCCAATGAGGGCGTGTCCGCCCCTTCGCGCTGGACTCCGAATCTTGGCACGTGGCTTTTCTCGACAGGCGAAAATCCTGGTGGTCGCAGTCGAAGCTCTCAAGCTTCATGGCAAAGCACTCGAGCAAAAGGCTTTCCATCTCCCAGCGAGCGGCATGTGTGTGTGAAATAAAGGCCGTCGACCCTGCACTTTTGCATCGGGCCTCAAAACTCTGGCGAGCAACGCTTGGACGGTGTCGTGCCATTACTATCGTGCTATCGGCAGCCCATGTGCTGCTGTCTTACTATTGAGATACAACGTGGTAGTATAATCTACAGAACGGCTGTTCGAGGTGCTGATTCTCGGGTATTTTCTTCTTTCAAATCCACCGAACCTTGGACAGACCCCGAAGCCCCAGCCTCCCGTCGAATCGTGCCAACTGAAACGTTGGAGCAAACTTGCCTTCCTTCAAATCATCCGCTCTCTACTAAGTACACATGCAGGCCTCGGTCGTTGAAGCCTGCACAATCAACTGATAACAAGCACGCTTTTGAGCCACGAAAGAAAAAGCCGGATGGTCCTAGATACCAATGAAATGGTCTTGATGCTTCCAGCCGACATTCTTCTGATGTGGCGCCACCGTCCTTCGCTTGGCTGACAGAAGCTCTCCTTGGGAGACTCTGGCGAGGTATCTTCGACCGTCGCCTGCTCGCGTAGAAGACGCCGCAGTATTTTACCCGTTGCATTCTTAGGGATCCGATCCGTGAATTCAAACTCTTCTGGGATCTTGTACTTGGCCAACGTCTGACCGATGAAAGTCTTGAGCTCTTCGATCGACAGCTCCGCACCAGGAGCTAAGACGACATACGCTCGCGACATCTCGCTTTTGTCTTCTCTCTCGATGCCGACAACAGCAGCGTCGAGCACAGAGGGGTGCTGCACGATTGTATTTTCTACCTCTGCTGGAGAGACTTGCCAGCCTCGGACTTTGATCATATCCTTTTTGCGATCAACCACGAAGATTTTGTTGCCGTCGACGCGATAACCGATATCTCCCGTGCGCAGCCATCCGTTGTTGTCGAACGCTTCACGAGTGGCCGCCTCATTGGCTAAGTAACCAAGCATCTTCAAGGAGAGTCAGATGCGCATCTTTTTGGAGCTCGAGAAAAGGATTGCACTTACCATGCATGGGCTTCGCACCATGATGTTGCCTGTTGAACCTTCCTGTTTCAACTCGTTGTCATCATCGTCGACGATCCTGTCATGAGTCAACATCCAGCTTCCATCTCGGTTAACCGCAATTCCCTTACTTGACCTCAAAGCAGGACAGGTATCTCCCAACGCTATCATCTTCATGCTTCTCTTCCCAATGGCCGGCTGTGATCCAACCAGCTTCCGTCATACCCCATACCGGCTGGATTTTTGCGTCTGGATGCAGTAGTTCGTACATTGGTAGCTGATTGCCGTACTTCAGGCTAGCCCCACCAAACCATATTTGGCGCAGGGAAACTAAAGACTCACGTGTGCCATAAGGCGTCTGTGGGAGTCCGATAATACATGGTGGTGGCAGAAAGGTCTCGCTGATTCCGAATCGCTCAATTGCGGCGACAAACCCTCGCATATCAAAACGACGCATGACGTATGTCGTAATTCCTTCTCGGACGCTCGATGGAATGATTGGCGTCGCGAACACGTGAAATGGTGGTAGAGCAGTCAGCCGTCTTGCCTTGTAGGGTAGCTTGCCATGTGTCAAACGAAGCTCAGCTTGGGTGACATGGTAACTGTGAGGAAGCATGGCAGCTTTGGGCAACCCAGACGTTCCACTAGTCGAGGCATACTGGGCCACGGTTGAATTAGCGTCATTAATGGTAACCCAGTCACGCTCTCCGTGCGCGAGAAGAACGTCCCAGCTCTGTATGCTGGTTTCGCTGTTTTGAGTAGCGACGTCGAAGGCATATATGCGAGAATGGTGCAGTCCAACTTCACTCGCTGCGGCAAGTGTATTTGAGAGAAGCTGTGGTTCGACAATCAAGATTTTGGGCTGCGTCAAGCGGAAATGGTGAACTAGTTCGTTTGTCGTGTAGGCTGGGTTGACGCCCGTAAATACCGCTGTGTCTCTATTAGATTACAGTCAGGACGTTTACGCGTTTTGCGACTGACCTCCAGACCCTATGATCCCCAGGTACAGCACACTGTAAAAGACCTGAGTGTTCTGTTCAGTGACTGTTCAGCCGTTGAGAAATGTGGCAGCCTACGTCGTTGAAGCTGTTTACACATATGCAGTCTCCTTGCTGAATGCCAATCGATTGTAATCCAGCAACTAGTCGTCTGACGTACGACCGAAGCTGGTTGTACGACAGAGACCTCGAAACGTCGGAGGTATCGCAGAGTAGCTAATCCGTCAGTATGGTCGACCGATGACAAAAAGCAAATGACGCACTGGTCTGTCTTTGTCATCAACATCAGAATCAAATGTCCACGAGATCAAATCCATGGTTTCGATCAGGCACGGTTGATCACAACTCTAGTCTCCAGATACTTATAGTTCCGAGGGAGGCCGAATTAGAGGAAAAGAGAAGGCAAACGCCGCAAGGTTGTGAGTGGGATGCGAGTGGCTTGCAAAAACGCATTCAGTTTCGTATGTAGTTTGCAACTTTCAAGCAGGTCTGGCATGCAACTTGTCCGATCAGTCAGGCAGTATGCCAAAGCGATGTCCCACGCAGGAGCAGCCGAGCGTCTTGCTTTGAGCATCAGAGGATCAAAGAGCGCCACTAGGCGAGCAGCTGGAGGATCTCGATCCGTCGCTCCGGCACGCGTTTATGTTTTGGCCGAGTTGGATCGAGCAGGTGAAGGTGTCATTGGCTTTGGAGGCCGAACAGAGGACGCACTGCTGTCCCACATAAAGCCTAAAATCAGGAACCGAATCGCCTCGCACCTGCCTAACTGCGTCTCGGTACGGAGGTCAAGAACCCAAGCGGCTACCTGCTGTGCGTCCTGCTGTGCGTCCTGCTGTGCGTCCTGCTGTGCGTCCTGTTGCGCGTCTTGCCGGGCCTCTTTGCTGTACATCTTGCCGTGTCGTGTGATTTGACGGCACAACATGAACGCTGGCAGCCCGCATGTACTTAGTCCACGCGTGTGCTGCAGGTGCTAGTGGCATACGCAGCAAGACGATGCGCGCTCTCGGCTTCTCCAGTCACTTCTCTGACCCATGCGTGCTACGCTGCGGCGAGAGAATCCTTCTTAAGCTAGATCCGTCGCGCGAATGCTTCACTCATCTCGAACAAGTGACACGGACAAATCCTCTCACGTCCGTTCCGACAGTGTCTGGAGAGACGAGCTTCATCCACCTTGGCGGACAGTGCGATGGTCTACCGAGCACGATGGAAGTGCGGTGAGAGCTGGACGTCAACGCGTGGCTTGCTTAGCGCAAGATCGTGGAGGCGCTGGAATTTGGGTCGTGCGATTGCTTCTGCAGCCAGCATCTTCCCTTTGCAGACATACACAGGCCTCTTTGTGCGCTTTGCGACCTATTCAAGCATTGGGATTTGCAGTTAGAGAGCAGTCATGGCCCCATTTGTACAAGAACATACCGTACGCCAATCGATTGCGCGCATTCCTCAGCCACCAACATCGGCAAAAGCCTTGCTCAAGCCTTGTGAGTCCACCAATGAGATGAACTCGAGTCCACAAAAAGGCTTCGCTATTGAATCCCCGCCATCTAGATTCTTGATAAAAGGCAACATGGGGGTCGATCCGCCCGTCCAGAGCTGCACAATCGTCGTCGTCCGTTGCTCCTGCACGCAGCTCTTCTGCATTGCTTGGTAAGTCATTGGCCAAGTCAGACTGGACACAGCGGCGATCGCTCCCTTGAATTTGATGCCTGCTCGGTCCGATCGAGAGAATGTTTAGTTCTGAATGTTATACCTCACCACGGCGCAAGCAGGAAGCGTTCAGGGTTTCGCGGCAGATGTATGACTCGCCGCGCGGTTCTCTGCAAGTTCGCCGCGCTCAATGTACACGGCGCCTGGAACGGGAAAAGGTCCGCTCTGATGCCTCCACGTCCACTCGGTAGAAGTCACCACCGTCGCTTGACCTCGCGGGACGGAGCGGTGCAGACACTGCTCCCCAGCGCACTGGAAGGCTTGTGTTACACGAAAGAGCCCTGGATACGCTCGCGCTCTGAGCTTTTTTTTTTATTTTTAATTAATTATGTTTTTTACGATCCTATCTCAGTCGTCGGTCCCGAGCTTCAATGTCGATTCTCGCCGCACCTGGGCTCTTGCCGTCCGTGAACTCCGCTCTTAAGACTTTTCGTCTCGCCCCACCGTTTCTGCAGGTATGCATCTTAATCGCTCAGCCCGTTGGGTGCCAGGTTCCACGGGCAAACTCGCGGTGAAATCCCGTGTAGTCATTGAAAAGCATGCTGTGGGTCCGCCATGAGCAGATCTGCCAAAGCAGTCCCAGCTGGAACGAATTCATTCTCCAACCCGGACCGCACATGCCATATGGATTGCATTCGGCCCATGTACGATGCACTCTTGTAACCGGTTGTAGGACTTGGTCACTGCTTCGCCTACACAAGTAGCGGGGCGTGTCGTCGCTTACACGAGAATGGTCCTCCCGCAGTATCGTACGCTTCTGAGGATGGATGCATGCATAGACGGCGTGCGGATTGGTGGTACGCGTCCGATGCAACCTGCAAGCAGCTGCGTGAATCCGCCATCCAGTCCATCATGCAAGGGCAGCAGCTGCCCTGGGTGCGTTGCGTGGTGGGCGAAGGCGCCGTGGGTGCATCGCTCCTGCCTTTGTTCTGTCTCTTCTTTTATACCGCTTCACTGGCCAGGGCCTGCAGACATGTTTTGGCTGCCGTAGTACCGTAGAACTTCCAACCCGTAGCCTTTCAAACCGTACGCCAGTCACCATGTCGGTGCAGGATTCAAGTCCAATCACCATGCCGTTTGTCGTCGCAGAACACGCCGTGAACGACACAAGACAAACAGATACAACAACGTCCGCCACGGGAGAGCAGTCTGTCACCTCTCTGCGCAGCGAGTCTGTCCCGGGAGACGGCGCTGGGTGTGCCCTCGCAAAGGCCCTCGACGGACACGCAGAGCGGACGGACGGAGCAAGAGACGAGACCGACGAAATGGCTGAACGACATCACCAAGCGGGCTTCAGCGCGGAAGCGTTCGAGAGTTACGAGAAACGGCTGAATACAAGCCTCAAGCAGCCGGAGCCTGTGCGTCCAAAATCGGCGGTGTTAACCCCGTCCACTGAGTCGTTTGATACGGCAGTCGATCTTGAAAAAGGTCTTTCCGTCTCCGATGCCAACAAGAACTCGTCCTGGAACCAAGTCGTTCACGGAAAGCACGGAAGTACTGGCACCTTTGACACCCTTGGTACTTTGGCCAGCGATCCCGACGGCAATGGCGAGGTTCTCACAGTGCCCGAAAAGCGCCAACACAAGGTCGTGCGCAATCTCAGACACACATACTTGAACGTCTACCGAAGGCTTTTCACGGTTGCCTTTATAGGAAATATCATCCCAATGATTGTATGGCTAGCCCACTTGCGCAACGAGAGCATCAATAGCCTCAATCTCACTGATCTTGCTACTGCAGCGGCGGTCAATTTCGCTGTGGCCATACTTATCCGGCAAGATTACATTGTCAACTTTCTGTACCGGGTCTGCTGGCTGGTTCCACATTCAACGCCACTTCGTATAAGACGAAGTCTTGCCAAGGTGTACGAGAACGGTGGCGTGCATTCTGGCTGTGCGGTCGCTGGTTTTATATGGTTCTTGGTACTGACAATCGTGCTGTCGTTTCAATTTGCCAACTTTGTCTTGCGTTCGGTCCCGGTGCTCACACTCACGTGTGTTCTGCTGGCAATGTTGTTCGCGATCATATTGCTTGCATACCCGAAATATCGATTCTTCTCGCACAACACCTTCGAGTACACCCATCGCTTTGCAGGGTGGACAGCCATTGCCATCTTTTGGGCCGACGCAATGCTCATCGTCCACGAGATCCAGAAGAAGACTGGCCGTTCGTTCGGCCGTGAGTTGGTCCGCCTGCCAGTCTTTTGGATTTTGATCATCATCACAGCCCACCTTGTTCTCCCGTGGCTGCGGCTCAGAAAATGGCGTTTCAACGCAGACCAGCTATCTACTCATGCAGTTCGACTAGACTTTGAGAAGACGCTGCCACCGCTGAGTGGACTTGCCATTGCTGAAGCCCCACTTGGTGAATGGCACCCGTTTGCGACGTATCCCAGGGAAGGTGGCGGAGGTTCTATGATAATTTCCAACGCGGGCGACTGGACCAAACGCACGATCCTCGGACCCAAAAGCCATTATTGGGTCAAAGGCATGCCTAAGACGGGCGTTCTCTCTATGGCGTTCGTCTTCAGGAAAGTGGTCGTTGTGACAACGGGGTCAGGCATCGGGCCCTGCCTCTCATTCCTTCTCGAGCCCCGGCGCAAGACCGTGTGCAGAGTGCTCTGGAGCACACCGTCGCCAATGCAGACGTATGGCCGGGAGCTGTGTCAACAGGTGCAGTCGTGCGATCCGGAAGCGATGATCATTGACACAAGACAGAGGAAAGGACGACCCGACATGGTTGGGTTAACGTACAAATTGTTCAAGGAGAGCGGTGCAGAGGCGGTGTTTTGCATCAGTAACCCAAGACTGACGAGAAAGATTGTGTATGGCATGGAGTCGCGGGGTGTGCCGGCGTTTGGTCCTATATGGGACTCATGAGAGTAAGGAGATGGTACTTACCAAAGACGGTGGAGGTCTACAGGCAGGATTCAGGTTGTACTCGAAGGTTGCAACAGTCGTTGCTCGGCGGATGAGACATCAAATGACATACCCTTACGTCTTTGTAATGTGCATTTCATCCTCTCGGTGTATGCTAGTTTTTATTTCGGCCTTAACAAGCACGTCTGTAGACGAGCACATGCCCAACAGCCATGTGGCCAATGGAAGGGATTCAAAACAAAAAAAGACACAAGACACACGCGCAAACCAAACGTCAGAGTGCAAGAGAGGCAGAATCTCGAACGTCACGACGTTGAAACTAGGTTTTCGGGCGAGGAAGGGTTAGGCTGCACGAACAGCGTCCCTCGGGTCCGCAACACTCGTGCATGGTCAGGCTGGCCGGGCGTCTCCAGCCTGGTCTTGTTTGGGCTGTTCGCAGGAGGATCGCGACAGCTGTGCAACAGAATCCACGTGTGCATTGGGTCAGGAGCGTGCAGCTCCGCACGAAGCAGCATTGGCATCTGCTTCAAGGACCTACCTTTTCGTGGGCACGCATGGCTCCCTGGGCCAGTCCGGGAGAAAACATCCGACCTGGAGGCTCACGGCGGGCACAGACAAATCAAGCTTGGGGTTGCGGCTCACGTTACAGCTAGGAGGCCAGGACTGTCAAGAGCGAACGGGTGGTATGGGCAGTGCAGGCGGAAGGCCTTCGGTTCGAACGGGGCTTGCGCTGGTGCGCGACGGGAAACAAAAGTCGCTGGTGGTGGCCGCGGTGGTGAGCGTCAAGTCTCTGCGGCACGGGAGCACAGCCTGACGGGTGGGCGGTGTAAGGCGTGAACGGGGCAGGGCCTGCGTCTTGGCGTCCTTTATTTGGGTTCATCCTTCAATAGATTTTTTTTTTTCTTCTTTCTTTTCGTTTTGTCATCGTTCCGGACGCCGAGGGGCAGGGAGACAAAAACATATTTCCCGTGCTGGGAGTTCACGCGTCGACGTCAACCCCGTTCTCGCGGTTGCGCTGGCCCGTCTCGATCGTGTGCCACCGGGGAGACGGGGCGGGGGAGGGACGCCGTTGAACGTTCGACGCGGTCGGGAAATGTCGACAGCGCTTTGTCGACGGGCATCGAAACGGCGCCGTGGGGGAAAGAAAAGCAGGCCGCGCTGGCCGTCCGTGAGGGTCAGCGCCTGGGTGGTAGCTGGAGGCAGGACAGCGGAAGAAGAATGGAGTGGAGACGACGTTTCGTTTTTCAGAACGGTAGCGTCTTGTGCACAGGCGGCGCTCCCAGCTCACATACAAGGCGTAGAGAAAAATGAGTAGCGAGCAGCAGCGGAACTGTCGATCGTCAGACGAGAGTCTCCCTTGACTCTTTTTTTTGTTCCTCTCTGCTCCGTGTACAGCACTTCTCCTTGTCCTTGTCGTCGCCATCGCCGTCGTGTGCTGCTTCTTCGTCACCTTCTCCTTTTGTCGTCTCGCCGGTCTTTTGTGTCGGTCCCGGGCCGTTTCGCTGTCACCGATAACATCTACGCGTCCTTCCCATACCGGGCGGAGTTGGATGCGATCGTACCCGTCCTGAGGTCACTTCGAACGGGGGTCGTTCAAGGTTCCGACACACCTCTAACACGCGGAGAACAAACCAACAGCCATCCACGCTCGCTAAGCCCCCTTGCCGTACACTGTCGCACACACACACACACATACTCCTCATCCTCTCCACCTCGTCATCGTCTCCATCCTCATTACCTGTGTTCAGATTGTTCGCTCTACATCTGCTGCTGTGCCCGAGGTCGCAGCGCCCACCATCTCCCCATCCCTCGCCCTGTGCTGTTCATGCAACGCCCGGCCTGCGCGCAATCGAGCCCAGTCGGTCCTCAGCCAATTCGCAGCTCACACGACCTGCAGAACCGGCCTCTGCACAGCCCTATTCATATCCTTTGCCGTACAACTTCCCATCTTCACCTCCAACCGAGCATCGTATAATACCGGCACGATATAGGCGCAACCCCCCAGCGCCTCTTTTCTCTATCCGTCCCCAAGTCGCTGCAAAACCTCCACCGTGGCTTCCAAGGTTCGATCGTTCGAGAGCAGAGACTCTCTGCTCGGCAACGCGCCTGAATTCGATCGGAGTTTCACCCCTCGCTCAGACTTCGGCCACTACCAGCCTGATATGCTACCCGATCAGCCCAAGTACTATAGGCAAGATTTCGCTACACACAACGCGCCCGCCGGAGGCTATCTTGACAGGCAAGGGCTGGCTTCCGCTGGTACGTCGGCAGGGTTGAAACCGAGCAAGATGTACATACCCAACACTTTCTGGACATGGACCTTCATGCTCGTGGCGCTCATTCAGGCCATTCTGTCTCTGAGCTTAGAAGCGTAAGTGCTTGTACCACCTCGCATGTCTTTTTTTCCGTATGGGATAGGCAAAACTAAGGATCCATGGTTTGTAGGTATGTCTTTGCAAAGTTCCAGAACGGCCTTATCCCGGCTGCACAGCAGCAAGGCGGTAGCGACGTAAAAACGATCCCGACCTACCTCGCTCTCCTTATCTTCGGCTTCGTGTACGAGCTGCTCCTCGTCTACGATGCCCTTCGTGCCAAAAACACCATCCAGGTCATCGGCATCGTGGCCATGAACTTGGCCATCATGGTCTACACAGCCGTGCAGGGCGACCAGATCCACGACGCTTTCTTGTACCTGACAAGCCTGCGCTTGTTCTTGAAGAACACAAACTTCTGGAACGATGTCAGGCCGTATCTCATTGCGTTGCCGTGTCTGACGGCGCTAGGCACCTTTCTGCTTGCGATCTGCGCCTGGAAGCTGTACGAGGAGTTTGCGTGGACCATTTACAAACAGATCAGTGCCGACGTGAGACTAAAGAATCGATTCCTCATCTACCAGGCGAGCAACCCTTGATACCCGTGTCAATCTCAGTCCCAACAGCAGCTAACATGCAGTGTAGATCTACATCGCGCTGCTCAAGTTCGACTTCTTCTTGTTCCTGGGTTTCATCATTCAGTTCCTCGTCATTGTTCACAACACCAGCGATGCCGAGTTCTACCTTACCGTCGCCGCCCTTCCCGTCACGCTGGTCATGCTTCTACTAGCAGCGTGGAGCACGCAGCGCGAACATTTGATTGGAATGATTGTCACAATCGTACGTTCCACGAACGGACACCTTTGAAATTGCGCAAAGCTTACCCATACGTTCTAGTTTATGTACTTTGTCGGCCTGGCCTACTTCATCTTTAAACTCGTACGCATGTACGCAGCTGACAGCCAGCGTCGGTCCGACTATGCGCCTGCGCGTAAGACGCTCACAATATTCGCCGTAATCACCATCGTCTTCCTCCTCATCACCATCGTCATCGCATGCTGGTGTACGCGCAACTTTAACAAGGGTCTGAAACCGCACATTTCCAAGAGCCACGTGCTACGACATGCTGATGCGAACGCGGATAAGCTGTACATGAACGACGTGCGAACAAATTATACTGATGCACAGACGGGCCTGGGTCCGTCGAATCCGAGCGGTGGACACAGGATGGAAATCGACTGAGCGATGTTATGATCTTCTCGCACGAGCACTCTCCAGGCACACGAGAAGGAGCAGACTCCGCGCACAATGTTTTTGATCTCACGAACCATTTACGACAGCCATCTATTCATTCAATAATTCATCTATTAGCACAGCATGCTTACCAAAGCAACAAAGAAGACTGCGCATTTCCCAGGAAGGGTTTACAACGGGCTTAGACGAGGGTGAGGTCAAACGCTCTTCCAATTGTTCTTTTGTTTTGGGTGTTCATCTCTCGACTCCCACATTGCCATATCTTGACCTGGTTTGCTCGCTGTTTTGCCTAGTGCAGGCTTATACCATTTTGGAAATGTACTGTAGCTTTATGCTCCTCGTCGTTTTTCTTTTTTTAACCTGCTCTACCCCTCCATACCCATGGTTCAACGGCGTGTTGGGCGGCGTTCGTGTACCAGCAAGGTTCTGGTGTATTTCTGTCTCCTTGGAGGATGAAAAACGAACGGGTTCAGAATCTACCTCTTTGATATGATTGGGTAGTACGATTGTAAGACGAGCCTATGGTATTTCCTACTCAAAAAAAAATGGATCCATATCTGAAACTACGATGTGATTTTATCCCATCTGCCGATTGTCCCAATTCTGACTTTGATGACTCTGTCTATATGTTTGTGAATGTACAGGGGATCATGAACGCCTCCGGTTTATAGAGTCTCCAAAACGCAAATCAACGTGGGTATCTGTGCGTGAAGTGTCCTCCTCAGAAAGGCAGACCACACTGTAGATCATGTACGAAAGGAAGCATCAAACGTCGTTGCCGGTATTCTGGCCAGTCAAACGAAGCCGTCCTTCCAACGACAAAGGAAGTGACGCTACGCGCCCGCAAATCCAGTGTCCTCGAAGCGATCCTTGGCCTTCTCCCGGACCGAGTTGCTGGCCTGGGAGTTGAGGTAGCTCAAGTAGCAGTTCCAGCCCAGGCTGACGACGTTGACGACGAGGACCCTGAGCTCGAGCGGGACGAAGGCGAAGTTGACGAACTGGACGGCGGGCCAGACCTGCCAGTTCTTGCGCAGGGCGGTGGAGTAGGTCGAGCGCAGCTTGTCGGCCGGCGACGAGCCCTCCAGGACGGCCATGCTGGACAGAAAGACGCACATGTGCGCCGGTGCAAAGACGAGCTGGTCGAGCGCGGCTCGCGCTCCGATCGTGGCGTACCTGCCGCCGAGGCTGACGCGGCGCTGGAGGAAGGCGAACCATGTCGTCGCCACGGGACCGAAGACGGCTGGTGCGTGTCAGACGGCAAACCCTCCCGCGTCAGCAAAAGTGCACCAAGTTGAGTGGTTTTTATAATCTCATGCGGACACGACCTCCCTGCCCTCCGTGCTGACTTCCGTGACGGAACGCATACGGGCAGAGGCAGAGGGGCAAGGAGAGGATGGCTTGGGAGGAAGAGAAATTGATGAAGAAGAAGGACGAGAAGGAGAAGGAGAAGAAGGACGAGAAGGAGAAGGAGAAGAAGGAGGGCTCGCTTGACGCCTGACGGTGCAGACAAGATCACTTACCACCGCCGTAGAGGGCCATGCGACCCGTCCGCGCAACGTCGTGGTTCTTGAGGCCGCGCTTCTCGACAAGCTGCTGAGCCATCGCGTCGCCCGTCGCGAACAGCACCTGCTACCCCGTCAGCCTGGAACGTCGCCCTTCCCCGCACCCGCTCTCACGCGACGTACCAGCGTCGTGGCGCTCTGCGTCAGCAGCGGCCGCGATCTGAGTTTGGCCTGGTACCTGGTGCGTCGCAACGTTCGTCAGCTCGGTTCCTTGGATCCCAAAGGAAAGAAGGAAAGGAGAAGGGCGGAAAAAAAAAAAAAAAAAAAAAAAAAGAGAGAGAGAGAGAGAGAGAGAGAGAGAGAAAGGGTTTGGTAGCGAGGGGGACCTGCGGCGGGTGAACCTTACCAGCGAAGCATTCTGTTTTGCTTCCAAGCGCTCTTCTTTCCTTGATCTTTTTGGAGTCTATGTTCTCTTGACCTGTCCGGCCCAAGATACGCGCGCGACGAACAGGGGTTTTCCGCCGGCTTTTTGCTCTTGGTAGTAAGGCAGACCGCGAGTTAGACGTGGTGCTGGATGCTCGAGAAAGAAAAGCGTCGTCGAGCTGCCCTTGTTGAGTGATTCGGGTTATCAAATGCGAAAGCGGAGTGCGTTTCCTCGCACCTTCACTCTGCCCCCCCCCCCCGAAAAAAATGACGTTGGCTTCCTGCTGCACAGTTCAAAGGCCATGAGCCATGATTGGATCTTATTAGCGTCCATGGCTCCCCGTCTCGAGATCTGCTCTGTTCCACTTCATCCTACGTCCAATGCTCGGTTGAAGATCAATTACTTTATTTTCAGCGATGCTATACAGTATGTATGCTACAGTCGTTGCGAATCATGTGGCAGATGCTTCTGCTATAGCTGCCGAGTTTGCTACAAATGTGCTATCAAAGAGAAATAAACTATTCTGATGGCAGCAAGGCCACGGCCAGGTTAGATATTAGGCCCTCTTCCTTCTCCTGCTTCCCGCGAAGCCAGACTCGCTGAGCCTGCCTGTTCAGCCCTCTCCTGTTTAAAAAACTTCCTCATCTCCAGACGCATTGGCGCGAGCCTGACCTTCCCTGCCCGATGCAATGCGCCGTAGCTGGCAGGGCGAGATAATTGTGAGGATATTTCGATATGCCAGATGTTCGTAAGTTCAGGGCTCCGGAGTCAAGTAATTGCGATACAGGCACGAGCACAGCGTTGTTGCATTTTCCGCGGTGAAGTTCCCGACTTGAGCCCCGAGACTGCCGTCGACCGTCTTGTAGCAATTTGGCACGCCCTCTCCTCCTGCAGCCGTCTGCTCAACCCGCACAGAAAACGGCCAGGCTGGATAGGTTGAATTAACCGTCTCTTCTGAGGTGGGATAATCCTTCGCTCGCTTCGTGTACAGATATCCCGTCATCGTTGTTGAGTTATAAAAGCACGTTGCAGACGATCCATCGTTAGTAATAGACGTGCTAGGCACGACTGACTTGTCCATCTGGATTTGAAACTGGTATCTTTCGTTGTCGGTACCCTTGTCGAGGATATTCATAGCCGCGTTCTGGAAGTTGATATCAAACGGGTTCTGTAGCGAAGAGATCTCGTACGAGGCCTTGGAAGAAGCCTCCTTGATGACCCAGTTGAAGGTCGAGAGGGCTTTGACATGATCGTTATTGTAGATCGTATAAGGGTAACAGCTCCACGTGGCAGGATCAGATGTGCAGTCCGTGTTCACAGTGTCGAGGAAGGTGGTAAATGAGTATGTACCAGCCGGGAAGCCGGACGGCACTTGAGTGTTTGTGGCCAAGGCGCCGGTTGCTGTGGCCGTTCCTGACTGCGATGCAGCGCCGGCACTCGCTGGAGTGGCATCGCTGCTTTGCGAGTTTGTACTATTGACTTCGTGAGCAAGACTTCGGCGAGTTGGTGGCGCACAGGTACCTACCTGCTCTTGTTCGACTGCTTGAGTCCGATCGCGGTGCCGACTGCGATCGCAATGATGCAGATCAGCAGAACACCACAGACGAGCAATACCCTCTTCCAGCCGCCTTTCCGCTGCATCAGCCGGCTGGATTTCAATCGCATAAGCAACGAGGGCGGCGGCAGCTGAGCCTTCTCGCTGAATATGTCGTAGGAGTATCCCATTGGGCCTGACATCCTCTCCTCTTTGCTCTCTCTTGGATCGCCCACCAACGTGCTACCCTTTGACACAGTCCCACTCTTCAAAGTGCCCGTTTTCGACGGCCGCCTCGGCCTAGACTTCTGGTCTACTGTGTTCTGCATGATGACGGACAGGCGCATGCCAGCCGGTGTCGAGATGCGCTTCGTTGGTGCATCCACATCGTCGGGGAAGGAGCGTGGGCTTGAACCGGAGTTCGAATAGCTGTCCATGACTTGGAAATTCAAATATCTGGCCGCGTCGCGGTGTCAGGCAAGCGTGGGAGTATATTAAGATTATGACTATGGTAATACGAGCGCAGTATGTACGGAGAACTGGAAGGAAGGACTGAAACCAATACGGTTTCTATTCCGGGTTCATTGCGGTAGGTAAGAGCCGAGTTTTACAGCGAGCTGCTCGAGGGATCAATCCCAGGCCACGGCCGGTGCAATTGATACCACACGATGTGCAGCAACGCGGCGGCGTTGAAGGTGAAGTCTGCGCGACGAAGGTAGATAAGAACGATCGACGAATACAAAGGGGAGGGCACCAGCAGATAATCAAAGCACCTTCCATCCAGACTACCAGCATGGGCTAATCCTCCTAGCGAAGGGAGACTGTGCGAACGATGACCGTCCAGCACGGCCCTTCAGGTGCCCCGTCACCGTCTGGCATCGTGAGCCTCGCCGGATCGACTTGACTCGATTGGGATCAGCATCGTGAACGAGATTTGGGGAAAAACCAATGGTGGAAGGGGAAAGAGGAATGTGGCGCATCCATTTTCAGGAGTGATCATTAGTGGCGTCGTACGACGAGGTTCCGAGGCAGCTAAAATTGTCATGTCGGCCTCATCGCGCGGAGAGACGTCGCGAGGTGGCGCGAACACGCGAGCGAGGCATCCGTGTTTGGTGATGTGGCTTCAGTGAAAGCCTACTGTGTATGTCTGACGAAATTGGTCGGGCGATTCTCTGCGGGATGGCTGACGGGAGACGGGAAAAAGCACGGTTGTGTTGTGGAAGCAAAGATAAATAACAAGAAATGGGATGAGCAAACTGATCAGGACGACCAAAGTCGCGCTGTCCGTTTCGGGCTAGCAGGGCAACACTCACTGTGAACTCGTAAATTGGACTCGCCCTCGTCACGGTCGCGAGCTCGCTAAGCCCAGCGTGTTCGTGATACTCTGTCCGAGCATCAAACGCAGACATCAGCACAACGTCCTGTCGTATGCGCTATGACATTCCATGACACTGTTCGCATAGGCCCCAACAGAGTTGCTTGCGGCTCGTCCGGGCTGGTTTGAATGCTGGGCGCCGTGGGGCCCTTCATTGAACAACATATGATGCCAGGTCAGCGGAGTACAGTCCTTCGAACAAGTCACTTTGACTTCACTTGGAGCGCTGAGTTTCGAGCACGTCTACCATGTTCATCCTCGGCGGCTTTTGCAAATCCTTCACTTCGAAAACATGGCGCAACTCCGGATTGTGACGATCAATGACTATTCCGATGGAAATGCGAGACACCTGCCCAACACAAGCACGCATCGAAAAGACGACCCACCAGAGATATATCTGGAAAAGCTTGGTACTGAATGGATGAAAAGCCGTGGCGAAGCTCAACCTGGCTTCAGATATCGACTCGACCGCCTTCCATATGGCTACACTGTGTGGGAGAGACCTCGACCGGGCGACCCTAAGCGGGTGGATAGATGGTGCTTTGGACATCCGTCCAAAAAGCCATTTGACTCGCCCAATAGGTTTCTGCCTCACTTTTTGACTCTGATGGAGAAGGGCTCTACCGAAGACTGCCCTTGCATACACTGTAAAAAGAAGGACATGCAGTCTTGGAGTAGAACGCCAGTAGTCGCAGATTCCAGCGCCGTTCCTGATAGCACTTCACGTTTCGACAAATACACGCTGTCTTCGAGTATATCTACGCGGCCATCGACACAAGCAACGACACATCCTTCGAGTCATTCCAGCCAAGCTGAAGCTGAAACCGGGTCGAAGCCTAAGATTGGTCTGTACAAGTCTAAAGGGCGACAATGGGTCGAGGGCCGGACGGACGAAGAAGGAACGCCCGACCCATACCGTAACAACATCGACCGTCTGAAGGCTCTTCAATCGCTGGACACTCTCATCGAAGAACCTATGAGTGCAGACTGGCGCGCCGAGCGTGCATCCAACATCGAGGCCTACTTGAGAGAACTTAAACAGAAGAGATCGTGGATATCTCGCCGCTTGGAGATCGTCTTGATGGTGCGGTCGTTACAAGAAGACGAAAGCGTCATCTTCAGCCCAAAGCACAATCGGTTCATGATAACAAAAGATGGGTCGACTTTTCACGAGGAACCCTTCTGGGAAGCTGGCATCGTTACTCAGACGCCACTCACAGATATTGAGGACGATTCTCAAGCTGTGACGATCTCAGGCTTTCGAGTCGAGCCTCTCTCCAATGCGAATTCAAAGGAAGGCAAGGGCATTTGGAAGCGCTATGTTTATCTGCGTCATGATCAGATTAGGCCCTTCAGCTTGTGGAAGAACTTGTTGGCAGGCACTGACTCAGACCAATGGGACGAGACGATTGCAAATGCTATGCTCGTGATGTCTACGCTGGCTTTGGTGAAAAGGTATCGCTTCAAGGGAAAGTGGCCAGAGGCAAAGGTTTTCTGCCGAGCCATGTATCTAGGCTCTGAGCTCATCTTGGAAGGTGACTTTGTTTACCTCATTCCGGAAAATAACTTCGACGATGGTGTGACCGACATCATGCACATATCGTCCATAACTTTGGACATGTGGAACCTGGACAAGGCCAGTGACAACGACTACGACGATGGTCACCCATACAACTGCGCCGCAAGGATCACGGGCAAGGTATACACAAGAGACGCTCAGCGTGCGACCAATCCAACGCCGGTCAAGTTTGACGACGCGACGACGGGCCTGAATCGGGCCGGCCCTTGGTACGCTCGCACCCCAGCTGACAAGCTCACACGTGTTCCTTTCCATCGAGTGATGGGAAGATACTATGACCTTGATGCAGTCGATAAATGGGTCCACGGCAAGGGTGCTCAAGGGCAACCACTGACGAGCCCTGGCATCGGTTTGAGCGGCATCATTCAAGCGCGCAGGTACAGTTCAGACGAGTACCAGCGCATTCAGGATGGCAACACGTGGTTCTGGGCTGACACGCGCGTCGAGGCCCTCGACCTCGAAGAAGTGAACGGGCTGCTTGTGTCCAGTCGGGATCCGGACCGCGACCCGAAAAAGTACCGGAAGCAGATTCGCGTCATCGACGGCACCGCGCGGCCCGAAGAGCGGCGTTTGCTGAAACAGGTGGGCAAGCGCGCGTCTGGCCGTGTCATGAATAGCATGGTCGCCAGCGCTCTCGATCTCGACGCGGAGCAAGGGTCTGCGGATACGTCGCGCGTCAGGAAGCGAAGCAGGAGCGCTATGAGCGGGAGCGAATCTAGAGAAGACGATGAGCAGGGGAGGCAGAATGAGATGGCAGATCAGTCGGCGGAAGCAATTGCTCTGAGTGATGAAGAAATTCCGAGCAGTAGCGACGACGACGATGGTGACAGTGTCATCGGCTCCGAGAGGCAGGCTCAGACTCCACGCCGCACAATCCCCGTCGTCGTCATCGATTGAGTTTTCCAGAATGACGTAGCATTTTGGGTCATGCTTCACCAAAGTCTGACTGCAAAGTGAATGTTGTTCGCCGGACGGAGACTGTCTAAAAGTCCGCGTCTGCAGAAACACAAAGGACGGCCATCACCATCTTCAAATCTATGCTAGGCGTTAACCTTTACGATCTTCTCTGGCGCGGTCACTGGAGAAATCATGACGGCATTCTTTGTGGACTGTCCTGAGCTGTAGGGCATTTACATTGCATTTTCTTGTATGCCCAACTCAGTGCGTTTGCTTCTCCAAGTCTAAATCAGGAAAAGTTCAAAGTCATTGGGGACAGAGAGGCGAGGGAGGAGTGAATTCAATAAGTGCCATGTCTCCGTACAGGAACTGAAACTTTTCGTATGAGGGGTGTCTCAGCGCGCTGCGTGAAGGACTGGGCTGGATAAACTGCCTAGCTTGCGTTTTCGCTGCCGCGCCATATGAGCAACGAGAAAGATGCAGAAAAGCAGCCACAAGTGTGGACATTGTGCTGGGGCTCGAACGCTGGTCGCCGAAGTATAGAAAGAATGAAGCAAAAAAAAAGTTTACGCTCCGATCCTAGCCGTGCTGCCGTTCTCATTGATGGCTTTGCTTGCGTCCGCTTGTCTCTGCTTCTACCAACACGTCTCCAGAACGGCCACTGCTCTATTGAAAGAACTCCCGCACTAACGCCACGACTACACCGATGGTTGTGATCACGTTGGGCGGCCAGGACGAATCGTACTCTAAGGCAGCGCATCGGTAAAGATCGGCTACGGGGCTCTGCGGGTAACATCGCGACCAGGCGCGGATGTCGCGACGGCTTACGGGACACGCGCAGCCTCGTGTGGCAGAGAGCGGCTCGAGGGCCGGCACGCGAGGCACGACGTGCACTCCGCTACACGGCATCTCTGACACAAGGCGACGACGCGGCGGGCGGGCGGAACGCGCGATCAACCTTTTGCCGCGTGGACGGAATTCTGTTGAGGAAAGCGCTCGGCAGCCGTGCAGCGGCCGAGCAGGTCGGGCACAGCGACGGCGATCTCGCCCATGCGCAAATGAAGGGTCCTTGGAAGCCCTGTACGATGTGTCCCGGGCTTGCGACGCCGGGCCTGTTAGACGACCTTAACTTGCCACAGGGGCGCCCGTCTCATCACGTGCAATGCGGCATCTCTGGCCGCCTTCGCGGCGGTGAACTTCAAGGCTCCGCTCTGTCGTCGGCTAGTGCACCGCTGCGATGCGGCTGAATAAGCTTTACCCGGTCGAATGTGAATCGCGGAGTATCCTTGAACGGCGGTGGGTTAAGGAGGGAGCTTTTGAGAACAGCCTCGCCAAAGTCGCCGCCATTTCGCCCACCGGACGTGCCAGGATGGGGTTGGATGTTCAGCCTTGATGCACTCCACGACTAAGCCGCCGTGACCAACAGCTTTGTCCATGGCGGAGACGAATGCGGTAGACGATCAGATCATCGCCTCACGCTTGGTGGAGATGCTGGAGGGCTACGGCAGACAAATCAACGAGATGCTTAACTCTTGTGCAAGACGCAGGCTTATGGTGAACCGGGGTAGAGGCGTGCCTCGTGAGCTTTCTTCCTCGCCCCTTTGCAGATTGCGTCCATTGCGTCCAATTCGCCAGATATCTGGAGGAGGAAACCTTCAAGACCGGGCGAGCTAGGGCAGAAGAAAAACGCTACACGCAGAAGCTTGAGGCACAGAGCACAGTGTTGAATAGGGGCACGTTCCGGATGGCCGAGCAGGCATTCGACCTGAGCATTATGATTCCGGCGGCGTACGAAGTCAAAGAAGGAGGATAGTCGCACGTATCTTCATCGTAGTGTCAACCAGGACAGGATGGCGCGCAACGCAAAATGGAATCCCATCGCGGGAACCGACCTGCAGTCAAGGCTCGGTGACCTGGATGCCGAAGAGGCCCCCCCCCCCCCCAAAGGATTGTCCAGGGATGGATTGGTCCAGCCATTCCTGAGCGACGTGTTCGAGGACACGGACGGAGGACCACCAGCACGCCCTTCAGCGGAGGACCGCAGAGCGCAATATGGAACAGGCTGAGCAAGGAGAGCTCTCGGCATCGTCGGGCTTCGACTCTGCCATGCCTCGTCAGCAGACAGCGAGTCGTGGAAAGCCTCGTGACGTGGACCGAGCAGAGTTTGGTGGTGCTTATTCCGAACGCTTGCAGCGCTTACGCAGTGAGCGATCCAAAAGGCGACGATGTTTGTCGGGGACTTGGGAGAGGCAAGTTCCGTCCTTTGAGACGGTAGATGAGAGTGTGTAGGTGCGAGGTGACGATGTGAAGCGCGCAGCCTGATGCAATCCTCATGCAAGCCAGAGCCAGACGTCCGGAGCCGAGTGGAGATGCGGTTCCTCTTGTCCGTCCAATGATGTAGGTCAACGCGAACGGAGCTCGAGTCCGGTCGCAGGAGAGGCTCGTGTCCAGGCCGTCATATTTGCTCTCAGGCTGGGATGGCTGCACGCTTCTCAACCGCGACCGTGCCTGTTGCGCAGATGGTTGCGTGTAGACCCAAGAAATGAAAGCAGTCCAATACGCAGGTGCTCGGAGCGATTCCCGCGACTCCAGATTCGGCTGCACGTTGAACTTAACCTATAATGAGCAAGAAAGCGAGAAAAGGGCATAGCGGTGCGATACTTTTTTTTTTCCTTTTGTTCAACTGTTGCTTCCCAATGCACCTTTGAACGTCGTGGCTCATTAAAACTTTTTTTCCCTTCGGAACCGGCGCCTATGCAGAACTACAAATACAGCGCAGTCACCGTCGGCCCGAATGCGCCATCACAGCTGGGCGGCGTCTCAGAGGTGAAAGAGCTTCTCTGGCGGGCGCCAGGGTGGATCTCAGGGTGGATTTCATCTCGTGAGCCTTACTGGGTTGTGGCATGTGGGTGCGGGCATGAAGCTACGATCGAGTGTACCTGACGGATGGCGATTCCGACATGTTGGGACTGGCAATTGAGATGAGGATGGAACGGCGGGGAGCATGATTGGGGACTAGAAGACAGAAAAGGGGGGGCCGACTGTTGGGCGTGTGAGCGTCGGCAGACCAGCAAGTAGTACAGCAGCAATTCAGAGTTAGTTCGACGCGGATTTCCAACTGGGGTTTCGTGCTGGTGGTCGGCGGCCACGATTTTGCATGTGTTCGTCAGGCGGCTCACACGTTCATGCCTGCGAAGATCGAACCGAGCGATCACCGAGCGGGCCCAAGGTGCGGGTGCGATCCCGCATACGTAAAGGGTTCAGGGTCGGGCTCGTTAGCACTGGCCCGTTCTCTGGTCAGCCCAGAGAACGAAGAAGTTAATGGTGAAAGTCGGCGAAGTGTGGGCCGGCGCAATGACGGGTCGCCAGGGCAGCACTAGTGAGGCGAAGACGAAGAGGCCCCAGCAACGGTGGGGGGGGTCTCTGACATTGGCAATAAGAATCTTAAATCACGGGCAGACAGCAGTTCGCCGGTGTCATACCAGCACGTCAACAGGACGGGGGACAGGCATCGAGCGCGGGAGAGGTAGTAACCGTCTCGTAACGAGCGCCGACACCGACTCAAGGCGAACGGCACGGGTCAATCACCAAGGGCCGGAAAGCAACGTCATGTGAAGCGTGGGCCTGATGGTACGTACCATCTACAGAGGATGCGTTCACATGCCCTCAGTGCCAGTGCCAGTGCCAGTGCCAGTTCCCGTAGCGCCAGTGCTTGTATCTGTGCAGAGCTGAAAGCATTCTCGCTGAATGGCCGTGCGTGTGTTCTGGAAGGCTTCGACACAGGACGTAAAAGTGGATGCTGTGGTTGCGTGGCTGGGGTACGCTCGATGTTGGGGCGATGTGTTACAGGGTGACAGCCCATGTCATTGGCTACCAGCACACAGTTTGGGGCGGGTGAACAGAGGAGGTGGGTCAAAGGTTCAGTCGTCAATGGCCGTGGCCGCAGCAGTAGTATTCGGACTTTGTCCAAGTAGGAGCTGGTAGCGTGCTCCGTTGGAACGGTAGGGAACGGTAGCTAGGCGCGGGATGGGTCAAGGTGAGGGTAAGGAGGGCAAAGAGCGGAGAGCTGTGAAATAATGCACAAGAGAAAAAGCAAAGAAAAAATAGTTCGGGAGACGATACCGTATGGGGAGACAATACACGATGGATCGGGGGATGCTTACGCTGGCGAGAAGGTTTGTTTTTGGCTGGTTGGCCGACGGATGGATGGAGCCTGAGCCAGAACCAGAGCCGGAAGTAAATCGAACAGTGGCCAGCGGCTGACTGCGACGGCCACAAAAAGAAAGTACGAATTCTTTGGACTCGAGAGTTCACGCCGGGCTCTGGATGAGATTCATATGCGCCCATAAGCGAGCGGAGACATACAGAGACTTTTGTGGGAGAAACACAGAGAGACGAGGGTGAATACACAACACCGATACAGCGTCAACCCTCGCGCATCTGCAGCGTGTCCATTCGTGCGGTCGTGCGAGTGTATGTGCATGAAGCCCTCTGCGCATTGTGCTTTTGTTCCTCAACCAACGTCCACTACTCCATAGTCTGAAGCTAGCTGGCCTTCCCATGGCGTCAATCTCCTTTGTCTATTCGTCAACGCAATTGGTGTCTGACGACAAGGCCCAGAGCCGCTCCGCACATCTTCTTGTGTGTGCGAGAGAGTGGGAATGGGGTAGGTGGCTACAAGGAGAGTGAACGAGTAAGGTAGAGAGGAGAGTCCGAGAACGAGAGTGTGTGGGTTTGTATGGATGGTGTTGTGTGTGTGTGTGTGTGTGGGTGTGTGTCTCACTCCCCGCCTCTGTTTCGTTTCTCGTTCCCGTCGTTCCCATCCCTCACACACACCGCTCGATGAGGATGGGCCCGGCGATGTACTAGAAGAGCCTGCCACGATCTTGTCTGCACGAGCGTGCACACACACATACCACACCTATTCCTAGAGCCCTCTATGGCCAAGCATACCATAGCATAGCATACCGTAGCATAGCAGAGCATAGTGTAGCATTCCATGACTTCTCCATTTCAATAGTTTGGAGCCAGCACCACTACATACAAGCACCGTCACCGCCACTACATCAGCAACGTCTTTCAATGGGTAGCAGAGACTGGTCGAGTCGAGCAACGAAATGGCTCTCCTCCTCTCTCCCACACACACCCTCTTTCTCCCATTCACTTCCTCTCCGGCCAATCTCTCTTGCTCTCCCTCCGAGGCTCTGTGAGTCCCATCGTCTGTTCTCCCCCTTTGATGACGCGAGTCGTCGTGCCCGACAAGTTATCCCGGTCTCGTCGCCTTCCACCACCCCGGACGGCGCGCGGCCTTCTGATTGGCGCTGAGCCTCACGTTCGGCAGAACCGTGCCTGCCTTCATTGGCTGGCCACGGATGGCACTTTCCTACATCATACTGAGCGCGCACTTTCACATACTCCTCCAAACCCGCCTCTGTCCCCGTCCGGATCTCAGTCGCTCTTGCCTGATCATACTGCTCTGCTCCTTCCCAACCGTCCTGCTGGCCATCGCGCCTTTCAAAACCGTCCAGCCGACGGCAGCTCGCCTCCCGTTCGCCAGCATTGAGTCAGCCGCGCCGCCCGAGGTCTCTGATTCGCAGCCAACACCGACCTCGCTATTCATTCCGCCCACTCGCCAACCGTCTGCACGCTTGATGTCCGCATCGCCTCCACCTTCTCTGGTCTACTCTCCTTCTGTGTGCGACGACAGAAGCCGAGAGGCGTCGACAGCCCAGAGCACTCCGTTGAATACGCCCACCGTCGCAGAAGCTCCCTGGCCTGCCTCCGCCTCTAGGAAGGAGAAAGAACTTTACTTTTCCTGGCACAAGAAGCAAGATACCACTTGCTCAACCACCACCACCTCCTCCTCCTCCTCGCCCGTCGCCAACGCCGCTTCCACCGCCGCCCGCAGCTGCAATCCTGTTCTTGGTGCCGACTGGCACTTTGCGCCTGACCCGTCCGAGCCTCTCTTCGAGGACGAGGGCGACACCGCCTTCCCTCTCTTCTCTGATTCGCCGCCCCCCACCTTCGAGAAGCGCACCATGGCCAGCTCGGCGTCGCCCGTCGACATCGCCCTGCCGCCGCGCATCACCAACTCGCAGTCTCCTCGCAACCAGACGTCGAACCTCACGTCCGCGCTGCAGGAGGCCGGCGCCACGGCACAGTCCGTCGCCGAAGCCGTCGGAAACACCGCCGCCACCGCAACCACGAACCAGTACATGGGCATGCCCGATCCCGGTCGTCTGAGCGTGAGCGGCAGACACGACTCCATCAGCAACATGTTTGGCTCGTCCTACTACGGCTCGGGCGCCCGACCCATCTCCGTCAAGGATCGTCAGCGTAGAGAGAGTAACACGGGCGGTAGCTTCATGGGCAACGGCATGAGCTGGGGCGGAATCTCTGTCGGCAGCTTACGAGACGAGTATGAGCCTTCCATTCCCATCCATCCCCATCCAAAAATGAAGGATCGGGGTCGTAAATCCTAGCTAACGTTCTGCGCACAGCATCATGATGACGGGCACTTCGCCCATGCCCTTTGGCCGATCGCCATCTTTACACTCCTCCTCGTACCTTCCCAAGATGGAAGCGCAGTTTCTTTCCGGCTACCAGTGCTGCGGCAAAAACCTCGATTCGCTACACGAATTGCTGCAGCATTTTGAGGAGAACCACGCACAGCAGTCCAGCCAGATCGCGCACCGGTCCTCGGTATCAAGCCAGGCAGGCTTTGGTGCGAACAGGCGCCCCTCAAACGGAACCGGTGGCAGCGGGCCTTCCTCGCAAAATGTCGCGGCGCAAGACCAACGCGCCATGAACCAGAGAACGAACAGCTTTGCGAACCAAAGGGATGGTTTCAGCCGAACTCAGCTTTCTACCGTCCAAGATATGGACACCCTCGAGGACATGGAGATGGACGACGGTACGACTCCGGCGACATCTGTACCGCAGATGACATCGTCGATCAATCAAAGCACGCCGACCGTTACCCCTCTCAACACATCCATCACGCCTTCGGTGCCTGCGCAACAAGCTTTCAGAACGTCCACACCCTCGACGCCAAATGCGACACAAGCTTTCCAGCTCTACAGCAATCCCACCGTGTCCTCAGTCAACACCCCCGCTCTGAGCACCCAGTCTTTCCAGCAATCACAAAAGTCGCCTCACACCTCCATACCCGGGACGCCCGCCGAGATGAACACTGATTTCAACTCCGACTACATGAACGCGCTTGGCATGAACATGGAAGGCATGCCAATGCAGGCGAGTCAGATGGGCATGCAAGATGACTTCGACTTCGGCCCAATCGGTTTTGGTCTGACGAATAACATGAGCGGCATGACAATCGACGAGCCCGCCAAACGCTTGTTCAGCAAAGCAGGTGGGGGCATGAACGCGCAGCAGCTAGCTTACGCGATCAAGAACGGCCAGATACCCATGGATGCTGAATTGCAAAAGAAGCTACGAGAACAACAGCTGGTTGGTGGATTAGGCGGCCCTGTGATTGGTTTGACTGTGTTTCCTGACCAAGAGAACAAGCCATTCAAATGCCCCGTTATTGGCTGTGAAAAAGCGTACAAGAACCAGAACGGCCTCAAGTATCACAAGCAGGTGAGTTGAATTGAAACAAGCGATGCGCCCACGTTCGTTGCGTCGCACAATGGGGCCACGTGCACTAACGATCGGCAAAAAACAGCACGGCCACAACAACCAGAAGTTGCAAGAGAATGCGGACGGCACGTTTTCGATCGTCGATCCAATCACGTCTATCCCGTATCCAGGAACAGTCGGCATGGAAAAGGAGAAGCCATATCAATGTCCCGTGTGCGGTAAGCGGTACAAGAATCTCAACGGCCTTAAGTATCACAAGCAGCACTCGCCCATGTGCAATCCGGATCTAAAGTTACCGGGCAATCCTCTGGCCGGTCTCAATCCGAACGCAAACGTCGCCGGCAATCTCTTTTAGTTTTGGCGGTGACAGGTCTTTGCCTTTTCCCTGCTGAAACCGATGCCCGAAGATCGACACGCACACACGGAGACGGACACATATCCCTACTATTTTTTTTATTTGGCTCGCTTCGACACTTTCCTTGCATGAATGATACCATACACTGCGTTGCGCGAAATACGAATAACGGAAACGACGACGAGGTCTCCGCTTTTCTTTGGAAGAAAAAAAATTCTCTATAGAGCTGCGATGGTGCTCCTCGGACCATAGACTGCATGGAATCACAGAAACTGCCGGCGTTACTGGGAGAAGCATACCCAAACCCTCCTCCGTGTTGGATAAACCACACACACGCATACACACTCCTACACCGATCTCCTCTCGCGTCTCCTCCCTTTAACGCTGGCGTTCAAGGGATATCTTTCTATGGTATCAACTACCTGCCTCAAGGGTTGCGGCTGGCGCCACGTGAATCTTGTGCAACGTTGTCCTTACACGTTGCAAAGGTTCTCTATAACTACGCTGAACGGCTTCACTCCGTTGCCCGCCACAAAGCCTTTGTATAGCCTTTGCAAGACCGTACAGAAAGTATCTTTATTTTTCTTTCCTCTTTAGATCATGTGGAGGATTGCGGTGGGAAGGACGGATGGAGGGAGGGCGTAATTGATGACGGATTTAGCCCATTGGCATATAGACTTTCTTGGATTTTCTTTCCTTTTTTGGTGTATCTTCTCCTGCTTTGTTTTGGCCCTTGACTTTCCTCTTTCTTTTGTGCTGGAAGTTACTGGGGCGACACATCAAAAGTTAGCTGCATCTATTTGCTGGTTCTCTGTTTGGGTCTGGGAAGGTTCTTTTATTTCGTGTTCTCTGCGTGTGGTTACACAGCGACTTGGGGAAAGTGAGAGACTACATTTTACAGCCCGAGGATCACGTTCATGTTACGACGACGACGCGCACATCTGATGACGGCAAGTGGACTGACTGGCTGGGGAAATCATTCCCTCCAGGTCGACGTTGGTGGTGGTTTGCGTTTTTGTTTTTCCGCCGTTCGCTTTCAGACAGTACGGGCTCTCGTCTTCCAGCGCCCCGAAAAGTCAAGGAAGCGTCTTTGTACCAGGTATTTGAAGTGTGAAAATTAACTTGCTATCTATCTCGCACGCTCTCCAGAACAAGAAGAACAAAGTCGCAACGTAGACGATGGATCATCGCAGTGCCTGGCGGACGGCGTTTCGTTCGTGGACGAGTCGACTTGGTGGTTTGACTAAGGCGAGGCTGCACAGTAGGCTGGGGCGCCATGCAATGCTGGACGCGGGGACTAATAACAAGGGCGGGCGGCGCGGTCTGGCGAACCTGCGAGAAAGCGCATCATCGTCAGTTCGCCATCAACGTCAGACCATCCGCCGCCCTCCCCCATCCACCATCTGAAAATTCCCTCTGCGAGCCATCCACGACCGCACCATCGCGACGCGCCATTGACGGTCTAGTTTGGATCGAGCGTGCACGCCTCAGCCTTGCCCAAGGTTACGAATTGAAAGAGACGATCAAGACGGGAACCATAACTGTGCGGGGGCCCTGATTTTTTTCGTCATGGACCTTCACGGCGGATGCGCGTGCGGCAGAAACGTCTTCGTCGTGGAGATACCAGAGACGTCGGACCAGCAGGCTCGCATCTTCTTTGACAACAGCAGCAGCAGTCGTGAGTATTTGGCCAAATCCTCCCCTCGCCGTGCCCCCGTCTTCTCAACCTGTTTGCACCCTCACGGTCGGGTCTGTGTGTGCTTTCTTTCCACGAACGACTGGATCGGCCCAACGCCGCCGGGCTTGTCGTGACTGCGCAGTGCCGCTCGAGCTTGGTTCGCACAGGGCCGGCTATGAAACCCAGCCTGTCATTCTTTCTTTGCGGCTCCTTTCGCACGTGTCGACCCAAGGTTGGGCGTGGTCAGGGCACAGGTGGGGTACGATGGACAGACGGACAGGCAGAAAGATAGGCAGACAGACAGACAGACAGGCAGGTAGAAAGATAGGCACACACACACGGACGGACAAGACAGGCAGGCACAGAGCAAGAAAGAGCAGACAACCAAAACTCACACTCACTGTGCACAGGTAGACATCTAGCCTCGCCCTTCACGGCATGGCTTCACGTGCCATTCGCTTGGTTCCATAGCACGACCTTCGCCTTCTTCCCAGACGAGACGCACCGCAGCATCCGGCGCACATTCGTCTCGCCGTTCGAGACCACGTTGCGCCGCCAGTTCTGCGGCTACTGCGGCACCCAGCTCTCTCAGTGGCGAGAGGACGCACGCGACGACAGCATCCAGATCACGCTGGGCAGCATCTTCGAGGAGGATCTCGAACAGCTAGAGCAAGGGGGCGTGCTGCGTTTTGACGGCGCGGAATCCGACAGCGACGACCCGGAGCGGATGGAGATCGAGGCCGCGAGAAGGTTCGCGCCCGTGGTGGGCACGCGGCACAGGGGCGCCTCGTGGTACGAGAGCCTGGTGCGGGATACCCCGCTGGGCCAAGTAAGACGCCAGAAGGGCGGGCACATGAGTCACGACGGCAGCGTAGAGGTGGAATGGGAGGTTGTGGAGGTTTCGGCTGGAGGCGACGACGTTGAGGACGACGGTGAAGCTACCCCCGGCAAGCGCAAGATTGGTGAGGTGGAAGAGCCGGAAGACCACGAGATGAGATCTTGAACGCGGAGCGGTAGGGTGACGAGAAACGACGGGACCGAACCGCGTCGTGAAGGGAAGATTCTTTTTGTCGTGGAGCTGTGACTTCGCTGCCCCGACTACGTAATCACCGATAGAGGCGGGAGACCGCCACGATCACTTCACCTGAGGCTAAGAATGGACATACAAAATATTTTGACGAGCGCTTAAACGATGGTCTTTGGTCTTTGCGAGGAAACCGCCAACTCATTTTTTTTTTACACCTTTAGAGCAGCACAGTTTATGCTTTACGACAGTAATTGAGCATGGAGCATAATCTTCTTCTTCTTCTTCTTCTTCTTCTTTCCCCTGCAACGCACCCCTCCCCCCTTCCTTTCCTCCTCTCTTCTTGCGTGAACCTCGCATGCTGTGGCATTTGAGGGCCATCGAGGGGCTTCGAGGAAGAAGTAGAGAACCGACACCGACTGTGCGAGCTTTTTACAGACGGTCGGAAGAGTCCTGTAACGAGTGCGACCGTGTGCACGTGTCCCTCTGACGCATCGGCCGGGTGGACGTAAAACGCGAGGTAGTGAGCGTTTGACGAGGCGTCGTGAACGAGATCTGCGCCGGTCGGAATCGTGTCTTCGAGTCGAACTTTTGTCTCTTGCCGTGTCAGCCCCAATCTGTAGATCGTCCCATATCAAGTCCGACCACAACGCCTCAACACCATGTTGTCCCGCCGGCTATGCGACCTCGTCGATCCAAAACTGCTGATACCTCCTCCGTAGCTTGGCTCGGCACTCAGCCAGCCTGTCAGTGCACTGATCAGCTGTTGTATCACTTCCGGACTCCTATTATGGAGACTTGTTCGAGACCACACTACCTGGACTGGGCAGGTTTCCAGCCGCTCCAAGAACCCATTCAATGCGAGCATTGTTTACGGAGTCGTCTGCACTGTCCTTGGTGCAATCCGTGTAGGTTCATTGTACGCATTCAGAACCTTCATCAGCTCGATTATCGTACTGTCCACACCGAGTTGTCTTGCCGCTATCCTACCTCATTATCTGAGCAGGAAAGAAAATTCGGCTCTAGGCCCTTTTGTTCTCAACGGCACGCTTTGAAAGAAGAGAAGAGGATACACGTGTCCGAACGTCATGTTTGGAGCTGAAGTGAAAGCTGCTGAGACGATGAGAAGCGATTCTATGAGTACTGCGAGAAATGCAGGGGCCAACATTAGGTATGGTTGCCCGGAAATCAGAAAGAAATATCGTTTCCTACTATCGCTACGTTGCATGTCTTTGGGAAATGTATGTGCGTGTGTCGTGGTCCGCCGTCCAAGAAAGCTCAGCAGCAAAGTTTCCAATCCGTCCTTGTGAAACTGGAGGTCGTATTTATCAAGCCAGCGTTACGGGATCCACGATTTGACTAATGCTATTATTCCACAGTGTCCCATCTAGATAATGTTCTGGTTGCTTTGTAGTGGACACCCAACATCCGGTTTGTCGAAGTTCTCGAAGCAGGGTTTCCCTATCGAGATGACCTGGAATGACTTTGCGGCCCATCAGTCCATTAAAGTGCTGCCATACCTTAGGAGCGACATATCCAGTGTTCTCATCAACGTATCCAGGATCGCCATTCATGGCCTTGCTGAAATCTTTATGGCATGCTTCTGCCATCGTCGCTACTTGGAGTGTACGCGCTATCAACGCGTCACCTCTCGCCGCTGATTCCTGTAGCTGGCGAGCAGTCCGCACAATCTTCTCCCTGAGCTCCAAGGTTTCGGCCTCCAAAGACGCCGCTTTCAAATGTAGTGGCCCAAGCGCTACCAGAGCTCGATTGGCAATGATATCACCCGCGTACGCAATAGCCAAGTTCTCTGGCAGCTTAGATGAATCCTGCCCGAAGCGATTTGCGCACCTCAAAGCCCATGTCCTCCACCGCAAGCTCATCTCTCGAAAGCGACGCAAGTTGATGTTGACTATAGCTGCGCTCTCCGTGTCACAGCTGCCGGAGAGGACAAGTTCGCTGGTCTGCCTTATCAAACGAGGCAGACGTGCTTGCATAGCCCAGATGCCAACGAGCAGCGGTGGCACGATCGGGCTGTCCGTCTCCATGATCTCGCGCAAAGTCTGTTGCCATTCAGCGTCGCCCAAAAAACAGTCCTTGTTCTGAAGCATGGCCTCTCCGAAAACGGTATCAAGCTGCGAAAACAGCAGTGCACGCTCGAGGGTGGTCCGATACATTTTCGGCCCTCGCATTGCGATCAGGTTTGATATTCCTGACGTGTGCCTTGTCCAGGAACCGGACTCTCTAAAGTCAAGGACCTGCGAACGTCAGCAAGTGTCGGCCGTCCAAGCTTCAATCCCGTGACGGCTATACCTCGAAAAGCTGCATTATTTCCATCGAGCATAGCACATCAGCATCGAGGACCCTGCTTTTGTCATGGAGGGCTTGCCGCAACCCTTGGAGGGCCATTCCGTATTGTGCGTATATTGTAGCGTCCGCAACCTGGGTGTCTGGACAAAGGAGCTTCCTGCCGCGGGCAAGTACGCAGTCGACCGCATGTCGTAACAACGAGCTCGTCGGGTACAGGAGAGGAATAAAGTCTAGAAACGACGGCTCCCGCGCCCGCAACCACTCTTTTAGCTTCAACCTTGAGTTGTGTAGTACTGTGGCCGCTGCGCGGCCCATGTGCACATTGGTGAACATGCACAGGTCTAGCAGGTCGAACTGATACTTGGACCTCGCTTGGTAGTAGCCAGTCTGTGCCGGGCTATGCACCATAGTAGCGGGGCGATCTTTTGGCCGAGTAGAGTACACAATCCATTTCCTAGCTTTTCGGACAGGCTTCCTTCTGGAAGACCCCGTTCTAGTCGTGTCCTAAGCCATATCATCCATAACTTCATGACTAGCAGGGGGAGCTGTTTTGTGGCACTCGACGATGCGGAAGGATGGCTGCTTGCACACTTTATGTTGCGTAGATAGCACGTAGCGCATCGCTTGTTGCCGAATCTTCCTTTTGTTGAATCTCCACTCATCACTGCCTCGAGTTCCCTCCTCCGATATCCAAACCAACTCATTATCAGCCGCTACACGATCGTAATTCATCTTATGCCCATATCCGTTTTTCTTCCCGGCTCGGTAGAGAGCATTCACGTCAAGTTCATCAGAAATTCCGAATCTTAAAAGTAACGAAAGCTCTTGACATGAATTGCCTTTATCATTCGATCAAACAGTTTAGGTTCGCGATGCCAGGTGCAATACATCACGTTATGCATCTTATCACGTCTGATTACTTTTAGCAGACGCTAGTGTCTAAGCGCGCTTTCCCGTGTCAATAGTCATAGCATCAGATTTTGCTGACAATAGGCAATTCAGTAATAAGGACATGTTATGCATATCCACGTGAAAACGGCTTTAAGTTTTGACAGATGAAATTCTTAAGAGTATGTATGTGTGTACTTAGATTCTGTCAAAACAGCCTTCGCCTCGTGGCAGAAGGTGGCTGCAATGCGCGAAAAACGTAGACGCAGTGGTGGAAAAAGAATAGAAACGCAAGTGGGCTACCCGCTATTCTTGGCACACTTAGCTCTTACGCCTTGCAGAATCCGGTTTGGCCCGTCTACCAGATTAGATACTTGGACATTGCAGATCTAGGGGCAGTAAGCCAATGACTGACTGTGGACGTAAGCGAAGACGGCTGTAGTCTACGACGCTATGCCCCGGGCGATGCTCGCGTTTGCTATGTGAAACTCATATTATCATCTGCGTGGAAATTCAGGCCCTCCTGGTCTACGACTGTATACACCCAGGTTTCGGCTCTTGACCGGATTTCCTGACATTTTTGTGTCACGTCCCACCTTTTCGTTTGCCTTTGACCTCGTCTGTCCACGGTCGTTCATCGTGCGTCGTTGTTTGTTGCCGACGATGAAATACGTATCATTAATTGCATTATTTTCTTCTTTGTCAGCGGGCCTTTCGCTGCCTTTGTTTAAGAAGCGTCAGGCAAACAGCGCGATTGCGAGCTCGATATTCCGCAGAAGAGCTTATCAATCAACCGCAGTGCTTGATGGATGGCTATACATCGACGGCGGAGAGTTTTCATACGCTTCGGGTAGCGATATAGTGTATCAATACTGTAGGTATCCTCTTGATCGATTAACACAATGCACGAGGCTGATTTGTGCAGCTTCGACACTTCTATCGATCGATCTGTCTCAAGACTTCACGAATGCCACGGTGAATATAAATTCGAACTCAAAACCGGCCGGTGTGCCAGACTTGGACTCGGGAGGGATTTGGGTAGACAAGGTCAATAAAGTGTTATACACGGGTTTCGCTGGTCGGTCCTCTACCTTTGGCAATGCGGCATACCAGGACCGTGGGTTGTGGTCATTCTCCCCCGACGGACAAGGTGGTGGATCATGGAAGAACCTGAATTCAACCGCACCTGCAGGTTTCAAGACAGAAGTCAGACCGTACTCTGCGCTGGTCGCTAGCGGTGATGGCAAAGGCTTCATGCTAGGTGGATTCGACCCCGCGAATGCTTCCGTGGGTATTTCCGGCCTGGTCATTTATGATTTCTCTTCGAACAAGCTCTCCAACAACACTGTCACTGGTATCGCGAACAAAGGTGTCGTCCAGATGGGCGGTGCTCACTTTGTGCCCAACTTTGGCCCACAGGGGATCATGATTACATTTGCGGGAGACCAAGTCGGAGCAAAACAGGCTGGCGCGGATTCCTTACTCAGTACGACCACCGTGCAGATCTACGATCCTGCAACGGGAGTCTGGTACGAGCAAACGACGTCGGGCAATATTCCTGAACCTCGGAAGGAATTCTGTATGACAGGAGCAGCGTCGAACAACGAAACCTACGAAATCTTCGTGTACGCCGGGTGGAATGGCAATCTCGGCCCTGTAGCTATTCCATACGACGAGGTCTACGTTCTCTCCTTGCCAAGTTTCAACTGGTTCAAGGCGGACTATCTTGCGGAAAATCCACGTCACGGGTTGACGTGCAACCACATCGGGGGAGGCCAGATATTGACCGTCGGCGGTGTCAACACAACGCAGAACGGGCCGAACAATCTGTACGACGACGTTTTCAACACGCCGGACCAGTTCACGCAGGGGCTCAACGTGTTCGACCTGAGCACCATGGCTTGGGCGACGAGTTATTCCGCCCAAAAACAGACGTACAGCCCCGCTGCGGCGATCCAGCAGTACTACTCCACAAAGTAAGTAGCAGCCAGCCTGACCGACCACTTTGCTGAACCAGGCAACTCACCATGTGTAATTAGCCCACGTCACCCCACATACTCGTCGACTGGTCTGCAACAGCTCATGTCAGTGCAGAACTTTACTTCCGCGACGACGGGGTCTTCGAGTTCTTCGTCAAACTCGACTTCTCCCGCGTCCCCAGGCTCGTCTAGCTCAGGGTCATCAACGAATACCGGTGCCATCGCCGGGGGCGTTGTTGGTGGAGTCGTGGCAGTCGCCCTCATCGCTGGCGGCGCCGTTTTCTTTCTCCGCAGACGTAGAAATAAAGAAGTTGCCGGTGGTGGCGATGCTGGTTCCTTTGCGACTCATGAAATGCCGGGAAACAGCAATTCACAATACGAAATGTCGGCTGCCGCAGAGAACACGCCGATGGCCAACAACATCAGATACGCGAAATACGCGCCCGTACCGTCCGAGCCTCGCCACGAAATGCCGACGAACGAAACACGGCATGAGTTGGCATGATCCAGGGGTCAAAGGTGATGACCCTCGTTTTTTTGATGACTTCTTGATGTATAATGACACTTTGTACATACTGATATCTGCTGGCCGTCAGGGCGTCAATCAGCGCCTGGCTCGACCGATCACACGTTTAGACTAATTCATGGCCGGCGATAGAGGCTATTTTTGCATTATCGCTTCTGCTTCTTCGCCGCCTTCAGCTTCCTCGCGTAGTCGGCCATGCGCTGCTGCGGAATGCCTGAGTTGAAGGCTTCTCCAAAGACGCGGATGCTTGCCTCGATGCCAGCGCGGTCGGTGCCTTCTCGTTCCCAAGTCTGGGCAGTGGTAGGCTAGAAATCAGCACTAGTACCTTTGAGATTTACGGGTCAGGGGATCCACTTGCCCTCATCAAGGCCTTCTGCGCCATGACGGCCCTCGGTTCCGCCTCATCGACCCATGTCTCCCACTTTGTCAGCACTGCTGGTAGATCTGCACGGACCGTGACTTCGTTGAGGAAGCCAACGTCCAGTGCCTGCGTCACGTCGAGGGTCTCCCCAAAGTACAGCAGTTGGCGAGCACGTCCCCAGCCGATGAGTCCGGGGAGCAGGCTGGCTTGGACGACGGAGGGGATCCCGATTTTGGTCTCTGGCATGGCAAAGACAGTCGTCTCGTCTCTTACTGCGATGCGCATGTCGCAGCTTGCTGCCAACTCCATACCGGCTCCCATACATGGCCCGTCGATGACAGCGATGACGGGGACGCGGAAGTCCTGGACGGTAGAGCACAGCTTGTCTACAGAACGTATGAACGCGACGGCGTCGTCGCTGTGGATGAGGCTCTTCATGTGGTCGATGTCGGCTCCAACTACGGTGCTTCGTAAAAACAAGACTCTGACTTCATGCTGTCTGTCCAGTTTACCCAGCTCATCCACGAGCCTTTCTATGGCGACAGGATTCAGAATAGGATACTTCTTGCTCCCGTAAAAGAACAAGTGGGCAGCAAAGCCACCAGACGTTAGCCCTGTACGCTCAACCTGAGTCGAGAAATGTCGCTGGACATGGGCGTGAAACCAAGCAGGACGTTGCCGAATCCAGAGACGAGTGTGCAGGGAGACGAGTCGGCTCACTCCGGCAAGTAGCGACTGAGCACTCAAGGACATTTTACTTTGTACCACACAGATTGACTTCTGGACCGTAGATCAAATCGGCGCCTCATGTGACAGCTCACGACACTGCTTGCAAACAAACGGGTGAGCAGTAACTAATAGAGGGAGGAAAGTGAGCTTGCGCCGGTGGAAATCTCCGATATCGCTCTCGCTTAAGGTTGACGCACGGATCGGAGTGGCACCACCTTTGATGCCCCAGGCGCAAAAAAGGCTCCAACAAGGCTCCCACGAGGCCAAAACAAGGCAACGACAAGCGCAGCGATAAGGAAGCCGAAAGAGGTATAGCGGTTTCTGCCTGCAGGCATCACGCTGCGACGCTCCAAGCGCCCAGTCCCAGCCCCCAGGGCGCTGCAGCTGAAACCGGCTCCCGTGACCGGTCAGCTGCCAGCTTCTGCTCTCGATCCAGTCCCGTTTGCGCTTCGCACGGGCCAGTCTCGGCGTCCGCAGTGTAGGCCAACCTGCTGCTTATTCACCCTGCACTTTAGTCGGGCCCGCGATAGAGCCCTGACCTTCCCCACCGCCGGTCCGCTACTTACGCTGACCAGCCAACCGCATAAGATCTTCTCTCGCCCGCAGTCCAGCTTCTCTACTCTTTCCATCTCCATCCTTTTCCCATCCGCTGGTCTGTCCCCAAGTACCGGCCTTGGCTCGCCTTCGCTTTTCTTTGACCATCCCCTCCCACCTCCATTCCATCCTCATCTTCCTACGCCCACCCACTTGTCTCTTTTCTCTCTCGTGCATCTCCACCCCTCAGCCTCGCCTTCACGCTACCCTCACGGCGCCTCTCTCCATCAGGGTCCAACCTCTTGTCGTCTTTCGGCGCGTCCAGCACGACAACTCGCCCTTCCTCCTTCTCCATTGTCATTCCTCTGGTCCAATTGACTTTGAGATCGGATCTTGATCATCCATTTCTCCCCTCTCTGATCATCGTCATTACTACAATCATCATAATAGGTTCTACACTCAATTGTTTTGCACTTACTACTACTAAACCAGCAGCATCCTGACACGTGCACCCACCGTTCACCTTTCATCGCCATGGGCCTCAACTACTACGCGTCTTCGCCCGTGCTTGTCATGCCTCACCAGCAGTCCAATCACTTCATGCATCACCCACATGATGACTCCGGTGCATCATACAACGCCATGATGGTCGATCCGTCGCCATCCAGACGCTTCGCACCAAAGCTACCAACGCCACCACCGTCACTCAACTACCTAGCTCAGGCGTCCCACACCACGTGTAGGAAGCGCTCGCGCGCTGACATTGGTGATGACATCGAAGCCGAGCTCGAAACCTCTGCTGGCCCTGTGCAACCACCCAAACCAAAAGTAGAGCCGCGTTACGGCCCTGGAATGACCTTGATTTATGACGAACCATCGCTCAACATCTCTCCCGAGTCCCAGAGTGGCACCTGGATGGAGGAGAAGGCCGACATCGAGACTGCTTCTGCTGCCGCTGCTCTGATCGACCGACCTCGCCTCCCCGCGCGCAAGCTGTCTCGCCGCGTCTCTGTCGACGAGAATCTCGAGAGCACGTCAACGTCCCTAGGCATCGATCCTATCGTTCTCAAGCTCGGCATCGGCTGGAAGAGAATGTCGCAAGACCGAGCGGCGGCCGTTGCTGGTGACGAGGCCTTCATTCGCAACCAGTACCCGTACGTGCAGTCTCCCAAGATCCTACTCCACCACGAGGGACTCGCTATCTACGTCGTGCGCTCGGACCCCATCGATCATCGCGGCACCACCCATCAGTGGTGGCTCTTTAACGAGGATCTCAAGTCGTGCCGCCTACTCTGCAATGCAAACGAGGACGACGTTCTCCGCCGCCTAGCGAACAAGCGACAGGATGAGCGTGGCAACTGGGTTCCCGACATTTTGGCCGACGGACAGGTCATCTACGCGAAGGACGCCATTAAGCCACTTACAACCCCTCAGTCCACGGGTCCGGTCGAGGTCATGGAAGTCGATGCATAGATTGAACGCAAGTTCCTTGGGGTCACAAATCTTTTTCGTTTGGCGTTTTCGATCAAAATTGGGACGGGGAAATGGTTTAAGTCACGGATGGGCTCACCCACAGCGGGGTTTCGGGCTCGGTTTTCTCGCCCGAATTGTATTATCAGCAGGACACGTTTATTGTTTCTGTTCCTTTTGATGTCGTCTCCGAATCTGCAAGTATCGTCGCATGCATGCAGCGGCTAGGGGATTGCCGCCGGACGTATTCTAGTGTTGTGACAAGAAATATCGTCGCACGTATGTAGCTGCAGTAAATCAAAAGAAGCATGATAATGATCAACCAGAGTAATTGTTTTTTTTTTCCCTTTTGATCGGCTGAAATTTGGCTTTTGATAGCAGAAGTCGTGGTGTCTTGAGCCTAGGCGACACTATACCCGTCATAGCCATGCGACACAAGCTTAATTTGATCACGTGACCACTCACTTCCTCGGCTTTGCATGGGAAGAAAAGATTGAACGGAAAAGGCGTGGTAAATAATCAGAGGGTTAAGAGTGTCGGATTCTCTCTACGGCTGGGAAGGTATACCTCTTATTTTTTGATTGGAGCCGGCCACGGGAGCATCGACGCTCTTATCATGAGGGAGTCGCTTTTCAACGGGGGGTGGGGGAGACTGCGTGGATCAGCTGCTCGTCCTGGCTCCGGCGGGAGAATGTTTTCCCCTTCGTCGCCCGCCGGGGGCAAGGAAAAGTTGAGGACGGAACGCCTTTCTTGGATCTGGAGAGCAGAGACATCGCGACGGAATGGCGCATTCCGATCAAAGAACGAAAAAAAAATGGAGACGGACTTTGTTTTCTTCGACGGCGGCGTGTGGGTGCGGAGAATCCACATGACCCATGCGGACGGGCTTTCAGGTGACCAACCCGGTGCTTTTTGACAGCAACGAAGCTTTGCTTTTGTGTTCTGCTTTGCCTTGGCTTTTGCTTCTAAGAGCAACGAACATCTCAAGTTTTATTTTTCTTTGCAGTCAAACCGCTTTTCGCTGCGACGCAGAGTCGTTGGCACGGGAGGGTCGAAAACGGCATCGTGAAGGGGGGAAAAGGAAGATGTCGTCACGTCGAGCCGTCATGATTGCCACCGGCACGCAGCTGAAGCCAAGCGCAACCTGGTGCTGGGGCGTTTACTTCGACGCAGGCGGCGGGAAAGAAAAATCCAGTGCGCTGGCTCTGATGCTTCGAACAGAAGAAAGGCCGTCGACTATCGTCGTCGTCGCCGTTGGTCCAAAAGCGGTGTGCGCCAGAGTCGTGGCCAGCTTGGGATTTTTTTGGGGCCAGCGTGGCCAGCGGCTAGTAGGATCGTAAACCGTTTCCCCTTTTCGATCTAAGCGCAACTTGACGCTCTGTTAGTGGCCGTGTACTTGTAGCACAGGAAGCAAGTGAATCCGTACTGGACTGCCATACGTAGTTGTTTCGTAGCCGTTGAACCTTGCGCATGCTTTTCCCTTTCCCATCCTCCCACCACTTGTCCTGCCCTGGCTCGTCACACTTTGCCCCCCCTCGTCGGGACCGTCCTCTTGTCCTTTACACGCTGCCCCGGAAACACCTAATTTATTCCTTCCTGGCCGTAACTCGGTCGGTGCTTTGTTTTCTTCGGTCTCTTGACCTTCCTTTCCCTTCTTCCTGCTCTCCCCACCCCCTAATCTCCCTCTCCCTAGCGTCTCGTGCGCCCCTTTCCCCCCTCACGGCTCACGACTCACTCCTTCAGCTTTACAACCTTGCTCCTCCCCAATCGCCCGAGCTTAGAAGAAACCTGCCTGTGCAAGACATGAGTACGCTATTGATGTCCAGACTGCGATTAGATGCTCTTGCAGTGCTACTAGCGAGAGACCACTCCGACGGCCCACTTGACGGGTGCTGAAGTCTGCACAACCTTGCAATCGGTCTTTTGTTTTCCGTGTGTCGTTATAATACACTTTGACGGTACCTGTTCTCTGAGCGTGGAGAGCTAGCCACCGAATCGCAGCACCCCAGCTTCTCCCCGATCGCATGTACACAGGACCAAGATGAGCGCTCAAGGCACGGCGACTCCCCAGTCGCCGTTCGCATTCCTACGCCCTGCCGAGCTGGATACCATCTGCTCCTCGTCTGGCTTTCAGATCTTGAGGACATATTTAGCGACCACGCTACCGGTCGAGTACGTTCCTTCTTTACACCCCCTGCTCTACGGCGCAGTGTGACATCGAACTTATACTGACGTTACGACACAGTTTTTGCGCCGAACATGCATACGACAGCTCGGAGATGCAACTGACCTGGCTTCTTCACCGGGATATTCTCCACGCAATGATCATGCCAGTGGTTGAGCTGTACAAGGAGGCCTCCACCCTCGCCGCTGCGGCGCTCTGCTCGCAACGTCCCGACGAGCTGGAGGTCGCATACAGGGGTGAAGCGAGATTCGCTTTCCTGTGGCTACAATGCTTCATCACAGAAGAGGAGGACTGGTGTCACACACGCGGATGTCCGGCGTGCAACACCCTACAGACGCTCGCGACCGAGCTCACCATCCGAGGAGCCATCACGGCCGCGTTGCTCTCGGGCAAGGACGCGTCCGTGCCGGACACACCTTCTTCCGAAACGGAGTCCGAGGCCGAGGACCAGCCGTCGCTGCCAGATTTCACCATCGTCCTCGGCTCCCTGGAACAGGCCATGGACAACGACCCGTTTTGGGGCCCAGGCTACTACGCGCAGACGCTTGCTCGTTCCAAGCGCCTCATGGCAGGCATCCAAGAGCTCATGTCGCAGTGTCAGGTCCTGGAGTCGCTTGTCTCGTCCGCTCCGCCCTCACCTAGCGCGAACGGCCTCGGCCGCGGGCACGCGGTAGACATGCTCCGTCCCCATGGCGACACCAGCAAGGAGATGAAGCTGAAGAAGGGCGCCGTGGCCCGTAGACAGGCAAAGCTGAAGGATGAACAGGGCGCCATGATCATGCGCATGGCCCTGCAGACCTGGAGCGCGGTGCACTTGTCGCAGCGTCAGAGATCCAGGCTCAAGGCCGCCATCAAACAAGACGGCCGCGTAGGCAGAAAGAGAACCTGCACTACGTGAGCCTATCGACCCCCAGGCCGTTGGTGGCCAAACTCTTAAGATATTCTTAAGGCGCGCGACATAACTCTGAAAAAAGTTGCGCTCGGGATTCCCCGTCTTATTCCAGCTAGCAGTTTCGGAGTTTGTCGCGCACGCATCTGAAAGAGCCTATATTTTTTCTTTTTTTTTTCTTCGTCCTTACTACTTTCATATGTCTGCATCGCAGGAGGAAACTGAGGGCATCTTCGTCATCTTCATTATCATCATCACCAGGCAAGGCAGAAGAATGGCCTTTGCGGATTTGATACCCCCCAACATTTAAGCCACATGAGCATCCACATGCATGCACACATGAACGGATAGCTGGTCTAGAGCATAGCACTATAATTCTAATCCAAATCTTTACCATTCCCATCAAGACAGGGGTTTCTTTCGTTTCTCAACGTGGTCGGGCGAGGGAGCAATCGAATGCGCCCTCTCACTCGGTCTTGACGCGCGTCCTCGACGCCGCTGTGCTTCTCCTCATCACAATCTCCCGCGTCAGGAGGACGAAGTAGCTTGTGAGCAGCGCCGCCGAAACAAGGTACCCGGCGACGCGGCCTCCGGCGCGGGCCTTGCCCCAAGCGATCCACACGTCGCACGCGACGCCCGCCACGAGCTGAACGTACCGCGTCCACGGCAGCAGCGCCCGCGTGCTCGTCACGCCCGCGAAGAAGAGGTGCATCAGCACGTGGTGGAACGTGTTCAGCCCGACGAACAGCCGCCAGCCGTCGAAGTCGCGCAGGGCGCGGAACCACGTCAGGTACGGCGTGGTGAGGTGGTGGAAGGCGAAGTGCAGGTCCGGCGCGTGGCCGGCGGCGACGAAGAACAGCATGTCCAGGTACTCGAAGACGCGGGAGAGATGCACGGCGTAGCGCGGCAGGAAGGCGTCCTGCGCGTGCAGCGTCTGCGCCAGGGCGGTCGGCAGGCCGTCGTGCTGGACGGCCGACAGCAGCGTGGTCGTGAAGAGGGCGAGCGAGACGGCGACCTGCACCCAGCTGTGCGCGTGGAGGACTTTGTCTGAGCCAGGAATGCGTCCGTGGTTCGCAACCCAAAGGCGAAGTCCCCCCCAGGCGAGGACGAAAAGCAGTGTAGAAAGAGCAACTTCTGTGAGTGTCTGCAAGGGGGCCATAAGGACGAAACTACAATGAGCTGTATATATATATATATTTGAAAAAAAAAAGGAAGGCTTTGCGAGTCAAATTTGTTGCCAAACAGGAAACAGCTCGTCTTTTGTGCCATTTAATTCCGCTTTCGCGTGAGTCATTCATAATACGAGGCTGCTTGCTACGAGTCGTCCTACACTCACGTACCTAGTGCTCTGTCGTACAGGAAATGCTTTCTTATAAGAAGGCTCATGAGTCTTGATCGTCACCAGAAGCACTGAATTTTTTCCGACCCGCTCCAATCAGCTTCTGTGCGGTCAGCTTGTTGACCTGCGAGCTGACCTTCGCAGCCATCTTCTCAAGCTGTTCCTCGGCGTCTTCAGCGTCGGCCTCTGCAAATTCAATCACCAACTTCCTTCCGTGGTAATGTGAATGTCGTAATGCTTCATATGCTTGCTGAGCCTCCAACGGCGTGCTAAACTCGACAAACGCGAAGCCTCGCAACGAATTGTCATATTTCCTGGGCAACCTGACGGATCGCACACTGCCATACTGCTTGACAAGTTCTCTGATGTCCTTCTTGCTAGCCTCAAAGGCCAAGTTTTTGATGATCAGCTTGTTTCGCCGAGCTGCCTGAGCCTTAGCCTTGTCTGCTTTGCGACGCTCCTCGCCAGCATCCAGCGTCTTCTGGGAAAGCTTTATGTCAAGCCTATGTCCATCAAGCAAATAACCATTCATTGCGCTTTGAGCAGCGAGCGCAGCTTCGCGAGTGCGAAACTCGAGAAAACCGTAGCCGCGGCTTAACGTCTCGTTCCTCTTTGGATCGAATTTCGTTCGAACGACGGCAGACACGAAGCCATCAATGGGAGAAAACACCTCGGTCAGCCTATGTGTCGTTGTGGAGAAATTGAGGTTGCGAACATGTAAGGTTGTTGTATCTAACGCTTCCGGCTCAGGATCACTGCGAAGCAAATCAGCGGCCGACACCTTTGGTGCAATGACGGTCGCATCTGAGCTCGTGGATTGTGTTGGTGTGACTTGCGGCGCGCCAGTAAACAGATCTTTCGGCGCTGGTTCAAGAAAAAGGATCGAGTCTTTTATCTTTCGATAAGCGAGGCCTTTGAAGGCAGCTCGTGCTTCAGGAGCAACAGCGAACTCAACGATGGCGATAGTCCCTGTCGGCGGCATCAACAACCTGATTACTCGTCCGTACTGCTCAAAAAGCTGACGAAGCTCTTCAGTCTTCGTGCCAAAAGGGAAGTTTTTTACTAGGATAGCAGTGTCTCCACGCTTCTTACTCCGAAAAGCCTCTAGGTCCACACCATTTTCGGCAAAGTATTTCTTCGTTTCTTGTATAATATGGGTCTCTGCTTGTGTTTGTTTAACAGCCGCATCTGTTGATGTCGGGTCATATAGGGCAGATTTGTCTACACCGAGACGGGCAGCGATGGAAGACATGACTGCATCGGGATTCATGTATAGTGAATTCCAATTAAATGTTGATGACAAGGCTCCTGCTTTCCGCTTGATTTGCCTCTGTTGTTTCAGCGGTAATTTAGATATAGCAAAATCATCAAGTTTTGATTCTCGCTTTTTTGCTGCAGGGATGATATGAAGAAGACGTCCTTGAAATATTGAGCCATCTGTAGCCTTGAAGGCATTCACGGCTGCGTCGGCATCGAAGAAGAGAAGGTATGCAAATCCTTTTGCTAAACCAGTCGCACTGTTCATTGGAACGTGTACCTGTACAAGACGTAGTCAGCAGAAGTTTGGAGTGGACTTGCGATAAATTGCATTGAAGGGGGGCGCTTTCAGAAAACAAGAAGCATCTACTAAAATACTCTTCCCGGATGACCTCAAATGCCATTGGCATCAGTTGTCCCTATCAGGATTCATCATGCGATGGGCTATTGAACGAATGAAGAACGAACAATCACACATACCTCCTCTAGTCGACCGAACTTGGAAAACTCCTCCATGAGTGCCTCTTCAGTTATGGAAAATGGCAAATTTCGGAGGAAGAGGCGCTTGCTTTCCCGTATCTGTGCCTCATTCGCGTCCTCGCCATCTTGGTCTACAGGTGTAGGCGGTGAGGCAGGATTGTTCGACTGCTCCTGATCAGTATCTACTGCCTTTGGCACGCTTTCGGCGCTTGACGAGCGTTGCTTGTTACGCCTCGCCAGTGTAGCCTCATCCTCCTCTTCCTCTTCCAGGCTCAATAATTGACCCGTCCGCGACTGCAGCCAACTTTCGTCATTATCTGCGCCTGCATTATCAGGTTTCAGCTTGGTTTTAGCAACGCTTGGAAATTCCAAAGGCTCTTCAGACTCCTCCCGCAACTCCGATCCCGCAGCACTTGCTACAGCCTTGTGCTTCTTGGGAACGGGTTGATACTCGTCATCACTTTGGTTCTCCACATCAGCAGACGGCTGAACAGGTTGCTGATCGTTACGTTCTTGCAACAAGTCCACATCGTCGTCTTTCCAAGACTTAGACTTTGAAGGTGCTTGCATAACGCTTAAAAACTCTTTCAGCTTTGGGTCCGCTTCCTCCGGTGGAGGCGAGGGCCGTTTACGTTTCAAAGGATTACTTGCACTTATTGCAATCTTATCATCTTGCTGCTCTGACGTCCGCTTACTGGTCGTGCTGTTTGATCGAACCCGTGTAGGGTGAAGGGAGGGATCATTGGCCTTTGATGGCGCAAGTCAGTAAACCTCAAGAGCAATAACTTGGACACATCGGAAGAACAACCTACAGCCTTTGCCAGCTCTACACTGAGCTTTGACATCCTAATAAAGGACTTATTGAAGTACTTGACGGCATCTTCAGCATCTTCCGGCGTTTTAAAGCCGACATAACCGATCCTTCGGTGTGCAATCAGTTTTGCATCTGTAATGGCATGGCGCTGGGAAAAGTGCGCACGAAAATCCTTCTCCGTCAAATTGACAGGAAGATTTCGCACAAATATTCTCGAGGTCGCCATTGCTCATGTATTCACATAATAGCCGAGGAGCACGAGAAAGTGCTCATTGCAGAGAGGGTGAAGTAAAAAGAAGAGAAAAAAAAAATTGTTTTCTCGAAGAAGTTTAGCGAAAGCCAGCCACTCCGCATGATCGTAGTTTCTTGGCACTCCTTCCGCTGCAGGGGAATTATTGTCATCACAGCCTGCAATTCCACTCAAACCGCTTCTCAAGATACCCAAGATTCACTCTTTTTAAGCTTCCTCGAGCCCGAATCCGCTTCACTGCCGTGGAAAGCCTTCAGGATTTGGTTGGAACGACTACCCAGGTACATCTGAGCCGCTCGTCAAAGCTACAAACTGCTGTGACAACCCCACACCGTTCGACATGGCTATCGAGAAGGGCGACGAAAAGCTCGAGGGTAAGCTGCCAGACACGTTTTGCGTCCAAAGAACGCACTAACTTCAGGACTACAGCGCAGGTGAAGGCGGCTGATATGGTAAGTAGCAGGGCAGATCGGTGCGGACGGGCATCACTAACGGATCCAAGAGCGAGGACATGCAGAACGAGGCCATCGAGGTTGGTACGTCGTCATCAGCTCCTGTATCGAGGCCCTTCGAGAATTAAACCAGCGTCCAGCCCAGGAAGCAATGGCGAAGTACAACATCGAGAAGGTTGGCATGATTATTCCTCGGCTTGTTCGCCGTCACGTGCTCACATCTCGCACAGGATATCGCTCAGCATATCAAGAAGACGGTTCGTTCTTCTGCGCCTGTGAATCGTCAATGCGTTCGCATTCTGACTGCCTGTCGCACAGTTTGACGAGCGCAAAGGGGCAACCTGGCACTGCATCGTTGGCAGGAACTTTGGAAGTTTTGTGACACACGGTAAGCGTTAAATCTCTGTGGCCGGTCGCATCCGCACCTCGCTTATGAACCCGCAGAGACGAAGCACTTCATCTACTTTTATCTCGGCCACTGTGCTATACTGTTGTTCAAGACACAGTAATTGGCCGTGGCAGCATCTATCGCCATCTGCACTTCGATGTTTGCTATTGCCATTTTGCAGCTGCGTGTAAATAAGCAGGGTTGAAAGGGAAAACGGCCATGCACGTCGGAGTCTGAAAGCGATGAGCTATGTGTCTCTCTCGACTTGATAGGTTAACGACAAATGTAGGATCCATGAATAGACAAAAGTAAGCGTTATCTTTTGTCGTAACACATGCTTGTCAAAAAATTACTTCATTACAGTCTAATTCGTTTATTCTCGACTATCAAACACGTGTCAACTGGCCAATCCTGAGGAGCTCGTCGCTCTGAATCTCATAGTGAAGCCTCCACCAGGGATGCCATTTACTCAACATAATACCAAATTTAGACATGGTTACAGCAGAATTTTGTTTTCAGGGTATCATAAATCCAAATCTTTAGAGTGAAAAAGAAACACTTAAGAATCTCATGATGTCACATGAGTCATCCAGCGACGGGAACGCTCAAACCGCCCACGCCGCTCACCCTCGAACTCGACGGAAAGGAATAGTCTGGCGGCAAGTTGTTCGTCACTCCAGGCAGCCGGCTGTAACCCAACAGGTGCTCAGGTGGAGGAGCTATGTTTCTTGGTTCGAACGCAGCGTCCGCATCCACCTGGGCCTGTGCGATATAGCTGCTTTGGCGTCGACGCTCCACGCTGCTCACGCTTCCCTCGGCCGAGATTTGCACGGGCAGCTTGAGCGTGACAGACGAACCGACGGGTTGTCCACTGACGCCTAGACTGACATGCAGCCCATACACGCGAGAGACAAGACACGTGTGGAATGTCGGCACGAAGTTCTTGTTGGTGGGCAAGGTGAGCGGAACAAGAAGGGTAGCCGTGTAGAAGTGCTTTCCCTTCCAGTCCTTTGAGGGTTCTGGGATGCTGGTGTTGGCAGAACAGTTGGACTGGACCGCAGTGGTCGCGTTGGAATCCCGAGATGCAGCCGAAGTGCGTCTCGAGGTTGGGGATTCCCAGCTCTCGTGCCTGCGCCAGTCCACGTTGGCGGCGCATATCGAGGACAAACTTAAGAACTCGCTAATGTACCCTTGCGTGGAGTCGTACGCGAGACTGGATCGTGAAGGGAAGTTGTGACGAGGTGTACAGGAGAAAAAGGTGCCGACTTTCAACTTGCTGCTGACCGAGCTCAAGCGTGGCGGAGGGGTGGTGTCGTCTGCTGGGTCGAAGCGTACCTTGATCTTGACTTTCGTCGAGACGGCTGGAATTGGATCACCGGCTGGGACGGCAGGAAGCCTGAATCCCTTCGGTTGGTTCGCTTCCATGACCAATCGCCCAAGCTTGCCCTTCAGCATGCCTTTGCGAATGGACTTCTCTTGACGCAGGGTATAATCTTCGTGGCAGCCGTAGATGTCCAGATCCAGCGGTGGCTGTTCGTCAAAGACCGGCTTGATGCGCAGCTTCTTAGTCGCCTCGGAGATGACATGTTGGGTTTCATCGGCCAGATGCGTTCTGAAGATCTGCACCTTGACGGCGTATTGGATCCTGGCCATGAGCGGCGCCATGTCGTCAAGAAGGGTTGTGCCGAACCCTGAGAGCTCGGGATCGCCAAAGCTGGGAGGGGGCTGCAGGTGGGTTTCCTGCACGCCATTGTGCTGGGTTTTGTGCGTGCAAGCCTTTGGCAGAAGCTGCTGGGGAAGTGCAAAGGTAAAGGGATACTCGTACGTCCTGTTCGCAGCGAAAACTCTTGGCTGCGGCAGCTCATCATCGCGCATTGGCTGGGTCAACTTCAAGAAACGGTGTGTCGCCTCCTGTCGACCTCCGATGGCAGAGGTGCTGGCGAGCTTGTCGACGTACGTCTTGGTGACACCTGATTGGAGCACGAGTTAGCTGCCTTCCTTGGCCGAACGTCGGAGGGGTCGCAATCATGGCGGTGTCGTGTGACAGGAGCCATTTTGGATAGCGTATAGGAAGCGATAAGAGTTGAAAGATACAGCGCTAGCTCTCTAAGGCCGCGCTTCACATGAAAGAAGGGGTGCTGGTAATACGTACCGTGCATGGTGATTTCCAGGTCGTCGAACGGGGTATCGTTGCGGGCAGTGATGCGAACGACGCCTTGAATAGGATCCAGAGTCGAAAAGGAGTTGACGTACGCGTCAGGCCGGCCCTCAGCGCCGGCGAGGACAATCTCGATGGCGGGTTTGGCGAAGGCGACCATGTTGCGGATGTTCAGGCCTGGGCCCGTACGAGAGGTGATGGAGCCAGAGGCGGACATGGCGACGCGGCGATTAAGTAGAGCTAGAGTCGTCGAGCAGTACCAGCAGTACCAGCAGCACCAGCTCGTTTCGCTGAGCCGTTCGCAAGAGCCCCAAGCCTTCTAGAAAGACGGGACCAAGACTTTGACTCTCCCTGTCTGCGCTGTTCTGCTCCAATCGCAGCCGGGGGAGGGGGGACAGACGTCGGGGGAAAGCAAGAGTGCGGGGGGAGACGCTCGTCGAGAGGAACGCAGGTGACGATATACTCCAAGACGTCAAGTAGATGATGGCGACGGGCCAATGCCAGGCACTGGGGGGCGATCGGACAGCTTTATACGGGGGCCCTGGGACAGCGGATGGTGTAAGAACACATTCCAGAAGACACGGCCCAGGGCGCAATGCGAAAGCCACGGCGTGCTCGCATGCTGGTGCTCCTGTATGTACGAGCCGACCTGCCAGTGCTCATACTGGGACGAATGTACACTGCTAGTGGATGACTCAAGTCCTTGCGCGTCCCCACCCAGGCCGCGGAGTTCGGTGTTGCGGCGCCCAAGGCCTTGCTGCCCGTCCATCCACACCATCGCCCCGCTGTCCACACACACGCCCGCTGCCTTTCGCAGGCCGCGTTGCTGAATCATCGTACGCGCCCTTTCAGTCGATCTCGCTTTCTTTCCCGCTTCCTTCGCAGACGCCTTGCATGGCCCTTCAACGCCTGGCCGTCGCGCGTCCCCTCCATGTTTTGTGTCTCCGTCGGAAAAAGTCTTCTCGCGCTCTGGCACGCCCCCCCCAGGCCCATTCGTTTGCCATCTTCCATCGGACCACCAGTCGCTCGTGCTTCAAAGTCTCCAATTTGAGCCGCTGCTAACCTGCGACGCTTCGACCCAGCTTTTGTTCGGCATTGTAACGCCATGATGGACACGCAGAGTCGCTATGGGAAAGTTCAGCCTTGGCTGAATTACCTATGTGTCAGCACGAATCCCTAACGTTAAGAACAGCCGCAAGCGCCCTGCTCGATTTTTATTTGCTGATCCACCCAGATCGTGTATGGTAGGTCGAGCCTTCGAGGGACGATGCCGGTGCGCCAGCCATGATCGTGTACGTTAAGAAGACGCGTGCCGCGCACACCGGTCTCCATCAACCATGTGGAGATCCGCTTCGATTTCTTCGCCGTCATGCGTTCTTCACTGTCACGGAAACTCGTTGTGGCGAAAGGAGAGGAAAAAAAATTTTCCTCCCCCCCAGCAGTAGGCTCTATACAGTATCAAATTCCAACTCGCCTGTCCAATGCGATCGGCACCAGCAGACACGCGAGCGTGTGCCCTCTCGTGCTTTTCTCTGCGCACCGTCCGATTTTCCCGCGCAGAACTGCTAGACTTTTGGATCGTCAACCGGCCCGTTGCGACGACCACGGCGCGAATGATGCATCTCACCAACCTCCCACCCCCTTGAGGGGAGCACCGAATGCCGGTGTTCGCTTATTGGCCAATTCGACGACAACGGCCGCAAACATACATGTGTAGGGCGCGCCAGCCTGACGGTGTCTTTGTAAGCTGCGAGTCATGCCATACTTTCTTCACCGTCCCTGCAAATGGCTTCACAATCAGGTGTATCTTGCACATGGTTTCGATTGCAATTAATAATAGCCAGCGCGGTCTGCTGCTTTCTCTCAAGACCGGCAGAAGTATTCCGTACGATGCTAGCCAAAAAAGCCTGACCTGAGTTCTCAGCTTGGGTTTCAAACGCTGGTGCGGCTGATCTCAACCTTGATGGTTGCAAAACAGTCTACACCAAGTCGTCGACACCCTTCCCTTCACATTGGCGGGATGCTGACGTTGTTGTGCTTGCCCTTGCCCTGCTTTATCGTCGTTCAATATTATGCCCTTACTGTTCTTCCAGCCGTTTGAACCTCGACGGTCTGCCTTTCCTGGCACGAGGATGGATGCTCGCTAAGGAAGAATTTATCATGGGGTAAAGAAAAAAAAAATAACCCACCCCCAGACTATCTCGGCTTTCCACTGCTATTCCACGATTAAGTCGGTGGATACGGTCTAGGACCCACTGTCTACTCCAGGTGTCTTTTTCCCAAGCGAAAACTCAAGATTCACGGGACAAAGCTACCTTAGTCGCAATTGCAGAATTCACAATGATTCGCGCAAAAACAAAAGCCTTGATGATGCAATCAAAGGCTAGAATCAATGACTAGGTCAAATCATACTAGATTACGCACGATGACGGCCACTCAAAACCCCCGTCATGCCTCTAGGCATCATCTTCTCCAGAAAAGCAAGCTCTTGTATCAAGCAGACCACAACCCAGATGTAGGATTCAGATCGCAAGGAGATCTGAATCAGTCCGGCGCAGACTTTGGGTCCGTGTGCAAATCCTTTACAAACGATCGTGATTCCTTGATAGAATCAACGATTTGTAATGTTGAATCAGTCCGAAGAGTCAAGACATGGATTTCAAAGCAGCGAGGAACTTCTTGCGTCCCAAAAGAAAGCAGAGGACGAGGCTACGAACGAGTTCAAGTGAACGTTCTTTGCATAGTTCTCTTTTGCTGAGCCAAGACGGAGTCTCTTCCGCAAATAATCGTCTCGGCTTTCTCGCATCAAGAACAGTCCGGCCAGCTGACTCTATAGATAAGAGCGAACCACATGAGAGGCGCTGTATTTCGTGATACGCAGAAGTTCGAAGGCAGAACTGATGACAAAAGGATTCTTTGAATGCACTTTAAGTTAGACCGAAGTGAACACGTCCTCGCAAAGTTTCTTGGCAGCATAACACCAGCGCCGATATCGGCGGATGACCGTTCCCAGCATTGTCTTGAATGCCTGACTGGCACCTTCTGGCTGACTTAACACCAGTATAGTTCGTGCTGACTGTAGCTGTATTGAGTCTACACACCACGCGCTGGAACGAAGCTGGTTTAAAATAAAAGATTTGTGTCATTGCTAAGACTAGCCTCCCGAGAAACGGGATGTGATATGCACATCCCATCCTACACGCTTTACCCATCAACGCCATCGTCCGTTTGGGTATACATTACACACAGGCGACGCTTGTGCGCGTGCACACACACACCCATCCACCCACCCACCCACAAACACGCACACACAAACCGGAGAAACAAAACAGGCGCAGCAGACAAGATACTAACCGTTCAGAATGGCCTGCCCATCCTAGTGCCATCACGTTTCAAGGACGAGAAAGGGACCGACTTTAGGCGTCTCCCTTCTTGGACTTCTTGGACTTCTTTTTCTCCGCAGCTGGGGCGGCAGGCGCCGCAGCAGTATCGCTCTTGCGCGACTTTTTCTTCTTGGGCTGCTCCGGACTGTCCTCCTTGTTCTTCCTGCGCTTCTCGGCCGCTGACGGCAAGGGGATGGCGATGGAAGACTTGGGAGCGCTGGCGGGCGCTTGGAGCTGAGCGGACGGGGAAGGGCTGTCGACGGGAGGAGCGGCCGCTGCGGCGGCAGCCTTCTTGCCCTTCTTCGCGGCGGCCTTCTTGGGCGGCGGGCTCAGCGCCTTGGGCGGCTCGGGCTCCTCCTCGGATTCGTCATCAGAAGAGTCGTCGTCAGTGTCCTCTGCCGTGGTAGCAGCAGGCGCATGTGGGTCGGAAACGGCATCTATATCAGCCTGGGGCAGGATGGGCACATCCGCGCCCGTCTTGATCTTGTATGCCTCGACCTCACGCTTGTATTGCTCGTAGTTCTGGTTGTAGATTCCCTTCCATCGCTAATCACGGTACGTCAAAATTCCGGCGCAAGAATAAAAAGGCGAGGCGTGCTAGCTTACTTCTTTCTGAACACCGTCCATGTCGTTCCATCGCCTCAAGATCTCATTGTTGATCTCTACTGGAGTAGCGTTGGCGCCCAGGTCGTTCTTGATGTGCTCTCTGGCGCGTGTGGAGAAGAGGAAGAACGCAGTGAGAGGACGCTTGGGAGCATTGGGGTCCTTCTCCTTCTTTTGGCGCTTCTTCTTGTCTTTGCCTGTTGGCACCTCTGCCGGAACACCCTTGGGAGCGGCGAGACCAGCGGCGGAGAGATACTCTGTGAGCTGATTCGTGTCGAGGATGGCTTCACCCTGACCAGAGGAGTTCAGCAACGTGTTCGTATGCGTCACGTAAGCACTGATGAGGGTGCTGATGGCCCCGTTTAGCTTTGTGAGGCCGGTGACGACTGGTGGTGGTTGTGGTTAGCTTAGAGTCAAACCCGTAGACCAAAACAATGGCAGAAAGCGCGCGCGACGCCAAAACGAAAGTGCACACACATCGAGCAGAGATGAGCGCGTGGCTGTCTTTCGCACGGCATGAAAACGCGTAGATAGGCTTCAATAACAAGATGAATTCGTACGTGAGCCCGTCCGTCGCATGGCGGACCGATATCAGACGGCGCACCACGTGAAGCGCGTTCGAACACAAACAATGGCTGAGCGAGGTGGTGATGGAAAGAGACGACAGCGGTGGAAAACAAGGTCGCGACGAGGTACTTACCGGAGTCGCGAGTTCTGATGAACTCCTCCATCGACACCGAGCCGGCGCCCTCAGGATTGATCTTGGGAGGCATGTTTCCGTCCGTCGATGTGCGGGTAGGCCCTACGAATCAGTGGGATGCCCTGGTGGTCAGTGGATTGAAGCCGCAAAAAGTTGGTGGGGAGCGTCGCGACGAGACGCTGGGAGGTAGAGGGTCGTCGCCGCATGGTTTTTTTTTTGGGGGGGGGGGGGGGAAGGGGAGGCCGGCGTGCGCACCACCCTATAAGCGGCGTGCGAGCGCGAAGGCAGTTCGCCCGCTGCGGGCGACCAGCCCGGGCCTAGCGCCGTCATGCCGGTTGGCCCAACCCCCCTCTTCTCCCACCTCCCCCCCTTCTGCCGCCGGAATCTTGGGTCTGCAGGGCCCCTCTGTTGGACGTGCGAAAATGGGCGGCTCTCACCGTGGGCTCAGTCCTGTGCCCATGAACGAGCGATGGGCAACTTTGTTTGCCTACAGCGGCCCTCTTTTTTCTTACGCTCCCCCTACCCTACCGCACCCTACCGTACCCTACCTTGTGCGTCCATCCTCTCCTCTCCACTGGACGCCTCTTGAACGCTCTCGACTGGTTTGTTTTTCGCTTTCTTCTCTCTTTTGTTGTTAATCCATTTTTTTTTTAAATATATTTCAATTTTTCATCCCTTCTCTCTCTCTTTTTCGGGCCAATTTCTCTTTTACATCACCGTTTCGCCCTGCGTTGGCTTTTATGTATGTTTTGAGGTGCTTCATCATTGCGACACGTTCCGCCGTCTGTTCGCGTGTTTGGCTCTGCATCTGGCCCCCTTGGGCGGTCTGGTATTTCAACAACGCTACGATCAACGGCGCCCCCCTCCCTCCCTCTCCATCAGTGCAGTGGGTTGCGCGTTTTTCCCCCCTCCCCTTCCCCCCCCCCCTCCTCTCTGCCCGTCCTCCCTAGCTTGGGCCCCCCGATGTCTTGGGTGGCTGGGGCATGACGAGTGTTGCTCTCAGCGCGATACGCCCAACGATGCAGTAGCTCTCAAACCAGCTGGGCGAGCAGGCCCAACTCTGGCCTATGAGTGGCCAGACGGTTGCTGTGTCCAAGGCACCCTGCACCAACCTGCCCACTATCGGGAGGGTCGACGGCCAATGGCACTAGCATGCGCGTCCTGTACAACGAACTCACTGCGCTGCAAAACTCAGTACCTCAACCAGGGCCTGCCGCTCAGCCCTCCCCCCACCGTCTCTTGGGGCTTGCTACTGCTTGCGGATCCTCGACCCTGCTGCCGCTGCCTCCTGCTGCCTCTTCTCAATGTGCACCGCGGCAGCCGGTGCTGCCGCGGGGAGAACACCCTCCCTCCCATAGTTGCAGCTGTACAGTACCGCAAGCTCCGCACCATCAAACAGTGAGCATCCCGCATTGCCAACACGACAAATTAGGTCAGGCTCGGGTCAAACTTCACGCACAGTTTCGAATGAAAAAAACGGGAAAAATAACCATTGCATTGCGATCTCGCCTAAAGAGATGTCGCTTTTGAAACTGCCGCTGGGGTATACAAGCGAGCACGATGGGGATTTCAAGAAGGCCCTCGTCCGAAAACAAACATAAAAAGACAAGTAAAAAAAGTCATTTGCGCCTCCTTTTTTTTGGTGTTTGTTCCTTCGCCTTAATGCTGTGCCATACGAGGTCATGTCATGTCTCATCACAACTTCCTGGCAGAGTCTCTACCGTTCTGAATCTGTTCGGGCAGCCAGTCAATTTCATCCGCCGCGCAGTATGCAATCCAGCGCCCGCATTCCGTTCTTTCCATCTCTTCCAATGCCGACTTGGTCCTCGTACTTTCTATGGACGAAGATCGGCCAGCCTGCTCATCGACTGCTCGCCTACTTGTACTGTTGCTGACCTGGAGGTGGGCCTTGTCCTCCGCTTGCGTAGACGTTCATCGGCACCGCGCCATGGTTCTGCTGCACGTCCGGGCGGTACTTGATGTCCTGCCAGAAGTTGCAGATGTGGCACCCGACCTCCTTCCACGGCTTCAGCGAAAACGGGATGATGGGGACGAAGCAAAACGTGAACCACTCCCTGCGCGGTCGCAAAACAAAAGGTTAGCAGCCACTCTCTTCTACTTCTACGAAGGCGCCCCACGCGCGACCGGTTCGAGCGCATGTCGAGGGGACGAACGGGGGTCGCGTAAGCGTCGGGGAGGGAGAGGGTCGTTACCATCTGCTGAAGACGCGTGCCGAGATGTTTCCGCAGTTCTGGCACTGCACCGTCACGCTCTCATATCCCTTCAGCGGCTTCGTAAACGCTGCGTCGAGTCAGCAGTCCGTCGCGCGCGACGACACCGGAGCAGGATTGGGGGATGATTTGCGCAGACGTACTGTGCGTGCCGCAGGTGAATAGGAAGAACATGCTGGGCGGAGGTTTGGGACGACTTCCTTCGTCAAAACGCTTCCCAGCTTGATTGAAGGGCTCTGAGCTGTCCAATCGGCAGGACCGCGAGCAGATTTCCGCTGGTTAAGCCTGGCTGTCGCGCACGAGGTTGGGACAAACAGACGCAAGAGCTCCTGGAGATGATGAGAATCGAAAGAATGAAGCAGATGGTGTGTTTGGAGGCGGTGGCGATACCTTTCTGCAAGAGACTGCTCAGCCACTAGAGCCGATGGCCCGAACGACGAACGCGCGGAGGGCTCGCTCGGACTCAGACGCTGCAGCGTGCTGGCTAGCCGGCGGCCAAGGCTGAGCTAGGCCGCAAAAGGGCCGCATAAGGCTGGGCGGCAGCCTTGGACGACGACAACGGTGACAACGTCGTTCCATGACGAAGGTCTTCCGCCATGAAGGCGTCTGCGCGTCTTGCACGCATGTACATCGACGTTGCCAAAGACTTGCATGTGCTCGACCGCTTGGTCACATCGCTTTGATGAGCGCTACTTTTGTGCGATTTTTAATCATACAGCATGTAAACCCCACTTGAAGCCACCTTCGTTGACAGCGTACATTATCTCCCTCTCGTACTTGCAAATTCAGCCGGAGAGTGCGATCTGCGAAATAACATCAAGCAATGGTCATGATACAGAGATGTGATGCGATCGCTGCCCGCGCAGTCTCTCAGCATCCTCAGGCAAGTGCCCCAATCGACAAGCTTCACCTCATATCCGGACTGCTGACAGCGATTACCATCTAAGCGAGTGTGGCACCATGATCATCCGAGCCACCATTGGGTTTGGAATGTTGTGCGAAGCCAGTCGCTGCCTGTTCTGCAACACCAGCATCCATTTTTCATGGGCTCTTCCACGGGTGTACACACGACGGGCATTTCTCCAACCACCACGGGGCCAAGGCTGTAACCTTTCGCCCAACCGACAGACGACGACTCTTAATCGTAATGCATAAACAAATTGCTGATGCTCTCGCCATTGTGGTTCCTTCGAATGGCCTCGCTCAGCAGATGGCTCACGTCCAAGATTGTCAGCTTCTTTGCCATCCGCGTCTTGCTAGGATCGATTGGAAAGCTGTTCGTTACGACAATGCCGTCGATGCATTCGCATGCCTCCATCTCCTCGAGGGAATTGCCTCCGAAGAGTCCATGTGTTGCGATGCAATACACTTTGGTAGCACCGCCGCGCTTGACCACGGTTTCGGCCGCCGCAATCCACGATGCAGACTTGTCGATCATATCATCGACAATGAAGACATTTCTGTCGCGTACGTTACCCACAAGTGTGACCGTGGTCTCAAGCTCTGGATCCTTGAGCTGCTCCTCTTCGTCATCGCTTGATTGTGCTGCGTCCATTGTGCCACCCAGCGCGTGCTCGTTTTCACCATTGTCGCCTGCCCGCCTGTAGCTAGAGGCCGTGGACATGAACGAGGCCATCATGTCCGCAGGTGGATCGCCGTCCGAGGATGCGCAGGATACGTTCGCCTCTCTGTTGGTGGAGCGCGCAGAGAATGCGGGCGAGGGGAAGTCTTCGTCAACGATGTGTCCATGGACCAACCTGCCATGGATCACGTCTCGTGCACGCTATGGCATGGTTAGAAAATACGTTAAAAAAAAAAAAAGAATAACACTTGCGTCCCGTTATTTTCACTCACCTCGTCTATGAATTCTTCATTTGCATCGTCCTGGTGGACCGACGTCGCGCTTGGCGCTGTGCTGATTCGTGCCAGACGGTTCGGCGAAGGCGAAGGAGAGGGTTCGCCGGCCAAGGTTGACTTAACTAGAGGGCTTCCCAGGAACTCGTGGCGCTCCCTGGACTTCCTGAGATGCGAGCTTGAAATGGTCCTCTGCCGTTGACGTGGCCGCCTTGCAGAACTGTTCTCATCTTGCTCGGCCGCTCCGTCAGTTTGTGTCGGCGCTGTTTCTGGCATCGCCCCAGGAATCTTCATCGAAACATCCTCTTCCGCAAAGCCAGGCTCCTCGTCACTTCTCGTGCCGCGGGCGAGCTTATCGAAGATGACGCTGCCGGCTATGCTGTGTTCTGCCATGTTGATCCTTCTTCTGTCCGTCGTCATGATACCAAAGCTGAGCTTCAACGCGTCTGCCAGTGAGGTAACCCGCTTTGAGCCTCCCGGGTTTTTGCTCACGACCACGCCCCTCTTCCAATCTGGAATATTCTGCCTGATCCATTTGGCTATCAGCGGCTCTGCGACGAGATTGTCAACTGGACACTTGAAGAAACCCTGCATTTGACTCGCGTGAAGGTCAATCGTGATGACATGGTTCACGCCTGCTACCTTCAGCAGATTGGCGATCATGCGGGCGGTGATGGCTCCCCGGTGAGACTTCTTCTTTGATTGGCGAGAGTAAGGGAAGTATGGCATAACAGCTAGGCATATATCAGCGCAGGCCAAAGTAAGCCAAAGTCATGCTCATACCTGTGATAGACTTTGCAGAGCCGCCCTTGCAGGCGGAGATCATAATGAGGAGCTCCAAGACATTGTCATTGATTCTGTTCGGTCAGATAAGTAGGCACCTATTCACACAATCAAGACATACTTGTGGCTTCCACTCTGCACAATGAAAACATCCTTGTTTCGAACAGAAGTTTCTAAGGAAGCGTTAGCACTGATAGCACGGCCGCGCCCGCCTTGGGCAAACATACTGATTGCCACGCTGGTCTCGCCATTGCTGAACTTCCCAAGATCCACCTGACCCGGACTCAGGCCAAGCCGGTCGCAAATGCTCTCCACAAGCAGTGGATGCGAGCTTCCGCTGAACACCAGAGCCTGTCGCATTTTCACGCGCCGCGAGTTTGGCGTCGGCAAGGCTGGTGCGGTGATAAGTCGAGACTCCTGAGTGCAATGTCCAAAGCCTGGCTGTACGTGTCCTTAGCAAGGCTGTGCAACCATGCTGAGACCACGTAGAATGGCGGGATTGCCGTCTTCTCAGCGGTCGAACTTTTTTGAGCTGCGGCTGGTTCAAGAAAAATGTATCGGGTGGGCCCATGAACGCACATGCACGTAGTGGCCGAAGGTCGGCCCAGTTTCCGCACCCTGATCGCCCCCGACGCTGCAGTACCTGCCAATCCAACTGATAAGAACCCAATTGGTGAAGGGAACCTGCAATCGCGTGTCGCAGATCTTAAAGGAAATCTTCACACGACGGCACCGCAAATTTAACTTACATTGCCTGGCTGGCGGGGTTGGTCTACTTTTGGCCCAACACATTCAGCTGTCAGGCTGGACCGCGCGTTGACAGAGCACGAAAAGGCCGACTTAGTGATACGACACCTTCACCGTCCCACTCGCCCTTCGTTGTGACTGTTTAGCCCTCCTCCTGCACTGGTTTAAGCTCAACGCTGCAAGCATGCCCAAAATCCCGGTGATGTTGCGTGCTGCCACGGAGGATGATATGGCCAGCGTGAGCGAGATACATAGACACTATGTTCAGAACACCGTTGTCACATTTAGCATCGATCCCCTCAGCGTTGAACAGCATGTGGAAAACTTGAAGAAAGTTCAGAACCAGTCACTACCATACATTGTAGCCGTGACCGAAAATTCAACGGTGGTGGGGTACAGCTATCTGACCGGTTTCCGCAGCGGGAAGGGCGGATACCGACATACCGTTGAATTGTCCGTATTCTGCCACCCGGACTATCTGTACAAAGGAATTGGGACACAGTTGCTGAGCAAGATCATTGAGGTAGCTTCGAAGCCCGGCGAGAATGCGGAGTTCGCGACCGGCGTGCGACCTGAGGACAGAAGAGTCCGTCATATCATCGCTTGCATGGCGGTTAACACAGACAGCAAAGAGGAAGGACTTGGATTGAAAAGGTATTACGAAGGCTTTGGCTTTGTTTTGAATGGCCATTTAAAAGAAGTTGGGTACAAACTGGGGAGATGGTAGGTTTGCAAATGCAGTGCTGAATTGTGCTTGAAGGCTCATATTCCTTCAGGGTTGACACCATGTATCTACAAAAGACCTTGTGGTGATTAGCTCACGCCGAACCACAAGGTCTACAACCCTTACGGCAGTTACCATCCAAGGCAAGAATGGCCTCATTAGCTGTGTCAACTTTGGCCGTAGTGCTCAAGTCTGTATATTGGTCCTCTGCGAGATCAAAGATCGCTCACAGGCTACCAAATCCCGTGCACGTTCAGATTAATAGGGAGAGAGTCATTGCGAGCTTCACAGGCCTTGCAAAGGAGGAAATGCTGTCAACATAATGCCATTCCGCGTTGTAAGTAGCCAGAGCACTATGAGTGCTCGAGAGACCAGAGTAAGATGCTGAAGCCAATTCTGTCAAAGAGCTTGAGATTCAGATATATTGCGACACTTGTCACGGGGAAAGGAAATCAAAACCAAGGTATCGAATCCTCAGCTGTAAGAAAATCGGAGCCATGTTCCTAGTTTGAACACATAATTGATGGAACCGACACTAGGCCGGAACTTGAATTTGGACGCGCCGAAAGACATCTGGGGTCATGCACCAGGCCATCTCGTAGCCGGCTCCAAGTCTTCCACTCCTCTTGTTACGTACAGTCTAGTCATGGTTCCACAAGAGATCTTGCAGTACTGTGGTGCAGTCTATTTGTCACGCGCAAGCATTGTGGACGGGCTTCTTAAGCAAACACCCTGTCTATTTTTGGCTTCATCCCGTCGCGGTCTCTCGTGTGCTACAGCCGCGTGGAATTGATTTTCGAGGCATGGCTCATTCCTGCAGACCAGGCCTGAATTGAATGATGCTCGTACTGTATTCGTTGTGTTTCAGACACATCTCACCGCGGGACCTTCTTAGTCCTTCCGACAAGCTTCCCGCGCGGAAAGGGGAGAGGTAGCCGATTCGTGTTGGGCTTATCTGGTGCATTGACAGCCTTTGTCTACGTCGTTCTGCAAGGTCTACCTGGATTACGTTTGCATTTCTGCACACGCCGCGAGCATGGTCACACACACCGTATTCTGCGAAAAGGACCAGGATTGGATCTCGCAGGGAAAAGGAGATATCTCCGCAACTTCAGCCCTACTTGCGATCCATCACAGTGGCAAGGTGGGGTTTGCAGGAACAAATACGAACCGCGTCCAACAGATATCGACGGGACGAGTAGAGGATACCGGTTCACCTTTGGACCTGTTCCACCGCTGTAGTAGTGCGATCTACCGTTGCTCCAAGTGTCTCCTGTCAAGATCGGAATTCCTCAGTACTGGATTTGACGAGTGGCGTCGGACGCGTGCTTGTTGGCTGATGCCAAATCAGTACCTGCAGCTCGGTTGCCCACAGTCGGTTGCAGTGACACCGCACAATGTTGTCGCTGGAATGCTCCGAGCTGCGGTACGCTGCTTCTTGGACCTCGAAGCGATGGATCTGGGTTGTAACGTGGAGGACGATTCATGTGTGGTCTGCCGATAGTCTTTGCAGCAGGCGTATGCCTATTCTGAGGTAGTTTTTTCACCACAGGATGACGAGGCTGGAACCAAACTCAAGCCACGGTGGACCTTGTGGCAGCCAATGCAGAGAAAGCCAAGGTGGGGACGCGGTTTGAGGCACAGTGCAGAGTCGTGGGATTATCGTCATGAGATTAGAGGCTGTGACGTTTGCACGTGCGCAGGCTAATGATACATGGAGATTGGAAGCAGACAAAAAGGCATGACAACAGTTGAAGCTGTGGGTTACAGAACTGTTTCTCCTTCAGATTGATACAGCAAACTAATTCCCTCCCCCATGCCGACAAGGGCGCACGAGTACCGCCCAGCCGAGCCAAAAGAAAACGCCATTTGTGCCCGTGAGGGCGGACAGACAAGGGACGGTGCCACTTCACCGCCACCCGCTTTCTAGGATATCATGACCGATGTTTGTGCTTGCGCTTCGCTAAGGACTTGTAGAGAATAAAACCGAAGTGATGCCGCCTGGTGATGGGGGAGAAGAAAATGTGTCGCAAAAGTGACCCTCGAGGGAGCCGGTAGGAGGGGGGAAGAGCAAAAAGATGAATCAGGATCCTGGCAAGTGTGCTGGACAAGGGGTGAGAGCGAAGGTCCACTCGCAACGCCCAAATCGTGAAAAGCATATTCCGTGCCGAATTTCGACTGGTCAACGAGTTTGTCCTTTTTCCGATATCGACGGTCCTTTTTGACACCTCCTGGTCCTGGCAGGGATGTCGATCTCGTCTTGCACGAACACTGCAAAGACGAAGATTATCTGCAAAAGGTGTTAGCATTGGGTCTGTCCAAATTCTTCATCACCACGTCAAATAAAATTCTGTGTTGGGAGAGAGAGTGTGTGTGAGAGGGAGAGAGAGAGATTGATGCTTGCGTTGCCATACCTTTGAGGACGTTCGATCCAATGCTTACGCCTTGGATGTGCAGGGCCTGCATGTCTTGAGCTTGCAGTGCTTGCACTCGAATATGTACCAGTGCGGCCCCGAGTGACACAGGTTGCAATGCCAAAGGATCAGAGTCGAGTCCGACTTGATCATCTGAAATGAATGATCGCAGGTTCCGCCTGGCACGGCCATGTTGGCAGACGGATTCGTTCGCGCTGTGCCCATGTCAATGGTGAGCAAAACTTGACGCGTGGAGTATGAACTGACGGGTGGTGAGAGTGAGGGAAAGAAGCCGAAGTCCAGTTTCGAGCTATTAAATGGGGAAAGGGGTTAGCAGTGTGGGCGACCCTCGTAGAATAAATCTCAGCAGATGACGACACGGCTTCAGATCTGAACGATGCGGTCAAGGCCTGTCGACGTTGGCGAGTCTGGTGAAAAGACGGGTGTGGCTGCAGCAGACGCTTTAGTGGTGTAGATGTGTCGCGTTGCGGTTCAGGCTTCGGGGTTCGAGTGGCAGCTGAGAAGAAGGTCGAGAGCGGATGGAGCTTGAGTTCAAACATATATTTATATATGTATGTCGAACGCCCATCAACGAGGCTTCAATGATCCCCCTTCTGAGAGGGAGAAGACCCAAGGCTGGATAAAGGTCCAGTCGCGTGCGACGGTTACGATACAGGCCCGGGTTATGGTTGATCAAGAGATCAACGACGGCCTCGCTGGGAGAACAGCTATCCTCAAGTAGCCGAAAGCCTCCTGGTTTTGGAGATCTAGTGTGCTGGTGGTTTCTCACTTGGCCATTCATCCTTGCCCCATGATGTCTCTTTGTGGAAGACTGCACATCTCGCTGCCCATCTCCCTTTCCCCACCGTCGTCCGCATTCGTTTAGGCCGGCTTTCCAGGAGCGTGAGCGGAAGGCGGATCCTGCGCTACCAGTGGCTTGCTACTTCGCATCAACGGGCTAGAGAGCCGTTACCCAAAGGATTGGGGCTTGGAATCGCGCCGCTGACCCAGTTGAAGGTTAAAGTTTAGATGATTTACACATCCGGGCGAATCAGAGGGGCCGGGGCAAATGATAGTGCCGTTCTAGAAAGGAGAATGCAATTCCCACGATCGCAGAGGCCCCCATCAAAAAGAAACCGCAAACGCTCCTATCCTCGGCGATTTTGCGTCTGCCGTGCCGTGCATTGCAGTCAGCTTGTGCTGTAAGCAAGGCACTGCAACAATCCTCCGGCTGTCCCCCATCCAACACGTCCCGTGCATCTACAGAGGCGATTGCTGAACAACGATCGAAGTAGTCGACCAAACTCCGAAACTTTGGATGAGGAGACGCTGCTAGAGCGTCGAAGGAGCCTTGCCAACATCGGCTACGCTCCCAGCAAGTGCGAGTATTTGGTGTGGCTGCTAGGCTTATGCAGCAGAACATGGCATAGGGGGCTGCCGACTTGAGCACCCTGCATGACGCTACGATCAGGTGGCTTGCCTTACGAGCCGGCTCAGCAGGCGAGTCCAAGTAGAGGCTTTTGGATGTCTTTCTCGGTTGGCGTCCGGTCAGCGCGGGAGCTCGACGTGCAAGGACGGCCTGGCTTACTCTTGCAGAAGACCGCATCAACGATCGGTCACCTGTTCAAAACCAACTGGCACCGTTTTCTCTGGAACGTCCAGTCGACGGCGCTGAATTTGCATCTCGTCTCTTGCAACAAAACATCCCACACATGCCCACGTGTACATGCGCGGTGACTGATACACCCACATCTCGCAGCAAGCCACAGTAGGGACGAGATTGCGAGCAGCTTTCAGCTGCTCTCAGCCACCCCGAATCCAGCCTTTGAATGAAATAACAAGTCCAAGAATAGACGGACATTCGTGTACCTGATTTTGTGCTCCGCGCCCAAAGGGATTCTCTGGAACATCGCAGCCGGGGGAAACTAAAAAGGAGCGATGCTAGTGCTCCCCTGCAGTACGAACTTGCACAGGAACGGAGTCCGTGTCATCCACGAAACCCTCCGCCCAAAGATATCGCCATTTACGTCGTGTTGCAGATGCAAATCCAAGATTCCTTCCTTGGCATCGAATACGTTCGCTTCTCGAAGCCCACCCACGCCAAAGAGTAGATTCATTGTCGGGGAGGTGCTTTTCCCCATCCGCAGCTCACTAGATCTGGCTTGTGCAGGCAGATGAGAACAGAAGCGGAGCAACACTTGCCATGCCCTGATTTGATGCCCATTTGCTGTTGGAGACTCTGGTTGGTGTGCGAGGTCACATCATGGCTTCTGGTCCAGATTCTGGCGAATCTGTGTGATTTGCTTCGTTATCGTGTGACCTCACAGTTGCACAACCTGCCGCCGCTGGAAAGAGCCGCACCCAGATTCGGACCACAGAACTGTGACGCTTTGGAGATCTATCTGATATCTCTTTGGATCGATGGAGCCAAGCACACAGGTTTAGGAATGGACCCCTTGTATGAATTGGGGCGATGAAGGTACCTTGTTGCACATATTGGCCGTCGGCTTTGCTCAGACGCGCTGCGGCACCCAGCTCTTGATCACAAAGGCCTACGGATTGTCAAGCGCCCACCAGGTGCCTTTCGAACATATGCAGTCATGTCTATGACGCCATCACGCATCGGAGTGTCGAAGTTTGATGTAGGACGAGTCGCAGGACATCTAAACCTGGATTGGGACGGGGAAACAAGGACCTCGCCTCTCAGGCCAGCCGGGTTTTGCTTGACCTTTCTCCGAACAATATTGTGACGTGAAACGAGTGGGCATAAAAGACGCACGGCATTGATCACAAACTACTGCGGTGGGGGGTTGATCGACGAGGCAAGAATAGTGTGCGGTTCTTGAAATATTGAATTCATCTGCAACGGCCGGCGGACGCCTATGTTGGCCTCTGATATCCATCTACATCGGTTGAATTGCTTAACTTCTCAAATCGCTTCCAGTTCGCCTGATACGTCTCAAGCTTGTTGCCCAAGGCAGTGTATGCGTCTGAGCCGACAACGACACGTAAGGGCGGGTCTTCCATGACTGCAAGCTCGTAGAAGACTTTACCCGCCTTTACTGGATCACCTGCTTGCGTTCCATGACGCTTGGCCATCGCTGCCTTTCCGTCGATATGATCATACGCTGGATTCTTGTTCTCGGCGAAAGCCATGCTTCTTCCTGCCCAGTCTGTTCTAAATCCTCCTGGTTCGATCAAAGTGAACTTGATGCCCCATTCAGGTTTGACTTCTTGGGAGACGGCTTCGGTGAAGCCTTCGACAGCCTGCAAAATTGGTCAGAGAGGCAGAATTGTGTGGGCAGATGTGTACTCACCCATTTCGATGCGCAATAGATGGAGAAGGTAGGCACGCCGCGCTGACCACCGATCGAAGTGACCTGCTGAATGACACCACCTGGTGGCTTTTGCTCACGCATCGTTTGCATGGCCTTCCTCGTTACATCGAGAAGTCCAAAGAAGTTCACCTCCATCTGCGTTCGGATCTGCTTGTCTGAGAGCGACTCAAATTCGCCGCATAGCCCGTACCCTGCATTGTTGCACACGACATCGATGCGGCCGAATTTCTTTAACGTAGCTTCGAACGCTTTGTCGATTGAATCCAGAGACGTCACGTCGAGATCAACAAGAAGAAGGTTCTTGTCATTCGCATTCTCGAATTTAAGCCCACTTGACTTGCGTGCTGTCGCGGCAACAAAGTCGCCTCTGGCCAGAATCTCTTGTACGTATTCTTTACCGAAGCCAGTTGAAGAGCCGGTGACGAGGAAGACGCGTGGTGCCATTGATATCAGGGTACGTAGCGGTACAGAAAATGGCTTAAAAGTAACGACTTTTGTAGGTTCAAGCAACGCGCAAGCTTGGAACTGGGTTACCCCGTTTTATATCCCGTCGACGATCCCGAAAGTTATCGGAGAAAGTCTGACGCCGTTTCGTCGGAGCTACTGCAATGACGTAGGTAGAAACGGATTTGCGGGTATAGAAAGAATTTGAAGATCGCTAGACTTAAGCTCTTCGCGCCGACCCGGGGCTAGCACTGTTCTTTTATAAAAGGCCCCATTCAGAAACACATGGGTGAGAATTACATGTATATCAGAAGGTCTCTGAAGCATAAAACGAACACATTGTGTTTGATTGGCTGATGAAGTCGATCACCTTTCGCGCTACTAGGTTATTTGAAATCCTTCAAACCGATTGTCGGCTTTTGTGAGGAGTTTAGAAGGACATAAGAAGCACATATCCGTGCCGAAACTGCTTCTTCGCCATCGTTGCCGAAACGCTGCGGGAAGTTGCCGCTATCCGATCTCGGCAACGTTCAGCGACTACAAACTATCAACATCAGGTTGAACTCGATGCAGATGACGGAACTGGACTCTGGCTTGACGTGGCTCGAAGAATTATGCCCACAATGCTCTTGCAATCCTACGGTCATACATGCTAAGTTTCTATCCGTTCAACGCCATGTATCTCATCTTTCACAAGCTTAGCTCCTGACTCAAATGTCCGCAACGTAGCGCCTTATTCATAGAACGGGGATGGCTTCATTACACGGCCTTCTGTATCTAGCGTGCCGGTTAGGGACGAGATCTTAGGCCGGTCATATATGTGGTTCTTGTGCCAGCAAGGTAATGCCAGAGGGTTATGCCAAACCCTCGTAAGCAAACATATTTCGAATCTCAGCATCGTCGGTCGAGAGGCAAACCATAGTTGAGGATTTGTTCAGAATATCTTTCTCGATTGAGGAGCAAGCGCGCCAGCCCCGGAAGACATTTTACCATGGTGATGGCCGGTCTTTCACAGCTGGACAGTAACATTTTACTTACCCGGACGAGACCTTATCAAGTCTCGGAATAGGTAGCAATTAACCCCGCTTTTCCAGACGTCTTCTCGCTGTCTGCCGCACTGCTGCCTAGCTCGACGATGGGAACCTCGCTTACGTGCTCTTGACCTCTCGCTGCCTCGTTTTCTCGCCAACCTCGCTTCCGCAGCTTATACATATCCCACGTGAGGCACAGCTTTCTAGATATCATCTTACATGAGTCATTTGCTGTTTAAAGCAGTTTTCATGTTAAGTCTCTATTTGCATAAAAAATTTTTTTCCCTTTACCTGAAACTGATGGTTTTCTACTTCGGAAATACCACCTCTTACCTTGATTTTCTTCCAACGCCCCTAGACTAATGTCGAGTCGCTATCCAGAACTTTTTCTGTGCCAAGCACATTTCGTCTACTGCTCGTATTCAAATTTCATCTACTTTATAAACAATGACATCAAATCGTCACAGTGAGAACGGATTTTCGATGACGCAAGATCAGATTTTCATCACTGATGTTGGCACTGACACGAAGGATAATGCCTTTTTCTGGCTCTCAATCGGAAGATATGTCTACGACTGCTCGTGGAATGAAGTCACAATACGAGCTCTGGAGCGTGAGATAGATCCAGACGCAATGATGAGCCCCGTTATTTTACGTGGATATTTGTGGAAGACGGTTCCGACTAGGTACTGGCAGGTGTATGACGGCCACCAGCTTGGCCCGCTACCATCGCAACCGGGGCTAGACGAGCGGATGAGTGGTATGTGCTTTGAAGCTTGAGCTGTAATGAACCTATGTTAAGTTTCTCTTAGACATCTACTATGGCGACAACATAACTAGGCAGATCTCGCCTACGACTAATGCGCTTGCCGTACAACAGACGAAACGACGACCTAGTGGAAGGCGAGACCTACCTGAACATCCCAATGGAAGATCGAATCGGCATCATCTATTCCGCCGTTCAGAATTCTGCGAGGGTTCCCGGAGACGAGTTGGAAATTCCCCGTCGAAGACCGAACATTGCCTGACAAGGCAGCCCAGTGTGGACGGTCTATTCTCTCCACGCGCCTGTCAGAATGAAACGTTGGAGATTTTGGATAAAGCCTCCGCTCCAGTCAAAGAGGAAAGCAAACCCGAATATGTTGTCGAAAGCACGGACCATGTGAGAAAGTGTTTTATGGGACCTGATTCTGGTGTTGATCTGAGCTCGGATGAGGACGACTCGGATTTTTGTGATAAAGATTCCGAGATTGACTCGCCTTGAAAAGAACGATCGGGGGAAAATGCATCTGAACATATCTCATGAGGAGGAGGAAAACATGTAGGTTCCTGTATTTTGCGCGATGGGCTCATTCGCAGCCGCCAAATACAGACTTCTAAGATGAAAAATTAATTATCTGAACGAATATGCGCTGCCTTTGAAATCAACTTTGTGCACGTCCAGCAAGTAGCCATTCACGAACTGTCTCTGAGTCGCTGACCTCATCACGTGATATAAAGAGACAAAGGCCCGTGCATTAGCCGTTTTGAGAAGTCCGCAAAACGCCCCTACGACCTCGAAAGTTTACGACCACGCAGTCGCGGCGCATTACCTCGTGTATCGTTGTGCAACAACCTCTACAACACGCCCAAACCCAAGCTTCATTTGCGACTATCCAAAGATTTCGATAGAAGTCTTTGCGCAAACCCGCGACGATCCCTGCGGCGCCTCGACGCGTTCGGACCTGCCTACGAGACAAACCAGGACGTTACTGTGATCTTTTTCTGCATAGCTGTCTATACGTATGCGTCGCTCTTGAGCTTGAGCTGTGAGGCTTTTCAAGTCTCTTCGCGCCTACTTTGGTTCATCTTCGACGCTTCTAGTCTGCTTCGCCACGCATCGTTCTAAGCACACATTGTTCTCCGTCGCCGTAAAGAACATCAGCACATCCGCGGCGAAGCCTAGTTGAAGATGGACCCTTACAACAACGGTACTTACGATGATGAATATGGATATGATGAGGATGAGGACGTCATTACGTCAGAGGACTGTTGGGACGTTATCACCGCTTTTTTCGAAGAGAAGGGGCTTGTGTCGCAGCAGATTGAATCGTACGATGAATTTGTGACCAAGCATATGCAGGATGTGGTGAATGAAGAGAGCAGAGTTATCCTGGACCAGAACTCGCCGCCTGGTGGTGACGAGGATAACCCCATTATAAAACGGCGATTTGAGATCGCCTTTGGGGTGGTCAAAGTCAGTGTGCCTATCATCACCGAAGGCGACGGTGTCAGTCACAATCTTTGGCCGCACGAAGCGCGTCTTCGAAGCCTTACGTACTCATGTCCTATGTACGTGCCGATGGAGAAGAAAGTATCTGAAGCGACCGAGAGACCCACAGGCTATGGCGATGACGACGCGAATGGTGAAGAGCAGGAACAAGAAGGCGGCGCCATGACGAGGCTATATTGGAGAACTGTGCAGCAGGATGCGGCACCAAAAGAAGCGCACATTGGTCGTATGCCAACCATGTTGAAGTCCGTCTTCTGCTCTCTCCGTGGCAAATCGGATGACGTTCTCTTCTCGCATGATGAATGTCCATACGACCAGGGAGGTTATTTCATCATAAATGGCAGTGAGAAGGTGCTTATCTCACAGGAACGAAGCGCAGCAAATATTGTCCAGGTCTTTAAGAAAAAGCAGAGTCCGACTCCGGTAATTGCTGAAATCCGCAGTGCGATAGAGCGTGGCTCGCGTTTGGTCTCCAGTATACAAGTCAAACTTTTTGAGAAGGGTCAAAGCGCAAAGGGTGTGACGGATCAGTACATTCGGACTAGCCTGCCGTACATCAAGGCTGATATCCCAATCGTCATCGTCTTCCGCGCATTGGGTGTTGTGTCCGACGAAACCGTGCTGGATCACATCGTGTACGACAAGAGCGACACTCAAATGCTGGAAATGTTGAAACCATGTCTTGAGGAAGCGTTCGTGATTCAAGATCGCGAGGAAGCCTTGGATTTTATCGGCAAGCGAGGCAGCCAGACCGGAACCAAGGACAAACGCATACGATATGCGCGTGACGTATTGCAGAAGGAGTTCCTGCCACATATCTCGCAAAAGGAGGGCAGCGAAACGAAGAAGGCCTTTTTCTTGGGCTACATCGTGCATCGTCTGCTCCAAGTTGCTCTTGGAAGACGAGAGGAAGATGATCGAGATCACTTTGGCAAGAAGCGTCTTGAGCTGGCCGGACCCCTGCTGTGCTCGCTTTTCCGAATTATGTACAAGAAGATGAAGAGCGATGTGCTCAAGCATCTGCAGAAATGCGTCGAGACGAACCGTGAATTCAACTCGTTGCTTGCTATCAAGACAGGCACGATCACGAACGGTCTTAAGTATGCGCTAGCCACAGGTAATTGGGGTGAACAAAAGAAAGCTGCATCGGCAAAAGCTGGCGTCTCCCAAGTGCTGAACCGATACACGTTTGCGTCCACATTGTCGCATTTGCGGCGTACAAATACACCTATCGGACGTGACGGCAAAATAGCGAAACCACGTCAGTTACACAATACTCATTGGGGTTTGGTCTGCCCTGCAGAGACACCTGAAGGACAGGCTTGTGGACTTGTTAAAAACTTGTCTCTCATGTGTTACGTCTCCATCGGATCTCCTGGAGAGCCTATTATTGACTATCTGACCATGCGTGGCATGGAATTGCTTGAGGAATTCGACCCTCACAATGCTCAGGACGCGACCAAGATCTTCGTCAACGGCGTCTGGGTTGGTGTACACCGCGATCCGACGAAATTGCACAACAATCTCAGAACCATACGTGGCGACCCTAATTACCTTATAGAGGAAGTCAGCATTATTCGCGACATTCGAGAACGTGAGCTGCGTATCTTGACCGACGCAGGACGTGTCATGCGACCACTGTTCGTCGTTGAATATCGATCTGAACACGCAGAGCGCAAAGGTGATCTTATCCTCAGACGAGAGCACCTGCAGAGACTAGCGGCGGATAAGGAGGTGATAATCAATCCAGCCGATAGAGAGGAGGAGCAAGAACTTCTACGTAATCTAGGCTGGAACAGGCTTGTTAAAGAGAAGGTCATCGAGTACCTGGATGCTGAGGAAGAAGAAACGGCCATGATAGCCATGACTCCTGATGATTTAATGGAACTCAAACATCTACAGTACACCAATCAGCCGATGGAGAAAGACACCTCGGATGCGCATGCCAGGATTAAACCGAAAATGAACCCTTCGATTTCGAGATTTACACATTGCGAGATTCATCCCGCTATGATTTTGGGAGTGTGCGCAAGCATTATCCCCTTCCCTGATCACAACCAGGTAAGTGCAGTAGTACCCTTTTCAGACACTCGTGCTGATTTGTAGTCACCTCGAAATACGTACCAATCTGCCATGGGCAAACAAGCTATGGGCGTTATGCTTACAAACTACAACCTGCGAATGGAGACCATGGTTAATGTCCTGTACTATCCTCAGAAACCACTTGCTACCACTAGGTCTATGGAATATCTGAAGTTCCGTGAGCTGCCCGCCGGACAAAATGCCATTGTAGCGATTGCGTGCTACTCCGGTTATAACCAAGAAGACTCTGTCATCATGAACCAGAGCAGTATTGACCGTGGCCTCTTCCGAAGTCTGTTCTACCGAACTTATACGGACTCGCAAAAGCGTGTTGGCACAAATATCATCGAGGATTTCGAAAAACCAATGCGATTCGATACGCTTCGAATGAAGCACGGTACTTATGACAAGCTTGATGACGACGGTATAATTGCTCCTGGTGTGCGTGTATCTGGTGAAGATATTATCATCGGCAAAACGGCTCCTATTGCTCCAGATGCTGAAGAGTTGGGCCAGCGCACGAAGGCACACACGAAACGCGACGTTTCTACTCCTCTGAGGAGCACCGAAAACGGCCTTGTGGATCAGGTCATCCTTACAACGAACCTAGAAGGCTTGAAGTACGTCAAGGTGCGTACGAGGACAACGAAGATTCCGCAGATTGGCGATAAGTTCGCTTCGAGGCATGGGCAGAAGGGCACGATTGGTATCACATACATGCAGCACGATATGCCTTTCAGCCGAGAGGGGTTGACGCCGGATTTGATCATCAACCCCCACGCCATCCCGTCTCGAATGACGATAGCTCATTTAATTGAGTGCTTGCTCAGCAAAGTCGGCGCCATTCGAGGTTCTGAGGGCGACGCCACGCCGTTCACAGATGTCACCGTTACTAACGTCTCTGATCTCCTTCGCGAAGCCGGGTATCAATCCAGAGGCTTCGAGGTCATGTACAATGGCCACACGGGCAAGAAGCTCCGAGCTCAAATTTTCCTTGGCCCGACATACTACCAGCGGTTGCGTCACATGGTCGACGACAAGATTCATGCTCGTGCACGTGGTCCTGTCCAGATTCTCACTAGACAACCTGTTGAAGGTCGTGCTAGAGACGGTGGTTTGCGCTTCGGAGAGATGGAACGTGATTGTATGATTGCTCACGGCGCCGCTGCATTCTTGAAAGAGCGCCTCTTTGAGGTCTCGGATGCGTATCGTATGCACATATGTGAGAACTGTGGTTTGTCGACCGTTATTGCGTAAGTTTCACCCATCCTTGGTTGACGATACTCGAAGTGTGGGCAGCAGATGCTAAAACTAGCCATTAGGAAACTCAAGGACCAAAAGTTTTCTTGTCAGAACTGCAAGACAACCACAAAGATTGCCCAAATTCATATTCCCTACGCCGCCAAGCTGCTCTTCCAGGAGCTGATGAGCATGAATATCGCACCGAGGATGTACACCGACAGGAGTGGCGCATCCGTTCGTGCTTAAATTGCAGTTGGAACCGCGGAATATCCCCAATCTTTCACAACTTCGCAACAGCTATTCTGGCGTTCTGTTACCCCAATGAAAAAGCGAGGCTTGCATTTCATGGCGTTTTACTTTCATCTTGCTTAGAAAAGGTCGCATGCTAAATAAAGCCTGAAAACATGCGTGGAGCTTACATGTATCACTAGATGCAATCTAAAACTTGGGGCCCAAGCTTTTCGGGTTATTCGATAGTATTCTCTTGCTCAGTGCCTTGTAGCTACGTAGTTTCGAGTGCTTCGGATGACTGACATGAAAACGTTGGAAAGCAGATTTGTTGGTCTCAGCTAAGCACCGACTCGATGAAATGAATCAAAGAGTGGATCGAATCACATTTGGATAATTCTTATTCATGTAATCAGATTCTCCTCAATGTCTTCCGTTAGGTGTTGCTGGACAACAGCAACTCAAGCATGTATTTGATCTGACCTAGCCTAATCTGCTATGGGCATTTTCGACCACCAGTACTCGTCCCTCGTGATAGATCAAACCCAAACCCAAACACAATTGGCCTGCACATGTAGCCACAAGCTACGGATTAAGGATCACTTGGAAAAATTTGGCCGTGTCGGTTCCATCCACGCTGACTTGTAGTCTTACAACATATGCTCAGCACCTTTTATGCACGCCCGTCATCGCCCGCCTCCTTTGGGCAATTTCTATACCAGAAACAAGCGATCTCGAGTTTGCTGCGACTGGGCTTATTACATAAATTTCGCCGCCCACGGTCTGACGACAGATTCTGAGTCTGTAATAATTGGCTAGTCTGCTACAAGCCACGCCGCACGGGGGCTGCTTGATGACGTATCAGAATCCCACGTTCGCGTGAATTTTGTAGCGCAGAACCTCTGTCTCGACTCTTCTTGACGTGAAGCAACTAGAGTGACGCTCAGTGTTCAGCACGTAAAGATTCTCAAGAATTGACTGACAGTCCAAGACCCTGCGTGCTCGCCTCTTTAGCTCGGCACAATTAAATTGGTATAGTCGGTGACGGCTTGCAGCGCCGAAAGCAGGGAACCTCAACAAAAGTCTACTTAAAAGGACTCGCCCTCTCACCTTCCGTCCGCAACCACTTATCACCGGTCACTCTATCCCCAGGTCCGCATGCGAAGCCATTTATACGTTCGAAATGCCTATCATTGACACGACCAAGGACTTGAATGCGCTCTTCACCAAACAGGTTCACGCCACGCCTGATGCCATTGCGTTGGAAGATGAAAGCGTGAAATACACTTACGAACAGCTAGACGCTAAAGTCACAGCCTTATCTGAGCGTCTACGACAGTATGGGGTCTCGCGCGACGTCCTGGTCGGCGTCCTTATGGGTCGTAGCGCAGATTATGTCATTGCTTGCCTGGCAGCACTGCGTGCGGGTGGAGCATTTCTGGTTTTAGAGCTGGCATATCCCCCAGATCTTCTTGCAGACGTCATTGAAGATGCAAAGCCAGCCGTTATTGTCACACACAAGGCACACGCAGGTCGGATTAAGGCGGCCATCCCGCTCATCAAACTAGATGATGTATCAGAGATTACAATCAATGGTGATGCAAAACCGCTGCAGCCTTTGCCTAGTGAGGATGATCTAGAACGGCTCGCATTTGTGTCGTACTCTTCAGGGACAACTGGCAAGCCAAAGGGCATTGCTAATCCTCACCGAGCACCAGTGTGCTCCTACGATCTGAGATTCGGTCTCAGTGATCTCGGAGAGGGCGATCGTGTGGCTTGTAATGTGTTCTTCGTCTGGGAGATCCTTCGGCCGCTCTTGCGAGGAGCGGCCGTTTATGCGATCGCAGATGACATCAGTTACGACCCAGGAGCTCTTGTGGATGAACTGAGGTCCAAAAATATCACGGAAACGCTCATGACGCCTACCCTGTTGGCTTCATGTCTTTCTCGACATTCATCAATAAGCTTGGGCGAGCTTCTACCTAATTTGCGTACCTTGTGGCTGAATGGTGAAGTTGTGACAACTGATCTGGCACGCCGAGCAATGAAAGCCATGCCGAACACTCGCTTGCTGAACGTTTATAGCTGTAGCGAAACCCATGAAGTGCTTTTCGGGGACATTCGAGAGATGCTCGACAAAGACTCCCCGGTATGCCCGGTAGGTCCGCCTGCTGAACCGGAGAAGACCTACATTTTAGATGAAGACGGTCAGAAAGTTGACGCGGGGACTGTCGGCGAGCTCTGCGTAGGTGGGAAACTGCTTGCACGTGGCTATCTCAATCTACCCGAGACAACAGCCAAAGCATTCGTGCGGAATCCCTTTGACCCTTCTCCTGATGCACGCATGTACAAGACAGGAGATCTCGCCAGAATGCTGCCTTCCGGAGCGATTGAAATAACGGGACGGTTGGGTGCAATGATTAAGCTCAGAGGCTACTCCATTGTGCCTGGAAAGGTTGAAAAAGCCATTGTGGAACAACTTGCCGTTAGTGCTTGCGCTGTAATCGCGCATGGAGATGGATTGGATCGTCAATTGGTCGCCTACGTCGTGCCAGACAAAGATCCTGGAGAACGGACACCGATCAGCATCGATGAAACTGGACACAGCCCGTCGGCACGGCGCACACTATCCGCTGTGTTGGCCCAGTACATGATTCCTGCCTTGTGGGTTGAGCTCGCGAGCTTACCGACTCATGAGGTGTCTGGCAAAATTGACCACAAGCGTCTCCCTGATCCACCAAAGGAGCGCAGACAGAGCGTGGTGAACGGCATCAAGAATGACCGCGAGGCGAAAATCAGCGTGGAGACCATTATTGAGTTGTGGGCGGTAACGCTGAATATCTCTCCGAGCAACATTACGCACGAGCACAATTTTTTTGATCTCGGCGGGCATTCGCTCTCGCTTGCTGATTTGGCGTCGAGACTATCAAGGCATTTTGGATTCAAAGTCCCACTTGCGAGACTCGCTGGTGATCCAACACTTGAAGGCCATCTCAAAGCTGTCAAATCTGCTCGTGATGGCCACACGGCAACAATCCAAGCTGATCTACCGGCAGTATTGCGTGCCGACGCTCAACTCCCCGAGGACCTGGAAGTCCCCCAGGTGCCATTACGCCCCCTGCGAGATGCGAATACGATCTTATTGACAGGCGCTACTGGCTTTTTAGGAGCCTTTTTGCTAAGCGATTTGATCGATAGAACTACGGCTCACATCATTTGCTTGGTGCGATTCAACAACCCCGAAGACTACGATAGGTCGAATGGCATTGCACGAATACGTAGAAATTTGCTAGATATGGGGCTGTGGCGAGATAAAATCATGGAGCGTGTCGAGCTGCTTCCGGGTAATCTTTCGCGTAGACGTTTTGGGCTCTCTGCCGATGCGTGGTTTGATCTCGCAGATCGGGTCGACGTAATTATTCATGCAGCTGCTACGGTCAATCTGGTGTATCCGTACGCGGCGTTGCGGGCGGCAAACGTGGGTGGAACAAGAGAAATAATTCGACTTGCATGCCGCGCCAAAGCCACACTGCAATACATTTCAACAAATGGTGTCTTACCTGGCTCTGAGGAAGGCTGGCCCGAGGATACTCTGCTCGATGTTAAGTTTGTTCCAACACTCATTCCAGATGGATACGGTCAAACAAAGTGGGTGGCTGAGAAGCTTGTATACGAGGCAGGGAAAAGAGGACTGCCGGTCAAGATTCACCGTCCTGGTACCATCAGCGGGCACAGCGAGTGGGGATCGGCAAACGCTTGGGATCTTTTGACCGCCATCATTGTTGAATCCTTGCAGATTGGCTACGCGCCTGATATCGAAGGCTGGAGAGCAGAGATGACACCTGTGGATTTTGTCAGCAAAGCCATCATTGGTCTATCGAATGACATGAACACCAAGATGAAGATCTTTCATTTGGCGGACTCTAATCCAGTCCCCACAGCGACTCTCTTTGAATACTTGGAGGAGCTTGGATATCCCACCAAGAAGATACCATGGGATGAATGGGTAAAAACGTGGACAGAGAAGAGGGGCACGGCAAAAGGCGGTGACGGAGGATTTACAGTTGATGTTCTTCGAGGCGGTATGCCGGACATCAGCTTTATGAAAGATATTACAATCCTCAAAGACGATCAGACAAGATCCGTACTTGGCCTAGATCGACCGCCTATCGACAAGAGGCTTCTCGACACGTATGCACGCCATTGGCATGCACGAGGGTGGCTGCCAAAGCCACCAATTTCCCACAGACCTGATTTGACAGATGGGATCTACCTGAAGGGTCCGCTGAGCGGGAAAGTTGCCGTCATCACGGGAGCATCCTCTGGCATCGGTGCCGCAGTAGCAAACACGTTGTCTCGGGATGGTGCACATGTTGTGCTTGCCGCCCGAAGGACGGAAGAACTGGAGGTGACGAAGAGCAAAATGGCAGCACGTAAGGGCAAGATAATCATCCAGAAGACGGACGTCACGGACAGAAAGCAGGTCGAAAGACTCATGCGAAGAGCCGAGGAAGAGCTTGGCCCCATTGACATCGTCGTTAGCTGTGCTGGCGTGATGTACTGGACGCTCATGAAGAATGCGCACGTCGACGACTGGGACAGGACTGTGGACGTCAACTGCAAAGGCCTGCTTCATTGCATCGCGTCCTCGGTGCCCGGCATGCTCAAAAGAGGCTCCGGCCACTTCGTAGCCATCTCCTCCGACGCTGGCCGCAAGGTGTTCCCCGGCCTGGGGGTCTACTCCGCCAGCAAGTTCTTCGTTGAGGCCACCTTGCAGTCGCTGAGGCTGGAAACGGCCGGCTCAGGACTGCGCGTCACGAGCGTGCAGCCGGGCAACACGAAAACGCCGCTGCTGAACATGTCGACGGACGTGGAGGCCGTCAAAAAGTACGGAGAGCCCTCGGGGGCGCAGATCATGGACCCCGAAGACGTTGCGAACGCGATCGCGTACGCGCTTCGACAACCTCCACACGTGGCCATGAACGAGATTCTGATCGAGCCAAGGGACGAGCCAATATAGCCTTCAAAATCTTTGATTTCAATAAGCAGAGTTGTAATCTATTCGCGCAAATGCACAGAATTCAGTCCGCACAATTGTACAGTGTTGATGCGTCGTGCAAGTTGAAACGCAGGCCAGCGCTGTTTTAGGAAATATTTAAAAAAATTCTTATATGGCACAGCGTTGCTAACGTCATGCATGTCGTGAAGTCCAGCTTTGAATCTGGAACAAAAAAAGGATTCTCCGTTTTACTAAAGCCAAAGGGTATCAGTGTTCATCAAAGCATGCCATCATACTGAAAATTTGTCTATCCAAAGCATGTTCTGCCCTTAACTCCGTCTACTTGATTCTCCGTTGCCGGCGCCACCTTGTTGGTTCGAGTTGCGTCTAAATTCCTCCTCCAACAAGCTCTGCTTCTTTACGTACTCTAGCACAATTTCTTCCTCCTGTCTAGCCTTCCTCAAATCCTCGTCCATCTTCCGCGATTCTTCCAGGGCTTTCTTCAGATCCGCATCATCTTCGTCGGCGCCATCGATACCAGCGGCCGCAGTGGGGGTTGAAATCGAGCTACCTCTATTGGTGCTGCTAGTTCCTGGACCTGTTTGGTTGATAGGTGACCTTGGCATCAGCGAACGTCGTGGACTTTTTGGTGGGATGCTCGGTGCTCTGAGGACTCCCGTCTCCTGCTCACCAGTAGGCGCAATAGATGCATCCTTCAAGCTCTCGGCTATGGCCATTCTAAGCTGCTCGTCGTCCTCGTCCTCGTCCGCGGCCGGCCCTGTGTCTCGCAGGGTCATCTGTCGAGTTAGATGCGAGATGCTAGCCCGAATAGCACGATCTATATCTTGATCCTCCTGCTGGTCGCCCGAAGACGACTCTTTGATTGCACTTTGTAAGGCACTTTCAAAATCATCGTCGTGCTCGTACTTGAACCCCTCATCATCGCTCTCGCGGTAAAGGGGCTGGTCGTGGGGCACAGGGCCAGTATGACGAAGTTGGCCGGTAGAGTTAGCTCGCTTTATTGCCGAGATTTCGTGAATTGGTAGTCCTTGACCAAGCTCCGTACCCGCAAGTTCGGCCCTGTGCTCTGGAGAGATGAGCTCCGACGTGCTCTTACCTGAAGCCGATGCATGATTGCTCAAGGACCTTGCCATGCTGTTTGTCCTATGCACATGATCCTGCCAGCGATCCACTCTCTCGGACCACTTGCGTCCCTTCTTTTTAAACTCCTCAGATAGCTGTTCCTTCTTCGCACTAATACGTGCCCACTTCTCTCGTCGCTTCTCCTTCTTTTGCTCAATGAAATCCTGCACGGCTACGACAGAATCTTCACCCATGATCTTTTTGCGCTTGACTTCCTCCAAGAGCTTGAAATAGCGATGTACGATTTCTGTCTGTTCATCTTTGTCAATCTGCAACCACGCCTCCCAGCCTTGCGCAGTCCGAGCAGCGATGATGTAATTATCAACGCTCTTTCCAAAGTGCTTCTGTACTTCTTTGTAGATACCTTGCATGGCATAGCCGGGAAGACTGTAAATTCCTGCTCCTGGTTTGACTACGACACCGGCGATGCCTCGACCGACACCTTTGACAAAGCCTGCACCGCCTTCCTTCTTCGCACCTGAGATGGGTTGAGTGACAAGGCCGGTGATGCCATCCCATAGCCCCATGCCGAACTCCTGTTAAGCCAGTCAGGAATATCTTGCATGATTATATCAAATCAGTAGCAGTTACAACTTACCTTGCCAGCAACTCTCAATCCACTCTTTAAATCTGTAACCCTATCCACCTGTCTAACCTCTTCTCCGTACAATTTGGGCAAGTTGTGAAATCCCTTTGCAAGCCCAAGCGTAAAATCCATCGGGCTCTTCATTCCTGCACCCACAATTTTGCTGAGCCCCTTGCCGGTGCCGTAAGCTGTGTCTAGCAAGCCCTCCGCACCGTGACCTTGCTCAGCCCAGTGCTTCACCGCACTGGCGGGACATGGTGAATCAGGCCGTGACTCTGATCTGCGGTGGCTGCTGGTCCTGGTCCGCGAATTTGAGCGCGATCGCGGTCGTGATCCTTCCGGCAGTCCGCGCAGTGCCTCCGCCATGGCTGATGGGCGTTTGCCACTCGCCGAAGATGATGAAGTCGCTGTACCTGAAGCTAGAGAATGGGCGCTTTCTGGAGAAAGCAAATCCTTCTGTGTTGCCGAAGTGGCATTGACCGAGAAGTGCTTATTCGTCGAGCTTAAATCAATCACCTGTTCAGGAGATGTGACGAGCTCGAGCGAAGCCAAGCTGTTTTTGGAATTTTCACCCGGAGTTGTCGTTCCTGGTGTGGTGGATGGTGTGAGATCTAAAGATGATCTCCAAGTCGAAATCGAGGCTCTTTCCGATGATGTATTTGTCAATTCAGATTGCGCTGTAGGTGCTGGCACAATGCCTGAGTTCGATGATGACGCGGCGGCAGAAAAACTTGTCGATTCTGTCTCAGCTCCTTTCCCCTTCGACTCTTTTTCGCCCTTTTCTTTCTTTTTCTCCTTTCCCTTGTGCGAATCTGGATGAATCGCCAATGCTTTTAGGGCAGCGACGGGGAAGTCTGCGATGCCCATCGCAATTGTGGTAGCGTTGTCCAGAATCGCGCCTGCACTACCGCTAATAGGGTCTGTCGGTCCCATATCGACCTCGTATTCCATCGGTCTGTACAACTTGAGATCCGAAAAGGAGATGACGCCCTTTTCAGCAAGTGTGTATGCAGCCAATGCGCTGAGACGAATCTGCGTTTTGCGGATCCGCCACACAGCTGCTTGCTCTGGAAGCAGAGAGCACCGCATCTTATCCATCTCAAGCATCTGATGGAAGCTCTGAGCACCGACATCACAGCCCTTCTCTTGAGAAATAATCTTGGCCATTTCGCCTGCTCGCTCTACAGTCTCTGGCTTTAGTGCCTCCATAATTGAATCGGCTAGGATCTGCGCAGTAAGGTCCTTGTATCGAGTTGGCTTAGGACCCGCACCAGCTCTTGCGACCATGGATCCCCAAAAAGGTTGATCACCAAAGAAAGGGACAATCACCGTTGGTTTACCGCATGCGATGCCTGCAGCGGTTGTTCCTGCGCCGCCATGGTGCACAACACACGAGACGTGCTTGAACAGCCAGTCGTGGGGCACGTTGCCTAGCATGAATACACCATCAGGCAAGCCAAGCTCGTCTGCACCAAGGCCACCCCATCCCTTGGACACCAATGCTCTTTGTCCAGTGATCTTGATGGCTTCAAAGATCATTTTAGTCATTGCGTTCGGATCGTCTACTACGATAGATCCAAAGCCTATGTACACCGGGGGCGGCCCACTATCCAGAAATGATTTCAAAGCGGGATCTGGAGTGTAGTTCGATGCCAGGTTTAGGAAGTAGAAACCAGAGATATTGATGTGATTTCCCCAGTCTGCGGGCTTCGGGATGAGAGCCGGGGACCAGCAGTATGTGTACGGGATACGTAGTCTAGCAAGCATGCCGGGCGCGTAGAATATATTTATGGGCTCGAGACCGAGATTATGAACTCGGAAGCGGTTGATTATGTCGCCAAGGCCTTGCCATGTGAGCAAGTCCACTAGTCCGTACGTAATGTAGTTTGAGATGGTTTGTTCAGCGTTGGTGGATTCAATGTTTGCGAGTGGATGGGGAAACGCTTCTGTAGGCGACCACGGCATGGTGAACATCATGTGTAGTGGTATTCCCAGCCTCTCTGCGCAATGCAGATGCGCAAAACTTGGCGGATTGGCGATGATGGCGTCTGCTACAAACGGCCTCGAGAATTTATCCGGAATCTCTTTAGTTGAAGACTCCTCGTCCGCCATCCAGTCTCCGATCGCGTTATCCGAAGCCTCGACGCCACTGCCGTCCCCAGCCTCAATACATGATCTCCAGCATCCTTTGATCATCTCTGCGATCCCCCTCCGCCTTTTGCCGACATCTCCATTGCGCAGCGTCTCAAATCCAGGCATCAAGCCAGGATTTTTCACCATGAATGCCATGAGCTCACTAGGATCACCACCAATGCTGAAGAATTCTATGCCGTTTTCTTCGACGAATTGCTTGAACACTGGATGCGTGGCCAGTCGAACTCGATGATTGTAAGTGTCGCGCAGCACCTTTGCTAATGCAACAAAGGGCTGCACATCTCCTCTTGAGCCCACGACGTGAATGACAACATTCATAGGCGGGGGTGGCAATTCTCCTGGGCTGCCTCCAAGGGTAGGAGGGACATATGGTGGGGGCAGTGGCGTTTGCTCAGCTATCAAGCGTCTCTGCTGCCTTAGGGCCGGTACCAGCATCTTCGACAGCTTATGTGACCGCTGGTCTATGCGAATGTTCACCCGACCGTCATCGCCGACCTTTGCTCTTGTGCCCGTGCCACTGTTGTTGTCCTCGACATGCCCCAGGGTATCGCTATATGCCGGGGGAGGAGGCATCTCGTCCGATACCTCGAGAGGTGGCAACGACTGTGAATGATTCCCATTTGCAGTGGAGATACCGCCCGTAGTTTGCTTGCTAAGAGCGGTATTGTACCCGTAGAACGAATCGGCGCTCATACTACGATGATGATTCATTAGTGAAAAGCCTATCAAAGCAAAATATGGAAGCAAAGCAAACAGAGAGAGTGGGATGGGGTTAAGTTACACTCGATTAGCTGGCCTGCTCTGAACAGTTTGCGTTGAGACGCTCGTGGGTGACTTTGCTATGTTTCGAACGGGGAATGCAGGCTCATCCTCATTGTTCGCAGCTGCGGCTGCTCTGGCATGTTGCAGCATACTCGTTGCATTGTGGACGCCTCGATCTTGTTCCCTCCACTCGTCATTACTATGGAGCAAAGGCGGCTCCGGCTGTTCAGATGCAGAAGCGGGCGCGTCCCCGCTCTTCTCCGTACCGCTCATGATGTAGATGTGTCTTCTGTCTATGGAGTCGACCCTGCGTGGCCAATTGATCCTCTGCTACTGATCTGTGCTATAGGGCGGGACTTGGATCCTCAGAAGCAGGCAGCAGCAACCGCATGTAAGAAGCGCTGTAGTCTAGGTAATGAAAAACAAGAGGTAGTGCGGGGTAGGACAGAAGGGATATCGACACCGCGATGAAGACCGGATGTCAAGCTACCAGTTGAATAAGACGTGGACGTCTTGTATTGTTCGACATTTCACACATTCACGACGATCTTCGCGCTTGTTGTATGCAAACCAAGAGACCCTTGCCCAAATGTAGTGTGGCGCGTGGCGGTGTAGTCAACATTAAAGGCAGTCCGCAGCTCACTCGACTCACACCCAGCTTGCCTGCCAGGATCGACAGCGAAACCAAGGCAGGCATTCGAAACCTCGGAACTGTGGTGTGTGTGGTTGAAGCGTTGACTAGTGTATGTATGGCACAATACGCGACGTGGTAGCCGGCGCATCGACAGTCGAATGCAAAACTTGAATCTTTTGCGCGAATCAGTAACATCATTATTCGGACTAGACGTTGGCCCAGCCATAATCACTTCCGCAATCAGTTTCGCAGAGCGTGACGGACAATGCCATGATGATTCTCAGTCAGCTCAGCTAGCATAGACGTCTCCGAAACTTGTTACTCTCACGTCATGGCCAGAACCTTTGGGAGTGCCTCCGTGACGTCATCAGTGCAGTCGGGTAAGTTCGCCGCCTTCAATTCCTCACGATGCGGTTGCTCTTAGCGACTTGACGTACATCAGCAGTTAGCAATGAGAAATATAAGTTTTCTTGTCACAAACTTCTTGCTTCTGTTTGACCTCGCATTGTTTTCACATGTCGACCATGTCCACGCGCTGGCTGTTTAACTCGTGATTCGTCTGTTGTGACTGTCGCATAGAGACGCTTAAATGTCCTGTACTGATTGAGAGAATGGCAATTCAATCAAAGATCCATTTCTATCACTAGTCCCTACAAGAATGTCTGCTTCGTACTCCGCTCCCAACAATGAAAGGCTCCGTGCTCAGCAAAAGAACGCCATCGTGTCAACCAAGCTCCAGATCCCAAATGCTCGTACTTGGATTCTCATGGGTTCATTTACTTGCTTGCCTTGCCAAAGTTCGTCACACCGTGAGAAACGCTATATAAATTGTTAAAGAAAGAGGGAAGGCAAACCCTACCCGTGCGGCACCACAATAGCAGACTTCCCGCCGAGATCGATGGTCAAAATATGCGCCCCAACTCGGAGACGTGCAACTGGCTTCCTTCTTCTAGCCAGAGAAGCATCGGCAGACGTCCAGCCTTTCGGCGACTTTTCTCTTTCAGCTCAACTGACATCCATCCCGTCATCAGCATCGTCCTCCTCACCCGTTTCCTCCTCGGCAAGACTAAGACCAATGCTACCTTTTCTGACAGCACCACGACCACCCAATCCTCCCAGTCCGCCGCTGAGCCTCTCAACCTCATCCCCAGACAAGATCCTGCTGTCAATGTCTACCTCCTCGCATAATTCTAAAAGGCTCGTGTGGCGCAGGTTCTTGAAGCTTTTCGACCGCACAACGCGTCCCCAATTATTCATGCAGAATGTCGCTGCCTTCTTTCTAAGCCAGTCCTCTCCAGCCGTGCCGGCACGCTCCCAAATAATTGCAGCATGCTCGACGTCTAGCTCCTTACCCAGGCGATTCACGCACAAAACTCGGAGTCGCGGCATATCGTACAGATCAGCCATGACCAATAGGCCGGCTACGTCTGTAAGAGTGACCCGACTGTCATAGATAGAATCCGTGTAGAGGTAGAATAGGAATGCGCGCACTACACTGTATGGCTCAGGGATGTGTAGGTTGCGAGTGTGGAACTCGCGCATCTGTGCATTATACATGCGATTGAAGTGGGCCCATCGAGCTTGCAAGATTAAGCGATGGACATGTATCGGTTTCGACGTTGGTCTCAATGTGGTCGAGCCGTCTGCATCTGAGACATTTTGTGAAGCTTCATCGTCGTCATCCAGTTCACCAGTCACAGTGAAGTCAGCGCTGCCCCCCGCTTCGGGAGGTTGATCGAACAACTGCACAAGGTCCGCACCGATACCGAGGAGACTCGATTCACGCGTCATATCTGAAGCAGGTGTAGAAAAGCCGTTCCGTCGAACCTCGCTTGAGAGCCTGTTGCCCAAAACGCCAAGTTTACGCAGATCAATAGGCAGCACATCGCTCAGATAAGCTTCGGAAGCCAAGTCACTGTTATCCGTGGCCGATTCTGAAGGACATCCTAGTAGCCAAGCATGTGTACCGTCCTCGTCCATGGCGCAATAATGCCATCTGTAGCCGGGATGAAACAGATCCTTGCCATCTGCAAGTTTCTGCCATCTCAAGGTGTCCAAGTCTAATGCCGAGAGACTGGTTTCGAGCGACGACAAGACGGTCGCTGGCGTCAAAAAGTCAAGCAGACACCCAGATGAGAACATGTGGAAATGTGATCCAACAGCCTGCGGTGGTAGATTGGGACTCGACAAGAACTTAAGGGAGGAAATGCTGCCTGGAGCATGCGGCGTGTTAGCCTGTCTATGCATTGAGTGAGAAGCAGTGGTCAAACTGCTCGTGTTGGCTGCATAACCGGAAGTGCCTGTGTTGGGAAGACCACTACGCTCCGTTCCTGTTGCGAGCCGAGCCTGCGGCCGTTTCCTCTCGAAGGCATTCGTCGTGTTTCCCCTAAGGTCGATCCACCAGATCTCACTCGTACGCTCCATATCCTCGCCGAGCCCGCCAAAGGCCCATATTCTACCATCCCAGATCCAGGCGGTGTGATCATAGCGAGGTACAAACCGCCAGGTCTTTGACCATGTCCACGTCTTGAGATCGAGGTAGCATATATCGTCAAGCACGTAGCTCTCATTGCCGGCCATTCCACCCATGATGTACAATTTCTCGTCGTGAATAACGGACGCATGTCTAGCCCTCCCTCTGGGTGGCGGTCCGTGCAACTCCGGCTGCGTCCAATGTGCCGTCTTCAGATCGAAGATGATAACGTCGGAAAGGTATGCCCGGTGCTCGTTCTCGCCGCCGTACACTAGAATCTTGTCTCCCTGCCACAAGTTGGCCGTGTGGCCCATCCTAACACCAGGTATGTCTCCGTAGTTATCGACCAGGCTCCACTGCTTGGTCGTAAGGTCCAGCCTCAACACATGATTGTACACTTCGTCTGTGTACTGATCAAAGCCGCCGAACGCGTATATCTGGTTGTTGCCGACGTACGTGACCGACGCATTGACTAAGCATGCTGGTCTTGCGCCTACGGTTGTGATGATCTTGGGCTTGTACGAATCGCCGGCCGGCTTCTTGGACCTCGCTGAAGGAGCGGGCATGACGAAGGTGTTGTTTGCGGACGAAGACGAGGAAGCAGAAGACGGAGACGGGGCGTTGGACGGAGGCAGCGGTGGTGGCTGAAAGGTGGAGGAGAGCGAGGAGGGATGAGAAGCGAACGGGTTTCGGGATGCAAGGTTCTGATCGTGATACTGGCCAAATGATGCCATTGACACTAGCGTAAAGACATGGGCTCGGCGTCAGCAGTTGTTGTTGAGGAAAGCGTCGAACACGAATCAGGCCGAAAAAATGTAGAGAGAACTTGAGTTTGGTTCTCGACGATTGGGCTGGGTGTAAATCGTGGGCAGGAACGATTTGAAGTCCACTCCGCGGCTAGTCCATTCTAGGTCTAGCGCCCGCCCTGCATATTCCCCTTGCAAGGCACCTTGACTGAAGTTGCTGCGTTGCGCATCCGCCAGACGGGAAACGGGAGCATCGCAACAACGCTCGCTTCAAAAGCATCGTCGACTAGCACGCACTAGACAAGGAGTTCATGACAGCCCTTGGCAAGAACGGCTTCGCTGTGGTGCGGGAGCCGTCCATCTGAATTTGAGCGCTACTCGTTTTCACTGTTTGAACCAGCCCGTCATTCGCACCAGTAGCTCGTCCGGCTTCTCTTCCGGAATGTAATGCCCACAGTCGAACGCCTCCCCCACAACCTCGCTCTCGCTAACCTTGCGCCACTCCCCAAGCGCATCGAACTTCTTCTCAACCAGACCCTTATTTCCCCAGATCACCATGAGAGGGCACTTGATCTTCTTGCCCTTGGCCAAGTTCTCCCTCTGTTCTTGGCAGTCGATGCTGGCTCCAGCCCGATAATCTTCACACATCCCGTGGCACGCATCCCGATTTCGAAACAGATCCGTGTATGCCCTCCGTGCATCTGGATGGAAGGTTTCCTCCGGCACCCCGGGCACCGACAGGAACTTCTTGGTGAAGAGTTCCGGATTGCTGTGCATTATCATCTCGGGAAAGGGGGCTGGCTGTATCAGGAAGAACCAATGCCAATATGCTGATGCGAACTGCTTGTCCGTCTGCTCGAACATGGCGAGCGTGGGGGCGATGTCCAAAACCATTGCCTTGATGACTTTGTCTGGATGATCGACGCACATTTGATGAGTGACGCGGCCCCCACGGTCATGACCACAGACGTAGAATCTCTTGTGGCCAAGACGGTCCATCACCGTGACCGCGTCTTGGGCCATTGTGCTTTTCGCATAGGCCTTATGAGACGCATCGCCAGGTGGTTTCGAAGATGCACCATACCCACGGAGATCAATGGCCATTACACGGTAAGACGTTGTTAGACGTGGGGCAATCTTGTGCCAGATGAGACTCGTCTGCGGGAAGCCATGCAACAGGAGCAGAGGAGGCCCTTCTCCAGCTTGGGAGCCGTGAATTGATACGTCGTAAGTGATGGGGATGGTGAATGGCGTAAAGTCGTCGCCCAGCTTCATGGCTACTGCACGTGATTGAGGGTTGGAGTCTTTTTGGACTATATTAAGGGTCAATCGCCTGTTTTCTAAATTCTAATTGTTGATTTGCTTAGATTTGGAGTTCAAATCAACCGGAATCCGGATCTTCTGACGGAATACGCTTGCTTAGAAATAGGCTGGATGTGCGACAGGCCAAATCACTTCACAAGACGGTGCCTTGTGTGTTAGATCATCAAAATATCGTTATTCAGGATTTAGTTCGACGAACGGGCCGTTTTTGATTAAGTGTCCTGTGAGGACTCGTATCCTTGAGGAGGAAATCTTTACTGTAGGAGCCAAAGTCTGTAGCATCACGGCTAATCACCCTGGTAAGCTACCTGCGGGGTAGGCATTCATGCGGATCGCAGACTCGAACGTTTATGATTTTAAGATACATCATGACAAAGACGTAATGAGCACAAGGTTAATCCCAAGGAAAATTTCACCGAGACGCCATTCGAGTTTCGCTGCTGCAACGTGAATTCCACAGAAGCTTCCAATTCTGGCAAATGGCTTTCTCTGTAGAGGCACTTTGATCAGATTGAAGAAACTCGAAGCTTGGTGCCAGCCATGAGCCAACAACTGTTATGAAACCTATCGGCCTTTATTTCTCTGCCACTTAATAACTTGCCACTCACGATGGTGTCCAAAAGCGGGATCTGCAGCAGCAATGAGAGAGCCGCCTATCGCCCTGTTCTTTTAAAAATCGATTTCATGCGTTGTAATGCCTTAATTGACAAGCTTTTAGAAACCATGGCCATAGATACTGGGAATATAGCTCTTGACCGGGCATTGTGTAGGATGGAAAGAAAAGAATCCCGGTGATTGACCATCCTGACGTCCTTCTCGACCAAACTATGCAAGATCAGAAAGTTGACAGACATATTCTAGCAACTTGCTAAAATCACGCCTGACGCGTCGCAGCCAGTACTACGGCACGTAAAGTTACTTCTTCAATGACCGTTTTTGAAAAACACCAACTCTAGCAGCTCCGCTGCCTCTTGCGGCCCATCCGAGGAAATAACGAATCAAAAAAACAACCAAAAATAACAAACATCCTCTACAAATGTCTAAACAATCAATGTAGTGCACACAAAAAAGATTAAAAAAAGGAAAACATACAACAGCACCGGATTCCCATGTGGTCACCCACCATAGTACTAATGGGCCGATCTGAGGCTTGTCTAGGGGTGAGCGGACGGGGACCCGAATTTTCCTCAGTCTATGATCGTATGTGAAAGAGAGCTGTGCTCAAGTAACTAGATATAGTTACTCTAAGATCAAGTCCTACGAAGACATGGCTTCGGAATAGATAGCACTTGAAAGGACGAGCCTGAGATGACAGCTCCGGAATATAATCCTACAAAAATCCTAAAGAAAAGAAGCACGGAGTTCATTAAGAGTGACTACTCATTGCGTGTCTAACATAGTGTGGTTCTTTTGACAAACGCCGCCATTCCGCATGCGGACTTGGTATCGAATTTTTGTTTCATCGATTAACTTTCCCTAAAGGCTTTGACCGTGCCAACAGGCTATCGCCGAACGTGCCATATGCCATCTGCCTTTCTTCCCTCATTTGCCAAGATCGCAGGTAATAGTACAACAAGTGAGAAGAGGTAGACTGCCGTAAGATGCTGTTCCTTTCTGTGAAAGACAGATTATTGCCATTCAATTTCGCGTACAATCAGAGTTTGCAAGTATCAAGTGTTGCGCCCGTGTCCAAGTCAACGAGATTTGATGACGCGCACATAGCTCAGCATGTGCAATCGGCGGCTCAACCAAATCGTGCCTTTCTCCTTTCGGCGGCCTCCCTATCGGCTTTTGACATCCACGATCCACCTCCATTGTGTTCCTGACGTGATCCCCGATCGCCGTTGTGGCCTCCTCCTCCTCTGCGCTGACCACCCCGGAAGCCCCTGTGACCACGTCTTTGCTTGAAGTCGCCTCTGTCATCACCGCCTTCGCGACCGCGCTTCCGTCGCTCCGACAGAGCCGAGTCGAGCCTATTCGTGTCTGGCGCCTGCTCGCCAAATTTTTTCTGTCTTTCCAGTCGCTTCTGGGCTTCGGCAGCGATAGGATCTTGCTCATCAGCTTTGATATTGAAACGTTCCATGCGCTTTCGACGCGCTTCAAGCTCCTTGTCAATGTCCGTTGCCGCTATGCCAGAAGAGTAGTCTGCTTTGGGCGCCTCTTTTGTCTCTGCAGTGCCATCTGCCGTGGGTTTGGCTTCCGCTGGCTTCTTCACAGCAAGATCCGTAGCCGCTGGCGAGGCATTTGCCTTATCCTGAACGGGCGCCGCTTCAGTGTTATTGCTGTCGACTTTAGCTTCCGGAGCGGCAGCCGGGGGAGGCGCAGCCTCAACCACCGGCGCCGCTTGTATGGTGCCTGCGGATGCATCTGCGCCATCATCGTCCCAGTCAATCTCATCCTCGCTTTTCTTTTTGTCGTCCTCCTCCAGGCGGGCGACCATGTCAGCCTTCTTGCCTGTGTGTGGCAGTCCCCGCTCCTTCAGCAGAGCCTCCAGTTCGGCATTCTTCATTTTAGCGTACTCAGGCATCTTGGTTGATGGATAAGGACAGACACGCTCGATTGAGAAATTCTAAGGGGTTGCGGATCGTGGAACGAAAGCGCGCTCGGAATCAAGTGCGCAGGAACGAAATCGCGTCCGTCGCGAGATTATCCGCCGAAGTGGGAAAGTAAAGACAGGAGGTGAACAATGGCTGATGGATGGCGATGTGGATTTTTTCGCGACCGCAAGCAAAGACGAGAAAGGAGCGAAAGGAAGGTCGAGCGCCTGTCGCGTTGGTACGGGTGCTGAAAGCGCGAGTGGCTGGGCAGAGGTGACGCCGTTGTTGCCTGATAGCTGCATCTGCGCGCGCCAGGCATCAAGCTAGGCAGCAACGCACAAGTTCCCGTCACTCTACGGTTTTACTGGGTCTCATGGATACACACGAACTGTGTCTTCACGTTCAAAACATGATCGACAACGCCAAACAAGCTATTTTTATCAAATAATCACTCGTCTCGTTTTATGGTACAAACTTGCAATTTGTCGATACTTTGTCTTCTTTATTTTTCTCATAAATGCTGCCAAAGCCGCTAGACGGCCGATGAACATCGAATCCCGTTCGATGTTGTTTTCGTATCCATCTTTACAAGAATTGGACTTGCCTAGCTGTCGAGAACACTCTTCTGGAGTTGTTTTTAGACCTACTGATGGCGTAGAAATCTTTGGACTTCTTCGCCTATGGCGCGGCGTTCCTTGCGTATAAGAGGTTCGACTTTGTTGCCTTCAACTTAAGTTCCTGGCTTCCTCAATCGTTCGTGTTGCATATCCTAGGAGGCTGTCGTCACACTAATTTACAATCGTTCTGTGGCCCCATGATGCTCTGTCGCTATTGCAACAGCAAAACGCAATATATTCAACTGAAAGAGAAGTTCATACTATTCTGCAAGTAGATTGACGAGGTCGTGGTCTATCGAATCGCACAGACCTTCAACAAAGGATTCTTCCCCATGCGTAGGTATGCCTAAAGCTCCGACTTGCCAGGTAACGGTGTAAATCAAACTGCCGCCTTCAACGCCGACGATATTGAAAGCCAATGGAGCGCCCACGACATGACCAGGTTGTGCAAATGCCATCTTGATGATATGTACATCCTTTGTCTGAATATGTGTATTCTTTGCGTCTTTGAAAGCGCCGATATTGCTTACTTCAAACGAACAGTCTCTTTTACTTCCAATCTTGCCCGAGATCCACTTCCGGATGCTTGGTAAGTACCTTAGTAAACCAACGGCTTGATCGTGAAGCGTCGCCGCCGAATCGGAAAGAAACGTCGTCGCCGACTTTGCCAGTTCCCAATCTGTAGGCGTAAGCCTGTCCATCTTGACAACTCGCGGGTGCACAAAGAAGCAACCAGACACCCAATTTCCTTCTTCATCATAGGATGCTCCGGCAGCTCGCCTCATGTTTATTGCTGTCGCACACACGAAATTGGTAATCTCTGGGTCGACAATGGCCGCACTCAAGGCTCGGGTAATGATCTGCTGTAAGGTCCCCGTCAGCTTTGCTCCATGACTCCTTGCGGCATTTAGAGCTTTATCAAGATGGATTACCCCGATCTCTCGCATCTTGAGCTTGCTATGTGATGTATTGGGGTCAAAAGCGATATTTGACCCAAGCCAAGTCCCTTCATTGAGGACAGAAGCGGACGTGCGCAGGCCTAACCAACGCGAAAAGAACGTCGGTATAAACATGGAAGTTAATGGTGGGAGAAGAAACGACCAAGAGATGGGGAGTCGCTGTGGTGTATCGAACGGATCTGATAGCCGAACTGCTGGCGCTTTGACGAGGGGCGTCGTTTGGGATCTATTACCATCCACGGTTCTCATCGTATGTAAAAATGCATGATGGAAAGCCATTCCAAACGGACCATCTCCAATGGCATGTGAAAAACTGAAAGCCACAAATGTTCCTCTTTGCAGTGGAACCACGATGATTTTCCAGGGAGGTATACCTGGTGGGAACGGGTCATTGATGTGCTTTGAAAGAATATTTTCGATCACGCTCAGGTCATTGTCGGCTTTTGAACTTTCCATGATCAAAATATGATTCTGCATGTCCACCATGTCGACCGTCCTGTACCATGATCTATCCGTGGCACCATCGGCAACCACAGCACATAAAAATGGATATTGCTCGATGCAATGCCGAAGCGGCGCGTAGTATTCATGAATGGACCGCGCGTCGAGACCAAAGCCAAAGTCATAGACGGCGCCAACAACGATCGCGTTATAATATCCGAGATCTTCGCGGCTGATTGTTCGCTGCTCGTTTGGACCTACGATGTCAACGAGAATTCACCAAGATATATCGTAGTACGTACTTGCGTATCGCTTGGTTTCTTTGGAAGACTTCATCTCGGAGCAAATCAAATCGACTTCACAGCAGTGATTGGAAAAAGAACTGTGAATGGCTTGTGTTTGCGCGTATTAGGTTTACGATTGCTGATAGTAACGTTGGCGCAAGAAGACAGCTTCAATAATAAAGAGAATGTCAATCAAAACAGTGTGAGGCGAAAGATGATTTGAAGAGCATGTACTCCTGATGTCTCTATAACTATATACACTTTGAGTTTGACTGCCGTGCACATTCATACAGCCCTTGGGCGTTAGCGAAGGCCAGCCAAGGTGTCATAAGGCTGATATAGTGGAGTCCAGACCGGCCACGCTAGCTGAGTTTGGAAAAGTTCGCCCATATGGGATAACTTAAAAAGGGGAGTCAAAACCAGAAACATTTCTCACGGGCTGCTTTCCAACAAGTAGTGCTGAAGCGACTGTGTCAAGTCATATTAGATTCGTCGCGAATGAGCGATTGGGTGACTTTCCACGTCACGAGCTTGCCCAAGAGCCTGGATGTTGCTAGAACAATGCCAGCGGCTTGTGAACGCTGCCACAAGAACAAGGAGAAATGTGTCTTCGTGAACAGACTTGCAGCGTGTCTCCGATGCCACCGGATAGGAAAGGCGTGTCATCGAAGAACTGTAGGGGGTAGAAATCGTGCAGTCCGTGTCCCCGGCGGGTTCTTTATTGTGTCCAACCTCGACTCGCCAAATTCTTTGCGAGGATGCGGCACAACGTGGGAGAATTACAGTTTCGACCATGTCACATCAATACTTCCCAGATCCACACATTTTGCACGACGTACTTCCGCTTCAGACTTCTTTCGCGTCCAGCGCGATGCACAACTTACCATACACCCGTCGCACACGTCTTGCTGGCTTTTGGCAGGTCTGCTTGGCACTCGAGAGAGCTTCTTCATTGCTCATCGACATTTCATGCTTGGTCTTAGTTTTACCGAAGACTTCCGCCAGGCAGTTTCTATGATCTTCAATCTGTCTCCGTATCTGCTCGCTGACGCGTACGACATTGTCACGAAACGGCTAGATGCCGGATGCTCTCAAAACTCTGACCCCGAAAACATGGACTTCGCGCTCGGTTCGAGTTGTCTACAAACATTCTCGCAACTATCATCGTCATCAATTTCCAGATGGGAGGAAGCTGCTCTATGTGCGATGCTTGGGCAGCTTTTGCTCGCTTATACTGCAATGTCACCTCTGGGGACATCTACTCGTCACGTTACTCGGGCAACTTTACTCGCGATCAGAGATTGGTATCCAGCAATGCTTGAGCATCCTCGGCTGCACACCCTGCTCATAACTCTGGTTTGCGTCGACACCATCGATTGCCTGCTTCGACGGGATTTGCCGATCCTGCGGCTTCCGACGTTGAGCCGGCCCTCGTGCGACAGGCTTGCCGGCGTCTGTACCTCCTTACTGCCGTTACTCTATGACCTATGCGAATGCAGCTATCGCATGAGAGTGGAAGTCTTGCCCACGAAAATCTCTCGAGGTAGTCAAGACGAGCACGATCCATACTCTGACGTCGAACAAGGAATACACGACTGGACACCATCAACACCGCCAGGGTTCTGGGCCGACTATACAGCACAGGAGCAGAAAGCCATGTTCGTCCAGGCTCGCACATATCGTCTGGCAGCTCTTCTTATCATTCACCGCTTGCGCTTCCCCTTGGGCATCCAAGGCACCGCGGCGAGATCCCTTGCTTCCGCGATCTTAGACGACATCGCCGAGCTGAAGTCGTGGCCGCCGGACGGTGCCACGGGCTTAGGATTGGATTTTCCGCTGCTTGTGGCCGCGGTAGAAATGCCGCAGCGTGGAGTTGAGCTATTTGGATCGTTCGACAGACTACGCTTCCGGAAACGACACCTTGATAGGATAGAGGACTTTGTCCGCACGTTGCACGAGGCAAGAGGGAACCAGTATTCAGGATCATGGCTGGACTTTGTGGAAGACCATTTTGTGGGAGATCTGTTACCTTGACGAAGTTTACGGTGCCACTGGTAAGTCTCGTCACATACGAATCGGCGGTGGGCTTTGTCACGCAAGGCGCAAGAGGGAGGTTAGGAACTAGCGAGTTATCGGAGATTGTTCTCCTTCCTAGGACGGATGTTTGATATCCATGTATAATATAGTTCTATATCGTGATGTATTTCGCATACGACAGTCAAATCGACCCAATTTAGACCCGTCGCGTTCCCTTTCTTCCTTTTTTTTGCTCCTGCACACTCATGCATCTACATTAAATTCAACAAGGCCCGGAAGCCTGGCCGGATATGCTGAGTAACATATGGCGGTGCAACTCAGCACTTTTCCTAGGGTTCCTAGAGGTGACAAAGGATTGTGATAGGTGCTGACTTGCAGCATTATCTGAAATAGGCTCGCGACCGCCCGTGGATGTTGTTTTGCATCTCAGCGCTTCGCGCTCTAGAAAAGTTCAGCCTCCTCCAGCTGCTGGCGCCGCAGACGACATGTTCGCCTGGATATGTGCGCGTAGGGCCGCAAACTTGCTACCCGTGCTTGAGGCTCCCTGGGCCGCACTTTGCGAAGAAGCGCTTAAGACAGCCAAGTTCTTCCCGAAACGATCTCGCTCATCCTTGAGGACCTTTTCCATTCGCTTCGCCTGACCGCGGCCCTCCCTGACGTTCCGCATTTGCGGTGGACGCTGCGCACTGCTGTCAGCAACGTCTTGAATGGCATCCTCGAGGCTTTCAAGGTTGGCCACCAGCTTCTTCCCCGGTCGACGGCGCTTGTGCTTCTTGACGCCAGCGTCGAGAACCTTGGACATGAAGATGGACCGCTTCATCAATTGCTTGTCCTTCTTGGTGGTCGTGAAGACAGAATCCGTAGCCCTCGCCTGATAGCCGGTGCGCTGCTTGATGGCCAGAGGATCTACCCCCCGCCTTTTTTCCTTTGACGTCGGCTTGACGGGTGCCTGAGAGCGAATCAGTCAGCTGACGGCGAAGCAGACCAAGTGGCGTAAGCGAGAGGAACATACCATCGCTGAAATGGACAATGATGAAGGACAGACGGACCTATGCTTGAATTTTTTGAGCCACCCACATGTCTCGACACGGGTTTTCTTGAAGAGCCATGTCCTGTTTTGGTTTAGCGTACACAAGGCACTGGGTGGCACAGAACACGCAGGGTCCCATCACACTCGAGGCTGAACACCGACCGACATCGCTGTTTTGGACGCACAAGAAAGACAGCGTCCACTTCAGATCTGGAGATCGTGTCCTTGCCGTTGCGGATTCTGGACCGTTGATGCAGCAGCTTTGCTAGTCGTGCTTCGTGACCACGGCAAGCCGCACGTTGGCGTCATCGCCGTCTGACGCGAGGTTCGAGAGCTCAGCCCTACCAAAAGGGATGATTACTGATCAGTAATCATCCCATCTTTTGCCCGACTTGGGATGGAGGTTCTTCTCCAGATCAGACGCTGCATCCAATGGAAAGCGCCAATTATCGCTAGAGAACGCCTGCCACTGCGCTCCTGACGCGTTCGTTTGCCTGGAATAGCGTCGCGGGGCTTTCTCGGCTTGGTAAGCAGTTTCTTCCGTAAGCTGCGCTGCACCTGCAAATACAGGCCCTGACGTGCTCTGTACTTGGGCGCGCAATGTCGTCCTAGAGCCCGCAACTTGCGATATAGAGAGGAGGACGTCCTCGAAGGGTCGAGCCTTGCTGTCATCAGCAGCTTACGAGCATTCCACAACCTCTGCCTCTGAGCCCTGCAAATGTCGCCCTCCTTCACGGTCTTTCGTGCTAATACCACGGCCCAGCGAGCAAGCTCGACAGACGCAAAGCCGATACTTACCGTAGTTGGCACCAAGCGCCAGGCACCGTACGAAGACATGCCTTCGGATAGGGCTGCAAAGAAGCGACAGCGGAATGACTCTCACGACGACGAGGGCAAGAAGCAGAGAGGCCGTCCTCGCGTAGACGGCCAAGACGAGACAGCGGCGGATGTGAGTGCCTTCGCTCTGGACGACTTGCTCAGCGACTAATGCGGTGCAGCGGCGACGAACTCAGATTCGCCTAGCCCAACGTGCTTATCGTCAGCGCAAGGAGAGCACGATCGCAAATCTCAAGGAGCAGGTGACCACGCTTCGCAGCACCATCGAGGAGATGGAAAACATCTTCCTAGCTTACAACGACAGAGCGGTCGCATCCGGCATGCTCCAAAAGGCCCCGGAGCTGGCCAAAGATCTCAAAGCTGCCACAGAGGCCTTCATCCAACTCGCTAAAAAGACACACGCCACAGATGATGCAGAGGATCGCTCTGAGACTGAGGTAGAGACCATTCCTATGAAGCCACGAGCCACGTATGAAAATGACATCTCCATGTTCATGCAGCATGATGCTGGCCTCAGTAACTCCATTGGCTCATCTCCTGACTCTGTGGATCACATCGGGGCCTCTCACATAGGTCTGGGCTATACGATTGACTTCTCCAGCGAAGGCAGTTCAAGTAGCAACCAGCTTGCAAGTCCAGCACCTACATCGGCACAGAGCGCCCTAACCATGCACATGGGCATGGACTTCTCAGATTATAGCTTCTCTGGGGCCGGCCCTAACACCAATCCTTTGGCAGTTGCGCCCACAACCTCTAGCAGGCCTGAAATTCCACGGCCGATCATTGCACTGTCCGCCGGTGACGCAGCAGACATGCTGAAAGTCAAGTCGATCTCGGCGCCGTACACATACTCCTTCAAAGAGACCACGTTCGCGCGAAGGCTACAACGTGCTTCCTTGGAGCGAGGTTTCCAGCTTATCACCAACGCCGAGACACGGCCGTCAAGCTTCCTGCGCGTGTTCCGACTTTCGCTGCTGTACCATACCCGCGAAACACTGCTGGCCAAATTTCGGCGCGCTCTGTCCAGGAGTACGGACGAGCCGCTGGAAACGTTTCAGACGCCGTTCATTCACCTAGGCGGTGCAGGAATGCACTACAACACAGGCCGCGTGCGAAATGGGTACATCGTCAAGCCGGGTCCAATGCAGCGACAGGCCATTCTCGAATCGACCGAGTCGCCGGGCGCGGTTGTCGACATCGATCTGGACCTGAGCGAGTACGAAGGCGAGTGGTTCGACAGCAACGACGTCGAGGGGTATCTGAACGAGCTCGGCCTTTTTATCGACCCACAGTCCAGCTTTGCCGAGGGCAACATCACCCTTCCCGACTCTGCGAAACAACTCCTAGCGAATTCGCCTGCAACAAATGTCTTCGATTCGCCAAATGCCAGCAACGTCGACGCGGAAGTCACGAGTCTTGGATCAGGCACGATCGCGACACCGCAGAGCCCAATGATGAGCAATGTTGAGCTCGAGCTGGGCATGCAACGGTTGTTTCCCGAACTGGGAGCAGCGTCGCCGAACACGCTGTCGAACTCACAGGCTATCGACTGGCTCATGGGAAGCGGCGATAAGACGCCCGACTTTCTGTCGAGCGGGTGGATGAGCTGGAGACAGCCAGCCGAATGGGACGCCGCGGACGCGGTCGGCTACGACAACTCCGGTTTGAGCAACGTGACAATGCAGTTTCAACGGGCTGCGAACGAGAAGAGGCAGGTCACGGTCGATGTCAGCAGGCTTATTGACGGTACGTTTTGAACACCCCCCCTCCCCCCTCAAAAAATAATGATCAAAAAAAAAAATTTCCCTACAAGTCCATCCGTTGGGTTTCAAGGCAGGAAAGGAACCGTGTGAGGCTAACGTGAACGGTGACAGAACTCATCATGAGCGCAATATGCCTTGGTCGGGCTCCAGGATTCAGAAAGCGAGACGTGGATCGTGCATTGACTTCGGCCATCATCCAAATCTTTTAACGTTCGCGCTGCCATCCATCATAATGATCAAAACGTATACGCACGATTGCATCACGAACGAACGGACGGGTCTCCGCCGGGGAGGGGGGGGGGGGGCGTTGGGGGCGTGCGACTGGAAGTGATTGCGGGGAAAAGGGAAATAGTGACTGCCGTCAAACGATTCTGCTCCTCTCATCCATAGATTTTTTTTTTCCCCTTTTTTTTTTTCTTTTTTTTTTTCACCGTTTCCTGCGGCTTCGCCATACGAAGAGACGGATGTACTACTACTACTACCACTACTACCACCGCCATAGCGCGTTGGACAACGAAGCAAGAACAGAGAGGAAAAAAAAAAGTGGCATGGCTCTTATTTTTGTTTGTTTGCTTTCACTGTTTGGCCTCCCACTCCCCCCCAAAAAAACAGAGAGAGAGAGAGAGATCGGATGCGTTCATCATTACTTTGTGCCGGGCACGCCCCCCTCCCCCCCTGGACAAGGTTTTTGTGTCACTCCCTTCTTCGCCTAGCCAAATAGTACACCACGGGTTTTCCACCTTTCGACTTCTTCTCTTTCTTTCTTTCTTTCTTTCCTTCTTTGAGCGGGGGGGCGTGACTCTCCGTGGCTTTTTCGTGACCGTTGCGCCCCGTGCGAATGAGTGATATGTATCTACATTACATCCGGTCGAGCGTGAGACTCGAGGGCTGGAGAGAGAGAGAGTAGAAGAAGGGAGAAGGGGGAGGGGAGGGGGGCTTATTATCTGATCCTTGCCACACACACACACACTCTCTCTCTCTCTGCCTTTGCTCGTCCTTTTGAATGACCTGCGTCCAGCAGCGGAAACTCGAACGGGCTGAGGTCAATCCAATTTTAAACACGACGGGGTGAACGAGCACAGAGTTAAAGAGAACGACGGATCGCAATTTCCAACTCGCGGCAAAAAGAATAATTTGGGTTTTTTTTTCTTTTCTTTTTTTCTTCTCCCTCTTTTCATTTCTTTCTTTCTTGCTTTGCTTTTCTCTTTTTTATCTTTATTTATTTATTTATTTCTTTTTTTTTTTTTTTTTTTTGGAATACGTTCGCTGTTCGCGCGGGCACAATGATAGCGCTAGGCTTTGACGCGAGGCTTTCACAGGGCAGAGCGGGGGCCGGGTGAAAACTCACAGGCTGGCGTTAGGTTGGCTCCAGCTTTTTGGGGCCAGCAGACGGGCACCATGGAGAACAAAAGCATTACCCGCAGAGGGACAGTTCCCACCAACGCCCTCGCGCAATTTCTCTCTCTTTTCTTCTCTCACGGGCAGGTCCCGCGACGCGCTCCTGTTTTCGGAGCAGACAAAGATCGTTCCGCGGATTCTCCGTCAACGCGAGGGGAGGAGAATCCGGATTGGGCGGAGGAGTGGAACGACGAAGATGGGGCGGGTGGGCCGGCGGAAGCGGAGGGGCTGCGGGCGGGAAGGGCGCCGCCTAGACGTCCCTGCACGCAAGACATTGGGGCTCTGTGAACAGCGTCGATCTGTCGGTGCCAAGTCCACATGGGGTAAATAAAGCGGAAAAGAGAAGAGAAAGAAAAGAATACGAGGGGTTCAGGTAGAAACGTTTCGCTCGCGACACGCACTGTGCTTGGACGAGCGAGGCCACTCCTGCACGTCCAGCGGTGCGGTATCTCACGGCAGGACGAACTGAGCGCCTGTGAGAGCGGCAGGCATGTGATTGGGGCCGCAAACCCTCGTCGGCTCCCTGGTGACCAAAGGAGAGGAGTGGGAGAGGGGGAGACGAAGGGCTGAGAAGCAAAGCCGCCTCGAGCGAGGACCAAAGATGCTCAGCGCACCCGGCGCGGTCCTATGGGCTTCGGGGGCGTGCGCATCGCACTCGAAGTCAGTCTCGATTTCGGGCTTGCCACTGGGGACGACGGCGGGGAAGAGGAAGAAGAAGAGGAGGAGGAAGAGGAGGGAGAGGAGCCTGGCAGGGACGACGGAAGGGAAAACGGCAGGCTTTGCGGCCAGAGAGCAGCGCGGTGCGAGCTGGCGTCGCAACCTCCTCGTTGCTCTTTGGCCCGATGCTCAGACGTCACCATCTCGGCGGTCCACGTTGGCGCCTTTGGTTTCTCCCCCCCCGCCGAAGCTGGCCTCGAAACGAGCGTGCCCTATTTTAGCCGGTGGGCTGAACGAATTTGTACGTCCGGCGGCCGGAGTTTGGGGAGGTCTTTTATCTTAATTTATTTTAGTTCCAATTTATTTTATTTTTATTTTTATTATTTTTTTTGGGATGGAGTGGGTGGTGTTTATGTCTTGGTCGCGTAAGGATCACTTAGTGGTGGGCTTGGACAGGACTTCAGGTCGAGGCACCGCCTGTCGCCATCTTACCCCGCTGGCGTCATCATGCCACCGCAGGCTGGCCGTGGCGTTTGTGCTTGTGGTGCCCGCCGTTGCCACGATCGCGACCGGGCCGACGGCCGAGTGGTGTGACAGAGGCGACAAAAGTGTCGGTCAGCAGACGTGCGTGCCGGTACAAGCGGGTGATCGCAGACGGAAAAGGAGTGGAAAGGAAACAAAGATGGGGCCCGTTTGTCTGGAGGATCGTCTTGGTGGAATTTGGCGTCAAAAAAGCAGCACATTGCACCCCTGCCCTCCCCCCGCTGTCGGCCCGCGAGGCGAGGCAACACAGATTGCGCATGTTCCTTTGTCCTTCCGCTTGGCAGGGAAAAAGGCCTATCGTGCGGTGAAACAACAAGTCCGTTATGAAAAAGAGCAGAACGAAGGAAGATTTTTTTTTTAAAAAAAATTTTTTTCTGTTCTCCTAAGCACACAACTTTCCGTCGTCGTGAGCGTGTTTCGTCGTTCGGCAAAGAGAGCTTTTCCCTCAGCCAGACCCGGCCAGCCTGTGGAGGATTGCGCGGCTTGGCCGGCACAGGGCAAAAGGCAGAGCCACGGGAACACGAAACAGGCGGATCAGGTGAACATCGAGGCTGACGACGCGAGGGGCGAGGGTGTTGCTGGGGATGTTGGGCACAGGACTCGTCCGACCAGCGAAGCTGAGAAAAACGCGTGGACGGCCAGCAAAGTGGTGACTGGAGGAGGCAGCGCGCCGCGAGCGAGTGAGTGAGCGACGTGCCAGACGGGCGGGCGGTCCACGAATTCGCGCCATGCGCAACCCAGCACCAGAAGCCGCTGAGATCACGGGCAACATTCGTCGTCGTCGTCGTCGCCGTAGTGGAAGGCAGACAAAAGGCTCGCAAAACGAGCCTTTGATGCAGACTGGCCCGACTCCGGCGAGCGGATGCGCCGGTATGCAAGCAGATGGGTCCAGACGGGCGGGTCATGGACAACCCGAGGCGCTTCAGTCTTTCTGCCTGCCAGCCGGACTCGCTGGCCCTTTCTTCCTACCCAGCTAGCTGGGACTCGTTCAGCAAGGCGTCACAAGGCGGCTCAGAAGCGTCGGCGTCTGCGCCGGCGGACGTGGGGGGGTCAGCAGTGCAACGGCAGCGGTCACCGCACGAGGTGGCCCGGTGAAGGGCAGGGCGTCGGTCGTGCTCCTTCGTCATGAGGCAGAGGCGACACCCCTTCGACTACGGAGTACTCACCTGGACGTGGGGAGACTGGGCGTGTGCGGAGGGGGCGAAAGCAGATCGATCGATCGTGCCGACGGAACACTGTGATTGATTTCACGATTTTTTTTTTTCGTTTTGCCTCGTCTTCTACGCCGCAGAGACGCATCGTCTGTAGCCGTCGCTTAGCAGTGTCTGGGAGCCGAAGGGCGGGCAGCAGCGGCCGTCGCGAATAGAGCGGGCACGAGAAGAGGAAACAGGCCATGATCCGTCCTCGTGTGCAAGCACCATGCAGGCCGCTCGTTCGCGCATGGGCGGGTCGGGCGCCGGGCATTGGTGGTTGTTTTTGGCTTCGCTGCCAAAACGAGCCAGCAGGACGAACCGTGGGGCCCAGAAAGTCCCCAAACGAGGTGCCGATGCGGCGACGGAGCCTGCAGATCAAGGCCGGTAGCGTCCAGATGCGCGCATGCCGCTTCGATGCTTTGGTTTCTTTCACGCATACACACACGTACATACGCACATCCGCACATCCGCACATACATACATACGTCCTACATACAGATGTTGCGCATACCCGGATAAACAGATATACACACACACACACACGCACGCACGCACGCACGCACACACACAGCCACAGATCGCCTCCGGGCCGCAGGGCGTTTCTGCACGCGATGGTGTTTGCACGCCCGCCTGCTGCTCCCAGAGCTGAGATGGCCAACAAACGCATGTGCACGAGCGGCAGACAAGGACGCAACGGAAGGACGGCGTCGAGCAGGCCGGACGGAGAAGCCTCCTAGATGGACGTAGCAGCCGTGGGTGGCGACAGGAACTTGGTAGGCGTGCGGGTGGGGGTGTGCAGCCGGCGCGAGCCAACGCTGCGACGGCCGTCCAGACGCTGGCCTGCAGTGCTTGGATCATACCGTCTTTTCCACTCAAGACGAAACCCAGCGTGAAGCGGCGGGCCAGCGTCGCAAGAGGAGTGTGTGGGAGCGAGGTCGGTGGTGTCCCGCTGGCCCACAGCGAGGAAGCCCCCCCGCCGTGCCTGAGGTGCTCCAATCGCGCCCCCGAACCGGCCCTCTGATGGGCCCCGTCGCGCCCCCGTGCAGCCGCGCGCACTCGCGGTCGCACAAACGCAGCCTGGCCGGGTCCAACGTCTAACTGAACTTGACTTCTTCTGCCCAAGCCAAAACTCGTCCCCGGCTGCGTGCGGATCCCCAAGCCCCCAGACGGTCTCTGGTTTAGTGGCTGTCCATGTGCATGCGTGCGTGCGTGCGCGTGTTTGTCTGTCTGTCTGTCTGTCTCTGCTCTCGCTCGCTTTATCTCGCTTCGCTTTCCTCGTCCCGCTGCATTGCTGCTTTCCCTCTGAACCTCCCTCGCCCTCGTCTTCCCACCTCCCGGCGCTTCCCATCTCGCTTTTCTTCCTTCTCGGCCTCGTCCTTCCCTCACTCCTCCCGCTCGTCCTCTCAAAACCCTTGCGCCAGATCCCGCCAGTCCTGTTCGTTTCGATTGTGCCTTTGTGCTGCGTCGTGCTCCGTCGTCGGCCGCCTTGCGCCCACTGTCCCGCTCCGTTTCGCTTAGCCGTCCGCCGTGCTGAAACCGAGCTGGGCGCAGATCAGGCCTGGTTCTGCACATCCCTCGTTCCGGCCGTGGGCTGCGCAACCGCATCCGTAATCTGCACGGCAGCTCAGCCTTGGGCCGCCCAGACCCCGATATAGACCTTGCTATTCCTCTGCTCACCGCGCCCTCCGCCTCCTCTTGCGAGAATTTAAAAAAAAAAACCTCCTAAGAAAGCTATCGCCACCGTCGCCACCGTCGTTACGGCTTGGATTGCACTGCTCGAAAGGCACAAAAAACAACCCACAACAGTCCCCAACAATGTGTTGACACTCGCCCGCTCGACATCGTCCTTCGGCCCATTCCACACCGCGAGGCTCCAAAGCCCAAACAAAAAACAATGACCTCCCTCGGAAGCCGCAGCTTTGCTCCGCACGGCAAGATCCACAAGCGGGCCGGCTCCGCTTCGTCCTCACTGCAGTCGCCGACCCTTCCGCCCGCGCTGGAGAACTTCCCCTCGGACTACAAGAGCACGCCCGAGTTCAGGCCGGTCAGGTACACGGACGAGCAATGGGAGGTGCAGCCAAAGGTCGCCGCAAACAAGATCAAGCCGTACCTGCGCAAGCTGTCCTCCAAGGACGAGAACAGGATCGACCTGTCGAGGACGACGGAGGAGAACGAAAGGATCGCAGGACTGGGCATCGGCGCCGACTTCAACACCCTCGTCTCGAGATCGGTGTCCGAGGTGTCCTTCACGCCCGTGAACAGCCGCTCGCGACACGGCCGCACCACCAGCAACGGCTCCACCTTCTCGACCAGCAGTGGTCTGCAGAGATCGACCGCTCCGTACTCGCACACGTTGCGCCACACGCCGCGTCCCTACACGCCGCCCGTGACCAAGTCCTACGCAACGTCTGCGGTCAGCGACGGCGTGGACGAGCCGACCGACCTTGTCGGCGCCGACGGTCTGCGCCCCCGCTTCTACTCGGACAGTCACCACAACCGCTCCGGCTCTCACGGCTCGTTGCCGGCCTACCCCGCGCCTCTGCGCCTGCACACCAGCAGCTCCTTCACCCGCCTCAACACGTCGCAGTCGAGCATACCCTCCAGCGGCGCCCCGAACAGCGCCAGGCCGCGCGGAGACACGCTGCGCTCCATCGACACGGTCGGCTCGCCCAGCTCGCGCACCTCCTTCGACAAGGCCGTGTCGTTTCTGCGCCGCGGCCAGTCGATCGACGAGCTCGACGCCGCGGCCGCCCGCGCGGCATCCATCCGGGCCCTGCGCGCCGCCTACAACGAGAAGGAGGAGGCCAAGGAGGCCAAGTATCGCGCCAAGCAGGAGCGGCAGCGGCGCAAGAGCGACGCGGCCGCAGCGTCGTCGTCCTCCACCCCGGCCGGCCCGAACGAGAAGCGCGAGTTCGTCGGAAAGGCGTACGACGAGTACAGCGCCACCCACGCCAGCTCGCAGCCCAGGACCGAGAAGCGGTCGGCCAGGCCGCGGCTTGCCATGGTCGCCTCCGCCGGGTCCGGCAGCAAGAGGGGCGTCAAGAGTACCTGGCTGCGGTTCCTGGCCTGGCTGCGCACGAGGCTGCTCAGGCTCAGCGGCCGGCGGCACAGACGATGACATGGACGCGGTGCACGGGGGGGGGGGGGGGGGGGGGGGGGGGGGGGGGGGGGGGGCTAGGACGACGTAAGAGGATAACCCGATCCCCACACGCGCCCTTCACACTCACAGACACGTATATATACACGCATACACACACACACCTCCATTCGGACACTCGCGCTTTCACACTCACAGCATGGATATGATCTACGGGAGCATGACACTTTTTTTTTTTTTTTACGATGATACGACAGAAACCAACGGACTCGGCTTTTTTTTTCCCCCCAGCGCGTACACGAGAGAGGGGGGCGTGTATGTGTGTTTGTTTGTTTGTGTGTGTGTGTGTGTGTGTGTGTGTGTGTGGCTCCTTATGCACGAGATGGAAGCGAAGGAAAGAATGGGCGGCCAGAAGCTTGTGTTCGAGAAGGAGCATGAGAGGCCTCACAACCCGCGGTCGTCGTCGAGTTCATACTTCTCAAACGACCACAAACGGCCACTACTGCCGACGCCAACAAACCTCATGAATCTTCTTTTTTTTTTTTTTTTCTCTTCGCCCCTTCACTAGCCCCCCTCCCCCCAAACCCCCCACAAACACGCACCCTCACAAAACTGCGCAACCACTCCGGATTGCCTGCTTGTTTTTTTTTCCCTTTTCTTTCCGTACACAACGGCGTTTATGTTCTCCCCCCCTCCTCCTTTCTTTTCTTTTTTTTTCTTGTTTTAAAGGGAGAGGAGAGGGGGGAATTGAGGGCGGGTTTACCATTGGGACGAAAGCGATCACACATGATACACCACTCCGGCACAGATCGTGTACTTGACTTGGGCTTCATTGTTTGGTTGGTTTTTTTTTTTTTTTTAACTTTCCCTTCCCTCTCTCCCTCATCTTTTTCCTGCCTGCATTTTCTCCTTCTTTTCGCGGCGGGAGGGGGAGGGGGGGAGCGGTGGGACTTTTGCATTCGCTCTCCTCGAGCAGAAGACTGAGAGAGTCGACGAAGCATGGCGATTGGGCTTCCACCGGCGCAATTTTTTTTTTGGTTGCAAACTGTAGCGTTCCAATTCATCCGCGGGTTTTTTTATGGGACACTTGGCGTATGATCTTCTTCTTTTTTTTTTTTCTCTTTTTTTTTGATGCCCTCCTTCCATCATCGGCTTTCTGTGCTACTGGTGACCCTTCCTCCCCCCAGCCCTCCTCGCGCTGGGACGGAGCGTAAGGACCGGAAGACGGTGCCCTGTCCAAGAGAGCAGAGAGCGCTGCCGCTTGACAATCCTCGCGGAAGCTCCTTTCCAACACTCCACTCGAGACCTCATCTACTACTCTCTTGATCGTTTGCTTTTGCCCTCTCCCCTTTTCTTTTCTTTCTTTCTTTTTTTTTTTTTTTTTTTTTTTTTTTTCAACTTGGGGCGCACGCGTTCATCCTTCTGGCACAAATCCCTTCTCCCTCCCCCCCCCCTCTCTCTCTCTCTCTCTCGCTATTTTCAAGACAAACACCCTTCCGCTTGCGCCCGGGAAGCGAGACTTTGAGGGGCACCAGGGGGGGG